GATCACCGAAGTCGTGGCAGCGACCGTAGTGCTGCGACTAGCCGACGTTGTCCGGCTCGTGACAACGTTGCTAGCCACAGCTACATTGGCGACATTGCTGCCGGCGCCTGAGTTTGTACCAGAATTGCTTGATCCGCTGCCAGATGAGCCGCTTGTCGAACCACTTCCACCCGTTGAGCCCACACCATTCGTTCCCGTGTTTCCTGTACCTCCCGTGTTGCCAGTATTACCCGTGTTGCCAGTGTTGCCCGTGTTGCCAGTATTGCCAGTGCCGCCAGTATTACCAGTATTGCCAATGCCGCCAGTATTGCCAGTGCCGCCAGTATTGCCAGTGCCGCCAGTGCCACCCGTGTTGACGGGATCATTACTGCCAGGAGGATTGACAACAGGGTCGCCAGTGGGCGGCGGCGTCTTTGTAGTGGATCGAATGAGCGTGCCAGAGGTTGGGTCAATCAAAATGTCTTCATCCGTGTTGCAGGCTTCAATGATGCTCTGCAACCAGACGTCAGGCTGATTGAGTGCATCGCGACCAAACGTTGCCTCCTGACGCTTGACATTGCTCAAATCTCGCTTGCCCACAAAGGTCAAAGCATCGGGTGGGTTGAAGTAAACTGGTCGTTCGGCGCAGTCAACTTTGCCATTGACTGTCTGGACGCCTCGTCGGAGAAGGAAAAAGTCTGTGTAGGCTCTTGCTCGCTGCCCGGCTTTCCAAGGTTTGGCAGTGCCAATGATTTGACCCTTGATCCCAGTGTAGCTCATGTAGTTGGTCACTGTATCAATGATGCCTGGATTGTTGCACCGCGGCTGTTTGTCATCGAACTTCGTGTCAAAAGAATACGTCTGTGTGTCTTGAATACCATCAGAGTTGCCGCCTTCGCATCCAACGTCATTGAACACATGTTTGAGACCGAACCAGTGACCAGCTTCATGCGTCAAGGTCGTGCCGGGTCCTGGATTGCCTGGCGGCAGGCGCCAATTCATGCCTGGCAGAGAGTCAAGGGTAATGACACAACCATCGCGTAATCGACCACGTTTGTCTGTTGTCGGCAGTGTGCAAAAGCCATCAATAAAGCTACCCGTCGTACAATTGATAGGGCCAATCTTTTCAACCACTGAAATCTGCAACTGATCGTAGCCGGGAAATCGATTCTGAATGCGAATGGCCTCTTGACGTGCATATAGGGCCTCCTCTTGCTTGTTGGTGGCGATCCAGAGCGCTTGCGCCGACTCGCGGTAATCGTCTCCCGTAAAGTACTGCAATCTGCCGAAACGAAAGGAAATTGCCATAGGCGCAAATCCGTTGTTGAGTACGGTGACCTGCTGGCGCAAGACAGCCTCCGTGACCAGACTCTCCGTTGATGAGTTGCTGGTGTAGACATTGAAGTGGATTGGGACGACAATGAAGTCCGGCACGCAGTATGGCTTTGGCTTTGGCGAGACGCGCTCTGGACGATCCCCGAGAAGGCCACCAAGGTTGCCAATACGCGCGCCTCGTTTTGCGAAGCGAGAGATGGGTCCTGGTGAGCTCGAGGTGTTGACCTTGCAAAAAGGAAGATCAATAGGGTCGTCAAAGGGCATTGGTTTCTGCTGAAACAGCTTGGTGTATTCCAATTCGAGCGACTTGTAAATTTCCACCTCCGCGGCGGTGAGAGTGAGGCCGGAGTCGAGAGGTGCTGAGGGTGCTGTGGTCAAAGACAAGGCAGTTCCGCCGCAACGGACAGGACATTCTTCACAGTACTTGGGTGTGTACGGGCCGCAGTCATACTGGTCGTCCTGGCGTTTCGCAACAACACCACAGAATGGCGATGGATCCGGATTGGAAGTAGATGATGAGGAAGTTGTTGAAGATACAGCTGGCGTTGAAAAGCCTTGCACGGGGTCTGGCGTGCCGTGAACAGACTGGCCGGCGACGGCTGACAGCAGCAGCAAGACAGATAGATGCATTTTCAACGAAGAACAGTTGGAGCGGGTCGCTCCACTTCTTTTGTACTGCTCGGACAGCTATTCCTCATGATGAGAGGCATTGAGAGCACAGACAATTCAATGCAGAGGCTGAGTTCTCCACGGCGTCCATGTTCAGATTTAATAGCACAAGAAGTGTGGGTAATGGCGTCTCCGACGGATCTATCAGACACTTAAGCGAGCATTTTGTCACATTGGACAGAGACTACTGGCAAGTTGCAACAGAGGCTGTGCAGCAGATGTTCATGAGTGCGAGATGTTGTCTGAGGTCTGGGCCAGTTTGGAGTTGGCGCCTGACACGGAGACACCGACACGACAGCGGGTCCTGAGCGGGATTCCTGGCTGCGGGAAAGATGGTCAGACGAATCTTAGACGGTGGATGCTCGACAAGGTGTCAAAAGTCACGAGGACGGAAGAGTAGCATAGGGAGGGTCCGCATTGGAGACTGATCCTGTAGCCGCATTACTGCTAAAACATCCTTCGCTTTGCTCACATTCAATCGCTTAAGGTCACGCTTCAATGCTACAGAATCAATTGCTGAGCGCTCATAGGTGTTTGAGAGCTCAGCTGTCTCATGACTCTCATCCTTGTGACACAGCTGGCAGCCGTTGCAGGAGCAGCTGCGACCATGCCAGAATCAGGCCGTGTCTTGGATACACGCTGGTCGCGGCAAAAGTCACTGGTAAATCACACATAAAAGCAGAGCTGGGTGGATGCAGATTTTGTATGAACGTATGCGAGATGCGTTTAGTCAAAGAGACCTGGATGTTAGCACGTGTAAGCAAGAGATAGATGAACATACCAAAGCCCATGTCGTCGTCAGACTCCTCCTTCTCCTCAGCCTTCTCTTCCTTCTTCTCCTCAGCGGCAGGTGCGTCGCCAGAAGCAGCAGCACCACCAGCAGCAGCGGGAGCGGCACCCGAAGCACCACCGACGTTCAAAAGCAAGTCCTTGACGTCCTTGCCCTCGAGAGCCTTGGCGAAGCTAGTATGGTTAGTTTGTTCGATGCTGAAGTGATTGTCGCGTACAGAGAAGCCCAGATGGGTTCGACCTCAACGTTGGCGGCCTTGCAGAGGGTCTGCAGCTTGTCGGCGGTGATCTCAAGACCGTCGTCGGCGAGGATGAGAGCAGCATATGAAACGGCGAGTTCAGACATGTTGATGAGAGGTGATTACAAGGACAATTTAACCGGCAAGAGAGCACGGGCCAAAGTAATATGGGGGTCAGGTCTGATGAGCAGGATTTGGTTCTTTGAGTGAGTCGTTGCGCTGGAAGAGGATTCAGATGGAGCAGAAAAGCAGTCGCAAGAAACACCCGGGTGCATGATAGAAACTTAAGATTCAGATGGCACAAATCACTCGACCTGGACCACTCCAAGAGCGGCTTGAAGAGCCAAAAGACTAGCCAGACACATACATAACAGCTAAAAACATTCATCATTCTCCCTTCTTGCTCTTCTGGAGCTTTCCACCAAAGGCAAACCACGCAGCAACAGCGCCAAACGCCACAAGCAGACCCGTCTTTTGGTTCTGTGGAATTTCCCCAGATGTATAGTCCTCATGCTTTGCATTGCCACCAGTCTTGGACTTGGACCCGGCTGCATCCTGCACAGACTCGAGTACTTGCTTGACTTGTGCAGGGCCTTTGCCAAGTGCGTCGACCGCAGCATCCGCAAATTGCTTCGCCCCGCCTTGAGCCTTGTCTGCCACTTGATTCGCTTCCTTTGTGACCTCTTGGGCCACTTGTTTTGCTTCTTGCTTCGTCTCTGTCATCTTTTCCTTTGCAGCTTCCCTCACTTCAACGGCCTGGGTCTTTTTCTTCTCGATTGCGTCCGATACCTTTGCCTTCGCCTGCTCAACAGGCTTATCCTGCTTGGCCTCCTGCCTTGGCTTTGCATCGCTCGATGCCGAGCGCTTCTGGATCGTAACAGAAGCTTTCTTTGGCCGTCCGCGGCGTTTGGGCAGCAAGGCCGCCTGCTCAGTCTCGACAATGGCCGCCGCTTTGCGTTTGGTTGCCATGGCGCGAGCGCCGAAATGAGGTAGAACCTGCAAAGCTGGCATGGGCGGTGCCTGCGCGGCCTGCATAGCTGCCTGCCTTAGTGACGGCAGCGATCGTGATGCTCTGAGTGTTCTGATCATGGATGTGTGGGTGTGGGTGATGATTTGTTGACATTCCAACGGCATTTTTCGCAACGGACACCAACGGCTCAGATCCTCGGAAAGGTTACGTAAGAGATACATGCAATATATCCAAGCTAGAACTTCTTATCTTGTCTATAGCCTCGCCTGCTGTTGAGCACGGCTAGAAATAAGGTTCAATGCCGAACCGCTCTTGAAGAAGGCAATCTGGTCACTCGACATGGTGTGCTGCACGGGGATGGTTTGTTGTGAGCCATCGCGCTTTGTCACCAGCAACGACAACTGGGCATTTTCACCCTGCTCACCAACAAGATCCGCGAGACCCTGCGTTTGAACACTGTCACAAGCAGAGATCAAGTCATAGTCAGACTCATTCTTGAAAGTAATCGGTAAAATCCCTTGCTTCTTCAAATTGGTTTCGTGAATGCGAGCAAAGGACTTGCAGAGAATGATGCGCCCATTAAGCGCTCGGGGCTGCAATGCAGCATGCTCACGCGCACTGCCTTCGCCATAGTTGTGCTCAGCAACAATCATCCAAGGTTGGCTGCGTTGCCGCCAGTTCTCCATCAGCTCTGGTATGGTCATGGCAGTACCGTCCAAATCATACGCCTTGTTCGTCTCGCCCGTTTCAGCGTTGACTGCGCCAATCAAGGTGTTTTTGCAAATGTTGGTCAAATGTCCTTTGTACTTGAGCCATGAACCAGCAGCTGAGATGTGGTCGGTGGTGCACTTGCCTTTGACCTTGACAACCACTTTGAGCTCGAGCTCTGGACCAGTAAAGGGTGGGAACGGAGATAGCAATTCGAGTCGGTCAGAATCAGGATTCACCTTGATCTCAACGGAAGCCTCTGGCTCTGGAATGGACGCAGGCAAGTAGGAAGCATCGCCAACCTCAAAGCCTGACTGAGGAAGCTGAATACCTTGAGGCGCAACAAAGCGGAACTCTGAACCATCAGGCAATGCAATTGCATCCTTAGTAGGGTCAAAGGCCAAGTCGATACTGTAGATCTTTGCGGCAACCAATTCAGGGCTGGCCAAAAAATTGAGCGTCTTTGCATTGCCGTCATTGCGTGCCTTGAAGTTGCGGTTGAAGGATGTCAAGATGGCATTCTCTCCCTTTGCCGGGCTTGCACCTGGCTGAACATCGGTACGTTGCCATTGACCGATACAAGGACCACAGGCATTTGCAAGCACAGTCGCACCAGCAGATTCCAGCACGCTTGTCAGTCCATCGCGCTCAATCGTAGCTCGAATTTGCTCAGAGCCGGGTGTGACGAGAAGCGGCGTCTTGGGCTTGAGACCTGCAGCACTGGCTTGTCTGATGATGTCTGCCACACGCGACATGTCTTCATAGCTAGAGTTGGTACAAGAACCAATAAGACCCACACTGAGCTCCTTGGGCCAACCATTGTCGGTGATGGCTTGGCCAAACTTGGACAAAGGCGTTGCGAGATCTGGTGTCAAGGGACCGTTGATGTATGGCTCCAGCGTATTGAGATCCACCTTGATGACTTGATCGTAGTGCGCGCCCGAATCTGCTTGCAGATAGCCGTGCTCGTGGTGTGCTTTGTCTGCAGCTGCAGCAACGGCACCTCGTCGCGTAGCATGCAGATAATCACGCATGCCCTGGGAATAAGGAAACAGAGATGTTGTTGCACCGACTTCAGCGCCCATGTTGCAGACTGTAGCCATGCCCGTGCAGGACAACGTGTCGACACCTGATCCGTAGTACTCAATGACATGGCCGGTACCGCCACGGACAGTCAATTTGCCTGCGAGGTACATGATGAGATCTTTTGGCGATGTCCAATCTTGCATACGACCAGTCAGCTCAACACCAATCACCTTGGGTGCCTTGAGCTCCCAGGGAGTGGCCGTCATGGCATCCACGGCGTCTGCACCACCGACACCAATAGCAATCATGCCGAGACCACCAGCGTTGGGCGTATGTGAATCTGTACCAAGCATCATACCACCGGGCGCTGCATAATTCTCAAGGACAATCTGATGGATGATACCAGAACCCGGTGCCCAGAATTGCAGTCCATACTTTTTGCTCGCACTCTCAAGAAAGTCGAAGATCTCGCTATTGTTGGCGACGGAATCCTTGAGATCCTGCTCTGCTCCCTTGTGTCCAACAATCAAGTGATCGCAGTGCACAGATGCTGGCACTGCAGAAGTCGGCAAGCCGCATGTCAGGAATTGGAGCAAGGCCATTTGAGCAGATGCATCCTGCATGGCAACCCGATCGGGGTTGAGCTTCAAGTAAACTTCTCCTCTGATATTTCCGTTTCTTCCGGCAAGAGAGGCCTCTGGGTCTGCCAAGTGCGCATAAAGAATCTTCTCCGCCAAGGTCAGCGGCGTCTTGCCGAGAATATGCCTGACTTTCTGCAGGTTTTCTGTGAGATGCTTGTATGGGGGAGTGATGCGAGCACTCGCTGCTGCATCCCTAGGCGCCACGGACGCAAAGGCCCGGTGTGCCTGCCTCGACAGGAGCCTGCTCGCCATCGGTTGTGAGCTTGTTCTGGTCGTCGTGGTCAGCGAAATTTGACAACACACAGCAGCAGCAGCCAACTCCTTCCTTCCCCTCAGTCCACAGCATGGCCTACGCACCGGGCTCGCCTACAAAGAGGCAGTCGCGTGCAGATGACCAAGAGTATGCGCTCTTCAATCGCAACCCATCTGCCTTGTCAAAAGCGACGCGTAAGGACACTTTCTCTGTGGCTGGAGACTAACAACAGAGGATAAGGCTACTTCTACAAAGCTGAAGCTGGAGCACTACTACAAAGTGGCCGTCGAGCATGCGGTAGAGCGTAACGCACGTCGTGTGGAGCTGGAGAACCGCCTTGCTCAAGACAGGGGCTCTGACGAGCGGAAGAACAGACAGTTGCGAGCGCTGGGTCAAAAGGAGTCGCAATTCCTGCGGCTGCGACGGACGCGACTGGGCCTGGATGACTTTAGCACAGTCAAGGTCATTGGTAAAGGCGCGTTTGGCGAAGTCCGTCTGGTGCAAAAGGTAGACACGGGCAAGATTTATGCAATGAAGACGCTGCTCAAGTCGGAGATGTACAAGAAGGATCAGCTCGCGCATGTCAAGGCAGAGCGTGATGTCTTGGCAGAGGCAGACTCGCCATGGGTTGTTTCGCTCTACTACTCTTTTCAAGATGCTGAATACCTCTATCTCATCATGGAATTCTTGCCGGGCGGCGACCTGATGACCATGCTCATCAAGTATGATACATTTTCTGAAGATGTCACGCGGTTCTACATTGCTGAATGTGTCCTGGCCATCGAGGCAATCCATAAGCTTGGTTTCATTCACCGGGACATCAAGCCCGACAACATTCTGATTGACGAGCGTGGACACATCAAAATGTCCGACTTCGGACTGTCAACGGGCTTTCACAAGACGCATGACTCTGCCTACTACCAGCGCCTGCTTGAGGGTAAGCAGCAGCCTCCTCCATCCAATCGTAACAGCGTCATGAATGATCAGATCTTCATGACACTGAGCTCAAAGGACAAAATCGCGACTTGGAAGGCCAATCGTCGTGTCATGGCCTACTCAACTGTTGGTACACCCGACTACATTGCGCCAGAGATTTTCTTGCAGCAAGGATACGGCATGGAGTGTGACTGGTGGTCTTTGGGTGCCATCATGTTCGAATGCCTCGTCGGCTGGCCTCCTTTCTGTTCTGAGAATGCACACGAGACGTATCGCAAGATTTTGGCATGGCGAGAGACGCTCTACTTCCCTGATGATGTGCATCTATCGCGCGAGGCCGAAGACTTGATACGCCGACTCATCACGAGCGCTGACCAACGTCTCGACCTCAACAGCATCAAGAACCATACCTTTTTCCGCGGCGTGGACTGGAGCACGATTCGCAACATTGAGGCGCCTTTCGTGCCACAACTGAAGAGTATGACGGATACTGCGTACTTTCCAACTGAAGATCTTGAGAATGTCGACCCGAACCCGAATCCAACGCCCTCGAATCCTGGGCAGTCTGCTGGTAACGAGGGTGATGGCGGTCTTGCCTTTGTTGGCTATACATTCAAGCGCTTTGAGCGTATGGCGCACAACATTTGATGACCATTCTTTAAAGGCAATAGTAAACGTTTTGGTTCAGTGCTTGAGTGTTGCTGTCTACTCGCATTGATTGAGCACGGTCCTGCAGCTGTCTATGAGTGTGTGTCGGACCATGTCCTCCTGTGCCCCATCTGAAGTGCTCCTCGCCCGCCCCGCGGAGATTGGGGCGGCCACGCGATGAGACAAAGTCGCCGGAGCGGGAGACGCTTTGACCGAAGCTTGGACGCTTAGATGCCGCTGCTGGTAGACTGCCTACAGTGGATCATGACTGCCTTACGTAAAATAGAGAAAGGGGCATCTCGTGTACGACTTATCTGGGCAAAGCGGACCCGCCATGACTTGCGTCTGCGAGCTGACAAAGTGCATGCTACAACTGAACGCTATGTCTCGCAGGGGCCTCTGTGTATTGCTTGTCTGGTCTGCAGGTGAATGCAAGGATAGACTTGATGTATTCACTGTATCGCTGTAGACTCGCTGTAGAAGTGTTCGGAAAGCGGAATTCATCTCCATCCGCTGGCAGGTTTGACAGTGCAGATCAGAGCAAGATCTCGTCACCGGAAGACGTCGATCTGGAGATGTCCAGATCTGGGGTAGACTATAGACGATAGACTGGCAGTCAGAGCCTGTCATTGACTCATGTTAGATATGTACCTCGTAGGTCAGCGTTCTCTGGTAATGGGCAACTGTTCAAGATGGCTCCTCTTTGGATGTACTAACGACTGTCACCTCGTACATAGATTCAGGCACATATCTGGAAGAGGAGCCTTGACATCGTTTGCGTATCAAGCTACTAAACAATACATCTCTAATGAGCAGCTGCGTCCATATCGTCACAGAGTCAACGCGCAGACAATGCAGGGATGTGTTCATCCAAGAATAGCGGTCGGGTTCCTGCAGGCAAAAGATGGCTGGGATGAGCCGTCTTTGGGCAACTTCGCTGTCTTGAAGCCGTGCTTCTTTCAGCAGTCTCGGGAGCGGCAGACAAAGACCTGTCTGTCAGTCTGTTGTGTGTGACGGGCCAGCACAAGCATGCTGCGAGCTGATGGGTAGATGACGGACTGTGCCGATAAGTGAAAACATGCGGATAGGCAATTAGGCATAGTGACCCGCATCGAGAGGCCTGTTGACGGGGCTTGCTCGAGGGCAGTCAGGACACAGTAGCGAGGCATAGAAGCAGAGGCAGGCCCTGATATCGGCTGCCTCAGGTAAGCATCTGTGTGTAGTTGCCCCCCGTCCGCGTGCTCCGCCTGCTGCTGCCCCACGGGAAGGCAAAATCGACGCTGCAGCCCAACAACGACCAGCATCGACACGCTTCACCATCCCTGCAGCTCCTGAACAGCAAGGGCCCTGGTCAAGATCATCACACTCATCTTCTCTTGTAGATACAGCGTACGCGCATACCCAAAAAGAAGAAACGTAGCCAGGGACGCAGCTCCTACAGACGCGCCAACGACTCTCTGCTCATTGACGACAGCAGAGGCGCCCTTGCTCCTTTCCCTTTCGGCGCATCGCATTCAATCTTTCGCCCAGGAGCTTGCACAGAACCGCTTGTACTGTCGTTGCGCATGCCTGGATCGTTTTGAGCCGTTGATTGAAAAGCATCTATACACCATTCGCCCTTCGCCATGGCGAATATGCCGGCGCCGACACTAGAGCGGATCCTGGCTGGCCAGTCTCCGCCGCCCTTCACGCTCACAGCCTTTATGGGCTTTCTCTCACAAAATCACTGCCTCGAGACGCTAGAATTCACGCTGGACGCCTCCCGGTACCAGCAATATTACTACTCGCTCTCGCAAGTACCGCCAATACCGGGCAGTATGGAGGCGAATCGCCTTTCGACCAGCTGGGAACGACTCATTGGCGCATATGTCAGACCTGGTGCGCCGCGGGAAGTCAACTTGACGAGTCATGTACGTGATGCGCTCATGCGGATACCCAATACATATACGCCGCCAGCACCAGAGTCTCTTGACCAAGCGGTGTTCAAAATCATTGAGCTGATGCGCGAGTCTGTCTTGACGCCTTTTATTCAGCAATGTCGCATGCAGTACGGCTATACGCCGTCACCAGTATCAATGACTTTTGAAGGTGCAAACCACTATACTCATCAACAACAGCCGCAAGCGATACAGCAACAGCAGCAACAACAAGCGTATGCGCAGGAGCAGGCTTATCAAAATCACGGCTATCAGACTGATGCATCGCAACCGATGCAGATGCAAGATCAATATACGGGTCAGCAATATATACAACAAGGCAGACCGCCGTCATTGCATCAGCAACATTCACAGCAACACACAATGAACCCTGCGCAAAGTAATCGTGGCGCTTACCCGACTTCGGTACCAGGAACTGACTTCAATCCTGACAACAACATCTACTTGCGGCAGCAACAACAAGCGCAACAACAGCAAGGTGGCCAACAGATGGTTGGTGGAATGGCGCGCTCGACGCATTCCGCTTCAGATATGGAGACTGACTCAGATCCCATGACACCGCCGCTGACACCCCCTGCGGGCATGTTGCAGATTGCGCAGGCGCATAGCAATGGCAGTGGTAGCGGCAGCGGCAGTAGTCTTCAACCACCCGCGAGTCCTAGTAATGCTGGCTGGACGTCGAAAATCAAGAACCAGTTTCAGTTCAAGTCAACTAGACGCAGCAGAGAGCCCTCTACCGGTGTGCAATCTGGACAACCCAATTGATTCTTTGGTCATCACGCTAGAAGCACGTTGGGGATTTAACGTAATGAGCCCTTTGCATTCGACTTCAATAGCTTTGTTCTCTTCATTCATGTACAGTAAAGAAGACACTATGCAAAACACTTTTATCTGTGCATCCGTTAGTGCTGCAATTGCTCATCGTACACATTTCCGCCAAAATCAAGGCCCAACTCCGACATGTCCTGACTTGCACCATCATCGTCCTCGTGATGTCCCTGCGAGCCTTCCATTTGTTCTGCATTTGCTTGGCCATCCACATACCGTGCATACTCTTCCCTGCCCTCAATGCAATCCTTGCCCGTCTCGCTTTTGAAATGCCTACTCAACGCGTCCATCCGAGCAAACTTCTTGTTACAACCCGGACACGCATGCGCCTTGACACCTGAATGCAACGCTTCATGTCTCTTTCTGTCATGCTGCCGTGCAAACGCCTTGCCACACACTTCACACAAGAAGGGTCGTTCATTCGTATGCGTTCGTTGATGCGATCGCAAGTTATACGCACGCGTAAAGGCTTTGCTACAGCCTGCAACGGGACAAATGAACGTTGCTGGGTTTTTGGCTTTTGCATGAGGTGCTTGTTTGGGTGTATCGCCATTGGTTGCGTAACTGTGGACACTGCTGCCACTGGGTGAAACGGCGCGTGGGGATAAGCCATCTTCGCGTCGCTGGCCAGACCAGGAGCTTCGTCGAACATGCTTGCCACCGGGACCGCTTGATCGTGGATTGGGTGATAGTGCACGCAAGTCGGAGCCTAGCAAACCTGATGTGGCACCGACCACCGAAGCTGAGCCTGGAAACGCACCTGCTTGTTGGTAGACGGCTCGGTTTGCGTGAGCATGAGGAGACAGACTGCCACTCGACGAGCCACGATGGCCATGCACGCCCAAGTGTGATTCTCTAGAACGACCGCGTGAGCTACCGCGCGAATGATCACGGCTGCCACTGTGGGAAAACCGTTGCATGCCACTGTCACTGTGTGACCTGCCTCTCCGTGCAGCCTCTTCTACGCCAAGAAGAGTCTGTTGTTGCTGCAAATGGTGCTGACGCAGTTGTTCGAGTTGTTTTTGCTGCTGCTCCTGTAGTGCTCGTTCCAAATCACTCACATCGGAAGACCCATCATTGTGATGCTGAGAGGTGGTGATGAGTGGCATCCCCTGCATGAAATTGAAGGTCGGGGTTCCTTGCAGATCCGTCAAGCCCAGTGCAGTATGTACCGACGGCGTGGGTGGATTGAGAGAGATGCCAGGTGTATACTCGCCATATGCACTGCCAGGTTGTTCAAGCGGAATAGCAACAGGAACCGAGCCAGAAAATCCAGAATTATTAGAAAAGGCCATATGAGCCATTTGAGGGGAGGTGCCTGTACTCTGATGCGCTTGAGCTTGCTGCGGCTGGAGAAAATTGAAGGAGCGTTGCGACGTGCTAGCTTGTTGCTGCTGCTGCTGCTGTTGCTGTTGCTGCTGTTGTTGTGGAGGCGGTGGTTGATTCGCACTCGCATCAAAGTGGTCTGCATAGGGTGAAGTGGACTGCGAGTAGAGGAAGCCCATGTCGGGTCGAAAGATAGAGTTGATGGACGTGGTACGCGACAATGCAAGCATATCGAGATGCGGCGAGCCATGATCCCCAAAATCGCTACCGACGAAGCTCGCCGTGTCTGAGTAGGGAGATGGCACATCAAGGCCGTTCGCATAGGGATCTTGCAGACCAAAATGCAAGCCTGGCGTCGGGAGTTGCGCAGGCGGCTGCAACGGTGAGCCGGCGGTCTCGAAGGGAGACGCATGCCGCGAGATGCGATGACCGGCAGTAGAGATGGGCGCCAGGTCTGCGCCATCAGCGACCGTATGCAGGGTGGTCATGGTGCCGTCCTGGTTCTGTTGCGACAGGGAGAATTGCGGGACTTGTTGCTGCTGCTGTGTGAGTGATGGCGACTGCATGGCATTGTATCCTATGCTGCTTGCATCATAGCCAGAGAAGGAGCCATTGCCCTGCTGCTGCTGCTGCTGCTGCTGCTGTTGCTGCTGCTGAGTCCCGAAGGTGTGCGAGTCACTCATCAACAATGCTTGCTGAAAGGGTTCCTCGATATCTGCGAGGGCATGCGCTATCCCCGGGTCTGAGAGATCTGTATGCGCCAAGAGCGGAGACTGGTCACCCAGGCTGCGTGCGCTCGTCGGCCGTGCGCCTGCTGGGTGCAGATGAGTCACGGGCGGCTGGCTGGCTATGGATGTTGCGCTGTGGTTGCGGTCGCCTTGCTGTGTCTGGCGTGTGGGCGAGGGCCCGCTGTCGAAAAGAACGTCGGAGAGGTCGCTGATGGATCGCGTGTGTCTGTAGCTGTGAGGGAAGAGGCTGCTGCTCTCGACACTGGCGACTTGCTGCTGCTGCTCGTGGTCGCTGCTGCTGCTGCTGCTGCGTTGAGGCTTAGAGGCAGCGGCCGCCATTACGCTTACTTCAGCACCGGGACCAGGCTCTTGCTGCTGCGTGTGCACGCTTGAATACATCGTCGTCGTCGTCGTCGTCGTCGTCGTCAAGCTGCGTTGCTGGTGATGATGCAGTCCGGCTCGTGTGTGCTCCGGCGGTAGGGTGCCTCTTCCCCTGGTAGGGAGTGAGCGTCGTGCTCGTCCTTGGCCCCCTCAAAGAGACCAAAAGCAGCAGATTAAGCTGGGAGCGACCAGCAAGGCTCTGGCGCAGGGGCAGAGACGGACCTGGCTCATATGGGCCTGGACGATGATGCAGAGGGGATATTGACTACATCTGCAAAGGTACAGCATCGTGAACAGAGCACAAGACAGTGATATGCGTCTCGACTACAACCTAAAACAGATATATAGAGTCATTAAACCAAAGCAGACCATGACATAGACAAGCATGCAGCCTCAAACGACCACCAAGCGCAGCGCAGAACAGTATACAGCGAAGCAAGACACACTCAAACAGAGAAAAGTCCAAAAAGAATCAAGAAAGAAAGGAAACAGTCGTGCGAGTCGGCGAACCCCTGACAGGACAGGACACTTAGTTAAAGAGCCACTTTTGAAGCTTCTTCTCCAGGTGCTTCTTATTGACTGGCTTTGTGAGGTAGTCATCCATGCCAGCTGCCAAGCACTTTTCGCGATCGCCACTGACAGCTGAAGCCGTAAGTGCAATAACCGGGATATTACGCATATGCACATTCGGTGACTGGCGAATAAGTCTTGTCGCTTCGTAGCCATCCATCAATGGCATATGACAGTCCATCAGCACCAAGTCAAATGACGCCCGCTCATCCACAGCATCAACCGCAGCACGTCCATTCATGACCGTCACGCAACTGTATCCAAGCTTACGTAACAAGGACATGGCAATCTTGCAGTTGATTTCATTGTCCTCAGCCAGTAGGATAGTCTTGTCCTTGTAATTTTGCGTTGTTGCTGATGAATTCTGCTCAGACCGTCTCGCTGTTTGCGAACTACCAGCAGATGCACCATCTGAGCGATTCTCTTTTCGGGCATCACGATGACGATTAGTAAACGAAGAATAGGCTCGTAAGCTCATGTCTGGCAGGGCTGTAAGATCGTCGTCAGGTAACGCTTCTGTGCGAGGACTCATCATGACTTCGGAATCGCTCGACTCTGTCTCTGTTCCAGGTTGGTAGTCTGGGCCATGCTGATGAGTCGACTTGAGTGTTGTGGAAGACATGGTCGACAAGGAGCGATGGCTGAAACTTGGCCGCTGACTCATGATTGGACGCTCTGGGTTGTCAAAAGACTCATTGTGCTTGATTTGTGGCGGGTAGATGCCGTCGTCATTTTCAGAGGTGCGTCTTGAATCCGTTGCGACTGAGGCAGGCTGACGTTCATCCAGATTGAGCAGTTCATTCAACCTTGCATTGAAGTACAGCTCAGGATCAGCTCCGTTTGAACTATCAGTATTTGAAGAAGTTCTCGTAGAGTCCGTCTTGCGATGTGACGCTTGACTTGACTCTGCTGCTTGCTTCATCAACGCTTTGCTGCTGCTCTTATCAAACGGCAAGATGACCCAGAACGTGGTCCCATGGTTGATTTTGGATTCCACGCCAATTTCGCCATCCATGAGCTTCGTCAGCTGCTTGCAAATACTGAGGCCAAGGCCTGTGCCACCAAATTTGCGACCAGCATCACCCTGAGCAAAAGGGCGAAAGAGATTCGCAATGGTCTTGTCTGTCATGCCGGTTCCTGTATCGCTGACTGAGAATTTGATGCGAATTTGTGTCGGTGAGCCTCCGTCCATGCGTTCTACACTCAGCGCGACAGACCCATGTTGTGTAAATTTGATGGCATTTGACAGCAAATTTGTGAGGATTTGGCGTACACGTCCGCGGTCGCCCCACAGGTAGAATGGTCCTGGGTCAATATGCACCTTGAGGCCAAGTCCCTTCTTTGAGGTCATGAAGGAGAGCATGGTCTCGACATCTTTAATCATTTGCGTCATCTCAAACGGTTGCTTTGTGATTTGCAGCTTGCCGGCCTCAATCTTGCTAAAGTCGAGCACATCGTTGATGACTGTGAGCAGAGCATCGGCCGACGTGCGAATGCTGTTGGCGTAGTCTCTCTGTTCACGGTCAAGTTCTGTGTCGAGCAGCAAATCAACCATACCAATGACCCCTGCAATGGGCGTTCGAATCTCATGTGACGTTGTCGCCAAAAATTCTCCCTTGAGTCTGCTTCCCTCCTTTGCAGTGCTTTCGCAGCTAATGAGACGTTGGTTCTCCAATTCTGTTAGACGGAGTGACTCTGCATTATCCTTTGCTGTTGATGCCATCACGTACAAGTCATGTACATCAAAGCTGAATACTGTTCTGTTCTTGCGAAGCTTAAAGATGCTGGCCTTAACCCATCGATACGCGCCGTCGCTTCCTCGGAGCCGATGCGCATGTGCCGCGCTGGTCGTCTCATCTGCAAGTGCAATGTTGTCGAGGTCCAACTCCTTTTTGAAGTGCGGCAAGTCTTCCGGATGTATGCTGCTGAGGTAGTCGGCTTCCCTTTCCTGTGAGCCAGAGAAGCGAAGGAATGCCTTGTTGTGGAAGACGTCCAGCTCTGTATATTGCGCAACAAGCTAGTGTTAGTGACAGGTCATGCGGGAGATTGGGCTATACCATAGGCATCTTGTCGAATAGTGTCCGGTAATCTGTCGCGAGCTCTGAATGCATGACAATGACCATGAACATCGGCTCTCCATCATCGCCATCGACAAGAGAGAGTCTGTATTCGTGATTCTCTGCTTTGACAACCTCGTGAAGGGCTTCATCCGTTGTCTTGGCCTTGACTAATTGCTCAAATTGTTCCACCGATACATGGAGTCCTGTTGCCTTCCAATCTCTGCACTTGTGGCCAATAAGACGTTCTGCTGTTGCATTGGCATAGTAGATACTCAGGTCGCGCTTGAGGAGTATCGTTGGAGTCGGCACATTGCGCAGACACGCCTCGAATACGTTTGGCATGGTGCTGGCACGTATCGAGGCTGAGGCCTGTACGACGGCAGGCCGCTTTGACGCTGAGTCCCGGAGCGGCAAGACCACCTGGCGTACGAACTCGTCACCCGGTTATGGTGTCCTGAGAGGTGGACTGCGAGGCACCAGCGCAGAGGCGTGCTTGGCCTCGTTGCCTCTTCGCGACTCGGGTGCACGGAGCCAATAACGGCAGGGAAGGAAGGCCTTCTTGCTGCTTGGCCGGTCGATGTGGCGCCTGTAGCAGAGACGTAAGACAGCCACTGTGCGCTGTGGCCCTGGTCTATAGCGTTGCGCCTCTATGCTCGAGTTGCTGGTTCGTGCTGCTGCTGCTGTGTCGATGATTTCATCCAGTCGCAACCCTAACCCCAGCGCAGTCGACGTCACTCAGAACACGCGGCCACAAGAAGTCTGGACCTCTACCCGCTCTAGCCCTTCCTCATGCTTCATGTCCTGCTGCTGTTCCTGCTTCAGGTCTTCCTCTCCTCCCAGGCAGCTGAAGGTCTGAGTCGCCTGACAGCCAACCCATCATCACTGCCGAGCGAGGCGGGCTTGCACTGTCCGGTGTTGGCTTTGTCAGCTTCAGCTACGCTAGCAACACGACGTCCTGCTTCTGTATTCATTTGTCATGTGAACCATCAGAGACTTGATGAAGGTTCATGCTTGCTACCCGAACCAGGTCTAGCAAACGAAAACTATCTATCTGTTGGTTGGCTTGCCCGTACAATGGCAAGCAAGTAGTCTGGTGACGAGCAGATTGCTAGTATGTCCCCGGCCTCTTGATGAATCGCAAGAGAGTGGATCATTCATCCGACAAGCTCGAGGAGTAGTGTACATATAGCATGATTTGTTCGTGAGTCCACTCAATTAGGAGTAGGCCCGACAAACAGACTAAGGCCCCTCAGTCTCGTTTCACACTGCATCCAGCACCATGCCAGTGAACGTCTCTTGCCCATCTGCAGTCAGAATCCAGCGCTAGCGTCAGGCAGCTGTAGCCTGTAGCCTGTTGGACGCTCAACCTCACCTCTAATACTGCATGTCGCCTGGCCAATCACGATGCCGGCAGCAGATCGTGCGGATATTCACGGCGACAGAGACCAAAACAGCTCGCCCGCCCACCACAACACCAGCTACATTGCCTTGAGACGCTCCCTTTCTTCCTCATCCAAAGAGCCAGTCCACGGTGACGAACCCTGCTTTGCTCCGCTCCATATAAAACTGGCCCCTGCCCTCTTCCTGCATATTGCACTCTCGCTCTTCATCTTTGCAATGCTCGTTGCTTTGCTCCCCTTCCTCTCAAGTGGCATGGCCACGGTCGCTTTTGCTCAGCGCCCCTCGCATATGCCTGCTGCATCGCAATCTGCCCAACAAGGTCTTGAAACCATCGAGTATGGTCTCTATCCGTCGACTACGGGAGACTACCTGCGTGATGTCGTACCCGTCTCGGTGCATTCACACAATGATTACTGGCGTGATATTCCACTCATCACGGCCCTCTCCTATGGATGCTCCTCTATTGAGGCTGACGTTTGGCTTGTCAATGGCACACTCTACATCGGTCATGATGTCGCCTCTTTGAGGCCCAACCGTACATTCTCGTCCCTTTACATCAACCCGCTCGTCACCATACTTGATCAGAAGAATCCAAGCAACAGCTTCACAGCATACGCAAAGTCAAACTTCAGCTACACAGAGTCGAATGGTGTATTCGATACTTCAGCTGCTTTGTCGCTCAACTTGTTGGTGGACGTCAAAACCAACGGAGCAGAAACATGGCCCTATGTTGTTGCCGCACTCGAGCCGCTGCGCCAACGCGGCTACCTCTCTTACGTGAACGCGTCAGATACGAATGTGAATTCCCGGCAAGTGACAGTCATTGGTACTGGCAACACGCCTCTCAACTATCTCCTCGCTCGCCCAAACCGAGACTATTTCTTCGATGCACCTCTTGCTGCTCTCAATAGTACATTCAAGCCGACCCTGTCGCCTCTCGCAAGTATGTCCTTCCGCGCCAATATCGGTTGGACAGGTGTCCAGGCCATCACCAGTGCTCAGGAAACAAAGATGAAACAATATATTGACCAGGCACGCTCAATGGGCCTCAAATCGCGCATGTGGGAGAGTCCCTTGCGGCCGGTCTTTGCAAGAAACGCTGTTTGGCTGAAGCAGATTCAATTGGGCCTTGACTACTTGAATGCAGACGATCTCGAGGCTGCTTCTGGGATATAGAGAGATGACTGTGTTGTATACCTCCATCTGATATATAAGCTTTTGTATTCAACTCTGCGACCCCTTTTAGCTCGACACTCTGTACAAAGGCACCTTGCGCTTTCCTATCTCGACGGGCTCGACACCTGCGCCGTGACTTGCGGCTATGGAAGTTGCTGCTCGCGATTTGGATACTAGCGCAATAGCAGCCAACCAAACTACAGCTGCTGAGCAGCATAAAGCAGGCGATGTCCTGGCAAAAGTACTTTCCCGCACAATCTGTACAGCTTCTGACTACAATAGCATATCGATGCGCCATACCTAGTCTACGCCTTTATTGTACGTGCTAGGGCCTCAATCAGCTGGCTAACAAGCAGGCCTGCTTTCTTGGCTACATCACAGCCGTCATTGCCCTGCGCCGCCGGCCCCTGTCGCACAAGAGGTTGAAGGACAATATCTTCCTTGCTGGTGCTGCGCTCGCAGTTGCAGGCACATGCAACTTGAGTACGTTCTTCCATACTGTTCTCCGACTAACAGGCAGCTGCAAACGTCGTTGTGCATTGGTCGGTACAAGTCACTGAGCATCGCGACCGCTTCAGGTACAGTAAAAGCGCACTCTCCATCTTGGCACTCCTGATACCATTCCTTTGCATTTTTGCAGCTTTCCACATCTGCATCGGTGCAGACGCCGATCGCAGCAAAGTAAGAATGATTCTGCGCATCGCTATTGGAGGGTTCCTGGCTGGTCTTGGCCACATCTTCGTCGAGCTCATCAATCTGCAAACTGTCTCCAATGTGGATGTGAGGGTCACGCAATGTCATTACTGCTATGCGGCGTTGTTTTCCTGCTTCGGTAGCATGCTGGCCATGGCTGCCATCTTTCGTTTGCGATACCAGTGGGCTGCGCAATGGTTTTATTTACTGGCTCTGTGCTTTGCTTCAACTGTTGTGACCATCGGTGTCGAGGCCATCTTTCTGGATGGTTTAGTGATCCGATACACTGCACAAACCATGCATCAGCGTCAACAACATCATAGGTTTGCACTGGTCCAGGTCCTTCTACTGATTGTGGTCAGTCTCAACAATCGCCGATCATACTGACAATAGGCATCGTCAACGTGTGTGGCCATCATGTTGTACGTCGGCATCTCCATCATACGACGTGCACAAGCAAAGAGCAGAGCCAAGCAGGTCTCTCTTGCAGCAGTCTTCTTTGATACCCAAGGACACGTCCTTATCAACATGGTAAGAATCACCCTTCACTCAACAAGCTAACAAAAGCATGATGGAGGCTTGCCTACGCAGGAGATGACTGCCAGTTTCATGGAGTTCTCCATCGCCGATGTCTTTGATGCTTCATCGCCAGTGTTCAGATGGATGTTCAAGGCGTCGACGAACTGGCATCTTATTGCTCCCATGCTGACTCGCATGAAGATTCATTTGGCAAGCTGTTCAGACATCCAGCACAACTCATCGCGAGAGACTTTCTCCATTTACTTTCGCGAGTTGTTTTGTTGTGGTGCACAGCAACTTGCAGAGAAAATGGGCATTCCATTGCGCCATATGGGTGTGTGCTTCGATAAGATTGCGCAGACTGGTGGACGCAAGCGATCCTCATCGATGGATATCGAGCGTACAAGTGTCAATTCCCGAACAGGCCAAGTCATATTTCTTGTGCGACATGTTGAAGAGCGGGATGTTGAGCGTTTCGTGGCGAATGGCTTTCGTTTTGCCAATCCAGTCAACGTTGCAGCCAGTATTTGTGCATCGCTTTGTTTGACAAAGGATCAGGTCATTGAACATCTTCGCATCATGTCGCATTACAAGCCCCTCGTGCCACAATGGCGACCAGGCCTGCATGTCGGCTGTTTCGGTGTGCAGGCGAGTCTGGTTGGTGGTTTCAAGATTCTTGTGCCGCATGAAGATCGTACGTGCTTGCCTGTTGCTTTTGTGCAGGATCATATGCTACGCGAGGAGTGTCTCGCATTTGTCAGGAAGCACTATGGCAAATCCGTGCGCGAGGTCTTGCTGCATTGCGATTCAGATTCTGCTGCATTGGACATGGAGATCAAAGCCTTCCGATCGCGTTTGATGCATGCCCTCAACCGACTACAAGATTTGGTGAGAGACTTGGACTTTGATGATGCCTACCTCTTGCCAGAACTTATTCGTTTGGAGACCAAGAATCGAGGAACGACGCAGCTGCTTCTGTTCAAGTATGCAATCCCCATTCATGCTCTCAAACTGTGCAAGCAGCTAGAATTCATCCCGTTTGCCATGTTCAACCTCTTTCAGCAAGTACATGGTCCAGAATTGCAGACAAGCTTCATGCGAAGCTTGCACACAGAATTTACGCCCATTTTTGACTTGTTGAGTGCCGGCACCAACAATCTGAGTGTGCGTACAATGGAAAGTGGCAATCGCAGCATGACGGCACGACAAGTGTCCCGCATGTTTGAAGGTGTCATGGTTCAGGAAGCCATTGAGATGCGTATCGATACGGAAGAAAAGGACGAAGATGTCTCATTGACAGCAACATTTGCAGATGATGCACACGGTGCCCATCGAGCTGGTCTTGAAAAGCAAATCTGGGTGCTGGAGAATTACCCAGAGCTACCAGAGATAAAAGGGTCTCCTCTGGCAGCACAGCATCGTCCGTTCGGCGCACGGCCAGCGAAACAGCAGCCTCAGGTGACATCTGCAGCAGTGGCCGGTGAAGTGGAAGTCTTGACCTGGGCAGAAGTGGCTCTGCGCACACGGCCCAACATGACTGGCTTGCCGTATTAGTTGTTCTGTGTCTGTTCAAGCCCAGACTAGCATCTCCTAGCGTTCAGCTGCACAAGTATCGTAGCTTCAGTCATACTCCGTGGCGTGGTCCATTTGTCAGCTCCATCTGCAGTCCAAAGTCGACGACATCATCGCCTCTCTCACCACACAGAAACAGAGCAAAGCTGGCGCAGAGACTCGCCCACCTAACAAGAGCCTTCACCACCTCCGTACGACAAATGGCTCCCATCAAGGCAGAATACGACTACCTCGTCATTGGCGGCGGATCCGGCGGTTTGGCTTCTGCTCGACGTGCAGCCGGTTTGTATGGCGCAAAAGTGGCCATTGTCGAAGGAAGCGGCCGGCTCGGCGGTACGTGTGTCAACGTTGGTTGTGTCCCCAAGAAGGTCATGTGGAATACGGCAGACATGTCGGAGAAGCTCAAGGAGGCACGCGAGTATGGATTTGATATTTCCCGCAATGCCGACTTTGACTGGCCGTACTTGAAGCAGAAGAGGGATGCTTACATCAAGCGTCTGAATGGTATCTACGAGAAGAACCTCAACAACGACAAGGTTGAATGGATCTCCGGCTATGCTTCGTTCACCGCGCCCAACGAAGTCGAGGTGAAGATGCACGACGGCAGCGGCACCAACACTTACAGAGCCAAGAAGATTCTGATTGCTGTAGGAGGAGCACCAGCCAAACCCGAGGGAATTGAAGGTGCCGAGCTCGGTATTGACTCGGATGGCTTCTTTGACATTGAAAAGCAGCCAAAAAAGGTACTCATTGTCGGTGCCGGCTACATTGCTGTCGAGTTTGCCGGTATATTCAACGCGCTGGGCACAGAGACACACATGTTTATCCGTCACGACAAGTTCCTGCGGCCATTTGACCCAATGGTGCAAGACACCATCATGGAGACGTACGAGAAGGATGGCATCCACATTCACCGCAAGACCTCTGCCACAAAGCTTGAAAAGACTGGGGAAGGTATCAAAGTGTCGTACAAATCTTCAGAGGGCGAAAAGTCAGACACATTTGATACTGTCATCTGGGCTATTGGACGCAAGCCAGAGACTGACCGCCTCAATTTACGAAATGCAGGTGTAGAAACGGCAGAGTCGAAGCACGTCAAGGCGGATGAGTATCAAAACACCAACGTAGAGAACATCTATTCGCTTGGTGATGTTGTCGGCAAGGTGGAGCTCACACCTGTTGCCATTGCTGCTGGCCGAAAGCTTGCTGACCGTTTGTTTGGCGGCAAGAAGGACGCTAAGCTCGACTACAACACTATCCCGTCTGTCATCTTTGCGCATCCCGAGGTGGGCAACATCGGCTTGACGGAGCCCGAAGCAGAGAAGAAGTATGGCAAGGAGAACCTCAAGGTCTACACATCTTCCTTCACAGCGATGTACTATGCGATGCTCGAGCACAAGGCGCCTACCAAGTACAAGCTCATCTGCCAGGGCAAGGACGAGAAGGTGGTTGGCTTGCACATCATTGGCACCGGCTCGAGCGAGATCCTGCAGGGCTTCGGCGTTGCCATCAAGATGGGCGCAACCAAGGCCGACCTTGACAGCTGTGTGGCTATCCACCCGACATCTGCGGAAGAGCTGGTTACGCTGAAGTAGCGCGTAGAACAAGACTATAGACACTATGCTGAGTACCGAAGGCCTACTGATAGGCTACTATATCTTGTGCTCATCGAAAAGCAGAAAACCAAATTTGAGCTTCAACCACCACGGCCAACAACCACAGACTCCTGTAGCAGCGTCGCAAGAGGCAGGCAGGCAGTCAGGGCAGACAGAGAAGGCGGCAATCAGAGCGCAAACAACAGAGATCATGACGGAGAGCCTGCGGTAGCACAACAGACTCTCAGACACGCTCAATCTCACTCCAAAATCGGGCCCCACACGCGTAGTCATAAGGGCCATCCAGTATGAGTGAGCCTGCACCGGCGTGGCAGCAATCCATGGCATCGCTGAGTCCCGATGAGCTGCTTGCATCCATGATTCAAGATGCAGACGCGCAAGAAGCCGAGCTCGCGACCGAGTTCCCCGGACTCGTCCCACAGCAAGGACGGCAGCCAGCGACATCAGCAACTGGGCCAACACTCGGAAACCTGCCTCTAGGCAGTACGAGCTCCATCTTTGCCGATGACGACGAGTATTCGTCCTGGTCAAGCAACGCTGTCCACGACTGGCGCACCAATACTGTTGCGGAGATGCCCACGCTCTCACAGCCAGATCCCATGGTTGTGTCGCCAGAAGGGCTCTCCAACGCACCGCAAGACAGGAGACATACACATCCGTTCCTCATGTTTGACCCTTCGAATGTGACGCGCATCGCAACGCCGCTCAACGAGGAGGAAGAGACGCCGAACTTGAGCTACCACAGTCTACAGCCAGATCGACCGCTCTATCACAAGAGTCGCAGCGAGAGCGAGTTCTCTGCGCACTCGGCTGCATCTACCCACGAGACCGGGCCAGAGTCGCTGCATGCGATGTATCAGGGCAGTCATTATGAAGATGAGAATTTTCGCATGCCTGTCTCTCCTCGCCAGTCGCCTGAACATCACTCGCATGATCATACGTTTAGCCCTGCCGAATTGTTCCTTCTCGGCATCAGCGGTCGTGAGTCTGTCTTTGCATCTGGTGCATCAACGCCATCGATTGCAACAACCGGTACTGGCACTACAACCCCTGCACGTGTTCCCAACAGCGCTTCGCCCGTTCCTGGTCATCATGGCGGCCATCAACCAAGCAAGTTTGGACACATGGTCATCACTGCTCAGGGTAAACGGGTTCATCAATGTTACCATTGCGACAAGCAATTTACAACAAGTGGTCATTTAGCAAGGCACTGTCGCATACACACTGGTGAACGCAAATTCACTTGCCCAGTCGAGAGCTGTGGTGCACCTTTCTCAAGAAGAGATAACTGCACAACGCACCTCAAAAAGCACTTTGTCACTAAGAACATGACTTCCTATGATTTGGACGTGGCAACAGCCAATTTGCTAGTGCACTATCAAAATCTCCTCAAGGAGCAACATATGGACTCGCAAGACACGCATCTCTCGCGAGACGAGCCTGTACGACCTGGGCTAGAGCGCAATACAAGTTCAGGCACCTCTGGTAAGGCTGACTCTGCGAGTCTTTCGCCTGCTTTGCAACCGCAGCACGAACCCATCGGCTCAGACCGCCTTGTACGGCGTCGTGCAAGTCTACACAGTCCACTGATTCGTAGTGCACGCTCCAACTCATCCAGATCGACGGATGATTTGCTTCTTGGCTTACAACGTCATAATCATCATGCACACACGCTCTCTGCGCATCATCATGCGCATGTCGCTGCATCATCACCTGCATCCTCAGCGAGTCCCGGTGGTCCGCATTTACCGCATCATCATCAACAAGCACATCCAAAAGCAGCCCACGTTCAAGCTGGTGGCGTACGGAAACCACTTGTTGCTGAGCGTGGGAGTGGTGTGCGCTCTAGATCGTTGTCTCGAGCGAATTCACGAACAGGTTGGTCGGCCGTGTCGACGCCTGCGAAGGAGGAAGAGTTGAGCTCCATCATGATGCAACCACCTGAAGCAGAAGCCGTGATGATTTCCACAATCGAGGCTGTGGAGGATATTGTATCTGCCAAGGGACTCCAGGTACCGAGCGATACGAGCGACTTTGATGCCTTCTTTGCACATTCCTCAATGGCAGGGGAATCGCCATCAGCTGGCTTGATGGAGAGTGGCGCGTCATTTGCTGACTTCGTGCTCATGGAAGACCAACCCGTACCACGAGCGTGAAGTATCCTGAATTCTTGCACATAGTCTTTCAAATAGATACAAAGTCGTTTTGGTAAAAAAGTGTATTGACTAAACTCGATGAGGATGCAGCCTGCTACAAAACAAAAAGACCTGAGAAACCTGTATGCAAAAGGTAGCAACCTTTCCTTTGGATGCTCCGTGCGCTCGCTGTAACAGAAAAAGAGATTGAAGGTAGAAAGAAAACAGACATTTTTTGTAATGGTCGTCATCTCCCCTTGAGATTGATGGTACAAGACACCACTAGCTTGGGTTATCGTCCAGACTAGAGTGCGAGTTGTTGAATGGCCCGCTCACCATGCAAGTTGAGGTAGAAGGAGCCATGCACGCGCCAGTGGAACACGGCCACAGCAGACATGCGAGATGCAATGCCCTCCACTTCGGTACGGCAGGCTTGCCAAGTTTGCCAAGACAGCTGACACGGTGAATGCACACCATTCTTGATCTGGCTCGTCAATGCATGCGTCACAAGGCTAGAGAAGAGAAGTGATAAGCGCGAGGCGAGCATGAGGCGAATCGCAGACTCCGGTGCAAGTTGTTTCATCAACCAAGTCTCGGCAAATGTCAAGGTCGAGTCTCTTGGCAATGCCATAGCAACGCATGCATCAGCACGACGCGCAAGGTACATCGCAAGAGATGGAATTGCCGCTTGCCAGCGCGATACACCCAGTGCAACCCGTTCAGCAGCCACTAACGCCCATAGATCCTGCTTGAGCGCCGGCATTGCAGAGTCGGGCAATTTGAGCATTTGCTTTGCCAGCAACACGACAATCATGAGGTCTGTGACTTCTGCTGCATCTTTGCCCATTGCTTGCAAGCGACCGTGGTCGAATGTGAAGGTGGGAATGACGTCTGCCTTGATCACGGCACGCTGTGTCATGGCCACAAATCCAGTCGCAAAATTCGCGCGAGGATCCAATTTCGTGTCGGTGTGAATAGAGGAGAACCACTGTAGTGCGTCGTCTTGCTTGAGGGAGCCAGAGTAGAACTTGCGCTTGAACCACATTTGCTCAAATTCAACAGCCGTGTCGAGGAGGTAGCCACGTAGTGTGCGGAGCTGGTGGTTTGCAATATCGAGCTTCATGACTTCGAGGACATCAAAGGTGCATCGCAGTGCATTGACAAATTCCGTGGAGGTGCTAGAGACGGCAAGCTTTGCACTGATACCATCGACAGCATCATCCCGCATAGGCGCACAGTGTTTCTTCATGATGCACGAGAGACTCCTTGCAAATGCAGCTGCGCTGAATGTGCCGAGTGACAAGCCGCGCAAAACGAGATCCGTATCAAAGATGGACGCGACTTGCTCCTTGTCTTCTTGTGGAACAAGCGATAGCAGGATATTGCGGACCTCACGCAGCATGAGCGCTACACGTGTTTGCGATAGCTTTTCCCGTGGAAAGCGGTCAAACTTCTCAAGCTCTTTTGCGATGGACCGCCAATATCTGTCTGAATCATGACGCTTCTTGGCACCACGCTCACCATCCGTATTGGGACGAAATTGCAAGTTTGGGTCATGCACAATGTCATGTCGTAGTTGTGCATTCTTGAGAATCTCATCAAGTTCCAACTCACGCAAGGTTTGTTGAGAGATGGGAGGGTGGTGTGAGACTTTATCGCGTGAACGCTTGCTGGAGCGCGACGCAGGCTCACTCGATGCGCGGAGAAGATGACGTAGTGCGAGGGTGCGATGGTTGGATGGCAAGAGTGGCTCAGAGAGAGCACGTACACGCTGTCCCGGTATACGCTTGATGACGGGACGTAAAGTCATGCCGAGATTGCAGAGAGGAGGCAGTGTAGCAAAAGCGTTGAGTTCGGCAATGACACGCGTCAGCTTGGGTGGTATGGCAGCAGCAGTAGCTGCAGCATGTTCACCTGCGACTGAAGCATCTGGATGTCGCTGTTGCTCGTCACATGCTGGCTTGTTTTGCTCAGGATGATGCTGCTGGGAAGACTCTCTGCGCATACGTTTCATGTGACCATCTTGCTGCAGGACATGATCAAAGTAAGCAGAGGAGCGCTTTCCTGGTGAGGGGCAATTGGCTGTCTCATAGGTACACTCTCCAACGAGAGCAGGACTCGCTGCGCGTGAACTACTGCCAGTATAGTGTTCTGCTGTAGGCTGCGGTGGTGTCTGTGTACTTGCTGCATGTAGAGAGCGCGCAGTACAGGTACTCTCCTTCTTCACAACCGTCAAACGAGACAGTGCTGCTGCTGTTGCGTCGTAGTCGTGTAGGGGTACATTGACAGGCTTTTGGTCGAAGGTACTGCTGTGTTGATCGTCGCGTTCGCTCTGCTGCTGCTCAATGGTCGATGCACGTCGGTCCATGGCTGCGCTTGTGTGTAGGTTGAGTGGATTGTAGCGCGTTGACTCTTTGAAGGAAGATGAGCGTTGTCGATAGATGAGCACTCTCTCTGACCGATGCAGTTGTTGTAGGTAGAGACACTGGCTGTCCCTGGTCTATCTATCGCACTTGCTTGCTTTGTCTCTTCGTTTGTCTGGCAAAGAGAGAGGGCGGGTGGCCTAGAGGGTGTACTTGGTTGCTGCGACAGACAAGCTGACTGACTCTGTGTGTGCGTAGAATAGTGATGGAAGACCTTTGTCGCTAGATGTCGATACCCAGGTATCAACTGAGAGAGAAACCGTGCTCTTGAGTTGTCGATGTAGCTCCTGTGGGTGTATGCTTGCTTGCTTGAGCACGTCGCGACAAATAGAAAAGGGTACGAAGCTTTGCGAGAGGAAGAAGCAGAAGGACAGACAAGCAGGAGAGAACGAGAGAGAGACAAGAAAGCCCAGATAGAAGCAGCAGATGGACACGCGACGCCGGGTCGATGGAGGGAAGGGGAGATGGGAGGGTGTGTGCGGCCTGTGTGCGTTATGTATCGGATGGCGGAGGAGGAGGCCTGGGTGACTTAAACAAAGTCAAGTGGGCAGGGCCGCCTGCAGTCGCAGTATGAGCAGCAGAGGACATGCTGAGACCTGTGTGCGTGAGCTGCTGTGCTTGCCTGGTGTGTGTGGGTGTGTCTCTGTGTGTGCTGCTCTTACATTTTCTGCTCTCCAGCCGCCTGCCCGCCGCCGCCGCCTTGTTCTTTGTGTGTCAAGAGCCAGGTCACCAGGCCGTGATGCAGTGTTCCAGAGACAGCAGGGCTCTGTCTGATTGTCTCTCTCCCTCGTCGTCCCTTAGTCTGTCGCCGTCTGTGTCATTTACTCCGAGACCAGCCACGACCAGAGATCCACTTTTATGACCTCCAGGCGCCCTTAATTGGGGCCCAGCAACCCGGACATGCAAGAGACCATACAGCCAGGGTTTTGCTCAAGTGCGCCAGTCTTAGGCTGACCTACTGTGCACATAGACTGGCTTGCGAGCACAGGCCTGACGCCCAGAGACACGTTTGAGACATACTAGAAACATTTCGCTCGAAGCAGCCATATGGACCTGACTCGCAGGCCAGGCAGGCCCAAGCTACACTGAAACAGGACTAGTACTGCTCACTACTAATTGTGCGAGTGTACTCCCGCTCTATACCTCATCTAGTAACCGTCGATCTCGCAAGTTGGCCATAGATCTCATCTTCCAATGCTTCCTTCGTGCCTGCAGGCTGCTGTCCTTGGACCTTCATGTCGTCGCCCTTTAAGAGTCGTGCTGCCCAAAATGCAAAATACTTCCTGGCCCTCAATTTAATACCTGTCCACTCTTCAGGCACAACGCACGAGCTCGCTTGGCGATAGATCTGCTATGAGATCTAGCACTCTTGTCGGCAAATGAATAGTACACAGCTAGGTCACAGACCATCGTTCGATGGATCGTCACAGTCGAGAACATTCATACCTTGTCTGTGCTCGTGTCGACACCAACGTTGCGTATACAGATGCCACCCCGATCGCTAAAGATTAAGGCATGCATGTAATTTTCTCCGGTACAGGTCAAAAGGCAGGCCTATACTGTGTGAATCAGTGTGATATGTACCAAAGTCTTGTACTGGATATCATGGATCGTGAAACGATGCCGGATGGAACAAGGGATTACGTTAGCAACTTAGCATAGTATCCCGTCATAGTCGTCGCTCTTGCATGCACCCTGACCACCAGGGCCAAAGTGCAAGTGAACGAACCTTAAGCTTAAAGGCTTAAAACACACAAAAACGGTCATCATGACATCCTCGTTCATGGTCCCAAGAAAAGAGCATCCGCCAAGGGCACAAGAGAATAGCCAGAACACCCAACTTGTTCGATCGACCCCCTTACTTCTGCAAGACCATTATATTGAGAGGATGTCGTGCCACGAACAATAGCCAGGGCCATGGTTTCAAGCTCAAACATCGTGTCTGAGCAACGACTTGCTTTGTCAAACTGGTAGCGTGCGTGGCAAACTTCGGGGGCTCGAGCGAGAGATATGCACAGAGTCCTGCGTGATCAAGGCTAACCAGAAGAGTCATGGTGCTCACTGACCGTTGTCTGACACATCCGTGCACCGTGGTTAGCAAATTCCGGCAGTGTCAGTGTGTCGGTGTCAAGTGCGTCAACCGAAAGAAGCCAGACTCTGTACCACAGTATTAGTACCGTCATCACGCTCAGCTGAACGGAAATGGCGTCATGAGTCATGAACTGCCCCAGATTGCGGATAGTGGTAGTCAGTAGCTGTACCAAAGAAGCAGAACTCGGCTGTGGCGCCGAGCAAGGTGAGACAAATTGTGAAATCTTCCCTGACAGGACTTGACCACTTAAGCTTGGGTCTCGCTGGAAACACTGTAGAACCACATCATTGTAAACTCGACTTTGGCAGATGTCACGATCCTCAGGAATGATTAAATTCAATGCCTGACACCATCTTTAGCACCTCGGAGACTCGGAGTATAAGGAATATGATTTGACATGTGGGCCTCATGCCGGCGAAAGCAGACAGTCGATCCGCCAGCATCAGTATGGGCTTCAGGGACAACGGGCCGTCATCACTTCTATACTCAGCAGAGTCAGCACTGTTAGCAGTGTGTTTCAGCTGCTGGCTTGCGAGCGTTTCAGGCAGTACTCCGCCCAAGACATACCAGACGGCCTGTCTGAGAACGGCGTCGTGCAAGCTGGACAGCACATGTACAACGACTGCCATAGTCCATGACTGTGGCAAAGCAGACTGCCAAGGTATAGTCCAAGGAAGATCGCGCTCATTCCGGCGCGCGTCTCGACCTGTTAAGACTAATGCATTTGCACCGGGACCTTTTTTTTCGTGAAAACGCCTGGGCTGCTGGGCATAGAATTACTTGGACGGTGGCCGCAAGCAGCCATAACTTCCATAAGAAGCCGAAAATAGATCCAGCGGGTACGTGCGAGACACTGTAATTCTTGGCCCTCGTATTGTGTGTATAGAGTACGTGTGCCCTTAATAGGATTGTATACACCGTCACGAGCAAAGTAGACAACTATCTGCCGCTGAGTCTCAGAGCTTGGTCCGGCACTTGATGCAAGCTGAGCAGGTCGAGCCTTGTAGCGAGCTCAGAGTGCGAGCATGAACGGCGAAGCAAGCAAGAGCCGAGTATATAGAAGCACATTGTGGGCCAGAAGTGCAATGCCAACACAACATGAGTGACAGAGTCTGAGGATGTAGCAACGAACAGCACAACAGAAAAAGCAAAACACCCAACTGCAACACGCCAATCGCCACAGCTTGAACCAGTGCTCTCTACACGCATCTGCCGCAGCTCAGGCAATAGCTGCAAAGCTCAATACTGCACATGTCACTCTTGAAGCGGAAGCAAACAAAGCTTCTCACTTGCTACTACTGTAATCAGCAAACGGGTCGTGCATCGTCGGCCGCTCGCATCGAAGCATGGACGTGCCCACTCTGTGAAGCCCTGAATGTACTCGACTCCCAGGGCAATATCGCCGATACGATACCGGAAAAGTATCAGCGGCACACGACACGGCCTCTTGCTCATCGGCCAAAGCAAGCGCCTGATTTACAGTCGCCATTCTGCGCAACTTGCAGCAGCAATCAGGCACTATTGACCAAGACTCTTGCGTCTTACTTGCCGGATGAGTCAGATAAAGACTATGCACTTTATGAGTCTGCCTTGCCAGCATACAAGGCATCGCTTGAAGAACGCTTTCCACCCTTTTGCGCAAGCTGTGCACCTGCCCTACAAGCCCGTCTGGAACGCAACAACTATGTAGCCAAGTCGATTGCATTGGGTGGATGGCTCAGTGGTAGAATAGACCAGCAGAGCCATGTGTCCTGGCTCGGTCATGCAACTTGGCTCGTGCGTGGGATTTGCTTCTGGACCGTCCATGCTGCTGTTTTGATCTGGTGTCTATGTGAAGCAGTGTCACGGCCAATACAGTCTGATCTCTCGTGGCCCATGATCATGGTGTGCTTATGTCTGGGAGCGTTTTGGAATCCACAAGCAATCGCTCATCAGCAATTCCCTCGTCTCAAAGTACACGGCAAATCAGAATACCTGCAACTCCAACTCTCCATGTTTGTTCTTCGTTTTGCGGCTTTTATCATTCTGCCGAGACTAGCAGTCGTGAGTCCATTACGGACACGATTTGGTATGCTGGGAGTGGTTCTTTCGCTGCTTCATGCATGGTTGTCCACACAGCTCGTATGGCTGGAACGACCCACAGTGGCTCGACTGACAGACACGTCCACGAAGCTACGAGATATGCTGCCTGCTGAACCAGACTTTGACTTGGCAGCACCGATTCGAGAGAGTCCGTTTCAAGTCCCTGTTGCGCGCCATCAATCTAGCAAAGAATATATTGAGGTCGCAGCAGACGACGATGAGGAGGAGGATTCGATGGATTGGCAACCTTCGCCGCCTGCATCTCGTGCGAGTCCATTTGCATCTACGTTTGCGCCTGCAAGTGAGGCTCATTCCGTTTTTGGCACTTCAGCATTCACTCGACGTCTTCCTACGGAAACATCAGAGAAGTCAAGGGATACAACGCTGCTTGCACCACAACGGTTGTTTGCACCAGAACAGCCGACCGGTCTGGAGTCCCTATTCCATGCAGCTGTGCGACTTGAAGATGAGCCGTTGCTTGTACGGAGTTTGAGGCAAGTCCGGCGGTCTCCTCTGCCGTTGCTGATGGTGGTCACGTCATTGGCTGCCTTAGGTGGGAGTGTGTGCTTGGTTCTACGGTGGTATATGCGGTGTCTGCTGCTGTATGGTGTGAGTGGGCTTGGCCTGGTGCATCGCGCTCGGTGTCAAATGGAGCCTGATGATGGCGGAAGAAGGGGAAGAACACGGAGGACGACGATGACATGGCATAAATAGTCAGTACTGACTGCTGACTACAAGTGATGAGACCATGACAGGCACAAGTAATTACCTACTAAATCCCCCTCGCGTCTCAAATTCTCCTCGAACGCGAAATTCAGAAATTAGAAATCAGTCAAGAGCAGCAGCAACTTCCTCTTCTACCCACCACCACCCTCCATCCACCCATCCTACATCCTACCTCACCATCATGTTTGTCCTGTATGTCCATCCTCCCTCACAAAGCACTTTCTAACACCCAGCAAACGCGATGGCAGACGTGAGCGCGTCCAGTTCGACAAAATCACATCACGCGTCCAGCGTCTCTGCTACGGCCTCGATGCAGAGCACGTCTACGCAGAGCAAATCACCCAAAAAGTACCTCATCCACGCGTCTTGCATCGATTACTAACGCGTCACAGGTCATTTCGGGTGTCTACAAGGGCGTCACAACCATTGAGCTCGACAATCTCGCCGCAGAGACCGCCGCGTACATGACCACGCACCACCCAGACTACGCTATCCTTGCTGCGCGTATTGCTGTATCCAACCTGCACAAGCAGACAAAAAAGAGCTTCTCGGCAGTGGTCCACGACCTCTACACCTACATCAACCCTAAGAATGACAAGCCCAGTCCCATGATCAGTGACCATGTCTACAAGACTGTCATGGCGCACAAGGACGAGCTCGACAGTGCCATCATCTACGATCGCGATTTCGCGTACCAGTACTTTGGCTTCAAGACGCTCGAGCGTTCTTATTTGTTGCGTATCGATGGTGCTGTTGCAGAGAGACCGCAGCACATGATCATGCGTGTCGCTGTTGGCATTCATGGTGATGACATTGAAAAGGCCATTGAGACATACAACCTCATGTCTTCCAAGCACTTCACACACGCATCGCCTACCCTCTTCAACGCCGGTACGCCCAACCCACAACTCTCGTCTTGCTTCCTTGTCACAATGAAGGATGACTCGATCGATGGCATCTACGACACACTCAAAACGTGTGCCATGATCTCTAAGACAGCCGGTGGCATTGGTCTCAATGTCCACTGCATCCGTGCAACAGGCAGTTACATTGCCGGTACAAATGGTACATCCAACGGCATCATCCCCATGCTGCGTGTCTTCAACAACACTGCCAGGTATGTCGACCAAGGTGGCAACAAGCGTCCAGGTGCCTTTGCTATTTACATTGAGCCATGGCACGCAGACATCTTTGGCTTCCTTGACTTGCGCAAGAACCACGGCAAGGAAGAGGTCCGCGCACGCGACTTGTTCTATGCTCTCTGGATCCCTGATCTCTTCATGAAGCGTGTGGAGGAGAATGGCGAGTGGTCGCTCATGTGCCCCAACGAATGTCCTGGTATGCACGAGGTGTATGGCGATGAATTTGAAGCCTTGTACACCAAGTACGAGAAGGCCGGCAAGGTCATGAAGACCATCAAGGCACAGAAGCTGTGGTACGCTATTCTCGAGGCGCAAACTGAGACGGGCAATCCCTTCATGCTGTACAAGGACGCCTGCAACCGCAAGTCGAACCAGAAGAACCTCGGTACCATCAAGTGCAGCAACTTGTGTACCGAGATTGTCGAGTACTCGGCACCCGATGAGGTGGCTGTCTGCAATCTCGCCTCCATTGCCTTGCCCACCTTCATCGACATGCGCGCAGAAACACCCGTCTACGACTTCAAGAAGCTCCACGATGTCGCCAAGGTTGTTGCTCGCAACTTGAACAAGATCATCGACGTCAACTACTACCCAGTCATTGAAGCTGAGCGTTCCAACAAGCGTCACCGACCCATCGGTCTTGGTGTGCAAGGTCTCGCCGATGCCTTCTTGGCACTTAAGCTGCCATTCGACTCGCCCGAGGCCAAGGAGCTGAACATCCAAATCTTTGAGACCATCTACCACGGTGCTCTTGAAGCCTCGTGTGAGCTGGCACAAGAAGAGGGTCCATACTCTACCTACGAGGGCTCACCTGCCTCTCAGGGACTTTTGCAGTATGACTTGTGGAATGTCACACCCACCAAGCTCTGGGACTGGGCGACGCTCAAAGAGCAGATTGCAAAGCATGGTATCCGCAACTCCCTGTTGTGTGCACCGATGCCCACTGCGTCCACGTCACAGATTCTGGGTTTCAATGAATGCTTTGAGCCCTACACGAGCAACATTTACTCGCGTCGTGTCCTTGCCGGTGAGTTCCAGGTGGTGAACCCTTGGTTGCTCAAGGATCTCGTTGAGATGGGACTCTGGTCAGAGAATATGAAGAATCGCATCATTGCCGATGGTGGCTCTGTGCAAAACATCCCAAACATCCCTGCAGAGACGAAAGCCCTCTACAAGACTGTATGGGAGCTCTCTCAAAAAGTGGTGATCGATATGGCTGCTGACCGTGGTGCCTTTATTGATCAGTCGCAATCCCTCAACTTGCATCTCAAGGCGCCGACATTCGGTAAAATTACATCGATGCACTTTTATGGTTGGAAGAAGGGACTCAAGACGGGCATGTACTACCTGCGTACCATGGCTGCCTCAGCACCCATTCAATTCACTGTTGACAAGGAACAACTCGCCGTTGCCGATACGGCTGTTGCGAAACGTCGCGTGACACGCAAGTATGCCGCTCAAGAACAAGCCATGCCAGCAACTTTGCAAGCTGCCATGCCAGACTCACCGGAACTCGATACAAAAGAAACCGAAATGGTTGCTTCTAGCAGTGAAGATGAACCAGACACACCGGCAGTTGCAAGCACCCAAGCAACACCTGTCAAAGCTGCTCGTGTGCCTGTGGATCATGATGCAAAGAAAGCAGGCATGACGGAGGAAGAAGCCAATATCTACGATGACAAGGTTCTCACTTGCTCCATTGAGAACCGGGATGAGTGCGTCATGTGCGGCTCATAGACTTGCCGGAGTCTGCCATCTTGTCCTTTCATTGGAATTTTCTCTTGTACATTTAGAAGTGTGTTTATCGTCGTAGCAGAGCTATTCATCTTGTTTTGTGCCTCGTGTGTTGACTCCTATAAGCAGCCCTACAGAGTCAAGCTTGAATCTGAAGGGGCGATACCATCATCTTCAGATGACACAGAAAGCAAATTCATCACTGCATGGAAGCAGGAGTCAACGGATGTCACGAGCAAGGTACAGGCGACTTTCACAATTTGAGTCAGCAATTGGGAAGACTGGATGGTTCTGAAAAGTAACGAAGGATACTGGGAGACACACTATCTGTCGTACAAAAGGGTTCGGCTAAAGGTTTGAAAACTGCATCGTGCTGCGTCCTGCGACAGCGCAGTGACCACAAAAAGTGCATCCTGAACGTTTACGGGTGATTTCCATTAGATTGAAAGTCAAACCTCAGGTGAACGATTTATGGCGGGGTGGGATGTTGAATGATAAACCCAGTCGATTCATAGTGAGTGAAGTTCTTGGTGTCGATTCCCGAGCTTGTGTGCAAGATTTCTGGGAGCTGGTAATTGATGACGAATGGAGGATAAACGACATGGTCGGCCGACTTGATTGATACACCTTCGAAGGTGAAGTCCCGACATCCACTGTTTGCACGTTTCCCGTCGCTGCACAGAACCATGATTGAATTGGTCGGCCCTGATGCTGTTAGCAAAGTTTAAATTCCAGTAACACGTACATTGAGGATCGCGATTCTTGACAGTGGCCTTGAAGTTCTTGAAGTGAATGTGTTCAACGAGCACGCCCGTGTCAGGCATGTGGTCTGGCATCGGATCGAGATAGTCCTGACGGATGGCAATAGAAGTAAAGTTTGCTTCGTGCACAAGTATGTCTTCGAAAGTCACATTAGACCTGTGATTAGATTTGTCTCGGTCAAAGGTAGCGATTGCTTACACAAGTCCGAGCTCAAACTTTTTGGCTTTGATACGTGCACCGTGTTCAGGTCCAACCAATTCAATATTTTTGAAAACAACATTTTTAGCGACGTCGCCTAACGATACACTGCCAATAGAGAGTCCGTGCGAGTAGTAAATGGTCAGACACTCGAAGAGAGCCCCGTTAGTGCGCTTCAATGCGATAGCATCGTCGCCACTTTGGATAAAAGAGTTGCGAAGTCTGTCCATTAGCTTCAGTCTGACAAGACATCAAGAGCCTTACACGAAGTTGTCAACAGCAAGTTGAAACCCATCCGAATTACGAGACAGGGCCGGATACCCAAACTTGCTGGCGATAATCACATTACAATTCTCCATCTCGACATTCTTGCCAGAGATGTGCCAATTTGGAGCATTGGCCTGTATGACGTTGATACCATTCACCTTCAGCCCATCAACATCTGCAATGTCGATGGCTCTCCAGGATGACGGATTCTGGACGCCAGTGAAGTAAGCTTCGCCTCGCATATTGATGAGGCATCCTCCAGGGCCAGCTCCAGCAAAAATTGAATCTTTCCCGGCAGAATAATCAATGAATTTGGGTTTAATATTCGTAGAGTTGACATCCGGTGCGACAATTGTTCCCCGACAGCCCAAGAAAGACTTTTCAGCCATGACGAAATTCATAGGGCCCTTTGCGTCAAGATTGTCTAGGATGATGCATTTCTTTGGTTCGATTCCCTTTGTGCACCTGTCGTAGTCCGCCCACTCCTTAATGATGCAGCAATCTTTGTTTTCATCATATGGAGTAAAGTCGATGTAGGGAGATGGCTTGCAGTCTGGGGCATTGCTTGGGGGAAAGAACCACTCGTGATCACATTTGATGCAACGAGAGGAGTCATAAGAGTTGTAGCCATAACCAGTTCCAGTGGCAGGTGGGATCACATTTGTAGGCTGAGCGGCTGCATGCAACGTAGGGCGAGCCTTACAGCCTTTGGGGCAGTCAACACCGCGATGTTCATACTGGATGCCAAGACCTGTCCTGAATGGCTTGTCCATTTTCGCCGTTTTGCCATGGCGATGAATCGTTCTATTGTGTGAGTCCTTGATTGATGTATTGTCATGACATACGGTGGACCGTGGACGTTTAGGCTATCAACTCGGGAGACGGTAGACGCCAGCAGAGCAAAGCCCACAAGGAAAGGCTGGAAAATTGTAAGCAGTGTCATCTTATTGCCTTTCGATAGCCTTGTGCGCAACATCAGAACGTTTTATATTCGCTCTTCAAGTATCTGGGGCCCGTTTACCATCTTTGTTTGGCCTCGCCTTGCAAGCTCGCAACCATACAAGTCGATCTACTCCAAACTCAGCTTAGCGTGAAAGATATCACAGGGTCCTTGCTGGTACAGCTTGTGATAGACGTGTTGAACGAGTTGGACGTGTTGGACGTAATGGGATCAGCAGTATCGTCGACCTCGCAAATCTGCGGATGGGCAGATGGACACTGCGATTGCATAAGAATCGAGGCAAATAGACTCTGCTTCTGGAGTCCCGAGTAGTTCGTACTTCGTACCGCCGAATTCTGCGAAATCAATGCGCAAACAAACAAGAATTTGTCTTTGATGAGACCCTGCGTATCTGTCGTCTCTGCGATTGTATGCCTAAGCCACGATCGCTACCCCGACAAGTGGATTCTCTAGGGCCATATACTTGTCACGTCAGTGGTCATGCATTGAGCGAGCGCGGCGGTTTGGACAGTAAAAGACTCTGTGGCATAAGAGTTCAAGCGACTGTGCTATTATACAGCAGTTCTTCGTTGTAGCGTTGTAGCGGCAGGGCGCCCAGAGGCGGGACTCTCTACCCTCCTGAGCGGTAGCAAAGCTTTGGCTACTGCCCAGAAGCAAACTATCACATTGGTGAACTGAGCTGGCCGCGTATTGCTGTCGAGTCGATGTCGTTGTCGTCTACATTTCAAAGTTGCGTAGTTCTAGTTTTACGCGTCCGCGAGCCGGAGGCCAAATTAACATCTCGCTTCAAGACCTCACACATCACAGTGATCACACCATGTCCGAGTCGAAGCAGCTCAAACGGGGACCATGATGATCTTTTTCTATGCTCAATCCTACTTCTCTTTGCACAAATGCTGACAGCTATGCTGCGTGCGCATCAAATATGTGTCACAAACACAACAATAGTGATGAACAACGTGTCAACGATGCAGGCATCGGGGTCTGGCCAGGTCTAAGGCATACAAAGGCAGTACACCTCCCGCTTTGTTATCAGAACAAATTACATCAACATTCATGCCTCTTGGGCAAGGGCGCTTTGCCAAGCCAGCAGGCATAGCGCGAATATGGTTTGCAATTTACGCTCTGCTGGTATTGGCCGCGTATTTTGGATCTACGCTGGCCCTCCTACCTGCTGTATCAAAGGATCTTGGCTTCGACTTGGCTGACACCATATTTCTCTTCGCCTTGTGGCCAGTTTCGATGAGCTTGCTGCCTGTCTATGGTCAGATAAGTAGATGGATCTGCCCTGCACATATGAAAACAGTCGGTTACCTCACGGCCACTGGTTTCCTTTTGCTTGCCAGCTATGCTACTCGTCCGTGTGTTCTTTTAATCTATATCGCACTCTGCAACATTGGTTTGGCCTCGGCTGCTGCAGTCTCCATCGGCATCATATGCAAATTTGAGGCCAATTCGAAGACAATCAAAATTTCTCTCTGCCTTTTGCCTATTCTACTACTTTGCGGCATAGCACTTGGAGCTGTTGGCGTGACTCAAAAGGACTGGCGCTTCCTTCTGCGCTCGTGGGCCATTAAGTTTGCAATCAAATCGCTGTGGCCCGAACTCTTGGAGTGGCTTTCACCGGACGACCGCCAACGACTACGCTTTAGAGATGCACTCATTGACTGGTGGGCTGCTTTGTATTGGACACTTGGCATAGGCTTGATTGCTTGGGGTGCGAGCTTTTCCGTCGATGCAGATTCTGGCTGGCGGCGCACCGTCGTACTGCTGTCACTCGTACTGGGCTGCATCCTTCTGGTTTCGCTTGTTGTCCTCGAAAGAAGGACGCGGTCAGAAGTTGCGCTTTTCCCACGCCGTCTACTGTCTGCTGCTGTCTGGGTGTTCTGTGCAATGTCCTTCTTTACATGCATGGCTCTCGGCATTTACCTACTCTATGTCGTCAAGACGCTGATCACCATTGATCATCACAGCGAGTACGCCACAGCTGCACGTCTGATCCCCTTTGCAGTCTCAGCGACAATAGGCCTGCTTTCTGGTAAGCTATTGTTCAAATGGTTCGAAGGAGCTCACATCGTCCTGTTCGTCACGCCACTTGCAGCCCTGGGTATGCTGCTCTTTTCACTCACCGAACATCGGAGCGCTACAGTTCAACTCGTCATGGGTATTGTCTCTACATTGCTTGTTGGCATCAATACAGCTATAGCTCTGTACATGGCGTTTGCAAGTGTATGTGCACCAAAATCCGAAAGTAAGGAGCAACTTTCATTAATTCTCGTGGCCATTGTTGCTTTGGGGATCGCCTTTGGTCCAGCCTTGACAAGCAGAGTCATTGGAGCCAGCCGTAAGCGCGGCCATCGTATCAAGGGGATACAGCGTGCTTTGTGGGTGGCAGCAGCTCTCATGCTAGTGACGCAATTTCTGGCCGTTGTGCACTGTATTGTGTATAGCGCTCGACGTCGACAGCAGGCGGAAAGCGAGGGAAATCCCATGCCAAGTTCATCTGCCTCGTCCGCCGAAGGTGCTATAGAGATGAAGGAACCAGCAGCGGGAACCATTGAGGCGATCGCGCCAGACGTATCAACTTCAGACAACGTAACCCCGGACAGTCATGCTTCGGGTGACCTGGAATCCGGTGGGCAGGGGAACAGCAAAGACAAGCGGAACTCATTCACTGTGCCCAAGAAGGCTGAGAAGTCGTCTCGAAGGCATTTCAAGAATATCGGTGCACGTACGTTGAAAAGCCTCATCAAGAAACCCAGCGCACTCGATGCTCTGCCAAAGACTGTGGAAGAGACTACCCAGCCAGACGCGTCAGAGAAGCAAGACAATCCAGCATCGGCAAAGGACAAGCATGAGAATCATGTTCCAGGCGTCTTTCGCAAAATGTTTATGCCTTAATGAGAGGGATTGTATGACTGAAGTATTCTTAATAATCAATCACATATTGATAGCCCTATAATAGTGCAACGAGTTCTGCGACTCGCATAGCAATACCCCAGGAAGATTGGAAACCCCAACCACCAATACCGTATGCATGCACAACAGGTCTACCATCCTTGAGTTGGTCAGCCTCTACGCGAACGCCACCCTTGCGCGAAGGTCTCAAGCCGACATTGTGGCGGATGATTTCAAACTTGTGATCTGCTGGGAAGATGACCGGATAGAGTGTCCTCGCCCACTCGAGCATCGTCTCTGCAAGTTCCTCATCCACCTCTGCATTGTAACAATTTGGTTGTTGGCAGCCACCGACGATAAGTCCTGCGTCCTCTTCGTGACCATCGACCAATCGCGTGCCTGGTCGGGGAATGAGGTACGACAAGGTCTTCTCTCCGACTCGCGACCAAGTGTCGACAAGATTTGTTGTGTTCTTGACGAGTACTGTTTGACCACGCGTGGGATAGACATTTGCATCTTGGACATCAGTCAGGTACTTGGCCCCAAGCCCAGAGCAATTGATAATGACTTTACCTGGCAGATCTGCGAGGGCGTCGACTTTGCCTTCCACAATATTGACATTGTCGCGCTGACGCAGCTCACCTAGCAAGTACTGCACATAGGCAGGAGCATTGAGTGTTACTGTCTCAAAGGCAATACCAAAGGCAGCTCCCTCGGGCAAGATCTCGCGCTCGTCTGTAGGCACTGCCTGTCCATCCTCGAGAGGCTTGAGGACTTTGAAATTGTTGCACAATGTAGCAAACCAGGGCAGCTCACCGTTGCCGACATCAGCTTTACGAATCATGCGCGCATCGTTGTCGTCGGGCTCTCGTGGATCAAAGATGTCGTAAGACATGCACTTGCGAACGAGTTGCGGGTGTGTCTTTGCCATCTCAAGGAAGTGTTTGAGCGTGTCGCCCTCGAATCTTTGCATTGCCAAGTCATCATTGCTGCAGACAGATCTCCAGTTGGCACCAGCCCAATCGGAGGTGTAGTCGATTGAGAAGCTTTGGGGGAACTTGTGAGCAAAGATGGTGATCTTGTGGCCTTTATCGGCCAGCTGCAGGGCACTAGACAGGCCCAGCACGCCTGCTCCGAGGATAGTGATGTCCATAGCTGGTCGAAGGCTGCTTTGAGGTGTTCTACTTGATTTTAGAGAGCTGAGCTTATGGAGTGCGGTGTGGTTGTTAGGAATTGATCAGATCTGGCGCGAGATTAGATATGGACAGCAGAATATCAAAGTCACAATCTGTCTACCTAGCTACCTATCTAGCGCAGTGTAAAGCCTCCGTCCAGGACAATTGTCTGCCCTGAGATACTCTTGTTGGCACACAGCAAGTGCACAGCATCAGCACAGTCCTCCAAAGTGGCAATGGCGCCTGTTGGGGTGTTGGCCGTCACCCAGTCCATCTTTTGGCGGTCAAATTGCTTCTCTGCCCATTCGGTCATGATGAGACCAGGACTGATGGAGTTGACACGGCATTTTGGTCCCTGGTGAAGAGCAAGTCCTCGCTGCAATGCAAGAGACGCGGTCTTGGTGACGCTGTAAGCGAGTGCACTGCCTGTTGTCTTGATGCCTGCGACACTAGCAGAAATCACCATGCTACCACCATCTGCATTCTTCAAGAAATGAGGCTTGGCAGCCTTGAACAGGAAGAGATGTGCCTTGACATTCATTGCAAAGGTCCTGTCCCAATCCTCTTCTGATAATGCATCGAGGTCATCCCATGGTGCAGCTTTCGTCCATCCTGCATTCGAGCAGACGATATCGATACCACCAAGTTCCCTGACAGTGCCTTCGACCAACTCAGAGCAAGCGCCAGACTTGGACACGTCACCTTGCAGCACAACAGACTTGACGCCATGCTCCTTCTGCAGTTTCAGAGCCAATTGGTCTGCGGGCTCCTTCCTAGAGGCGTAGTTGACTGCAATGTTGCAGCCAGCCTGGGCGAGTCTGACACAGATGGCAGCTCCCAGACCCGCAGACCCACCGGTCACCAGCACATTCTTGCCCTTGAGATCCAACATACTGCCGTGTTGTCTGTAGCTGAGTACAGGGGAGAGTTGCTGATACCCCGTACTTCTGTGCTTCGGGAATGCCGGGCATGTTCAGATGAGCATCTCACGCTTCAGTCGTGTACACCCAGAACTACATGTACCTGCAAACAGCCCTCACTTCCAGTGTCTCAATATTGATGTCGCTGCCCTTCTCTGCGAATGGCATGGATACGTGTTCATTCTGTCATTGATGCCAGCAGTGTTCGGTGCTTCAGGATTAAGATGCAATCGACCCCGTTTCTTTCAGCTTGCCGAAATTGTATTTGGCAAACATTGATGAGAGTGGCCTCTGCCAGCTCCACTCTCATTGCCAATTTGTCACATACATGCCTTCAATGTCCTACATGCACGCTAGAGCATATCGAAGAGACTGAATTCGGCAAAGGTTGCTTCGTCAACCACACATGGCCCCCTTAGTGAGTAAGATGAGTTGGGTGGATGTTTCTGGGGCACCTTCATGCTTTCAGGAGATTACACCGCACGCTACTTATTTAAAGAAGCATCGTGCTGCTCTTCAGAGCTTTGGTCAAGACCTAAATCAAACTGTTTGCCCAAGATGATCGCCTTGGCGTCTCTTGCCCTCTGGCTCTCGATTGCAGGTCTTTCGAAGTCAACGTATGTATCTTCAGTCCAACTCCGCAATCGCTAATGGAGTCCTTCACACGACCTTCAACCCAAAGGCAATTCTCAGTCCAAGTCCCGCATCACCCTCCCTGTTGATAAGAATGAGCATTTTCGTCGCAATCTAGAGATTCAATATGATAAATCGTGCTCAGTCAGCCACAAGTCAGCATTCAAAGCTGCTCAACAGCCTCGCGGTATGCCCGTCCCTCACGAAGGTAGGTTTTACGGCTTCAATTCGTACCATCCGGATCAATGCATCAGCCAGAATTTCAATTGGTACCTCGCTCCGAGCCATACATCGCAGTGTAAGCCTGCACCTCCTATGCAGTTTCCGCCAAAAAAAGATTGTACCACCATCACGAAGTGGCAGGAGTATGTCGAATACAAGAAGACAGCGTCCAAAGCCTGCGTCATTTTGGAAAATCTTGTTGCAGAAGGCCCTATGATTTTCGAGATGCCTGAGAAGTCTTTCTTTGGTTGTCGAGGCACTATCATGGCGCCAGTGGCGGACCCCAAATTGTTCAAGCCGAAGTTCATCGACTACACTGCTGGAAAAGACTCGGTCTTCGCTGGAGATGGCTGTCTCATTTACATGCGAGGCGAAGCTTATTTCACTGGAGTCAAGAACGAATTCTCTTGGAGGGCTATTGATATCGCAAAGGTTGATGGTCTGCACGTCAACGGTATCAACATCATCCAGGCTAATGCTCCCAATTGGCACGTCACAGGTCAGAACATTGTGATGGAGGACTGTAACGTCATTGTGGCAAGTGACCAGGGCTACCCACCTCTGTCGCGCAACTCTGATGCCTTCCAGATTGGTGTGAACAACTTCACGTAATGCGCTTGCTGCGTCTCTTTCCTGACTAATAGACAGACTTCGCAATTCTTTTATCCAAAGTGGTGATGATGCTATCGCACTGAAACAGACCAATGGTGCAACATTCGAGTGCTTGAATATTTTCTATTCACATGGCTTATCGATCGGCTCTGTCTCGGAAGGCAATGTCGTGCAAAATGTTGTATTCAAGGACATTGAACTCACAGCCCCTGAATACGCGGTTCGAATCAAGGCTAAGAAATTCTCGACCGGCTTAGTGTAAGTGTTCATTCAAATTGAAGACGATATCTGACGTACAGGCAAAATGTCTACTACACTAACATCTTGGCTCACCAAGCCAACGTCACTGCTATTGGGATACGTGACGATTACTTGGATCCTGATGCCGACTTCAAGCCCGACTCGGATGTCATGATTAAGGGCATCCACTTTACAGACTTCACTGCCACAGTCAAAAATCGCGACCCAGAATGTAAGTTTGACGCATGCTCTATTGTATACTCATCATGACAGTTCAAACTAGTTCCATCATGGTCCTCTGTAGTGCGGGCTCAAAAACAAAAGGTGGGTGCGAGGATCTAAATTTTAACCGTGTCTCCATCAAAGGATCCGACATGTCTTATCCCCCATACCTTATCAACTATCATTTGCCGCGGGTTTTGGAAAGCACAGGGATCGATGTCGACAACTTCACTACCTATTTGGCAACTGGGAAGATTGATCCCCCGCCCAAGTCTGCGAAGAGCGGTGCAAAGAAGTCAGCAACGAAACCGTAAGACCAGGCTGTCAAATCACTGATCATTTTACTTTACGCGTCATCAAGTCGAGTCTGCGACTCTGACTTTCTATTCTCCACAAGCCGTTTTGTCGCAGTGCGTAGCACGGCTCTCTGGCTCTTGGTCACCCAGTCAGATTCTCAGCTTACCATTAAACTTCATCCCCTTTCAATGAATTCTGTGATTGCTGAATATCCCTGCCCATCTGGAGCTCACTTCTCAGAAGGTGACCGCATCTACGCCCAACTGTGAGGTCATCACGGCGCCTCCATCAGCTCGTATGCCGGGCCGAGCCACGGATATGAGCAGAAGCATGTCCTGACTGAACATTCTTTCTAACAACGTTTTAAACACTCCAGACATGGTCAAGCAGTCCACGCGCCTGACGCATCTGCATGACGCTGCAACAGCGCGACAAGACCGGTACCTGGAGATTGTGTCTAGACGAGCCCCTCAACCACTTGCATCGCTCCTGGTAGACAATTTCTTCTTCTCAACAGCGTTGTACACGCTTATTCTCTTTGTGAGCTTGTTGAGCGCTGTCTTGTCTAAAGCCAAAGCAACAGATATTGGGAAACAAGCGCAGCAAGTCGTGAATGCTGGCAAGAAGCAGGTCGAGGGCGTTCAGTCTACCTTGAGCAAGGAGAAGGAGAAGCTTGAACGAAAAGTCAAGGATGCTCAAGCGTCGTGGCAGGAGGAACAGGAAGAGCTCAAGAGACACTTCCAGACACTCATGACGGAAGCTGAGGACAAGGCACACGCGATGCAAGGAGCTCTAGACAAGAAGATCGCTCAACAAGCTCAAGAATTGAAGCAAGCGCGTGCTGAAATTGAACAAGCCAAGAAGGAGAATGCTGGCGAGACTTCTGACATGGCAGATACGGAGACACTGCAGCGTAAGTTTTGCCCAGTGCTCAATCAATCAAACTAACAATAGTGCAACTTACAGATGCTCACTCAGAGGTTGCTGCAAAAGAAAAGCAAATTCATGCTCTCGAGCTCGTCCAGAAACGTATGGACCGCGAGTTGGAGCATGAGAAGGAGATGCACGAATCCAGCAAGCTTGCCCTGCACGATGCAGTGGAGAAGCTCTTGGCTCTCAAGAAAGAACACAAGTAGCAAAATTGCTACGCCTTTATAAACAGTCATACGTTAATACCAAAGGGATCAGACCTGCAGTGTCGATGGGCGTTTCTCTGTGATTGACAGCCTTCAAAAAGTTCCGAATGAATCCAGAATGTGTCGTGGCACTGATGACTTGGGCTGAATGACTGAGCAGCATCCGTGCCACGCCATCAGCTCTCGCTTGTACGTGTTTGTCAGATTCCCGTATGTCTGACTGCCAAGTTTCATCTGCTTCAGTCAACCCTGTTGCCAAGGCCCAAGGAAACCTTGAGCTGATCTGCGACTTGGTCGATCGCATATCGCAGGTATGAACGCCTGATACCTCTCTCAGATCCTCGAGAATGGTCGTATTATGCTTGTCGGACAAGATGGAGCTTGTTTCCAGGGCTCGACTGAGGGGACTTGCATACCAAGCACCAATTCCAGGGCCCTCGTGAGTGAGCCGACAATGCAGTCTTGCCGCTTGCTTCTTCCCATGTTCTGTCAATTTGGCATCTGGACCCCATACGAGTCCGTCGCCAGACCCATTCTGCTTTGACCAATAGTCATCCCATGCCTTTGTACCATACTTTGCCTCTGCAACATTATGGTAGCCTTGGCCATGACGCCCAAGCAAGACGAGGCGATGTGGCTGACCCGATGAGCTTTCTTCTGCAGAGAGCTTTGCAAGAAGTGACATCCAGGTGGATGCCTCACGCAGGCCAAACTGTGCGGCGCTGCTGTTGCCTGTGAAGAAGGCATCTGTCAAGTTGGAGCGCAGCGAGCATTTTGAGGTGGCAGTGAAGGTACGCTGGAGCGGGTGCGCGACTGAATAGTAGAAGAGAGAAACAACAAGCAATAGATAACGAGCAGAAGGCATGAGAAGCCAGCTAGATGGGCATGAGCAGGTCAAGTACAGCAGCTGAAGTACTGCTCAAGTAGTTTGTCTGCTTCGTTTCATCCCCAGGAACCAGCACACGTGACGGGAATCAAGCACAAGAAACAAGACACCGCAAGAGAAGAACGAACACGCGCCCATCGAACGCCAAGGCGGCCTCCATCATGTCCCTCTTCGGGCAGGCCACAGCTGCAACGACGCTGACAAGCGCCAATAACGAGCTCAAGAACGATTTTGAAGTCTCACAGCCCCCCGAGGATTCAATCTCCTCCCTCACCTTTTCACCCGTCGCCGAACTGCTTGCTGTGTCCTCGTGGGACAAGAAGGTTCGCATCTACGAAGTCGCGCAGAATGGCACAACACAGGGAAAGGCCCTCTATGATCACGAGGGGCCCGCGTTGTGCACATCCTGGTCCAAAGATGGTACAAAAGTTGCATCTGGCGGCGCCGACAAGGCAGGCCGGCTATTTGATCTTGGCTCTGGCTCCTCCTCACAAGTGGCAGTACACGATCAGACGATCAGATGCTGTGAGTTCATCGAGGTGAATGGCCAACAAATCTTGGCAACGGGGTCATGGGACAAGACGGTCAAGTACTGGGACTTGCGACAACAGCAGGCGGTTGCTACTCTTCAGCTTCCCGAAAGATGTTACAGCATGTCAGTCAAGGACTCTCTCATGGTGGTTGCGACGGCTGAACGCCATATTTGCGTCGTGAATCTTTCAAATCCTGCAGCCATCTTCAAGTCCACTGTCTCGCCACTCAAATTCCAAACACGCGTCGTCAGCTGCTTCGTCAAGGGCAATGGATACGCCGTTGGCTCAGTCGAAGGCCGATGCGCTATCCAATATGTCGACGAGAAGGACTCGAGCCTCAACTTTTCATTCAAATGTCATCGCGTCACAGAAGGCTTGTCCGCCAATGCAAGCAATGTCTTTTCCGTCAACGCCATTTCCTTTCACCCACGACATGGTACCTTTTCTACTGCTGGCTCAGACGGTACCTTCCACTTTTGGGACAAAGATTCGAAGCACCGCCTCAAGGGCTATGCATCTGTTGGCGGTACCATTCCCTGCACTGCCTTTTCGCGCACCGGCGACATCTTTGCGTATGCGGTCAGCTATGACTGGAGTAAAGGACACAGCGGCAACACACAGCAGTATCCGAATAAGATTATGCTGCATCCCGTCGGGCCAGAGGAGCTCAAGCCAAAGGCGAAGAAGACCACTGGCAGATAAGTCCACCGGACACCGCGTATCCGATATTATGCTCATGTCACTAAGGCAGCCTCCTGTAGCTCCTGTAGCGATACAACGTTATGTCCTCAAGCGGCTTTTCAGCTGCTTCCCGCACGTTTCTACGACATTGAAAATCCAGACTCTGAACTTCGAGTCAGAAGTAGTCTAACAGATAATTCCAGGGGAAAGTTCAGGCTCCGAAGTAACCTTTCAAACACTTCCAGGGGCATTTGCACGTTGCTTGTTGATCCTCCCGGGCCTCGGCCATTGCGAGGCCTCTGCGCAGCCGGCATCTATAAAAGCTTGCCGAAGCCACGGATGGCCTTCCACACAGACTCAAGAAGTGATGGTGGCTAACGATACAAAAGCCTGGCAGGCCAGTGAAAATGATGTCGGCCCTTTCGCCGACTCAAAGGGCAGTGATGAGGTGACTTTACAGCAGCAAAAGCCACCGACCTCTCCAGTTCCAGACGGCGGCTTTGAAGCTTGGATGATTGTGGTCTCTGGCTTCATTACGACGCTGAACGCCTGTGGATTTGTCAACTGTTTCGGCGTCTTTCAGGCGAGCTACATCTCTCCCGGGGGTCTACTTGAAACATACTCTCCCTCTGCCATCTCCTGGATTGGATCTCTGCAGACCTTCTTCGTCTTCTTTCCAGCTCTTGTGATCGGTCGAATTGCTGACGCTGGCTATGTCCGTTCCACAGTCTTTGTCGGGACTTGCATCATGATCTTTGGTATTCTGATGACAAGCATCGCCAAGCCAGGCCAGTACTATCAATTCTTCTTGGCCCAAGGCGTCTGCGTGGGTATTGGGTTATGTCCTATCTTTATTCCGCCTGTCACGGTCGCTGCGCACTGGTTCAAGCGCAAGCATGCATTATCACTTGGTATTGGTGCTTCTGGTGCAAGTGTTGGTGGCTGTCTCTACTCCATTCTTCTCAAACACCTCCTTCCCAAGATTGGCTTTGCTTGGAGTCTTCGAGTCGTGGCCTTGATCATTGGAGTGACGCAAATCATCCCACTCATCTTTTTGAAGCCGCGCTTGCCAGCCAGACCTTTGAAGGGTCAGCAATTTCTTGATCTGGAGGTCTTTCACAACCCAGTCTATGTCTTGGTCCATCTTGGCTTGTTTCTTGCCTTCATGGGACTCTACACGCCCTTCTTCAATATTGAGCTGTTTGCCTTCGCAAATGGGCTATCTCTGGATCTGGCTTTCTACACACTACCCATCCTCAACGCAGCTTCGACGATTGGCCGAATTCTTCCAGCGCTCATCGCAGACCGCTTTGGGAGTCTCAACAGTCTGATACCATGCATTGGCACAACTGGCTGCTTGTTGTTCGTTTGGATGGGTTGTACCACACAGAAGGGCATCATCACCTTTAGTGTTTTCTATGGTTTCACTAGCGGTGCCTTTGTTAGTTTACCTCCAGCGGTGGTTGCAGCGCTTTCAGAAGCACCCGATCGAACGGGCATTCGTGTGGGTCAAATGCTCAGTATCGTCTCCGTTGCTACATTGATTGGCCCGCCCATTGCCAATGCCATCATTGGACCATTGAGGCAGCTGCGTCCCGGTGGCGGCTCGGAGATTTTCAACGATGGAGCAATCTTTGCTGGTGCTGTTGTCATGGGTGGATTTGCAACCCTTGTGCTAGCACGGATCGTCTATGACCGTCGCTTCTCTATCAAAATATAAAGAGCGTGCCGCAGCCTCTGATCGTATCTCATCTCAATCCTTACAAAACTGCAGAAAATCTAGCTTATAGATGCTTGTCGGTCAACGAAATGATCGAATGTCCGTCCATGTCTCTACAGCTGACTTCTTGGCATTTCCTCATCCCGAGATTCCATCTGCTACTAATCAGGGGTCGCAAATTCCGTCAAGCGTCAATCACTAGCTCGAAAGCATGTATCGAAGGCATGCCGCGCACGCGAGCAGATACGAAAGCTGAGGAACTCCTGCACGATCCGAAATGGCCATGTGCTGGAATGGTTCAGAAGAGCTCGAACTAACCACGAGTCATGACAAATCGACAAAATTTCCCTCAGTTCAACTTCCCCTGAATTTAAAATGCATGCCTCGGTGACAGCAAGGCGCATGTTTATCTCCAGTGTACGTCAATCTTTTTCTCAAAGCGCCTCTGGTGGAGGTCAAAAGGGCGCAATTCACAATTTCCGGCTGTTCCCGTCAAATTGATTTCAGGGGTAAATCGGCAAACAGCTCGTCCTCTCCGATATACAGCTCTGGAAAAAACAACGGGTCACAAGGCTGCAGGCATGCCTGTTCAAGCAACCTTTACAACAGACAGCTGTAGCCACGACTGCGTTGTCTCCAATGACACCACATGAAGCAGATGTCGAGAGTGCTTCTACCGTTCATGACGTGTTGTGTATCGAACGGCAAGGGCAAGAGCAACTACCGGTTCAAATTCCAGACGGGGGATTCGATGCTTGGATGGTTGTTGTCTCTGGCTTCATCACGACCATGAACGTCTTTGGCTTTGTCAACAGCTTTGGAGTCTTTCAGACACGGTATGTATCCAGAGGTGGCCTGCTCAGCAAGTATTCGCCCTCGGCTGTCTCTGTGATTGGCTCCGTCGAAACGTTCTTTGTGTTCTTCCCGGCTCTTGTCATCGGTCGCCTGGCAGACGCTGGCTATATACGATCTTTGGTGTTTGGCGGAACTTGTATGATGGTCTTTGGTATCTTAATGACGAGCATTGACAAGACTGGGCAATACTACGAGTTCTTCCTTGCACAGGGAGTCTGTATTGGACTCGGACTATGTCCAATCTTCATTCCTCCAGTGACACTCTGTGCACATTGGTTCAGGCGCAAACATGCTCTGGCTTTGGGCATTACTGCAGCTGGTGCGAGCGTTGGTGGCTGTCTCTATCCAATCCTCCTCAATTTACTGTTCCCAAAGATTGGATTTAGCTGGAGTATGCGAGTGGTGGCCCTCATCATTGCAGTGACACAGATCATTCCACTCATCTTCCTCAAGTCACGCATGCCCTTCAGAAAATTGAAAGGACAAACATTTTTTGATGTGCAAGTCTTTCGCAATCCAGCGTACGTCTTGGTTCACATCGGCTTGTTCCTTGCATTTTGGGGCCTCTATACGCCCTTCTATGATCTCGAGATCTTTGCCATCTCCAACAACGTTCCCGTCACTCTGGCCTTCTACATGCTGCCCATCACCAGTGCAGCGTCGGCCTGTGGTCGTGTGCTGCTAGCATTCGTTGCAGACCGATACGGATGCGTCAACAGTATCATTCCTAGCGTCGCTGCAGCTGCCAGTCTGCTATTCATTTGGCTAGCTTGCACAACGCAGTCAACTGTCATTGCCTTTTGCGTGCTGTATGGTTGTGCAAGTGGTGCAGTCGTGAGTCTTTCAGTATCAGTCGTCACGTCACTCTCCAATGATCCAGCAAAGAATGGAATACGGACCGGCCAAATGCTGACCTTGTGTTCTATTGCAACATTGACGGGACCGCCTATTGCCAATGCTATCATTGAGTCAGTCAGTCAATTGCTGCCTGGCGATGGCACCAAAGTGTTTGATGGTGGAGCCATCTTTTCTGGAAGTGTAGTCATGGCTGGTCTTGCATGTCTTGTGGTGGCTCGATTCATGTATGACCGTCGACTATGCGTCAAGGTGTGAGAGGATCGAGGGCAGGTGAGATTGGTTAATTGTCCGTGCCATCTGAATGATTGAAGTACGTCGACCTTGCTCGTGTCCAGCTTGGGAGACGGGGGCTCACTGGAAGAGGTACCGTACTTGTACTTGATATAAGTAAATTCATAGCTAATCATGAGAATTCAAAGGAGGCATCCTTTGATTGCAACATGCGTGCAATACGCTGCGACCCAACAATACGTTCAAGTCGCAATGCATCGAAATGGCTAAACACCGCACGTACTTCAACATCGCTTGCATCGTTTCCCAGCACAGCAGCCGTTTCGATCGCAGACCGTGCCAATTCAGTATAGAAATCAGCGTGTTCTGGCAATTGATAAAACATGACGCGTTTTGCACCACGATACGCATACCGTCGATAAAATTGCAATCGCTCCGTCACGACAAGGACTTGACACCGTCCAGCGGCAAACAAAGCTCGACTGCGTGAGAGTTGGCTGGATTTCGCATACTCAGAGATGGCCTCAAATGAAACCTCTTCTGCATTCAAGCAATTTCGAACCCGCAAAAAGTCAAAGTAAGAAGGTACAACAAGCAGGATGCCAGCGCAGTGTGAGGTCGCTTCTTCTGGTGATGCCGACACGGCTGCACTGCCTGTGACAGCAAGTTTCTTGATGCGTGGGAGAAGTGCTGTCGCGAAATGTTTGTATCGTGCATCTGGTTCACTCGCTGGATTCGTCGCGTCACAAGTCAGTCTGCTAAAGATCTGTTTTGCTTGGACATTGGCAATCTTACCGGTATAGGTTGGTCGGAAGCGGACTTGTCCGGCGACATTGACGAGACTCTGAAAGACTTGCCTTTGCTCTGGAAATTCATACGCAGAGAGTAAGATGGTTTGTCGCAAGTATTTTGATTTCTCCTCGAGGCACCAATTTCGAACACGCGCATAGTCACAGCCGTGCGATTCCTTGGGTATGAGATTGAGGTGTTCGAGGGCAAAGGCAACATGCTCCCAATTCTGCATGGCAAGACCATCACAGCTATCGAGCAGGAGCAGCTCAATGGATGACAAAAAGTCATAGTCCACCTTCTTCTGTGCGGGGTCACCAATCACCATACGCAGTCCCAAAGGACTCGCAATAATGATGTCGCTTGCGTAGAATTGGGAAAAGAGCTTGATGGTTTTGCGCGTAAACTTGATGCCAAGTCGAAAGGCATCATCTGTATTGCCTTCGAAGAATGCTTTGAAGTCTTCTGGTTTGGTGGATGATTTGACGGGGTCTTTGTCTGCAGCGCCGAAATTGTCATTGAAGCGTTTTCTGTTCTCAATTGACTCAGCGCCAGCAAGAGCAATCAGTTGGTTGACAAAGAGGAAAGCCGCATTGCGAGTTGGCATCAATATGAGCACTTTGGGCCGAGTGAATGATTGATCACGCAGCTCGAGCTCATCGTCTCGATGTTGAGCCAGCTTGCCGTTGTTCTTTAGTATCCGATCACGCGTTTTGAAGATGTGGTTGAGGATGTGAGCAGCACACGCCCCGCGTAGATGAGGCAGAGTCTTGTGAGTTGTTGCAGAGTAGGAGATGTCCTTGTAGCACAGCAATTGCTGCACAAAGCTGGCTTGCGTCGCTTCTTTGAGCTGCAACTTTGGAATGATGTTGCTTAGACGTTGCTTGACGTGAAGAGACTCTGGCTTTTGTAGGTTGATTCGGTGCTTTGCCAGAGCCTCCTCGGGCTCGTTGCAGTATACTTTGCAATCGCCTGTCTGTGTCATTTTGGCCTGGATCTTCGCCTTACCGACCTGCGAGACAAGCTTCTCCAGTAACTCAGCATCCGGTGCAGCAAAGTGACTCTCAAAAGGATCCAGCGGTGAGACGTCGTCTTGTTCAACAACTGCCTCTTCCGCCTCCTCCTCTTCTTCAGCTTCTGGCTCATTCCCAACGACATCTTCATCTTCAGGCGTCGCCTCTCTGTCTACCTCAGGCTCCTGCAGCCTACGCTTCTTTTGCCTTGGTTCCTCAGCCTCGTCGCGCTTCATGAGTGTGAGAAGCGCATCATAGGCTTGTGGTGCAGCACTAGCCAAGTCAAAATCGTCGCCTGACTCTTGTGCTTCTTCCCCCTCAGATAATGGAGCGTCCTGCTCTTCTCTGGGCTTATAGGCGCCGAACTGTTCGCCGTCATGCCATGACTTGGCGTGTCCGTGGTTCCTGGCTGCTCCTCCCCGGCCTCTGCCTCTGCCTCTGCCTCGCCCACCTCTTACACCACCCCTAGCTGATCCTCTGCCTCTTCCCCTGCCTCGCCCTTTATATTCAGGCATCTCCTTACAAGCACTAGACTGAGTCGAGTAGAAAGTAGAAAAGTAGCCCGATTTCCTTCTCTCACGCTCCAAAGCGAAATAAAATTCAGCGACCACAAGCAGACCACAGCAAGGATACAGCCAGTGTCAGTGTCAGCTACAGCTACAGCCAGAGGCAAGCCATGTCTCGCGCTAATCCAGCCGTCACCGTCCTCCCAGTCGTTCTCTTCTCCATCCTCGACCACTCTCTACGCAGGCATGACGACCAAGAGCGCGTCATTGGTACCCTCCTAGGAGAACGCAGTCCAGACGGCACACAGGTCGAGATTAAAGCTTCCTTTGCCGTACCACACGGTGAATCCAGCGATGGTGTCGAAGTGGACATGGAGTATCATAAGCAGATGCTTGCTCTCCACCTCAAGGCGAATCCTCGCGAAGTACTCGTGGGCTGGTATGCTTCAACACTAGAGCTCAATGCCTTTTCCGCACTCATCCAAAACTTTTACGGCAGTGCAGGTGATGGTACTGCACCCTTCCCTGCGATTCATTTGACCATGGCAGCAGATCCTGCGCAAGGGATGCAAGTCAAGACATACGTGTCGAGTAGTGTTGGCGTGACGCCTGAACGCGTTGAGAATTCTTGCCTGTTTGTGCCCATCTCACATACCGTCACCTATGGCGAGCAAGGTGATCGCAGTGCAGTCGATGCAATTGCTGCCGCTACACACACGGACTCGCGTAAAGCACAGATCCCGACGACGTTGACGATGTTGCGGAATGCGCTGAATGATACACTCGATATGATTGCGCGTGTTCAGCAATACGTCGGGAATGTCGTCAAGGATGAAGCGGCGATGCGGACACCAGAGAACCAAGCTATTGGTCGTTTCCTGATGGATGCGCTGAGTGTGAGGCCGTCGCTGGACCCGGAAGCGATTGAGAAGATGTTCAATTCCTTGCTGCAGGATGTGCTCATGGTCAGCTACCTGGCGCGGACTGTCAGGGAGCAGATTGAGATTAGCACCCAGCTGGCCCTTGTTGCCCAGTAGCGTAAGAGATAGAAATGATGCCTGTCTTCACCCTGCTGCGCTGTATGACAATGTATGTGACTGTTGTGTTTCCCTCTACAACGCGACCTGACAGCTGAGGACTGACAAAGGACAAGGACTACTACACCTCTGGCCACCTCTGGAGAGACGCGGATCACGCTAGACATGTCTTCAGACCTGCGCAAGAGACAGACAAAGAAAGATGAAGTCATCCGACAAAAGATGGAGAAGGATCTAGCAAAGAAGCGCCCAACAGCAGCGCGCTCACGGACAGCATCGCGTAAAGCAACACCAGGAACTGTCTCCAGTCTCAAGCCGACACCGCCCATGACGGTACCTGCAGATATGACTGTTCATGAAGGTACATCCCTCCTCTTCTGAATTGAAAAGGCGCTAATAGATAAGCTGCTCAACTCATGGCTGCTAAGCGCGAAGACTGTGTCCTCGTCATTTCTGATGAATCGCACCTCTCTGGCATCTTCACAGCCAAAGACCTCGCCTTCCGTGTCGTCAGTCAGGGCAAGAACCCAAGTCACACACCTGTCTCTGAGATCATGACACCGAATCCAATGTGCACACGCGTCGATACTTCCGCCACAGAAGCCCTTGATCTGATGGTCACGCGTGGATTCAGACATCTACCGGTCGTGGATGAAGAAGGTGACGTCTCGGGCGTTTTGGATATCACGAAATGCTTCTACGAAGCCATGGAGAAGTTGGAACGCGCGTATGCCTCCTCCAAGAAACTCTACGAAGCGCTGGAAGGCGTACAGACTGAGATGGGTGGATCGCAACAGCCTGCGCAAATCATTGAGTATGTGGAGACGTTGCGCCAGAAGATGTCTGGGCCAGAGTTGGCTGGTGTGCTGGATGGGACACCACCAACATGGGTGACTGTCAAGACGAGTGTTCGTGAAGCCACCACACTCATGCGCGAGAATCACACGACAGCGGTACTTGTGATGGATGGTGATAAGCTCGCTGGTATCTTTACAAGCAAAGACGTCGTGCTACGTGTGATTGCACCAGGCCTCGATTCTGGTGTCTGCTCTGTCGTTCGTGTCATGACACCTCACCCAGACTGTGCACCGCAACACATGTCGATTCAGGATGCACTGCGAAAGATGAATGATGGACATTACCTGAACCTTCCAGTGACGGATGAGGAAGATACAATCATTGGCATGGTCGATGTCTTGAAATTGACGTATGCCACACTTGAACAAGTCCACAGTATGAATACCGCAGGCGATGAAGGTCCCATGTGGAATAAATTCTGGACCTCTGTGGGTGGTGCAGGCGAGGAAGATTCAGCGAGTGCTGTCTCGGGAAGCGATGTCCCTTCAACGCGTCATTCCACCACAAATCGTACAGGCTCCCGACAAGCCATCACTCCTGGCGGTCTGGATCGGCCTCAAGTTATCAATCCTTTTACGGATACCGTTTCGCCACTACCCATCACACATGAAGAGTACGATAGCCCCGTTCGGCCAGGGGATTCCATTTCAGCGCACCAGGATTCTGATAATCCATTTGATACGGCAGTGCCTTTTGCCTTCAAGTTCAAGACACCTGCCGGAAAGATTCACCGACTCGCCTTTGCAGTGACATCTGGTCTTGCACCCTTGCGCGAAGCACTCGTTGAGAAACTCAGCACGGAGGATCGTTTGACCTTGACGGAAGAGTTTGGTATCAGTTATGTGGATGATGATGGTGATATCGTGAGTATCACTTGTCATGAAGATCTACTCGAATCCGTAAAACTCGCAAAACGCGCGAAACGAGACAAAGTGGAGTTGTACCTGCATCATCCAGATCAAGTTGCTGTGACAACGCCAGCTGTACCGCTACAGCAGCAACCGAGATTGTCGAGAGCTGTATCGGGGTTGTCCTCACATGTAGATGCTGTCGAGGCGGCACCGGCTGCCATCACTGCGTCTGCTGCATCTGCTCCGGAGAAAGAGGTGGAAACTCACTCAGAGAAACGCAGCAGTCCAGCTCAGGGCAGTACGAATGATTTACTGATTCCTGGGGCACTGGTAGTCTTGGCCATTGCCATTGTGGGGGTGTTTGCCGTGAGTAGAGCATCCAAGTAGACTTTCACAACAGACAAGGTGGATTATAGGAGATCAAATGGAAGCATGAAAATAATATTCAGTAATGACTCGGGTCTCTTAGAGCAGCCTTTTGCCGTAATACACAACACTAGCGAGACTCAAAGCGAGCATCAGACCAGCAGGCATGACTTTACCGGACTTGCCAAACTTACGACCGAAAAAGACGGCGAGCAATGCACTCACCACCAAGATGGACTTGACAGCTTGTGGGTCACGCGAGGTTTGCATGGCGCCGTAGAGGATGGCAGAGGCGCAGATGGAAGAGGCGATGAGGGAGGCAAGGGAGCCGGCTTTGATTAGGCCGATGAGACCGCCGAGAAACGTGATGGCTGGCTGTTAGTACATTTTGAACGAGGAATTCAGTCAGCTTACCTGCATAGCTGTAGCCGATGTAGTCTGGAGTAGGACGGAGGGGGGCCATTGTGTTGTTGTTGCTTGGTGTGTTGGTCTTGTGCGGAAGATGTCATCGAGGGCGAAAATGCGGAGGCAGATCACTTCACCAGATGGAGGGAGACCATTCTATATATTCGTGTATCTGAGTTACTGCTTCTCCGTGTACAGGCCCACAGTCTCAATGATGACCTTGTTCATCCACCGCTCCTCACCAGCCGGTGCATACCACCCCAAGTGCCCACCACGGCCCGTCACGGCCATCACAACATTCGGATTCCCCTGCATCTGCTTAAACGGCAGCGTCGATTTGCCCATAAGTGGGTCATCTGCAGCAGAGAGCACTAGCAAAGGCACAGTAACAGCGCCAACATGCTGGTCAGATGACGCAAGGTCGTAATACTCATCAGCACTCTTGTTGCCAAAAAGGCGACAAGTCATGTTTTCGTCAAAGTCATGCAAGCGTCTCGCAGCAAGCACTTTGGTGGCATCGATACCGGGATGTTGCAGCAGCCATTCCTGGTGTCGCTTAAACAACTTTTGCAAACCGCCCGTCATGGCGCGGGAGTAGAGTCGGCCTAGCGCATACGAATCGAGCAGGTCACCTGCTTTTTTGAGTTGCCAAGGGTTCGACACACTGATGGCGACATCCACTGTTTTGTGAGCACGCTCGGGCATGCGGCCCAGGTAGTTGCACAAGATATTCGCACCAATCGAGTAACCACAAATGACAATCTTCCTGTTTGGGAACTTGGACCTGAGGAAATCCATGCACGCTGCAAGGTCATCAATAGCCCATGCAGACCAGTATCGCTTGCTTGTGACTTTACTGCGTGCACAACCCCGCGCATTGAAGACAACGCAATCCACATGACTGTCTTCATCTGGGTAGGTGTTGTAAATAGCTTCAATCGTTGATCGTACATAACTCTCGTGCGAGCCACCCGATAAGCCATGCAGTAAAACAACGAGCGTACCTGCATCATTTGCACCTACCTGCGCCGTCTCCTCATCCGTCATCAAGACTGTTCGTGGCGGTAGGCTTTTATCGCCTGATTGAATATAGTCGTTGAGTTCGAGTGCACGGTCCCGTCGAATAGCAATGTCAAGGACATTGTTGCCGCCATCTTCCTTGTGCCAATAAGTATATCTGCGGTAGAAGACTGGGTAGACCTGCTCAAAGTTGGCAAGGGAAGAATAGAATGTCGATGTATGGGTATTGGAGAGCCAGTAACTCAAGGGGATCTTCTCATGCAGGGAAGGTAAAGCGCCGAGTTGCTTTGCCTGTTGCGAGGTGCTGTCGCCAAAGTACGTTTCCACCTCTGTCTCTGCGCCGAAGTAGCCAAACATGTTGATGCTGCTGATGAAAGAAGATAGATGCAGATGAAGATGAAGGAGCCTGTCCTGCGACTGTGCCAGGCCGTGCTAGATGACGAAGATGGTGTACTTATAGTTTGTCAATTTTTCTGTCGGTCCTCGGCCTCGGACAAAATTGTCGCATCCCGCGCCGGCGTTCAGGGGCACATGCAATCGGCAGGCTGCTCAGTCCTCAGAAGCAAGAGATGGATCCGAGGTACACTGTTACTGTAGTCTGCAGACAGTGCTAGACACTGGTGGCAGGTCACTACTGTGGAAGTAGACTCGGCTGCATGGGCCCGTGGCCGACTACTTCCACTGCAACCGTCAGTAGGAAATCACGTGCTGTCGCAACAACCACCTCGGAGGCGTCTTACCGAATACCACCACTATCGATGGCTGCACTGCGGTATTCATGTATCGTTGAGAACTTCTGAGTCGATAGCTTCTGACTTCCTATTTGGTGTTCAAAGGGCTCCCATCAAGGGCGCTATCACAGCTTCAGAGGATTGAAGAACAAGTTGCACTCTACAAGTGGCCTGTACGTTATTTGATCGTTTCATCTTTGATGGAGATACGAGCTATCTCTTTAGGCTTCCCTCTCAATCCATTCGAAGAGTGGAGGCTCAAGCTCATGCATTTTTTCTCATTGGCTGGTCCCTGACTGGTAAGATAAGTGCACTGCAATTCAGGGGTCTTTGCCATCTGCCGGTGCTACATAACAATCTTCTTGGTCCTATCTCTTGAGTTTTGTGGAGCGCTCAAGAATGGGAGAAAGCCATAAAGGGATAGCGCGCGCCGCGGTCGGCTGACCAACAAGTCTATACATTGACTTGGCGTGTGTAAGACTAGCGTTTCTGCGCCTTCAATCGCTTCAGATCAGACACAAATCACTCCAGCCAAATGATACTCCTTCTCTATACGGGTCTCTACCTTGGCGTCACACTAATGCTACATGGTGTCGCTGCAATCCGCCCAGGTTCCCAACAACTCGAGTCGTGTCACTACAACGGATTCATGCTACAAAGCAGCCACAAGAAAGAACGTCCGATGCCGCCGGAAATACAATCACTCAAAGACAAGTATGTTTGTGGCAAGGATAACGAAAAGGCCACTCAGGACGGTATTCATGCAAGGACTCCATAGAGCTCTGTGCTGACTGCAGGTTGCTATTTCGACAAGGCGAAGTACTATAGTGATGTGAAGGACGGAACCCTCAATCACGACTCTAGGCACCCTGATCAAATCCTCATTTGTGGTCATGCTCCAGCGTGGGTCCAAGAGCTTTGCTACTTCCTTGACGGTGGACGCCAATTTGCCTGTGGTGTTAGAGGTAAGCTGGACGATCTTCCAAGTAAGAAAGCTCACAAGGACTAGGTAAGCCCTTATACAACATCAGAGCCACCATCAGCGAGCAGACTGTGGATCTTGGCACTTTGGATCTCAGCGAACTCTACTTGAATCCAAAGAAATTTTCAGCTCCGGAACAGGATGATAGAGACAAGTCCGGTGGAGGTAAACTCTTCAAAAGTCGAACATACAGTGAGAGGTCTTTGATTTGCTGCAATCTTGGGCTAACACTGTCAGCGCAAGGATGTCATGGTGAAAGTGATGAAAAGCATCATGTTGCAGAGTATTCCCTTACAGGCGTATGGGGAGCGCTCAATGACAAGGATGAGAACAACCCTGACCCAGTCATTTATGATGAAGAAACAACTGGAAAGTGGCTCATGAATGCTCTGAAAGAAACAATCGACGCATTGGTAAAGACTGGCGAGTACTCTTACAATGTTGCTCTCGGTAAGCTTTTTGGGCCCATTGCTTCGCTGTTGCTGATGACCAGGATGTCCCGATCAACAGCCGATCAGATTTAAACGAAGGGCTTATTCAACTAAGCGTTCCGCGCCTGGAAATGTCTGTGCATCAGAATGGTTTGATTGTGAAGCCTTGATTGAGGAAGGATGCGGCTGGGTCCGATTCGGCGATGGCAAATCCGCGCATCCAAGCTGTCAAGAATATGTGGGCAACAAGTACTGCAGCCCTGAACAAACTCCCTGTAAGAATGCCACGGTAGGTTATCACCTACCGGAGGAAATCTCAGTTCACATCTATGACAAAGATGAACTTCAATCGAGCTATGCAAGCGTGAAATTCGAAGGGAAAGGCGTCAAAGTAGAATGCTCCAGGTTTGAACGTATCATGTCCTTTCTCCCTGGTTTCCAAACAGAATTTCCGGTGTTTCTGTTGGGGAATTTGATTGGTCTGAAGTGCCTTTTGCACGCCACTGCGAAAGATCCAGAGACTACACACATTACTCTGCAGGAAACGGGTATCGTCGCTCCACATACCTTGGCAGGTACAAGTGTCTATGCGGCACCTCCACCACCGCCACTTCCTTAATGTTCTTCATTTTGGTGCCGGTAGATGAATGGGTGTTTTCGAATATGGTCTGTTTGTTGTTCAACGATAATGTAGCTGTGTATCAATGCTATAGCTCTCTGCTTGCCTGTAGTCTTGTTCTTGCTGAGCTGCTCCTGATTTCTGTGCTTGACGAGATGGCGGCGTGAGAAATAGTTTGCAAAAGGGCGACAAGTGGGACGACTACAAAGTATACCGGGACTTTGCAGGGACCCAAGACACCATGAGCCAGGAGGAAGTTGATGGCCTGGCTGCAAAGGCAGAGCAACTTCAGCTAGAACAAGACTCATCCGATGAAGAAGGCGCAGAGGGCGATGCTGCAGCCGTAGAAGGCGCGCCCACCACTACACCCAAAAAGAAGAAGAGTGCGCATCCTACACCATTGTACAAAGCGCATTCAGCTGACTTAGTATAGAGAAGAAGTCCAAGAAGAAGGGCAAGAAGCAGCAAACTGAGCCGCCAACAGTACCGGTCAGCAAGCTCTTCCCATCTGGCATCTACCCAAAAGGCCAAGCCATGGCGTATAACGACAACTTGAAACGCACGACTGAAGAGGAAGAACGCGCGATTGAGCGGGAAAAGGATTGTGAATCGCGGTTCAATGATTTACGGCGTGCAGCAGAGGTGCATCGCCAGGTCCGTGGGTATGCGCGCAGAACCATCAAACCAGGGATGAGTATGACGTCTATTGCGAACTTGATTGAAGATGGGACGCGCTCGCTTGTTGAAGCGAATGGTATGCAGAGTGGCATTGGCTTTCCAACAGGTCTTTCGCTAGACCACTGTGCAGCGCATTATTCGCCGAACCCAAAGGATACGATTGTGCTGGAGCACGGGAATGTCATGAAGGTTGATTTTGGCGTTCACGTCAATGGACACATTGTTGATAGTGCCTTCACCATGACATTTGACCCGGTCTACGATGACCTGTTGAAAGCTGTGCAAGAAGCAACAGAAACGGGTGTCAAGGCAGCTGGAATCGATGTGGTTCTTGCCGATATTGGTGAACAGATTCAAGAAACAATGGAGTCCTTTGAAGTGACCATCAAAGGAAAGACTTTTCCAGTCAAGAGTATCCGAAACCTCAATGGCCACAACATCAACCCTTACAGCATCCACGGCGGCAAGTCCGTGCCCATCATCAAGCCGCGCGAGGACAACATGGAATATCAAATGCGCATGGAAGAAGGCGAGACATTCGCCATTGAGACATTCGGATCAACAGGCGCAGGGTACGTTCAGAATGTTGGCAATTGCTCACACTACGCGCTGATCCCAGCCGATAAGACATCGCAGCAGTATCGACAGCAGTACAACAGCGTTGCAAAATTTTCAGCGGCAAAACATCTGCTGCATGTCATTGAGACGTCCTTTGGAACGTTGCCGTTCTGCAGGCGTTATCTGGATAGGTTAGGGGAAGAGTCACATCTGTTGGGTCTCAGCCGGCTGGTGAAAGCAGGCATTGTCAATGACTATCCACCGCTCGATGATATTGATGGCTGCTACACAGCACAATTTGAGCATACAATCTTGCTCAAGCCAACGGCGAAGGAGGTCGTCTCTCGTGGTGAAGATTACTGAGATTCTCAGTTTAAGTACAACTATGTCTAAGACGCAGCGCTATGCAGGAAAGGACCGAAATGCCAATATGCCACAGGTGGAAAGGTTTATGTACAGCTCAAATGTTGAGAATGGACGACTCACGCTCAACAGATTGTCCAGAGGCTCGACGAACACGAAGGTGCTTCCTCTTGTTGTAGTGTAGGAATTGACCAAGAATGATGAAGTCAAAAATGAGCGTACCAAGAGAACCAATGATCCAAGCCATGGAGGACATGATATAGGCCTTTTCGCTGTTGTAGGCAAAGATGGATGCTGCATAGGTCAAGTTGCCAAAGACGCTAAAGATGAAGAAGAGCAGCGCAAGGCCCTCTGTTTGCTGTTTTCTGTAGTTTTTGAGGATCTGTGGTATCCTGGCACATAAGTAGAGTGCTGCAGAGGTGTAGCCAAGCAATTGAGGGCCAAGCGCAACTTTATCGTCTGTGGGTGGCAATGGGCCGTGACCGTGATGGTGCTTGTGATCACGGTGTGGGCCATCGTGAGGGATATACAGTGAGGCATACCATCCAGCAGCACCGAGCACAATGACGAGCAATACAGCTGCGACATTGAACAGGACATCATACGTCAGAATCCTTGTCTGTGCAGTGTGCTTGCCATCATTGAGCAACGCACTGCTCTCATCTGCTTCGTTGTCCGGTGCAAAAGGCGGCGCTACACCAGCGACTTCCTGTTCGAGCGTATCGACAATCGACTCGCCACGCTTGTAGATGTAGTTGAAGTAGTATGCTTCACCAAGGATGATAATGTCCGAGAAGATGTAGTAGATGGAGACCACCACCACAGTCGGCGCCAAACCAGCCCAAAGCGCACCGGCGAGATTCAAAACATCACCCACTGCCCATAGACCAACGAATCCAATCGAGACACCCTCTGCTGACCGCGCGCGCCATATTTCATACACGAGCGGGATTCCGTTACACAGCCAAAAGGCAAGTGAGATGGCGCCAATGAGGTTTGAGATGTCGGCCCGTGTCCAGACGATGACCATGGCTTCTTGCATAGCATCCCTTGAGAGAATCGCTGCCATAATGATGCTAACAAACACACTCTAGGGGCTACTGGTTGTCTTTGGGTCGGAGGTCGCGTGCCGGGAAAAAGAAACTTTCTGCAGATGTTATCTCACAGTCACATATTGATAAGCCAGGAAGCTGATTTCGCGTACGAAGAGAGTATATAGTTGCTATTCCTGCTAATCTACTTAAATAGTAAGTACAGACTGACCAGACTAGCCTGACCATCTGCCAAGACGCCGGCTGAAGTTGCCCTGTTTGGTGAGATCGGTCCAGGCCGACCCCGATCGAAGCTTACGAATCAGCAGAAGTAGAACTTTAAACACCGTTACACAAGAGACGGTGACAAGACCTCCTCCCTGACGTGGCCGCCTATAACGAGGATGGTATCTTCACCATCACATGCGGCGTCACGGCGCAATTACAAGGTAGAAGACCACCGGGGTCACGACGACCTCGAAATGTCCTCCTCTTCTACCTTGTCTCCTGCTCAATCAAGTAATCTTGGCAAGCGCCCAAAACCAACCTTTATCCAGCGCGTCAATTTCCTCAGCAGAGCGCATCCAAAGCCTGTTCCGGATGACCCTGGCGTCTGTCCAGAGAGAGATGCAAATATCATCTCGCGCCTCTTCTTTGAGTGGATGACGCCACTCATGCATCTTGGTTACACAAGACCCCTCGAAGCTGGCGATGTTTGGCGTGTTGATGAGACACGTACGGCAGAGCAGCTGTCCAAAACGCTGCATGAGAATCTGATGAAGCGCTCTGCAACAGGCAGCAATCACGCTTTAGCGTTTGCATTGTCAGATTCACACAGATGGACATTTTGGTCGGGCGGTGTCTTCAAATTGATGAGTGATACAATCCAAACACTCAATACACTTATCATTCGAGCGTTAATTCGATTCGTGGGCGAAGCATACTACTACGCGCGTGACCCTACTCTGCCAAGGCCCAACATTGGACGTGGCGTAGGGCTCGCAGTCGGCCTCTTTCTGATGCAAGCAGCTTCGGCCTTCCTCACGCACCACTTCTTTTACCGTGCCATGATCACAGGTGCCCTGTGCCGTGGTGGTCTCATTTCCCTCATCTACAAAAAATCATTGCGTCTCTCCAACAAGTCTCGCACAGAATGGACGAATGGTAAAATCACCAATCTCATGTCGACCGATACGTATCGTATTGACTTTGCCGCTGGTTATGCGCATATGCTATGGACTTCGCTCATTCAGATTTGCGTCATTCTCATTATCCTGTGCGTCAATCTTGGTGCATCGGCGCTCGCTGGCTTTGGGCTTTTGCTCATCTCGACACCAGCCATGACTTGGGTCGTAGGAAAGCTGGCCGTCAAGCGCAAGCAATCCACCGTGTTTACAGACTCGCGCGTTCGTCTCATGCAAGAGATTCTGGGTTCTATGCGCATCATCAAGTTTTACGCTTGGGAAGACTCCTTCTTGAGTAAAGTCACGGCACTGCGCATCAAGGAAATGCGAATTGTTCAGTACCTGCTCATCATGCGATCTGCCATCAACGCCGTGGCCATCAGTGTTCCTGTGTTTGCAACAATCTTGGCATTCGTCACGTATAGCTTGACTGGTAATCCACTGGAAGCAGCAACGGTTTTCTCATCTCTAACACTCTTCAACTTATTGCGCATGCCACTCATGTTTCTGCCACTTGTTGCGAGTTCTATGACGGATGCGCAAGTTTCGCTTAAACGGATCCAGGCCATGCTATTAGCGGAAGAGATGAATGACGAAACAGTCAAGTCTACCGATGCAAATTCGGCAGATGCCATTGAAGTGCGCATGGCAGACTTTTACTGGGAGACCTCTGGTGAAGCTACAGAGAAACCAAAGGAGAAGCAGGTGAAGCCTGCAACACGACGGTTCTGGCAAAAGAAGGCACCGCAACAGCCAGAAGTGCCTAGTATTGTTGTTCACGATGAAAAGGCGCGTGAGCGCGATTCAACGGATGATGAGGCTGAAACGGACAGAGCACGTCGGCAATTGCATCGCTCCTTGTCTCATGCAAGTGCTGCGAATGGTCCCGCACCTGCAGATATCTCCTACACGACTGGTGCCGTACAACACGAGGAAGCGAAAGAAGCTCAAAAGATGCTTGATTTGCCTGAACGCGAAGTCCGTGCTGCTGATTCAACACCGCATACTGCATTCAGTATTCGCAACCTCAATGTCACGATCCCTCGCGGCTCGCTGGTGGCCATCGTAGGTGAAGTTGGCAGCGGCAAAAGTTCCCTTCTTGCTGCCCTCGTGGGCGAAATGCGCAAGGGAAGTGGTTCTGTAAGTGTGCATGGCACGCTTGGTTTTTGTGCACAAGTACCCTGGATCATGAATGCTACTGTACGCGACAACATTTTGTTTGGTCGACCATTCGATGCTGAACGATACCGTCAAGTCGTCTACGCTGCAGCACTCGAGCCAGACTTTGAGATTCTTCCACAAGGCGATATGACATTGATTGGCGAGCGTGGCATCACGGTTTCTGGTGGACAAAAGCAACGTCTTAATATTGCACGCGCCGCGTACTTTGATGCAGACATCATCTTGCTCGATGACCCTCTCTCTGCAGTCGATGCACATGTCGGCAACCATCTAATGGAGAAGTGCATCACTGGTCTGCTCAAGGAAAAGACACGCATTCTTGTCACTCATCAGCTACACGTCTTGCCTGAAGTAGACCAGATCCTCGTTGTTGACCATGGCCAAATTATTGAGCAAGGATCCTACCAAGAACTGCTCGACCATGGTCAAAACTTTGCCCGTATCTTGCAAGAATTTGGTGGGAAGCGCGAGGAGGAAGCCGAGGAGCAGGAGATCAAGGAGATGGATGCCGAGTTGGGAGATGTCAAGGCGAAACCCGCCAAGAAGGCTTCTCCTGCACCAGCAGCGTCTGCTGAAGAACGCGAGACAGGAGCTGTGGCGTGGGATGTCTACAAGGCGTACTTTTCATCTGGCGGAGGTCTTTGGACTGTTCCGCTTATTGTCATTGTCCTCATCATTGCACAAGTCGCTCAAGTGGGCAACAACTTGTTTTTGTCCTTTTGGTCCAACGACACATTCAATCGCGCGGAAGGATTCTACATTGGCATCTATGCTTCTCTGGGTGTCGCGCAAGCATTGGCTTATTTCGGTCTTGGTTTGGCCTTGACGCTCGTTGGTAACAAGTCAGCTCGTGTACTGCACGCAAACATGACCCATCGCATCTTGCGAGCTCCTATGGTATGGTTCCTGCTCTTCAAGTTGCATCACTAACAATAGTCCTTCTTCGACACGACACCTATTGGACGGATCACGAATCGATTCTCAAAGGATCAAGATACGGTTGACAATCTCATCTCTGACAGTATTCGCATGTTTATGACGACGTTTGGTTCAATCATGGGATCCTTCATTCTCAGTATCATCATCTACCACTACTTTGCAGCAGCCCTCGGTCCGCTTCTTATCCTCTTTTACCTCTTTGCGCTCTACTACCGCGCTTCAGCAAGAGAGATCAAGCGTCTGGATGCGATTCTTCGCTCGAGCGTATTTGCTCAATTTGGTGAGACCTTGACTGGTCTGTCAACTGTACGCGCATATGGTGAGCAAGATCGTTTCATCAAACTCAACTCCAAGTACATTGACCAAATGAATGGCGCATACTTGCTCACCATCATCAATCAGCGCTGGCTCGGTCTTCGTCTTGATTTGACGGGTTCGCTGCTCATTTTTGTCGTTGCCATTCTTGCTGTTACGTCTCGCTTCAATGTCAATCCCTCAACAACTGGTCTTGTGCTCTCCTATACGATGCAAGTCATTGCCATGATTGGCTGGATGGTACGACAGCTCGCCGAAGTGGAGAACAACATGAACTCTGTGGAGCGCCTCTACCACTACGGCACAAAACTTGAGCAAGAACGCGCCTTTGATTCCGAGCCAGACAAGAAGCCTGATGCAAGCTGGCCATCTGCTGGACGTATCGAGTTTGAGAATGTCACGATGAGCTACAGACCTGATTTACCTAATGTCTTGAAAGGCATGTATCTGAATATTGAGCCAGGCGAGCGTGTTGGTATCGTGGGCCGCACAGGTGCCGGCAAGTCTTCGATTCTCGCAGCCCTCTACCGGATCTCAGAGCTTAAATCTGGTAGCATCAAGATTGATGGTGTTGATATTGCCAGTATCGGTTTGCATGAGCTGAGAAAGCAACTCTCCATTATTCCACAAGATCCAGTCATGTTTGCAGGTACTATTCGAACGAACCTGGACCCAGAAGGGATTCATACTGATCTGGAGCTTTGGGAAGCCCTCAGGCAGTCGCACGCTGTGCCTGCTTCAGCTGGTGAAATGAGTAGCGCATCGTCATCGACTGGCAGCGCGCCTGTAAACGCACACGACAAGGCGAAAGAGGACGGTGCATTGACGTTGGACTCGCCCGTGGAGGATGAAGGTCTTAATTACTCCCTTGGGCAGCGTCAATTACTTGCACTTGCTCGTGCACTGCTTCGCAAATCTCGCGTTGTGGTATTGGATGAAGCGACGAGTAGTATTGATTTTGAGACGGATAGTTTGATTCAAGAGTCCATGGCACGAGGATTCAGGGCAACAACCGTCCTTTGCATCGCACACCGACTACGGACCATTGTCAGCTACGAGAAGGTCTGTGTGGTGGGTGATGGTCAAGTGATTGAGTTTGGCACACCCAAGGAACTCTTTATGAAGGAAGGAGCACAATTCAGGGACATGTGTATTCGGAGTGGCATCAATTTGGCTTAGTTACGTACTGTAGGTTGGGAGCATATACGAAATGATCTAGCATGTTACAATTCAAGCGTGACTTGAGTAGGAGCGTCAAACGCTCAAATCGGCATGGCGAAGTAGCTAGCATGACTGAAGTCTGATCAGGGCTGGCGGTGAGCGAAAGCCAATTGAGCGCTACTGTAGACGTATATGTGAATGCTTATATAACAGGAAGATAACTCGAATTACTCGCCACTGGCATCACGCCAATCATCGCGTACACCATGCTTGCCGAGGTTCTGCTTGAGTGTTGATGATACCACTTCAAACGTCATGAGTGTCAATGCACTCGCCGGTACAGTTCTCACGAAATTCGTACCCATACCAGAGTAAAACATGCGCCAGCCTTCTTCCCGCCGAATCAACTTGAACGCATGCCAGATGCCTGTGTATTTGTTGCGTGGATCATTCTTTCTGTATTTTTGATTTTGCAAGCGTGTGCGTAGGACTTCATGCGGGTACGTCGTGGCACTAGCAATCATTTTTGAGAGGGAGCTCGAGAGCAGGATGTTGCTCAACTTGGCATCAGGGCCCTGAGCACCAAACCATTCCTTCATGGCTTCGTAAAGTGGAAATTGCACGGCGACATGGGCAATGCCAAAGTAAGAAGGCCCGAGGCCCTTGTAAAAGGTAGACAGCCCTTCCTCACGAAACATGGTGCGAAAGGCATCGAGCGTTGATTTGTATTTGAGCCCATGCTCGTGCGAGGGCGACTGTGTCATCATACGCGTCTTCACAACCCAGATTGGGTTGGTTACGGTGGTGGAGATGGCGCCGGCCGTCATGGCAGCAGCGACATTCGGTAGGACTGCAGCACTTGGCTGTCCTGCACCATAGACATTGCGACAATGTTGATAGATGGTGAAGTAGGATGCCCATGTCGGCAAGTATCCCAATAGTACCGGACCCAGACCTCGATACAGTCCACGAATACCTTCCTCAAACCATATCCGCCGTAGCGAAGCGAATATACCACGATAAAGTTGTTGCGATGGCGGTGCAACACCCGCAGTGGGTACTTTGGGCGTCTCAAACGTCGGTGTATGCTGCGCTTGTAATTTTGTCTTGACGACATCCAGCGGACACGTCGCAACACTTGAGACGAGCCCCGCACACGCGCCAGCGACCGCATTGATGGCGGTATCGCTCATGCCATTTTGTTGCGGAATCACATAATCCCGGTGAGTCCCACCAATCTGCGGGTAGCGATAGTGTTGCCGTGCAGGCGGAGCGTCATTGAGATGCGCATCTGCTGCCGCAGCGGCGGATTCTGAGGAAGAGGTGCGGAGGTCGGTCGCGCGTCTTGTGGGCGGGAAGAAGTCAGTGTCGGAGGGCGGTCGCCGAGAATCCCTCGACATGAGACGAGCACGGCCGGGTTTTAATGAAGCTAGTAGGCGTCTCAGCAGGTCATCATAATCAGGTTCAGAGGAGCGGTAAGCTGTAGCGCTAACATGTGCATCTGCAGGTGTCGTCGATGAGGACGCGCTTAGGGTTAGGACAAAGCCTATCGCAACCAGACTCAACCCAAGTTGAACCAACTTACCACTTCTACTTCTGTGAATCTTCTCACATGTATCTTAGCTTCTTACAAGTCTATGTCTCAGTCATCAATGTCGACTAAGAACCAAAGGAAATTACACGGAGACGCTATCGGTATTGCTAATGGCTGAACGCTTCTGTCAATTTCAACTGATTTTGGCAACAGGCCTTGTGAAGTTCTTGTCACGGACTGACCTCCGAGCTCCCAGTGCTCATACCTTTCCGTCTTCTCAGCCGCGTCTGTCTCTCTCGAGCTCCCAGTGCTCATACTCTTCCGTCTTCTCAGCCGCGTCTGTCTATCTTGAGCTCCCAGCGCTCCTGCTCTTCTGCCATCACGCCGGCACCTGCAAGCTCTCAGTGCTATCGCACGTCCCGACGTATCTCTGTCGCATGTTTCACGCTCAGACTTGTTTCATGCTCAAACATGTTCCGCTCGCAAGCATCACTCGATTCTCGTCAAGACCTCCATCGGCAACTGCCAATATTCTTTTCAGGGTCTTTGCCATCGCCCACGTCTATCTCGTCTGTTCCGTTGCTTTAGGCTGGCAATGTATAGAAGGAGCGCTTCTCGCACCTTTGTAGCATTGTCAGCAACATCCGTTTACACCCAATACTACCTTCTGTTTGCAAGTTTCTGTTGCCAAAATCACACTCAGCCTAAGCTCCCTGTGTCCATCGATACGCCCTGTCTCGCCAGGTCGTGATCGTCACAGTTTGCTGACCATATGGTAGGGTTTACCAGAGACACCATTTCAGACACGTCCAACGTCCCAACCCCGAACATTTCTTCAACCTGCATCAGCAGGTCAGTGACCTCATCACAGAGATGCAGCGCCTTGGAGAAGCCAATGCTCAGCTTCGAGCAACAGTCGAGTCTCAGGCCGCTAGCTTGGAGTTCCAGCGCCAGGCCGCGGCCGAAGCACCCTTAGCCCACGCCAATCGCCACCTCGGCAAGGTGCATCAGACCCAAAGTCATTCGACAGATCTAGCAACGCCATGCCCGTACGAGATTTCATCGACTCTTGTGGATTAAAGCTCTCCGCCGAGCGAGAGCCCCTCATCACGGAGTCCGAGCGTATCTTTTACGTTGGTGGCCTCCTCACTGGTGCTGCCCTTAAGTGGCGCCGCTCGTTTGCCGTGGCCGAACCACACAATCCCGGCTTGACGCGCCCCACGTTCAACACCGTCAAGGAGCTGTTTGACTCCTTGGACACTGCTTTTTCCCGGGGGAATGAGAACGTTAAAGCTCGCAACGAGCTCAAGAAACTCCAGCAAGGAAAGACTCCCGCATGTCGTCATGTAATCGCTTTCCGAGCCATCACCGCGCCTCTGGACTTGACCGATGAGACTAAGGTCTTTGAGTTGCGTCGCACCTTGGACCAAAAACTACGTTCGATTTTGTCCTTGTAAAGCGCGGCGCCACTTGAGAGCAGCAGCCGAAAGGAGGTTACCAACATACTGAATACGCTCACCCTCAGTAGTCATGCGCTCTCGTTCAGCAGAGAGTTTGAGACCGCATGAGTCGATGAAGTCCCGTGCCGGCTCGGAGGTGCTGGAGCCGTCGAATGACTTTGGGTCTGGTGCACCTTGCCGAAGTGGCGATTGGCGTGGGCTAAGGGTGCTTCGGCCGCGGCCTGGCGCTGAAACTCCAGGCTAGCGGCCTGAGACTCGACCGTTGCTCGAAGCTGAGCATTGGCTTCTCCAAGGCGCTGCATCTCTGTGATGAGGTCACTGACCTGCGATGCAGGTTGAAGAAATCTTCGGGAGTTGGGACGTTGGACATGTTTGGATTGGTGTCTCTGGTAGAACCGGCCGTATGGTCAGCAAACTGTAATGATCGCGACCTGGCGAGACAAGGCGTATCGATGGTGACAGGGAGCTTAGGCTGAGTGTGGTTTTGGTAACAGAGACTTGCAAACAGAAGATAGTATTGGGTGTAAACTGATGTTGCTGACCATGCTACAAAGGTGCGAGAAGCGCTCCTTTTATACTTTACCAGCCTCGAGCGAGGACATGACGAGAAAGAGGTGGGCGAGGGCAAAGACCCTGAAAGCATCTCAATGCAGACACCGGACCTGTGTTGAGAAAGACATCCACGCTCACAGCGTGGAGTGTTTGTGGGACAGAAATAGACATCCCCACTTGCGAAGCGAGCGTGGTGTGCTTGTGACGGAAACAGACATTGATGCTTGCGAGCGTCACATATTGGAGCGTGGTCCACGAGACGAGGTGAGTGCGATGCTTGCGCGGCCGCATTAGGAAGGTGGATACGCCGGGCCGTATGATAGTGCTAAGAGCGGAATTGAACCGTCGGGATGGAGAAGTGTCAGGAGTGCTGGGAACTCAGGAGAGGTAGCGATAGCCGAGAAGAGAGAACGACGAGATGGAGGCGCGGAGAGATCAGTCCGTGACAAGTGGGCGATGGCAAAGACCCTGGAAAGAACATTGGCAGTTGCCGACGGAGGTCTTGGTCTTGGTGAGCACCGAGTGATGCTTGCGAGCGGAACGTGTCTGAGCACGAACTATGCCACAGAGAAGCCGTGCGGCATGGAGAGACAATAGAAAGAAATACGTCGGAACGTGTGGTAGCACTGAGAGCTTGCAGGTGCCATCGTGATAGCGGAAAGGTAGGAGCCCTGGAAGCTCGAGAGAGACAGACGAGGCTGAGTAGACGGATGAAGGCGAGACTAAAGTGCGACGAGGTCAGTGCGTGACACTCGTGTCTTCACCAAGCTGGACTTACGCGGTCCTTACAAGCTCCTGCGTATTGCTCCCGGTGATGAGTGGAAGACAGCCTTTTGAACGCGCTACGGGCAGCCTGAGTACAACGTCATGCCGTTTGATCTGACAAATGCTCCAGCGTCGTTTCAAAGCATGATGAATGATGTGTTGCAACCATTCTTGGATGTCTTCGTGGTCTGCTACTTGGATGATGTTCTCATCTACTCTAAGTCTCAGTCAGATCACAACCAACATGTTGCTTCTGCCCTCAAAGTCTGGCAAAATCTGAACAAAGTGTGTTTTGCAACAATTTCAGTAGCAATCAGCTAGTTACTCTTCTCGATCCTTTGCAAGTTATCTTGCTGTTTTCGTTGCCTATTGAGGTCACCCTTCGATGGCACGAGACAAAGCTTCATCGCATTCAGGCCACGGTTCTCCAAAACTCATCACAAGTAATGACGATGCACAGAAGTATTCAAACTTCTGTGCATGTTGTGACTTGATGTAGGCCAGGAACTGAGAGCAAAAAGCTTTCCATTCGGAGTTTTTCACTAGTCCACGAAGCGACTGAAGTTGGTTGGGCCCTCGAGGTCTAGTGAAAATGCACGAAAGTGCATCCACCACGATCTGTCGTAGTTTTTCCTTAGGTATCACATGGCGACAGAAAAGGTCGAAATCCGACTTGGTCGATTCCAGAGATTGGGCGAGGGCATCCTTGATCTCCTCGTCGGTTGAATGGCGCAGGACTAGGATCTCGGACTCCTCAGTCATCTTCAAAGGAGCAGTGATCAAGTTGAAGTCAGCAATGCGCTGAGTTGCTGCCTCGGTATCTTGACGAAGGCGATCGAGCTTCTGGGTTGCCTCATACTGTTCGTCACCAACCTGGAACGCAGACTCCAGTTCGGTGAGCATCTCGTCTGCTGATTTGAACCCAAAGTCGGTGCCTCCGCGGTGGAAGTCCGTCTTGGATTGTTGCCAAAGGCTAGCAGCCTCGCCTAGCAGACTGGAGACCCACAACATCTTGTCGAATTCAGATTCCAGGCGGTAGGATGGGCTAGCGAGACGCATACGGCAGGCTGTGACAAAGTGTCGGACGTTAGACTTGCCCGGCTCCCCCGTGAAGGTCTCGGGATCCTTTGCCTTCAGGCGCGACTGCGAAGAGGGCAAGGGCGAAGAGGGTGCCGGAGGGGCTTGAGCAGCCAAGGCTTTAGCAGCGAGAAGTTCTTGACGGAGGCTCTGCAGCTCAAGTTGATGGGCATGGTGGAGCTGCGCCATCTCGTTGGCCAAGGCGTCGACCTGAAGATGAACTTGGTGCTGGTCGTTCGCCACGGCCTGAATGGCTTCTTCGGGGGTCATACCCACAGGGATGACTGGGTCGGATGACTCGATTTGCATGGGTGTTGTTGTCTGGTGTGGTGGGGTCTACATGTAGTGTGATAGGGTTTAGATAGCTCCAGGGGCCGGTTCAAGGCATCTGAGTGCGGCATCAAAATTCAGACGTCCGCATCCCGTCATGTGGCTGCCTTCAAAGCCATCGTTGCAGGGTCAGATCAGACCAACTTGACGTGGTCATATATCGCTAGCTCTACGTATTCACTTCGAGTGACTGGGTTCTAAGAATCGCCTGTGACACCTACAGCATAACAAATCGTCGTCCGACCTGTATGTCCTTTGGATGAAGCCTGACCTCGAATGAGTCATCGGTAGATGTCGACTGCCACTTGATAAGCCTGCTCCGTGAAGACTCCCTTCACTTCACAACTTCTGCCGCTACAAGGGCGACATGTCAGCTGTAGCCACCGAAGCGCGTCCGGTCACTGGTTCTCGTCTGAATATCTCGCGAGCTCGAGGCGTATGGCACAGGTCTACCAGACGACCTGTGACAGCACCAGCTCAGCTCGTAGGCGGCAACGCTTGGTCGCGAGCAACCACCCCAGCAACCGTGCGGCAGCCACCTCCTTCAGATCCGGTTCGTTCAGGTCCTGTCAACACAATCAGCCATCTGTCGTACTCTGGTGGATACAAGGACGCCGAGCAGGCAATCAAGAACGTTGTGGTACCCACAATCAGGCAGCACTTCCCTGGCATGGACTTCGCCATCTCATTAGTACTTTATCAAGACAAACCGACAGTATTAGTAGGTGTTCGAGATTCAGAAAGCCTGCGACCCTACCTGCAGACGCAGTATGGCGGCTTGCCAGTATTGCTCGTTTCCGCAACGACTGAGCAACGCACAGATGTGGTCGATTCTGCCCTGATCGATCGGACAGTCGACAAAGCTATTGGCGGCAGCATCGCCAGCTCACAAGCTGACTTTGCTGGTAGCTTTGGGTCTATTTGTGCGCGAACGAAGCACGAAGGAGATTTGTGCCCTGACGGCCTACCATGTCGTCCACACTGACGACCTTGTTAGTTGCCAGTAAAGTGCGACATGGCAGCCATGGCGGCATAGCTGTATGCGGCAACTCCAGCTAGTGGGAGACGGTGTACGGTAGCAGGTAAGCACAAGAGTGAAACGTCGGTGTGTATGACGTGATATGCCGTCAAGACAAAAATTGCCTTTGTGCTTCTTTCGCGCACGAAAAGACCCAAAGTACCAACAAGATCGGTTCGTGAGCTGGCGATGCTGGTGCCAATAGCTTTTTCAACTGTTCGTTTGACCAGGTCGGGATCGTGCATGTCAGTGTGTGTCTCAGTCGCTGCGTAGGCCAGCAATACTGGCAAGCCGTCATATTCTGTATGTAGGAAGGGTCGCAGTCTGGATGGCGGACGCCTACAAGTACTGTCGGTCGATCTGTGTAGAGTACTGATAAGCTTGCGATGTCCATGCCAGGGAGTTGCTGCTTCATATTGGACACCATAATGTCTTTGATGGCCTGTTCGGCGTCTGCATACTCATGAAATACGACAACTGGGTAATTTTCTTGATAGGACCTCAGCGGGTCGGATCCACAATGAATGGCTGCGGTACGGTTGCTGGAGCGATGCCGGAGAGCAGGCGCCGCCGCCTGCAAGCTGGGCTGTAGCCGTCCTAGGTCGGTTTGTAAAGCCCTGCCATACGCCTCGCGAAGTATTCAAAGAAAAGGCAGTGAAAAGGGCGCATTGAGTAGCTGCAGTTGACATGCCGTACTTTTAGCAACAGAAGATGTGACAGTCGACATTCATCGATGACTGATTTTGAAGACAGGCTTCTGCTACGTCAACTCGACACTGATGAATGTGAGCTCTACGTGTCACTAGCGATCTGCTCAAGCTTAGATACTCATAAGATGACCTAGTCAGAGGTCCAGAGCTGTGATGGAGAAGATCGACTTTGCCCTAACCCCAAGCACGTTCTCGCCGACGATGATGCTTCTTGCTTCGTGCTTATGGCTTCCTGCTTATTGCTTGATGCTTAATGCTTAATGCTTAATGCTTATGCTAGCGCTAGTTCTACGGTCGAATGTCCGCGGCCCGATCTTCACTTTTGCCGACAGTGGAAGTAAACTGTGCTTGACAATTCAATGACGAAGCCTACCAATCTAGCACTAGCAGCTCCCGAGATGTCAGTAAGATCATTATAGCCGCACAGGCGATCGTTGACTCAATGCACAATCAATACTTGATCAGCTGCCAGAAGGCTCATCCGCAAGTCTTGCGTATTGTCGAAGTCAAAGAAGCAGAAGAAGATGAGCTGGTGCTATGACGATATACTTGTCTGCTTGGCGGAAGTGAGTGGCTTCGATAGGGCAATTTTCAGTATCTAGCTTGAGCAGACACGTATCGCATCACAGTCATGTGAACTTGGCAAATGCCTGACTTCAAATGAGTCATCGTTGGTCGAGTTGCACTTGATAAGCTTGCCCTCTGAAAGCTGTCTCCACTACACTTATACACATCTTCTGTCGCTACAAGTACGACATGTCAAGTATACCTGCCCGAACGCAGCCTGGTGCTGGCTTTCTTTCGAGTAGTCAACGAGGGGTATGGCAGGGCTTTACAAGACCTGTGAGGGCTCCAGTTCAGTGTGCAGGTGGCGGCGCTTGGTCTCGAGCAAGCGCTTCGGGAACCGGATCGCGGCCAATCATTCTAGGTCCTTGTCGCCGAGGTGATGTCAAGACGATCAGCCATCTGTCGTACTCTGATGAGTACAAAGACGCCGAGCAGGCTATCAAAGAGATTGTGGTGCCCACCATTAGGCAGCACTTCCCCGAAATGGATTTCGCTAGCTCTCTTGTACTGTATGAAGACATACCGACAGTATTAGTAGGCGTTCGAGATCCAGTCGCGGTGCGACCTTTCCTGCAGACAGAATATGGCGGCTTGCCAGTATTGCTTGTCTCCGCAACGACTGAGACACGCACTGACACGCTGGATCCTGCCCTGATCGATCGGACTGCCGGAAAGGCTATTGGTGCCAGCATTGCCAGTTCACAAGCCGACTTTGCCGGTACTTTGGGTCTCTTTGTGCGCGAAAAAAGCACAAAGGCGATTTGTGCCTTGACGGCATATCACGTCGTGCACACTGACGATCTTGTTGAATGTCCTGCAAAGTGCGACGCGGAACCCATGTTGGCCTATCTGCATGCGTCGATTGCAGAGCTTGAGGATCTTATTGCAAGAAGACAAAGCTATAACAGGGACACCTCCGAATACGAAATCACATTGGCCAGGTCGAAGAGTCAGTTGCTCCAGCTGACGACGCCAACAACGGCGTGGTTTGGCCGTATCATGGCATATATCTATCACGTTCCGACTCAGGCGGATCCAACGCACTCGGATTGCGCGCTGATTGAAGTTGTGGATAGTGAGCAGCTGGATGATCGCAACACGTACAAGCATTGTGGCATTCCCTGGACTGTGACAGACTTCCTCGACCCAAATAACGAGCAAGTTAAACGAACCGACTTGTTAACCATGGTTGGTCGCTCTTCTGGAAGGACCTATGCCTATAAGAATGAGTACAAGTTCCACCTATCCATGACGGCGCACACAGGGAAGGTTATGGAAACCTTCGAGTCGTGGGCTGCCTGGAACGAATCATCAAACTTGACCACAAAAGGTGACAGCGGCGCCGCAGTGGTCAAGCAACACGGGATGTTTCAGGGAGACGCAATAGGTATCGTCAATGGAGGAACGATTCTGTCTATCCCGACTCGAGTTGGCTACTTGCCTTGTGATGTGACTTTCTTCGAGTCCATCACGACGGCGGCCGACTTGCTGAACTTCGAAGTTATTGGTTACGATACACCGTAGCTACTTCCTTATGGATTAGCGTAGCCTTCCTGCTATCTTAGATGCCGTATATCGATGTGCACAGATCGAATTTGAATGGATTTCGCCGGGAATTATCATTTACATAGAGGCGCATTGCAAGGTCATGGTTATAGAACGTGACACTGTCTATTTAATCTCCACTGCAGCGAACAGTGAGCTGTCCCATGTTTGCTGAACGTGCGCATGCGGCACGCTTCGACTCCTTCCTGTTTCACAACTTGTCCATTTGCTGTATCAGATTTCAAAGCTGCGTGCGGGTTGTCGCCGCCGAGTTGTCGGGCTGCGTGCTTAACTGCAGTCTGAAACTTCCGCGGCCCGATCTTCAACCTTTGCCGACGGTGCCAGCTGCAGACTGCAAGTAAAACCAACCGCGCTGGACAAAGTCGGCCTACATCTAGGAGCTCGGTAAGATTCCAAGCTTGACGGCCGCACAAGCGATCCTTGAAATCAACATTCGATCGGCTGCCAGAAACCTCATCTGCGAGTCTGGCGTGTTGCCGTAGTAGAGGAAGCAGAAGATGATGAGCTGGTGCTAGAACGAGATCCTTGTCTGCTTGGCGGATACCGGGTCATCTCGCTTGACTGGCTGCACATGGAGGGCATTGACCAAAGTGAGGGCGTCAGCACTTTCTGAACAGCGCTTGGAGATGCCGGTTCAGGCGAGGCATGCCGTGAGCTGCGATGTCTGTGCTCGCGCTCTTGCTCTGAAGAAGCAGTAGACCGTCGTTTTGGGTGACTGTGGTCATGACTGCGTCGATGTTCATGACTATGCCTGCGTTCTTTGTGATGACGGTGTTGTGCTTGTTGTGGCTTTGAGTTGAGCACCTTCTTGTCAATGTAGCTGGACACGAGGTCGACGAGGATATTGTGCATGATAGAAGATGCAAATTGGAATATGAAGACCCAGCAACAGGGTGTTGTCTCTGCCTTATATGCCCGGGCTTGTGTGCCTGCTTAGTGATCTCCCGCCCGGGTGTTTCAAAATGATTTTGCGTGCTTGAGTCTCAGGGGAGAATGCGCATTTCAAAGCAGGAAAAGCGCGTCGGCAGGAGAAAGGCCGACGCAGAGTACAGCTTGCACTGGGCATGATCTGGACTCAGGAAACTGTCTCGTGTCAATCTCAGGGCATGTATGATATGTACTAGCATATTGTTGCTTTAGATGATACAGATTTAAATTGTTTGTGACTGTTCTTTCTGCCTGCAACGACGACCAAACCAAATACTGTGGATAAACACAAGCAAGACGCGCCTAGCCAGACACGACCCTCTGCTACGCTAGACAGCGCGTCAGAGGCCATTCACAGCATCAGAAGTATGGAAGTCGAAGAGCTACATCCCCTCGCGGCCCAAATCTGCTATGCTGCGCCGAAACTGGCCAATGCGCCTCCACTGCTTGTACTCAACCTCAACAAACTGCCTCCCGCAGACCGCGTCGACTATGATGTCCTTCAGCAGGCTGTTCTCGATATTGTCGATGTTCAGACATTCGATGCGGCATACGCAGCGACAAACCCAATGTATCGAAAAGATGGCTGTCTTGCCTATGAGCTAGTTGTATTCTGTGCAGGGGGCAAGCACAGGCCCAGCTGGCCCTGGATGATTGGAGAATTTGCTGCGCTAAACAAAAAATACAAGAAGGCACTACAAAGACTGTACATCGTGCATGAGAAGAGCTTCGTACGAGTGGCGATGCAGCTGGTTGAACAGGCAGCGAGTCCGAAACTTGCAAAGAAGGTCAGACATCTCCGAACACTAGCGGAACTAGCGGAAGAGCTTGGGAAGGAACGTATGCAAGGATTGCGGGTTGATGAGGTTGTTTGGCAGCACGACATGCAAGTCATGGCAGAGTTACAGCAAGCAGAGCGCAAAAAGAACAAGACACGACGCAGTCCGCCTACTCCCGCTAGAACACACTCTGCGCCAGATCTCGTCATGCAAGCGCCTAGTCGAGACATTCATGCGACGAAAGAATTGCCGCCGCCTGTCATGCCGAGACGGCCGGCGTCGACACGTCCAATCATCACAGACGTACAAAGAAGCGATGAGCCAGTACACGCGAAGCCGCCACCTCGCGTGCCGACTACAAGATCTCAACAACGACTCGATCAAGAAGAGTGCCCCACTCCTATTGTGTCATCCTCTGCCGACGCAAAGAGGTCCATCTCTGCGTCATCGAGCATCTCTCTCATCATTCACGAGGATGAAGCCTTAGAATTGCCTCAGAAACCAGCAGCTCCCTCACCAAACGCGACACAGAAACAGCAGAAAGAGTCAATACCACTGCCCACCAAGTCTAAGGCCGCCTCAAGCAAAGCACAACCACTGAGACGTGCTATTTCAGGTCCATTGACGCCGGCGCAAGGTGCTATTCAGAATTTCTTGCCGAAAGATGCAGAAATGGTGGCGTTGCCATCGCTCAAGCAACAACTCAAACCAACCGTTCGACCACCCTCACCAAGGAAGAAGCCTGCGCAGATACAAAGCCTGCGTGCAAGCAGTGAAGGTCGTGTGGGTAATTTGAGGGCATTGTTTGAGGAGCGTGCCAAAGTTGCAGAGCAGCTACGTAGCGCCTGAGCGATAGACCGGCAACATTGCTTGGTGACTTGGTGACATTCTGTCGTCAAAAGGTGCAGCTAGATGCAATCTCTTGGCAATCAAAAGTGATCACATCGCGCCCTTATCTGTCGTATCTATGCGCGCTGGAAGTCGCAAACAAATGTCTGGTCATGGCCACTTGTCATGGTCAGCTTTACTCGCGGCGCCTTCTGAGTGGTTCCGGACCTCGTATCAGGAGCATGTATCGCAAATATACTGCCTTCACCTTTGCTCAATAAGCAAGCAGCCCCGACACGGGGGTTTACGTCCTTGGAGATGATATGTATTGTTTGCTGCACTGAGTCCAGATTTCGCAGCCAAAGGCTCTTGCTGGACCCTTGAATGCTCTTCAGATGGCCTCCAAGAGGGGAGTTTGCATGAGCCACGCGGGAATTCTGAGGCAAACAATAGGATATCTACAGCTGTCACGGTGAGATAAGTAAAGGAGAACAGCTTGCTTGACCAAGAGCAGTAACAAAGTCGGCGAATTTCGCAAGTATTGATAAGAACAAACAACAAAGGGGCCGCATTGATACGAGGCATCCAATCAATTTGGAGTGTATATAAAAAGGGTCAACCTGCTCATTGCTCAAGAGAACCTCATCACCCTCTAACCATCCACGTTAGCAAAACAAGTAAGCTTATGCAGTCTTAGCAGGTCTTCAGCTAATGATCATGCAGGAATGCAGCTCCCGAAGATCACCATCAGTATCGCTTTGCTTGTGGCATTTCAGCCTACAGGATTTGCATTGCCCACTGCTGGTCTGACTTCAACTGCTTCGTCCTCTTCTGCCGCCACACTTGGCCAAGCCTTGACGCATGCCAAGCGTGGTTTCTTCGGAGATTTCGGCTGCAAGAAAAACCCGTGGCATATATGCTAGACGTTAAGAGCCCTGCATGTCTCCATTTGGATTATCGTCAGTCTCTGATTGCAATTTTCCAGCCAGGCCAATTTGTCCAAAACCTTCCGGGTCTATTCATATAATCTTAGAATTCAAATCAAATCAGCTGCCGAGCTTTTGAAGCAGGCTATTCATACATATTCTGACTTTGGTAGCGAGGAGTGTCGCGTGACCTGTGATCAGCGAAATCCGCACGCTGTCATTTGACTCATCCTTCAACAATATACTGGGCTCGCTGCCATGAATAAGCTGAAGAAGGAGACTATTGGTCTCTTCACTTGGCAATGCGGCGGAGGCAATGCGGCCAGTTCTGTCTTCGATAGCGCGAATCTATGACTTACTATGAGCTCCGAGCCTATAGCCTGCAGCTGACGCCGGATTTTCTTCAGATGAGCTGAAGAGACGAAATTGGCAGGCCAGTGGCCTGTATAAGAAGGCCGTTTCCTCTTGCGCGATTGAGTTTCAACAAAACCACAGTCTTCTCCAAACATCAATCAATATCACTAAAGTAAGATACATCAAATCTATCACACTGCGCATTAATCTGTCGTATCTATGCGCGATAGGGACCGCAAAGAAAAGTCTGGTCGTCGCCGCTTGTCATGATCAGCTTTACTCGCGGCGCTCTCTGAGTGGTCCCGGACTTCGTATCATATCAGGACCATGTATCGCAAATAGACTGCCTTCACCATTCCTCAATAAGCAAGCAGCCCCGACACGGGGGTTTACGTCCTTGGAGATGATATGTATTGTTTGCTGCACTGAGTCCAGATTTCGCAGCCAAAGGCTCTTGCTGGACCCCTGAATACTCTTCAGATGGCCTCCAGGAGGGGAGTTTGCATGAGCCACGCGGGAATTCTGAGGCAAACAATAGGATATCTACAGCTGTCACGGTGAGATAAGTAAAGGAGAACAGCTTGCTTGACCAAGAGCAGTAACAAAGTCGGCGAATTTCGCAAGTATTGATAAGAACAAACAACAAAGGGGCCGCATTGATACGAGGCATCCAATCAATTTGGAGTGCATATAAAAAGGGTCAACCTGCTCATTGCTCAAGAGAACCTCATCACCCTCTAACCATCCACGTTGACAAAACAAGTAAGCTTATGCAGTCTTAGCAGGTCTTTGGCTAACAGTCATGCAGAGATGCAGCTCCCAAAGATCACCATCAGTCTCGCTTTGCTTGTGGCATTTCAGCCTACAGGATTTGCATTGCCTACTGCTGGTCTGACTACAACTGCTTCGTCCTCATCTGCCACCACCCTTGGCCAAGCCTTGACGCTTGCCAAGCGTAGAATGTTCGGAGATGTCGGATGCGATGAGTTGCTGAAGCCCCAATGCTGGTAACAACAGTACAGCATGTTCCCTTAGCTTACTGTCAGTCTCTGACTGCGATTTTCTTCTGAGTCTTGCTACAAGCAGTCTCCCTAGCCGGCTAATTTGTCCGAGACCTTCCGGGGCTTATTTCATTTATTCTTAAGGTTTCAAGCCGAATCATCTGCCGAGCTCGTGAAGCAGGCTAGTCATACATATCTCTATTTTGGAAGCGAAGAGTGTTGCGTGACATGTGAACAGTGAAAATCCGCGCGTTATCATTTGACTCATCCTTCGACGAGAATACAGGGTCCGCTGCCATACATAAGCTTAAGAAGTAGAATATCGCTCTCTTCAGTTGGCAATACGGCGGGTCCTGTCTTCAACTGCGCGTGTCTGTGACTTACGATGAGTTTCCGAGCCTACAGCCCGCAGCTGACCCCTATTTCTCTTCAGATGAGCTGTACAGACAAAATTTCCAGGCCAGTGGCCTATATAAGAAGTCCGTCTCCTCCTGCGCGGCCGAATTTCAACGAGACCACATGCTTCTCCAGACAGGCCTTCATCAGTTCCATTGCCAGTGCTTGATGGTTCACGGCCTAGCCAAGCGATGAACGCGAGCAACCTGGACAGGCAGGCCATGATGGAGCAGCTTCGGCGCTTGCAGCCTTCAATTAAACACAACAGCCGCTGCCGACGCCATTACCTCCAACACCGGCGCTTGAGTTTTCAATGATCAAGAGCCATTCACAGGCGAGCAGCAGCGTCATTCTGCCACGCCGCAAAGCAGACGCAATCCCGGTCATTTTGGTGCAGCAGAAGGGCATACGTCGCAACTCGGCCGAGAGATACCGTCCTCGCCGCCAATATTTACCGCCATGCAACCACCGACATCCACAGCTGATGTCTTTGGCACACAATCCCCAGGTTGGTGGACAGATTCTTCATTGTTGACTGCATCTATGCCCGCTCCCACAGGAGCTACTGGTGCAATTGAAAACACGCAGCGAGCCGGCTACTGGACGGCGTCAAAGCAAGAGACAGCTCGCTCACAGGTCCAGCCACCGATTGCAGTCGCCTTCAATCTATAGTCTGACGATGTCCGCGTATGTGATGAATATTGCTCGAAATAAACTAACACTACAGCCATGTGGACAAGGTACAGTCCAGACGGCAGACATGCCTTCATCACCGCCTTGGATCTCTCCTGCGGGTCAGCCGGTAAGTCATTCATGCTACTACCCGTCATGCGCTAACGAACTAGGTGCCAGAGCAAGCTGATATGTCCTCTTCGCCGCCAAGACCACCTCTTGAGCGTCGTCCAACTTGCCGAGTGGTAGAACTAATGCTAGCACCGAGGCGTGCGCAAGCCACACAGGCAGCAATAGATCCCACTCCTGTACCCACTCCTGCACCTACTCCTAGCCTTGCTTCGTCATTGTCTTCGGTGGATAGTCGTGTGGCCGACTCAACATTCAGGCCGCCAGTGCTACGTGGGCGTAGAGTTGCTTCTGCCGTGACTCCCGAGCTAGCGCAAGCCGACCCGGCAGCTAGATGGACTACATTGGACGACGTCAGACATTCATGGTCCACCATAAAGGACAAAAACTTGCGCATCCCAGCACCTTGCATACACTGTAAATGTACAGTTCACATTGGTCATACGACCAGCAATGAATGCTCTCACTGTCGAGACACGTCGTGCACTAGAACTGAAGATCTCAATCACCCAGGTGCTATCTACATGTTCGGCAGAGAAATTTATGCTACCCGGAGGCCGACTTTACAGACGGTATTGAGGCAGACTTGCTTCCACCCAGGCCAGAGCCTCTGACACGCCATGAGGGGATGCTCATTGTACGCGCAGCTCCCATCATCCCCATCTTTAGCTTGGCAAATGGCGGACAGCGTGTATACAAGGGTCACAGCGTCATTCTGCAGCAACCTTATGACCATATTGCCCGTGTCTTGCCGCGTCGGCCTGAAGACGTAGAAATTCTCTTTGTAAGACGCGACGGCGCAAGGCAAGATCTCAACTTGACTGTCTCAAAGGGCGTCATGCTTGACTGGCTTCGTTACCTCAAGGAACACAACCCATACTATGCCGATATTGAGATCGATCTTGATTGTGTGGATGAAGACGTTGGCACACGCCTTCAGCAGAATCCAGATGATATTCCTGCATCGTGGCCAGCCAGTATCGCATCTATTGCATCAAATCTCACAACGCCTGGTACTCCTGTCTATGAGGCGCCAGAGGCCGAGGCACATGACATCTTTGAGCTTCCAACAAGGCTCTGGGTCGATGGTCGCGATGCTATGTCGGAGTCTGAGCGTCAGGCTGCCATACTGGCGAGGCTACAGTTGGGAAACGATGTGATCAATATGCCAGCCCGCGGTACAGGCACCGTGCTGGATGCTCAGACACCTGGTCTACTCTCGTGCTTTCCACAGCTCTTCCCTCTTGGCACATTTGAATTCTTTATCCATGGGTCCAGACCTCGGCCATTCACACTCTCAATCTTTGGGAAGAGGACTATGCAAATGGGCGATGGCCGCTTCGTCAGGCATCCCTGCTTTCCATTTCTTTGGCAGAATGTGCTGGACAAGAATCGCGTCCGCGTCAGCTCCAGTGCAGGCCACGCATTCAACCCTCAAATCACAGATATGAGGCAGGAGCGGCGCTCCGAGCTACACAAGGACTTCACCAGAATGACAGCTGGAGAATCTGTCAGAGTCTTGGCGCAAAGACTCCCGCAGAACAGAATGTGCTGATGAGTGGTCTGCGTCGCCGTGGACAGGATGTCACGGGATCGCCAGCATTTTTGTACAAGCAGCGCCGCCATATAGATCCCATGTCACACGAGTCGGAGTGCCTGCATTGCTCGTCACGCTCACCATAGCCGATTCAATTGACTACGATCTCCATCAACTCAAGATGCCAGACTCTCACCCTTTCGAAGAGGGTATCAGTGTTGCTGAAGCCACTGAGTGCCGACGCAAACCTTGTTCGCCGGCCAGATATCGCTGCCGCACTCTTTTTCAAGAGGGTGGAACACTTTATCAAACACCTTGCTGGACGGGTAGCTGGACTGCCGAAGCTCACCGACCATTGGAGACGGTATGAATGGCAGGAGCGTGGAACACTCCATGTGCACATGTTTCTCTGGTTCGAGGGTCAGCCCGATATGGCCGAGCTTGATCGTGGCGACGAGGTTGTCATGTGAGAGTACGCACAATGGTATCATCGCTTCTGCACAAGCATGCAGCCTCAGCCGGCCAACGCTGAGAGAACAACCAGCAACGACCGTATGCTGCAAAGCAACGCTCAACGTGGGGACTTGCCTGCTGAGGCCGACCTCAAAGACCTTATCAACCGGAATGGAATGCAACGCTGCTCAGCGCATTGCAAGAAGCAAAACAAGGCGGGCCGAGAGTACTGCCAGCGGCATTTCCCAAAGCCTTTGTGTGACGAGCCCAAGATAGTCCACGATCAAGCTATTCAAGACCTCAAATTCGTTCCAGCGCAGAACCATCATCCTTACGTCAAGAACTACTGTGCGCCGTGGTCAATCGCATGGTGCCATGAAATGAACATCCAGCCCTGCACGAGCATGTACCGGATCCTCATGTACTGTACAAAGTACATCAGCAAGAGCAACAAGGCTCGAGTCACCTTGCACGAGATGCTCGATACTGTCCTGGACAGGACTGCAGACAATACACGCTTCAAAATTGTCTTCAGGAAGCTTCTCCTAGCACAAATGGCGCTGCAAGAGCGTTCGGCTCAAAAAGTGGCACATAATTCGCTCTGTCTCTTGTTGTATGCTCACGCACCATTGTACGTGCAAATTGCGATCCAGAGGCTTTCGTGTTTCTGTATTCCGATGCCGCCCTTGACGCTCCTATGTATGCAAACGCTTGGACACGGCATGAGAAACGCAAGGACTTGGATGATATGTCGATCTTCGAGTATATGCAAAAATGCACTGAGAAAGCCACACTACGCACTCGGGTTACAGTGGTGTGTGTGTCACCCATCTTCACGACGTTGCCAGACGCTGGAGCTCAACCACAGGTTCAAATTGTGTGTTGTCTGCTGTTTTGTCCAGGACTTTGTCGAGCAATCCAAGGTCACTCGAGCCTTGTTGCCTTTGCTGATGTACTTTGTACAGTACATGGGGACCTGGTATATGCTCTTGCAGGGCTGGATGTCCATTTCATGGCGCCATGCGATTAACCACGGTGCACAGAAGTTCTTGACATAAGGATGATTCTGCGCTGGGACGAATTTGAGGTCTTGAATAGCTCGATCGTGGACTATCTTGGGCTCGTCACATAAAGGCTTTGGGAAATGCCGCTGGCAGTACTCTCGGCCTGCCTTATTTTGCTTCTTGCAATGCAAGTCTCCAAATTTCAACCAAGATCACTATAGTAAAACGTATCAAGTTCTGGCGTATTGTATGCTCACAAGTGCAGAATGCAGCTACCAAGGGTCACAAGCGTCTCGCGCTGCCCTTTGCTGCTGCCACGTCAGTGTCAGTCAATAGGTTTCTACATGCGCTCATACACGTTGAGCGTTCCATGATGGGCAATGTTGAAGCGTGCAACGGGCAATCGTGGAGGAACATGGATTGCCCTTGATGAAAATGATGCAGACAACCTGTGTGCTTTGCACCTCAGTACCTGCCGGACAAACCACTGCGTCTCGTGCTCTTCAGATCTACTTCATTTCATACTGATCAACACAACTTCAATCTATCAAGACTTGTAAAGATCGTCACCAATTTGTGGTCATTTGACATAACGTTGTAGTCAAAGGGCTGAGGAGCGCCAGAGCCTACATGTTCAGCACGGTTGCTAGCTTATCACGCACTCATGCACGGGGAGAATGAAAGGAAGGAGTGAATTCGACAACTCTGACAAAGCAAGCCGAGGCAGAATTTGCACAACTTGCAGTTGGACTGAATCAGTCTGAATGGAACAAGCTGCAGTTGATTTCCGTCTGCATCAACCCCTGAAATTTGCAAGGTCTAGACGCAGCATGGGCGAAGTCACATGGAACAATAATTTGCGACATCACACTTTTGCTGCAGCTACAAAGAGTCTAGCCCGTCTGAACTGTTCCACGCCAAGATTCTACCTGCGCACCATAAGAAGCAATTCCTACCCTCTCTTCTCTCAAATCTGTAACATATACTCACCCACTTGTCACCAACTAAAATCAACAATCAGTGAGTCTTGAATCACCTCTACAGCTCACTAACATTACAGACACCCTATGCAGTTCCTCAAGGCAACACTAAGCTTTGCAATGTTCTTGATGGCATCGACTACATATGCTGTGCCATCCCCTGGCTTTGCTGGTGATGCCAATCTGCAGAAACGTGAGGCAAAGCAGGTCGGTATGACGGCTTGCAGGGGCGGCGCAGGCTGCAACCAGCCTTAATCCACTGTTTTAGTGACCTATATGAGCAAAGGCCTGAAGAATTTCATATGTTGGGGAACCAATACAAAGCTTTTCAAATCACTACTGCCAATTGCTTTACACTTTTTGAAATAGTGATGCTCGTGATGCAGTGGAATTAATGTCGGCGACAGTCTTTGTAGAGCCAAAGAGTCCTGCCCGCTGGACTTGCCGACGTTTTGTGAAGGTCGATTTGGATCATCTATGAGACAAAGCTCGAAGGCACGCGGCGATATTGCCAGTAGCGATACTTGCGGGCTCAGCTGAATCAGCTAAATAAGCCCCTGCAGCGAGATACATGAAATTGCCGCACGACTTGTGACAAAAATGAGCCCTTGGGAGTGATGTGCCATCAATCTCTACGCACCAGTACATGGTAGCAGATCATGAGGTTGAATGGAAGATCATGCAACATACAAGGGGCATTGAGATCAGCGCTTCTTATTGTTCACGAGACCAACGCCCTGCTCAAGCTAGTATGGATACTGCCAGCCTCGTCAGAGAAATGGGAACACAATTTGATTGACTGCACCACATCGCCTGTAAGTGTGCTATAGTTGTGAATCAATCTGCCAAATGACATTTGCAACATGGATCTGAAAATCTTTTGTATTGCTTCATCGCAATGAATCAGTCAACTGTCTTCAGAGATCCAACCAAAGATTCGGGAACGAACAACTTCTACACTGTGACGCCCAGAGACCCTGCAAGAGCCTTTCTTGTAATCGTTGCCCATGAGCTGCTTACCAGCACGAGGAGGCCAAAATCTTGTCTGAGCGACACTCCGCGCCCGAGGCCAGTTCTTTGAACGAAGCTTTGCAACAGGTGACTTCCATCGTTTTGAACTTCATAGCCAAATTTCTCTGCATTTCATCTCGTGATCCAATGCGAGGCAAAGACAGCCTCGAAGACTTGACAGTCTGCTCTGAACAGACGTCCAAAGACTGCAGTTAGTCCACAAGCGGATAACTTGCAAATCCTGCCATATTTTGCAGGAAGAGCGAAGCACAGCGACTCTGGCCAGAGTCGTAGAAGTCTACAGAGTCAGAAAATGTCAAAACGAACGGTCGTCGCTGCGGCTTTTCAACGTCTTGAGTTGGGCAAAGTCAAAGTATCTGACTGGTGCAGCACGATCGTTGGCGATCGCTTCAAAGTCAAGACTCACGAGATTCTGATCCGTGGCGGCATAGACCTTTTCATGTTCAGCCACAAGGGAATAAATTGGGCCAGCACGATAGCGCATATTTGGCGAATTGGCCAAGATATCCTGCAGGAAGATGTCATAAGTTTCTCGTGGGGCTTCGCGCCAATCGAGTGACATTTTCTTGTGCGTATCATCCCAGCAGCCTGGTCTTCGCAAATCGAACTTGTGAATAATGTGATGTTCACTCGACCCACTGAAGATGTGATATCCATGGCCGCGGTTCATCGTGGCGATCGAGACATTCGCACTCGCGTCAAACTTGTTACGCAAATCAATGACCGGCTCTCGGCTGGGTCGCAAGCGCGTATCGAAGAGAGCAGCACCAAGCCTAGAGTACCACCCGGTCAAAATCAGATTAGGCGACAAGGGTGCTATCGCTTGGCAATTCCCAATATTGGCCAGTGTTGGCATAGTCCAGATTGGCATTATGCTGCCATCTGGGGCTTGGCGATGGACAGACAATGGTTCCAAGCTTTTCAGACCCAAAGCAAAGGTGGCCGTTTCCAACAATTTTGCTACCCATACCTTGCTTGTCAAGACAAGGGAGGCATTTCCGTACGTGATGCGACTTTGTGAAAAATCAAGCTTTGCAGCAGACAGTAGGCACTGTGATTGGACGTCAAAATCTAAGGATTGGAGACAAGTCCCAGGCGCTGCTTTCAGTGTCGTGATGCCAGGAGCTGTACCACCTAGTCGGATTCGTTGAACACGCCCATCAGCGAAGCCGACGATGACAATGTCAGCTTGATCTGTCAATGTCAAAGCAGTGATGTCTTGCAAGTGAGGCTTGCCAAGGGATATGCGACGCCAAGGGTGTCTATCGAGTCTCGTCCAGAGGTTTGAGCCGGTAGCGAGCACAAGCTTGTGTTTGTCTGCCTTGACAATTGGCATGGTCCTACGAGGCCAGGTCGCCTCTATTGAGCCGACAAAGTAGCGTTGAGAGACATTCTGAGCGATTCGCCTTGTACGCCTGATTTGCAGAGGTGGCGACAATGACTGCAGCTTGGAGAAGCAAGTTTTGTACTGCTCAATAATAGGAGCAAGCCTATCAGGAATAATCATGGAGCAGGTTATAGCTCGATATGCAGCAGAGACATGGCTGAGACTGACAAGGTCCTGTAATGGTAGTTGAGCAGTCAGACGCACTTGGAGCTCTGGCGGCAGTTGTTCAAGCTGAGAATGGCCGTGTCTCTTGGTGAGGGTAGTCACCTCAGCCTTTGAGCTGGTGCATTTAGCAGGGATGAAGGAAGCCGCTGCTGGATTGAGCCTCTTTTGCGACGTCTCCGTGCTCTGCGGACCATCTTTGAGCATACAAATGCTGGGTGTAGCTGTGGTGTTGGGAGTGAGGGGGCCTCAAGTAGAGTTCTCGAGCGTGGCGACGTCAAATGCGCAACGACATCATCCAGCACGATCAACTATCAGGCCTGTCGCATTAGCTCTTGCAGCAAGGGCGCTGGAGTAAATCATGTCGCCAGCTCGTAAAGATCCCTGCAGATACCCTATCCAAGTCAATGTCTACGATCTCATGCCGCCGTCCAAGCTAAGTGCATTCTTATGGACAACTGGACTGTCCATTAATCACTCTGGCGTAGTCATCAATGAGGTCGAATGGGCGTTCGGCGGACACGATGTAGAAGGCATCACAGGCGTATATCCATCACGACCAAAGGAAGTGCCCGAAAATGCAGTCTACAAGTGTACAATTGACGTGGGCATCTGCTTGCTATCGCTCAAGGAGATTGAGGCAAAACTGGAGCGCATCAAGAAGGAGTTTACAGGACCATCGTATAATCTACTCACCAACAACTGCAATCACTTTGTCCAACGCGTATGCGCAGACTTGTGCAGCTCAAGCCCACCTGCATGGATAAATCGCATAGCAGGGATTGGTGCTATGATGCGTAAGTTCTCCCTCTTGCCAAGACCTGTCTAACAATAGCGCTGTGCGTGTCAGAAGCATGGGTTGCCCCGCCAGTCGCGGACCCGGATGCAGAATGGAACGAGCATGACGATGATCACACACGCTTACTGCCACCTAGTGAAGTGGCGCCTATGCAAGCCAAACCGAGTCGACCCCAAGCCAGAGACGAACCGCATGGGCGAGTGTCATTCTCGCGGACGGTGTCAGAGTATACTGATTTGGACAACGATGAGGCGTTAGCGGATCGTGACTTGACGTCTGCATCTGGAGGTTTCAGAATTGATGTTGGCAGTCGCTGAGGCGCTTCAACTTCTGTTGTACAATAGCATTTTGTGCCTTTAGCTCTGGCGTTGTTCTAATCAATACTTTGCGATGCTTGCTATGCTAATGGTGTTTCTGAGCTTATAAGCGATACCCATATCGTTTGAGTTCCTCGCACCCTTCCATCCGCTTGTTCTTCGCTGCATTGTACTTGACCTTGTCAATGCTGAAGAAACCATATGCATTGTTCATCTCTTGTTCTCGTTGCTGGTATTCCCATTCACATGTATCGCGCAGATTGCGGATGTAGTCCACCTCGACCTTTTTGTCAAATTGCTTCAACGCCGGATCGCCTATTGAGGCAATCTGCTCTGGGTTGACAAAGAATTGTATTTTGTGCACCGGCGTCAAGCGTTCCTGCGTATAGGGTGGATGATTGTTGAATGCATAAGAAGGTGTCGTTGAGCCACTGCCAAACCAAGAACCGCCTGAGAAGAGGCTGGAGAGGAGTGAGAAGCCAAAGAGAATGATGAGCGGAAGGAGCTGAGCAAGGGACGCGCGTTCTTCGCCTTGCTGACCGCGATGTTGCCGTGCTTGGCCGCCGCCAAAGTGATGTACGCGAACACCAGGTCCACCAAATGACACGAAGGGACTGCCACCAAATCCACCACCCATACCTCCTCCACCGCCAAAGAACATATTGAACAAGTCATCAGCATTCATCTCTTCTCCAAACATACCGCCTTGCATGCCGCCACCACCATTCGCTCGTTGGAAAGAATTAGCAGCTGGCGCACCACCACCACGCTGATCCGGGTCAGCGCCGTAACGATCAAATTGCGACCGTTTCGACGCATCTGATAGAATTTGAAAGGCTCGCGAAACCATCTTGAAGGCCTCATCTGCTCCTGGCGCGCCATTCTTGTCTGGATGTAGTTGTAGGGCTAGTTTCCGATACGCCTTTTTCACCTCTGCCTCTGTCGCTTCTCTCTTGATGTCTAGAATCTCGTAAAATGCAGTCGCTTGACATTTTCGAATGCGCTTGACAACCTTGGCTTGGTCTGGTGTATATTCTCTCGCAGCTGGCTCCTCGGGTTTTGATGCTGCTGCCTTTGTGCGTTGTGTTGCACCACCTTCACTCCGACTCGATCCAGCCGCACCATCCGCTGAAGGAGTTGTCGCTGGTGCCTTGACAATCTTTTGTAGTAACTGCTGAACTTGCGGCGAGTCATGTAACGCGGCTGCCTTCAGTGCAAACTTGTGTGCACCGGCTTTATCGCCTGCTTGTAGCTTGCGCGTTGCTATCTCGATACATTTCTGGGCCTCGTCGGCGTTCATGGCTATATATCGCCTTGAGACCTTGTCTGGCCGTCTGGAAGGCTGAGCTGCGTGGCCTAAGGGTAGTCCGGCTGTGGTCGAATGAAGTGCTGTACGTGTCCTTGTCCGTTGAGAGATTTGTGAAAGTTCAGGAACAACTTTTGAAGATACAGCATGTACGGCTCAGACAACATCTTGCCCATGGATGAAGCTGGCTATGCTGTTGATGAAGGAAAGAAGCTATCTCTAGATCAGCTACGCGCTCAAGCTGTCAAGTACAAGACCCTCGCTAAGACTGAATTTGCTCAAGCACGAGGTATGCTAAACTTGTACATGATTTGCCTAGGAAGCTGATGGCTTGAAAGAACAAAATAGACCAGTAGACAAACAGCTCCTCGTCTCGCATGTACGGCAGCAGAAATTCTACGAGCAGGCTATACAGGCACGAGAGGACAAGCCGTTGCGAGAAGCCGACGAACTGCAAGGCAATGTGGCAACCGATGCCCCAAGCACAGACACGCTATTGACTGAGGTGCAGCCTGGTCTTTACATCAGCAGGTATGTGACTGTGTTCATTCCTACGCTGAGCTAACATCAGCTACGAAGTATTGCAGCATGACGAGCTGCTCAAACATCAGGGCATCTCTCACATTCTTTCCGTCTGCCGACACTTTCATCCTGTACGACGCACTCAACACGCCAACAATGCTAACAAATAGTCTTCAAAGCAGCAGGCAGACTATACATGTCTACAGATTGATGCGCTTGATACCACAGAGCAAGATTTGATACAGCTCTTTGATAAGTGCAACGCATTCATCACAGAAGCACTCAGAAATGGCAAAGTTTTGGTCCATTGCCATGCCGGTCAATCACGCTCCGTTGCAGTCGTCGCAGCATATCTCATGTCTGCAAGCAATGTGCCACTTGCGTCAGCCATCGACCTCATCTCCTCGAAGCGCCAGATCGACTTGAGCGATACCTTCAGAAGGCAACTACAAGTCTATGCACAATGTGGCAATCGGGTCGATCCTACGCATGAAGCCTATCAAACTTGGCGACTCCAGCACCGTAATGGTGTGTTGAGACTGCAGGACGATACAATCGCTGCCTCACCGGGCTTACATACCGCTATTCGCTGCAAGAAATGCAGGTTTGTGCTAGCGAGTGAAAAACACATCCAACGTCACTCTCCAAAAGAACTAACTGCCGGCCCTTGTGCGCATCTATTTATTGACCCTGTTCGATGGATGAAGGCAGAGCTCGATTTAGGTCTGCTAGAAGGGCGTTTCACCTGTCCCGGCCGCAATTGTCATGCCAAGATTGGGAGTTATGCGTGGCAAGGCATGAATTGTAGTTGTCGTGCATGGATTCTGCCTGGGCTTGCGTTGCATCGTTCACGCGTGGATGAATTCAAAACTGCAAAGGAGGTCGTTGTCGTGCCAGCGAGGAAAGACGCAGCGCCATCGTGAATTCATTTGGTTGATGGAGCAGAGGGGAATGAAAGGGTCTTCCACTGCTGTTCTTTAGCTTTTTCCATAGCTGCTTGCTGCTTGAGAGACACGCGATGCTGGTAGAAGCTGCGGTTGAGTGCAAACTCCTTTGGCTCAGGTACGACGACCGCGGCAGGCGGAGTCATCGTTGTAGGCGTTGCAGCAGGCTGTATAGCCTGCACGACACCCGATGCAGCTTTACTAATGAGTCCACCCACAGACGGCATCCAGCTCCCACCCTTCTCCTCTTTTTCCTTGTCTGCCTTTTTCTGTGCTTCTTTCGCTTCATACTCCTTTTTGACTTTTGCAATCTCTGCTTCTAGTTTTGCCTTGTCATCGGGCTTGGCTACCGCTGCTGGCGCTGCAATGGGCGTTGCAAAGCCAGCGACTAGATGACTTTGACAGACATAGAACCAATCTTTACTATCTGTAGATATGAGCACACAGTCTGTGGGTTTATAGCAGATGGAGCATGATTTCTCAGCAGAAGAAGCGACTCGACGTAGTCGGTAGTGATTGATATGCGGCCCTGCAGGCGCAGCTGTCGCCATCTTCCAGTCACTGGAGGTGGTTGTTGGTTCAAAGTGGTCAAATTACAGCAGGATGAATGAGTCCAATCTATCAAGTTTTCTACAACGCCTTGAGCAGCATCGAGTTGCGCGAAGGGCCAACACCCACCATACCCACAGGTACGCCTACGAACTTCTCGATAAACTCCACGTATGCTTTCGCTTCTGCTGGCAATGCATCGTACTCGGTAATGCCTGTTGTACAGCAGTTCCAGCCTTTGAAAGTCTTGTAATTCACCTTGGCGCGTTCAACGGCATTTAAGTCTGCAGGGAAGTAGTCATCGACCACTTTGCCATCAATCTCATAGCTCACTGCGACTTGCAATTCTTCAAATGTATCGAGCACATCGAGCTTTGTAATGTTAAGGGCAGTATAGCCATTGATGAGGGTCGAGTAGCGAATGACGACCAAGTCAAGCCATCCACAACGACGTTTCCGTCCAGTTGTGACACCCCACTCTCGTCCAATGTCCTGCATTTTCTCACCGACTGCATTCAGTTGTTCAGTTGGGAAGGGACCAGCGCCAACACGAGTCGTGTAAGCCTTGACGACACCCCAGACGGTGCCGATACGTTGTGGTGGAATACCGAGACCAGTGCAGACACCACCAATGGTTGTTGGCGAGCTCGTGACATAGGGGTAGGTACCGAAATCGAGATCAAGCATGAGTGCATTGGCTCCTTCAATCAAAATGCGTTTTTGATCCTTGATGGCTTGATGCATGAAATGCACTGCATCCACAACAAAAGGCTGCAACTTTTCCCGAATACTTTTGTAGTACGCGAGCTCCTTCTCCTCGTCATAATCAAATTGACCATACCGCAAACCGCGTGTTGACAAGTTTGTTCGGAATCGCTTCTCAAACTCTACCCAGTCAGACATGAGATGGTGCAATCTGACACCGCTGCGAGAGGACTTGGAGGAGTACGTTGGGCCGATACCTTTGCGAGTCGTACCGAGTGATTTACTACCGAGTTCGCCTTCCTTCAAGCCATCGACGATTTGGTGGTAGTCAAAGACGAGGTGAGCACGGTCGCTGATGAAGAGCCTGCCATCTGCGTTCAAACCCTTCTCGACAACCGCTTCGAGTTCCTTGAAGAAGGCAGGGATGTGGACAACACACCCACTACCAATAAGGTTGACACACTGCGGGTTCACGAGTCCCGAGGGAAGGATGTGGAAGTCAAACGTCTTGCCATCCACCACAATGGTGTGACCTGCGTTATTACCTCCCTGGCAGCGAGCACAGACGTCGGTCTTGTCTGTAAGGATATCGACGAGCTTGCCCTTGCCTTCGTCGCCCCACTGTGAGCCGAGGACGACGGAGACCTGCCCTGGTTTGAGGGTTGAGGTCATGGTTCGCTACCTTCTCTTAAGTGTGGAGGTAGCGATGGGGAGTGAATCTACCGAGCTGGTCTGAGCCGAAGTAGATGACTGATTGAGTGGAGGGAAGATGTCGCCGGGTTTGATGGACTGATAATTTCACTGACTGATTGTGGTCGTGGCTGCCTAACCCCACTCGACGCAGAGAGAAGAAACAAGACACAACAGGAAAGCAGCGCACAGGCTCAAGAAGACCCCCATCCCAAGGCACTTCCCTCCCTTCTTCTCCCCCAGGCTACCCTATCACTCAACCTCACTTCTCTTCTCCCCACATCACCAATCAACAAGGACAATAAATCATGGCAAGCGAAATCAGACGCAAACTCGTCATCGTGTAGGGCAAGTTATCCCTATCTCTGTGTCCGCCCACGCTTTTCTCTGTGTGTATCTGTACTCTGGTCACTTGAGCGCAAGCAGCTGCCATCGTCTGCGCTCGAGCATGATCTTGTTGTCGAGCGCGCAGCGCAAGAGGTGACGCGATATTCTCCCATTTCCTGTACTACAGACACATGGGCAGACGCGTAGTGTATTGCCTACCGCTGCAACGACAGCGCCACGACATGGATGCGCATGAGAAAAGCTGGACGGCATACGCCATCCCTGCTGATGCTAACCTTTGCAGACTCTCCTTCTTGATTGTGGATCTCAGAAAACTAACAAAATTAGCGGCGACGGTGCATGCGGAAAGACTTGTTTGCTCATGTACGATTGAGTCCTGCTGCAGTATTTAATGCTAACAATGCAGTGTCTTCTCTAAGGGAACATTCCCCGAGGTGTATGTCCCGACCGTGTTTGAGAATTACGTTGCCGATGTCGAGGTGGACGGAAAGCACGTCGAGCTGGCGCTTTGGGATACCGCCGGCCAGGAAGATTATGACCGTCTGCGTCCCCTCTCCTACCCAGACTCGCACGTCGTCTTGATTTGCTTCTCGATTGATTCGCCCGATTCGCTCGACAACGTTCAGGAAAAGGTACGCTCAATGTGTGCTAGTGATTGTTCCTTGCTAATGCTTCAAGTGGATTTCTGAGGTGATGCACTTTTGCCCCAATCTGCCCATCATCCTTGTTGGCTGCAAGCGCGACTTGCGCCACGACCACAAGGTGATTGAGGAGTTGCGCAAGACAAACCAAGCACCCGTCACGACGGAGGAAGCCGAGTCGGTTGCAAAGAAGATTGGCGCCGTCAAGTACCTCGAGTGCTCAGCCAAGGTGAACGAAGGTGTGCGTGAGGTCTTTGAGCATGCTACACGTGGTGCCATGTTGGCAAAGACGTCAAAGAAGTCCAAGAAGTGCGATATTCTCTAGATGCACCTTCTCTGGCTTCTTTCTCTTTCGTTCTTTCTTGTTGTCTATGGAATTTGTCCATGCTCGAAGGGATGGTGAAGAGGAATCATGAGGCAGGATCACCAACAACCGAGGCAACTAAAGGCCCCCACTTGAGTGGTTCTCTGGACTCTTTTCTCGTCTCTTTTGTGTGTGTGTTGCGCTATGGATGGAGATGTTGTGTGCTTTTGCGGTCTTACACTTTTTTACTGGTCTTTCATCTCGTCTTGCTCTGCTTTGTATCTCCTTGCTTGTGCTTGATCCCTGACACGTTGACAGTTCATGTTGCGTGTCAATTGTTGCTGTCAATCCGCTGTCACTTGACCGCCACAAACGAGGAGGGAGAGTCAAGCTACATCCATTCTATGGGCGCATATGGCGATGATGGCCTGCTCGAGACAAATAGTGACGATGACTTTGCATCTACACTGCTGCACAGCTATAATCTAGAACCTGGTCCTACTCATGATGCATCCTCCTCACAAAATGCTGACGTGATGAAGGCGTCCTCCATCACAGACACAGGCGTCCAGCAAGCCAAAATTGTTGATCGTGATGCATCAGCCGCTACAGAGATTATCACAGAAACTTACTACACGCTTGCTTGTCATGGTGCTTCAATCTTACTTGAGCGAGACCCATTTGCAGGGACAGGAGGATTACTCTGGCCTGCAGGAGAACGACTCGCCATGCATCTCTGTCGGGTTGCTACGCAAGATCCTTCACGTTTTGCAAATAAACGGATCATTGAGCTCGGAACAGGGACGGGCGTCGTGGGCATTGCAATGGCAATGACGACGGACTTGGGCAAAGAGGGACTTCTTGTGCTTACTGATCTCGATCCCGTACTACCGATCGTTAAGCGGAATATTGCACTCAATGGGTGTAGTCCCTCACGCGTCACGGTTGAAAGACTTGCATGGGGTGAAGCATTGCCATCACTCTTCAAAGCAAGTGAGGGTCATCCTGTAGATGTCGTGGTCATGGCAGATGTGATTTACCATGAAGATCTCTTCCAACCACTTCTTGATACACTCCTCTATCTGTTCCAAGCCAATCCAGGCATGGTGGGCTACTTGGGCTACAAAAAACGGCGACGTGCAGACTGGCTGTTTCAAAAGTCACTGAGGCGGACATTTGAGATGCGCTTGTTGGAGGAAGTGCAGCCTGTCTGTATTGAGCAGGTGCATAGCAAGGACGAAAGATGGAGACAGGGTGTCTATCTCTATGAACTGACCTTGAGGAGCCCATCCTGAGCTTCATCATTGGGTGTTACAGGGGATGAAGGGAAAGGTTGACAACTCCCCGCATTCAAGACGTCACACTGACTACGACCACGAACTACGATTCTATAACGACTTAGCATAGACCATGGTGAAGGCTATCCCCATCTACTTCACCCTCGATACTATCTGCCCCTTCACCTATCTCGGCAGACGTGCACTCACCCTTGCACGCGAGCAAATGGCCTCGGAGCAGCCAGATTACACATTTCAAGTACACTACGCGCCATACCTCATTGCTAAACACCTGGACAGTCCAGCAAATCAAGAGACACCTGAAGCTGGCTCAATGGATCCTGAAGAAGCAAATGCCTTGAGTAAACGAGCTTGGTATCTCGAGAAATGCAATGATGATGAAGAGACCTTGCAGCAAATGGAACAAGTCATGCTAGACATGTCTAGAAAACTTGGGATTGAAGTGCACTACACGGGATTTGTTGCAGGCTCGCTTCCAGCACATCGTCTCATTTTGCATCTCTCACAAAAGCAAGAGATGGATGAGGAAGAGTATACATTTGAGCAAATGGAGATATTCATGAATGCGCTGTATGAAGCCTACTTTACACATGGCAAGCATCCATCCAGCGTACAGACTCTGGCCACATGTGTCGAGAAGGCAGGTTTCCCCATGACGCGCTCACAGGTCGCAGCATTTCTTGCAAGTGACAAATTGCTCAGCGAGACAAAGGCGATGGTAGCAGAGCAAGAGTTGAACGACGTGACGGGTGTCCCTCACGTCCGTATTGACGGCCGCAGACGTGACTTGACACTTGTTGGTGCGAAATCAGTGGAAGAGTATGCAGCAGCTTTGCGTCAAATCATCAAAGAATTCAACTAGAATGCATTGTTCCATGGGTACAACAGATGCGTCGTTCTCAACACCGCAGGCGGTGTCGTGATGTCTGATTGCCAACCTTCAGGCAGATGCTGTGTGTTCGCACCAGGTGCAGAGGTTATTTGTCGATATAGACACGACATGTCCCGCAAGACTGTCGGCTCTGACCGAATACCAAAGAGACCTGCTTTGCTACGCTTGACTTTTGCCAGAATGATATCATCAAACAAAGCGATACTGCCATGTCCAATGGCCACTTTACAACGAGCATCAATGAAGCCAGAAAACAAGCTCGTCTGGCTGAAGCGGTCCAGGAAACTTTCCGCGTGTCGTGCGCAGCCCAGCTGCGCAGCAGTATGTGTCAGAAAAGCTTCTTTATCGAAATGAAAGATTTGCTCTCGGTCTCGTTGCGTGCGTATGCCAAAGACTGTAGGCCGCGTACTCAAGCGATAATCTCGCATAAGTGTTGCAAAGGATCGCAGAAAAGCAGCACGGACCTCGGCACTGTCAAAGGCTGCTGGTAGGCATGGTAAGCTAATATCATGGACGTGTTTCGCAGCCACTAGAAGACCACAATGCAAACAGGTGTAGAATGGTCCATCGATCGGTTCAAGTGAGAATGCGCATCGCTGGCCTTTTGCCTTGTTGGTCGCGGTAGACTGCCGCATCTGGTGTCCCTCGCGATGCACAATCAAGTTGAGCGCATTTGAAGTGTGCAAAGGCTGCTGGTAGTCCTCCTTGATTGATGGCATGGTTGAGAAGAGAGTGGATGCAGCATAAGCTGAGGCTGGTGGCTGCATACTGTACATTGTATGCAAGCCACGCGACGTGATGGATGACTCGGGGGACGTCTCTGAGCTGCCACCCGAGTCGTACAATAGCAAATCGTCTATGCTAATGACGCTACCACGGCGTCGACTCATGGACGGAAAGTTTGAGTGGTGCATTCTTCGCCGATTTGAGTCAAGGCTTCCCATCATGGTTGATACTGAGCGAGTGGCAGTACTTGTGCGCTGCACAACTTGAAGTGGGCGTATTTCATGCTTTGCGAAGACATTCAATGCTGGCGGTGCACCTTGTATGGTGTCTTCACTGGCGTATCCTCTGTTCAGCAGCAATGCATTCAATTCACTGGGACCGTCTGTCTTGCAAGCACCGGGACCAAACACAACAGAATTGTGTGGGTATGCATCGATGCAATATGTCGGCGGCCCATAGGGAAGCTGATAGACTGAATGCATCATGGATGCTTGTGACAGCAGCGAAGTGAACTTGCGACGAATGCCACTCGGCAGTTCGGGCACTGTTCCATCGATCGTATTGTTGTCGAGGTGGCAAAGGACGACATCACTGCCAATGGGGTATTCGATGTTCGTCCAAGCAGCATTGATACCCATGATGTATGGTGTTGGTGCTTCTAATCCTTGGACCAAGCGTCTTGGCAAGACGGGTATAAAGACGCCTTGCCACTCGAATGGCCAAAGCAACGAAAGCAACCCCTGTGCAGCAAGAGACAGCATGGACGTATGCGCTGAGATCAAGACAATGCGACTCTCTAGCAATGCAGCTTCGCATAGCTTGACAATATTGATAATGGACAAGGCACGAAAGAGTGGATACAAGTCAATCCTTCTACTGCCTGGCACCTCATTTGCTGGCTCTCGAATGATGGACAGAGTCGTCGTGCGCATTGGCAAGCTGATCCTCGACTGGCCAAGCGGTGGAAAGGGCGTTTCACTCAAGAATTGAACAATGTACCGTTCCAGTGGCAACAAGGGTGCCTCCGTGTGTGTTGGCAATGGGACGTGCTGCAACTCGTTGGGAAAATAAGAAGCGCAGGTTGCAAGCAGCCAGTCTCGCCATGTCCGTTGGAAAGCTGCCTCTTGACCAAGGACACCGTATGCGCGTGGTGCCCAATACACGGCACCTTGTGACATACCATCCATACGCAAGGGTTTGAGCATCGACGCGTACATGGCGATTTTCTCTTCACATTCTTCAATGGTGTCTGCCAGTCGTTCTCGCTCAATACTCGTCGCTTGAGCAAGTCGTAGGAGCAGCTGGCTGAGTCGTGCTCGTTGCTCTGCAAGTCGGCTCGAAAGGCTTGAAGCGAGTTCCTTATCTTCTTGTGAGAGATGAGCCTGTTGCCAGGCTTCGCACGCTGCTTCGAGCTGCTCGGCTTGTGCGTGTGTGACCTGGACCCAGAGAATAATACAGGTTCCGTGGATATGCTCACCAGATGCTTGTGTTAGGGAGAATGAGTGCCAAACTGCATTGGGTCGTTCTTCAGAGAGCTTGATGTTCATGTCATCCGGGAAGACAAACATGGGCAGGTAGTCGGGAAACGATAGGCGATTACAGTCGAACAAGTCTGGGTATCGTGAGAGGAGCTTTGGTGGATATTTTTTGGATACTGTCTAGTCAGTCACTGTATCGAAAGCATAGACTTACACGGATGCAATCCCTCTGCCTGCATCGTTGACTTGCGATCGGGAATAACATGTGCATAGCCAGATGCCGTCATTGGTGGTGACGGAGCAGTATCAGATGATCCCTCGCTGTCTGAAGCCTGCCGTAGCGTCGTCTCATCCAAACTGCTGCATGAATCGTCGTCCTCGATACGAGCAGATGAAATGGGCAGATCGAGGGGCCTCAACTCAAAGGTATCGTCTAGCCGCGTGAGTATTTGGAAGAGCACTTGCTTTTGCTCTGCTGTATCCGGCCGATTGTCCACTACTTTGCGTACTGCCTGAACCCTGCCTTTGGTGCGCAAAGTCTTTGCACGTCGTGTCGCAGCATCCCTCGACCGCGTCTCGCTCTTGTGATCAGTGAAGTGATAGTCTTCAGGCAAGCCGGCAATGAAGAAGTGGTCGGCAATGTGTGGCATCGCATAGACAAAGGGCTCAGCAACAGACTTTGGCCCTTTGGAGCTATTTGTGCGTTACAAAAAAAGCTTGCCTTGACCCCTGAAGTGCCAACTTCGTCGCAATGCATGCGTTGTCGAGGAGCAAGGAAGCTGAGGTTAATACGGATGTCGTCTCGCTCCTGCAGTCAGGAGGAGCGTGAGCTACTTGGCAGTTATCCGACACAACGGAAGGTCTTACCTCAAGACGTCTGTGCGCGGAGCCCTGATCATGAAAAAAGCTTAAGCTTAAGACAACGGCATCTGCGTCGTGACCAGGCTGCTTACATGAACTACAAATATCCACTAGCGCTTGACAATCGTCACAATGTCTTCATCCTCCAATTGATGTGTAGCGCCGACCTTTTGCGGCGAGTGTCGAACACTCGTACCCCAAACGTAAAAATGGCGAGACTGCTTGAAGATACTTCTGTGAATGGCATTGCAGAAATCTTCCATGCCACAGGCTGTCCGCTTGAGTACGACAGGATCAGAGTAGTCGGGTTGCTTGCCCTTGGGCTTTGTGTAGATGCGAACCAAATCAAGGTATCGCCACATCGTGTCCAGCAGTTCATCGTAATTCCAGCCTTCTTTCGCACTGATGGGAACACAGTGTTCAATACGGTAAATCAGATCCAGCTCTTCAATGGAGATTTGATCAATCTTGTTGAGCACGTAGATGCATGGCATATAGATGCGGTTGCCTTCAATCACATCAATCAGCTCATCCACTGTTGCATCGCATCGGAAGGCAATATCCGCAGAGTTGATGCGGTACTCGCTGCAGACAGCCTTGATCTCATCTTGATCAATGTTGGTAAGCGGCACCGTGTGAGAGATGTTGAGTCCTCCACGCTCCTTCCGTCTGAAGGTGATATTGGGCGGTTGCTTGTTAAGACGAATGCCAAAGCCCTCGAGTTCCTCCTCGATAATCTTCTTATCCGTCAATGGTTTCAATACATCAAGCACAAGAAAGATGAGCTGACAACTGCGCGCAGCAGCAATGACTTGCTTTCCACGACCTTTGCCGTCCTTTGCACCCTGAATAATGCCCGGCAAGTCGATAATCTGGATCTTTGCGCCATTATGGTGTAGCACACCAGGAACAGCAGTGAGCGTCGTAAACTCATAATCTGCCGCTTCTGAAAAGGTACCCGTCAGTTTGGACATAAGTGAAGATTTGCCGACACTGGGGAAGCCTAGAAAGCCGACGCTAGCAACACCTGTTCTTGCCACGTCGAAGCCTGCACCAGGGCCAGATCCACCTGCTGATGAAGGATTGATGAGCTCACGCTTGAGCTTGGCGATTTTGGCTTTGAGCAGACCGAGATGCTTGGCTGTGGCCTTGTTCTTTTGCGTCTTGGCCATTTCATCTTCGATGTCTTTGATTTTATCCCTGCGTTGTTAGTATTGTGATTTGGTCGCTAGGTACATACGCTGTTGTACTCATCCTGAAGGTTGTGCGCAGTCGATGCGACTTGTCTCCAGGCTGCTATTGTCTGTCAAGTAAACCTGATGCAAGTAGCAGTTGATGGAGTCGCCAGAAATTTGTCGCATGCCGACAACTGCGCGAGCTGTGGCCACCAGACTGCCATCAGATTGGCTCGTGCAAGATAGCTTGCAGACGAAGATAATGCTAAAAAGGTAGCCCTCTAGATGCCGAGCCAGCTTCTCTCCCTCTTCGGGCCGTTACCTGCTCGTAAGCTTGAAGAATTTGTACTTTCGCTACAAGCGCTCGCTGGTACACACGTTCAGCAGTTCAAGACGTACACACAAGTCTTGAAGGATGAGGCAACGCCGAGACCTAGTGACTGGCTTCGTCTCAGTGCGAGTGTGCCTATGGATGCTGAAGATGCGTCATGGACACAGAAGGCTACATTGTGGGTTGAGCTTGAGCGTACAAGTTGATGCTAATGCGTAGCTCTATTGATATGATTGATTCGCCAGAAATGGTCAAGCGGCCCGTCACTGTGCGTACAGTGCATCATTGTCCAGTGTATGAGGGAACAGCAGACCAGTTTCTTGCACAGTTGGGATTCAAGCATCACTATGCCTACATCGAACAAGGCTACCGACTCACCCTGACTCACCGGTTGACGGTGTCCATCTATCAAGTCTGGAAACCGCTCGAGCACTTGAATCCCGTGAATGCCACGCTGGTTGGTGATGAACAAGTCTGGCTTGTGCAGTGTGATTTCACGACGGGTAAAGCAGGGGATGTGATGGAGCTGAACAGGGGCGTTGCTGGGCTTGTTCAATTTCAGAGAGAGGTTGCAGGGTATGTGAGTCTGCAGGCAAATAGCGAGCAACTGAGGTAGACTGCAAGTATACACCTATAGATTGACAGCAGCACAATGAGTAGACACAGAAGATACGTGTGACTGCTGTCCCAAAGAAGCAGGTGGATCGGCAAGCCCGAGAATTGAAATTCGCTGAGCAGAAAGCAGTAATGCCAGTAAAGGTAGGGCTCAGTGAGGTGAGATGAGCAATGAACACTCAGGCAAGACGTGGGATGACCAGTATTCGCGCTTCTCTCCCGCCATATCAGGCCTCACTACCCCAGACTACTCCTTCACCTTGACACCCCCCAGACATTGACCTGCCCCATTTGGCTTGTTTGCTGCTACCTAGCTACTGAGTATCACCTCAACTAGAAACGACCACTAAGCTTATCGCTCGCTTGTGCCAAAATATTCCCTCGCTATCAATCGCTGCTACCCCGTGTCGGTCGCATTCGATAAGACAATCCAGCTCCTATAAACCCTTTGGTCCCCGCTTTGCAACGCTCATTGCCCGCGTCATTCCGATCATCTAGGGGTCTTGCACATCTACAAAAGTAATCATGTCTTCACATGGCAGCATCAACGGTACAGGACATCCTATCAATACAATGAATTCTTCAAAACGAGACTACGTCGCTGGGCAGGATGTTGAAAAAATGGATTCGCTAAAGCAAGGCGAAATCAGAGATGGAACGACACACAGAGGCCTGAAGAGTCGTCGTATGTCTTTGCTACGGCCCTAAGTACTCATGCTGACAAGCTTTAGATGTTCAACTTTTAGCCCTTGGAGGTATGTATTCCTCACTTCACCAGCACTGGCTTTCAGTCTTTCTATGAACGTGTTCTGACTCCTAGGAACTATCGGCACGGGTCTCTACATCGGTTCAGGCCGTGTACTCGCCCTTGCTGGACCAGCAGGCGCCCTCTTGAGTTATCTGTAAGTTCTGATGCCTTCTAAAACAAGTCGCTCATCAACAGTGTCATCTCCTTGGTCGTCTACTCCGTCATCCAATGCATGGGTGAAATGACCACTTGGCTACCGATTCCCGGATCTGTGCCAACATACACGCGAAGATACGTCGATCCCAGCTTGGCTTTCGCGTCTCAATACAACTTTTTCTATGCCTTTTCCATGCTTGTTTGTGCAGAGATTTCAGCTGCTTGTCTCATCATCAACTACGTATGTTGTTTCCTTTGACAGTAGAGATGCTAACGAAAAGTGGATCACTCCAGAACAACTGAATGCACGACTTTCCTTACCCAACTGACTTTTGCTAATAACAGAACGGCGTGTGGATTGCCATCATCCTTGTGACCATTACTGCGCTGAACATGGGAGCTGTCAAGTTCTTTGGTGAAGCAGAGTTCATCTTTGCATCGCTCAAGATCCTACTCATCATCATTTTGCTCCTGACTTCCTTTGTCATCGGTCTTGGCGGAGGACCAAAGGGCGACCGTCTTGGCTTTCGGTATTGGAAAAATCCAGGAGCCTTCAATGCGTACATTGCAACAGGCCCATGGGGAGAATTTCTTGCCTTTTTCGCTTCGCTCGTCAGGTGAATTAACCACCTTCTCAAAATCACTTGAGGCTAATAAACAGTGCCGGTTTCTCCTTCGTCTTCTGCGACGCCCTCCTCTGCATCGCTGCAGGAGAATGCGAAAGCCCTCGCCGAAACGTACCTAAGGCAACACGTCGTTTTTTCGCTCGTCTCATTGTCTTTTACATCTGCAGTATTTTGGCCATTGGGTGTGTTGTCATGAGTACTGACTCACGACTCTTATCCGGTACTGGCAATGCAGCCAGCAGTCCGTTCGTGATTGCCATCAAGAATGCCGGTATCCAGGGATTAGACCATTTCGTTAATGCACTCATCTTGACGTCAGCATGGAGTGCCGGCAATGCCTTCTTCTACGCTAGCTCGCGAACCCTTCACTCTATGGCAGTTGAAGGCAATGCCCCTCACTTCCTGAAGAAGTGCAACAAGAATGGTGTACCAGTGTATTGCGTTGCTGTTGTCTTCTGCATCGGGCTGTTGACCTTTATGAACGTCTCGCAAGGCAGCGCTACAGTCTTTGCTTATTTTGTCAACTTGTCAACGATTAGTGGTTTCTTGGCTTGGATGTGCTTGTTGGTCACGTACTTGCGCTTCAGAGCTGCACGTCAGGCGCAAGGCATCTCAGATGCAGATTTGCCATACCGCTCACCCTTTCAGCCATATTTGGCATGGTTTGGATTGATTACAATCTCCATCATCACTCTTCTTAATGGGTTCGCCAACTTCACCACTGGCAACTTCACCATCTCTGGCTTCTTGACAGCATACTTTGGCATACCCTTCTTTCTGGTGTTATACGTGGGTCACAAGATTTACAGTCGCATGAACGGCCTACCAACGCAATTCTACATTCCTGCGGGCGAGATTGACTTGCATACGGGTAAAGCAGAGATTGACTTTGATGAACAGAATGATGTGGAGCGTTTGCCACGTAACACGCTTGAGAAGGTCTGGTTTTGGATTGCTTAGGCGGACGTGCCTCTGCCTTTGTCCGCTAAAGTGGAGCTCTTTCGTACTATATGACATCTACAAGTACATCATTGCATCTTTCTTCTGAGTGTTCAGCCTTTGGTGACTTTTTGGTATAGCTTTGTGTAAGGCGAACGAACCAGGCGCTATAGCTCGGGCTGTCTCTGGCTGCATGGACGATGTCGCATTTTAGCGCAGGAGACGTTGCTCTGCCTTGCCGAGGTCTACCATGCCAAACCTTCCTTGAGGTAGACATGGTGACGACGGACAAGTGTAGTCCATGTAGAAGTAGACTAGCTGTCGCTCTTTCCCTGTCTTCCCATCTGACTTCCTCTGGGTACGCAACCACCAGACCAAGACACAAAAAGCACACACAAGAGCCATCCCTCGAGCAGCCATCTTCGCGGGTGCCAGCTAGCCCGGAGCGCAATGGAGTCGCCAATACACTTCAACCCCTTCTCGCCCTCTGCAAACTCGCGTACCAACAGCGCCGGCGTACATCACTCAAAACGCCATTTTAGCGCCACGTCGCCCGTTTCACGAGGTATGCCCTCCTTTACATCTTCCTAACGTGCTAACCAAGCAGCAGGTAAGCGCAAGAGAAGCACAGACGATGTAGACATGGAATGTGCGCCGCATGCGCATACAACAACATTTTCGCCCAGTAACAAGAAGACGCGCAATTTGCCTGTTGGCCGGCCATTGCCATTGCCTAGGCTGCTCGATAGTCTTGATCGCGAAGGTATGCGGGATCTTCTCAAGCATCTCTGTGAACGGCAGCCTGGTCTTTCATCAGAGGTTGCCAAACAGCTCCCACGACCAGGCGTGCAAGCTGCTTTACAAAGTCTACAACAGCTGGAACGACACATACAATTGGCATTTCCTTTCGGAGGCGACATTAAGGGTGAATATGCCTACAATCGCGTCTCACCTGCCATCACACAGCTTTTGGAAGCACTCGCGGACTATGTCCCAAGTTTCCTGCCACCGTACGAGCCACACGCCCTTGATGCGCTTGCATTTTTGGATGGTGCAACAGGCATCATTGCTCGATTGCCAGAATGGCACAACATCAACCACATGCTCTCGAAACGGCAAGCATTTGAAGAGATGAATGGTGCTTGGACTGTTGCCTTTGCGGAAGCTGCAAAACGCGGTGGCGGTGTCGCTGCACTTGGATACCTCGAGAAGCTCAGAGAGTGGAATACGCTCTCCGGTGGGCTTCTTGGCGAAGCTGTGAGTGCTGCGACGCAAGCACTAGAGTGGACGGTGGGTATGGCGCCTGCACAGCAGCAGCCCATGCAGACCTGGTCGCCGCATGGAACATATGCTGCGGCTGGCTTTGGTTTTGGGATGCCATGCTAGGCCACGATCTTCTGCTATGCTCATGCAAGCCTTTACGACATTGATGCAACTCAAACAACAAGACGACACACACATTACTTGGCGCGTTTCTCTCATTCATTATGCGACTTCTTCTTTTCTTTGCCGGGCCTTTCTGGATATCACCTCATTCCATAGCTCAAGCCTCAATGCACTTCATTAGCCTTCCAGTGCGTTATGTCCCAGCCGCCTTTTCCGCTGCACGTCGTGCATCTGCGTCTGCTTGCTTCTTCCTCATAATCTGCAACAGTCAGTGTCTGTTATTCAGACTCACAAATATACCTCTGCATTGCTCTCCTTCTCGCGAGCGAGTGTTGTGCCACCCTTCTTATTGCCCTTGGCGGCGTCCTGTAGTTTCTTCTGGGCCTTCTCGCGCGCCTTCTCGCGCTGATTACCACCTAGACAAGTCAGTGTCTCCTCTGTATAGTAATGATGACTTACGCGTCATGCTGCTGTGACCAGCTGCTGTGTTGTCGCTGGTCGCAGTCTGTCAACTTTTTTTCCCTTCTTGCATGTCGTCAGGATTCAAGCTGCCGACCAACACACATCTGCGACAACAGCTGCGACAGGCGAGTTGTTGAAGGCCAACATCTAGGAGTAGGCGAGATAGGAGGGCCTTTACCTGATTGACCATCGATGTTCAAGTCAGCTTGCAGAGTACCCATTGTGCCAACATGCCGCATCTTTCGCTTCAGCACTAAGGCTAAACCCTCCTACGCCAATGGCAAGCGTTCTCAGCGCTCTACAAGACGTACATTCCTGACCTCATTTGTTGCTGCTTCAGGTCTCGTTGGTCTTGCACACCTCTCCACTGACCGAGAAAGTCCCATTCGCTTCACACAAAACGAGGCGACAAGTTCACCGGACGCTGATCAGTTTGATTATACGCGTTTGAGCTCCTATACAGATCCGTTACGGCATAGTGCTATTGCTACAAGTCGCAGCTCTCGCGTTGTGACATGTGCGTTACTCTGCTTCAATGACTATCGCGTCGTCCTTGGGCAGAATGAGAAGCAAGAAAATCCTGACGAGCGTGCGCGGAGTTTAGCCAAGTGCCATAAACAGTGTGCGGAGCGTGTTCTCAAAGTCATGGAAGGACTTGGTGGCATTTACATCAAATTGGGCCAACATGTCAGTGCAATGAGCTACTTGCTGCCTGAAGAGTGGACGAGCACCATGACTGTTTTGCAAGACGCGTGTCCGCCTTCGTCCATCGAATCCCTCAGGGAGATGTTTTTGCTCGATACAGGCAAGCATCTTGATGACGTCTTTTCAGCATTCGACCCAGATCCTCTGGGTGTGGCAAGTCTTGCGCAAGTTCATCGCGCCACGCTACGTTCAACGGGCCGTGAAGTGGCCATCAAGTTTCAACATCCAAGCTTACGCGAGTTTTGCAAAGTGGATCTCGACACGACGCGTTTTTGCTTTCAACTCATCAAACGCATCTTTCCAGACTTCTCGCTGACTTGGCTCTCAGATGAGATGGATATTTCATTGCCACAGGAGCTCAATTTCACCATTGAGGGCGAGAATGCCGTCTTAACACGACGGCATTTCCAATCTATTCGGGGAAGCTCGCTGTATGTACCTCAAGTGATTTGGGCAGAACCCAGAATACTAGTGCTTGAGTACATCCAAGGCCGACGTGTCGATGACCTCGCTTACCTCGCACAGCACGGCATTGATCGCAACGAAGTCTCAGCTGAACTTGCACGCGCATTCAACGAGATGATCTTCTTTGCGCCTGCACTACACTGCGATCCGCATGGCGGCAACGTCTTTATTCGACCACGACCCGCAACAGGAAGCCATTCTCGGCATAATTTCGAGATTGTCCTGCTCGATCATGGACTCTACCGAGAAATCCCGCTTGCGTTACGCAGAGATTATGCACGATTGTGGTTGGCTATCATCAAGGGTGATGAAGAAGCAATGCGTTTGTATTGCTATAAAGTCGCTGGCGTCAAGGATGATCAGTTTCCCTTGTTTGCCAGTGCCATTACAGGTCGCGACTACACGGCGCTACAAAAGGGTATTAGCCAAGTACCGCGTTCAGATGATGAGCTCAAACGCATCAACAGCGCCGTTGGGCAGGGATTACTGCAGCAACTCGTCGATATGCTCGCCCATGTCCCTCGAATCTTGCTCCTCTTGCTCAAAACAAATGACTTGACACGCGCACTAGATGAGTCTCTCCAAACAACGACAGGTCCAGAGAGACCGTTCATTATCCTTGCAAAGGCATGTACGCGTGTTGTGTATGAGGAGGATATTGAGGTTGCCAAGCAACATGGATCCGTCTTGTCCCCCATGAGTTTATGGGCTCGACTCAAGGCTGTGTTTCGATATTACCCAATGCTGCTGTACCTGCACGTCGGTGAGCTTGTCAGCATCTACAAGGCAAAAAAGAATACGCGTCAGGCTGCCCTAGCTGGGCCTTCACCTATTGCAGCAGCAGCATAAGCGTTTCACGATCATCTGTAGATGTACTTGTACCAGTAGGAGTAGAAAGTCTTCAAATTTCGTCTCAATCCATCTCGCGAAACGCCAAAACCAGCACGCACAGCACAACCAACACAGAGAAGGGGTCGCATGTCGTCGTCATAAGACAGGATGGCAGGCAAGAGTACGTCTCCCAGCGCACTGGTCAGGCTGTATACTAACGCGCCACTCTAGAAGGAAAAAAGAAGCCTGCAGCTGCGAAAAAGTCGGGTACGACAACACCGCAAGAAGCCGAATCCAAGGCGCCCTCTGAAGCTGGTGATGATGCTCGTGAAGCCGTAGGGGAGACTCCAGCGCAGACTGTTACTTCAGATGCTGTTGCAGATGCGCAAGGCGATGGTGTATCGGACAAGAGGCAAGATTCGGACGACATTGCTGCGGATACGAATGGCGACGCGGTAACAAGCGCAGGAGACATCTCCGAGGAAAAGTCCAATGATGCTTCTGCTGATGAGCTGCGGAGCATTCCAGGAAATCAGCCAGATACAACGTTCACAGCATCTAATGGCGCCATATCAACAGATGTGCGACCAGACGAGGCACTACGACAAGCTCTCGAGGCACAAACTGAGCGGTCCGAAAAGCTACAACAAGAGAAAGTCGCAGCTGAAGCGCAATATCGCAATCTCCTTTCTAAAGTCTCTCAAATGAAAGCAACGCTTGGTGCACGCATCAAGGAAGACGCTGAAGAATTGGCTCAAAACAAGGTCCAAATTGATGAGCTGATGCAACAGAATGCAGCGCTATCAGAGACGGTGGCTGACTTGACCGAGCGTGTCGAGGCTTTGACTATGGAACACGAGAGTCGTGGAAAAACCACACTCACGTTGACAGAAGCCGTTGATTCTGAGCGTAAACGGCGTGAACAAGCTGAGGAAGCTCTCGCTGCAGCTCATAAGGCTTATGAGTCTGCAAAAGAACGGCAATCTATGCAAATATCAGATTGGGAGACCATCGCATTAGAAGAACGTGCTGCCAGAGATCAGCTACGTGAACGAATTGCAGAGTTAGAGGAACAGGCTTCCATGAGCAATGCCGGCTATGCGTCGCTACGGTCGGTTGCTGAACAAGACGCGAATGCGATACAGGCGTATAAAAAGACAATTCATGAAATGCAGGTTCAGCATCAGACGGAATTGCGTGAGTCCGTGGACTCTATGCAGGCAACTGTTGACGGGCTCAATGACGAGAAGCAAGTGCTCGTCAAGCTGACGGAACAGTTGCAGGCGCAATCAGGCACGCTGCAAGAAGAAATCGCTAAACTCCGACCACACGAAAGTGAAGTCAAGGAAAAGACATTGCTGATTGGCAAGCTCAGGCATGAAGCAGTCATTCTTAATGAACATCTCACAAAGGCATTGCGTCTGCTCAAACGCGGCTCGAGCAATGATGCAGTAGACCGGCAGCTACTCTCCAACCTGATCATCTCCTTCTTGACCATTCCGCGGCAAGACTCGAAACGGTTCGAGGTGCTCAAGATTGTTGCCAATGTCCTGTCGTGGTCTGGTGAGCAAAAAGAAATGGCAGGCTTGCTACGACCGGGATCTAGTGTTTCAGCTGGCTTGGCGCCTCCAGGATCCCCTCAGTCAACACGTTCGCCAATGTTGTCTCCCTCTGGTGCGTTTCCTGGTGGTGGCCGTCCTGGCTTTTTCGATCGAGGCTCACGACGGAGTAGCAGCGCAGCGGGTCTCAACCAATTACAAGCGGCAGATTTCATTGGCAAGGACAATGCTAGTATGTCGGAATTGTGGATCAACTTTTTGGAAAAGTCAAGTGAAGTTGAGCCAGTCTCTCGAGCAACCTCGCCTGGTGCTATGAGAACACCAGCGGCTGAATCACCGACACCGGCAGCTGTAGCCACGCCATAGTCTATGTGTAATTGATCTACCGCTTCCCAAATTGTATGCTATGTGTGGCGGGATCGAAGAGATTGCTTGCAGGCTTTTTGACTGCTTTGGGCTTTGCAGCACTATTCGCCAACCTGATGCCATCTTCGGGTCTCCAAACCCCAGTCATCAAGACATCAGGCGGGGCAGACGTGTCGCCTGCCAGCCGAACAGCTTCAAGCGACTTGACAATCGACGCATCCGCCTGCTCCACTGCATGTCGCCTCGCAGCAATCCGTTCTCGTACTTCATCAGCGAGACGATTCAAAGCTGCATGCAAGTCATGATAAAACTTGGCGCCTTCACTCAAATTCACCCGAATCTCATCGAATTTATCGCTTGCTTGAGTGAGTTGTTGCAAAACTGCCTGACGCGCTTGCGTACCGCTTGCAATGGCTTCTTTGTGCGTGAAGAAGTCAGCAGCTGCGACGTTGAGTTCTTGTGTGAGAGATGCTTGAAGTGAGGATTGTTGTTGTAATGGTTGAAGGAATGGCTCGTATTGCGCAAGAAGTTGCTCCATCAGTGGCTCAAATTGACCAGCATCGAGTTGTCCATCCATGTGTTCGGCTTCTTGTAGTAGTCGTGCTTTAGGATCATCCTCTGCCGCAAATCGACGAATACGATCAAGTGCTTGCTGACGCTTGACTTGTAAACTCTCCCATCGCGCAAGTAATGAACGAACACGATGCGCACTCGTCTCTGCTGCGGGCGTCAATGCGATTCTTCTGGCATCCGGTACAGCATTTGCCAGTAATTCGACATCCCCACCAAGCAGCAAGATGGGCCGTTCCCACTGCTTGATCTTTTGTGCAATAAGCGAATCTGCTTGTTTTGCCTTGCCAACAAATTCTTTGTATTGTGAGAGTTGCTTGCGGTATCCACCAAAAGCATCCTTTGAAGAAGGCAAGGGATACTCCTTCCCAAATTGACCACGCAAGGCTGCATCTTCTTCTTCCTCTTCATCCAACATGTCTGTCATTTGAGCCATAAGACCCTCATTCGCATCGGCCAAACTGACGCCTTCTGCCAACAGTACAGTGAGATGTGGTAAGCCGCCTTTTGCTTTAATCTGTTCTGTTGCCCTCAAGATGGAATCCGGCAAACCGAGTGGTTGTTCAAGTGCCGTCAATGCACCGGGTAATGCATGCGTTTGTAGGAACTCCGTCATCTCGCTCGTCAATTTGCTCATGGGTTGAATGGCACGCGATGCAACAAGCTGGTCTTTGCGGTGATTGTAGATGGCCAATACATTGCTAACGACACTCGACATGAGCGAGACAAAGAGGGTATCCGTCGTGCTGCTGAGAGAAGCCTTGAGTGTTTCGCTCAATACCGGCTTCACCATACTCGTTGGAACAATGTCCGCAAGTTGTGAGGGAGTTGGTACGGGAATCATATAGATGATATCGTTATCCCGTTCGGCGCGTTCAAGCGACGATGCAACACGCTCAACGAGACTTGTGAAGTCATTAGCGATTGGTGCAGCGACATAATCGCGATGACTTGATGCGCCATTGCATAGTTCGCGTGCAAGCTGTAACCGAGCGACTTCCTCGCCGTAGGCTTGTTGAGAGACTGCATGACTACTCATTCTGAATTGTGCAGCAGCTGCGAAATGGGCTCGTTTGAGACTCAAATGATGCACGAGCTTGCTGTCGAGTGCATTGGATTTTTGATGATGTGAGAGTGCAGCTGCGTAGTAGACTGAGACTTGTTGGCTGAGTTGAGCAATCAATTTATCCTTCATGCGATCCATGACTGCTCGCTGCCATATACACTCTTGAGCTTCAGCGAGCGTCAGTTGTTCTAATGATGTGATGGCTTCTTCAGAGAGTTCATGCGGTAGTTGTACCTCGTCGAGTGCACGCCTGCAATCTTCAACGAGCATGGCAAAGAGTCCAGCAGATTGCTGTAACTTGGCATGCGACTGCTTGAGTCCCTCCATCGTTCTACGATCTTCTGCCAAACCCATCATGGCATAAGTCGCAGCGAGATTGTAGAGCACATTGCATCGCTCAAACGCAAGGGACTGTCGTTTTGTGCTGCCGTGGACTTGATCCATCCACGTTGCTTCCCAGAGATCATCATGGAACTTGGACGTCAATGTACATAGATGACGATAGTACACCAGGATCTGATCAGCAAGGGTCGACTCTGGTACAGTCGTTCGAGTCGCGTCGATGCGCATTTGTGCAATGCGCGCGATATCATTGTGGAATAAGTCTGGTGGTTGTAGGAATCGTTCTTGTATTTGAGCAGTGATGTGATCTTCGACTGCGACGGGCGCGGTGGTCCGTAAGGCAATGGGCCATAGGTTGGACACCATGCAGTTTCTTGGTCGGGTCAAATGACGACGTTGTCAGAAAGTGGAGCGCAATGTAGACAAAATCTCACAAGGGTGATCAGTGGGAAGGCTTGGTCATGGAGAGCCAGTGATCATGATGCTAAGGGCTGCTTGTCATCACAGAGAGCTGTAACAAAGAATCATGGACAGACAGACAAGACACTCACGCAATATGGTGGAGACATTTCTTACGCTATTTGGATGAAAGTGTGCCAGAAGCATCTACTCTACGCTTGGCAAGGTTGCCATAGCATATATTGAAGCGAGCCTGCGGCCATGCGATGTGTTGCTTGCCATGCTCCAAGAAAGAGCATGCATGAGCAAGCGGTGTGTGTGTTGGTTGCTTTATGATCGTGGCTTCTCCTTCTTCTCGAGCCAAAGCGCCAAGAGACCGACACCAGAGACCTTGACGACCTTGAAACGCAGACCAGGCATATCACCCTTTGCCTTACCAGACTTACCGAAACCGGCAATGAGGACCTCGTCGTTCTCATCCACAAAGTTGAGACAACCGTCATTCGGCACAAACGCCGTCACCTTCTTTCCGTTTTTAATGAGCTGTACACGCACAGCCTTACGAATGGCAGAGTTGGGCTGTTTTGCCTCAACACCAATCTTCTCAAGGACGATACCCTTTGCGTGAGAAGCGGTACCGAGTGGGTTGGAACGGAAGGCTGTACCCAACAGACGCTTCTTGTAGGCTTCATCGGCCCATCGGTTGACACGACGGTAGGTGCGCAGCTTGCGACCGGTATTGATTCCGCTTGGCTTACCCTAGATTGGTCAGTATTTTGTTGGCTTGAATGCGGATGGAGAGGAGAGCCGGGGGAGGGTATCGAGCATTGTCTCTCTGGCCCTGCTGCATGTCTATCGGGGCTGTTATGTGTGTGGCCCCAACATTTGCATAACACAGAACATCTATGCGGCGAGAGAATGCCTTGAGCAGCGAGACCAATGAGTATCTACTCCCTTCCACCTCTCCCTGCTCTCCGTTCCCATGCTCCGGTCACATACCATGATTGCTGAGTGTCTTGCTGCGTGTTGCGGTCTCTTTCCCTGGCTGCTTCTCTCTCTCTCAGTGATCCAAATTTTGTTTTCCCGCGCTGTGACTGCGAATTCTACTTCAGATGGAAATACTGTCACTAGTAGGAGTATAGTAGTAGTGTAGTAGGAGTGGTGGCAGTGGCAGTATAGTACTAGAGCAGTAGAAGAAACACATCTCTACATCAGGTCCTCACTCTGCTTCTTCCTCGCTCCTATCCGCTAAACTCAATGTGAGAGCCAATCTTGTGCACAGGCTCACCCATCTTCTGCGTGTCCACAGCAAGACCCAAGCCAAGCTTCACTCCAGGCCTGATGACCTGGTAGTAGGAGAACTGTGCAACTGCAGCATTGTTCACTTTAGCCTTCACAGCAGACAATCGGTCCAATGTGTACTTGCCACCCACCTCAGCCAGCACCTTATCACCAGCAAGCGAATCCCACGTCACCCGACCCGATGCCTCAACATTGGCATTCACACGGTGGTAGTAGCTAGCCGTGTACACGCTCAACTTGTTGTTGGCCTGCACCGCAACACCCACAAGTGGTGTCGCGTACCCAACACCCAACGAGTACCGCTGCACATCTCCACCTTGAATATCGTAGGATGCCTCAGCACCAGCGAAATAACCATCGTGACTCACCACTGCATCAGTCGTCAACACGGGACCCGTCTTGCCAGTCAAGTCCAAGAAGGATCGTCCGTGGAAGTTGGGACGCTTGTACAACAAACCAAGCTTACCGGCACGAGCCGTCGATGCAGGTTCAAAAGCAGTGGAGAGTTCCAACTTGAGACCCTTGGCGAATTGGTCTTCGAGTTCAAGCTTTGAGTTGAGCTTGTTTTGAGTGGTCCAGCCTTGTGTCAAGGTCAAACCATTGGCCTTGTCAGCCCACTTGGCCTCGAGCTCGCCAGAGATGGCACCCTTCTCGGATTGAGCACCTTTTGCGGAGAAGGTCTAGTTAGAACGTTAGACGTTGATGTTTCGCGTTTGGAAAGAAGCACGACGTACGACATTGTTGGGAGCGACCGTCTTGACATCAAGCTTGTGTCCAGCAACAGGGAACTCCTTGCCGAGGATGTCATTGGCTGGTTTGGCCAGGTCAGAGAAGTTCATAGGGATAGACCTGTTGAAAAAGTTAGTATTTGACCCATGCGTTGGACAAGCGGCCGTATCCAGGCGTGCGCGGACTGGTGCAGCAATGATGGCAGCAAGCAGAAGCAGTAGCCGGAAGCGTGAATGCGACGTACATGGCTGAATGGGTCTGGTGAGGAGGATGAATGGGGTGTGCTTTGGTCTCTTGTTGTCTCTTGTTCGCTCGCCAAAAGCCGGGACCCAGATTGCACGTCCAAGTTGACTGCTGCAAACACTCAACGACTCACCTGACTATACCTCACTAGGCTCACTATAGCTCGTCAATATTTGTTCCTGATTACTGCTGCTGCTACTGCTCCTGTCTCTGCTAGACTGCTTGTTTCTCTTTGTCGATTGACTTCAGCCCCTGCCCTTCAAAGCTCGCTGCAATTCAAGCAATGGCCAACGCAATTGAAGACTGGCACACAGGCATGCGGAGCTCCTCAGAAGACGACGACTCTGGCGCCTCTGGCGGGTTCGTCGATTGGATCCTCTCCTCTCGAGGTGGTGAATTCTTTTGTGATATCGATGCAGAGTACATGACAGACCGCTTCAACCTCACAGGTCTCTCTGCTGAAGTCCCCAACTTCCAAATCGCATACGATCTCATCTGTGATACAACAGATATCGAGGTAAACTTTAGCGAAGAAGGCGGGTATGCTGCGTATGGACGTCATCTATATGGCATGATTCATGCCCGCTACATTCTCACACCGCGAGGCCTACAAAAGATGGTACGCCCTTGCTGTTTCAACTTCCAAGAACGCGCCTAACAAAGTAGCTTGAAAAGTACAAGCAAGGCGATTTCGGCGTTTGCCCACGATTCCTATGCCACTCGCAGCATCTATTACCCATCGGTCCAAGTGATTTGCCAAGCATAGCCTCGGTGCAGACATACTGCCCGCACTGCGAAGACCTCTATACCCCAAAATCAAAACGTCACGCCAATATCGTATGTCCCTTTCGCTCAGATCCCAAAAACGCACCAGCTGACCAGCAGGATGGCGCATATTTTGGTACAACATTCCCACACATGCTGCTACAACTCAATTCTGCCATGATGCCAGCAAAATCGGAAGAACGCTACGTCCCCAAAATCTTTGGCTTCCGCGTCCATGAAAGTAGTCAAATCCACCGAAAGCAAGATCAGGATCGCCACGAGATGATTGCTCGACTTGGACAATACGCATCAGGCGGCTGAACCGATCCCTGTCCGCTGCTTGACGTGTTCGCGTAGTGCAATGCGTTCTTCTTGGGTATTGAGCGATGCCGTCATGAATTTCAAAAGTTCCGCTGCAAGGTCCCATTGCCCAGCCTGTGCTGCTTTTGACAACAGTAACAAACTAGCCTCTTCATACCCATCGCATACAGCATTTCCTTTCCCTTCCTCGAGCGTGCTCATGACAATCAAAAAACTCCCAGCCACATCCAACTCGCCTTGATCTAGACAGACGTGGAAGAAGTCTTGTGGTGGACCCACTGCGTCAAACAGGCTCGGCCATAACTTCGCCTCTACTTTCCGTGCAAGCCGTGACACTGCACCAACACTCTCCTTGAACGTCGACAAGACTCGCCAGACAGAGCCCAATAGCAGAGGGTGCTCTTCGAGTGTTAGGAATAGAATGAGTTCAAGGACTGCCGGGAAATCAGAGTTCCGCTTGAGTGTGTGCAGAAGCTCACTCGCTGTTCGTGGGAATCCATCACCACTCGCTGCCACGAGCGCACAAAATAAGGCAGGTACGTAGCTCTGCCGTTGAAGACGCGCACCTGGTTCAACAAACATATCGCCATCTCCAGAACTCGACCTGAGTAAGCCATAGATTGTACCCTTCTCAAAGGAAAGCGAGAGTGGGAGTACATCCAAGGAAATAGCCATCAGCGGCTCGACATGCGTGCTGGGCGATTGCCAGACATACAACTTTCCTGCTGACACGGCCCACAAGGAGTGTTGAAAGGGACCTTTCTCATGCTGATGACGAAACCAGTCCACATTCTGCAGTAACGTCACCTGCTCTGCTGGAAAGACGCGTATCAATTTGAGTGTTTGACCTTCCAAGATGTAGCCCGCCGAAATGGTCCCTGAAATGGTCTCAAGTAGGGAAAATGAACGTATAGGAGCTTCATGCTTGACACTCGTTCGCCACAGCGGATCGAGTCGAATTTGAGTGGTCTTGTGGACTGTGATTCGCCAAGAACACAAGCTATCCTTGGTAGCCATGAGCAAGATGTCTGTCTGCAAGCAAAAGCACTCTCCAGGCTCATCCAGTGTATGCACATACAAAGCTTGACTCAATGGCATCTCGCGAGAAAACAACCGAATCTCAAACACACCCGATGCCGACGTCCCAGCCACAATCAGCATATGCAGATACCAACCAAGCCAGACTGTGTGAAACGTCTCGTCCCAGGCGGCCTGTACTTTCCAGACACCAGAGCGGGTCGAACAATGCGCTAAGCGGCCACCGCCAGCAACAGCCACGTAGCGACCACCGACACTCACTGAAGCACACTCAATATGTGGCACTGCTTGATCTGGCGGTGAGACAGTGTGTAGATGGGCTTCGTCTGAATTGCTGGAGCTGAGCAAAGTCAGTAGCTTCTCTGGACGTTGCAGGATAGGTCGAGCACTACTTGAGCCTGGCAGCACACGTGCATGACGTGTGACAGTCAATTTCGCTTCATGATAGTGCAGCATGAGGAGCTGGTTGTTGAGCCAGACCGTTTGACCAGGCGCTTGAGGGTGACTGCTGTTGATGACACCCTGAAGAGTTGTGCTGTACACGTACCGGCCGGCGCAAACCAATAGCCCATCGTCGGCATTGTGTATCATCACAATAGCAGCAGGAAACGACATCTTTGATTGTCTGGTTGCTTTTAGTTCGGCCACCTGATAGGTACGGAGTGTCCCTTTGTCGTCGCCTAGACATAGTGTATCACCAACGATCAGTAGTGCCGTGAATCTGTCACTGCTTTCACCAACCAATTCGCCAGAGAATGGCTCCTTGTCTTCATCACCAATCTTCACAAGATAGACTCTACCTTCACTCGTACGCCATGCTTGCAGACCCTTGGCTGGCATATCTGCAATTTGAAGGAGAGTGCATGTAGGTTCCTGCAAAAACCCGATTGACGACAGTTCAGCAGAGACAGTCTGCGCTTTTCCTTTTTTGCTAGCTTGCCAGTGCAGCATCTGTACAGTCGGCGGAGACTTTGTGCTAAAGTACAAACGCTCCGGTGTTGCGCATACAGCCAGGGCTTCTGCCGCAATGTGAATAGTCTGTTTGTGCTTCGTCCAGCTCTTCACAACTCCGGATGTATCACGCAGCTTGAGCAAGCCATTCTCCAAATCCTGATACAGTGCGTAGGTCAATAAACTTCCTTGCGTCGTGAGGACCACAGCTAGCCTGGCATCTTCTTGTAGAAAGAGCTCTGCATTGCTGCCGTGTGCTTCTATAGATGCTGCAGAGCGACGATTGACGTGGCAGATGGTCAAAGTTTCTGCATCCCATGTAGTCAAAGCTTCAGCAGAAAGGCCTAAGAACAGCGTGCCACGGAGCGCAGAGGTCAAGCTCAGGAGTGGTTCAGAGTTGAGCGTGATGGGCTGTGTGACAGCAACTAGGGCCATGGGCTATTTTTGAGACTAGTCTACTCAACTTGGTAAAGGAAGTCCAGGTAGTCAGCGCCGAGCTGTGCCCTCCCCGAGACGCATGCTTGCCAGGCCCCCTGAAGCCCGTGATGCGAGGTAACCTGAGTGCGACGTCGCGTCTCCTCGATTGCCTTCGCGACATTTTTGAAAAGGCCCCACAAGAACACCACGACATACAGCCCCTCTGGACTCTCCCTTCTCTCAATACTGCTGGCCCAGGATGGCTGCAGCTTGGGCTTGACTCTGTTTGCAAACTACACATAACTTGCGTGAAGCGGCATGTCTAAGCATGGCCTGGACCAAACTGCTTGGAATCGCATATTGGGACAAGCGCGGCGAGCTTCAAAAGACGATGGCGCAACGCTAGATCTGAGTGACCAGCGCATCGATGAGATTCCTGCCGAAGTCGTTGAGCGACTCAAGCTTGAAGTCACTCGGTTCGTCGCTTGCCAACATATATACAGATGCTAACAACAAGTCTGGCTTTAGGCCATAACATTCTGACTGCATTGCCGCCGTCTATCGTGAGCATGCAAAAGTTGCGCTACCTCAATATACGGTCCAACTACTTTCGCGAGTTTCCGACAATCCTGTGCAACATGCCTTCCCTGGAGATTTTGGACATTAGTCGCAATAAGATTCGCTCGTTCCCGCAGGACCCGGGCAACTTGATTCACCTCAAAGTCTTGTCAATCTCCAAGAACAGGATTGAAGTCTTGCCAAACTACATCTCGCGGATGCATGATCTCAAAATTCTTAAGATTGAGTACAATCCTATCGTCTTTCCAAGCTCAAATATCGTCCACAACACGGGTGGCGAGGCGACCATGGATCAGTGGTTGACAGCTTTGAAATCTTATTTGGCGCAGCAAACACCACTTGACGTGGAGACAGGAACCACGACGGACGATGACGGGCAGGAATCAGACTATGCTGCGTTGGATACGAGAGGACTTACTGTGAGGCCCTATGCAAAGTCAAACAAGCCCACGCCACCGATTCCAACAAAGAACATGGACCGGACGAGCAGCAAGTCTGTCAGTGGTATGGCCCATTTCATTGATCCCAAAGCCCTGGATATGGAGAGATCGCGCAGCAACAGCGAAAGCGAACATTCACGGCCGCCTTATCGCCGACCTTTGCAGATGCAGCGCACGCGCACGGGTCTCGATACCCTGACTGAAGATCGCACACGGCATTCGCGAGGCTTCTCGCATGACTACATCAATGGTAGAGATAATGTCTCTGAAGCAGAATCTAGTCTGAGATCCCCCGCTGAAGTTCAGCAAAATTCAAGAGCATATTTCCGACGTTTGTCTAGCCTACCGCAGAGCAAGCGAGTTTCCCTCAGCTCTGCTAAAATTGTCGAATCGGCGCGTGGTATGCTTTTTGCCTTTTCTCAGATCCATCAAGCTGTGAGGCAGTACTCGACCTTCTGTCCCTTCCCAGACTTGACTGGCAGCATCAACCGTGTGCTCTACAACGCAAATGCGCATGTCGGCGCGTTGGTGGATGCGCTCGAGTCGCACGAAGCCAAGCCTGATAACGCAGATGCGACGGTGGTCATGGAGGCGTGTCGCGCATGCGTCGGCGCCTTTCGCCATGTTATGAGCATATTACACAACCGCATTCGAGACTTGACATCACAGGCTGATGTTCGTTATACAAGGACATTACTGCTTCTACTGTATGGTGCAGCTGCAGAAATACAAAATGCATGGACGGCAATACGGCCTGTAAGCGAGATCAAGCCGCTCCCTATCGTAGGCATCAGTCCAATTCCAGGATTTATGCCATATGGCGCGACTCGAACGGCAGCGCCACTCACTCGACTCAAATCAAATTCAAATTCGAATGTATCGTTGACCTCGTTCAATTCGCTTGCACGACCGAATGAGCAGCATGGTTCTTCTATTGGCACACCTCCAAGTGTCATGTCGCCTGATGGGCCTGTTGGTGTTGACACTGACGAGCAGCTACTCGACAAGATTGCTCAAGCCACCAGTGCGACGTTGGCACTTTTATCGCTCATGGGCGAAGCTGTTTCCAAGAGCGCCATAGCATCGTCTCAAGGTCCCAATACCCCTGGCGCCGTGTCACCGGCAACCAACATCAAGCTGCGTGACTTGGCGTCGAATTCACTGAGCGCGGGTGAAGTCACGCGGCGTCTGAAGAACAAGTTGCCGCAAGCACGGAGCATGACGGATGCGATTGACAAGAAGCGTTTCTGGGAGGACACCAATGCGTTCGTTAAGGCTGTCATCAATGTTGCTGCCCTTGCCAAAAGCGTTTCCAGCGAATATCCATTCTCAAAAGCGATCCTGGCGAGCTTATCGACCGTCACTCGATCTACGAAGGAGCTGACCATCCTGCTGTCTGTGTCGACATTCCAACTACATCGAGCGGAGCCACAGCCTGCGACAACGCCCTCAGCTGGCATCATTTCACCTCTTGCGGCAGCACTTGGTCCGGCCAGCCAAGCAGTCATGACGCCGACGGTGGCTAACATGACAGCCGTCGCTGCGACAAGCCCAACGTTGAAACACTTTGACATGTCTGGCCCCAACAGTGCGTCAGGAACGCCACTCTCAACATATCAACCGCAATTGCCACCCTTTGGAGAAGAATCAACTACATGAAAGACGCCCTTTACATAAACTTAGCTAAAGTAAACCATGCTTTCTACAGCTTGGCCTCTGCCACAATCCATTCAGCAGACTGCTTCTGCGACTTGACTTGGTCAAATTCATGACGTGTCACCTTACGGCACTCCGTTGCAGGGTTGTAGCCCATACGTGTTCGACCATCCTCAGAAAAGTTACCGCTGTACTCAGGCTTACCGTAGATACCAACCACCACAGCACCGCCGAGACCGACGTTGTGCTGCAGGCAGTATTGAGCGCCCTTAACTTGACGGTCACCGCACCAGCCACGCAATTGCCAAGTGAGCTCGGCACATTGTGCAAGACCTGTTGCACCGAGTGGGTGGCCCTTGGAGATGAGACCTCCAGAGGGGTTCACGACGATACGGCCACCATAGGTGATGTCACCCTCTTCGACCATCTTGTGAGCGGTACCGGGTGCACAGACACCAATGGCGTCCAGTGAGATGAGCTCATTGGCAGAGAAGCAGTCGTGCAATTCAATCACACCAATCTGGTCAGGCGAGATACGTGCACGCTTGAATGCCTGCGACGAAGCACGACGCGTCATGTCAGCACCAGCCAGCTCAATGGCGGACTTGGAGAACATCTTGGCAGAGTCTGTTGCCAGAACTTGCGAGAGGATAGGGACTGCCTGGTTGGCGAGCTCTGGGTGAGCATCGAGCCACTTCTCAGACACGAGGATGACTGCACCGGCACCACTGCTTGTTGGGCAGCAGTGAAGACGCGTCATGCCGGCGTGCACCATGGGAGACTTTTCAATCTGCTCCTTGGTGTGAACGTTGCGGAACTGCGAGTATGGGTTCTTGGCTGAGTGGAGGTGGTTGATGCGTGCAATCTCCGTCAAGTGACTGACGTTGGATCCGTACTTCTCGTGGTATTCCAAAGCGGCATTACCGAACCACTGTGAGGCAGGTGGAGCCTTGGGATTGAATCCTTGGTTCTCCACCATATGCATGGTGGCCCTGCCAAGTGGGTTCTCGCGGTCATCCCAGTTGGACTTGAGGGAGCCAGCAGCCATCTCTTCGAAACCAATAGCCATGGCAACATCAACCTGTCCAGACATGACTGCATTTCGGGCAAGCCAAAGAGCAGTCGATCCAGTGGAACAGTTGTTGTTGACGTTGACGATGGGGATTTGAGTCATACCGAATTGGTAAAAGGCACGCTGGCCACAGGTCGAGTCACCGTAGCAGAAGCCGGCGAATCCCTGCTCGACTTCGTCGTAGTTGATGCCGGCATCCAAGAGAGCCTTGGTTCCTGCCTCCAACGACAAGTCTGTGTAGCTGTGAGGACCTTCCGAAGGCTTGTAGAATTTGGTCAGACCAACACCGAGGACATATACATTTGCCATTGCTTGTTAGATATTTGTAGGAGATTGAGAATAAGTGGATGTAGGATTGCTTTTGATGCTGCGGTCGCTTCCCCGCAAAAGAACGGCGGCGGCCTTCAAACCCCGGATTCCGAATTCCTCGAGTCGCCGCCCGCAAGCTCGAGTACAAGGACAGCAGCAACCGCACGGCCCTTCTACGCTCCATAGACTGGTCTCTGTGTGAAGCGAATGTTCGGCTTCGATGCCGTAAGCTGTGATGAAGATCAGGACTAGTGTCAATGATGCTGAAGTTCAGCTGCTTGACAGATGTGTTCCGCACAAGCGATGTTGAGACTTCCATGACGCCTGACTTTTTCTATGTATTTCCTTCGTTGCTATAGAGATTGAATCTATGCTCGAGTACGTAGGATGAAATGAGCTTCATCTCACGAAAGTCTGCCCAGGAGGTCGACTGACAGTGCGGGACTGGCTGAAGAAGCGAAGATCTCAACAAGCACACCCGCTGACTCTGGCTGTGCGAGCTTCCAAGATGGTGAAGTAGGCCCTGGCCGCATCCGTGGTACATATGAAGTTTCCGTGCGAAACGTATTGCACTTGAAACGCTGCATGTTTCTGGTTAAGACAACCGTACAAGAACGTTCGTCCACCTGGTCCTCTCGCGACCATCATCATGATTGCAAATGACGAAGACTCAAGCAAACCCAGCGAGGATGCAAATCAGTCACAAGAAGATGGATTTAGGCACCAACAGACGGTCGGAGCGTCAAATACGAGTGCCTTCACAGCGTCCTCGTTGGATACGCATTGCGACCAGCGGATTTCTAGATCTACAGAGCAACCGGTGCACTCGGCCCCCAGCGGTAAACACTTGCCTGTAGTTTTCAATGCTCAGCTTTCCAAGGCTGTAGAAGCCAGTTCAGACAGGAATATGAGCAATTAGAGCAGGAGGCGTGAGCTGTGATGTTAAGCAATGAGCAAGTGCTGTAGCCCCTGAATGCGCTTCGGCTAAATGTGCGGTGCACGTGGAGGTTGATGGCAGCTGCCAGATTTCGCAGATCGATTTGCAGCTGGACGACAGTGACGACACCCGCAAGAACATCTGGCGCTCTCTCTCTCTACTGCTGAACATCAGCGCTTGCTTGGCGTCCTTGCTATCCCGCTGGACGCAACCTGCAGGTGCTTAAGGAGGCCCCGTCATCAACGGCAGTCGCACCCCGCTAAAGCTCATCTACAGGCCATCCCGCTGTAGAAAAGACAGGCGCATCCCGCCCCCCACAGACAACACAGCGCAGTCCAACCTCTCTCTCTTTGCACCAGAACGCATACGCTAGTCAGGAGAGCAGCACTTGTCAGAGCACTCGCTTGCACCTCAGACGGGAGCTGGTCAAAGGGCACACGCATACGCACAAATATCAAACTTCAGGGAGAAAGCTGGGGAAACTGTAACCGCACCATCCACCCAGGCACCCCGCGCTCCCTCCTCATCCCATACGACTCAGCGCTCTTCTTGGATTGGTATAAGACGACCTTGATCGCTGTCTAGTCACTGCCTCAAATATCGACCTCGTCTCTGGCAACATCTCGAACACAACTACAAATTGTACAGTCCAGGCTCATATTCCTACAACATGTTTGATGCAATCAGAGGCCGAGCGCTCATGTCACTCACTGTCGCCTGCTCTTCTTGCGGCTTCTTGCTCGTCGGCTATGATAACGTAAGTCACCATCTTGTTTCTGCCCCGACTCGAGCTAACACAAACAGGGTGTCCTTGGAGGACTCGTCAACAACGAGCCATTCACAAATTCCCTCGGCGTTTCAGTCGAACGCGATGCAACTTTACTTGGCACCATCGTTGCCATCTACGAAATTGGATGCTGCGTCGGCGCGCTGGCAACTGCCTTTTACGGTGAACGTCTCGGTCGTCGCAAGTCCATCATGGTTGGCGCTGTCTTTGCCGTGATTGGTGCTGTCCTTCAAGCGACCGCTAGCACCGTCTCTCACATGATTGTCGGACGTATCGTTACAGGTCTCGGTGTTGGCTGCATCAACTGCATCTGCCCTGTCCTCCTCGCTGAGTCCGCCACCCCTAAATCTCGCGGTCGTCTCGCCTGTGTCCAGCTGTCGACGCTCAACGCTGGTATCATGATGGCATACTGGGTCGACTATGGCTTCAACCAAATCGCAAGCAAACCTGCATACGCTTGGCGTATACCAGTCGCACTGCAAATTGTCTTCATGGTTGCCATTCTCCTGCTTGCCATTGTTGTTCCTGAGACGCCACGATGGCTCGCTGCGCATGGTCGTGGCGATGAAGCACTCATTGTTCTTTCTCGTCTTGCTGACCGCGACTCCTCCGACGCTGGTGTACAGGAGACTTACCAAGGTATCATGCATGCTGTCGAACTGGAGCGCGATGCTGGCGTTGGCTCATGGAGGGAGATTCTCAAGGGTGACAAGATCAAGTCTCGTCGACGATTCTTGATTGCTTGTGGTATTCAATTTGCTCAACAGATTGGCGGTATCAATGGCCTCATCTTCTACTCTGGCATCATCTTCTCGCAATCCATTCGACTCTCCAACTCAACAGCCAATTTGGTTTCCGGCCTCTTGTTCACTTGGTTCTTTGTGGCATCCTTCATTCCTCACTTCATCATCGACTGGGCAGGCCGTCGAAAGCTCCTCTTGTTCACAGTCACCGGCATGTCACTCATCTTTGCCATCGAGGCAGGTCTCATCAAGCAACTGCAAGAAGTTGGCTACAACAAGCCTATTGGTATTGCTGCCGCTGCGATGCTTTTCCTCTTCTTGGGCCTCTTTACAATTGGTTTCCAAGCAGTTGTTTGGCTTATTCCTTCTGAGGTCTTGCCTCTACGTCTCCGCAACAAGGGTTCTGCAGTCTCAACGGCTAGCAATTGGATCACCAATTATGCAATTGTACAAATCACACCCATCGGTATCAAGAACCTCGGCTGGAAATTTTACCTCATCTTCTTCGCCATCAATCTAGTGGCTGTTGGTTTCATCTACTGGTTTATCCCAGAGACAGCAGGCATGTCTCTTGAAGCAGTCGATGACTTGTTTATTGGTGCTACAGGGTGTGCTGGAAAGTGGCGAGCAAAAGAAGGGCGGACAACGCAGATCCACAGGCGCAATACAAGCTCGAGTGCTGATTATGAGACGAAAGTCGGGATTTCGAGTTCTCATCATGAGGTGTCGTGAGTGGCGTTGTCCGCGAAATCCATTCAACAAACTTCAATTTTCTTGTACAAAAAAAAGAGTATATGGGTCGTAGTCATCTATAGGTCAAATTCAACGGTATTGGCGCGCACTTTCTTATCTTCTGCTGTACAATGATTATTAGACTTGCGATAGTGTAGAAAAGACTCTCTAAACGACACCCGACATGATCTGCGGATACACCCTGCTCATCTCTGCAAACAAACCAGGGAAGTACTCACGTAGAATCTCAGGGTTCTCAGCCGTACACACAAACAGCGTTGCAACACCCGAAGAAATAGCTTGCACGGCCGTATTACCAATTTGCAAACCCACCAGGAAACTCACTGCCATGACAATCGGCGTATAGCCACCACCGACATTATAAGCTGGTGCTGTGAATTTGAGGTACAAGTATGCCAACAATGCAGTGACATACGCGATAAAGACAGCACCTGCGGTAAGGACATTCGAGATGAGGGAGTCATTGATGAGTGCATCGATTCCACGCGACTTGACCAATTGCCACGTTCGCTTTGCAGCAGCAATATACGCTTTACCATACAAGGCGACTTGAACATAGCAGTATTTGTTGAAGTACTGCAATAACCAGCGCAAGATGCCAACGAAGCAGGAAGCGATACAGCCAATGATGGCACCGATCATATCACCAGACTGCATCTGTGCACGAACAAATGTATCAATCACCTGCTTGACGAGTGAAATGATGGCGACGAGCAATGATCCAAAGCAGATAGATCCAAAGCTATACGTCATGGATCGCTTGATCGAAGAAAGAGCAGCATGCTTAGGAAGACCCTTAGGATCAGCGACGCCATAGTAGAAAGAGCCAAACACGCCACAAATCGTGCAGTGAATGGTGTTTTTGATGACCTCGGTTGTCCAATATGCGGAAAAGGTCAAAAAGACAATGACCAGTACCAAGGAGGCATTTGAACAGGTACCACCAGCGGCTGAGCAACCCGGATTGGCTTGACCTGTCCTTGTAGCATTAGGAGAGTACTTTGCGTATGCTGCAACGAGTGTGACGGCCCACCAGGCGCTGAAAGCCGAACTGGCAACAGTACCGAAGAAGGAAACAATGTAGATTGACTTGTAGTGTTTCGCCACGTCCATAGTGAATTGGAGATACAAGGTTGCCAGGGGAATCCGTGGGATCCAGGAGATGAAGCAAATGAGATAGAAGACTGCAAAGATGAGGAAGACGATGCCTGCGCCGTATTGCTTCTCGTAGATGTACCAGGCTAGATTGTCAGACATGAAACTGGAAATATTTTGCACTTACCGCCTGTAGCAAAGCCAGCCACGACGTGGATAATTCCCGTCACCCAGATGAAGGTCTTTGTGAATTTACGAGCAAGAGTGAAGTAGATGAGCGCCAGAACGAGTGATGTGGCAACAACAAAGGCGAGCAAGATGACAGTGTTGGAGTTGAGCGTAACTGACTGGTTGGTGTAGATACTGCCAGCATTGTTCTTGCTGTATGCATTGAGGCAGAAGCCAGAGATGACAGCAAAGGCAATGAATGTAGCCCAAAAGGCAATAGCGAACGGAATATCGTTGTATTTTGGTTTTGCAACGGCAAACTTTTCATCAAAGGGTTGCCCACCTTGCTTGATGTCTGTGGGAGCTACCTGATTGTTGTACATTGGCTGTTGCTGCTGTCCCTGCGGCTGCTGCATCTGGTATGATGGCTGCTGTTGCGCCGAATAGCCTTGATGTTGCTGCGGCTGCATCTGGTAGGATGAGTGCTGCTGCTCTGGCGCGTAGCCTTGAGGTTGATACTGCGCCATGGCAGATGAGATGGATAGAGAGCGAAAGCAGAGAGTGTCTGGTCGAGAGAGAGAGCTGTGGTGGACTACTTTCTCTGGCGGCTTCTGGCTTGTTTTTGTTTTTCCTCGTGGTTGAATGCCTGGCCGCACTTTCAGGTTAAAGATCCACAGGAAAGGGCTAGAGCGAGCGACGAGAGACATGGGACAGGACGGCCGAGGGACAGGCAGCAGTAGCAAGAATCAGTAGCAAGCAGTAGAGCAGCAGCAAGCATAGAGATCAGTTTATACAAAGGAGCAGACCAGATGCAGACCCAAACGATACCCACCTGGGTACAATCAATAATTAGAGAACCCAAAGAAGCAACCTCACTGCTCAATCCTCACCAGCAAGCTTCTCAACCTTCTTGACAACACCTTCCCACTGCTGTAGCGCAGCAGCATTGATTCTCGCACGATTCCGTTCTTCCTCCTTGGCTCGACGATGCTCCTCAATCTCGGCCTCTAGCAAACGATGATTCTCTGCTTGACGCTCCTCATTCTTGGCAGATTCCTCTTCAAGTCGTCTCCGCTCCTCATCTGCTTCATTCTTCTCTCGAACAAGCCGATCTTGCTCATCGGGCGTGTAGGTCTCAAAGTTGCGTGCATTCGAGTCCCAAAGCTCAATACACGCATCATCCCAATTACAAGCTTCGATGGAACCCAAGAGTCGATGCAGGAATCGCGGGTGTGTAGAAGGCCATCCACTTGCATGATAATGGTGTCGAACCAGAGCAGCACGTCCTTGATGCGTGCCAGAGTCAGAGTGTCCCTGTGCAGCGGCAAACGCTTCAACCGTCAACACCAGTACACCGGCAACGAGCCTGGATTCCGTCATCTTGTGGAAGGGATCCCATGTCACGCGACTACCAGTCTTTTGAGACATATGAGCCAACAAGGAATCAGTAAATGCCGTAGGCCCCGTAACTGCGAGAACATCGTCAAAATCGAGGGTAATGTCGCTGATGCTGCACTTTTGATCTCTGGCAAGTTTGTGAATCTTCATGACCACATCATCCACAAGTCGTAGAATAACAGGCAGTCGCGGCTTACACATAAATGTCCATTGACAAAATCCATAAGACTTGCGACCGAGGAGTTTGTGGTGTGCGTATTTGGGATTGTCAATCTCAACACCAATGACCATATCAACATCGTCCGGGTTGTAGCGTTCTGGGATGAAGCGCTCGATGGGACGGATAGCCTCAACGTCGATATCTGCATACACGCCGCCTTCAGCGTACATCACCAAGTATCGCAACAAATCCGCCTTGAGAATCTTGGCAGTCAAGAGACGGTAAGTCTTGACGATATCCGGTCGATTAAGACCATTCGGTCCAAATGCAGCCTCCACGAAATCCACATCATTCGTATCTGTCAGCACTTCATACCGATGATGAGGGTTCATGGAAAGCCATGACTTGGCCCTTGACGCATCCCTTGCTTCAAAATGAAAGGGGTCCACCTTCCAAGTTTGCCAAATCTTTTTAGGGAATACCTTGCGTACGAGCTCTGTACTGCCCATCTTGGCCGGTTGCTCATGTCTTTTATACTGAGCTTGGTTGTAAGCCTGTTGCACGCCAGATGAAGAAAACTGAGAGACGAGGAAGATGAAGAGGAGGATGGCGCCGCAGATGGGGAGGATCTTGTTGCGTGAGCGCGTATTGGCCACTTTGGCACTCCACGAAGTCTTTTCGTTATAGGCCTTCATGGTGTATGATGCAAGTGCAATGCAATCGTCCTGATGCTAATGCGAGGGCAATGAAGAGGAGACCGCTCGAAGGCACGCCCGCTGATGTAAAAGATGTTTGACGCGCTTGTGCAAGGGGATAACTAAAATGGAAGCTCTCGTACCAGAGAAGCTTGCTGATGCGTTAAGAATGCGAGACCGAGTACCCACGCAGCTGCTGAATAGCTGTTACCTGCGAGAGCGGTGTGTATGGATGAGTAGAGTGATGAGGTGTCTGTGTGTGAGTTGTCTGCTTTCGTTTTCTGTTATTTTCCTGTCTCGAGGGTCGCACAAGCCAACAAAACTCGAGGAAGAAGCACCGGGAAGGGGGCCTGTTTCTGTATAAAAGAAGGCTATAGGACTATATGCGAGAGCGAGTCGCCTCCAGTATGTACCCTGCGAGATAGACAGCCAGACGCCTACTACGCTCACAGAGGTGCCTGCTTGGCGTGGCCCGTTTCTGTTGAATATTTAAGAGGCCTCGGCGGGGCAGCGAATCTTCAATCTCGCGCAGCCGCAAACCGTCAGCAAGCAAAGCAAGGGGCCGGAGAGAGTCAGATCTCTGGGTGACACTCATACCTCATGAATACCTCTTCTGCTCTTGTCGTCGTGATCCTGCATCTGCATCTGCTCAAGGGCACTCTCCTGAGACTCCAACAACGATGCCAAATCTGCATCTTCCTCATCATCCACTGCACTGCCGGCAGCCTGGCTCCTCCCTTGCAATGACCTGCGTGCCATGACTTCCTCATAGCAAGCCTTGACATTCGTTGACAGGTGCTCTTTACTGCCACCCTGCAACAACCACAATTTCTCCAACGTGCGGTAACAGCCTTTGATCTTATATGGTCGAAAGAGTCGTCCATACGCTTGCAGGATCGAGATGGTGAGACCTTGTGTTAGGCGAATCTGCGCCCATGCAGGAATCACTTTTGTCTGACTATCGTGTTGTTGGCGTTGCACCACATCCACCAACGATGTAAAGATGTGAGCGAGTCGCACTGCCGTCCATGCATCATCCTGTGCGGGACCCAGCTCTGCTTGAGACTGTCCTGCAAACCGAGAAAAGCCGCGAAACAAGGCTTGGTAGAGTGCTTGATCCTCAGGAATACTGAGCTGTTGCCGATCATCCAGCAGTTCAAGCACTCTACCAAAATCGCCAGTCTTTGTACAATGGTGCTGCAACAAGAGACCAAGCGTGACGTGATTCGGTGCAAGCCAATATGGGTGCCGAATCGCAAATCTTGGGGAAATGTCATGTTCATCCAAACTGAGGCCCTGATCGAGCTTCTCTTGATTCTCCCTTGCACGTCGCTGGAATTGCCGTGTATAACTGCGTGCCACATCGCCACGATCCGGTGGATCAGCAGACACGTCCATGACTGCCAATGCATCGAGTGTCATGCTTCGAAGACGACCATAGATGTGTTCAGCTGCCTCTGCCTCGCCTGCTCGAATGAGACCTTGCATAACGCTGTTGATGACAACAATATCCACAATCTCGCCAACCTGAACCATCTCGCGGTATAGCATGCGAACTTCGTCGCCTTGGTGTTGATGCCCGGCAAGTGTAATCAAGATACAGTATGTATATCGGTCTGGCGTGATGCCACGCTGCTGCATTTCAGTACGCAAGACATCGACCGCTTGATAGCGACACGCACGTACCGCCACATCCAGGAGATTGTTGAAAACACCGCGATCTGCTTTGAGACCACTCATCTCCATTTCATGCCATAATGCAATACACGTCTGCAAGGACCTCTCATCAGGTCGTTTTCTCGATCTGCCAACAAATGAAATGGCAGCAGACCATTCAGCAAGCGTCAGAACGACACCCTCGCGCCGCATATCATCCAATATTGCCAAATACCGCGCTTCATTGGTCCGTGTCCGAGGTCGTGCTCGTGAGAGTTCTCGAAGGACCAGCGATAGTGCTGCACGAGATAAGGCAAGACACCTCGGTTCTGGCAGGAACATGTAGCGTTCCCAAAGTTCGTCAGCAGACATATCCCATAGATGGAAGTCGTGCGCGTAGTTCTTGATGGGAATGGTTTCGAGGAATCGCTTGACCCTCGATGGTCGAGGTCCTAGTTTGGGTAGTTTTGCAGCAGATGCTGCGGCTTGGGAAGCAAGCGTGTTGCCCTCTGGAGAGATAAGTGGGTCTGCGAGGTTCGCGAGCTGTTCTTGAGAAAGCATGAGGGTAGGCCTTGTGTCGTCCTCGCACGACCAGAGTCGTAGCATGAGGCGACGTCTTTTGGGCCTTGAATGACTGAGTTGGCCGCTTTCTCGATCTCGTATACATCGCCTTGTATATCGCTGTAATGACGCGCATAGGCGGGTGGCATACGAGGTAGTGTAGGCATCTTTGCCTCTCGTACAAGACTGCATCCTTGTCCATGCAGCATTGTGGTTGCTTGCCGTAACCGCAACACACCCTGCGTGGTCCATCGAAAGCACACACCTACAGCTCTCATACATCTGTTTCCCCGTATGCTAGCAAGTGGCGACCTAAGCTCTATGCGCTTCCCATTGAGTCTGTCGCGTTGTGTGTCTTCCCTCTCGTCTTTGCTCTTTCGCCTTCAAAATTTCTCGACGACCAAACGACACAAGACTCCAGGGCTATCAGGACCAGAGACGGGCTCAGCGCTGCAGGGAGACATGGCCCCCGATCTCAGATCACTCAGAGTCGCACAGACGACCACACAGCTGCTACAAGCAAAACACCTCAAGAAACAACCAGCATGGCTACCCACCGTTGCTCGGACACCTCCTTCCACCAACTTTGCACGCACGCCCGCACCAGCCTTCCAATCAAGGCCCAAGATCAAAGCAGGCAAGCCACGGCTCTTCCAACCTCAACGGATAGAGTACACAGAAGATGCGTTGCGCCGACGATTCTACACAGAACATCCATGGGAACTCGCACGACCTGTGAAGATCCTCGAAACGGATGGTCAGGATGGGAAACGGTTCGATTGGTCAAAGCTCAGACAAGCTGGACGTGCCTTGACGGGTGAGAATGTCGTTCAACGGCAACAATACCTCATGACGCATGAACAAAAATCACGCGACGAGGCGTATGATATGGCGCGGCAAGAGTTTTACAAGGAACGGATGGTGGAGCAAGTTGAACGGACTATTGCCATGGAAGAGGCATTGGCCTTTGGTGCGACATTCGACAAGAGTGAGATGCAAGTTGGCCTTGAGTTGGAGGACCAGGTACTCGTTGATTGGAAGGCCAAGGCTACTGCAGCCAAGCAGCTCGTGGACCCATTGACTATGATGGCAGAAACAGAAAAGACGGAGCCAGTAGCAGCTGAGAGTGATGCAGAGGGGGATGCCGCACTGCGGGCGTATGGTCTATAGATGCACGCATAATATTCCTATCGCAGGCCTCTACAAGGCTCACAAGGGAACACGCTTCTGACTCGCAAGTAGGAGCCACTCGAGCACAGCAATCATGATCCACTTGCGATTCTCGGCCTCCTCAAAGACAACTGATCGCGGGCTGTAGAAAACCTCATCCGTCACTTCGTACTCATGGCGCGGTAGGCAATGCATGAACTTCCAGCCTGATTTTGCACCGCCTTGTGCACACATCTCCTCAGAGACTTGGTAACCTGCAAACTCCCTCATTTTGCTCTCCTTTTGTGCTTCTTCGCCCATTGAGATCCAGGTGTCTGTCACGATGATATCCGCTTCACGGACAGCCTCGAGCGGGTCACTCGTCACTTGGATACGCGCACCCGTCTCATCACCAGCGGCGCGTGCAAGTTCGAGAATGTCTTGATCCACTGGCCGTGACTTGGGCGTCGCAGCAGTGACGTGGATACCACTCTTGGCACAGACAACAGCCAAATCATTCAGGACATTATTCGCATCGCCAACCCAAGCGAGCTTCAGCCCTTTGACACCATCTCGAAACGTCTCTTCAATAGTCATCAGGTCTGTGAGTGCTTGTAAGGGGTGATAGAGATCGCAGAGCGCATTGATCACAGGAACCGTGCTGTCCTTGGCCAAGGCTGCGACGTCGGCATGCGCATTGACTCGAGCAACCATACACGCAACCATACTTGAAATGACCCGTGATGTATCATACATGGACTCATTCACACCAAGCTGGATATCATCTTTCCCTAGAAACATGCTGTTACCACCAAGATGACACACTGCAGCTTCTGTAGACACACGCGTCCGTGTCGATCGTTTCGAAAAGAGCAGGGCTACCGATTGATGTGAGAGCAGACCATGTCCCGAATTACCCGTATTGCCATGCTTCGTGATGGACTTGATTTCTCGCGCGCGCGACACGATGGTTTTGACCTCAGCATTGCTTAGATCCGAGATGGACAGGAGATGTCGTGGTGCAAAGGGTGACGTCGCCGGTGTGGCTGGCGTTGCTTCATTGACGATACTGCGGATATGCCGCACTGGCCTGAGTGAACGTAGAGGACTCAGAGCCTTCATGGAGGGTGTATGTCTGCTGGTACCAAGACCAGGTCAGCTCTGGCGTTATCTCGGCGATCAAGAGTTCAGATGGCACAGAAGTTGAAGATTGCGACTATTGGAACATTGCAAGGAACAACTCTATCGCGTATGGCTGCAGCTCTAGTCACGATGCGAACGGTGCCGTTGAATATCATCGTCACTGTCATCATGCCCACCAATGGCAAAACTGGCCTCCATCTCATCAATATCTCCCATCTCGCTATCAAAGATGGGCTCAGATGTCTGGCTGTTAGCGTCATTCGTGAAGTGCAAGATTCTCCTACCAAAGCCTGCAGCTCTGTTTCGTCAGCATCACTGCGAGCAGCAGCGTGGCCGCTACCCTTTCTGCGGCCCAAGAAGCCCTTGTTCTTGCGGCTGCGCCAGACATAGTAGCCCAGACCGCCAGCCAGCAGAATAATCACAACCAGTGCTCCACCGCCTGCTTTATAGTAAGCTTTGAAACGTGCCGCTTTTGCCTTTGCCGCATCCTCTGTTTGAGCTTCTTCCTTTGCCGGTGGACCTTCAACAGTAGGCGATTCAGCTACAGGTGCGCTCACTGGCCTTGACTTGGCCTTGGAACCAACTGTACCAGGGTTATCGAGATACTCTGCAGGGACACCCAAGAAGCGATTCAGCATATCCAGTGATTCGAGACTTTTGTCGTACGGCACCATGTGCGAAGCGTCTTTGAACAAGACATATGTCAAATTCCTGCTTGACTTGTAGTAACCCGTGTCTTGGCCTCGAAAGTCCCACTCCTGGTGCTCACCATCGTCAAAGCCCGTATAGCCATTCCAGTCGAGTTTTGCAAGCCAAGTCTCTGTACCGATATGGTTGCATATCAAATCTTGCTCCCCGCTGTAGAGCAATACTTGGATCTGCTTGACGAGCTGGGGAAAGAGTTCTGCGCTGGGTCGTGATTTGCGAGCACGGAACGTACTGGACACGGCACCATTGCACTCGATCCAGCCCTTCTTTAGGCTATCAGCGTGAATGGCATGAACAACATCAGGCCGCTGTAGATATGGTGTCATGTGAGTCAACTCACTTGGCCAATTCATGCCACAAGATGGGTAAGTATCTGTCTTGCGTATATCGTAGCTGTTGATACACACATTCGCGCCCGCGTCACTGCCTTATTAGTTTTGTAGCTTGAATGAGCTCCTTACTCTTTCTTGAGGGTCACTTCGAGTACTTTATTGAGGATACTCTCACACTGAAACAAATTCACACCATAGCCTTGTGTCTTGGCAGCTTCATGGCATTGATCCAGATGCTCTTGCACAGCATCATGCTGAGGACTCTTTTCCTCAATAAGCTTGGTGGCGAGGGCAAATGGCAAGTACGAGTCGTAACCAGTCATTGGATCGATCCAACCATTGCCAATCATGATGCCTTGTAAGTTGTTGCGCTGCTGTTAGCAAGGCCAGGCATTTGTAGGAGACTTACCCTTTCAGTTGCGTTTTCGTTTCGCTTGAGCATAGCCTGAGCAATGTAAGGGATGAACTGACCTGCGTAGCTCTCTCCAGCAATGTACAAATCATCTTGCTCGTATTCAGGGAATAAATCGATAAATTTATCAAGGAAGAGCAGGAATTGACCCGCCATCTGGTCAAGCTCAGTCAAGTACGCGTCAGTGTCAATATAGCTGAATCCTGTGCCGAGAGGATTATCCACTTGTCGTTAGCACAAGCCATCAGCGAGCATGAGAAGCTTACCAAAGAGCAAGTTTGCAGACTCGTGCCAGCTGCCTTTGCGCTCTACAAGGGTCTGTCCATCTTCACTGAACTGGAAAGGCCCGACCTCAAGGAAAAGGCCATCCATACTGCTACACCCAGGCCCACCATTCAGCCATATGACAGTCCGCCGACGGTCAGCAATATGTTTGTTGGCAACATGCCAAAAGAACATGTTGCCATGGAACTCTGCACTCAGCTCAATATGACCAGCATGCATCTTGAGATTATTTTCAGAAGGCCAGTTCAGACCTGGCAGCGAGCTGATGTAGTAATCTGAAGTCACATTGGCTAGTGTCCTTGACAAGTGGGCTAGCAACAAAACGCATGCTTGAAGACGCATCGTTGTTTAAGTGAGACTTCGACTGAGGAGCTAGCAAATACAGCCACAAGCGATAAGTGATGAGACACTCAGTCTATCTAGAGTCACAAGAGCTTTGTAGAACCTGCCGAGTAGTCGTTGCCAGCTGGCCATTGCATTTGACTCGCGACGTGGACGAAAGAGCAAAATAGGGTTAGGCGACAGCGCGAGCAGAGATGCAACGTTCAACCAACCCAGCATCCTACACCACACCTTGCCACAGTGCTCATGGTGACAAAGCAGACGGGTGCAGACAAGGCGAGGCTCATGCAGATGTATGGACTGTTCGTCCCACACAAGCAGCCTTGACCGGCACGCGATGGTCGATATCACAGAGAGTGGCCTGCTTACTGCATGCTCCATGTTGATGAAGGGTATTTCCCCTGATACTCGGCTCCTCAGTTCTGTCTACACCGGATCTGTTGCCAGCGCATATGATGCACGGCCTATTCAATCGATGCACACGAGCAGCCTTGACCGACAGGTGCTTGTACAGCAGCAACAGCTCTCGCAGCCTGGACCCATAGGTGATCAAAGGGCAGCTTCAGCCCTCGCGGCCTGCAAGTATCGTTACTGTGCAAACACAACATCCGCTGCACCCACCAAATACTCCAACACCGACATTTGGATTCTGCACAGATCTGCACAAGCAATGACGAGCAGCATTTTCCGGTATTGACAATTTGACAGTCATGCCGCAATCAACTTGCACAGCTTACCGAATGACCCGCGAGAGGAGGCCAGGGTGGTTTGTGGTGCACTGCACCTTGTCCACAGGGCTGTATTGTCAGTTTATGATGGACCATGCGCATCACGTCGGCGCATCACGTTGGGTCAATCGTCAGAGAATGGGGTGCTTGCCTCTGGATTTTGTCGCCAGATTGATATATGCTGAGCCGTACTCAGTGGCTGAACTTGTGATGGCTGTGTCCCAAATGGCGCATTCGGCCAGTGACTGGACAGAGTCATCGCAAGAGACACGGCCGATGTTACATGGTTGTTATGAAGACTGTGTCTCCCAACTCGGAGCTGGTGTACAAAAGGGATCAGCTGTGCGAGTGAGAAGCGGCATGGCTGTAAATGTTGGCTGCGATGATTGTACTTCTTCATCGACTCGCGACAATAGCCCATCACTTGCATCGAAAAAGCCAACAATGCACCTGTTTCGCGGCGTGGCAGGGCAACACTGCTGCTCGCCTGTGAATGGCTCTTTATCATTGAAGAACTCAAGCGCCGGTGTCGGAGGTATTGGTGTTGGCAGCGGGTGTTGTGTTTGCGCTGTTGCGATAATTGCAGGTTGCGAGAGGGCTGAAGCTGCTCTATCATCAGTGACACTGTGCCTTGGATATATTGTTACATCTCATATGGCATGATCGTCAGATATGAATTATACTTTGTGAAGACAACATGAGCCTTCTTGAGGCCACCCAGGCCAAGCGCTTAGAAAGCCTTCTTTTTGGCATCCTCTCTGACCTTATTCTTGAATGGGAAGCTGCTCGCTTTTCCTCCGTCCGCAGTGAATGCTCTGTGTTTGATCTTTCCGTCCTTGTCGAGGGCAAAGAGTAAGATCCAACCTCCCATGGCAGCCAAGAATGCATTCACGCAGCTCGAAAAGATGGCTGTTGAGCGGAACTCGGAGGTACCCCAAAGGTATTGCAAACTAGCGCGTTAGTGTGAAGCAATCTTCTTTGAGCTGCCAATTACAAGGACATAGAGGCATTGTAGAGGACGCCGACCCAAAGCGAAGGAACATGTGCTGCGACGGAGCCAGAAGCCTGTGAAGCACTCATAGACGCGCCAAATGGCATCAATCCAGACAGCAGTAGGTAGAGTAATGATAGACCTGTGATAGACAGTCCCAATGCTTTGCATAGGTAGCGCTCGAGGTCTGTGACGCGATGCAGAGCAATATCGGGCACGAGCATGGTCGCTACGAGCGTTGGCGACAGGATGAGGACCGTAGCTTGTAGCGCTGACCAGATAGCTGTTCCAGCAGCGAAGACCTCGTACGCGTCCATGATGTAGCTTCGAGGCGCCTTAAGACCAAGAGGCAAGATGCAGTCGTGGTGGATGTTGGTCCATCTGACTTTGACGTCATTTCAGATCTGCGACCCGGAGCTGTCAAATAGCAGCGACCGAAGCAAGACCACACAACTTGACACAAGGTTCACAACCCAATACCGCATCTACACCATGGCAAGCACAAACAACATCACAAACACTTCCGAGACAACGGCCTCCAAAGTCGGCGACGTTGCGCGCGGCATTCATGGCATGGGCGAGCAGATCCGTGGCGCATTCAACAAGGGTGTCGACGATGTATGCATCTACCATGTTCCAGAACTCTTCACTGACTTAACAGGTCGCAGGAGAAACTTTCAGTAACAAGGCGAATGTCAATGATGCAAAGAACCGCGAGACTATTGCGAAAGGCGAGCGCGAGATCAATCAGGGGCGTGCAGCCATTAATTAGACGTTGACTAGCTATAGTCGGTGTTTTATGTAGTATTAGCTTCCGAGCCAAGACAGGTGCCATCAGCTGCATGCTCCGTCTTACTGAGGCTTCTCTTCCGTGTCGACATGCCAGACAACATAGTTCGGTAGGCCAACGAGGCTCAAACCAGCACGATTCAGCATTTTCCCAAACCCTTCCGTCTCTGCCTGATTCTCGAATGCGTAGGCAGGAAAGTTGATACCCATCCTGTGTACATCCGCCTTGACCAGGATACAAACACCGCCCACCGCATCAAGCTTCATCTCCTGTTTTCGTTCCTTGTCCGTGATATCAGCCCAACGCTTTTCATCGTTCGTGCGGCACATGTGCGTACGGCCCGTTTCGTACTCTGGGTATCCTTCAGCGAGGACGATATCGCGATCAAGCGTCTTGCCCAATTCACGCCCTTTATCTGATTCCACCCATGAATTATAATCATACCGGCCCTCCACATCAAAGCCATCCTGTTCATACCGATGAAACCAAATCGCCGGCACAATAGCATCCTTGTCATGTGCAGCAAGGTCTTCAATCACTGTATTTGGCATTTCCTCAATATCAGCATCTAGCCAAAGGACCCATGCATGATCTGCACGCAATGCAGCAGAGAGCAAATAATTGCGTGCTTTTCCAAGCATCTTACGTCTCGGTGCTTGAAAGGCAAAAGCATGTCTATCCATGACATCGTTCTGCTCACCCGATGTCGCTATCGCTCCAAAATCTCGTTTGAAGATGCGAATATCACGAAACTTGGTCGCCAGACGTTGTTGCAATCGATCAGCTTCCAATGCAAGCGTCGCAACCGTCTCATCCTCTGAATCGCTCACGAGCATAGCAATATCAATGAGGTCATGCGGATAGGTCAAGTTGCCTAGCAGATCCATGAAATGTGCAACATATTTCGCTGCATCTTTGAGTGGCGTCAAGATCAAGACACGATCCTTGTGCTTAGCCGGATCTTTTGCATGGGGTGTAGTCTGTGCGCTCAGATCCACTTCTGTGATGGTAGCGCTTTGTACCTCAATGGGTGTATGGTAGTTGTAGTGAACAACAGTCTTTGCCCTGTATTCATCTTCAACACGATTACGATCGCTCTCGAAGGGTGAAAAGAGGGAGCTCTGCGCTTGGATGGAGGAAGTGAGCATTTGATAGCAAAAGTAAAAGATGACAAGCATTGCGAATGAAAAGGATAGGGCGCGTCGTGATAGCAGTCCGTTTGTGAAGCGCGAACTTCGTCTCGGTACTAGCATCGTGCTGTCGAGCTAGAGCCTTGGAAAGCAGCTTCCTTGTGCCGTATTAGGACACTGAGCTGATATAGAGACTGTCTATGACAGATAGCGCTGAATAGACAGACTTCAATGTAATTTACTGGCGTGGATCATTGTTCAACGTCGAATGTGTTTGCTATCTCGACTCGTCGTTGTCACTTCATGCGAATTCTCGTAACCTCACGCTCCCGGAACAGCCACGAGACAAACAGGTGTATACAGGGAAGCACATCACAGCACGGAAAGATAGGTTCAATGTGTTCTATGCATTGAAAAGATGTCCATGAAAAGACATGGACGCACAAGAAGTTGTAATCGCAATTGGTTCTCTAACAGGGAAAGGAAAATGTACGCTTCCTATTTCTTTATTGGAAGACCCCTGGGCAATGTTGAATGATCATTAAAGAAAGAGGAGGTCGTCAGAAGCTACTTCTCAATGAGATGAAGCCGTTTTTTGGTGAGGTCGTGTTGAAATTCGACCCATAGTGTTTTTGTTATTGCTAAGAAACAACATGTCGGCGACAAGACTGAATCTAAGCAGAACGAGCAGCCTTGGCAGCAGCCACCATGTTCTTGAGCTGAGCCGTACACTCCTCCCAGGTACGTGTCTTGAGACCACAGTCAGGGTTGAGCCAAAGCGACGAGCCAGGCACAACCTTCTTCATAGCAGCGATACGCTGGTCAAACTCAGACTTAGGAGGGACACGAGGCGAGTGAATGTCGAAGAGACCAGGACCAACATTGACCTTGTAGTTCTTCTCCTTGAACACGTCAAGCAGCTTAAGGTCAGACTTGGAAGCCTCACACGACAACACATCCGTGTCAAGTGCCTCAATGGCATCAAAGATCTCATTGAAGTCAGAGTAGCAGAAGTGCGAGTGGATCTGAGTCTTGTCCTCAACACCAGCAGTGGCAATGCGGAACGACTCAACAGCCCAGCTGAAGTACTCTTCCCACTCGGATCGCTTGAGTGGGCATCCTTCACGAAGAGCAGGCTCATCGACCTGGATGACACCAACACCGCCGTTCTGGAGGTCAACCACCTCATCGCGCAGAGCAAGAGCAAGCTGAAGTGCCTGCGTAGACTCTGGCACGTCGTTTCGGCGGAAAGACCAACGCAGAATGGTGACGGGACCCGTCAACATACCCTTCATAGGCTTATCAGTGAGCGACTGAGCGTACACAGACTCCTTGACGGTCATGGCCTTGGGACGAGCAATGTCACCAACAATGAGAGGTGGACGCACGTAACGCGAGCCGAACGACTGGACCCAACCAAATTGTGTAAAGGCAAATCCAGTGAGTTGCTCACCAAAGTATTGCACCATGTCGTTACGTTCTGGTTCACCGTGGACGTACACATCAAGACCAACCTCATCCTGGAACTTGACGACGTTCTGAATCTCCTTCTCAATGAATTGCTCATACTCCTGAGGCGAGATTTCACCCTTGGTGAACTTGTTGCGAGCGACACGAATGTCCTTGGTCTGAGGGAATGACCCAATAGTGGTAGTGGGGAAGTCAGGGAGCTTGAGGTGTTCACGCTGGAGCTTGTCACGGGCCTCAAAGGTTCCCTTGCGCTTACCATCTTCCTTTGTGATCTTCTTGACACGTTCCTGGACTTTTGCGTCGTTGGTGAACTTGGACTCCTTGCGAGCCTTCATGGACTTGGCATTGGCCTCAAGTTCAGACTTGACGGCATCCTTGCCCTCTGTGAGTGCCTTTGCAATGATAGCAGCCTCCTTGCACTTCTCCTTGGAGAAGGCAAAGAAGTCGTAGAGCTCAGGGTCGAGCTTCTTCTCAGACTCAAGCGTCACAGGGCAGTGGAGCAATGAACAGGAGGTAGAGACCTGGACCTTGTCCTGACCACGCTTCTCAACAGTAGATTGCAACTTCTCAATGACCTTGGCGAAATCGGCCTTCCAGATGTCACGACCGTTGATGACACCGGCAGAGAAGACTTGGTCATCAGAGAGCTGTGACACAACAGCATCGAGCTGCTCAGAGGCAGATCGCTGGACGAGGTCGACGTGGACACCCTGAACGGCAAGACCCTTGAGGATGGAAGTGTTGGCACCGAGACTGTCAAAGTAGGTGGTCAACATGACCTTGGGACCTGCAGCAGAAAGCTTCTCGTAGGTAGACTTGAAGAGGGATGTGACGTCCGATTCGAGCTCATACACCAGGACTGGCTCATCAATCTGGACCCATTCGGCACCGGCGGCCTTGAGTTGACCGAGGAGCTCTGCGTAGACGGGGATGAGCTTCTCAAGGGACTCGAGAGGCTTCTTGGAGGATCCCTTGGCAGACTTGGCGAGGTAGAGGAAAGTGATGGGACCAACAAGGACAGGACGTGTCTGGATACCAGCAGCCTTTGCCTCCTTGTATTCTTCAAGAGGCTTGTTGACGTTGATCTTGAATTCAGTGTTGTCTGCGACCTCAGGACGCATGTAGTGGTAGTTTGAGTCAAACCACTTGACCATCTCCTGGGAGACAACATCGACAGCTGGCTTGCCGTCCTTTGCAGGGCGTTGGAGACCACGTCCCATAGCAAAGAGCAAGTCAACAGGACTGAGCTCGTACCCGTTGTAACGCTCAGGGATGACGTTGAAGAGGAGCGAGTGGTCAAGGACCTGGTCGTAGAAGGAGAAGTCACCGGAAGGGATGGAGTCGACACCTTGTGCCTTCATGAGCTTCCAGTTGTCTGACCTGATTTGCTTGGCAACAGATTGGAGCTCATCCTGGCTGGCAGTACCTGACCAGTACTTTTCAGAGACCTTCTTGAGCTCACCTAGAGGGAGTTAGCGATTGCCACTGATAAAAGTGCTGCAAATTTGGCTGAGCAAATGCACACGTCAATTGGAGCAGACTGGCTGGCTTGACGGAGGGGGCATAGCTTGGGCAGATGCAGGGGAAGATGGACATACGGAGCGGTCCGATACGTGGGAAACCGAGGACAGCAGAGAGAACCATGGTGTGTGTGTTGGTTTAGCAGCAAATTTACTGATGGACTGCCTGATTGCTGCTGCTTCTGCTTCTTCACTGACTGCTGCTGCTGCTTCATTGAATGCTGCCGGGGAGGAGCGTGAGAGAGAGCAAGTGACTGGCCAATCATAAACAAGAGCAGACAGACACGTGCTGGTTGCAGAGAAAGACAGTCGCAACTCAGTCTAATGAACAATGAGCTGTAGAGAGAGTTATTTGAGGAGTTAAAAGCACAGAAGACACAAGGACACACCAGAAGAGCGCTCACTTTGACGTGTCCATCTGCACCTTGTCCGTGTCTGTGTCCTTGGCAGCTTCCTCCCGCTCGGCCGCCTCAGCATTGGCAACAGCTTCCTTCTCCTCCTTCTGCCGCAACAGCTCAGATCCATCGTTCAGCACAACAATCGAGCCGTCCTTCTTGCTCTTCTTGGCAGGTGTCTTGCCGTCGTCCTTCTCTTCTGATTCATCTTCCTCCTCATTCTCCTCCTCGGACGAAGACGATAGCTCCTCATTGCCCTTGAATGAACCATAACGCACCTGGTTCGACTGGAACTGATCAAACTGAGGGGGCTTCAGCTCTGCTGCAGATTCCGGCGCACAGGGGCCTTCATTGTTGGCCACACGGTCCTGGACCATTTTGTACCATTCTTCCTTTGACTTGCCCTGCAGCAAACCAACAACCATCACAGTCATATTGTCACAGCCGACACCGCCGCCATCGCTCGAGCTAGCGAGACAATTGTCCATCAAGTTCTCGCAAATGACATGCAGCTCTTGACCAGCCACCACACCGCGCCGAACAAACTCAATCACCTCTTGCGATGATTTGCAGTCCCAGATACCGTCACACGCAACCACCAAGAACTCATCGTCTTGCGTAATTTCATGCACCTTGACATCCGGATCAGCAGTGACAATTTGCCGTTCAGCAGGAAGATCCTTGTTCTTCTTAAACTCAAAGTCACCAATGGCTCTCGATAGCGCCAAGTTGCCATTCACACGATCAAAATCAACAAACCCACCAGCAGCGCAAATCCGTTCCTTTTCCTTTGCATTTTGTGGTTTATGATCTTGCGAGAGTGGGATGGCGTTGCCTTTACTGCCGAGGACTGTTCGCGAATCACCTGCATTAGCGCAGTAAATCTTACCCTCTGTAATCAAATTGACAGTAGCAGTACAGCCGGATGGGTCTTCGATGAATTTACGGTCGCCGAGAATGGCACGGTCTGTTGCCAAGAAGCCAGATTTAAGGGCCGCTTCGTAGTCTTTCTTCTTGAAGGCATCTTCTGCAGCAACAATGCGGTGCAGACGATCGCCAGTAAAGAGCGCTACATTCGCGCCTGCTTGGTCAGTTTATGTGTCCAGATGAAACAAGGTCTTACCGCCGTGTCCGTCATAGACAGCAAATACTGATACTTGTTCTTTACCGGATGCTTCTGTCAGGTTGAGAATGGCAGCATGTGCATCTTCCATAGATATCCTCCAGCCCTGCATATCACTGATTCCATAAATGTACAACTCATCCGCTCCGTTGCTGTGAAAATGTTAGTTTTGGTTTTGCATGCAACAACGCTGCAAGATGACGCAAGCACGGATATGGAGCGCTCTCTTCTCCATGGATTGAAGCTGCATTCGTCAAGATGTGCTGTGTTTTCTCGAGTGCCTCCAAGATCAACTTACGATGAATGTTTTTCGACGACCGGAGTCGCTAGTGTTTGTCCCATTGTGTGAAAGGTTTTTTTAAGGTCGTAAGGTTGAGTTGCTTTGTTCGGCCGAGTCAAAGGCGTTGAGGATCTGTTGATTGTTGTTGACCGTTGATTGAGTTTTCTCAGCGGAGTGTCTCTAGTGAAGATTCAAGCCTGTTGGATGACGTGAACTGAAAAGCAAAAGTCTTATTTTGAGATCCCAAAGCTATGAGTTTGTTCGAGGTGCAGAGTTGGGCGCGGGAAGGAAGCTCTTTCTCTATTGAGCGTGCAGAGAAGGAGAATATGCGGGCGCCTCTGTAGGGATAGAGGTTCGTTGGGTTGGTTGCGCCTTTTGAGTGTGTGAGGAGATGGGCGAGAGTCGCTGCTGCTGCTCCTTCAACGTGCGAGCGAGTTTTGGGCCTCAGGGCGAAACGGAGGCAAAAAGGCGCCGTCATCCTCACACCACACATTGGCAGAGACATCGTACACATGCTCTGTATTCTAAATAGCGATGAGACAGACTTGCTGCAGTCCGCTCTTCTATGCCAAACTATGTATACTGCTTCGCTTTCAATAAAAAATAGCTTGCTAGCACCTCAGATGAATGCAATCTCACCAGACGTTTCACCGCTCAAATCATTCGAGCTCTCCACATCACTCGACATTGGCCGCTTCCTCGGATCTTGTAGCTGCAACGATGCATTCTTGCTAGATGACAAGACTCGCTCCGTCAATGTCGGCCGCCGTGTGACCTCTGCTCCCAAAATAGGTGTTCCACCATTCCCCCATTGCGGTGAGAAGGGTGCATCCAGTAGCTGTCCATTCGAATCAGGTCTAACAGCCAACACGCGCTGACTCGGTGATAACACTGCTCTTGCATCCCGCTCCGCTTCCTCTTGACCGCTCGTATTGAAGACTTGCGATGCATTCCCCGCAGCAACATGCAATGAATCATCAAAAGAAAACTCATCACTCAAGTTACTGTCCGTTGTTGCATAACTGTTGAAACTGCCATATGAGTTGCCATGCTGCAATACACGCCAGGGTTGTGCTTGGCTACTATCTTGACGTCCAGCAGCCATGTTTTGTTGTGAACGTTGACCGCTCGAGAGAGACTCTTGATTGCTGCCAAAGCGTTGAATGTAATCACCCTCAGAGGAGGTGTAGGAGCCAATCGTCTGACCACTATTGGCAGTCGCACTCGTCAACATGCGACGAGGTAGTGCCGTCCGTGCGAGTGGCGGTGCCATTGGGTAACTCTGTGAGGAAGCTTGAGATGTGTCACCCACGAGCCGGACACTGAATAGCTCATCCGTGGCAACCGTATCCAGCGTGTTGGTGCTATCCCTGTTTGGTGTATTCTCGGAGCCAAAGACAGAAAGCCTGCCGAGCGTATTCTTCAGAATACTGCCAGTTCGTGGATTCCGGCTGGGTACATTCGTGCTCGTTGTAATGTCCGACAAGGCACGTTGATTGTTCCGACCACTCGCAGCAGCACTACTCGGTGCAGCACTCGATCTGGACGCCGTATACGTGCCACTGGTAGATCGTGGCTCGCTCGACGCATACGCACTCGCAACTGGTGCCAAACTCGGTGAATCCGGCAATGGTGGCAATTCATGAGCCAACGGCGGCGCCAACTCATGGTGTGTATTTATCTCTGCCACATACCCACTCAATCGACCATCACTTGTTGACTTGAAGATATCAAACGTGCCTAATTGACGAGGCGCGTCGTATTGTGCTGGATCATCGGCATTACGCATGGGCCAATCTTCAGTCTTTTCCATGGGCCGTGAAATGTCTGAAGGTGAAGCGGAACGTTGTGAACCATTGCGACCACGACGCTTGCGTAGACAGCAGCACCAGAAAAGCATCAAGCCAAGGGCAAGGGCAGCAAGCACACCAATGACAATTCCAGCAATGGCACCACCGCCTAGCTTGCTTGAATTCGAAGAACCGGTCGCTGCTGCTGCACTGTTGCTTGCACGAGCAGAAACAGCTGCAGAGCTGCTGGATGTTGTTCGCGATGCAGTCGTGGTGGATCGACTCAACGTAGAAGGGGCAGATGCCGTAGCACTGCTTGTGACAGGGGTAGATGAGCTAGCAACGATGTTTCCACTCACAACATTAATACCAATATCGCGTGTTGCCGTTTCACCATTCAACGCAGCCTCGATATTGACATTGACTGTCGTGGCTTGACGCTTTGTCAAGAGACTTGCTGGCACTTGACCGTATAATGTTCGATTCTCTGGATTGTACATCAACCAAGTGGCTCCAGACACAGTCACTGTCAGAGACGCCGCTGTTGGCACAACACTGCTATCGAACGTGTAGGAGAAGAAACTGCCACCCGTCGCGTTGATGGACGTTGGGAGTGAACCTGAAAAGATGCTGACAGACGTACTACTGACAACGACTCGCACGGCAGTGACGGCGACGCTGCCAAAGACATCATTGGCAGTAATGGCAATGGTCAAAGACTCTGAAGTAGCACCAGGCGTACCGCTTAGTGTCAGTGTTTGAGGATCAAAGCTAAGCCATGTTCCTGTCGTGTTGGCTGTGATGGACGAGATGTTGGCAGCAGCTGCAGCAACTCCATCAAGCTTGAGACTGCCAGTGGGGATCTTGAAAGAGAAGGGCGAAGAAAAAGTAGCATTCTGAGTGTACATGGGCGTGTCAAAGGACAGGCTGTGTGCTCCAACTACAATGTTGAAAGTAGCACTGATGCCAGCAAATCCAGGGAAGTCTGTACCAACCAAGACAAACTCAAAGTACTGAGGCGGCGCAATCGCAGACAAGACAGGCGGCGTCTTACCGCTGAATGCAATTGTAGAGGGATCGAAAGATATCCAAGAGGGCAGAGGGGTATGGTTGTCAGAGGTGCCATAGTACGCAGACACATTGCCACCAGCTTCTGCAAAGGTACCGCTTGCAAAGGCAATCTTGAATTGTTGGTTCGGCTCCAACACCAGGCCACCACGTCCATCGACGCGTCCCATCGTGCGTAATTGTGTCGAGAGGGGTAGCGCAATGTACGGGCCTGGCAACGCCGATACAATCAGGACAACCGTGTCAATAGCAGAACCTGTCGAGTCTGCTGCAACCAAGTTGAACTTTGGCGCGCCAATATCACCAGTCGCAGGAGTTCCGTAGAGTGTCCGCGTCGCTGCGTCAATGTTGAGCCACGCCGGCTGGCCTGTGATTTGAAAGACGACATCCGGGCGATAGTTGCCAAACGTATTGGCTGGGAACACATAGCTGAAGGCCTTGCCAACGCGTGCTACTGGCGGGACTTGTGAGTTGATCGGGTAGCCCAGTGTCGGCGTCGCGCAAACGGTCGAAAGCCATGTCGCGAGCAGGAGGAGGAGCTGCATCGTTCTCAGACTGCGTTCTTTTCGTCAACGCGTCCAAGCAAGTCTCGACGATGGCAGCTAGTGGTAAAGAACGACACAGGTAGTTGGTGTGTAAAAGAGAGTGATGTGTGTTGACAGTAGCAGAGCAAGTTGTTGTTAGAGCAGCCAGGCAGCTGCTGCTAGTGAGCACCGAGGGGACTTTGCGGAAGCTTAGTGAAGCTTGTCTCACATAGCTGTGCCCCTACGTTGACCATGGCCGATGGTCTCCTTGCGGAAACGTTGTAAACGCAGACTGTCAAGCTGTCCCAGGCTCCCAGCGAGTTGGCTGCGGGCCGACGTCAGCTCACATCGGCATTAAAGATAGTATATTTGACGTGTACAATCTATTGGTCGGACGAGCACATCAGCCTATAGCAGGCGAGAGAAGCCTTCAGATCGAACATGAGGCAGCAAGATAATGCAAGGAGATGAGTCTTTGGCAGACAAGCTCAGGCATGCATCGACCCGTTCCGGACGAGTTTGCTGAACGCTGTATTTTGTGAGCTGGTCGTTGAGCAAGGGGCAAGAAAGTCGCGTCGCGTCGAAAAAGTTTCGCGTCGGACAAAGAGCCAGGGGTAAGACTCCTTGGTTCAGTGCAGCGCCGGGTTTCGGTGTGCTATACATAGAGCATGACACGGTCGATCACTTATACCTCTATCACATAGCAGCACAGAGCTTGTACTTATCGTTGCAATGAATAGAACTCATCATAAACTATCCACCTAAACAGATCGTGTCGAGCCACGTCAAGCTCTTGCCTCGAGTTCAAAGTCCTTCCACTTTGGCTTGAGAGTGTGCCACCAGTAGTGCGTCTGGTACGAGGGATAAATCGTTGGGTTATGCCCTGATTCCTTGCTCGAGTACCAGCCTGTTGCACCTGGCTGGGTAAAGACCGTCTTGGACAACTCTTCCTTGATCCATCGGTTGTACGAGGCCTCTGCTTCCTCCTTGACTGATACAATCTGCTTCTCACGTAGAATCGGACGGATGAGCTGAATGACATAATTGACATTGCATTCGATGGTAAAGACCACAGAAAAATGGCCTTGCACCGTGTTAGGCCCAACGAGCAAAAAGAAGTTTGGGAATCGAGCGACAGCCGCACCCAAGTAGGCACGAGCACCGCCTTGCTTCTTCCAACGGCCCTCGAGAGACTCGCCGGCTTGTCCGACAATCTTCATGGGTACAAGGAAGTCTTGTGTTTTGAAGCCATTGGCAAGCACAACAATATCGGCTGGCGTTTCCTGGCCATCTATCGTTTGGATGCCCTTTTGCGTGAATTTCTCGAGTGGCACATTGGTCAATTCAACATTGTCCCGGTGAAGTGTCTTGAGGTAATTGGTGTCGTAGACTCTTCGCTTCTGTCCCAACTCAAAGTCTGGTGTCAAGACTTTGTGGTACTTTTCAGGTGCAGTCTCATGCAAGTACTTCAATGCGATCTTCTTCTGCGCATTTCGTAATCCAAGCAGTCGGGTGTAGAAGAGTCGAAAGTCAATGTCAGCGAAAAAGTAGATGATGAACCTGAAGAAGCGCTGGTACAGGGGCATGTTCCTGCACAGCCATTTCTCAAACTTGCTGTACTTGGCCTGTGGCTGTTCGAGGTAGTAGTGAGAGCTGCGAATGAATTGCTTCAAGTGCTTGGCTTCTTTAGCAATAACGGGCGTTGCTTGAGTTGCTGAGCATCCATTTCCGATAACAACGACGTTCTTGTTGTGCAAGTCGACATGACGATCCCACTTGGCAGTGTGCATGACTCTGCCTTCAAATTGCTCAATGCCAGGAATAGGAGGGTCTGCAGGGACGCCCAGAACACCCACAGCGGAAACAACGACAGTGGAAGTCTTGGTCGACTCCGTGCCAGTCTTCAGGTCGCGTACCTTGACGTTCCACAGCTCCGTCTTTTCGTCCCAGATGGCGGAAACGCATTCTGTCTCGAATAAGCAGTGTTTATGAATATCGTACTTTTGTTAGTGATCGTACAAAGAGCTTGAAAGCAGACCTTTCGTGCGACGCGGTCAACGTATGCACTGATCTCGTCCGAGAAGGAGTAAACATGCGACCAGTCTGGGTTCGGCTCATAACTCAGAGAGTAAAAGTGTGAAGGTACATCGCAGCCAGCTCCGGGATACTGGTTTACAAGCCAAGTGCCACCGACCTAGCAGGTTAGCAGCGTCGCATGTAAAAAGGGAAAGCGCATACCGACTTTTCCTTCTCAATGATGGCAAAGTTGTGTTCAAGGAGCTGGGTCTTGAGCTTGATGGCCATGTCCAGGCCGGAGAAGCCTGAGCCGATGATCAGGCAGGAATAGTCGGCCTTCACCATGTCGATTGTATCTTGCAAGCTTGATCGCAAGTAGGTCTTGGGTCAATTAGAGTTGCGTTGAGGCTCTTCTATCTACCCCAGACTTTCGGTGCCGGAGCATCCAAACTTCCAAATGAAATTGCGGAGACGATGATCCACCGCAGAGGGACAGTCACAAAGTATTTGTGGTTTACCTAGCCACGAAGAATGCTCAAGAGTACTGAAGGAGGCATGAAGCATTCGAATCATATTCAATCAATCATTATGAGACGAAGGGTATGAGCGAAACGACAACAGGCGTCTTTGGGGCCATCTGAAAAGTGTACAGCTGGCTTCTACGACCTTGACATCGACTTGTTGTCTATCGCTGATTGTGTATGCATCTTGAAAATGCATAATGTCAATGCCATTGTTTGCTTCTCGGGTTTTCACACAGTGGCAATCACAGATTCTCCGCTCTGTAGAATCAATATGTTGAGATCGGCAAAGTCGGGTTGCAGATGACTGAAGGAGGCCAGCATTTGCGAGACAAGGGGGCCAGCTAGCAGCCCAGCAGAAGTGACTCATGGCTCCTGGACCTGTCTGCTGACGAAGCCGGTGCAGTGTCGAGCATGAAATATAAGCCGAATCAAAGCCTCTGTGATCGAGCCAGTGGCCCATGCCAAGAAGTGTGCAGTTGTATCCTTTCGATCAAATAAGGGCGGCCAAAAACACATGTTGCGCGACTCTGAGGGAGACATCATTATCAGTTGCAGCAATCGTCTCGACGTGTATGACGAGATTGTCACTTCTTGCGCTTCTTCTTGATCGACTCATCACTTTTTGCAGGTTTCCGCTTCGCTGCACCAGACAGACTCGAAGCACCATGCATACTGCGAAGTGTGTCGCGATCCGTCTCCTTCTCTGCTTGCCGCCGTGCAAAAGCGTCCTCTGGCGTTTCATCATCACTCTCACCGAGCGCATCGTCGCTATCCTTGACATCCTCTTGCTTCTCCTCGGCCTTTTTACCAAAGCTACGACGGCCTCCAGTTTCTGTTTCAATAAAGCTCGTGTATGAGGGCGCGTAGATGACTTGTGCCTCTGACGCTTCCGCATTTCTTGACTTATCCTTGAATGACAGCTTCCAGTGCGAGTCACTGATGACTTTGACTTGCGCCGCTTCTGCCACTTTCGCAGCTTCCTTATCTGCTGCGTTCATCATGAACTGTCATTGTCAGCTAACTCTCTGCTTAATACCACAATTCCTCTCACCTTCATCGACATGAGCTTGCTCGAGGGCCCGCCTTTCTTTGCCGACATCTTGGCAGCTGATGTATCTCTCTCGCTCGCTCCAGGCCACTAGGCGGTCTACTCTGCCTTGCTTTGCTTTGTACTTATCAACGGTCAGTACTACACTTGTAGTGTTCTGATAAAAGTCTGTGTGTGGCGCGTCTGTGGCTGGAGGGAAGAATCAGATCTCGCGTCCAATCTAGACGCCAGATCTGTACCTGCTACGCACCTCGAACCTTAGGAACAGCTCAAATGACTGATACACAAGGCATGCTAGAGCCAGCAATCCCTCTCATAAGCGGTGCTTTTGCAGGACTCGCCGTTGACCTCTCCCTCTTCCCTCTCGACACCCTCAAAACCCGCCTCCAAGCAAAAGGCGGCTTCTTTGCCAATGGAGGTTGGCGAGGGGTCTACAAGGGCATGGGTTCCATTGCTGCTGGTTCTGCACCCTCTGCTGCTTTATTCTTCCTGACCTATGAAGCCTGTAAAAAGCATGTCCCATTGCAAAATGATGTTGCGTTGGCGGTCGTTGCTGGTAGCGCCGGCGAGACGCTAGCCTGTCTCGTCAGGACGCCCACAGAGGTCGTCAAGCAACGCACACAAACATCAAAAACACCCATGTCTTCTCTTCAAACCCTTCGTGCCGTGCTTCAAGCAAATGGAGTCGCTGGGCTGTATCGTGGGTTCGGTGGCACATTGGCAAGGGAAATTCCATTTGTATGTATACAGTTCCCGCTATGGGAAGCATTGAAGCGATGGGCCGTCTCAGAACGGGGTGGCTCTCAACCGCATCCGACGCTTGCTGAGCGGCCACAAGCCAATGCTGCTGAAGCGGCAATTTGTGGTGCCATGGCAGGTGGTGTTGCTGCTGCATTGACAACCCCCATGGATGTTGTCAAGACACGACTCATGCTCTCTGATTCCGCAGATGGTTGGTTTAGAACATTGCAAACAGTTGTCAAGGAAGAGGGACTTTTGGCATTGAGCAAAGGTATCGTGCCACGCATCGGCTGGATCAGCACGGGTGGATTCATCTTTTTGGGTGGGTATAGCGCCGCAAAGGATACACTTGAAGCACTTGCCGGTGTTGTAAAGAAATGAGATTGGCCAAACGCTACAAAGAAATGCTAAGCAAGAAGAAAGATGACGAGCTACATGATGACACACCCACGTCGCCGACGTGTCTCTCTCCCAACAATCCGAGGACCCGCTTCACCCACATCCAAACCTAGAAAACGACTTCTGCCCGCTTCGCCGCGCATGATCTCCTCAGAGGACTGCATCATGTACTGTGTCCACGCCTTTTCAATCTCTCGTGCAGAGTGCAAGTCGCCCTTAAGAATGGCACGGGTATGGCCATCGACGGGGCGTTGCCAACCATAAAATGTTTTGAGTTTCTTGAGATGAGTCGGCCGCGTGCTGTTGCTTGTCAAGATAGACAGGACGCCCGTCCAGGAGATGTTGGGACAGTCGTAGAGCGAGATGCGCATAGAGGTCGTCTTGGCCGCAACGCCGGACAAGACTCGATTTGTAATCTTGGTGTTGTCTAGATCCAGATGTTGCAGAGCTGGTAGATTGTCAATCAGCTGAAGGACACCGATATCTGTGATGTTGCTACAGTGCGACAGCTGTAGATGGCGTAATTTGCGGCAGCTAGAAGCGAGCGCTTGCAATGCACCATCGCCAATGGAGCAATCCTCAAAATCAACATGTGTTAGACGCGGGCAGTGTTGCACGAGTTGCGTGATGCCGGCATCCGTCAACTCAGTGATACCAGCAACTTCAAGTTTTTCGAGTTTCGGCAACGTGCCGCACATGTACTGGATGCAGGCGTCTGTTAAGCGTGTGCGTGAGATATCGAGGTGAACAAGATGTGTCATGCGCGCTGTGCGTTCTGGATAATGCAGTCCGAATGGCGCGTGACCATAAATCATGGTCTTGAGGTCAGTGTCCTTGAGATTGAGACACCCAGACAAGCAAAGTCGACGAAGACGCTTGAGTCCATGGATGGAATGCATAACCGCGGAACTAACGCCACACTCTGCAATGCGCAAATCTTGAAGCTCAGGCCACGCCTTGAGAGTCTTGGCCATCCCTGTCACAAGAACATTCTTTGTATAGGAGATGTTGAGAGCCTCAAGTCGTGGACTGTGTGACTCGAGAGCAAGCAGGCTAGACGCATCGATCGCTTGAAGTCCACTCACATCCACCGCGGCGAGGTTCTCGTGCCTACTGAAGAACGCATTGAGTGTTCCGCCACCAAGCGTTCGACAGCCTTCGAAGTTGATAGATTGTAGATTGACAAAAGTGAAAGGCATATCGTCTCTGAGCTGTGTGCACCCACGCAAATTCAAATGCTGCACATAAGGCGCTGCTCGCTCCAGCATCTTGCGCAGCTGCACAGCAGGAATTTGAGCATAAAAGGTCTCGGTATCAAGCACCTTCCATAGAGCACCATCATAGACCAATTCCTGCCAAGCACGACAGACTGGCATGCAGCGTACGAGCTCCTTTGTCTGCAAAAAGAACAAGACGTGTGTCTGGAGTTCCCGCGGCAAGGCCTCAAAGTGATTTGTCGAAGTCGGAGACGTACTCTCTGACCAGTTCCAGCTGAAGCCATTGAGTTCCTCGGCAGGCGTTGCGAGAGGCGTTGTGAGTGTCTTTGAACGTGCACGGGTACCTGTCGCTGCACTTGCTTCCCGAGACTGCGGTCGACTGGCCTCTTTTGCATGAGCAGGCATATTAGCCTGTCCGCCGCCGCGTCTGGGCATCGACAAGATCATGCTCCTGCTTGGAAGTGTAGGAGCAAGGTCAGTTCATAGCGTGTTGACTATCTCTGGGTTTTCCTCATTATCGGCCGTGCACTGCCCCCACATCCCCAGCCGTGGCGCAAACAGGCGACAAAGAACGAACTAGACCGCAACGACCACGACCACTCGTACGTGGACGCATCATGCATGTCTGCTCATGATCAATATGGAGAGATAGCTGCACAGCATAAGAAAGGAATAGCTACCGGAGATGACTGTCACTGCATCTCGCGAACAGCTCAGGGACGAGCTCAAACAGCTCCTCCGCCTGCTTGGCAAACAGTATATACGCAGCTGGTACACTGGCATCTCCAAGAATGAAGACTTCTTCCCTCTCCTGGAAGAACTTGTCGATGAGCTATTTGTCAAAGTCTGCGAACGCTCTGACGGTGCCGACTGGGACGAATTTCTACATCAAATTGTACCAGCGCTTTTGTTGAGACATTTGGAAGACTTCAACACGGCAGTGGATCGCCAATATGCGGAGCAGTCTTTTGCTGAAGCCTTTTATGAAGTCAATGGCCTTCACGACGGCGTTGTCAGCCAGTCAGCCTACCTGATGCGTGTTGCAGATGGTCTTTTATCTGTCTTGCTTCCCTACGAAGAGTTGGTTAGCGACGTTGGCTATGCCTTTGTCAGAGAATTGCTCTCTGATGTCCTTCTGGCCTTGTACAGCGAGCGTCTCAGTGATGTTTACTTCTGGGACGACCTGCTCATCAAGTTGTTGAGAAAGCCTATGGCCACGGACGAACAACCAAAGTCTATTTTCGGCCGCGTGCACGACTGGGCGTCTACAACAGGGCCGGAACTATTCGCTCGTGGTTCAGAAGTCTACCAATCTATCAACGCGCAACACGCTCCTGGCCAGTTAGAGGCTGCAGTGCTTAGTGAAACAGCTCTTACACGCATCATCGCTGCGGTCCTTACACCAAGCTTTTCTCACCTTAGCCTTGGACTCATTACGCATCTTGTCGTTCCCCTGGTAGACATGTGGCGAGGTGCTGCCATTCGGTCGCTCTTGTCAGACTTCATCACCAGGCAAACTTCATCAGCGGCTCTGACACGACATGCTCAGTGGCTCAACCACTTTTTATTCCCAAATGGTCAACCTTCGCCCAGTCGAGTTGTCCCTACAGAAGACACTCAAGCCATTTTGCGCATCACAGCGAAAGAGGAACTTGTCCTGGATATCCCCTTTTTCTCTGATAAGCAAGTCAATAAAGTCTTGCTGTTCCGCTTGCTCGATGCGGCTATCACCACACTGCTTCCAGAGCTAGCGAGGCAAACACCAGAGCAAATCAGAAAGAAGCGCATCATGATACATCAGGCAGACAGTGAAGCTTTTGGATTAGGTGGTATTTCGAGCATCTACCGGACAAAAGCGCCTGCTGAGGATGAAGAGCCTGCGATGGCTCGCAGACCAACAGCGCCCATGTGAGCTGCCTGCAGCCTCTACGAATGCAAAATGACTGCAATCATAATGATTGCAAAGAGAAGAATGAGTGACGCACACGCCATGCCGCGGTTGGCGATTCGCCAGATGCCAATATTGAAATGCTTGGCACCCAAGGGCAATCGATCTTCTGCATCCTCGAGCTGTTTGCTCCAGAAGAAGCCAGCAACGAACCACAAGGCAGGAAACAAGAATCCAAGGGCAAACAAGATCACGAGCTGGTCGCGCTTCTTCCTGCGTGTATCCTCATCCAATTGCTGAATGCGCGCTTGGTAGACTGGATCTTGCTGAATGAGTGGCGACCACGAATTCCTTTCTTTGAGGGAAGGAGATTCTGCTACCTCTGGCAAGGCAGGCAGCTTGGCATCCTTCATCGTACTATGCGCTTGCTTCATGGTACTGTGCCAGCTCGAATCACGCTGTCTCTGACGCTGTTGCTGCTGCAAATGGAAGCGTTCACGATCTCGCTGAATCTGCAGCAAATGCTGCTTCGTATTGGCTAGTGTGCGATGATTATATCTCGTGGGGATGATGGGTTTGCACAATTCGCCACCCACCACATCAATCGTGGTGCCCTTGATTGGTTCGTGAAAGGGGAATCCATTGAGTTGACTTACTCGCGAGCTACCTCTCCTTGTGATGACAGGCAAAGCAGTAGCTTGAACTTTCTCCTCCACTTCCCATGGCAATGGCTTGCCAGACAGGATAGAACGCACCCACCATGCATTGCCGCCGAGTGATGCGCGATCTTGCTGATCAGCTGGGACAAGCGTTTGTCTAGGAGGTCCCTGTATATGGAACAGAGGGACTGGCTCAGGCGACTTGCTTCGAAACGTCGCCTTTTCATCCTCTGTTGTCGTGGACATTTGGTCTGCTGATGAACTGACTGTGTCTGCGAGATTATGCCAATTAGGGAAAGGCGGTAGTGACAAGTCGCGATCAAATTGCCAGGCATCACTGACTGTTGAAGCTGATTCTATGCGCGCATCTTGGTTCGTATAGTAGCTCATGAGACTACCAGCTGGCGTGTGCCGTCTGTTGTGCTCAATTGTTCGACTTGTCTCTGTGGAGTAGTTGTTTTCTGCTGGATGGCCGTAGGCTGGCGTATTGAGCGATCGAACGTCAAAGTCAGACGCTCTGAACGCCATAGTGACTCTACGAGTGGTATTGGTGTTTGATATCGGGACAAGTGGAAGCTTCTGTGTGGATCAAGGGGCGAAGATTCGACACGTTGTCCTTGATCAAATTCAGGGGTCAGCAACGCGAGCATTACTAAGATGTCCTATAGCTTGATTGTGGCCAGATTTCTCGCAGACTTGCCTTGCTTTCCAGTCTGTATGCTGCGCGCTTTGCCACCGCTGATGACCTTGACATCACCTTGCTTGAGTGTTTCCAAAACACTCTGCTTCTCCGCTGTCCGCTTCGAGACCTTCTCTTGGCCTTGCTTTTGCGCACCAGACTTCTTCGCAGTGGCGCGTTGACGACGACGATGTCGTTGTCGTTCTTCTGAAGTCATCTCAGCTTTTGACATGGGCAAACCAGCCTTGCCGACAACTTCACCCTTTTCGGCTGAAACGCCGTATTGTTCTTGTGGCGCGAGACGTGCACGCGAGGAGAGTGTCAGGGGCTGGGCATCTTCCATTTCAATTGCGGGTGCGTTTGTAACGATTTGTAGAGATTCCGTCACAGGCTTTGGCGTGTAGTGCCAAGAAGAGAGGGCGTCGAGGTTGTAGCAGACATCTTTGAAGAGCTCTTCAATTTCAGCTTGCTGCTTCTCGAGCTTGATATCCTTTGCAGACTTGAAACCAGTTGGATCTGCTCTCTTTTGAATCTCTTGCTCGTACACCTCAGCGAGAGATTGCTGCGGCTTGCTGTCATCCAATTCGAACGTGTTTTTCGCGAATTTGTGTGCTGATTCCGGAATCTTGCGAATGACTGTGTCAAATTGGCGTGCAACGATCCTCGCCTTGATCATGTCTTCCAAACTGGCCGTCACTTCTTCAGTAATGACAGGAACAGGCTTGCTCGTTCGCTCAAAGTCCATCGTTTCTTCGAGCAATGCATCTTTTGGTCGCGCTTTTGCTGAAGTCTCACCCATAAGCGTCCAATCCTTCTTACCGACATTCTCCATCTCAAGCTGCTCAATTTCCTTTTTGAGCTTCAACTGGCGTTTGGCATAGGCAGACAAGCGTTGACCTTGATCGGTCTCCTTTTCTTGCTCTGCCATGGCTGCGTCGTCGTCTGCAAACAGATCCTTTTGCATGCGTGCCATGGTCGACTCTGCCGGTTCAGCCTCATTTGCCTCCTCATCACGATCTTTGCGTACGCGCTTTTTCCTTCCAGTAGATGCCCCATAGACGCGCTTGGGCGGCGCAAAAAAGTCTTCATAGCGAATCTCATTAGCGTTGTCAGCCATGTCTGCTTCTTGCTCCAGGTCTTCCATATCAGATGCTTCGTCGGGGTCAGCATTGTAGTCAATATCATCTTCTGATTGAGCAGCCTCGTAATTGGCATCCATGACTTCCGTTTGCCTGTTGAAGTCGTCGATATCGAAGAATTGGTCATTGAGACCAAACACATCTTGCTGCGCTTCTTGCGCTCCTTCATCATCTTCTGCTTCCTCGATCTCGTCTTGAGATTCGCCTAGCTCCTCCAGTCCTTCTGCGTCATCTTCTGCCATTGAAAAATCCCCTTCGTCCTCGCCGATTGATGCGACCTCAGCGTCTTCATTCATCTCGTCGCCAGACTCTAGGTCTTCTTCCATCTCCATCTCTGACCCTAATTCAAGCCCATCCTCCTCATCAATGTCTAAATCAGACTCGTCCTCCTGACTCGCTTGAGCCTCCTCTGAACCAGGCAAATCAGCGTCCAGGACTTGATCCACGACCGATTCCGAAATGGCCTTGATTTGTTGCCATATTTGATCTACATGCAAGTCTTGGATATGTACTTCATCAAAGACGCTGTGCTGCTTCGCAAGTGGGTCCACGAAGCGCTTGGAGAGGACGAGCGCAGCTTTGTAGAGTGTGTCTGTTGGGTGGAGGAAGGCCTCTGGTGAGTCTTGGATCGTGGAGATAAGGAACTCTTCGGAAGCCGTGTGTGCTGCGACCATGATGGTGTTCTGCTTAGTTGCAGCACGCTGGCTGTGCTGTATATCTCTTGTCGCCTTCGTATAGTGCTATGGTGCTTTGTGCCTCTTTCGTCGCGCGAGTCCAGAAAAAAGATTGGTCGCACGCCTGGATCATGGTGGCCAGACCAGCGGCTGTATCTGAGACTCTGACTCTCTGCACTGAGTCTGCAGCTGGTGTATGGCATCTGGATAGTACAAGTGTCAAGTGTCAAGTGTCAAGTGTCAAGTGTCAAGTGTACAAGTGTACAAGTGCTTCAGTGCTTTTGAAGGGTCACACTGTCGAAGTAGCCTTGGTAAGCTGACATACTCCTGTCTAGATCTGGCCTCTGCTGGCACATTGATAACATAGTCATGGAATTTACATAGGAATACGTACAGGCACAGGCTCACCTCTACTCGCAGTGGTCGCTGCCAGATACTTGCTATCCTATGGTACCTGGGACAGAGATGGATGCTGCTTATGAATGTCTCCTCGCTTGATTTTATTCTTTTCTGTTTACCCCTGGCCTCCTCGACAACCAGACAGCAGAGCACCACAAGGGGGCAGACGTCGACCAGGCAGCAGCAGCTCAGCCAGCAGCTACAGACGCAGATGACATAGTAACGCGCGCATCTCCTGGCACACACAACAAGCCGACTCCCTTTCCAATTGCACCACAAAGGCCTGCCTCTTTTTTGCCATACCTAAACGACGCCATACCCTGACAGCATACCACGACACGACACAACACACACAACACATCCTCTACAACCATGGCCACTAGCGTACGGCCTCTCCAGCTAAGGAAGAAAGACACACCCATCGCCGCCTTCAGCTCAAACGGTTCCATCACACCACCCGCTTCTCCGTACGGCAACCTTTGTCTCGTCAAAACAAATCAAACACATGCTAACACACACTCCCTGCAGTCGCTCCTCCTCCGGCGCAAGCTCACTCAAGTCCGCCTCTGCACGCGTCGCTTGCCCACCACTCACCGTTTACTTGCGCGCATTGCACCCCTACACAGCGACACCTGACCCAAACTCAGACGCGCCCTGTTTGTCACTTCAAGAAGGCAGTATTCTCTACGTCCACAGCGTTCACAGTTCAGGCTGGGCCGATGGATCCCTTCTGGATGGCCAACGCGGTTGGTTCCCTTCGAATTATTGTGAGCCTTACATTCTCTCTGCTTTGCAAGACCTCTCAGGGGCTCGCACAGCACTCGAAACAGCCATCTGCACAGACAATGAAGCGAAATACGGAGCAGGCGTCGCTGATCTCGTCGCTAGCGTGCGTGGCATTCTCGACCGCGCAGGTTGTCTCTCTCGTGAATCACCACTTGTCCAAACACACGAACACGTTAAGCGAGATCGAAAACTCTTGTTGTCTGAACTCTCGGGCTTGGCTAATGTTGCCAAGAATCGCGCATCGCCACCAGGTCAACTTGGGCCTGAATTGTTGTTGCGCTCTGAACGCGTTGTTGCGCGTGCTGGCAAGTTTGTGCATGCTGTGGGTCCTTTGTGTGGGTTGTATGCGGCAGAAGGCGCAAAAGCAGCATCGACTGTACCTGAACTCATCACAACGCCACCCGTCTCCTTTGATGGCGGTGTCGGTGCTGGGATCCCAGAATTGCAGGAAGTACAAGCAGGTATGCTGTCACCTGAACCGTCATCTCAAGGAGAATCGCAGCTCCCGACAAGTTACTCTGCACAGATTGTCTTGAATGGCACGCATACGGCGTTTTACTCCTTCCTCTCTGCTTTCATTGGCAGACTGCAACTCGAACAGCAAACGCAAAGTGCCAATACCTTACAAGACGAAACTCGTGGCTGTGTGCAGGTAGCACGCTCGTTTCTGGCAGTGCTCGAGAGTATCTCTGGACACTTTAAGCATGATCGACAACTAATTGTCACGCGCGATACCCTCTACAACAAGATTTCAAGGTTCGTTGCACAGTCACAGGGACTGGTGCAAGTCAGTGATGGCGTCATGTTTGAGACGAGTAAGCTGGTTGCTTCTGCTACGGGCATTGTCAAGGCTGCTGGAGATTGTCTCGCGCGTGCTCTCTTTGTGATTGAGACGCAAGGGGATTTCGAACTTACTCCTTCTACGCACCAAGCGGATGTGGGTGCATCGCTGCCAAGGGATGAGAACTCCTCATCCACACTGGCTTCGTCTTGCGATGATCGTGGCTCCAAAGATGTTCAGGCCCAGGTGGAAGCCATGGCTATCCCATACAAGCTGGTCGAACCACTTGCACCCCGAGCTGAAGCAACCTCTGTCCCACTCACACCAACATTTACACGCGACAGCACAAACAGTTCATCCGAATCTCTTGCCTCAAAACGCCAGTCTGCCACCTCATTGCTTGATTTTGACGCAGAAGACTTTGAAGTCGCCACAAACGCCGATGGTCACCTCACTGGTGCAACCCTCGCGTCCCTCATCGTCCAACTCACCCCTCAAGACCAAGCGCCCGACCCACAACTCACCACCACATTCTTCCATACCTTTCGCCTCTTCACGAAACCACACACCCTCGCCATCCTGCTTGTGTCACGCTTCGCAATGCCTGCACCGTCACCGTGTCCAGAGAATTGGGAAACGCGTGTTGCGATCCCTGTACGACTTCGCGTTTACAACGTCTGTAAACACTGGGTTGAATGTTACTGGCGTGCCGATACAGATGCAGAGGCTTTGGATGTCTTGCTGGAATTCGCAAAAGGTGTATTGAGTGATGCATTGCCACAGGCTGGTAAACGGCTCACATCACTGGTAGAGGGCTTGGCTACCCTCTCTGCTACCGGGACATTGACGGATCGACCTGCAACGGAAGGGCTCCTTCGACCGATCATGATGCGTGGTGTACCGCATATTTCTGGTGGTGCGTTGACAGATACACCCATCCCACCACCCATGATGAGTAAGACGCAATACGCCACCTTGCGACTTGCATTGGCCAATATGACCGTTTCTGAAGAAAGTCCCTCACCGGCAGCGACGTGCAGTCTTTTGGAGTTTGATGATTTGGAGATTGCTCGACAACTCACACTCCTTGAATCAGAAACATTCTGCAAGATCACCCCTGTCGAGTTGATAGGACAGGAGTTTAGCAAGAAGAAGGGTCACTCCCTTGCTGTTCATGTCAAGGCCATGTCGGCGGCAAGTACGGATCTTGCTGGTTGGGTGGCAGATTCTATTTTGGCGGAGACTGAGCAGAAACGACGTACACTCGTCCTCAAGCACTGGCTGAAAGTGGCTGAACGATGCGCTCAATTGAGCAACTACAATACCCTCATGGCTATCATGTCGGCATTGAATTCGAGCACTATTGCACGACTCAAGAGGACATGGGAGGGATTGAACAGGAACCAGCGTGGATTGTTGGATCATTTACGCTCCATCACCGATCATCAGCGCAATTACGCCTTGTACCGTGCCCGTTTACGTCAGACCACCACGCCGTGTCTGCCATTCTTGGGTCTCTACCTCACAGACTTGACATTTGCAGATGAAGGGAATCCCAATACCCGACCCAGCAAGTTGACGGATCGTCCACTCATCAATATTGACAAACACATCAAAGCCGTCAAGATTGTGTTTGAGTTGCAAAAGTTCCAAGTCCCTTATCGTTTGGCGCCAGTACCAGAACTACAAACGTACATTGCTGCGTGTCTTGCTAGGATTCGTGCAGGTACGGCGGATCACTGGCGACGTAGCTTGATACTTGAGCCTCGACCACAGGGATCTGCTATGCGCAGGGAGAGTAGTGCTGCTTCTGCGTCTGATGCCGATGGAATGAGTAGCAGTGGGAGTATCAGGTCTCTCAAACCACGATTATTTGCGAGTTGGACGAGTTGAGTGGTTACATGTTGGCAAGGTTTCTGCTGTTCTTCAATATCTTTCTTCACACTCCTTTGGCTTTAATGCCGCCTTCATGTTGACCTATTCGCATCACTCTCTTCATACGCAGTTCATCTTCTGTACCTCTCAATGGCATACCAATCTTGACACATCAAACATTGCATTCAAATCATTTAGTCATATAAGCATGTATCCAGTCACTTGTCTAAGAGAGCATCAAACTAGCAGATGGCACCAGCTTCAGCTCTTCCAGTGACTTATTCAAGTCTGCACATCTGATGACTTGCCCAAACATCTTAAAAGTCGCTGCAGATGGGTCAAGACTAGCGAGACCTGCCTCATTATCTGCCAAATCGATTGCCACATCCAACAAACTAACCGACTTTGGGAAAGTCTTGATGATGGGCTTTGGCAAGCCAGCGGCTCTGATTTGTAGTCTTGCTGTGGTATAAGCGACAGGCTCACTGGACGTCTTGGGTGCCGCCACTGGCGCTGCAGCCACAGGCACCGCTTGACCAGCACGCTGTGCCTTCTCGCGTGCAGATCGCTCAGCACGCTCGCGCTTATCCGCCTCAATCTGTTCCTTCACACGCTGCTTGGCCTTGAGATCTTCTTGCTTCTCTCGTTTCTTAGCAGCGATGGCATTAAGTTCTTCCTTTCGTTTGAGTTGTTCAATGGCTTCTGCTGATTCTTGCGTCTTTTTCCGCTCAATAGCAGCATTCTTCTTGCCTTGCTCTAACTCCTCTTCAGCTTGCTTTGCACGTTTCGCTGCAAGTCTCTCCTTGAGCATTTGCAGCTTGGCAGCTTTTTCCTCTTCCGTTAGGGGTTTGATGGTTTCGGTTGATTCACTGAAATTGACATGCTGTGTGGTCTCTGCATGGACTTGAGCAGCTTGGGCGTTTCGTAGCTTCTTGCCACAGTCGTCACACTGTAGCGAATTTGCCTCCTCCGAGTCTTCTATTTGAGCGGGAGTGGGCGATTCCACTGGAGCTGCAGGAGATTCTCCTTCAGTAGCTTCAGACATGATGACAAGTCAAGGCCTTATGGAGAGCAGCTTTATGGGAGTGTAGTGTACTGAGTGTAGTTGTCCTGCTCAACAATTTCAGTGACGACGAAGAAGAAAGAAAGCTCATCCAACCCACGACCAGCGCCAGCAACCCAAACACACCCCAGCAAGACACGCGCACGCTACGTTAGATCACCTGCGTCTTCTTCTCATCTCAAAGTCTCTCCCTTCTTCTTCCTGTACGTCTCAGGCCTCTGCTTCCGCGCCCGTCATAAGCGCACTTGCATCGATATCACGTCATTGCGAAACTAACCAAGACCGTCTAGTCTCCTCTTTCGAGCTACAAACACCCCAAAAAGAATCTCTTCAGTTCTAGCATTATGAGTGTTGAGTGTCCTAGTACGCTTGGCTTTCATCGGCCCTTGACGTCTCTTGTCAAGGAGACGATTCTTGTTCGCAACCCAAACAATCGACCTGTTGCCTTCAAGGTCAAGACTACTGCACCAAAGCAGTACTGTGTGCGACCCAACTCTGGCAGGATCGAGCCTGGTCAGGAAGTGGAAGTACAGGGTATGTCATTCATCTATTTCTTGACGAGGAGTTATTAACGCGACATGAGTGCTATTGCAGGCGATGAAGGAAGATCCAGCAGAGGATTTCAAGTGTCGCGATAAGTTCTTGGTCCAAAGCACCATCATCACGCCTGATCATGAATCCTCTGGCATTCCCGAACTCGTACGGCTTTTCAAAAATGCAAGACTTTTGCTAACATGCTAGTGGGCCGCCATGGAGCAGAACAAACGTCAAGAGATCCACGAGAAGAAGATTCGCTGTGCCTTCTTGCCAAGGGAAGGATCTGCTGTTCCCAGGCACTCGATTGAACCTTCCAGAGAGACTGTATGTCCATCCCTGTCTTCACGTTGCGTCTTGTGACTAATGCATTCGTTTTAGTCTGGCAGTCCTGCGCCTGCTTATCATGCAGCTGATTCGAGTATCCAGGACTCGTACTCAGACGGTGTGCCTCAAAAGCTGGCCCCTGCCCTGGCTACTGCGTCGAATGGCGACAACACAGGAGCATCATCCAGCACGACTAAGTCAGCCGGTGTATTCCAGGCAACAGCAGGAAGCAGCAAGGATCCCTTGCAGGAGGCCAAAGCTGAGATTACGAGGCTGAAGCAACAACTTGAACAAGCGACATCGCGAAACAATAAATCAGTCGGTGGCGTCAAGGCAGCTGTTGCAAAGACGGAAGGTGTGCCTGTGCCTATTGCTGCTGGTGTGGCTCTCATTGCCTTTTTGTTGGCTTATTTGCTCTTTTGAAAGGCATGCATGACTGCCCTTGTCTAGCTGTCTCCTCGGTGTCTCTTCGTAGTTCTAGCTGCTTTCCTCCTTCTTCCCTTCCATCCCTAGGCTGGATGCTCGATAATAACGAGTCGAAATCTGGTGACCTGCATTGATGTCGCGTTCTTCAATCACACCACAACACACACAACCAACCCATCCAAACGCGACGAGGTAGGGGCATTGACTTTAGCCATGTCAGGACTCAGTCGCATGCGCTTACAAGAAGAGCGCAAACAATGGCGAAAAGAACATCCCTACGGCTTCTTTGCCAAACCTGCAAAACTCGGTGATGGCAGTATGAATCTCATGGAATGGCAAGTGGGTATCCCTGGAAAAGCTGGAACACCCTGGGAAAATGGATTGTATAAGCTCACGCTGAGCTTTCCAGAGGAGTATCCTGCAAAACCACCAAAGTGTAGGCAGACTCTGTCAAGATGAGAACCTTTGTGTGCTAATACCTTTGGCTAGGCAAGTTCACACCACCTCTCTTTCACCCAAATGTCTATCCATCCGGCACAGTCTGCCTCAGTATCTTGAATGAAGATGAAGCTTGGCGTCCTACCATCACAGTGAAGCAAATCTTACTCGGTATCCAAGACCTCCTCAATGACCCCAACCCAAAATCACCAGCTCAAGCGGAAGCGTACCATTTGTTTCAAAATGACAAGGTTGCATATGCAAAACGATGCCGACAGTCGGCGCGGGAGAATCCGCCTTAAACAGTCAGGCACAGAAGGAAGGCAAAGACGTCTTTCACAAGTATTAGGAGATTTTTTGTAAATTCATCACGTCTACACTTCTCTTGTGGTGCTACAACAGTTTCATGCCTAGAATTTCATTCTTGTGATGATGTGGGGTTTTAGTACTGACTTCCTGGCGCTGAGGAGGAGTATGCAAATGGAGCGCGTTGACCTGTAGATGAAGGCGGTGGCGGTGGTGGAGGGGGTTGGCCGCCATAACCGGGTGGAGGCGGCGGTGAATGATGCCCCATAGGCTGTGACATTGAAGGAGGAGGAGGGGGCAGATGTCCACCGTAGCCTGTGAGGATCGGCCCTGAAGCTGGCGGAGGAGGGGGTGGTGGCGGCTGCTGTTTGTAGATGGCACTCGATGGCGGCGGCGGCGGAGGAGGAGGAGGATGCAGATGAGGGCTCCCAGCGGCGCCGTGATGATCTTGATACGACGACGGCGAGTGATATCCACGTCCTGCATCGCCCAATCGTGCCAAGTCGCGCCTGTCATCACCTCGTCCAGCAGTAGTCTGATGGCTCACGTCATCGACGATATTGTGATCTCTCTTGTACTCTTCATACTGCGCACGAACAGAAACGAGCAAGTCCTCAATCATGCCGCGTGCACGTACAACTTCCGCTTGATCGGGTCCGGTGATGTGCATGTACATCGGTTCATCACTCTCTCTACCCGTACTCGTCTCTTCAAACCCTGAACCTTGCCCCTTGACCTGTATCCGCGTACGTGTCTCTGCTTGCACATACTTGACATTCGCACCACCCTGTCCCACAACAGCAGCACGGAGATGGAAGCCTCGAATCGGCGGTATATCGACGGGTATCTTCTCCTCTGGCCATTTCCGACGGCCAAATTCATCTCGTTCAAAGTCTTCCCGTTTCCTGAAACGTCGCTCATCGACGAGTGGTCCGAGGTCCTGATTGATGAGTTTATTGGCCATACCTACGGCTGCTTCGACTTGTGTCTTGACTCGACTCGCAATATGCAAGTACATGGGTGGATCTTTTTCAGTAGCCATCGACTTGTCTGGCCAGTACTTGCCACACACCGTCACTTCTGCGCCCGTCTTGTCGCGAATCTCTTGGATTGTGGCATCCTTGATGAGCAAGTATCGATTGCGGAGGTCATTCACCTCGATATCTTTGATGTAATCGCCATTCCCATCAACATCCTGGTTCGGTGTTGCAACTGCCCTGTCCACACGCGACTGTGGTCGTACAACAGGCACGAGCGATGCAGGTGTCTGTGGTTTCCCCTTCAAGATAGCAGACAACCGCGCCGCTGCTTCTGCTGCTTTTTTCTTTGCAGCATTTGCAGCTTCCTCATCCACTGTTGAGCGCGTTGAATTGGCTCGTGGTGGTGGACTTGCTGCGAGAGAAGTATGCGCCTGGTCGCTGCTGGAGGTTGTGTGTGGATGGGGTGAGGTGCGCGCGTGTGGGCTGGCGCTGCGTCTAAATGTGCGATCTTGTGAGCGATCGCGTGGTCCGTCGTCGAACCTGCTCCTGCGCCGTGCAGTCATCGTCTTGTTAGTACTAGAGCACTAGACTAGTAAGTATAAGTACTAAGTGTAAGTGTAGTGTCAGTGTAGTTTGTAGATCTCACGCTTTATCGAGCGCAATCAAACAGCAACGACACTACGGTAGACTGGACCAGAGACTAGACTAGAGAAGGAACTCTAGACTAGACTAGAGAAGGAACAGACCAGAGACATGCACAGGCCAGCAGCAGCAGCAGGCAAGCGCATCCTCGCACGTGCAAAGTCAACTGCCACCTCCGCTATCGAATACAAAGCCTCACACCGTGGCTCCAGGCTCCATCAGCTCCCCATCATCTCCCCACCCGCATGGTCTGTCCCCGAAGCCATCAGCAATATTCTCTACACCACACCCACCCCTTCAAAAGAACCACCAAAGCGACACGTCTTGAATTGTCTCGTGCAAAATGAACCAGGTGTCCTCTCCCGAGTCTCAGGCATCTTGGCAGCGCGTGGCTTCAACATTGACTCACTCGTTGTGTGTAACACGGAAGTCGAAGATCTCTCACGCATGACCATTGCTCTGCGTGGTCAAGATGGTGTCATTGAGCAAGCGAGACGGCAACTCGAAGATCTCGTACCCGTATGGGCAGTCTTGGATTATACCCGCACGCAAATTGTTGAGCGTGAATTACTCCTTGCAAAAGTCTCCCTCCTCGGTCCTGAGCATTTCCATGAACTCTTGACTCATCACAAGGAAGAAATGTCGGGTGACGTGCAAGAAGACGGAACAAGTAGCGAAGACGCGAGTGCTAGTCCCTTCCACCCAGTCAACCTCGCACCTTCAGAAGCACTCCGTCAAAAGCACCTTCACCTACAATCCCTCACCCAACTCTCCAAGAACTTCGGCGGTCGTGTGGTGGATATCTCAACCAACACATGCATCGTCGAGCTGTGTGCGAAACCATCGAGAATCGATAATTTCATCGTCTTGCTTAAACCCTTTGGTGTTTTGGAAGCTGCACGATCGGGTATGATGGCCTTACCGCGAACACCCCTCGAAACAGGTGTTGCAGAGGAAGTCGAGATGGATGAAGCAGATGTCGTGGATATTTCCAACCTGCCTCCTGGCTAGTCAAGTTATTATCTCTGTAAACAGGCTTCTTGATTCGTCCATTATAAAAATGCAGCGCCGTAGCTCTTTCAACCCAAAAAAGACATATATACTTCAGATACCAACACCTGCTCCCACTTCGCGTACCTCCAATGTCAGTGGCAATGGCGTCAATACGCCAATCGATACGCGACACTGCGCAGTCGCATTGACTCTCAGTGTCCCTCTAATCGCCTTGCGTAAAATATCAGACGGTGGTAACGACCATGACACTGGAAGCCGAGAGGTTTCCGTCGTAGGTGCATCCCCATCGAGTGTAATTGGGTAGGTATACTGAATGATACCCACTTCATCTTCATGATACCGTGCTTGTGCGTCCAGCTCCGTGATGGTGACACTCTCATTCAATGGATTGCGTAATGTGAATTGAGCCGTTGAGCTAAAGACGTGAAATTTGGCAGAGATCAAGAAGCGTGAACCTGATGAACCCGCGCCATCGTCATTGTCATCACCAGAATCATCTGGGAAGTGAAGTTGTGGAATTGGCATAGAGAACTCCAATGGTAGATGCGCTAGTGCGTTACTCAAGTTGGGCATGCCGGGGACACTCTCAGCGTGTGCCCGCAGTGTCAGATTAACCGGCAATTCGCTGAGATACAACGACAACATCTGTGAGAATGCTGCACAATTCTCTGCTGCGTGACCATATAGTGTCGGATCATACATGAGCAATGCATCGACCGATACATTGCCACCAGGCTGCAAAGTGATATTGCGACCCGTTAAGCTGCCAATAACAGAACCATTGTAGACCATCAGGACATTGATGGCATGCACATACCCACCGTATGGCGTTGGATTCCTGAGCGTCAGGGAAGCCCTTGCGAAAGATGGGAAAGGGTTGGAAAGCTTACTGGATGCCAACATTGGCTGCCAAATCGAGGGAATCAGGCGTCGTTCCTACCACGCCAAGACTGTGAATGACGCTTTCCAAATCACTCGGTAATCCACCACCAAGGCCACCAATCTCAATATCCTTGGCAACAAGTGGTAAACCGTGCGGTTCCAAGTTGCCAAGACCCGTCGAGACGCGGACATCTGCAACACCAGAGACATCCAAAAGAGCATTCCCACCAATCAGCGCGGAAACAACAGACGTGAAGACATCGTTATCCGTGATGGTCACCGGTGCATCTCGAAGTTGTGCTTGCACTTTCAATGCAGTCGGCTTGATGAACGAAGAAGAAGCCGGAGCCCAATCAGGGGATTCAAAAGTGGCAAACTTCTTGCCCTTGTAAATCAAATCAGCAAGAATCTTGACACCCTTGACGTCGACTTTCACATGAATGCCTGCCGGTACGTCAATCACGGCATTGACGTTGCCACTGATTTTGGGCTTTTCTTGTCGGAAGAAGCCACCGACATTAAATTTGACATCAGCGAGCTCAATGTCTCTAGCAAGCTGATCTGACTGTGAACCAGGCAAATCGACGGGAATGGTAATGCGAGACAAGACTTGTTGGAGCCAGGACGCATCACCTTGAGTTGGCGATGATCCACGAACATACACGCGCGTATCATTGCCAGCCAAGTAAAGTTGCATGAGTCTGTCGAGCGGTGAAGGTTGGTGATTCGGGCATGGCTCCGTTGCTTGCTTGGGCAAATGACCCACACTGCCGAGGGCTTTCAACTGGATGGTCTTGGCATGTGAGTCTAGATCCAAGGGCGCATTGTGACCAGTAGCCAGCAGGATCTTTTGGTTATTGCAGCCATCGATTAGCACGTCAACTGATACTGAAGGAACTGTGATGTCAAACGGCGACTGAAGAAATACTTTGAGCAAAGCTGAGCCCGACAGTCCTTTTGCTTCGTCGTCCTTGACTGCGAGCTGTGAAATATTGTACTTTGGCAAGCCCTCGTCTAAAGAAGATGGCAGCTTGTAACTGAGTTTCTTGTCGACAGACTTGCGCATGGCGAATACCTTGTGGACTGTGGTGGTAACATGCGCTCGACCAGAGACTTGACTCACATCGTGGTCCAAAATTGCTTCGGCGAGCCCAGAAAGAGACTCAAGATGGAGAAGGTCAAAGTGACTCTTGATGGTCGTCTTTGTGTATGTCCCACCGCCAAGCTTCATTGAAAACCCATCAGGTGTCGCAAATAGAACTCTGTGTTCACCTTCATGTACCAAGAAGCCCTGAACAACGGTATCACTCAAGCGAATCGTCCCAGCCATCTCAACAAGCTTGTCCGCCAAGCGCCGCTCGAACCCGCCGGCGGTAGATTTGCTTGCATCTAAATAGAGTGACAAATCAGCTTGCGCTTCTGCGCCTGTATCCGTCACGCGCAATACCTTCACATCAGACACACCTACCTGTAGCGTCTCCTCAATATAGCGCTGCGCCATCTTCGGTAATATAAATCCGAGTATCGCAATGATGAGTGCAGCGACGATAAGCAAAATAATGGCAATCGTCGCACTCTTGTTGAGACGGCGCGGTCTGAGTGTCTGTGCTGGCGCTTCTTGGTGTGAGTGAGGAAGGAGCGGCCTGCGCTCATCTTCCGAGGTGCGCCTTGCGTGCGCGCTGTCATCTGGGTCTGCCATAGCTATGAGTGTGATGGTCGTGGGCGATCGTCTGGAACCGTGTGCGATCGTTTTGAGATCCAAAATTCAACTCCACACCCCTGAACAGGCTGAAGTTGATCACAACTCACACAAAGTGGAGGACCGGCCGCGGTGTTTGCAAAGGCTGTAAAGCAACAAGCAGGTTGTAAACGCTGTTCGTATTCGTGTCAATTAGACAGCAAGCCAAAAGTTGAGCTCAGAACCTACAAAATATGAAGAAGCTCTAATGCGATGGGCAGAGAAATGCAACATGCAACGAGGACGTCATGTGCTTGACGAGTGCCACCTGGTCGCAGCGAGACAAGCAATGCGGCAGCACTTGCTTTGCTGATTAAAGGATATGCAGAAGGGCCGTCGCGGTCATAAGGTGAAATGGAATTGAAAGGATCAGAGATCTCACACAACCAAAAAGAAGTACTCAGCAACAATGCAGTATCATTAAAAATTGCTGCTGATGCCCAATTTATCTTGTGCTCTGTTTCCAAACTGACCATAACTGAGATCGACTTTGCTGCCATCCGACTGCCACGTACTCGTAGATCCTGCAAACCTGCTGCGTCCTGAGCTGTAGTCATCTGCTGGCGCGACGGACTGATACTTCTTGCCAATGATGCGAAAGAGGAGTGCACCCAACGCTGCCAACGCGACAAATCCACCAACGCCAACCACGACACCGATAATGACGCGCTTATTGCTATCGCTCAGACCCGTGCTTGAGTTGGACTGGCTGAGTGCGTTGAGTTGAGCAGAGGCATCTGCCAAGGTGGATCCGACGACTGTCCCTATACGTACAATCGTGCGAGTCTGGATAACTTGTGGGTTGGACGCAGACGTAACGTAGACGTATTGGATGACTGGCGTCGGTTGATCTGTAGCATCACTTGTGGTCTTTTCCTGCTCCTTGCTTTCTGAATTAGATTTAGATTCTGGTATCGGTGTCGATGAGGGCGCCACTGATGGTGGACGGCTTGAGAGCCCGGGACGAGATAACGAAGCCGGACTGGACGGCGTTGATGCAGGTAGATTGGGACGCTGGGAGCTAGTCTTTACACCAGGGGACTGTTGACTCGTTGGTTGACTTTCTGACGCTTTCGGGGGTGGACTACTCTCTTTCGCACCAGAGGAGACAGATGGTTTCGTGTGGGGTGCCAGTGGCGTAGGCTGCAATGAGGCATCGTCCACAGGCTTTGTCGCAGGCTGATCCACAGCGTCCTTAACCGGACCCTGAGCAGGCGAGTCAGCGCCAGTAGGATTGTCTACCGCCGCTGGAGCCTTCTCGGGCAACTCTGCAGCAGCCTTGACGGCGCCCCCTACAGGCAATTTGACGCCGAGTGGTTTCGCTACTGCTGCGTGAATCTTATCAGGCAGGTCTGTAACCGGTTTGACAGGGCTCTGAACAGCTGGTAAGACACCCGCAAGAGGATTCTCTACCAACGGGGTGGTCAAGGCGCCTAAAAAGTGTCTTTTACCAGGACCAAGCGATGTAGATATCGGGGCCTGCTGAAAAACATGAGCGCTGCATGCGCATAGTGTTATGGAGAATGAGAGGATGTCTCGCAGTGCATGCATTGTCTAGCTTGCTCACTCAATGAGACGCGAGCTTTTGATAAAATGTAGTGGCGAGCAAACAACGCGCCAGAAAGGGCCTTCAGCAGGCGCTTAAGCGCTTAAGCGAATGCGTGCGCTTGCGACTGGGTATAAGCAGCAAGCGCGTCCCTGATGAATGAGTGAAGCACGCAGTAGCAGCAGAAGACGTTACAAGTGAGCAGATGAGTAGGGAGTCGAAAATTCAGAAATCTCAAAATGGGTCGAAGTCACTCGAAGGAGAGGACGCGTCCACTCACAGCAACGACCAACCCCTCAGCTACAGCACTAATAACCTACAAGAAGCAACTGACGTGCGTCTAGCCTCTTGTCACAATCATGAGCTCCTATGACCGCATGATCACCATCTTCTCGCCGGACGGCCGACTCTACCAAGTCGAATACGCTTTCAAGGCCATTTCCGCAGCGGGCATCACGACAGTCGGTGTGCGTGGCAAAGACTGCGCCGTTGTCCTCTCCCAAAAGAAAGTGCCAGATAAGCTCCTCGACCCGACCAGTGTCACGCAATGTTTTCGCATCACTCCGACCATTGGTTGTGTCATGACGGGTGCTCAAGCGGATGCGCGCGCTGCGGTGACGCGCGCCCGTTCAGAAGCGGCAGAATTTAGGTATACCTATGGTTATGAGATGCCATGTGATGCGTTGGCTAAGCGAATTGCCAATATCAATCAGGTGTACACACAGCGTGCAGCCATGAGACCCTTGGGTGTGACGATGACATTGATTGCGATGGATGAGGAGAAAGGACCGCAGTTGTTCAAGTGTGATCCTGCTGGCTACTTTGTGGGATACAAGGCGACGAGCTCAGGTCCCAAGCAGCAGGAAGCGACGAATTACTTGGAGAAGAAGCTCAAAAAGGACAGTGCAGTGGAGACATGGCAGGATACCGTTGATTTGGCCATCAATACATTGTCGTCAGTGCTGAGCGTGGACTTCAAGGCAACAGAGCTTGAGATTGGTATCGTAGGCGGGGACAAGGTGCCCTTCAGGATGCTCTCGACGGATGAAATTGATGCACGACTACAAGCAATCGCAGACAAGGCATAGAGCAAATCAAAGCAATTATGTGATGCAGTCCTCTCATTAAAATGCCTACCTGCCTTGTATGTATTCCCAAACATGATGAAGGACTTTAAGAAATCGTGAAAAGCAGCTCAGTACTTGATCTTATCCGCTGCTCGATGCAAGTCTGCCAGCAGTGTCTCCAAGCCAGGCTCGCCTCTCAACTGTGCGCCACGCAATAGATTTCCAGCCAGCAAGAGGTATTCCGCTCGCGGGCTACTCAGGATGCGGTAGCAGATACCACGAAGCGCAGTGTAATCCTGGCACATGGCAAAGTAAATCAAATCCATCCCAGGAATAGCCAAAAGCTCATACTTGGATCTAAACTCCAGCAATGTCGCTGAGGGTTGTCGAGGTAATGCACCGCCAGTAAACATCAACTCGCGCAAGCAGCACAGGAAGAAATGTTGCGATTCGCTAGCTGCAGTCATGCATCCTTTGTTGAAAGCCTTGTCTGCGAGATAATTTACCCAATTCTTCCTGGTCCGCGCATCGGATAGGTTGCAGACGACAAGCGTGTATAGTATTTGCCATCGAAAGTGCCGTTGAACAGGTTCATCCGTTCGTTCATGAAATACATCCGCTCTGCTGAGCGTCTCTGTCGTGTCTCTGTAAATGTCCACCAAGCACTTAATACCAAGCTCAATCAAAGATGCCAAGGGCCCAACCGAGCGCGTCTCAAATGGAATTGCTACTTCCTCGCCACGCGTATGCGCCGTCAATGCAATCAATGCATCAAACAAAGCCCGCTTGCCAGGAGGATCCTCATTGATGAGCCCGGGAATCGTTTGCGTCCATAAACCAGGCGCGGCGTCCGGGACCAGATTATTTCTTGTCAAAGTCATAGCATGAACCGTCATATAGTAATTGTAGTAGTAGCTGTCGCGCGCATCTGTCTCTGGGGTTGAACTTGCCAAACCAGTTGCGGGGCCTGGCGTCGCTGTACTCATATTACCAGAAGCACTGTAGCCATTCGTGGTTTGATTTATGATGCCTTCTTGTCCACCAATCGACGTCACTGCAGTTGAGGCATTGGATGCATCAGGTGAGATGAGCGACATGACGGATATGCGACGCTCTGATTGTCCACTCGCAGTGGATGTACTAGAATTGCGACTACCAGGGGCAAACAGCTGTTGTGCGATCGCCGCAGCACCGCCACCAGGCTGCGTCGAAGTCAGTGGTGGTGGTGGGAAGGAGCTCTGCCCCTCTACATAGCCAGGCGCTTGATAATGTGGTGCAAACACGATCGGTAAGTACGTCGAGCGAGGCAAATTAACAAGCGTCGATTGCGATCCTGCTACCGGAGGAAGTCCACTTCCTTGCCCATGTGCCATATGAAGGCCTGCTGCGTCGTTTGAAGCAGACGGCCGTATCTGTAGGTGTGCTGGTGCATAATCGCGTTGGCCTTCGTTGCGGAAGACGGCCTTTGTGCTGTAGCCTTCGCATGTGCGTTTACTCTTGATGCAGCGTTGACACGCCGGTTTCTCTTCATCACACTTGATACGACGCTGAAGAGAGCGTGGTTAGTTATACAAATCACAAGGAAAGAAGCGGACATGACATACCTTTCGGCAAGTGAGGCAGCCTGTCTTTGTACGTTTGCGCGTCTCGCGCTTCTTGTCTGATGCAGAGGGTGTTGATCGGCCCGGCGAAAGCTCGCCGTCTGTGGCTATAGACCCTTCTGCTTGCCTTGCTGGTTCGGCCTGGAAGACAGTCTGCATCGGGGACTGGCTCGTGCTCATGCGATGTAGGCGCGGCCGGTGCAGTCACTCGCCAGAATCGCCGGTCCTGGTGGTTTCGGGAGTTAAACACAATCGCCTGGCCTTTGCGTGTGTTGCTCTGCTGCGAATGCTCGCTTGCTACTGCTCGACGGGCTCTGTGTGGTTGGTGTCGTGGGAGCGGCTGCCAATGTTTAAGTTGAGCGAGCTGCTGCCCTTCTGCCCTTTTGCTTCCCGAACTGCTCGCTCGCTTGGCTCCAGGTGCTGAATCGAGAGAATCTAGTGATGACGACGCGACACAGGCGATCGATGGAGGTGCAGGGGGTGTAGAGTGTATGAGATGGGAGACGACAGTAGCAGTAGGTTACAATATTTAGTATGAGAGATGGGCGGGCCCCTGTCCGTTATGTACCTAGCGATGGTGCTGGTGCTGGCTGCTGCGCTGTATGCGGCACCCTGGCTTCCCAAGGGCTGATCTTGCCCATCGCCTGACACTCGACACAGACGCAGCTACCCTTCACGACCTGCCCGTCAACGAGCCTTCAGGGACAAGCAGACGCGAGGGCATCAGTGCACGGAATATGCAAACATGGTATTTTCGGCTCTCGGATCGGGCACTTTGGAGGCGTTTTCATGGGCAGCAAGCGAGCGAGCCGCCACGATGCTACGACGCGGCCATGGCCACCGACCTGCAAATGTCGCAATCGTGTGAGCTACTACTGTAACGTGAACTACATCAATGGCTTAAGGCTCAAGACCGAAATCGTCGGATTATCATCTGCAAATCAAGGGTTACTGTCTCGCTGATGCTATGGCTGAGTCGGCTGAGCGAAACACGCCTTGGCCTTCGTGCTGTGCAAAGCGAGAAGGATCGTCTTGCCTAGACCCTTGCTACTGCTATACCGTCGATCACCCTCGTCAATCGCTCCATCGCCGTTCACCCGGCACCCCTTAAGCTTCCGCACCGTGATTGATCTCCCTGACAGATCCACTGCTAGTCCAATTGGTTTCCTCTTCCTACGCTGGACAAGGCCTGCCATGTAGGGAAAGTAAAGGGTCAACCAGCTATCACAGTTGTCAACCGCACGCGACCAAGGCCACGAAAAGTGTCGCTTCCCTTCGCGATTCTGGAAAATCTACGACCGCTGGCCTGCTTGCTAACCTAACCTTTGAGCAGAAGCACATCCTTGACTTGTCGGAAGTAGCAATCGATCTCTCCGGCTGACGACATCGCCTCACATGAGTCACCTCCACTTTTGACGGTCTCGACTCCTGACACTCCGACCACATGAGCCGATCTATGCCAATACATACATCAAATATGACAAGTTGCACGACCACACTCAAGCCAATGGGACAGTCAAGTGTCATTATTGTCATGACGAAAGCTTAAGACTAGCTTCATAGTTTTTAGAGCCAGGGCAGATCCGCTGCCCAGTCAATCTCGCATATTTGACGTCCGCTGCCGACATTGCCACACCTAGCTGTCCGCTGACATCGGAGATTTTCTGATGCCTCGCGAATTTCATGAAGACTCGGCTTCCATGGCCGTAATGGGATAAGCTGGTCGTCACGACTCACGACAAGTTGCATTGTCTGACCCTCACATGCAGAAGAACATCATGCCGCAAGCACATGGTTTGCCCAATGCCCTCATGTAGGGACTGTGGGCAGTGACACAAATGCACCGATGCCCAAGGGTTTACGCTGTAAAACATTGACGTTGACAAATATTGACATGAAACGGCGGCCTATGAAAATTGTCTTTGGCAGCGGTAGCCCTCCGCCGCACGGAAGCTGTATCCGTAGGCTTCCCGCTCCGCCCTTGCAGCTGCAGCTGCCAATGGTCGCTGTGAAAGTTTTGGGGGTCAGCACGAGACTTAGACTCATAGCTACTTGATAGCTTTGAATGCAAATATATGAAAAACTCGGTGACGAGAGTCAGACTCAAACCGTCAAAAAGTCTCATGGAACAAATTCGGCGAAACCTGCGAGCTTCGTTTGATTTGACGAATCGCATCGTATCGTATCATCGAAATGTACGACACTTCGACGACTTCGTAGTTCGTACAAGCATTGTGGATTCTCTCCATTTGAATTTGAGACGAGTCAAACGAACATTGTGAAGCCTGCTAGAAAACGCTCCAACCTGGCGCCCTTCAGGAGCACCGAGTCTTCGGGCTTCGGATTCATGAAGCGAAAATGTGATGCAGTCACAGGCTCACAGGCAGCACGCAATTTTCAGACTCAGCTTAGTCCAAGCACTCGTCAGAGTCGTCACTCCTAGCTTTCTCAGCCGCTCTGAGTCTCAGGACTCGATGCTCATCAATCAGACTACCGGCATGCTGGCAAAGGCAGATGAGCGAAGGAAGTGTCAATCGTCAGAAGCCGCCCAGGCTCAAAGTGACAAGCGATGGATTTGCAGAGATCGGCGTAGCGGGGGGATGTACACGCCGACACCACGACCACGTTCACCATCTCGTCAGATCCATAGATAGATCCAGGGGAAGGGCCTGGACCTTGTATATCTTCTTGTAAGCAGTTGTATTTGTACATGGACATGTGTAGCCGCTTGAAGGGACATGCTTCTACTCTCAGGTGCGGAGATGACAGCGCAAGCACCTATGCTCCATAGAATGACAAGAAGCCTGACTTGGCAATTTCATGGCCAATCTGCAGGGAAGACTCAGAATTGACGGGCAACAGGCTGCCAAGAGCCTTTCGAGGCCTGTAGGCTTGTAGCACGCCATCTGGGAGGCACTGAGCCTTGTTCTAGATCTTGGCTTCTTGAATATCATTTCTCTGGAACCAATGTTGTCGAGCTCGTGAAACCTTATGGTTGGACGCCTCCTGTTCCCTGAGTCAATCAGAAACCTTGTAAGCATCATGATTGCTGATGATGTCTGAAGGCAGTCTAGATATCTGTGCGTGTCATCTGAACATTCACCCTGTCGAGGGCAGCAACAGACTTTGCGAATGGACAAGCAGCAAGGACGCTGGCAAGCTTCCATCTCCAGCGCGCACCCAACAGGCGCCCTCACAGGCTCCTCTGCGCAGCGGCCTCCCGTCGCTAATTCATCACCAAGGCATAACTCATCCAAGAGGCCCCTGATATACGCAAAAGAGCGCACGCGAAACACACATTTTCGCGACCGACGCGACATCATCCATGTCGCCCACCATATGGCTCAAGGGAGGGCTGCGGTCCATCTCACGCAGCATCATATTCCTTGCTATTCTCATTAGTATACCGCTTGTGATTGAGATGGCAGGGCTCGATGCTGGGCTAGCCTTCAGCTTGAGTCTATGGCTCTACTACTTCTTCCTCTGCACCGTCTTGCTCCTGACGCGCAGTCGACTCTGGTGGATTGGAACGATGGCGAGCTCATTGCAGTTGTTTGTCATTCCGACACTGCTCATCTATCACCTGAATGAGTTTGAGCCAGAGAAGGAAGTCTCTGCTTTTACAGCCATGGCGATACGGCCGTGGCGCTTCATCCTGACACGCGCAACGCCATTATTCACACTCCTCGAGGGTTTCGCTAGCTTGTTGATTGTTCAGGCTATTGGACAAGTCACTCGATTCGTCACCAATTACCGCTCTGATTCGTGGATGTTTCTTGTTTTGATTGGATCAGGTGCGACATTATCGACATCCCTCTACTTTCTCTACAGAATCACGACCTTTCCAGTCATCTCCTTCCTCAATTCAACTATGCTCGGTACCACCATCACAGCAAGCTTGTTCATCGCCACCTATGCGACCTTGTCCGGTAAAGGTACCATTGCAGAGAGTTGTGCATTGTTTGCCTATACCGTCTATTCAGCCTACTCTGGCATGACTGATTTCGGTCAAACAGACATATCGCCACAATTGGCTACACGACCCGAGTACCTGCCCTTTCCACCCCTCGTGATGGAGAATTATGCAACCCTCGTTAAATCTGCAGCAAAATACGTCCCAGTGACGCTCTACCAGACCTATACATTTCTACTCGCTGCATTCTATGCCATTACACCATCTGTCTTGGTCCAATTCGTGTATCGCGTCACATCGCTGTATGCCGTTTCACGCATCATCCCTGCAGTTCGGGATCAAGGTCGTGGTGTGAGTGATACACCTGATTTGGATGATGAAGAGCCCACTGCCAATTTAATGTCCATTTTGACATTATATTGGCCATGCAGCTTGATTGCCGTGTATACACATTTGTTATTACAGCATTTCGCGGATGTGCGTGGTGCAGCGACGCCGTTTTGGGGCGGCTTGGAGAGTGCTGGTTTATGGCGATGGATCAACACTGTCTTCTTTTTGGGATGGTATGCGATTGAGTTGCAAGCGACACAACAAGATATTCTGACGAGTCATTGGAAGGTCGATTGAGTGTGCTTTCTTGTTGGAAGGAGGACTTTGGGGGGTATTCACAGACATGGCAACTGGCTTGCAAGGAGGTTGAAGAGTCGCTTTCCACCACGACGATACGAAGCACCACATGAGCGCATTGGGACAGGTCACAGGACACTTGAAATCTCACATTCATAGCGCTACGCTTACTACGGATCATTGGCTCGTACATCACCCTTGAAATAGCAAATACTCTTAATTATCATTGTTGACGGCATTGAGGAGCCTGAGGATATTGAGGAAGAGGTTGAGGACATCCAAGTACAACGAGACACTTGCAACAATGTACTCATCGACACTGTGATGCTTGAGCAGCAATTGCGTGTCGTAGATTGTATAGCCGCAAAAGAGGAGTGTGCCTAGGGAGGCATAGACGAGCTCAAAGGTCTTGCCATGGGGGGAAAACATGCCCACTAGCCCAACCAAGATGAGTGCCCACAGAGCCATGTAGAGGAATCCGCCCCAAGAAACGAAATCAATCTTGGTCTGGAAGGTGAAGAGCGTGAGTGCGATAAACAGACCTGCCGTCAAGAAGAGTGCTTGTAGCACAACACGCGCATCGTAGAAGGACGTAGCGACGCCGATGGTATACGCTTCAACAAGGGTAAACCCAGCAAGCGCATAAAAGTTGGCCGGGTACTTGTGGCGTACTGCAAACAACGTAAAGAGTGAGACGAATGAGCCAATCACTGCAACAATCATCATCCACTGATTCGATTGCACCCATGCCTTGATTGAAGGCTGCGTATACATCGTGGCGCCAACGGCCGTGGTTGTCAAGATTTGCGTCAGGAGGATGAGGTAGACTTTGCGAATAAAGGCCATGCGAATACTGACATCGCAAGACGCGACGGATGTGCCAAACTTGAAGTCATCATCGGGGTCGGGACCCTGTGCGCCTGCGGAAGGAGGTGCGCCGGCTGGGAGGGATACGCCGCTTTCGAGGTCGTCAGTGGAGACTGCGCCGTATGATTGTGGACTTGATGCGTAGCTGGGCGTCGAGTTCTTTTGAGTAGGTGCGCTTGCGGGCGCTGCGTAGGTAGGTGGCTCCTGGCTGGGGACTGGCTGGTAGGTCATGGATGGTGAGGTGTGTGAGTTGGTCGAGGTGGCGGTGGTCGCTTGTGATGAGAATTCAAGACGCAGCAGCAGCAAGACAGGATGATATATGACTACTAACTAGGTCTAGGTAGGTCTTGGGCCTGTAAATACGGCAAGAAGAGTGTAGGTTGATATCAGGCTCTTAGTGCTCTTCGCCCTCGCAGTGGGCCTTGTAGGCAGCTTCGTCCAGCAAGGCATCCAGCTCTGACTCGTAGTTCTCCGTGACCTTGACCTTGCATAGCCAGCCTGCAGCATGTTAGCATTCAATCCAGTAGGCAATGCTCTCCGTCCTCAATGAGAGAAGAAAGCAAAGACACGAGCATACCATCCGACTCGGCACCCTTGTTGAGGTTTCCAGGCTTATCGGCCAAAACCTCATTCATCTCCAAGACTTCGCCGCTGACAGGTGCATAGATGTCGCTTGCAGACTTGACAGACTCCACAGCACCCACACTCTCGCCCTTTTCGACCTCAGTACCGGCTTCAATCACTTCCACATACACAACATCGCCGAGCGCCTTTTGAGCGTAGTCGGTGATACCGACCGTGCCAATCTTGGTGTCGGAATCGACAGAAATCCACTCATGCTGTGGTGTATATGCCTTGCGGACTAGGCAAGGTCAGTCTTGCCTCGTTTGCAATGAAAGAGAATGCTTACCAGCAAACACAGGCACAGCAGACCGGAAACCACGCTGCATACGAAGCGTTGTAGGCGTCATTGGGGTTGCGGCACGCATTGCAGCGCGGGTGAAAGTCTTTGCAAACATGTCTGTCTACACACGAAGAGATGCGGGGTGGTCGCACACGATCGTTGCAGGGATATGACCTCTGTGCAGCTGATGGATGCTGAAGGGAATAAGGTTGTTCAGTACTCCGCGATTTCTGTGTGCTGGCGGATTCTCACGCAGAAACAAACTGACTCGACCTGATCCACTACTACTAGTGAAACATTGAGCCGGTTGCTGCTTCTATAGGTCTTCTGTCCAATCTAGTTGTCTAAAATGCCATATATCAGTCATCTCCATCACATCATGCATATCTCTCATATCGCCTGGCCTTCACATGAGCCAGAGCCTTCAACAACGGTAGCAAGCTCAGGTTTCGCCAAAACCACCTCATCCTCAACCACAGGCACTGTCAGGGTCTGCGTCTGCAAACCTCGAATGGTCTGTTGTTGCTGCTGTTCATGCTCATCCAGAACCTGCTGTACTTTCGCCTGCCACTCCGTTTGATTGTCACGTCGGCGTCTCCTTAATTCATTAATCTCTGCTTCACTCGACCACCCACTCGTCGTCATGCTGCGTTCAGTTTCTTCAAATGCTGCGTCTTCCTGCTGCATTTGCTCCATCAACTCAGCAAGACCAGGTTCGCCATCGCCGTGATAGACACTCAGTCCCATCGGTGTCAAGGGAATTGTACTAGGTAGAGGTGCAGGGGTCCTCAAATGCTGGGAAGCCTCTAATGTCTCTAACGACGGTGATGGTAGACTTGGCGTTGCAATCGTCGCTTCATGATGTAAGAATGTCGAGTCTGGGAAGATCTCATCGCGGATGAGTGAAGGGAGTAAGGAAGGCGAGTGTTCTCTAAAATAACTCTCTGACGCTTGTTGCTGTTGTTGCAGGGGTGATTGGAGGACGGGTGAGGGCGGTGCCGTGAGATCTGTTGTTGAAACCATAGCAGCTGGTGGTTGCTCTGCTTCTTCTTCCGCCTCATCTGCCAAGGGCAACGCAATGGCAAGGCCAATCGGTGTTTGTACATGCGCAGGGCTTTTGTGAATGGCAGAAGTCGACAGCCGTGAAGCCGTTGAGTCAACCGTATTGGAACGTGTTCGACCAACAGAAGCACTCGTGTTGGTTGTTGAACTACCGCCAGAGTGTCGCGAGCGATGCCCCGTGACACGCTGTGGATACTGCTGCTGTTCGCCAGAGACTGGAGACTCATCCTTGATAGAAGTCTTGCGACTACTGTGCTTGGATGCACGACTTAGAAATCTCTTCCCAAACTCACGAAGTGCATCGGTACTGCTTCTCAATCTCGCAGCTGGATTCACGCTTGGCGAACTGGGTGATGGGGCGAGGGAAGGTGTCGCAGCGGCAGAATCAAGGACAATACTGCCACGGCGAAACGTAGACGACGTAAATGGATCAAAGCTTGAATCCCAATCGAGGCTTCCCGTTTCATCTGCATCTTTGTTAGCTTCCTCATTCTCTTTTTCCTAGAACAAGACTGACCATCAGAAGGATAGGCTGACCAGTAAGGCCCGCCTTCCCTGTTGTAGATATCATACGGCACCCCATAGTCGTCCTGCGACCCATAAGATGGTCCTGGTTGACGTGACCGTGATTGCCGACGCTCCATCAAATAGCGATCCCTAAACGGCCAGTCGTGCGAGCCTGCTGGTTCATCTCCGTCTGACCTGTAGTCTGTAGAATCTTCATTGAAGTCTGCTTTCGCCTGGATTGTCTGATCTGAGGGCTCGCGAGACGGCTCCTGAGGACGTTCGTGGAAGTGTGATTGTTGCGACGCCTGTCTGTCGTAGCAGAAGAGATCTTGGTCCATGATGTCGCCTGTCGTAGCCAGTGCTGCTCTTGGCTATGCGAATTTGGGTGCGAGTGCTGACGATGTGCACTCGCTAGATCTGATTGTCGCTGCACCGGGCGGCCGTTATGCAGGAGAGCCGTTGCAACGGTCGCTGATCGCTTGAGCTGTCGCTTATAGCTCAACTGCAGACTGCAGTGAGATGTCGCAACACAAAGAGCTTGAGGGAAGAGGGAAGGGCCTTGGTGAGCTTGGATAGTAGAAGGAGTAGGTCGAGGTGCAGGAGGTCTCAAGACGCTTGCCAGTCGTTTAGCAGTGCGAATGCTCGGGCGGGATTCTCCCCTTTTCCCAAGTCTGCACAACTTTATATGCGTAGCAGACTGAGCCTTCGCAACAGATGAGGATGATGGCTCTATAGCTCCTGCCTCGCTCTATCTATGCACGCCGAGGCCTTCTATATCTACCCACACCCGGCCTCCTGAAGCCTGTTTGTGGTGCGTTCTTTGTGCGTGCTGCTGAAATTTTCCCTCGAGGTTGCTTCTCGAATGTCTCGGTGGGGAGCGACAGCTGTCTTGTGTTTGTCAATCACCAGCCATCAGCCGGCCGAGGTTGCAGCTCATTGAGTCTCTGCTATGCTGCAAGGATGCCCGTCTCGCTTCGATTGCTGGGAACCATGTTCTGGGGTATCTACACGGATCTTGCTGAAGGGAAGCTATAGGCTCGCTGTGGATGCTCCTCTCCGGGCCTTTGCCCATCGGTTCTCTGCCTAATAGCGTGAAAGAGCCGCAATTTGACAGCTGCCCGGGCAGATCTCCGCAGCCAACCATTTCATGTACCATCCCCGCGGCTGTCTTGCGCCTTAAAATACACAATCTAATCTCACTACCATGCTCGCAGACTCGATCCCAAGGCGAGCATGTCGTCCGTTGTTCCATATACGCAGGCCGTCAATGGTGACGTTGCCACGGCAGAAAGTCATAATCGCACCTTGCTTCTTAACTCGAGTCTGATGTCTACGACATTGAGCCTTCAATGTAGCGGCAAAGTTTAGGCAGATGACTCGACGAGACATTAAGAGAGAGTAGCTTCACATTCTCAACGGACGTCGCTATCAACGACTCTGTTTGACAAGGATGCTACGAAGAGCATCTGATTGCACATCAATCAGGGGAGCGGAGCTCGAAGTGTCAGCTGCCAAGCCTACCAAAGAACAGGTAAACAGGCTCATAGAAATGAACAGCCCATGCAGATACTTCAATAGCAGCTAAACTGATGCTTATATGCGGTCTGCGTCGATATAATGGAGTGCCAGATTGTGACTGTTCCATCATATTTGCTACGTCGCGTCAAATAGCAAGATCGCAATTGCAACCGCGACCATCTACAAGACTCGCCAGGCACTTTGCTTGTGCAGCTGTATGGCAACGAGTAAGCCTCTGTTGCTGAGCTAGTCTCCAGCCTCTCCTTTGCACAGTTGGCCCTCGAATGGCACAGGGCTACTCATCGCTTGGCGATGCGGAACAAGCTGCAAGCCGGCTCTCATCAGACATTGCTATGGCCAGTGCGCCTGACACGCGGACAGCTTCAGCTATATCCTCCGAGGATGCACTTGACAATCTCCATGATCCGCTTGATACTGAAGACCGGCCCTCATTTGACGATGACGACCGTGTACCGTTTCTTGGCGGTACAGGCCGAATGCTTGCGGATAGAGAAGCGCCTGTGATTCGCGAAGCGCGGCGAGGTACGCAACCAGGTCTACCAGGTGGATTGAACGATCTTGGATACAAATTGCCTAGTGAGGGCGGTACCATCATCAACTCATTCTTCAATATGGCCAATTCTATCATTGGCGCAGGCATCATTGGATTGCCTTTCGCCTTTTCCTGTACGGGCTACATTATTGGCGTCTTGTTACTCCTGGCACTGACAGTTGTGGTTGACTGGACAATCCGCCTGATCGTTGTTAATGCCAAGCTCTCTGGTCAGGACAGCTACCAAGACATTGTTGAATTTTGCTTTGGCAATGTAGGCCTTGTCGCTGTCTCACTAGCACAGGTCCTCTTTGCTTTTGGAGGAATGGTAGGCTTCTGCGTCATTATTGGCGATACGATTCCAGATGTCATCCTCTCTGCCTTCCCCAAGGTACAACACAAGCCCGTTCTCTGGCTCTTTGCCAATCGGCAGTTCATTGTCATGCTCTGCACGCTCCTCATCTCCTACCCGCTGTCGCTTTATCGCGACATTACAAAACTTGCCAAGGCGTCTGCTTTGGCTCTCATTTCCATGATCCTGATCATCCTCACAGTCATCATGCAGGGACCCTTTTCAGCAGACCAGTATCGCGGAGCAGAACGTGCTGAAGCGTTTATTCTCAACATGAATTCACTCAAGGCCATCTCTGTCATCTCATTCGCCTTTGTGTGTCACCACAACTCACTTCTCATTTATGGATCTCTCAAGAAACCAACGATTGATCGATTTGCTACGGTAACACATATCTCAACAGGCATTAGTTGTTTGGCGTGCATGATTATGGCGTTGACAGGCTACCTCGTCTTTGCCGAAAAGACCCGCGGCAACATTCTCAATAACTTCCCAAGAGATGACGGTAATGTCATGGTCATCCTGGCAAGATTCTGCTTTGGCTTCAACTGCTTCACTACACTACCCATTGAAGCGTTTGTGTGTCGCGAAGTGGTCATCAAATGCTTCTATGCGCCACGCATCAAGCATCGCGAGTTTACGCAGATGCATCATGTAGCTGTCACCTCGGCTTTTGTCTTTGGTGCAATGCTCATCTCCTTGTTTGTTCACGACTTGGGGATCGTTCTCGATATTGTTGGTGGTACATCAGCATGCGCATTGGCGTATATCCTACCACCTGCATGCTACTTGACCTTGCTTGAAGGACCTTTCCTGAAGGACTATCGAAAGTGGTTGGCTGCTGCTTGTGTCTTCTTTGGCATTCTCGTCATGATTGCATCGATCGTCAAGGTCTTTGTATAGCATTTTGCTTCATTGGAGTATTTATGATGCAGGAGATGCTGCTGCTGCGCTATAATCCGGAAGTCGCGCAAGCACTGCTTCCAAGAAGCTACCAAGTTCACGACCATCCTTCATCACTTGACCTTCACCCAACCGCGTCACAACAGCACGTCTCGCTTCCGCCATGACGGGTTGTGCATCAATTTTTCGAATAAGCTCTGCATGTCTCTGCCAAAACTGATGGGTCGTTCGAGCCAAATCACCAGAGTCTGATGCGTCGCTTGTAAGTTCCTCTGTGATGGCACGATTGAGACTACTCGAAACACGCAAGTCTTCAAGGGTTTGTTGCAGTAATGTTGTGATGTGAGCAACAGACGCTGCATCACGATTCAAATAGGCATCAACAAAGATGAGTGATGCAGCAGCCAGCGTTGTGGCCAAGAAGAAGAGTCCACGTAGGAAGGGTAGCCAGGTATGGATGAAGAGGATCGCAGTGCTTTTGCCACGTAGGGTGTAGCCTTCAGCGGCTTGTGCATTGATGTAGTCGAAGCCGCCGATTCGAGCATAGACTTCTGTAGCGAATGCCAGTGCCGAGAGCAACACAAATGCCGTTCGTCTCGTTGTTGCAAGGGAGAGCAAGAGGATATGGGCCAGGTAGGCTAGTGCAATGTGTGAGAGGGCGTAGATGGCATACGATGCAGGACTATCCATCGTGCACCAATTGCAGTGAGCAAGTGGCATTGAGCCGACGCGCAAGTACACCAATGCCCCTTGAATTGTATCAATCTGTTCCCATGTCGCTGGGGGCAAGGTGATACCTGCTTTCGCTGCACGTACTTTCAACAAGTCGCGTGAAATGGCCAACCGTGAGCCAGTAGCGCGAAAGACATCCCTTTCTTTGGGAAAAAAGAAACGAGTCGCTAGAAAGCATACAAGGAAGATGGCAAGCATGAGAAGTAGCCTGATTTGATGCTGCTCTGCCGTGTGGAGTGGACGCGGTGGTCGTGCTCGCGGTTGACGGAGTTGCTTATACGCCCGAAGCAGGTAGGGTGCTGCAATGGGCAAGATTATGAGAGCCAGTGTCTGCATCCCACTTGACTGTACCTCGACCATCTCTGGTCCACCAGACGAGCTTGAGCTTGACGATTTGTTGTGTGGTTGACAGGTGCTGGCCGGGTGTGGAGCCATCGCACGCAAAAATGAAGCAGCGCAGCTACTCCTTCCTCTACCACTCCGAGCTGCTCTTGCTCTTCTTATCCTCATTCCGGCTTCTTGTACGCTCTTGCCCTCAGACTGTGGCTTACCAGAGTATAATCCATGTCGCTTGATGAGAATGCACGGAAGCGCAAAGAAAGGCTAGCTCAGCTACAAGCTACGAAACGCAAACATAGCGCATTAGAAGATACAGAGGCCGCTGCAGCAGTGATTGCAGAAGGCCCAGACGAGGCCGATGACGATGAGCCTGCGCTGAAGCTCAAAGTAGCGCGCAACTATGATATGGAGACAAAGCTCCCCAAGCTTGGCTTTCTCAATGCAGGGGAAATGACTGGTGCTGCAGACACGGTCGAGAATCGCAGTAAAGCACTCATCGCTGAAGCAGAGGCAGCTCAGGAAGATGGTGAGGAGGATGCGCCGCTTGATTTGGAACAGCTGCAACCAAAGAAGCCAGACTGGGATTTGAAGCGTGACCTCGAAGCGCGGATGGAGCCTTTGCGGAAGAAAGAGCAGCAGGTGATTGATGGGCTCGTCAGAGAACGGATCAGAGCAGCGAAAGCAGGCGGCACAAAGCAGATTGATGGGAGTGCTATGTTGCGCCAGTCCAACAGGCTTGAAGCTCAGGCCCACGAGGTATGACATACGAGACATGCAGAAGAGATATATGCGATGAGCTTGTATTGAGAGCCAAGTACCCATGGTCTGAGTGCAGCCGTCGCCGTAGAATAGTCCTTGTGCTGCTGCTCTCTATCTCATCGCAACTTTTGACGACTTCCAGCGAGCAATTCCAGCAGACAGCCCTTCCTCCCAGACATATCCATCAAATTCGCACTGGCTAGACTCCAGAGGACCAGCAGAGGGCGTCGCAGAGATGGCTTAGCTATTGCAATATCTTATTCATGACAGGCAACCAAATCGACGAGGCTCTCCTAGATGCCCTCAAAACCTCCACCCAGCATCGCGTCCTCCTCCTTGCCCTAGAAGCACAGTTGACAGCCTTCATTCAGACAAACCTCGACTTGCCTGTCCTCGAGACGAATCGCTTGAATGGCTTCCAAAGACTCTTGGCACACAAGCTCGGCGACTACTATTTTGTAGATCATACGCTGGACAGAGCTCGCGGGCTCATCATGTTTAGTCGGCTACCGCACTCCAAAGTGCCTGAAAAGACACTCATGACCTTGTGGCAGGATGCACAGCGCGAGCAAGCTGACGCATCGGGCGTGTCGCTTGCGCAACAACCCAAAATGCGAATCATGAGGCGAACAGACGCATCACACAGTTCTCCTGCGACGCCGCGTCAAGCGTCACCGGCTCCTAGCAGCGCACAGAGTAAAGATCAGGAAGCCAAGGATAAAGAGACTCGCTATAATCTTGCACGAGCACGCATCTTCAAGGACTTTGAACCAGAAGCGGCATCTGCAACAACTTCACCTCAACTGGCTGCTGATGATTTTCCTCGTCAAGCTTTCTCCGATAAAGGCACACGATCTAGTCCTGGAGGCCGCCTGCAGTCACGTCCGTTCAAAGCGCGCAAGGCTGTCCCTGATCCAGAGTATTCGCGCACCTTGATCCCGCCTGCTTGGTCTCAAGGACTTTCACAAGGCCAGTCAGCGCAGCATGCTCCATCACTGGATGAAAGCCCATCCTTCCTTGAAGACAACCTGCAAGACCGGCATGCACAATATCAAAACCAGGCACCAGCAAACTCCGACAGGCTCGCAGACGCACTGGCTCGCGGTGTCCCTGAATTCCAAATGCCAACAAACACTGGCGGAACCAACGGACGCACCATCTCAGCGCTTCCTGTACCGCCACGTTCTCCCGCTGGCAATATCTGGCAGTATAAATCGACGATTCCGTTGTCTTCTGCTAATTTGGCTGCGCTTGAAGCGAGTACCCAGCAAGTGGACCAGTCGTTCAGAAATCTGTGGCTACAGCCTCCTCGTCCAGAGTGAGTGAGCGAGTAGATGTCTAGCCTTTGCTCAAGCTCCTTACATCAACCTAGTCGCTCCTTCTCCGTACTGTATAGAATCTCGTGAGCCGTTATTACCAAATTGTTGCATCACACGTCGCATGACTCCATCAACCAGCCTCCCGACGCAACTCCATGCTGCCATCCCCTTATCACCGCTAAAAGGGGTGCCGGCTCCTCCTTCACTCTTGCTTCCATCACTCTACCCTGCCATGACTGACAAGACGACCATGTCCGGCGATGAAGAGCTCCCAAAGGCACCAAAACGGCTATCACGCTTACAAGTACGCACCGAGCCTCAACGCGATTTATCAAAACACCTTTCTCAAGTGCAAACTGCGCGCGATACATTTCTACAAGCACGTCAAGATCGGCTCGCTGAACGCAGTATCAAAGTCGCTGAACGGGTTCTTCGCTCACGCAGGTCGAATGAGACGGAAGTTGCGTGTAAGCTACAAGTCATGCGTGCGCAACTATCAGCGGCTCAAGCGGCTCGTTCGTCGCTCGTTGCACAGATTGCAGCGCAGGGGAGTAGGACTGTTGCCAAAGCGCAGTTGATTGCTCGACAACATCGTGAACGACAAGATGCTGAACGAGAAGCGAAAAGGGCTGCATTGCAACAAAAGTTGGAGGACGCAGAGAGACGACGGTTGGTGGCATTGCAGAGACGTGCATCGCCCACTCGGAGTCGTAGTCGGAGTCCACCCCTAGGAGACGCTGCGCTCTTGCGACGCGCAAAAGAGGTTGCAGCGCGATGTATTCAACGGACATGGCGACGTCAGACTTGCTTGGCAAAAATAAAGGCCTTTTCTGCTACAAGTTTGACGATGCGAATGCCTGGCAAGTCTTTTGAAGACATTGCGGCGCTCATCAGCTCCAAGGCCGTCATTGCAGCGACTCTGCCGGTTCTCAAACTATGCGGACTAGTTGAGCCTGTTGGCAACCAGCAAGAGACGACATGTCGCAAGTTCTTGTCTATTTATATGCTCATGAACCACCCGAAGGAAGTCCTCACAGAGTCTGGACAACTTGAAAGTCGTCTACAAGAACAAGCAAGTCTATTTGCGCAAGCCTTTTCAGGATGGCTCGCACAAGCTGCTCAGGGCAATCCACCATCCAATGAACGTGTCGTTCGCAGCTGGGCATCCTACAATCTTGCCTTTGAAGACTGGAAGATGGAGGATTCTGCGTCATTGGTGCAGCACATGGTGGCACAATTTGTTGAACTCGATATGATTTGGCTTGTTGTGCGTGATAGCACAGAAGCAACGGTTGCTGAGGAGTATCACAAAGGCATTCGTCAGAATCAAGTATTACTGCTTGCAAAGCTCAGGCGGATTATCGGTGAGGAGGTACGACCTATGATTGCGAAAGCCATCAAGCAGGCTCGGTCGAAACGGGCACGACGACGACCACAGAGGATGACGGAGGATGGACCAAAGCTTGAGATGATGGATTTCATTAGTTTGTGGCAACGCATCAGAACACCCAACAATCGCCAACTGGTGCATGAGCTCGCACTCGACAAGAACTATGTCATTCCTCACACAGTGGAGGAATCTCCTGGAGAAGTACAAATCAAGACGGCCTTTTACGATTTCATGCGCGAGTCTATGCGGGATGGTGAGTGTCCGATGTGGTTACCAACCATTATTCAAGAATGCAAACAACGCCTGCAACGACTCGTCATGCCTAATTCTCCAACGTTTGCAGCGATTTCAAACTCATTTGACTTGGCTTTCATTACGAAGCAGTGCGAAAGGAATTGTTTCGATTACTTGCAGTGTACGCAAATGTTGGTGTCGATGATGAAGTCTCTATGTGCGCCTAGTAGAGACGAAGCAGTGGCTGCCATTGATCAGCTTCAAGGTTCATCGCGAGAAGACTTGTTCGTTAAGCGTATCGATGCCATTTTCAAGACACTGGATCAAATGCTCATTGATTGGGCCAATTATCACTTGAAACTCGCAACGGCGACACTGATTCCTCAGGCAGTATCGTATGAGCGGATCAAGTTTGACGAGGACTTGCAAGCAGGTCGAACATCTATCGTCAAGACAACGATACTGCTACAGCAAGAATGCAGACGATTTGAACAGGAAGCAGCGGAAGCATCTTCACAAGAAATCGTTGCATCAGCCATTGCGCGCGTCTTTGCAAGTGATGTGGAGTTGCCAGAGACACTTGCACTCGATCATGGTCGCATCAAGTCATTCAGAAACCAAAGTCGTGATATTGTCCAGATTGCCGCATTGCTCTCGACAGCTCGTGGTTTGATGCGCTCGCAAGCCAGTTCAGTGCACTTGTCACCTGTTTCTTGGAATGCGCTCAAGTCACGCTTGGCGATTCTGTGTTGTCAGGAGGTGGATGCGTCGGCCTTGTCGAGCGAGATGAATCGTCATTTTGACATCTCGCTTGGCAGCCATGAAACAGACACGGCTCGCACAACACGTCATGCATTACTAGCAGGTCTTGTGAGTCGATGCGATACCAACAGTCAGGTCTCTATGCTGTTGATGAAGCGTCTAGTGCAGCAGCTTGCATGGTCTATTCGACAGGGGCAAGAATGCTCGGCATCGGCGATTGCGAGTGCGGGTCTCTCTGATCTCTCATTAGAGTTGCACCTGTTGTGTAGTGCTGCTGGTAAGGTTGCTGCACTGAATACAGCTTCTTATGGTGACTTGTATGAGAAGATTTTCGCAGAGGATGAGTGATTGTAGGAGTCGACTTGAGGATAAAGTTTTGTATACTTGTGACCATCTGAATGCTTGTCACTGGCTTATAGCATGCGTTACTGTGGCATGATTGAATCGGTTTGCAATGCCGCGTAGCTGTGGCACTTGGACTCTGAGGATCATGCCGTGATGAGTTTTCGAGAACTTTATGCTATTTCAGGAGACACTGCTATGTGAGGTCGGCGATACCCGGCATAACTTCGGATGCTTATGCTTGTATCATCCATGGATCACTTGCTATCGAGGCCTTGCTATTTACATGCTTTCAGGTCTCAGCGTTGAACATACCAAGACCACCCTGGCGACATCCGCCAAGAATTGAGCAAGAAGCGGATTGGACTTGCCGATCTATATTTAGCAGTCGCTGGAGGGGTAAGTATATTTAGCTCCGTCAAACAGATCGGTCAGAGTCACATGCAGCAGGTAGGCAAGCAGGCTGTGTGCACTGTGCTGTTTCTCGCTGGATGGACCACGGAGAGAGAGTAGAGAGAGAGTGAGTGAGTGAGTGAGTGAGTGTGGTGTCATCTTGTGGCAATCGAGAGGCAAAAGAAGAATTTTCTCTTTCTCACTGCGAATCACTGCTGAGTCTGAGCCTGAGTCTGAGCCTGAGTCTGAGTCTAAAAGCAAAAACAACTCAACCGACTCCTCCTCCTCTTCCCTCTTCACCACCCACACCCCTTCCCCCATCACCAGGACATCTAGACAGGACGCACACATGCTTGCTTCACTCTTCCTCTCCACACTCGCTATCGCAGCTCGCGTCTCAGGTATGTCTTCCGTCACTCCCTAGTGTAGCGTCGCAAACAAGCACCCAAGCAAAGCAGGAACAAAGGTTGCCACAGCACCACTCCCTTGCGCAGGTGTCCATTGCGCCCTCAATGGAGCTGCATGAGCATCCAAGCTAACACTCTGCTAGCTCAAACATCCTCTACATCCTCTGACCCGTGCAACAACGGTCCTTACGACATCTCGAGTGCATCTGACCTCGCTGCCATCACATCCTGCACCAACGTCACCGGCAACATCGTCATCTCACCTACCGTCGGTACCGTGAACCTCGGCAGCATCACCGTGCTCAATGGAGATTTGCGTATCATCAACAACAACACCGGTTCACAGACACTCGCTGCAACCACTTCAGTCAGCGCACCCTCTCTCCAGAGCATCTCTGGCGCGCTTGTCCTCACACAATTGACGCAGCTCAACACCCTCAGCATGCCATCGCTCACATCCGTCTCGACCATCGAGCTGACAACCTTGCCTGTGCTCCAGCAGCTCGGTTTCTCTGCCGTCACTGCTGTTTCCATCCTCAGTGTCATTGACACGCAGCTCCAGTCGCTCCAGGGCATTACACTGACGACCGCATCCCAGATCAACATCTCCAACAACCGTTTCTTGACTGCCATCACCATGAACAACTTGCGCAGCGTGACAAACGCCATTCTCGTTGCTGCCAACTCTCCAAGCATTGCTGTTTCCTTCACTGGTCTGCGTACTGCCGGTAACTTTACCGCCCAGGGTGTCAGGTCTGTTTCCATCAACGCACTCAACAACGTTACTGGCTCATTCGGTGTCGTCAACTCCTCCATCACCTCGCTCGAGCTGCTCAACTTGACTCGCGTGACGGGAGACTTCTTTGTCAACAACAACGCTCAGCTGACTGCACTCTCTGCACCTGCTCTCACTACCGTCTCTGCCTTCCAGGTCGCCAACAACACCCAGCTCAGCAACATCACTTTCCCTTCATTGACCACTGTTGCTGGTGCACTCAACGTCATTGGTTCATTCAACAACTTCACCGCCGCTGCCCTGACGGATGTGCGTGGAAATTACAACGTGCAATCAACCTCGGAGACATTCAGCTGTGCAAGCAACCTCAAGAACTCGGGTGTTGTGAAGGGTAATGTCTACCAGTGCAGCGGTAAAGTGAGCAACCCTACCACCGTTGCTGCTTCTGCCACCACAGGATCCGGTACAGGTGCTTCTGCCAGTTCGACCAGGACAAGCGGTGCTGAGGTCGTCAAGTTCTCTGGCTCGTTGGTTGCCGGTCTCCTTGCTCTCTTTGCATTCTAGAGTGCCTCAAAAGGAGACGCTGTTCTTGCTGTGCATCGAAAGGCTCTGGGAGCTATGCGCATACTTTTGAAGGGAAAAAAAGGAATTCTCTTATTTTTGCTGGTTGGGCAGAGGTCATGGCGAGGAAACACTCTTGTACTATCTCGACATGCTGTATTGTTTCAGTCCTTCTTTTCTTATCGCTGCGACTTTCTTTCCTGCTCCTCTCTCATGGTACTGTGCTTCGCCTTCTTTACTCGGCGGCCTGTTACCTGCTTTAATGCTGTGTTCCCATTCTCCGTACCCATGGCAGCCAAATTGCATTTCTATGTCTTTGGCTTGCAGGCTCGTTTTCATACATTCGTCCATAGAATAAACTTTGCAATCCGTCTCAGTTGCCTCGACTACAATCAGAACGCTACAACGCCAATTTCTTTGATTAGCTCTCAACTGATCTGCTAGCTGCCTCTGGAATCTAGATACTTACACTTGCTACGGTAACCATGTTTAGCAAGTTTACCGCAGGCAGTCGCGCAGACATCAAGTCAACCACACCGCTCAAATCATCCGCTCAACGCAATCTCAAGTCTAAACTGGTTGAAGCGTACCCAAAGCTAGAACCCTTCATTGACGACATTATCCCCAAGAAATCTCAAATGTCACTCATCAAGTGCGAGGAACGCGTTTCCTTGTATAGCATTGATGGCAAGGTTGTCTTTTATCAACATTTCGATGATGCGTTGTTGCCGAGCTTACGACTTGTGCATCTATACCCAGAGTGCTTTCCAATGGTTCGTGTGGATCGTGGAGCCATCAAGTTTGTGTATGTTTCATCTTCGTCACCATGAGATCCGAAGGAAAGAGGCTGACTAGAATCTAGATTATCAGGCGCCAACATCATGGCACCAGGTATGACTTCTGCAGGTGGCATGTTACCGGATGGTTTGGAAGCAGAACAAGCAGTGATTGTCATGGCAGAGGGGAAAGACCATGCTGTTGCTGTAGGTGTGACAAAGATGTCTGCAGCGGAGATGAAGGAGAAGAATAAGGGTATTGGTATCGAAACGGCTCACTTTCTGGGAGACTGGTTGGTAAGGCATACTTCTGCAGTCAGGGAATACAGTAGGCTAACATATACAGTGGGCATTGGAGGCATAGCCAAGTCATTTTTATGCATAGAAACGTAGGAAAGGCAAGCGTCTCAAGATGTAGCTGATTCAGGTGCCATCCAAAAAAGTCGCGAACTCGACGCGTAGGGAAATGCACTTGGCAACACGACAGCACACACCATCACACTGCTCCTTCACGCCGCCTGGGACTTCCACTGCTCGCTCCTAGTACCTGCTGAGCTGGTGGCCCTTCTCTGAAATCACCGGGCTTGGCCCATCGCTCACTCTCTCCTGCATCTCTAGCAACTCGCATCTGCTCTTTAGAATCCCGCATTGCTCTTTTGTTGATCTTGTGCGCGCGCATCCAAAGCATTGCATATCCTTTGTCATCTCACTCCTACGCTCACTGTTCAAGATGTCTTCAAGTACGCTGCGCATCAACGATAGCGAACAATACGTAAACACTTGCTCATTAAACTGGCTGCTTGTCAAGAAACTGACCTGTCTTTGCAGACTCTAGGCGATTGCCTTGGCCGCGGCGCGTTTGGAAGCGTCTATAGAGGTCTCAATACATTCTCTGGTGAGACTGTTGCAGTCAAGCAAATCAAACTACGCAATATCCCACAATCGGAAGTCGACATGATCATGGTAACCCCGGCCTTTTTGCACAACCCGACTTGTACTGATGCAGCTAGGGAGAGATTGACTTGCTCAAGAACCTCAATGTATGACCGCTTTGTTACATCACTGTGCTAACGACAGCATGACAACATTGTCAAGTACCATTGCTTTTACAAGGGTGCCGATAGTCTCTACATCATCCTCGAGTACGTTGACATGTTGCCTTGACATGGACTAATCCCAGATACTGCGAGAATGGCTCCCTGCAAAGCATCTGTCGAACTTTTGGCAACTTCCCGGAACACTTGTTGGCAGTCTATACGGATCAAGTCCTCAATGGCCTCATCTATCTGCATGACCAAGGTGTCATACATCGAGACATCAAAGGCGCCAATATCCTAACCACCAAGGATGGTACCGTCAAATTGGCAGATTTCGGTGTCGCTACAAATGCATTGAGCGACATGACTGTTGTCGGCAGTCCTTACTGGAGTGAGTCGATGCTAAAGAAATCGAGAATACTGACAGTAGTGGCGCCTGAGATTATCGAACTGGCAGGAGCATCCTCAGCCTCTGATATATGGAGTCTGGGGTGTACTGTGATTGAGTTGCTGCAAGGCAAACCGCCCTTTCACGAAATGGATCAAATGTCGGCTCTCTTCCACATCGTTGATGATGATCACCCACCCATGCCAGATGCATGTTCGCCGGTATGTTTTCTTCGCGTTGACTTCTGAACAAGACTGACACAAGGCTGCTCGCTCATTCCTACTACAATGCTTTCAAAAGGACCCACGTCTTCGCATATCTGCAAAAGTATTACGTCGTCATGCCTGGATTCAAAACCACAAGCGTACAGAGTCTCAACAACTACGTCTTGCTCAAAAACGCATACCAATCGACTACGAAGAAGCCGTCAACAGCGTTCAAGAGTACAATGAAAAGGTCAATGGCCCGGAAATCAAGCCTTCGGGATCGCGACCAAGCGGCAAACCAAACAAGGCTAGCGCTGAACCAAGGTCAACAACGCCACGGCCAGTCAGAGTCCTGGCACAGCCAGATGATGATGATGGAGACAACTGGGATAATGACTTTGATACACAGACAGTTGTCAAGTTACACCATCCCAGGGCTACAGCGCGATCAACATCAGCAGATCCGAAACGTCCATCATCCAGTAACGCAAAATCCAAGCCGCTAGCAGTACGTCCCGATATGACACCGAGACCGCGACCGACTAAGCACACGTCAGACCGCGTTCCCTCCAGAGGACACGCAGATGGCTTGGATGACGCCACAGTCCGACCACGTATGTCAAGCACGCCTGTCTCGCTTGCGCGGTTGAAAGAGCAGCCTAGCAGCATGCATCGACGACGCCAGGAACCAGTTTTACGTGATTCAGTCAATGCCCACGCAAATACTATGCCACCGCCTATGCTGACGCCCACATCGAAACGAACAGACAAGAGACAGGTCAGTCAGCGACCCCCGAGTAGACCAACCTCTCAATCGACCTTGTCTAGCTTCTCAGAGGCCGGTGAGGATTACAGTGACATCATTGTTGATGACAATACCTTCCCGACGGTATTTGCAGCGACGGTTCGCTCGGATGAGTCTTGGCTTGATGACGACCATTCTACAGAGAACGACCCTTTTGCCGGTATCGACGAGTTTGACCAGGAGAATCTGACGGCAAACATTCAGCGCGAACAAAAGGCAAGGGCTAGCAATCAGATGGACGATTGTCTCAAGCACTTTCAGGAATCCGTCAGCAAAGAGACTGGGCTAGAGGATACCTGCGCTGCAATGCTTAACTTGCTCGAGTTGCATCCGGATCTCAAAGTCAATGTCATTTCGAAGCACGGCCTTTTGCCTCTGCTTGAAGTACTCGAAACCATCACTGACGAGAATGTGATTGTCCCAGTCCTCAAAATCTTGAATTTGTTGACACGCGAGGACCCTGCCGTGCAAGAGAACATCTGTTTTGTTGGTGGTATCGCAGCATTGACGCGGTTTGCCTCCAAGAACTTTAGTCAAGCCATTCGCGATGAAGCGGCTGTTTTTGTGAGGCAAATCATGGCTTCATCACCACTCAATGCACAGATCTTTGTCAGTTGTCGCGGCCTCAATATTCTTATGGAGTTCCTCGAGGAAGACTACAGTAGTGCACGAGAGCTTGTACGCACTGGCATTGAAGGCATCCTCGGTGTATTTGGCTTGCAAGGCTTTACGCCCAAAAACGATTTGTGCCGTATCATGGCTCGCACAGGAATCATGGAGCCTTTATCGCACATCCTGCACTATCTCTTGTCGCAGCGGCGCATCAGCGTTGAAGATGATGGCCACATTGACGACATTTTGCAGATCATGAATCTCTTTTCTCAGGTACGACATGTATGTCTGGCACTCAAGACTAACCTCCAGGCTGACAGCTATGTCATACAACTCATCGCATCCCGTCATGTCTTACGACGTACGATTCACCGAAAACGAATATTGCTAACAATAGGTCTCATCTCAGAAACGCGAAAACTAGAAAGCGCTCGGCTCGTCAAGGTGCTGAAATTCGTTCGCACTCTTTCCAGCGTCACCTCGACCCTTGACAACCTTCAGCAAGCAAATGCAATCGAACGTCTTGTGGATTTGCTTGAAGATGAAACAGTGCCTTGGTATCGCGATGCTGCGATGCATATTGTGCCAACGCTCATGAATCTCTGTTTGCACGATCAAAGTCGTCGGACTGAGGCTGCACTTGTTGGTGCTGTACCGGTCCTACAGCGTATAGCTCGATGCGAATCTCAACTAAAGCAATTCGCATTGCCAGTCTTGTGCTTCTTTGCGCACAACAAGGAGTGTCGCAAAATTTTGTGGCAAAACAAGGGTCTCGACTTTTACATCGAAGTGCTAGCGGATCCTTACTGGCAAGTCAATGCATTCGAAGCAATTGTCGTCTGGTAAGAAGTCTTTCGCGCCAAGCAAATACTAATGTTCAGGTTCCAGGAGGAAGCGTCACGCGTGCAAGAACGACTGGCCAAACCCGATGCCGTGGAACTCATTGCCAGTGCGTTTGAATCTGCAACCACGACTTCAACATTTGAGAACTTTCTCGCTCAGCTACAAAAGCTTGTCCATCTAAGTCAGAAGGTTGCTCTGCATCTAAGTGCGCACCCGACGCTGCTGCGCAGCATCACAACCAAATTGCGAGATCGACACGTCAACAAAGCTACTGTGCGACTGAATCTTTTGCGAATCATGCAGAGTCTACTGGCTGTCCATGTCCGACCTCAGTATGTTGTCGCTGAACTCAATCTCGTCGAGGTGCTGCATGAAATTGTCAACAAGGATGGCGCAGTGATAGTGCAGGAAATTGCGAGGAGCGCCTTGAAGGAGCCTTATATGACCGCATTGCGAAGCACAGATGCGCCGGTAGTACGATAGTCGGCACGTCAGAGAGGTACTGCGCTTACGAGTGCGCTTGTTTGTAGACAACCGTTGACAAACCTCGAGCGACTTCCTCGTGAGTTGGCCAAGACGCTGTTCCCCGGCAAGCCTGCGCTGAGAGACGTTCAAATCGCATGAGTGACTGTGCAAGGAATTTAGATTCTTCCTCGAGCTTGACGAAAGCCTGTGACCGCTTTTGGTCAAATAACAGGGGTAGCTGATCTCTTGTTGTGGCCTGCAGATGATCTGCTGCAAGACATGTGATAGCTTGGACAATCTGGTGGTGGAATTCAGCTGTCGGTGATGACGGAGTAGATCCTATTACATCAATGTTCATCGTCATCTGTATTTTGCTCAAAGTAGCCACACAGTTGGACGGACTGCATTCGCGACGATTTGTGAAGTCCACTGGATCGTCAGCCAAAGGGCGCAAACATTTCAAGCGTACGATGAAGCATGTGATCAGCTTCAGAAAGGGTGATACCGTCCAGTGACATCTTGTATAGTAGACCGTTGTAGTCTGTAGCTGTCGAGGAGTTGCCCGAGAGAAGTTGCTCATCTTTTGCGAGGAACGCCCTGGCAATTGCAGACAAGCTTTCATGCGATCTCATATGTTGATATCGGCCTTGTAGGTAGAGATCGATTCTCAAAGGCTCGTCAGTAGGGACGTCGACCACAATCTGATCCAATCTCCTGAGCTGCGCCGCATTTGTCAAGAGCAGACTCGTGTCATATGTGTCCAAGACCAGCACAGAAGTGCAGCGAAGATTGATGGTCAGATCACCTGGAAGACGGTAGCTTCGCGAACAGCCCAGCATGGAATGAGAGGAATAGACTGCTGTGGCTGCGTGTGGATGAGTGTAGTGAGAACGTCAGATGGGCACCAATATCAATGCGCTGCACCGTGCAAATGGTCCGTGCCTATGACCCATGCTAGCACCGTGCGCCGTTTGGCTCTATCTGTAGTGCCCAATACTCAAAGACAGAGCATTAAAGCTTATTGCAAGGCGGCAATGACTTGTAAGGCAGAATCGCGGAGGGAAAAGAAGAAGGATAACAATACTTAGTGCTCTAGCTAATTAGGAGAGCCAGCAAATCACCTTGAGGAACAGGCGGACGCTTGCCAAAGAAAGCAGAAGTGAGGAAGTAAAGAGGTAAAAGCTGGAGAGCCGAGTTAGCAGGACTCGATTTCGGCTGTGTTGCAGTAGCCGCCAGCATGCCGCTGTCAGAGCACTGCAAGCTCTACAAGAAGGTTTGAGGCGATCCAAAAGGCGAGTCGGGCTCCGGGGCGACATTCAGGTCGAATTGATAACGAGTGGTACCGGAAGAGCCGCCCCCATTGAAACACATAGCCTGTTCGTTGTCCGAGTCGTTTATTTTGTCGCAGCTGCAATGCCAGGAGCATCCAATATTTTCTTGTGAAGGTGAAAGGACATGAACGCCCCAACCTTGTCCCCCAAGCGGTAATGCCAGCGACTTCGAAATTGCCTGACCGTTGCATATGAGGTAATCAGGGCCGGAGGCGTAGGGATTTGGGGCCGTGATAGACTTGTATGCAACGAGGAAGAGGCGCGACTCACACATACAAACTGATTCCAAGTCCTCTGATATCTCTGTAACCGGGACTTGCCAAGGAAGAGCGGAACCGTCAGAAGTAACACCAAAATGCTCGGCCTTCTTGCAATCCTCGTGTTGTTGAATCCAACGATGCAAGAGTGGGAACCAGCTTTGGAAGGCTGCCGGCAAAAAGTAATTGAACACATCTTTACCCTCGGCAATCCCCTCGAAATGACCTAACAATTTGCCTTGCTTCAGCAGAGGGGCGATGTAATTCTTAAGCCACCGGCTTACTTGACATTTGTAATTCAAGTCGCGGACGTGGTGTTTGGAGAAGGAAAAAGGCGATCTCCAATTGTTGCGGTTGTGCTCAGCTTGACAATGCGGACAAATAACTCCCCAGTCACGAGCAGAGCTTCTAAGACACCGGGGCTGTAGATCGGCGGCGACGATGCACGCTCCAATACTCAGAGTAGAAATCCAACGTGCCGCTTCGACGGAGGGTGCGCATGTTTCCTCACAAGTCATGCCGGGTTCCTTTGCTACAGTCTTCGACAGCTGTAGTCGCACCACGTCACATAAAGGCTCCCATTCTGAAGATGTCTGGTTCACAGCCGGTGCTTTACCGCGATCCCCGTTAGCTCGCTTATGCAGCACTTCATCTGTTGTTGGTCCTGAGTCTGGTGTGGTGCCAAGTATGCCGGCCATAAGGAGAAGAGCGATAGCCAGAAGAGCCATGTTCGACGGGCAGTGCGCAAAGAACATCATCAAGGACGCTTGATTCTGCTTGCACTTGGCCATTCTGCGAAGGAGGAGGAGCAGCCCTTATATGCAAGAGCCCGAATGTTGATTTCTTGAAGGCTGGAAGCTGATAGCTTCTGGCGTGCCAGTCAGGAGGCATCGACAGTGAATGAGGCTACCGCACATGAGCAGTTACTCTTCTTCTTGCGCATGGCTAGTGATTGAACTGCTGCATCATGATCTACGTTGTGCTTTTCAGCAAATGGCAAGCTGCTTTGCATTGACGTTGCATTGAACCACATGCCAGACGGACGAAATCGACAACTGCCGTGCAGCCGTGCAGCGGGAGACATAGTCTTTTTGGACGAAAAGGCCACGTGCCGCGACTCTTGTGCTTGCCCTCCATATATCAAAGCGTGCAGCGACATGTGGACAGTTAAAGCACTCCCCTGAACTTGGCCTGAAGAGCGATAATCTACCAGCAAGTAATGTTGGATGTGTCTTCCTGGATTTCCGACATCTGACTGATGGTCTGAATGCAGAAACCAACCTAGACGGCCTGCACCGCAATGTAGATGCGTACGTAGGCAGAAATTCTGGCCTTCTGTGAGCAGAGCCTGCACTTGGCCATGAAGCAAATGGACACTGCGCAGAACACCATCAGGGGTAAACTCTTGGCGTCTCGTGATTTGTTGTTTGGAGGAACTGGAACATGAACTGTTGACTTATCCCTGCATTCACTTTCCCTGCAGACGGAGATTGCATTGTCGAAGCATTGCAGCAAGTGACCACGAGGACGGTCAGCAATGCGCAAGAAGAGTGCCTCAAGTTGGGGCTGCTGCAATGAACTCGTTGATGAAGGAGATATCCGCCTTCCTCTCCTTTGGATGTGAGAAACGCGCATGGTCAGCCAACGCACGGCTCCTATGCCAGCGGTGTGAGATGTGCGTACAAGCGACGACAATGCCGGCACGATGCTTGCCATGATTGCAATGAATTAAGAGAGGATGATTCCTCTTGTCCATGACGATCTCAAGGGCGCGAGCGCATATGGCGGGCGGGACACCCGCAGCAGCCGTTTCGCGTTTGCCAGGCATTGCGACTTGCACAAAGCGAATACCTTTCTCTGCCATCCATGCAGCATGACGTGGATCTTGTACGCCTTCTACGAGACAGAGGACTGTCTTGAGTTGCAGAGGCGACAGAAAGGCGTGTGTGTCTGGCGAGGGGAACGCAGAGCGATATACGGCACCTGCCCCAACAACGCCAAAGTTGCTTGGCGGGCCCTCGATCGGCTCTTTTACCGAGGTGACCCAAGAGGCATACCGTCTTCATCAAAGATGGCTGACTTTTCAGAGATTGGCGCGCTTGAGGGAATCGGGCAGCGGCCCATGTGTACTTTTGCAGAGGAAAGCGGTGTATTTTGCGGTGAATCATCTGTTCCTCGACATCCACAAGATTTTGCATAGCATGGGAACTTGTCTGAAAAGAGTAGCGCTAGGTCAGTCACCAGAATAGTTGATCTCGTGTTGTGACCTGCAAATGATCTGCAACAAGACATGTGAATGATGATGAGATAGCTTGAACAATCTGGCGGTGGAATTCAGCTGTCGGTGATGACGGAGTTGATCGTGTTGCATCAAAGCACAGCGTCATCTGTATTTTGCCCAAAGTAGCCACACAATTGGACGGACTGCATTCCTGACGATTTGTAAAGTCCACTGGATCGTCAGCCAAAGGGCGCAGACATGGAAAGCGTACGATGAAGCATGTGATCAGCTTCAGAAAGGGTGATACCGTCCAGTGACATCTTGTATAGTAGACCGTTGTAGTCTGTAGCTGTCGAGGAGTTGTCCGAGAGAAGTTGCTCATCTTTTGCGAGGAACGCCCTGGCAATTGCAGACAAGCTTTCATGCGATCTCATATGTTGATCTCGGCCTTGTAGATTGAGATCGATTCTCAAAGGCTCGTCAGTAGGGACGTCGACCACAATCTGATCCAATCTCCTGAGCTGCGCCGCATTTGTCAAGAGCAGACTCGTGTCATATGTGTCCAAGACCAGCACAGAAGTGCAGCGAAGATTGATGGTCAGATCACCTGGAAGACGGTAGCTTCGCGAACAGCCCAGCATGAGATGAGAGGAGTAGACTGCTGTGGCTGCGTGTGGATGAGTGTAGTGAGAACGTCAGATGGGCACCAATATCAATGCGCTGCACCGTGCAAATGGTCTGTGCCGATGACCCATGCTAGCACCGTGCGCCGTTTGGCTCTATCTGTAGTGCCCGATACTCAAAGACAGAGCATTAAAGCTTATTGCAAGGCAGCAATAACTTGTAAGGCAGAATCGCGGAGGGAACAAAAAGAAGGATAGGAATACTTAGTACTCTAGCTAGTCAAAAGGGCCAGCAAAATCTTCTTGAGGAACAGGCGGACGCTTGCCAAAGAAAGCAGAAATGAGGAAGTGAAGAGGCAAAAGCTTGAGAGCCGAGCTAGCGGGATTCGATCTCGGCTGTGTTGCAGTAGCCGCCAGCATGCCGCTGTCAGCGCATTGCAAGCTCTACACGAAGGATTGAGGCCACCCAGGGTATCCAGGCCAATCGGGATCCGGTGTGACATTTGAGTCGAATTGAGAGCGAGTAGCACCGGGAGCTTCGCCCCAATTGGAACACATAGCTTGTCCGCCGTCCAAGTCTTTTATATTGTCGCAACTGCATTGCCAGGAGCATCCAATGTCAGATTGCATGGAATCAATGCTCCAACCGGACCAAGGTTGTGGACTCAGTTCGCGCTTCAGTCGCTCCTTTACGACCCCAGCGTTGCAAATTGTGACTGAAGAGCTGGGGTCGTAGGGATTTTCGGGCTCGGCAAACTGATATGCAACGAAGAAGAGGCGCACAAGACACACACAAGCTGCTACCGGGGCATTTGACACTGGCTCGTTTGATTTTCGCCGAGTACGCTTGTCATCGTCCTTGCTGTGCCGAAAGGGGACATGTTCACCGTTTGTACAGTCTGCGCGTCGCTTATCCCAAACAGCCAAGAGTGCATCCCAGCTTCGGAAGGCTGCCTCCCAAGGGACTCTGTACACATCTGAAGCTTTGGCAACATTTTCAATGCCGAACATTGAGCGTTCTTTCTGCAGAGTGGCCCTGAACTCTGCAAGCCACGTCGATGATTGACATTTCCAATTGAGGCCATCGACGTAGTCTTCGGTGAAGCTTTTCTTCCTCCTGAACTCGTAAAAGTTCGCTTCACAAGTCGTACAAGCAATTTCCAAGTCGTGAGCAGAGCTTGTAACACACCGGGGCTGCAAGCTGACGGGAACGATGCATGTCTCACGACTGAACTGAAAAGCCTGATAGGCCATAAAGACGTCGCCTTGGCATGAATCCTCACAAGTCTTCTCGGGTTGTCGTGAGACAGCCTTCGAAAGTTGTACTCGCCACACTTTACAAAATGAAAAGTCCCACTCCTGCGTCTGGTTCACAGCTGGTGCTTTACCGCGATCCCCGTTTGCTCGCTTCTGCAGCACTTCATCTGTTGTTGGTCCTGGGTCTGGTGTGGTGCCAAGTATGCCGGCCATAAGGAGAAGAGCGATAGCCAGAAGAGCCATGTTCGGCGGGGAATGCGCAAAGAACATCATCAAGGACGCTTGATTCTGCCTGCACTTGGCCATTCTGCGAAGGAGGAGGAGCAGCCCTTATATGCAAGAGCCCGAATGTTGATTTCTTGAAGGCTAGAAGCTGATAGCTTCTGGCGCGCCAGTCAAGAGGCATCCACAATGAATGAAGCTACCGCACATGAGCAGCTACTCTTCTTCTTGCGCATGGCTAGTGACTGAACTGCTGCATCATGCTCTACGTTGTGCTTTTCAGCAAATGGCAAGCTAATTTGCATTGACGTTGCATTGAACCACATGCCAGACAGACGGAATCGACAGCTGCCGTGCAGCAGTGCAGCGGGCCACAATGTCGCGACATAGTTTTTTTTGGACGAGAAGGCCACGTGCCGCGACTCTTGTGCTTGCCCTGCATATGCCAAGGCGTGCAGCGACATGTGGACAGTCAAAGCACTCCCATGAAGAGCGATAATCTACCAGCAAGTCATGTTGGATGTGTTTTCCCAGATTCACGACATCGATCTGTCTGACTCAATGTCTGAATGAAGAAAATAACCTAGATGGCCCGCACTGCAATGTAGATGCGTACATAGGCAGAAATTCTGACCTTCAATGGACACTGCGCAGAACATCATCAGGGGAAAACTCTTGGCGTCTCGTGGGTTGTTGTTTGGAGGAACTGGAACATGAACTGCTGACTTATCCCTGCATGCACTTTCCCTGCAGACAGAGACTGCATTGTCGAAGCATTGCAGCAAGCGACCACGAGGACGGTGAGCCATGCGCAAGAAGAGTGCCTCAAGCTGGGACTGCTGCGATGAACTCGTTGATGAAGGAGATATCCGCCTTCCTCTCCTTTGGATGTGAGAAACGCGCATACTCATCCAACGCACGGCTCCTATGCCAGCGGTGTGAGATGCGCATACAAGCGACGACAGTACCGGTACGATGCTTGCCATGATTGCAGTGAATCAAGAGTGGATGATTCCTCTTGTCCATGACGATCTCAAGGGCGCGAGCGCAGGTGGCGGGCGGGACACCTGCAGCAGCCGTTTCGCGTTTGCCAGGCATTGCGACTTGCACAAAGCGAATACCTTTCTCTGCCATCCATGCAGCATAGCGTGGATCTGGTGCGCCTTCTACGAGACAGAGGATTGTCTTGAGTTGCAGACGCGATAGGAAGGCGTGTGTGTCTGGCGAGGGGAACGCAGAGCGATATACAGCTCCTGCCTCAACAACGCCAAAGTTGCTAGGCGGGCCTTCGATCGGCTCTTGTACCGAGGAGACCGAAGAGGCATACAAGGCGTCTTCATCAAAGATGGCTGACTTTTCAGAGGAAGGCGCGCTTGAGAGGGTCGGGCAGCGGCTCATGTGTACTTTTGCAGAGGAAGGCGGTGTATTTTGCGGTGAGTCATCTGTTCCTCGACATCCACAGGATTCTGCGTAGCATGCAAACTTGTCCGAAGAGAGTAGCGGTAGATCCATGGCCAGAGAGATGTATAGCCTTGCTGATTTCAAATTTGGTGAGTCTTGTGCGCGCTATTAATGAATCGGCGCAAGTGATTTTGAGGATGGTGATGGCGGAGAGAGGTGGGTGAAAGTGGAAGGGGCGAGTCGCCCGACCAAGGCCCTCTTGTACGCCGCGGAGGGTGTCACAAGGACACAGAATGCGCCGTCGTGCTGCTTTTGGTTTGGGGATGAAGGTGGTGAGCAGATGGCTGCGTGTGACCGTCGACGAGACAAAACTGCCGGCGCAGATGAAATGCCAAACGCACCAGAAGCAGCAGCAGCAGTGACGACAGAAACCCTCAGGCGGTGCCGGCCTCCCCGGGGTGTCATGGAGTCATACAGGCTAATATCTGGATTCTGAGATACATCACGGAGAGACCCGGCTTCCTTCTATACGTTACTGCCTCCGCCGTACTGCTTCTTCCACTGCTCCTCCTTTGACTCATCTATCCTCGTGAACAAGTACTGCGGCAACCCAATCACATGCCCCGGCAGCAAATCAAATGTCCACTCGTCAGGAATCCGTGCCAATGGTGCATTCAACTGTTCGACTATACTCTCAGCCGTGCTGGGCATGTATGGCCATGCGAGACTGGAGAGTAAGTAGATCAGATTGAGCGCATGCCCAACCACCGCTGCGCATTTCGCCGGCTCATTCGTGAAGAGAGCATTATCAATCTTGTTATCTTGTAGGAACTGGTTGCCGCGCGAAGACATTTGCATCAATACAGCGAGAGCTGCACGTTCCTTGACGTGGTCTAGCAGATCGATGTACTGTGCCAGAAAACGGTTGATGTCTTGAATGAAGCCCTCGTGATTGACCAACCCGATCGCTGCTTCTGGCTCAAAGTCTGGAACGACACCCTCATATTTCGCATTGACAAACTTGATGACTCGATTGACAAAATTGCCAAAGTTGGCGAGCAATTCGGCATTGTTCTTTGAAATGAAATCAGACCATGCAAACATGGTATCTTGCGACTCTGGTCGCGAAGCAAGCAAGTAGTATCGCCAGACTGACGCTAGGATACCCGTATCTTGCGCGTTGTTACCAAAGACACCAACATTGCGCGATTTGGAGAACTTGCCGCCTTCGTACTGCAAGTATTCAGTTGTATTGATGTGGTGCAGCATTGTCCACTTCTCACCAGTGCCAATCAGACTAGCAGGGAAGACGACCGTGTGGAAAGGTACGTTGTCTTTGCCCATGAATTGATACAGCTGGACATTGTCTGGGTTGCGCCACCATTTCTGCCAGCTGTCGGTATAGTTGGCGGTGATGCTAATATAACCAATTGTCGCATCGAACCAAACATACAGCACCTTGTCCTTCATGCTCTCCATTGGTACTGGTGTTCCCCACTTCAAATCACGCGTGATGCAACGATCCGTCAGACCCTTCTTAAGCCAAGAATTGGTGATGCCAATACCATTCGAAGACCACTTGCCTTTTTGTGAAGACTCTTTGGACCAGGCTTCTGTTGCGGGTTGCAATTTGTCGAGCGAGAGAAAAATGTGGTTGGAGTCGCGGACAATCACTTTCCCGCCAAGCTTTGAGCGTGGCTCCTTCAGTTCAAGCGGGTTGAGCAAGTTGCCACAGCCATCACATTGATCTCCTCGAGCATCTTCGTACTGACAGATAGGGCAGATGCCTTCGACGTATCGGTCCGCCAAGAACTTACTGTGCGTCTCATCATAAAGCTGCGTGGTAGACTTCTCAACGAGATAATCATTTTCCTTCAGCCGCAAAAAGATGTCTTGCGCAATTTCAGTCTGTTTCGCTGTAGTGGTACGCCCAAAGTGGTCAAAGCCAATTTCAAACCATTCATAGACATCGCTGTGGATCTTGTGGAACTTGTCGCATAATTCTTGAGAGGTGCAGCCTTCCTCGAGCGCTTTCGTTTCAGTGGCAGTGCCATACTCATCCGTGCCACACACAAAGAGTGTATTGACGTTGCGTGCTTTGCAGTAACGAGCATAGACATCTGCACTCAGCACAGAGCCTATAATGTTACCAAGATGTGGCACATTGTTGACGTAGGGGAGGGCAGAAGTGATGAGTACGTTTCGTTCACCTTCCACTGGGAGAATCTCCTTCTGACTCAATGCTTTGACTTCAACGCCGGACCTGATCTTGCGGTCCTTGGCAGAGACTGTCCGCGCAATCGTAGGTGTTACAGTCTTTGCTTTTTTAGACTTCTTGCCAACCACTTGTCCAGCCGTCTGATATTAGTCGTTATTCATCAAAGTGTAAAGGTGCTTACAAGCTCAGCAGCCATTTGGACACCCTTCATAACTTCCTCGCGCTGCAGTACACCATCAAACCACGTATAGAGTGCTGCATACTTTTCGCGATCAAGTGCAGGTGCCTTGCTGATGAATCTGTACAATGAACTGAACAAGATGATCTGTGCTGCATTGAGCGTCGTCTATCGTCAGTCTGCATCTCTAAAAGTAGTTTCCTTACCGGGTCAAGCTGAGCCGTGACCAAGACCTTGGATAGCGACTCAAACAATGTTGCATCGGGCTTCGCTTGGCTATGCGCTGCGATAAAGGTCTCTTCATACTCAATCAAAGAAGATTGCGCTGGAGTAATGATCTGGTCTGCAGAAGCTGCGAGGTAGCGCACAATAGCATTCGCTTGATGCAGCGATCTGTTTTCCTTTACGATTGAGAGTACGACAGTCTCTGTGCCTTCGCCTTCAGGGTCAGCTTGTCTTTAATGTTGAAAGAGTGGTACCAGAAGTGATGTCAACACGCGCATTGAAGGCCTGTTGAGCAATACAGACTTTGAGTGCGTCTGAGAAGAGCTGTGACGATGCATCTGCAGGTGGTAGCGTCACCTTGGCTGCGCTCATCTTGCAGGCAACTTGGTAGGATGTGGAGCTGAAGCTTTGTGGTTTGAGGTCGCAATCCAAAATTTATTCTCAAGCGCAAGGAAGGATTCAGGGACATTTGCTAGGATCAGGCATTCTAAAGGAAAGGCTACAGCTGGGGACATACGCAAATTGACATCTCTCACATGAGAGTCTCTGTACTGGTCTTTTCGAGGTCAAGCGATGACTTGCCAAGCTCAACAGGGCTCGGTGATCGAGGCGCCTTATCAAGGTCTTCTGGCATACTCGACTTGCGCGACCCAGTCCAGTACTGCTTGACGCCGTCCAGAAAGCTTGCTGCTGGAGTTCTTGGTGATCCAGGCACACTGTCGGGTCTGGAATTAGACAACAGACTGCGCAGATCATCCTTCAAATGCGCATTCTTGGTCCAATTTGCCTTGATGGCTTCGCGCAGCTCTTGAGCGTGCCTGCGGAAGTCCAACTCATGCTTCTTGAGCAGACTGACATTCAAATCGCGTCTATCCACACCACGAGACAAATTGCGAATGACATACTGGTCGTAGTTCTTGACAATCCGCGTAATGATGTCAGATGTCGATACTCCTTCTGTACGCTGAGTAGGCCAGAACTTGCCCATTCTGCGAAGCGGGTCATAGATGTCCTCTGAGTCCACTGATGCATACGGCAAATCATCATGCGCAACAAAGTCAATCTCGTGTTCTTCCACAAACTCCGTTGTGATGCACCAGGGCGCATCTTCAATCACCTCGTCGACCCACTTGCAATGCCTCAAGGTCTCTGCACGCTCCTTATCGGTCAAGACCGTCAACCCTTTACGAGCATGTGTCTCGCGGTCGTTGGGTAATCCAACAAGCAAGTAGGTATTTGGGAAAGCCTTCTTCGCTTGTTCCAATTGTCGCATATGCCTATCATTAGCTTCTTGTAGTAGCGTTGCATTGTTGCGCATACCCAAGGTGGAATAAGTCAAAGACGCCGTCTGCGTATACACGAACAGGACGATCGGTGGGTGGGTCATTAATGTGATACCATCGCTCTGCCTGCTCCGTCACTGGTCCATTATTCGGTGTAGCGTTTGTCACGTTCTGCACAGCCGCTTTGATTTCTTCATGGGTCGCTTGCTTGAGTCGCTTGCGGGCGCTTTCGTGGCCGTCATCGGAGAAATTGCTGGCAATGGTTGCTGTATCATCTGGAATGTCCTTGACGGATGATGCTGTGCTCTGCTTCTTGCGCTTTCCTTGGGCCGTCATGGTCAGGTAGTCTGTAGTTTATTCTGTGGTTTGTTTGTGCGTCACGGTTGAAGTTCAACTTTCAAGACGGCGACTCTCCATGGCCAGGGCGGAGTCTATGAACTGACAATTGATACAGCAGAGATGCCCTATATATCCCAGAAAAGCCTAAGAAACCTACAACTTCGACTTGGTCGGCTTGTGCATCTTCTCAGCAACCACACGTCGTTGAATCTTGCCGCTTCCAGTCTTGGGAATCGCATCTGTAAAGTAAATCACCTTTGGCACTTTGAACTTGGCAACCTTTTCAGTCATGAACGCCTGCAAGTCCTTCTCAGTGGCCTTCTGGCCATCCTTGAGAACCACAACAGCTGCCACTTCTTGACCATAAAAGTCCGATGGAATGCCAAATGCTACTGCTTCGCCAACGGCAGGATGGGAAAGCAATGCTCCATCTAGTTCAATCGGCGAAATCTTCTCTCCACCGCGGTTGATGAGTTCCTTGATGCGACCTGTGATGAAGACATAGCCTTCATTGTCAAGCTTACCTTGATCACCAGTCCTGAACCATCCCTCAGCCGTAAAAGATTCCTTGTTTGCCTTATCGTTATTCATGTAACCAGGTGTGACATTGGCTCCACGAATGGAAATCTCACCTTCCTGACCAACAGACAGTACTTTGCCAGCAAGATCCAGGATGGCAACTTCGACACCTTGGCCGATACCCACACTACCGGGTTTACGGGAAAGTGGCGGTAGTGGGTTACTTGTCATTTGATGCGCAGCTTCTGACATGGCATAGGCTTCAAGAACGGGAGCTTTGAATGTCTTTTCCAGCTCGTGCAGTGTTGAAGGTGCCAGGGCCGATGAACAACTGCGAATGAAGCGAATCTTGGGAAGTGTCTTTGGAAGCGCTGTTCGCAGCAAGATTTGATGCATAGTCGGTACAGCTGTGTACCAATTGGCCTTGTGCTCTGTAAAGTCACGCCAAAAGGTACCGGCTGAGAACTTGTCGGGAATAATGGCCGAGGCACCGGCTAGAAATGTGGCAAGGAGACCACAAAGTAGTCCATGGACATGGAAGAGGGGCATCACAAGCAATGTGCGGTCTTCAGGCGTCAACTTGTAGGTATTGACAATATTGGTCATGGTCCTCGTCAAGTTACGCTGCAGAAGAGGCACCGCTTTGGGACGGCCCGTGGTACCAGACGTGTGTACAACCAGGCCAATATCATCTCCATGGGGCTTGTTGATGGACTTCTTGCGACCCTCAAATTTGCCCTTTGTCTTCAAATCAACCTGAACATGTCGACCATCCCAGTATACCTCAGCAACTGCAACGCCAAACTTGTTGGCCGCCTGTACTGCAGCGTCGTCCTTTGCAACAAAGCCACGAGGAACCAAGACGAGCTTCGACTTCAAGTCGTCAATGTAAAATTCATACTCGGCCTTCTTGTATGCAGGATTGAGTGGTGCAGCGATACCACGTTGCGCACATGAACCCAAAAAGGCCACCGTGAACTCCAAACCATTCGGCAGGGCCATAGACACGGCGTCACCTTGACTGAGACCAATGTCAGCAACCTGCTGCTGAAAATCATCTACAACCGCTTGAAGTTGCTTGTAGGTGAATTGAGGGCCGCCATTCGGAATGATCACAGCTAGGCCATTTGCTGACTTGTCTGCTCCTTCTATTGGGTTAGCCGAATGAAATGAATAAACCTGTTTTACGCTTGAAGGCTTCCGCTAGTGTCTGTGCCATGGCGCTCTGTGATGACTAGTGTCGTTTCCAGCTACGTAGCGCGAGCCTCGCAAGTCGACAATTGCGGAGGCATAAAGAGCAGTCACAAAAATGGTATCGGAAATTGGCAAGCCGTGCAGCAGGCCATGAGACAAGAGATTTTCCTTCAAATAACAAGTTTGAATCCCTAGATCTAGATGCTGCCGTTGCCTCATTAAGTGAAATGCATAGTCACCATTTCACAAATTGTGGCGATGAAGCATTTTTCTTTTCGCTGCTATGAAAAGAGTCTAAAGAGGTTTAGGCGTCGGGGATGAAGCATATCCCCCTGTGCCACCTCCATGAAATGGGTTCGGCAGAAAGCTGGCAGACTAGGTGAACGCTTTTGGAAAGTTGTCGCCTGTCGAGCTGGTGTCTGAGTACCATTCCGGCTCCTGCTTGACCTGGACAAGGCCAACTTTTGGCGGTACGTCAAGCCTTTTGCATAGTACACGGTGCTCGTCTTGCGAAAGGAAGTCACAATCGCATTGCCACATGGGGTCTGTGCACCCTACGTTGTCTTGTTCGACCATTGCCACAGGCTCAGCTTGCCAGCCGAGAAGAGCGAGCTCACGAGCCATTCGCTCTGCTATGCTGATTACATCACATTGTAGCGGCGGAGCCAACTTCTCGCTTGTTTGAGTCTCTCGGTTAAGAACCTGGCCATCATAGCTGACAAAAAAAATGCGAGTCGAGCAAGCACATTGTTTGGTCAGTTGTGGCAGGGCTTTTCCTTTCCCTTTCTTATCTCCAGGTGGTTCGCCTGCCGAATGCGCTGTATTACACTGACCGGCCTTCTTTGCAGTATCAAGTGCACTTACCCAAGAAAATTGTTCGAAAAGCTTTTGGATAAGTGGGTCTAAAGTCCTGCTAAGGGGCAAGGCCTCTAGAACATGACCGGATGCTGAAAAGGTTGAAGATTGCGGCATACTGTCGAAAAAAGTCTTGATAGTGTTCATGACGACCTCGATGACGCTGCCGTCGAATCCTGCCGTTGCCATCCACACCCTCATGTAACATTGCCAAGAAGGCTCTCGTGGTCCCGGCGGTGCCGTAGCATCATGATGAAATTCAGCCGGGCAAAACCCACCTTTTCCCTGACAAATGAAGCCCAGGTCAATTATCTCGGGGCGGAGGCATACCGGGCGGCCTTCAACTTGACAGGCATCTTCTAGATACCAAGCCTGGGGGACCACGTCCCTGCTGAGTCGCCAGAATTCCGCGTCACATCTTGTCTGACAAGAATCGCCTTCGGGCACATTGCTGAGCATCTTGACCGCCCCAAGACTCATCACCTGACAAGCTTCAATCTTAGAAGACTCGTCTTGGTCATCCTTGGGATTGCCAACTTTTTGCTTTTTGAGACTGGGACCATCTTCGCCAGCTCCCGGAGAAGCGCAGGCTGCATAGAGAAGCGTGCCCAGCAGGAGAAACATCACTGCGAGTGGGAACGTGTTTGCTTTGACGACCATGTCGGTGGATGTTGTCGATGATGCAATGGTAGTGCGATTTTTTGCCTTGAAATACACCACAAAAGAGTGAGTGACCGATTTGACCAAGGTGAATGTCTGGTCAGGGGTGCTCTCTTTGTCCATAGTGCACAACTGCAGGCAGGCGTGGAATACGACCATTTGACTGCAAGTGCCCGCGTTTTATACCGCTAGTTGCAGCATTGCATGGGACCATTCGCTGCAGCACGCGAGTTGGCCGCTTGCATGCAATTTGACATTCGTGCCAAATTGATGAGACATGAACCCCAAAATGAGACCATGTGCTCAAATCCACAAGCGGCAGAAAGAAAGAGGCAATTGCATAAGGTACTTCATCATTCTCACAACATGCTCCATATTGCAGCATAATCCGGGGTGCGAAACGTAAAGGAGTAAGGGAGCAGTTTTTGGTCCTGTGCGCGTCGTCGTAGGAGCAAACTTTGAGCTCCGGAATGAGCTCGAGAGTAGATGTCAACGTGTTAGTAAGAGATCACCCTTAGAGCTAGCCATTGCGGCCTACGACTCCTTACGAGTACCACTGGCGCCAAGCGGATCGAGTGGAGTCTGGCACAAAAGGCACGTGTACCACCTCAGTAAAGCCCTCTCCCAACTCTGGCTCTTGATATGCTGATGCGAATGTGGAGAATGCTATTTGTGGAAGCAATTCACGCCTCTCTAGATCCTCAGAAGGTTGCCCAAGAGCTCTGTATGCATTATTGTGGTAGGCAATGATAAGTGGCGTATCCAGTACGAAACAGCGGATCGGTACTTGCAATGTTGTGCAAAGAGCAATCCATTCAGCGCGTGTTGACTTGGCAGGATTTGTATTGTCAACAAGCACATTCAGTCCTTGTTTCAGTGCCTCTGCTGCCGCAGATAGACAGCGAGGCCGGGTTTTGAGCGTGTCTTGATTGATGTGCACGTAGCCAAGTGGCTCAAAGTAGCGAAAGAAGAAGGTTGTCTTACCTCCAGCAGGTGGCGCCACCATGAGAACAAGTTCTTGCTTGTTTGATCCGATGATGACTGGCAACTCGTCAACTGCGGTGAATTTTGATATATCAAAGTCATTTTCTTTCGACCAGGTAAAGTCACGCTCAGGCATCTTGCAAAAGAATGCATCAGGTGTGTGGAATACTAGACCAGCATTATGAGCGAACTTGCGATCAGTGCAGCTAAAGTCGACCAGCAGCTTGCCTTGCGGGATCCTGCCAGCCGCATCTCCGACGAAGAAGGAGTGTTGCATATCAAGCGAGCGACCAGGATATTGATGATCAAGGAAATGCTGTAGCATGCCAGTATTCGGCTTTCGGAATCGATCCTTGCCCGTGGCTGCATAGCAAATGAGTGGAGTGGCCAGTGTCATCATGATGCCTCGAATCTTTTGCTTGAACTGCTCATAACGCTTTGCTCCATCTTTCAACACAATCCCATTCTGCTGTGAGCCATTTTGCTACAGTAGATGTCAAATACCTGATTGCTAAAGATGACAAGTGTATAGCCCTCTGCTGCAAGTTTAAGCAGGCGTGGTTTGACGCTCGAATCGAAGAACTTCCAATCAGATTCACTCTGAGAGAAGGTCTTTCCGGAGCGTGTTTTTATCAAGGTATCGTCTAGATCAAATGCTGCGAGCTTGATAGGATGTGTGGTGTCAGTTTGTGTTTGAGCAGACTTCTTGAATGTGCCGGTGAGGAGTGTGCCATCTAGTCGCCATACAGGTTCGATCTTGACTTTGTCTCTCAAGGGTGCAAAAAATGTGGATGCAGCAGATGGGACGGCAGCAGCAGCGTCTAAACAATGAGCGGATGAGAATGGAGAGGTAGAGCTGGCGTACCCGTCCGCTGCCTCTTGACACTGGGTGGCAAGGACATGGAGATACAGTGTCACTCGAGAGCTACAGTGTCACTCGAGAGCTATACAGACACAGCTCTAATCATGGTGCAGACCTGAGTGGGCGCAGAGAAGAGCAGAGTAGAGTAGAGTAGAGTAGAGTAGCATATAGAACTTGGGCGAGCTCATCTGATTGAGCCAGACACGTGCGAGGACGTCACATGCGCAACTCGCTCTCCCATCAGCTGCTGCTCCGTGCCAACAGCTCCAGAGACGTCCAAACCCTCTTCCTCTCTTCTCATCTGCATCTTCCATCGGCGGTCTCGTCCAATTGACCATCACCGACCCTTCATTTCATTGGCGCACCTCATCTGACGCATATCAGCTCTGCTCGAGCAACCTCTTTCAACCAACCCCTTCGCCAAGACAAATACGCGCTCACCTGAAGCACTTCATGAACCCTCTACAGGCAAAGAAAGTCGATATCAGTGTCTGTCCCCTCTGGAAAAGCGACGCGTTCTCTGGCTAACACAGAGCGCAGACACTCAATGAGGAGGAACGTAAACTTCTGAGTAAATATGGTAAACTACCACAGCGCAAGGATCTCCTCTCCAACAAGCTCAAGGTGCGCTTTTCAATTCTCTCTATTGAACGGCAGATACTGACTGATTCAGGAGCGCAAATACTTTGATTCTGGTGATTATGCCCTCTCACAAGCCGGCAAGGCTTCTGACGCTGGCATCACCCATGTCGGCAGTCAATTCCCATCACCAGAGACAATCCCACACTCGCCACATGCGTCACAGCAACATATGCCGCCTGGTACAGGTGCATTTACAGGTCCGGGAAGTAGCAGCCCGGTCAAGGAGAGCTCATTATTGAATGAGGATAGTGTGCCATCGCAAAGTACGGCAGCCAAAGCGATTGCCGCTGAAGAACAAGCGAAGCAGGCGCGGCAATAATTTTGGTGAGCTTTGTCTAAAGGGTCTCGACATCTGCATGAAATGCAGTGTCTAGTCGCATCTTTCTTCTTTTCATACGTTTCCTTCGAGCTTTGCTCTGATTTTTCCTTCGGGAAAAGCCGTATATAGCCAACGGATTGTTTTGCCAAGTCTGTACAACGATTCGATTATAGCTTCGCCTTGATCGGCTCTGTTGATGAAGCGTCTCCGTCAAAGAAGACGACCGTTACGCTAATGTCGTCCCGATATGATCGAGACAGCGGGTACGGCAGGGACAACAATCCCCAAAGCATGTCTTCGTTGCCTGCGCCCAGAGCATTCCTAATGATGTGTGTCGCGACATTCGTATCCTCATACACGAATTGCTTCTTGACCTGCTTACTCGCTCCAGGTGTCTTTTGACCAGCAGCCAACGCTGCATTTTGCTTGTCAAGATCAATTACTTGTGGGGCAGGTGTCTTTTGCGCTTGCAAGAAGGAAGGGACCCATGAAGACTTTGTCGCTGTAGGGCCAGTGGCAGCGGCACCCTGACGAGTCTGCCAACCAGCAACGAGCTCGCAAATCTCCGCATTCGACAACATCTCATACAACCCATCTGACCCCAACACCAAGAACGCCTCCGTCTCGATGATTGTCTGCGTCACTTCGGGTTTTGCAGTGACATACGGCGGTGATTTGAGATTCGCCGGTGCACGTCTTCCAAAGAACTGTGCCGCTAGTTTCGTTTGAACGTCTGCTGACCATTTATACCGTGCATCGCCAAATGCCCGACTCGGCTCAAGACCACCCAGAATACGACCATTTCGAACAACCGTGTCTATTTCCTGTGGGTGTTCACGACGAAGTCGTTCTTGCTCACTTGGTGTACTGCCCGTTTGATCAATACTGAGGGCTTTGACGCTATAAGCTCCGTTTGCTTGCCGTGTTCCTAGTATCGCACGTGAGTCACCCGTCACTGCGACATAGAGTGCTCGACAACTTGCATCATAGGAGGCCTGGGAAATTAGCAGTGCTTTTGCCTTGTATATTCAAGGCCCCACCAATAAGGCACAACTGCCGCTCAAGGCAGGCATAAGCTGCTCCACAGCTTTCGGTCGTGGCATGTCGAGTTGCTTCAACAGCTGCTCTGCAGTTGCATAGACAATTTCCTGATCAAGTGCAACAAATGCCTTTGAGATGGCTTCTGCTGGTGCGTTGGGTGTGCTGTCAATCGTCTGGATGATACTCGGCGCAAGTTCTCGTTTAAGTCGATCAGACGTCGTCCATCCGCTATGCCCGTCAAAGATGCCAAACAAACTCCACCCGTGTTGTGTTTGCACTTCTACATGATCATCTTCAATCGGACTATTTGAAGCGACTTGATTGAAACTGATACTACTGATACCAGAGCCTGCAATGCCTTTTTTGCAAGTCTCATTGGCACGTAACATCTTGCTTGCTTGTTCGGGTGTTGAGACAGCCATACGGTAATTTCGTGGATGTTCAGCGGTATCGGTTCGTTTAATGCTGTATGCTCGATTGTCTGTCGTTGGGCTTTCAAGCAAAACAGGACTAGCCAAGAGGTAGAAGGAAGCTGCACCGGCAGAAAAGACGGCAGCGCCTAGTAAGCGTGTGGATCGGGTGCGACGATGCGCTAAGGATGCGGAAGAAGCGAGCCGTGCGGTGATGGGAGCAGATGGCAGTATGTTGGATGTGAGGACATGCCTCATGCTAGTAGCAGCTATGCTCAGTAGTAGCAGTAGAGCAGTTCAAGTAAGCAGTACGAGTGGTCAAAGCAGGTCCTGAGCAGGGAGTCGGCGCTGCTGGTTGTTGTCTTATCTCGCGTTTGATTTCGAGTGAGCAGCAATCTGACGCAACACAGACAGCGCCAAAGAGACATCCAAGGCAACGCATACTCTGTCAGAGGCCTAGCTGTCTGATATTGACCAGGCAGGCAAGCACAAGAGGCCCGCCGCCACGACGCTCAGAAGCGACAGGCTCTCGGCCAAGAAACTCACTGCACTGCCAACGGCCTTCCATCACGCACAACGGCCTTCTTCATCACACCCGACCGTCTTCGAACCTGACGCAGGCCCTCGTCGGTGGCTATAGAGTCTCTCGATGGACGCTCTCACAACGCGGGCAAGTGCGCCGTCACCTAAAGCCCAACAAATCACCGTCCTCGGCAGTCGCACACCAGCTAAATTCCCTCATCACCAAGCGCCTTCCCCGCCAACGCACTATACGGGCTCTGGCAACTATACAGACACAGAGTGGCGTGAAGTTCAAGGCTGGGGACAAGTCAAGGAGACGCATGAAATCACAAAGATCACCGATGAGTTGGGACGCAAGATTATCAATAAGTATGAAGTGATCAAGGAAATCGGACGGGGTGTCCATGGCAAGGTGAAGCTAGCGCGGACCATGGACTCGAATGAGATGGTAGTATGTTCTTTTCTTTCGTTGAAACGGCCAGACTAATGACTCTAGGCGCTCAAGATATTGCCAAAGACGATGCGCGCACGGCTCGGGCGACCAGAGACCTCCACGACCCAGGAAGCTGTTGTACGTCGAGAAATTGCCATTCTCAAGAAGTGTGTGCATCCGCATGTCGTTCGGCTGCGTGAAGTCATTGATGATCCGCAAGCCGACAAAATCTATCTGGTCCTCGAGTACATGTGGGGCGGCGAGGTTATTTGGCGTAATGATGAGGATGAGCCAGTCCTCAAGCTGCACCAGGCAAGAAGCACATTTCGAGATACAGTCTTGGGCCTCGAATTCTGTAAGATTTCTTCAGTTGCCGACACTGCTAACAACAGTACATCATCAAGGCATCATTCATCGCGACATCAAGCCAGCGAATTTACTTTGGACCAAAAATCATTCGGTCAAAATATCAGACTTTGGTGTTTCTCACATTTCCAGTGCTGTAGATCAATCGACCACAGCCCTTGAGTTGGCCAAAACAGCGGGCACGCCTGCCTTCTTCGCACCGGAGCTCTGCTGGACAGGATCCGGTGAACGACCACCCATCACTAAGGCTATCGATATCTGGGCTCTCGGTGTCACATTGTACTGTCTACTCTGTGGCAAAGTCCCCTTTGAAGCGCAAAACGAATTTGAACTATTTGAACGCATCGTTGCCGACGAGGTGGAAATTCCAGAAGCTGTGGATTCCGATGCGCGTGACTTATTGCAGCGCATGTTGATCAAAGACCCAGCGAAACGCATCACAATCCCAGAAATCAAGCGGCATGCATTTGTTTTGAAGGGCGTCAAGGATCCAGATCACTGGATCTCCGTCACAAATCCAGGTCTCTTTGGTGTATTGGAAGTCAGCGAAACGGAAGTGCACGAAGCAGTATCGACTTTTGACGCATTCAAACGCCGTCTTGGTAAGCTTGGCAGTCGACTTGCAACAGGCTTACGCCGTCGCGCAAATACCGGACTGAGTTCAGCAAGTCTTTCCACAAATGATTTCGATAAAGTACGATCTAAGGAAGGCTCACTCATGACGACTAGCACGTCGACAGAATCGAAGCAAAGCGATGGACGCGGCTGGATGAGTCTCATGCGGAGGGAACAGAGCGGCAGCGTCAAGAAGAACCAGTCCTTTGAATCACTCGCTGCTGCTGCATCAGGCGCAAGCAATGCAGTCCGACCCATCAATGTACGTCGTCCATCACCGCGCGACTTGCACAGTCACAGCCATTTGACAAGGTCACAAGGCGATCGTGCAATTTTGGATGGACCGCATGTCGCGGAAACAGGTGTTCTTGCCGGCAATGGCGGCGTTTCACGGCATTTATCCCTGCATCGACTCAATGGCCATACAGCAGTCGATGAAAGTAGTCTTTTACGCAGTTCATCAGATCCTGCAGCGCGCATGATGGTTGGCCGATCCAAGGGCTTCTCTTCAGAACTCAGCACACCGATTGATGCGCACTTGCCAGTCTTGTCATTTGAGTCGGAAGGTGGGAGTGAGTCTGTGTATGATGAGGAGTCTGAAGATGAAGATGATGGCTTTTGCATTGACTTTGACAAGCGTCGCAAGCGAAACGATTGACGAAACGACACCTATTGTTTTGACTGCTGCAGCACTATTCTATTGTTTGAGCGAATCTGAAGCGCGGTTGTCGTAGTTTTAATGTAGGCTTCATTGCATAGACATACATTGAAGCATGTAGACTTACGATCATGAAGCACAAGTACACATTTAAAACTTTTACCAAAGGACGTCAAGAAAATTTACACACTGTATCCGACCTTCTCCTTCTCCTTCTCGACTTGCGGGCTATTGGCCGTTGCAAGATCTTGATTCACATCAATTCCCTCCGGACCATCTGCCCTTGAGTACAGCTTATACTCGCCGGCCTTCATTACCCTCGTTTTGCCACTCTCGACTTCCTTTCTTGTGATGTTTTCGCGAATCGCAGGAAGTCCCATCGTCAACAAGAATTGAACACCATCTGTCCATTCTTGCTCTCGACGCGCCTTGGACCACGATAGTTCCTCCGTCATGATATCAATCACACGCGGTAGAACCTCCAAGGACGCTTGTGCATTCAAAAATGCAAGTCGTGTCCGCCGAGCAAGGACATCCATAGCAGATTGCGCATACTCATGACGCACAGCATATCGAATTTCTGCCTCGTCAAACGGATACGACGTTGACAATCGTTTCCCCCTGATTGGCCAACGTGCTTCAGTTTGCTCAGCGAGTGACGCGACAACAAAGGCACGGTCACCATAGGATTCACACAAGTGTTTTGCAACATCGGTTTCCAAGCCAAATTGTTGGACCAAGTTGATGTAGAGCAGTGGGTGCCAGTACTCTGCACCAATCAAGCGCACGTTTTCACTAACGCAGTGGTCCAATTTCGGTTGGAGAGAGTATTCGCTGATGGCAGTGTCAATGGTCTCTTCTGCCATTTGTCGGTAAGTAGTCCATTTGCCACCGGCAATGGTGAGTAGACCAGAAGGTGACACATTGATCATATGGTTGCGCACAAGGGATTCTGTGTTTTTGGCTGCTGGATCACGCACAAGCGGACGAATACCCGACCAAGCGGCCAAGACATCGCCTCGACGAATCTCAACGGTGGGCTTCAGGTAGTTGCGACATTCAGAAAGGATCCAATCGATTTCTTCCTCCTTCGGAAGTGGATTTGCCATGACTTTTGTGGGGGCATCGGTTGTTCCGGCAATGGTGTTGCCTTGCCAGGGTAAAAAGAAAATGACTCTGCCGTCTGAGGTGTTGGGATCTAGCAAGCCCATGGACTCTGGTGCAAAGTATCCTGGCAAAATGATGTGGGTGCCTGAACTAGGAGCGACAATTTCATCGACACTCTGGTCGTCCATCTTGCGTAATGCATCTGTGAAGGGACCAGTTGCGTTGATGATGCCTTTAGCCTTAATGTCGTAACTCTCACCGGTAATCAAATCCTTGACGCGTACTCCATTCAATCGCTTGCCAGATGCATCCTTGCTGAGACTCGTGACTTCAGTGTGGTTGACGACATCTGCACCTTGGTCAATTGCAGTGACGGCCAAACCGACATTCATGCGGGAATCGTTGTGCTGACCATCAAAGTAGACGAGAGCACCAACCAAGTTATCTGCCTTGAGCATAGGGAATGTTGACTTTGCGCGAGACTTGGTCATGTAGTAGGAACTGCTCATATTCTCAGAACCAGCCAGGAAATCGTACATCTTGGTACCGGCCCAGAAATAAGGTGCCTGCCACCACTTGTAGATGGGAATCATGATGGGCAACTCAAATGAGAGATGCGGGGCGATATGTAAGAAAGCCTTGCGTTCGTGCAATGCTTCCTTGACGAGCTTGTATTGGTCATAATCGAGTTCCTTGAATGCCTTTTCGAGGTACCTCACACCGCCGTGCACTAGTTTTGTACTCCGTGACGAGGTGCCCGATGCAAAGTCATCACGCTCGACCAATGCGACCTTGAGGCCGCGTGACGCAGCATCCACGGCACAACCTGTTCCTGTCGCACCGCCGCCAACGATAATTAAATCATACTCGTCGCCGGATCTAAGCTTATTGACCATGACATTGCGTGAAGGGAGCTGCTTAAAGGCAGTGTAGTCAAAGGCCGCTGGCTGCTCTGCATGCAGCGGGTCGCGATGACGCAATGCATAATAGCCGCCTGCGCCGAGTGCGAGGGCTGCTGTGGATGTGCCTGCGAGCTGCCTGGCGGAGAGTGTCCTAAACATGTTTGCCTTGTATCAATGCTCTCGCTCTATGGGTATGAATGGGTCGAGAGGTGGATCTGATGGGATTTGGGGATGCGGCCTCTCCTAAGCGCCCTTGAGTGTTTCCGTTGCCGCCCTCGCGCTGCAAATCTCGAACAAACTCAAAGCGCCTGGAAGTGAAATTGTTCCGCAGCCCCGGAGAAACAGGAAATGGCGAGATGGGACGGCAGCAGCATCCACTGAGCGACAGTAAGGAGGCACTCTGGCTCATCTCACTCATCCCGCAGCTGAGAAGGGACTGTCCTTGGCTTGCGCTGAGTGCCAAGTACCCCTCCAGCAAAGACCGGCGCAGGAGACCCGATCGCACCAGGGGCAGAAGACCGCCACCCAGCAGGCTTCATCGGCGACCGACCACGACGCACAGGACTCTGCAGAGCACTCATACCTTTCGCAGGAGAAGAAATCCCAGACAATTGGGGCTGTTGACGCCAAAGCACAGGAGTTGATGGCAAGTCACCACCCGTAGTCTGTTCCCAATCATGCATCCTGACCATACTTGCGCTCTTCGGGATCCCACGTTCCCTGCGACTGTCCAAAATGCCAACCTTCGGAGTATGCACTTCCACATAAACGCCCTGCTCATCTGGTGACGTGCCGCAGCCAACATCGCGCTTCATAATGTTGAGGCGTGGTTCAACAAACGTGCGATCATACTCGCTAAAGACATGGCCATATAGACGCTGCTTGTGCTGAACATGCTGCATGAACAGATGAAGTGCGCCGAGGAGCGTGGCAGATAGTGCGAGCAGTGTGAAGAGCAGATAGGGTGACAGACAGAGCTGCCATGTAATGAAGAGATGAAGCGGACTCAAGATGCTGAAGAGACGCAGCGACGGCAGCGATGGCTCCCAGATCACCATTGCTTTCGCTGCAGATGAACTGGGTCGATCATCCGGTGATCCAGGCAAGCTTACAGCAGCGGGTGCTTGCACATGATATGTCCGCCGCCGAGAAAGCAGGTAGTAAACATTGAGGAAGCTTGCAAGCGTCATGAAGAACAGAGTCGTCGATGCCTCGTCATTAGCTTTGTCCAAGAGATCGAGCATCACATACCCACCGAGTCACCCATCTTGTCGGCATAGCTGAACCCCCACCACGACTCTCAAACACCACGTCTGGACTTGATTGAGACATGAAGACTCGATAGCAACACAACCAGTACACAAGGTTCAAAACTACACCCATCGGCACCACCCAAGTTCGTGAGACCTCGTCAAGGTCAACCACCTCGAATCGTTCATGCAGCGCAAGCAACGCATCCTTGGCGTGTGACTGAATCGTCGGCTGCCGATGTCGGACGATCCTGGGCATGACTGAATAGCTTATTCGCTGCTCAGCGACAATGACGCCGACCTGGCGCGTGCATGTGTTGACGGGCGCTGCGCCGCTGCCAAACAAGTCTCGTCGCGATGTTTTTGATGCAGCGTACGCCGAGATGGGCTGCCAATATTTGACGGTGGTGATCTTGGATATAAATGCCTATAGCTAAGTCAAGCGACTATAAAAGGGCTCCTACATCCGATATGACATACCAGATGACTCAGGCGACTGTTAGCGAAAGGCCTCTGGTGGCCGATCGGACTTATCAGATGTTCCAGGCGGAGAGGAACTAGTGCTTGCCCCATCGTCTGGTATGGGCTTGCAAAATCGTACCGGGGTATGTGGATTGAGGAGGTCTTCGAAAAGGAAATCACAATCGCAAACCTGGCGAGGGTCGAAGCAATACACGTTTTCTTGCAACACTTGTGACTCCTTTGGCATCCATCCGAGTGTGGCAAAGCGTTTTGTGATAGTATCAACTTCACAAGGATCTTCAAGGCCAAGTTTTACATCCTCAGGGTCCAGACTATTAGTGAAGGTGACCATAACCAAATCAACCTTACACTGGCATTGCAGGGCTGTCGGAGCACGACTTCGCAGCTCCCCGTGTTTTTGACCGCATTTCTCATTGACAGAATTAAACAGTTGACGCAGGCGTGACTGTGCGGCCTCCACAAGCGACTTCGTACTTCCTGCTGCTGGACCCCACGTCCATTTTGGATTCGGCAGTCCAAGCGAATTGGCGAAGCCAGACCACATCGATTTTGCTGGCCTCCATGTGTATTCACGTGGCTCGCACATCCAGGCTCTTTCTACCTCTTGCCATGTTTCAGATTGACACCCTGGGCAAGCCTCGAGAGCAGGAGTTTCTCCAAGTGAATCGCCTCTAAATCAGTAGCAGGTTGGGCGCACGCCAGTTTGACAGAAGTCTTGATCCTTGTTGACGGTCATGTACAATGTATCTGCCTTGCCCTGGCATAACTGCTCGCATGAGACCGAGTCCAAGGGCACTATTGCCACGTTGTAGAGTTGCACATAGAGAACACGTCAGAGTCCGTCCTTCTGAACTTTTTCGGTAGCAGGAACGGTGAGATCATTTTGGTGGGAGAGATCTGGCGTGTGTAGGCCTTGATTGTTTCCAACATCATGGATACCATTGCCAATGTCATCTCCAGACGAGTCCCCTCCGCCGGCGAATCCCGAGTAGCTGTACCCCGGAACCTTTCCGAATGCATGGGGACCAAATGTCGCGAAACCTGCCATGGTCAAGAAGACTGTGGATATGACACACTGCAGATGCATTTGGCAAGCGGATGATGACCACGCAGAACCACGCCTGTTTTGTGATGTGATTGTAATGAGGACGATGGCTTAGGCAAACGTGTCAAATTACCCCCGCTATGCTGGCACCCCTGTTTATGCAGCTGTTTGAGCAGGAGGCAAAATCTGCTTGATATTGATCGAACACTTTGCAGAGTCTCTGGACAAAGAATCTTACTTCCGTCATATGGCCATGAGTAACAGCTTCTTGGAGGCTGACCAAGTTTGATTACGATGGGTTCAGTAATTGAGGCTTTTCCAATAGTTCATTTCTCCTCCTGAATTCAGGAGGCTAAGTGATGCTGACTCCGATAGTGATATGCTTGCAGAGTACTTCCTCCTGTAGGCAAAATGCATCATTGCCTGGCTCAGAGACAGGATGTCAGGCCACACTCGGCGAGGTTCAGGTGCGATGGCTTTGTAGCTGTCAACCTCTTCCTATGAGACTTGGTCTTGATAGTCATTAAGGAGCTGACTGATGTCACCTCGAGCTTGTGCTCAGGCATCTGGGAGCACCTGATCATCCCTTGAAGCTGAATCGAGGCATGAGACAGGAGTGAGCACTCGAGCCAACTTGTACATAGATTCGTGCTGCAAAATCGCCCTTCATGCAGGAAGCATAGACAACACGAGCTGCAAACAACGCTACCAGACTAGATGCAGCCTTTCGCTGCAATTGGACGATGTCGACCTCGGGATGTCTGCAAGCGCGAGTAATCAGCGACGAGATGGCTTGTCAAATATGAAAAGTGGCGATCACTATTCTGCTCTATAGCTAGTACAGAGCCTACGTGGATGAATGGCGAACACTAGAAGAAGCGTGCAGATACCTTGAGACGCTCGCTGAAGTCTTTGAAGTTGTAATCATTTGTCGTGATGGCAACCATAAAGAGGTCGACCATCCATTTGCATTGCTGAATCGTGGTAGCTTGCTCTAAATTTTTGTGCTCGCTTTGACCACAAGCTCGGTTGACGTCTTCAATGAGTTGCCGGCGTGAGTCGAGTCCACAAGTCTTGGCCAAATGCTGCAAATGTAATTCGATACCTTCAAGAGCTTGGGGGAATGGAAATATACAGCCCATTTGCACTCCCAAGAATCTTGCAGTCCAGCATATGCAGTGGCCTGACAAGATTCGCAAGACGATAACCCAAAGGGGGTTTGCCGAGTAGGTGAATACTGGCATAGAAGCATGAGCCGCGCGAGCGTGCTTTGCAGGAATACCCAGGATAGTCATTGACGGCGTAGTCCAAGGCTATCGCCCCCGCCTTACATGTCTGCTCACAGGTCAGAGGAGAAGCTGGCCGCAGACTGAAGAACCTCGTGAGCTTCAAGTGGAGAATTTTGCAAGTTTGGTCGTCGCTCCAAACTTGTTCGCCAGGGTCATTTGGATCGTTGTAGGATTTCAATGCTTGATTGAAAGGGTCGTACTCCTCGAATTCACAAAAGTCATCGAGCTTATCATCACAAGAAGAGCCATGTTCTGAGCTGAATGATTGCATTGCATTTGATGAGCTATTGTCACATCATTGTCGTGACTCGCCGGTCGCTGTTCAAAGCCATTTTCCGCATTCAAAGCATCTTCCCATCTGGCAACCCGTTCTAGTATGGCCTGAAGCTCTCCTGGGTCGTTCATCGTCGCTTTCACAATCGCCTGTAGCTCTGCGTCGATTGCAAGATCTCCATCGGGTGGAAGAACACCAGCTTCAACAAGGCCATCAAGGTCATTGAGCATTTTCGTATCGCTTCGACGCCAAAGCCATCCGAGGTCTGCAGACACCAGGGGTCCCGTTGACGCAAAAAAGAGAGTTTCACTGCTAGAAACGCTGCGGAAAATCCGATTTGCAGAAGCATTTGAAGGTGAGTGTTAATCAGGAAGAATGAGACCTGTCCTTATTCAAGACGAGGGCTCGACAAGATCTGCATCTTGCTTCCATCATGCTGAACCCTCGTGACGTACAGCTTATGAGGCAAGAGGTAGACTTGTTGACAGAGATGCAAACGCTTTGCAGCTTTTCCCTGGCAAGCATATTCCACGAAGATTTCAGACGATCCTCTGCATGACTAAATGACTTACTCGCTGCTCAGCGACATTTACGCCGACCTGGCGCGTGCATGTGTTGACGGGCGCTGCGCCGCTGCCAAACAAGTCTCGTCGCGATGATTTTGGAGCAGCGTACGCCGAGATGGGCTGCCAATATTTGACGATGGTGATCTTGGATATAAATGCCTATAGTCAAGTCAGGCGACCTCGGCGAGCTTGCGAATGATAAAACGTCTATAGCTTAGTCAGGCGTCTATGGATTGGCTGCGGCATCCAATACGGAATACCAGATGAGTCAGGCGGCTATCAATGAAAGGCCTCTGGTGACCGATACGACATAGCAGATGGATCGAACCAAGAGGAACTAGTGCTTGCGCCATCGTCTGGCCTTGGCTTACAAAATTGTAAGGGAGCATCTGGCTCAGAGCCGACTTGCTGAAGGAAAGAACAGTCGCAAACCTGGCGAGGGTCGGTGCAATACACATTCTCTTGCAATACTCTTGACTCCTCTGGCACCCATCCTTGTATGGCAAAGCGTTCTTTGATATCCTTGACATCACAAAGGTTACTGGATGTCCGATTCGAGACTCTGTTCCGAGAATCAGTGTAGGTGACCATAACCAACTTGGCCCTACAACTGCATTGTTTGATGTTCGAAACACTTTGCAACCAGTGTGCTGGACCGCATCTCTTATAGACTGTTTCAAACAGATCACTCAGACGTGACATTGCGGCGAACACAAGCGACGTCGCACCTCCTGATGATTGACCCCACTCCTCTCCTGGTCCTGACAGTCCAAGCCAATGGGCAAAGTCAGACCTTGTTGGCGACCATGAGTAGCCATGTGGCCCACACATCCAGGCTTTCTGTACCTCTTCCCATGTATTATCTTGACAATCTGTGCAAGCCATTAATTCAAGAGTGGGTTCAACCGACTTGCCATCCGATTCAAGGCAAATTTCGCGCACGCCAGTATGACACCACTCGTTTGGCACACTGTTGATGGCGAGGTACAATGCATCTGCCCTAGCCTGGCATACAGTTTTGCATGAGCCCATGTACGGAGGCAGTAATGCCATGGAAATGAGTTGCAAAGAAAGTACACGGCAGGTTTTGTCGATCTGATCTTCTTCGGAAGCAGAGTCGGCGAGACCATCTGAATCGCGGTCCTCTGCTTCTTGGTCAGAGAGGTGTCGTGCCTCTACCTCTTGCTCATAGTTATAGTCATAGTCATATCCATACTCATACTCATGCTCATATTCATCCTCATCCTGAGCAATCTGATCCGCTATTGCATGGAGCATTGCTGGGTCGTTCATTGCTGCTTCTTGCGCTTGTAGGTCTTCATTGATTCCCAGATCATTAACACCATTGGCAATGTCATCAATCTCATCCAACGATCCCGCGACTCTGGGAAATTCCAAGTCGCTCTGCTCCGGAATCCTAGCGAATGCATGGGGACCAAATGTCGCGAAACCTGCCATGGTCAAGAAGACTGTGGATAAGACACACTGCAGATGCATTTGACAAGCAGATGATGGCCACGCAGAATAACGCCTATTTTTGATTGTAATGAGGACGAGGGCTCAGGCGAAATGAGTAAAATGACTCCCGCTAGGCTGGCACCCCTGTTTATGCAGCTGTTTAAACAGGAGGCTCAGTCCGCTTGACATCAATTGAGTACTTTGCAGAAGTTCTGGACATATAATCTTACTTCCGCCGTATGGACAGCAGCTTCTTGGAGGCTGACCAAGTTTGAGTATGATGAGTTCAGTATTGAAGCTTTTTCAATAGTTCATTTCCCCTCCTGAAGTCAGGAGACTAAGTGATGCTGACTCCAATAGTGATATGCTTGCAGAGTACTTCCTCCTGTAGTCAAAATGCACCATTGCTTGGCTCAGAGACAGGATGTCAGGCCACACTCGGCGAAGTTCAGGTTCGATGGCTTTGTAGCTGTCGACCTCCTCCTATGAGACTCGGTCATGATAGTCATGAAGGAGCTGACTGATGTCACCTCGAGCTTGGGAGCACCTGATCATCCCTTGAAACTAAATCGAGGCATGAGACAGGAGTGAGCACTTGAGGCGACTTGTACATAGGTCCATCTGCAGTTTCACACTTCATGCAGGAAGCATAGACAGCGCGAGCTGCAAACAACGCTACCATACCAGATGCAGCCTTTCGCTGCAACTGGACGATGTCGACCTCGGGATGTCTGCAAGCGCGAGTAATCATCGACGAGATGGCTTGTCAAATGTGAAAAGTGGTGACTCAATTCTGCTCTATCACTGCGCCTACGCAGATGAATGGCGAGTGTGTAAAGAGGGTACAGATCCCTTGAACCGCTTACGGGGTGGCTCGGGACTGGTACTTGCCCCATCATCTGACATCAGCCGGCAAAGTGTCAAGGCAGCTTTAGACTCCGAGGAGGTTCGCATGAGATTGTCACAGTCGCAAACATGGTAAGGATCAGTGCAATGCACTGACTCTGGCAACACTCCTAACTCCTCCGTGAGCCATTGATGAATTCGGAGGCGCTGGCTAATGTCTTTGACGTTGCAAACTCTTGACGAGAGGGCAACCATCAAGAAGCCAACCGTACACATGCATTGCTGAACTATCGTAGGCTGCTCCGAGATTTTGTACTCATTTTGACGACAAGCTTGATTGAAGTTTTCAATGAATTGCCGGAGACGAGACTGTGCTTCGAACAAGAGTCCACGCTTTTTGAACCGTAAGTCGAGTCCAAAAATCCTGGCAAAGTGCTGAAAACGTAATGCGATGGATGCCCTTAGAAATTTGGACTGGAAATATACAGCCCATTGACACTCCCAAGAATTTTGCAGTGCGGTTTGTGTATCGGCCTGACAAGAGTCGCAAGACGTGAATCCAAGAGGGCTGCCGAGTACTTTGCTATTGGCATAGGAGCATCTGCCGCACGAGCGTGGTTTTCAGGTATACCCAGAATAGTCATTGACGACGTAGTCCAAGGCCATCGCCCCCGCTTTATATGTCTGCTCACACGTCAGTGGAGAAGCTGGCTGCAAAATGAAGAACCGCGTGAGCTTCAAGTGGAGAATCTTGCAAGTTTGGTCGTCGCTCGGACTTTGTTCGCCAGGGTCATCTGGATCGTTGTATAAATCCAGTGCTTCACTGAAAGGGTCGTACTCCTCGTTAGCCCAAGAATCATCGAACTTCTCATCAGAAGCAAGGTCATGTTCTGAGCTGGATGATTGCATTTGATGAGCTATTGTCACATCATTTTCGTAGTCCGCCGGTCGCTGTCCAAAGCCGTTACCTGCATTGAAAGCATCTTCCCACCTGGCAGCCTGTTTTAGTATGGCCTGACGCTCTTGGGTCGGTCATTGTTGCTTCCACCACCGCCTGCAGCTCTGCGTCGGTTGCAAGATCTCCATTGGTTGGAAGGTAACAAAGTTCAACAAAGCCATCAGGGTCAATGAGCTCTTCCGTATCGCTTTGACGCAATGGCCACCCGAGGTCTGCAGGCATAAGGGGCCCCATTTCCGCAAAAGTCAAGAGCTTCATCGCTAAAACGCTGTGGCAACAGCAATTTGCAAAAGCATTTGAAGACGAGTGTTGCTCAGAAAAAATGACACCTGTCCTCGTTCACGATGAGGGCTCATGGAAAAATTGCGACATGCTTCCGCCATGCTGAACCCTGGTGAGGAGTAGCTGGTGAAGCAGAAGGTAGACTTGATCCCAGTGATGCAAACGCTTTGCGGCTTTTCCCTGTCAACAATATTCCGCGAAGACCGAAGTGAGCACGGCAGCCTCTTGTACATTCATCGTAGCTGATTGGCCAGGTGCAGCTGACGTCGCAAGACGTCGACGTCGAAGCGCGATTGGAGCTACTAAGGCGATGGCACAGCAGTTTCTACGCAGCCTCTATCGCTCACATCAATGTGCCAATGAGTGAGGGCGCCAGTGTAAGCCGTACTGACCCTAAACGAAGACTGAGTCATTCCACCAGCCATACAACTGATAGCCTAGCAGTAGAGAAGCTATCGTCGAGTCTGGATGTCTCAGCCGTGAGCGTCCTCTGCCAGACCAGGTGCATTAACACGTACAAGCAGTTGTCGTTGTAGGTTGCAGAACAGACGACAACGAGATGGCGAAGAGTCGAAGACACACTCAAACACACAAGCAAGCAAAGCACAAGCCATGAACAACGAAGGAGAAGGTCGTGCTGCTCCATTGAGCACTACACATGTTGTCGTACAAGCAGGAGGTCAACTCTATCTCAACTGCCACTTCTATGACCGTATGTCACCAACAAGACTTAGAGACCATGACTGACCTTTTGCAAGGTCGACCTCCAGACGAGACAACTATCGTACCAGCCGAGACACGACCTGAGGAGACGGTAGACCACCTTGAGAGAACTGTCGAGTCGCTTGCACCCGCTGTGCCAGATTCCCAGAGGGCAACAGCTGCGCGAACGCTCGGTCATGCCGTGGAGTATGAGATTACAGACAGGATGCCGTTTGCCACGCGTGTTGCACAAAGCGCTCATCCTCCAGTTCAGTCAGCGTCACCAGCGCCACCCTCTAAGAGTCGTCACCGACGTCGCAACAGGGACAAGCTTGCAGTCGAACCAGCTCAAGGGAAGGACACGACGATGCTAGATCTCGAGACTGCCGTGGCGACACTCTCCATTCCTTGTACAGCTTCAGCTCAAGTCATTCAGCCGAGCTTGAGTGCTGCTGAAGAAGATGCACCTGTGCGCGAGAAGCCTGTCCGCCGCGTGCGTGTCAAGCCAGAACCTGAAGAGGCCACGCTTCTGCACGCGCCTCAAGCAAGACGCTCGGTGCGACAGCAAATCAAACAAGAGCCGGGCAATCCTCTTATTCTCTGATGCGACACCAAATCTGGCGCGACGTCGAAGTCTCCTTTCTCTTCTTTGCACTAGCCTTATGATCACTCTGTCTTTCATCATTGACCATATTCGATGCTGCAGCATAGAAATGTAAGCCGAAACCGTACAACGGTGGACTGATGCTTTTGAGCTACTAGATGAAGGTCATGATGAATCACAATCAAAGCTTCGCCTTGAGGTTCTCTCCAAGCATGGCATCAAGCTGCTCAATCGCCTTGGGCGTTGTACGAAAGTCGACTTGAATTGTCCTGATGCCTTCCTTCTTTGCAGCCTTCAAATTGGCACCTTTTGTTAGCGAAACCCACTAGCATGGATACATACCAATGTCATCAAGAAAGACGACTTGATTAGCAGGCAAGTCTAGACGCTGCAGCAATAGCTGATAGATACGCGGGTCTGGCTTCCTGAGCTTGACTTGCACACTGCCGACGATCCCATCAAACAATGGATGCAGCATACCATCTGTCTTTGTCGTGATGGGAAAGTTGTTGGTCAAGGCCCAAACTTTGTACTTTCCTGTAGCCTTGAGCTGCCGAATATAAGCAATCAATGGCTCATTCGGCGTACTGGTTGCATCAAGCATGCGAGTGAAGAGCGTCTCACCATCGACAACAGGCGCTTTTGTACGCTTTGTTTCTGGAAATTGCTTCAAGTACGCTTCGTAACCCTCAGGATCCGACAAATGCTCGCCAAACAGCTTGTAGAAATTGGCATCGACCGCTTCAATGGCTCCCATCTCGAGTCGATTCATGGGGCTCGGGGACTTCCACTTTGCAATCATGAAATTGAGGTAATTATGCGGCAGGCCGTGTTCTTTTTCATAGGCATTGATGGCATGTAAGGGCGATGCGACACAAACGCCGCCGAGGTCGAATACGACTGCTTTGATGGACATTGAAGGATTAGAAATGCTTGATCTTGTTGGGTGGTGAAACTGCGGAGAAGGATTGATGGTTGCGCCGAGAGAACAATCGACAGCAGCACAACGCCACGCAATCCTCAAAGGATTCTGACTTGCTTTGTCGGATAAGGCCAGCTAGCTATAAGGTTGCCATCCTGCTGTACTCTCTCTCTACTACCTATTTGATAAAATGCTAAAGCCAAGCACGCTGTTAGTCAATTTAGCTCGACAGCAGGCACCAACCTTCAGGCGCTGCTACACGCGCGAAGCCAGTCGGCCTACACGGAGCACCGTCTTCCGCACAGGTGGCCGTGCCAATAGCATCATTGTCTTTGTACCCCAGCAATCCGCATATATCGTCGAGCGATTCGGCAAATATTCACGCACACTTGCGCCTGGTCTTGCTTTTCTCTGGCCTGTTATTGATAAGATACCGTATGCAAAGAGTTTGAAGGAGGTTGCGTTGGAGGTACCTTTGCAGTCTGCTATTACTCTGGACAATGTCACGCTCGATATCGATGGTGTGCTTTACTACCGAGTCGTCGATCCCTTTAAAGCGTCGTATGGCGTGGAAGACGCCGAGTACGCCGTGACACAACTCGCACAAACCACTATGCGCTCCGAAATTGGTCAATTGACACTCGACAATTGTCTTCGCGAACGTGCTAGTCTCAATCATCACATCTCCACAGCCATTAACAGTGCGGCTGAAGCATGGGGTGTTGAATGCTTGCGTTATGAGATTCGCGATATTCATCCACCAAAGAATGTGCTGCTTGCCATGCACCGACAAGTCTCTGCTGAACGTTCGAAACGTGCCGAGATCCTTGAATCAGAGGGACAACGACAGTCTGCCATCAATATCGCTGAGGGACAGAAGCAGAGTGCGATCCTTGCTTCTGAGGCTGAAAAGGCACGTACGGTGAATGTTGCTGCTGGTAATGCCGAGTCTGTGATTCTTGCTGCTGAAGCATCGGCCAAGGGACTCAAGGCCATTGCAGAGACGATCCAAGCACAAGGAAAAAGTGGACAGGATGCATTGGCACTCAAAGTTGCAGAGCAGTATGTACACGCTTATGGTCAGCTGGCACAGAAGGGCACCTCTGTCGTTATTGGCGGCGGTCTGAATGACTTGAGTGGTGCGATTGCTTCTGCCATGTCCATCTACAGGACTGTCAGCACTGCTAGATCCGAGCAACCGGTGCATGAGCGTACACAAGAGCAGCCGAATCGCGTCAAGGAACGTGTTGACCGGGAAATGGCCGAGCTTGAGCAAAAGTCTGAGAAGGAGCTCACTGAGCGCGTTTAATCTATCCACTAGTCTTAGCATCACTCCCCTCAATCACTCGGTGATGCAAAAACATCTATCCTGATCGAGCACCCTCCAACGCCTCGCTGTGAATCTCCCTAAGGACACCTGTTTGTGCCACTTGACCAAGCCCAATGGCCTTGGCAATATCCGTCATGCGGCCAATCTTGCCCTTTGTGCTCTTATAGTAGGAGACGCGTGTTGCCTTGACCTTGACAATCGCCATACGAGGATCATCCGCTGCGCCCGTGTATGGGCCTTCAGACTCTGAGCCAAACCAAGCAAGAACAATGGGTGAGTAGATTTCGCGAATCTTGGTCTCGTCTTGTGAGATAGTAGCCTTACCAGACACGGAGATCCACGACATGGAGGAGGCATCAAAGAAGGTGACATTCACCTTGTCGTCTTGTTCAATGTCGCGCATCTTTTGTGAATGGATATTGGCGAGGTAGAGAAAATCAGGACCTTCGCGCTTCGAGACGGCCATGGCGCGTGTTACAATGTTGCCACTTCGTACGGTACCAAGCATAGAGATGCGGGTGTTGTCTGCAAGCTCGTAAAACTCTTTGATTTGCTCAGAAACGGGTGTCTCATTGTCGTACTGCTTTGTGACGGATACATCTTCCTTGAGCTCGTGGTGCTTGAGCGGTTCGGAGCATGCGAGTCTGGTCGTAGCGAATGGCCGTACAGAGAGTCCTGTAGCTGGAACTCTGAGAGCCAGGCAGCTTTTGCGAAACATGATTTTGTCGAGTCAAGTCGCTTTTCTGAATCTAAATTTTGGTCTGGGGTCATGACGTACGGGTCTGTACAAGAACAAAGTATGGTTACAGACTTACGATCACTCGTCGTACTTGAAGCGTACATAGTGTGCAGGGCACTCATAGCCACCTGGGTTGTGGTGCAGGTACTCTTGATGATAGTCTTCAGCAGAATACCACTTGAACTGCCTTCCATCTGCAATCTGCGTCGTAATCTTGCCGCTCTTGAAGTGCTTCTCCTGGACTTCAGCCGTGACCTTGTCAGAAATCTCCTTTTGTTCATCGCTCAGGTAAAAGATGGCACTGCGATATTGGGTACCACGATCACCACCTTGCCTGTTGAGTGTGGTCGGGTCATGCATCGCGTAATGGAACTTGCACAGCGTGGCATATGATACGCGTGATGGATCAAATGTTACTTTGAGAGACTCTGCATGGTCTGTTGAGCCAGTGCAAACTTGTCGGTAGGAAGGCTGATCTGTTTTGCCACCAATGTAGCCCACTTCCGCCTTGAGCAGGCCTTTGTCTGCGAAATGCTTGCGGAAGAGATGCTCTGTGCCCTGCAGTATTAGCAACGTATAAACAAGCGTAGAGGCATACCCAGAAGCAACCATTGGCAAAGATGGCGACTTGGCTTGAATCACCGGCGGTGGCTGTAGGAACAATACCTGCGGCGCTTGTGGATGAGAATGAGCGGGCCATGTTTTTGAAGAAGCTGGTCATGATGTAGAGAGTGGATGCCCCGAGGAGACTTGTGTAGATGCGGCGAATGGTGAGCTGTAGCCTGTAGGTGATGGTAGTGGCGGTCTCTGAGGCGAATTTCGAATTTCTGGAAGGATCGAGCAGCAGCCAGAAAAGACGAGCAACCACCAGCAGTGTCCAGCAACTGCTGCTACACAAAGAACAGGCATAAGAACCGCCTCTCCCATGAATACGCTCCTCATCACATACCCAATCTACTGATGGCAAATCTACAATTCACAAATAAGGCTGAGCAAGTGCTCGGCCAAGCTCAGAAGCTCGCTGCAGACTACAGCCACCCTCAAATTGATACTGTGCATCTTGCCTGTGCGCTCCTCTCGCCGCAGGAAGATGGCAGTATCCCGCTCTTTACACAAATCGTCACCAAGACCGGCGCTGATACTGTTCAGCTCGAACGAGCCCTCCAAAAAGAACTCGTCAGGACGCCCTCTCAGGATCCCGCGCCAGAGACAGTCGGTCTTTCGCCTGGTGCTCTCAAGATCCTCAAAGGCGCCGAGTCCATCATGAAATCACAAAAGGACTCGTTCATCGCCATTGATCACATCATCGCAGCGCTCGTCAAGGACAAGAAGATTGATACCATCCTCAAAAGCTGCGGCGTCACAGACAAGGCATTGCAAGTAGCCATCGACCAAACTCGTGGCAACAAGCGTGTCGATACCAAAAACGCCGAAGAAGGATTCGAGGCACTCCAAAAGTATACCACCGACTTTACTCAACTCGCTCGGGACGGCAAGCTCGACCCTGTCATTGGCCGCGAAAAAATTATTGCACGAGCGATTCGAGTGCTCTCAAGACGCACCAAAAACAATGCCATTCTGCTCGGTGACCCTGGTGTCGGTAAGACTGCTGTAGCAGAGGGTCTCGCTCAGCGCATCAACAATGACGACGTCCCCGCAGCCCTTCAAAACTCAAAGTTGCTTTCTCTCGACCTGACAGCATTGGTTGCCGGTACAAGTCACCGTGGTGAATTTGAAGAGCGTCTCAAATCTGTCCTCAAGGAAATCGAAGACTCCCCAGTCCCCATCATCCTCTTCATTGACGAGATGCATCTTCTTGCAGGCGCTGGCGCTGCTGGTGGTAGTATGGACGCCGCCAACATTCTCAAACCCATGTTGGCTCGTGGTACTCTGCACTGCATTGGCGCAACCACCACTGCCGAGTACAAGAAGTACATTGAAAAGGACTCTGCCCTCGAGCGTCGATTCCAGGTCGTCAATGTCCCCGAACCCACCGTTGCAGACGCCATCAGTATTCTGCGTGGCTTGAAGGAACGTTACGAAGTCTTTCACAATCTGACCATCACAGACAGTGCCCTAGTCTCTGCTGCACAACTCGCAAGTCGCTATCTCACAGGCAGGCGTCTTCCAGACTCAGCCATTGACTTGATTGATGAAGCAGCCGCTAGCGTTAGTGTCGCGCGCGACTCACAGCCCGAAGAACTCGACCAGCTTGAACGCGCCATCAAGCGTCTTGCCGTTGAGATTCACGCACTCGAGCGCGAGAAGGATCAAGCTTCCAAAGAACGCCTTGGTAAAGCACGCGAGGAAATGGCCAATTTGGAGGAACAGCTGCGACCCCTCAAAGTCAAGTTTGAATCTGAAAAGGCTCGCGGCGCTGAATTGCAGGATGCACGACTCAAGCTTGACACACTCAAAGCAAAAGCGACCGATGCTGAGCGTCGAGGCGATTTGCAAACGGCCGCTGATCTCACCTACTATGCCATTCCAGAACTTGAAAAGCGTATTCAACGCCTTGAAGCGGAGAAGCACCAGCAAGACCAACTCATGCAGGATGAAGACTCCATCATCAAGGATGTGGTGACGGACCAAGAGATTGCAGAAGTTGTCAGTCGCTGGACCAACATTCCTGCCACCAAGTTGAAAATGTCCGACAAGGCTCGCTTGCTTGGCTTGGAGAAGCATCTCGCAGAAACGGTGATTGGTCAGCCTGAAGCTGTCAAGGCTGTTGCCAATGCCGTGCGCATGTCGCGTGCTGGTTTGAGTGACCCCAATACGCCTCCCAGCTTTTTGTTTTGTGGACCTAGTGGTACGGGCAAGACGCTGCTTACCAAGGCGCTTGCAGAGTTCCTGTTTGACGATCGTCGTGCGATTACGCGTATTGATTGTTCAGAGTACAGTGAGAAGCACTCGGCCGCGCGACTCATTGGTGCACCACCCGGTTATGTCGGCTATGAGGAAGGCGGTCAATTGACCGAAGCAATTCGACGCAAACCCTTCTCAATTGTCTTGTTTGACGAGGTTGAGAAGGCAGCGCCGGATGTGTTGCTCGTCTTGCTACAGCTCTTGGATGAAGGACGCATCACGGATGGCCAAGGCCGGTTGTGCGATGCTCGCAACACCATCATCATCATGACTTCCAATCTCGGCGCAAAGTACCTGCTCGAAGACTCTGCCAGTAACAGCAACGGCAAAGTCAGCAAGGCAACACGCGAACACGTCATGTCTGCCATTCGCGCTTGCTTCCGACCAGAGTTCATCAATCGACTCTCCTCCATCACCATCTTCAATAAACTGACACACGCTGATATTCGCAAGATTGTCGAGAGTCGGATCAAGGAGGTGCAGGAACGTATTCTGCTCAATGGCAAGAATGTGAGGTTGTTGTTGGATGACGCTGCAAAGGACTATCTCGGTGCTGCTGGCTACTCGCCACAGTACGGTGCTCGCCCACTGAATCGTCTTATTCAGAAAGAAGTGCTCGAGCGTCTGGCTGTGTTGATGTTGCGCGACCAGATTCGCGATGGGGAGGATGCCATCATTACGATGAAGGGCAATAGGCTCTCGATTCTTGCCAATCACCTGGGTGAAGATGGGCTGATTGAGCATGATATGGATGATGAGATGGAGGACGAAGACGAGATTGAGGTGGAGGAGCTTGAATGATTTATGACTACAATCCATAGCAATATGACTACTTTTACTGTGAGATACAATTTTCAGGGGCATGCACCTCAACAACGCAACGTATTGTAAATGCAACTTTGCGACTGGCTCAGCCACATTGATCCGTCCGTCATGCATCAACTTAGACTGCAGCTATCGAAAGAGGTAGAAATAGTCTTGATCGTGCATCATCAAATACTTCGCCAAGATGAATCCACAATATGACTCGTCCTTGAAGCAACCTAGGTAGTGCTGATTTACAAGTAGTCGTTCAAAGCTTGATCATCCAGAGAAGTGACAGAATGCATAGGAGGACGTCCATCGCAGCTACTACTTCCGGTCCAGTCACATGAACATTCTCCAGGCTGAGCTGCACAAGAAACGTTAGAGTTGACAAGGCCACCCGAGGGCAAATCGACAGCTTGCCATGCATCAATCTCGAAACGCTTCCGAACATTCTCTAGATTACAACTGTATGGGAATTTCTTCCGGAAAGATGTTGCCCAGCGTTTGGGAATATAAATTGTGTCTGCTTTGTACACTCTTTGCAGCACCAAGTCGATTTGACATTGGCATTGAAAGCCTTGAGACAAAAATGAGTCGAATTGAAAATTTTGGAAATCAATGCGCTTCCAGAGCTGTCGAGTCAAGCAGACATCTTCCAAACTGAAGCAGTGTTCCTTGTACTTTGGCCACAGATTGGTTACTCTTCGAAAAGCAAGGTACTTCCAAACTTCATAGTTACACTGCAAAGCACAGCTCATGTAAAATGGTGCTGTAACAAATGATTCGACGAGCTGCCAGGGTTCGACTGAGATGAGCTTGATCAATCTGACTGCGACCTTCTCACAGCTGGTGACATTTGCTTCCGACTGTGAAATAGCACCTGCGAGACCAAACAGTGCGAGGTGCGCAAAAGCCACGACGCGCATCATCATTGTGCACAACATTTTACCGCGGCTGAGTAGAATAAAGGTGCAGTCTCGAAGCTCGCAGTTCGACTGTCAGGAACCAGTAGGCAGATCGCAAGTGTGTTTTGAGGAGCAGATGAGACCAGGAGTCTCAGCTTTATAGCTTGATCATATGTGGTGAACAGGGGTAAGGATGCTTGTAGGCACATATGCATACACATGGCTTGAAGGATGTTAAAATAGATACAGTGAGCGCATAAGCAGGTGACGCCTTCACTTCTACCCTGCTTCTCACCTTTTTGTCTTGTGCTCACTGCAGAGGTACGAAAACAACCTAGTGCTCTGAGCTACCCGTCTTGCATGTGCAGCTAGGCCTTCGGGGCGCCTGTGTCTAATATTTCAACGGTCGGCTGTTACAGGATATCTCGATCAGCTCCGCCAGGAGGCATCGCATCTGTGATGCCAGGTTGCATTCGGACAAATTGGGATGTCAGGAAATGAGTCCCATGCGCATGTGCGCTGTGGCGTAGTAAAACTTGTGCCAAGATAAATCTCCCTGGTTGACCAACTAGCGCTCCAGCCAGTCGCCGCAACTGCAAATGACGGCTAGATTGTCTTCAATCTAGCGATCTGCAGCTGAAACGAAACACATCTGCAGCGTTTAAGCGTTTCTTGGTGCTTTAGAAATTGCCCATTTCAAATCCCCTGATGTCAAATGATTGAATTCTCGATTGCAAAAAACTTGCAATTGCGAGTTGTGGGCTGGGCCTGACAAGCATCAATTTGTACTGCGGCTCTTCATAATAGCATGGCATCTCGAGACCTGAGTTGCAGCATATAGCTGTGCACTAGCAATGTTGCAACTAGAAAAGTACAATCGCACTCCTGCCTCATCCTCATCGTGGTGACGTGATCAGTTCCCCCCTGCTGAGATTTCGAAAGTCATTTCAGGGGTCACTGATCTTGCTTTCTTAAAAAATGAGTAGACCCACAAACTTTGGTAAATCTTCTCGAGAGTCTTGTGCAAACATGAGCATTGAATACGGACACACTGTTGAATCACAGAACTATCATACTCGCAAGTGTAGCATCTCACTTGAATGGCTGCCTACTGGTGGCAGTCACGGACTTGTCTTTGATGAAGCGCATCAGTCTCCAGCTGCACATTTTGTGCCTATTCTCATGTGCCAAGGACCCGGTATTTGCTCATGAATATCAGCGCTACACTAACTATCCATGCAATCCATGCATCTCATCTTTCTTCCGCTTCGTTCGCGGCAAATCAGGCAAGCCTGAGGAAGATAAAAGCGTCGAGGTCGTTGAAACCAAGCAAACGGCCCGAATTGAGGAATATCTTGGCGTACATGCTACCTTGGAATATTACCGCGCAAGAAGTGGCGCATCTGCATCTTCGGCGACGATACTTTTGCGCACCATTCAAAAGAAGGCACGCCAAGTATGATGCTAGCCTGAACTGCGCTGGGCCAACCATCCCTTTGCCCCATGTTTGTGTCTATCAGTGTCTTGACGGTCTATTCGAGCATCTCCTCAGTACAATGTCATGTGTCAAAGAGTACCTCGAAATTGTAAGCAAGCTATCGGGAAGAAGAATGAATAGAGCTAAGAAATCTAAGAGTTTGAGGCCAGCTCACACATGCTTAGCTTACACGTACTTCACTGTCAAGTGATATGCATCACAGTTTGGGTTAGATGTATCAGTCGATGTGCCGGCAAAGTCCAGATGCGTGCCAGTAAAGATGATTTGGCCAAACGAGTCTGAAGTACCAATGTTGCAGCCAAAAAGGGATCTTCCATGTTGAACTCCAAGTACATGGTTGCTGGGTCGATGGCAAATCCTTTCATAGCCTTGCTTGCATCAACAATGCTGTTGCATTGGAGCTGGTTGCCTGAGGAAATCTCGCAAGCGCCGTTGTACTGATCAAACAATGCACCATCTGTGAGGTAGAATTGTGTGCTGACTGATGCAGGACCCTTGGATGGAACAGCAGCGACGTCGACTGCCGGATAGGGAGAATTGGCCTGGAGCTGTCCGTCAAAGATGGAGCCTAGTGGCGATACAGGGGCCAGGAGATTGAAGTACTTGGTTGGTGTTGAAGGTGTGGCAGATGGCACAGAAGCCTTTGTCGATGTAGGCTGTGGCCCAGAAGTAGACTGTGGGTGCGGCTTTGGTCCATCTGGCTTGGGAGAATCAGGTCTGCCAGGACCATCATGCTTTGGCGAATCTGGCCTCGGTTTGCCATGTGGCTTGGGCGAGCCGGGTCTGCCAGGACCTTCGTGCTTGGGCGAGCCGGGTCTGGGAGGAGATCCAGCTGGATGAGGAGATCCTGGTCCAGCAGGCGAGTCTGGTCGGGTGGTGTCTGTGATGCATCCAGGCTTATAAACTGGAATGGAGATTGGCCTGCAAGTTCCTGGGTAGCTAAACTTTGCTTGGTCCCATGGCCGGATAGGCTTGGGCCACCCAATAGGGCAATCAGCGTTGGGAACGGCAGGAGGCCAGGCAGGCACGGTGTTCTTGGGCTGCTTCTTGTCGTTTGACTGTTCAAGTGGTGCAGCAGAGGTAGAGGCTGCAAGGGCGAGAACGGCTGCGGCGTGTGTGAGTTGCATGTTTTAGTCTTGCGTTGTAACGATTGCTTGATGACCAGATCATTGAGCAGGCAGCTACTTATAAGATGCCCATCCCTCTCGATGCCGTCGTTGTGCCTGCTTCCTGATCAGCATACAAGCTTTAATGATAGTCACAGTGCAGCGTCTTTAAGGTTGCATCGAGGACGGCACGATCGCCTGCGTTACCGGCTGTTCCTCTGAGCGTTTATGCATTTGCAGCTAGCAAGTACAGCGTTAAAGTATTCGTGTCAGGTTGTGCCATAGTCATGGGATCGACATTCTGGACTGCAGTCGTCGTTGGTGCAACTTGATGGTCGTTGCCTTCTGGGCTCTTAACAAATTGAGTCACACGCGCGGCCCGGGCCGTCTCTCGCACACGTCCTGGTACGTATATGCCAACAGCGCGGGTGTACTAAACAAGTGATAGAGCTATCTGTATAGCTGGTGCAATACCTCAAGAGTAGAATTTAGGTAAATACAGCAGCATGGCCCTCCATACTCGGAGGCTCCATTGAGTACATCATACAGTATTGACCTTTCATAACGGCATCCTCTTAGAAATCACAACTAGTCTGGCATGAACGACGGCCAGAGCGTGTACAGAGACTACCTACTGATCCAACGAGTAGCTAGTCCCGGCAAAGCAACATTTGTTGATGGTTGCCCTTTCGTCAAGCTAGTCGAGCCAGTTCGGCCCCTTAAATTTTGAGGCAACTTTTGCCGCTAGACTTGTAAAGGTCGTATTGATCAACAGGACTTGACCATATCAGATCGAGATCGAAGTTCAGGCGATCAGTATCAGACTCACTTGGCAAAGATGTAGTGAAGGATATGTTTGCTTTCTATATTATATGGCATGAACAGTGGAGGCCAGCTCTCACCGTGAAAGAAGTTTTGATTGAGACCCTTGGCTTACACGTACTTGACAGTCAAGTGGTAAGCGTCACAGTTGGGGTTCTCAGTGTCGGCAGAGACACCGGCGAAGTCCTTGTGTGTTCCGGTAAAGATGATTTGGCCGAAAGTGTCGGATGTACCAATATTGCAGCCGTAGAAGGTGTCTTCAGTGTTCCACTCCAAAAACATCGTGACGGGGTCGATGGCGAATCCCTTCATGGCTGTGCTTGGGTTGGAGATCATGTTGCACTGGAGCTGGTTGCCAGATGAGATCTCGCAAGCACGGCCGTATTGGTCAAAGAGAGCACCGTTGTCGAGGTAGAACTGGGTGTTGACCGAGGCAGGGCCCTTGGATGGGACAGCAGCAACATCAATGGCTGGGTAAGGAGAGTTGGCCTGGAGCTGACCGTCAAAGATGGAGCCGAGGGGAAGCTCAGGAGCAAGAATGTTGAAGAACTTTGTGGGTGCAGAAGGTGTGGTGGTGGGAGCAGCAGCGCTAGTAGTCATCATTGTTGATGCAGTCTTTGTGGCTGTGGTCTGAGGTGCTGGCTGTGTCGTCTGAGGCTTTGTGTCCTTGATGCAGCCAGGCCTGTAGACTGGGACCCACTTTGGCTTGCACGGACCAGGGTACCTGAACATGTACTGGTTCCATGGTGTGATTGGCTTGGGCCACCCAGTAGGACAGTTGGAGTTGGGAACAGCAGGAGGCCAGGCAGGAACGGTAGATCTGCTCTGATAGTACTTGTTGACAAAGCTTTGCCACCAGTTGATGAGGGATCCGAAGGTAGGATCCGCTTCGGCCACAGGTGAAGCAGAAGCAGAGGCGGCGAGAGCAAGAACAGCTGCGGCGTATGTGATTTGCATCTTGAAAAAGCGAAGAAGAGAGACTGAAGCTGTAGAAGACTGTTGATGTCGAGCAAGACGAGGAGTAGCAAGCTCCTTATAAGCTTTTCGTCCATCGAGTGTTTGTAGCTCTATCCTTAAACTACATCCTGGGAGACTACAGTAGCCGTGTCTAGGTCCAGCAGCTTGCAGCAAGTAATGGCACAGCTAGTGCCAGCATCCGAGGCTGTGGTCTCAAGCTTTGTGGTGTCGTTGCTCTTATTTTTGACTTTTCCCAGCTTGGCAAGTTGCGATGACTCAGATGCACGTGGGCCGCTCAGTTTCGCTTGGATTTCCATTTCGGTCTCAGATCTGGTCTGATCGCCGCCCGTGATTGGGCCGAGCAGATGAATTCCGGCAGGGACTTAAGCGAGCTTCCGCGACGACTTTTAAGTCCATTTATTAAGCCTGACTGTACTACACTGTAAGCGACACTGTTAAATGCTGTCCTCAAAGAGGCTCATACCCGGGACAGAGTCAGACACTGGATCGCTGCTACAGTCATGTCTGTGGCTCGGCCCGACCCAACGCTGCCTCATTGGGCCTCTACCACAGATCAGACACCTAAAGTCATGACTCGTGCTTGGCTCGAGCACCCGTTCTGGCTCTGTCGTCGGACTCTACATGTCTGCCGGCCGACGTCCGCCATCCTCCCGCAATCCAGAGCACGACTGATGGCGCAGCTTTAAGTGCTGCATGAAACACCGCCCGCCTCGGTGTTGCCTACAAGCGATACACATGCTGATGCTGGCAAAGCATCTTTGATGTTCCGGCAACACCGGCTTCCGAGAATACATGTGCTCCATGCTGCCGAACCTTAAAAGCGCACCTAAAGTGTATACTGCGTGCGCACGCTACCTGCTGACAGCCTGCACAGTGTACAGCCTACAGGACAGCACGCTACGTCCACACGGGCCGTAGGGGCCGTAGCGGGCAGCGGCGAGTTCAGACTGCAACAGGCATCCGCATTAGCGTTCCAGACTCGCTAGCAGAACGCTACAAGGCGGCTGTACCGCGTTACCATGCTATATTTGCAATGCCAGTAAAGCAAAGTAAGTAGAATGATTAGCTATGAGCATGCTAGATAGATACTGGGCCAGCCAGTACCACCGAAGAGTTGTGCGTCTGATACCAGATCTAGACGTACTGGATCGTCAAGCGGTATGCATCGCAGTTGTCATTCGAGGTATCCTTCTGGTTACCGTCAAAGTCAAGGTGCGTACCAGTAAAGATGATTTGTCCAAACGAATCCTGTGAACCAATGTTGCAACCGTACCAAGTGTTCTCAGCATTGAATTCGAGTTGATTGGATGTGTTGATGGAGAATCCCTGCATGGCGGTCGACTTGTCTGCCACTGCGTTGCACTGCAACTGGTTACCAGCAGAAATCTCACAAGCTCGGTCAAATTGGTCAAAGAGGGCTCCATTCGTGAGGTAGAACTTGGTGTTGGTAGCGGCAGGCCCTTTCGATGGGTTGGCGGCAGCGTCAATGGCTGGGTAGGGCGAGTTGCACTGGAGCTGGCCATCAAAGATGGAGCCAGCAGGGAGATCAGGGCAGTTGATGTAGAAGTATGGAGGTCCGGTGGTTGGCACAGACGTGGGCGTGGTGCCAGTCGTCATGGTTGTGCCAGGGGTAGTTGACGTCGGAGGCTGGGGCTGGGTAGGAGGATGAGGCCACTTGGGAGGAGTAGGTGGCTTGGTGGTCTTTTTGCAACCCGGCTTGTAGACTGGGATGTGCCTGGGCTTGCATAGACCGGGATACTTGAACTTGAGATGGTTCCATGGCACAATAGGCCTGGGGTAACCAGATGGGCAATACTTGGACGGTGGTGCAGGTGGCCACTTGGGGATCGTGTGGGCAGGCGTCTGATACTTCCACAAGATGGAGCTCCACAGGGAGATGAGCTTGCCGTGAGTAGGGTCAGCTTCGGCTTCAGGGCTTGCCTCTGCCACGGGAGAACCGGCAACAGTCGAGGCGAGGGCTAGGAGGGTAGTGGAGTAGGCAAACTTCATGATTTGAGCTGAGTGTTTGATGCTGATTTGACCAGCGACCAAGGTGGTCTTTATACCTTCTCTAAGGCACTGTTGAGTAGCATTGCTCTCGATACTTCCTTAAAGTATGCTGTCCATGGCGTTGTCGTTGAGCCCTTGGACTACTTCAATGGCTGAAACGAAGCACGGCCATCGCTCAGTAGAGGAGGTATAGCTGCATTGTAAGAGCAGGATCAAAGCTTTCATCAGGACTGTGTTGTGGCAATTCGGTTGAATGCCTTGTGCTATGCTTCTGCGCACAGACATCAACGAGTTTAAGCGATCAGCAAACGGCACGTCAGCACAACGCCGATGAACAAGTGTCTAGCGCTCGAACATCACAAGCTTTGACTAGCGTCAAGGTGGACCGGGCATTGGCGGCGATGCGATTGTGGGGTTTTGGCTGTTGGCGCTGTTCGACTTTGGCACACGCAAGCTGTGGCGCTTTGATCAGCTACTTGCGGTCAACACGTCAAATCGCACAGAGCCCTGTGGTTGGAAGAGCTCAAAATAACTAAAGGTACGGCGCTGCAAAGGTGCACTGAACTACTGGCCAAAGCCAAAGTAAGAAATCTAACGAGGGTAAGGGCCTGATGTATTACGCTGCTGTCCCGCAGAATGCTGAGACATGGCAGCAGACTGCTCCTTGAGTGCCAATAACTGCTTTGCCCGGAAAGACTCGTAGTGAATCAAGGCAGTCGATTCAATCAAGTCCTGCAAATGCGTCTTTGTCAAGAAGTTGCGAAGGTACATCTGCTGGTTAGTGCCTGGGATACAGTGTTGTGGCCTTACAAATTCGCAGTGCTTCTCATCCTCAATGTTGATGGTTCCCCACTTGTTTTGTCGCGCTTGGACTTCACGACCACCAATGTTGACTGTCTTTTCACTGCCAATCACAGCGAATGGCAGAATCTGGTTGATGGTGTCATTCAATGCGCGTTCGTCATCCTCAAGCTCATCGCTGTCGTAGGGGTACATGCGCAAACCATGGGCATTGAACTCTTGTCGAATTCGATTCTTGAAGGCCTTGCGTTCGCTACTGTTAGTGTGTTTCAAACCAGTGAGCACATACTCCATCGTCAATGCGTCGCTCTTTGCAATGACAGGCACGACGTTGACAACATCGCTCAGCTTTTTGAGGACCATGATATCAAGAGGCTTGAGCTGATGCCCTGTTGGTGCAATGAAGAAGAGACAACAGTGCACACGCGTATCGACAATATGCTTTTCACGCGACGCCGTCAGTTCCTTGCGCAAGTAAGATGAATGCTGGTCCTTAATGTACTTGATGATGGGATCCCAGCAACGATCATTGTTGATTTGATCACCATACCCTGGCGTATCCACAATGTTCAATCGCAGCTTGACGCCATTCTCAACAATCATGTGAGAGACGGCTTCAATCTCTGTGGTGCTGCGAACGGGCTCTTGAGGGGAGGTACGGCCTTTTGTGTCGATAAGGTGGGACGCAAAGAGCGTATTGACCAGCGTCGACTTGCCCAAGCCTGTTTGTCCTGATGTTAGATGTATCTAGAGACTGTGAAACGCACCAACGAGAATGACATTGAACTGAAAGCCGCGTTTGAGTAGCTTGCGCTCAATTTGTTGGGTGATGCTGTCGAAGCCTAGAGTCAGGTCCAGCTTCTTGATGTGAAATCCTACCAACGTAGCCCTTGAGCTGAGTGAGCATGGCCTGAGCCTGAGTCGCCATCGCTGCTGGCCTGTCGCTGTACAGTTGTTGTAGGGGGTGGTGGTGGTCTGCTGTATTGTCGCGTCAACATTTCGCGAGCAAACAAATGGGCAGTGTAGCTGAGTATACATAGAGCTATGGTATGTACAGGTAGAGACAGGGCAGCTAGAGCATCAAGACCATCACGAGCAGCACAAGCAATATCACAATCAGCAGCACAATGCAGCAATTGCTCTTCGTCTCCTCATTCTTCTTGAGAAACGACTCGATGCCCTTCAGCCCGCGCTTCAGCTTGCCTGCGCTCTTATCCACAGCCTCCTCAAACTCATGCAGTATCTCTGCTTGCGTTGAGAGTTCCTGGCCCATTTCATTCGCTTGCATGCGTAGAGTGCCAACTGTATCAAAGACAGAATCAAGCTGCTCGTCTTGTTCTGCCATGACTTGCTGTGCATACGCTTGATCTTCTTCCTCGTCAGACATTTCCACGTCTTGATCTACAGGCGCATGACCCTTCTTGATTGACTCTTGTAGCCGTTTGACATCCAACTTTGTATTCCGAATAAAGCCCTGCCGCCGCTCCACCTCTTGCGCAGTAAGGTTGTATTTCTCTGGCTGGCCCGCAGCAGCAGCGATGCTCTCCTCCAAGTCTGCAATATCTTGCTGGATATCCTGGATCGTTGCATCAAAGTCTTCGAGTGTCTGGACAACTTCTGCCGAGTCTGGTGCGCTGGTGGCTGCGATGCGTTTATGGCTGTCTAGGAGGAGGGCTGCCTGTTCCAAGTTGACCTCCACTTCGTCTCTGACCTCGATGAATGGGTCAGACATGAGCTTGATCAGGGCCGCATAGACTGGTACTAGACTGGTACTAATAAAACTGTAGTTGCCGCCTGAATTCTGCGACAGACCACAACAAACACAAACCAACAAGACAGAGCTGACAGACGAGCTTGTAGAGATGCTCCATGGCGAGCAGCACAGAGACTGCGAGGCCATCAAGAACCCATACTCCTCCAAGATGAGTGAAATCGACTCCCTCAAAGTTGCCACCCTCAAGGCGCGTCTCGACCAACAACTCGGGCCAGAGTACATCACAACACGCTCCAATGGCGGGGCAGGCAGAGTCTCTTACATCGAAGGACACAAGGCAATCATGCTTGCAAATGAAGTCTTTGGCTTTGATGGCTGGAACACGTCAATTGTGCGCTTCGATGTGGACTTTCTAGACCAACGTGGCGAAGTCTGGGACTTGGGTCTTGCTGTGATTGTCCGCATCACACTCAAGTGCGGCACGTATCGCGAGGATACAGGTTATGGCTCCATCAAGAACTGCAGAGACAAGTCTTCTGCTTTTGAAAAGGCACGCAAGGAAGCCACAACCGATGCCATCAAGCGTGCCCTACGACAATTTGGCAATGTCATGGGGAACTGCATCTACGACAAGACGTACCTTGAAAATATTAAAAAGATGCGTAAAGAACCCGAACCACGCTTCAATCCAGATTTGCTCTACAGACCGCCTACGCTGCAAAGAAAAGAACCGGTTCGTGCTGCAGCGCCACCCGAGCCTGTCCAAGCACCTGCCAACCCACAACCTCCGGGAATGACATCTACATTCGATGATATTGACTTTGCTGCAGAATTTGATGAAGACCGCATCACCTTTGATGAGCTGGCCACTATGACGGCAGAATCTCCCGTCAGCAGTAGCAACGAAAAGGAAGCACAAAACCATCCAAATTACTGCCCACCAGGCGATTTTGCAAAGCCAAAGCAGGCGGCTGATGTGAAGCAAGTATCACAGCAAGAAGCCAATCGACTCAAGGCACTCAAGATTCGAGAGGAAAAGGAACTACGCAAGCAACAAGAAGCGGTGCATGCAGGAATACAAGCTCCTGAACCAGGCACAACCTTTCAACCCTCCTTCTTGAATGCACGCACCCTTGTCACGCCAGGTACGGAACCTGCTCGATTTGATCCAAAACTACAATCACCCTCCATTCCTCGGACTGCTGGGATTGACTTGTCGAAATCAACGCCCATCAAGCGACCTGGGCTGGAATCGCCTGGCAATCCCGGTAGTCCTCTTGCACGCGCGCCGTCTCCGGGACCTCCCAATGGTATGGTCACGCGCCAGCATTTCCGAGCGCCTACAAGGATGAACCCAACTGCCAAGGGCAATCCTCTGCTCAGTGCCAAACGTACAAATGAAGCCTTGTCGGAGCATCCACCCGGCAGTGTCGCCATCAATGGTGATGCAGATAAACGTCCACGAGTTTAGTTCTATGCCATTCCAAACATGCTCATGCTATTTCTATAAGCTGCTTGACTCACCTCTGCCATGCTGATGCCTTTGATGTTTGCAACCGCAAATGCTACTTGACTCACGCTGCATGGTTCATTCCGACCTCGTACGCGTAGACCCATCTCGAAACGCTCTACCTTTCGAGCATCCTCCAACACAGGCGCCGCTTCACCCGTACAGTCGGGTTTCTGTAGTAACGCCATACTTGCATGACTCGGTCGAATCTCACACCATGGCGCATCCGTCTCCAGCATGAGTTTATCCAGTGGGACGTGTTTTGCAACATGCAAGTTTTCTTGTGTCTTGAGGGAACAGCCATTGATACCGATACTCCAGCCTTGTGCACATAATGACTGCATCTCCTCGAGCGTACCCGTGAAACTGTGTACAACGCCACGTTTCGGCAACCTCGCTTGATACACGTCAAGAATCGACGCAAAGTCATTTGCTGCTGCACGAGAATGAAGAAACAAGGGGAGTTGAAACGCTACGGCCAATTCCATTTGTGCACGAAAGCAAGCGAGTTGTGTGTCTTTTGGTGACCAATCGAGGCGATCGTAGTCGAGACCTAGTTCACCGAATGCACGAATGCGTGGATTGGAAGACGTTTGATCTTGTTGAATGAGTGCCATCAATGCATCGAGACATGCATCAGGACCATCCCGATACTCGAGCCAAAGCTTGGATTGTGTTGGATGAATGCCAGCAGTACAAACAAGCATATCCGGATGCTCCAAACACAATGCATGCGCTTTTTGTGAGTCTTCCAAGTCTGTACCCGTCACGAGCCATTGACTACAGCCTGCATCGCGAGATCGCTGTAGGACATGGGTCATGTCATCTGCATGTTCTTGCTTGCCGCGATAAGAACCGCGAAAGATGAGGTCGGTTGCATTGACGGCAATATCAAAGAATTCATGTAGTGATTTGTTCTGAGCAGGCATGCACGTTGTGAGGGAGCGTGTAGTGAGGCTTGTGAGCAAAGAGCGAGCCGACAGTTTGTCTGAGTAATTGTCTGCACAAGTAGCAGGCCTGTAGGAGACTAAGTAGAAGTTGTGCCTGGTGATGCGTGGGATTGTTGAGTGCCAGCCCCGCAAGACATCAGACAGCTTTCTGTCTCCACTTGATCATCTACACCCATTTCCGCCAAGTCCTGTCTCCGGCCCAAGCAATCTCTCTGCTGCTCGTTCATCCTCTCAGTTTGTAAACTCAACAAAGCTTGTACGGGCAAACTCAGCATGTCTTTCCTATGACGTTCTGCTTTTCAACTTCGATGATCTGGCAGAAGACGACTTTCCAGCTCTGGCAAAGCAAGTTGTCAGCGTGGAATCCCGCATCGGAGAAGTCGCAGGATCCAAGCGATGGCTAGTGCCTCGTTCGGAACGATATCAGGGCAGGCCTGCATCTTGAGACGGCAGGAGTGCACGATGGTGCGCACATCTTGGCTGAGGAGGTCGGGAAAGGACTCGGATCGGCGACCGTGATTGTCGTCTTGGACACGCTGCTCGAGTACGCCAGCTTGGGTTGAAGTTGAATTACATCGGAGGGAAGAGACATACTGGGATGCCTGTGCAAGCTTTGTTGAGTTTACAAAGTGTGACGATGCGCGGGCAGGACGGGACGAGTGCTTCTGCTGGAGACTGGACTTGGACAGAGACGTAGATGTAGATGATAAATTGTAAATCATGGAACAAGAGACCAGAAGGCTATCTTATGTCTATCAGACTGGAGCGCGAGGACTGACAGCGGACGCACGTCTTCTCATAATCGAGACGTTGCCGTTGATACATTCAACAATGGTCTAAGTGCTCTGGGCGTCCTTTATCCTGCCGGCGTCGTGTTCGCTGTCTTGCATCTCGGCCAAGGTCAACAGTGGATGAATATCAATAGTACAAACAAGCAAGTCAGGTTCGGTATCAGGTAATTGACCTTACGCGTTCAATCCATACTTTGATTCGGCTCCGCACTGACATCCATGATTTCGTGGTCATCATCTTCACAACAAGCACTGACGGAATTGGCTATGGCACTTGGACAGAAGCTATTCTGCGTCCCATCTGCTCCAAGGGACTAGTCATGTCTGCGTTGGATGTTCCTCACATGCTTGACTGCCGCAGCACGTTGATCGATGCGCCATGACGCAGTGCACGACCCAGCAAAAGGACAAGTGAGGCCAGGACCCTCCTCCGCTTGACCTAGCTCACCCAAGATGCGCAGGTTGAGCTCCTCAAGCTGTCTGGCTTCTTCATCTGGGCCCTCTTCTTCCACCTCGTCACCATCATCAACAACGTTGTCATCAACACCAACAACTGCAGCAGCAGCAACCGGCTGCACGTCGTCATCAGGGTCGCCGTCATCATAGTCGCCGTCATCAGTCTCATCGTCGTCAGGGGGATCTGTAATCCATGGCCTTGGATCGTCGAGACCAAGCATTCTGCAGATTTGCACGTACTTCGAATGGCGTGGCAGGTTTGCACCTACTTGCTGCATTCTAGTAACAGCTGCTCGATTCTGCAGAGACAGAATCCACTCCGTTCGACGATGTGCCCCACGCTGAGGTCTCAGTCGTGGCTGCCGCACATGAAGATCTGGGACCATCAACTCAAGCGCAGAACGAATGGCCATCAATTCCTCAAGGTTAGCAGAGTACCAACTCATCAGGCCATCCGCTTCAATGGAACCATCACCGTACAAGGCAAACAGCGCAAAGGCTGCTGCGCAATCGGGAGTTGCCAAGATGTAGCGTTGGGTGTCCTCCGGCGACATGGTCCAAGCTCGCGGATGATTGGAGCTGAGTCCTAGCTGCACAAACAACCAACACAACAGAGGGCAGTGGACTCTCAGCATTGTACTCACGTACCATTGCAAGTCAGCAGGGTCCCGTTGAATCTTGAACTTGATATGCCTCAGAGCGTCTTCAGCATCAAAGCCAAAGAACATCATGAGAATATCCATCAAGAATGCGCCTTGGTACACCTGCTGCGACAGCACATACTCATGCAAGCCGATACATCCATCCGTGGACGTAATGCCGAGAAACGCTGCGGTCATCACAGAGCCATGTTGCAGGAGCTGAAGGTGGTGTTCGTTTGCCGTACGCGAGACAGCCCGTGCCCTACCTAGCATGGTCCCGCCAGGCGTAGTGTGCAAGGTCATCTCACAGAAGCGTTGAAAGTAGAGCTGCGCTGCGTCGGACGTGTATTGCGCTCCGGCCAGACCAGAGGGCGAGAAAAGCTGCCCTACCCAAGTGGATCAACCGTTGCATACTCTGTCGTTCTGCCACTGGCCTGTTTGGCAAGTCCTCTTCAATCGCCAATGCACCCCGCAAGTAGAGCATTCGCAAGATGCTGCCTGGCAATGGCGCACTCGTTCGAATGCGTTGTGAGGGAAAGACGAATTGAGAGAGTTCTTGAAGAGGTATGCAACCGTGTTGTTCACTGTCTCGCAAGTACAAGGAGCGTCTACTTCTGCAGTCATTCGCAAGGAAGCGCAAGCTTCTCGCAATGTCGCGGAAGGTCGCTGTGCTTGTGCGTGTCCCTGGTGGAACGCTGTCAAGGACCCCTCGGAAGATATTGAGCCCCTGGATTCGCTGAATTTGGTGCCGCAACGTCGTTCCTGCCTGTTGTCCTTGCGCTGCTCCGGTCTGGGCCAGCTCTTGCATCTCGACTAGGGTTCCTGCTGCTGCACTTTCCTCAAATCCCGCAATCACCCTCTCTGCCTCGGTCTGCATCAAAGTGAATGCGTCCGTCAGCGTCATCCTTGTCGCCGGTCGAGGTATACCTGCTACCAATGGAATTGGCTGCACCTGCGTCACAGCTGAAGGTTGCATGGTGGCATCCACCAGGTACCGCCAAAGCGCGCGCGTCACGACGGACGTTCCGCGACATGGTTCCCCAGGGTGTTGCTCCAACAGAGAGCGAGCTGGTAAGGGCTGTGCCTGTCGAAACGTCTCCCACACTTCATGTGCCACTTGCTCAGGCGATGCGTTGACAGTTCGTGTTGCGTGAGCTGACATTTGTAATTTGTAGGGTCTGTCTCTTGCAGAAGAGAGTGCTTCAAGCTTGCCAGGCACTCCTCTGTGTCGACTACCCCTGAGAATGTCTGTGTACTGGACGGCAGTCACGCCACCAGTCACGAATTGGGATGATGATATCTACAGATGAGGCCATGAGGCCATGTCATGAGTCATGCTGCTTCGTCCTCATACTTTAGGCACTACTGGACTACAAATGATGATGCGCTTGCACGGGGTGGAGCAAGACCGACGACCTTGATAGCGCCTACGCATCCTTGAATTTGACAAGCTCCACTAGAAACCGACTCATCCAGTTCTGCGGATAGCCACCCTCCTTGCGGCTCAGTGACTCTATGAGATGGCGAACTCTTGATGACGCTGTTGTGTCTCGGTATGAATACAATATGTTTCTCAATGGCGACGATTTGGCACTGAGGTTGACAGTCTTGACCCACCATCTTCTTGGACGCGGCGAAGAGTCAGTCTCGTACTGTCACCTGTTCTCCCATCCAATGGACAGAGTCACGCGGACTGCATGCCCGCTTCAATTCACGACTCTTGAAACGACCTATGGGAGCATCTGCACAAACAGGAATCATGCGAGCAAGGTCTGAGGTTTCGACAATATGCGTGTTCAGCGTCTTTCCAATTTTGACTCAGCAAGCACTTGAGACTTTTCAGCCTCGATTCTAGCAGCATCTGCGTCATGAAGCTGGGCTGAACTTCACGTCGAGACGGCAGATGCAGGACAAGCAGGTACAGGTCGAGTTCGACGTCAGCTGCAGTCTGTTCCATCTCTACATCTAGCATGGCAAGATTCGGAAAGAGGATGTCTATGACTGGTCGCGGCAACCAGCAGCGACGGATAAGCACTCATCGTATTGTGCAGTAGCAAGCAAGCAAGCAATCAGGTTACAATAAGCACTCATCGTATTGTGCAGTAGCAAGCAAGCAAGCAAGCAAGCAAGCAAGCAAGCAAGCAAGCAAGCAAGCAAGCAAGCAAGCAAGCAAGCAAGCAAGCAAGCAAGCAAGCAAGCAAGCAAGCAAGCAAGCAAGCAAGCAAGCAAGCAAGCAAGCAAGCAAGCAAGCAAGCAAGCAAGCAAGCAAGCAAGCAAGCAAGCAAGCAAGCAAGCAAGCAAGCAAGCAAGCAAGCAATCAGGTTACACAGGTTAAATGAGGAATGATTGTTCGTATCAAGTTGTAGCTAGAGGTTGCTACCTTTGGAATGCAAATGATGAGTCTGGTCGGACTCTCTCCCGCAGGAGGTTCCCAATGTCGTCCATGAAATCGAAGTTTTCGATGGATTTGATGTCCTCCGGACAACTTGTAGATTGTTGTGGTCGCTCTCTTGGAGGCTGACTTAGGGTGTGGGAGGAAGGTTGCTGGAGGTCAGTAGAAGCTCAACATGGCGAAGGAGATGACTCACTTTGTCTGGTTGCTGGTCTGGGCTATCCATTCGCGTAGAAACATGGAGGTGAGATGGGTATGAGGCCAGAGACGAGCAGGAGCAGAGGCATGCTTTTGTACTCGTAGGTGGAAAAATCCATCAGGGAAGACTGCCTTGTGTGTCTGCACTTTGCTTTGCATCTTGCCTGCAACCAAAACAATGCATTTCGTCATGCACAAGGGTCCGTGCGCGACAGACACTGTTTGGCCGAGCAGGTGCTGCAGGGCACAGCGGGCAGAAGCAGACTGAATAGAATTGAGTTTTGCAAACTGCAGTTACTCTACGTCGGTTGCCTGCATCCTTGAACCGCGAAAGATCACTTGCATTGTGGATGCATGCTTCTGCATCTCCTCGTCACCTGCCTCGTATCCACCTCATCTCGCCTCCAGATGAAGCGCGCCAAAAGCTCAGATGACAACTTGCGGCGTCGTCTTTGCTATCATTGCCACGACCGGTCTGAAAGACGACTAGATAGAGCAGAGAGAGTCCACGCCATAGTTACTATACAACAGAAAAGGTGTCGTCGCTATAGTCAGCCCAGTTAGAAGTACTTCCATTGGTCCTTGTCGAGCCTGCAGTACATGACGGCATTACTGTCCCATTCGCTGAGTCCATTGGTTTCTGTGGGCAGTAGCCATTGCTGTCAGCGGAAGAGGACTCCAGTTGCTTTGTTGTGAGTAGATCGAGTGAGAAAGATGTATGGTTGGTCAAGCGTATGACGCTGCAAGGTCCAGCACGAGTTAATTCGAGTTTGGGTGATGATTCACTTGTCTGATGATGGCAAGTGAACATACTTGCTTGCCAAGCTTGGACTCCAAGGGAGCAGGTAGTTGAGAACGATCTGCATGTTGATTGTACTTGTCTAGCTTGTCGTGAACAGACTTCAAACGAGCAACCATGTCGTGACTGGCAGGAATAGTGTGAGCACTGGGGTGAATACCAACTGCGCTCAGCAAACAAACGTCTTGATGTTCTTCGTAGTTGTTCTTGTTGTAGTAGCAGAACTCGACTTGCGGCAGAACAGAGTACCAGCTGTCTTGAGCGTGGTTGATGTAGCTCAGAAGAAGGTGCTCAAGTATCGAGTTGGCACGCTCAACCAGTCCATGTCTGAGAGTAAAAGGCGGTAGACAAGAGAACTTGACTCGACTGTCAAATTGAAGGAGAAGAGACTGCAGATGTTGGACGTGACGATGAACCCAGCTCAGGACAATCGACGTAGGCCACAATTCGAGTGGATGCGATTTGCGAAGCTCACCGCGCCAGAGGCCTCGACACGATGAAAAAACACGTGACAATTTTTATGATTGCATTCATATTCTATCTAGCCGGCCGTAAGTCATCCAAGTGGTTGACTGGCGCAATTGGTTAGCGCGTGGAGCTAATAACTCTGAGGTTGGGGGTTCGAGACCCCCGTTGACCACTTTTTTGTCTTTTTTATTAGTTCTCAATATTCATTTTTCGAGTCAAGTTCTCTTGTCTACCGCCTTTTACTCTCAGACATGGACTGGTTGAGCGTGCCAACTCGATACTTGAGCACCTTCTTCTGAGCTACATCAACCACGCTCAAGACAGCTGGTACTCTGTTCTGCCGCAAGTCGAGTTCTGCTACTACAACAAGAACAACTACGAAGAACATCAAGACGTTTGTTTGCTGAGCGCAGTTGGTATTCACCCCAGTGCTCACACTATTCCTGCCAGTCACGACATGGTTGCTCGTTTGAAGTCTGTTCACGACAAGCTAGACAAGTACAATCAACATGCAGATCGTTCTCAACTACCTGCTCCCTTGGAGTCCAAGCTTGGCAAGCAAGTATGTTCACTTGCCATCATCAGACAAGTGAATCATCACCCAAACTCGAATTAACTCGTGCTGGACCTTGCAGCGTCATACGCTTGACCAACCATACATCTTTCTCACTCGATCTACTCACAACAAAGCAACTGGAGTCCTCTTCCGCTGACAGCAATGGCTACTGCCCACAGAAACCAATGGACTCAGCGAATGGGACAGTAATGCCGTCATGTACTGCAGGCTCGACAAGGACCAATGGAAGTACTTCTAACTGGGCTGACTATAGCGACGACACCTTTTCTGTTGTATAGTAACTATGGCGTGGACTCTCTCTGCTCTATCTAGTCGTCTTTCAGACCGGTCGTGGCAATGATAGCAAAGACGACGCCGCAAGTTGTCATCTGAGCTTTTGGCGCGCTTCATCTGGAGGCGAGATGAGGTGGATACGAGGCAGGTGACGAGGAGATGCAGAAGCATGCATCCACAATGCAAGTGATCTTTCGCGGTTCAAGGATGCAGGCAACCGACGTAGAGTAACTGCAGTTTGCAAAACTCAATTCTATTCAGTCTGCTTCTGCCCGCTGTGCCCTGCAGCACCTGCTCGGCCAAACAGTGTCTGTCGCGCACGGACCCTTGTGCATGACGAAATGCATTGTTTTGGTTGCAGGCAAGATGCAAAGCAAAGTGCAGACACACAAGGCAGTCTTCCCTGATGGATTTTTCCACCTACGAGTACAAAAGCATGCCTCTGCTCCTGCTCGTCTCTGGCCTCATACCCATCTCACCTCCATGTTTCTACGCGAATGGATAGCCCAGACCAGCAAAGAGACAAAGTGAGTCGTCTCCTTCGCCATGTTGAGCTTCTACTGACCTTCAGCAACCTTCCTCCAACAACTCAAGTCAGCCTCCGCGCAAGCGAGCTCGACAAACCAGAAATCGTCCAGAGCACATCGAATACCTCGACTTCATGGACGAATTAGGGGATCTCCTTCGGGAGATTGTCCAAGAGGACTCCTCATTTGCATACAAAAGGTAGCTAAACATCGATGCTACGAACCCAAACACTCCTCATTTGACCTGTGTAACCTGATTGCTTGCTTACTACTGCACAATAAGCTGACTGCTAACCCGTCGCTGCTGGTTGCCGCGACCAGTCATAGACATCCTCTTGCCAATGCTTGCCATGGTAGATGTAGAGATGAAGCAGACTGCAGCTGACGTCGAACTCGTCCTGTGTCTGCTTGTCCTGCATCTGCCGTCTCGGTGAGAAGATCAGCCCAGCTTCATGACGCAGATGCTGCCAGTATCGAGGCTGAAGAGTCTCAAGTGATTGCTGAGTCAAAGCTGGAAAGACACCGGAAACGCATGTTGTCGAAACCTTAGACCTTGCTCGCTTGAGTCCAGTTTGTGCAGATGCTCCCATAGGTCGTCTCAAGAGTCGTGAATTGAAGCGGGCATGCCTTACCGTGACTCTGTCCATTGGATGGGAGAACAGGTGACAGTACGAGACTGACTCCTGGCCGCGAAGGTGGTGGGTCAAGGTTGTCAACCTCAGTGCCGGGTCGTCGTCATTGAGAAACATTGCAGTCATACCGAGACACAACAGCGTCAAGGATTCGCCATCTCCTCGAGTCACTGAGCCGCAAGGAGGGTCGCTATCCGCAGAACTGGATGGGTCGGTTTCTAGTGGAGCTTGTCAAACTCCAGGATGCGTAGGCGCTATCGAGGTCGTCGGTCTTGCTCCGCCCCGTGCGAGCGCATCATCCTTTGTAGTCCAGTAGTGCCTGAAGTATGAGGACGAAGCAGCATGACGAATGGCATGGCCTCATGGCCTCATCTGTAAATATCATCCCAATTCGTGACTGTTGGCGTGACTGCCGTCCAGTACACAGACATTCTCAGGGGTAGTCGACACAGAGGAGTGCCTGGCAAGTTTGAAGCACTCTCTTCTGCAAGAGACCGACTCTGCAAAGTACAAATGTCAGCTCAAGCAACACGAACTGTCAACGCAACGCCTGAGCAAGTGGCACATGATGTGTGGGAGACGTTTCGACAGGCACAGCCCTTACCAGCTCGCTCTCTGTTGGAGCAACACCCTGGGGAACCATGGCGTGGAACGTCCGTCGTGACACGCGCGCTTTGGCGGTACCTGGTGGATGCGACCATGCAACCTTCAGCTGTGACGCAGGTGCAGCCAATTCCATTGGTAGCAGGTATACCTCGACCGGCGACAAGGATGACGCTGACGGACGCATTTACTTTGATGCAGACCGAGGCGGAGAGGGTGATTGTGGGATTTGAGGAAAGTGCAGCAGCAGGAACCCTAGTCGAGATGCAAGAGTTGGCCCAGAATGGAGCAGCGCAAGGACAACAGGCAGGAACGGCGTTGCAGCACCAGATTCAGCGAATCGAGGCGCTCAATATCTTCCGAGGGGTCCTTGACATCGTTCCACCGGGGACACGCACAAGCACAGCGACCTTCCGCGACATTGCGAGAAGCTTGCGCTTCCTTGCGAATGATTGTAGAAGTCGACGCTCCTTGTACTTGCGAGACAGTGCACAACACGGTTGCATACCTCTTCAAGAACTCTCTCAATTTGTCTTTCCCCCACAACGCATTCAGACGAGTGTGCCATTACCAGGCAGCATCTTGCGAATGCTCTACTTGCGGGGTGCATTGGCGATTGAAGAGGACTTGCCAAACAGGCCAGTGGCAGAACGACAAAGTATGCAACGGTTGATCCACTTGGGTAGGGCAGCAATGGCGTTCCAGGATCGCTGGCCAGTTGGTTGGAGAGCCTTTCTCGCCCTCTGGTCTGGCGGAGCGCAATAAACATCCGACACAGCGCAGCTTGACTTCCTACGCTTTTGTGACATGACCTTGCACACTACACCTGGCGGGACCATGCTAGGTAGGGCAAGGGCAGTCTCGCGGACGACAGACGAGCACCATCTTCAGCTCCTGCAACATGGCTCAGTGATGACAGCAGCGTTTCTCGGCATTACGTGCACGGATGGATGTATCGGCTTGCATGAGTATGTGCTTTCGCAGCAGGTGTACCAAGGCGCATTCTTGTTGGAGACCCTCATGATGTTCTTTGGCTTTGATGCTGAAGACGCTCTGAGGCATATCAAGTTCAAGATGCAACGGGACCCTGATGACCTGCACTGGTACATGAGTGCAATGCTGAGAGTCCACTGCCCGCTGTTATGTTGGTTGATTGTGCAGCTAGGAGTAAGCTCCAGTGATTTGCGAGCTTGGACCATGTCGCCGGAGGACACCCAACGCTACATCTTGGCATCTCCCGGTTGCGCAGCAGCCTTTGCGCTGTTTGCCTTGTACGGTGATGGTTCCATTGACGCGGATGGCCGGCTGACTTGGTACTCTGCTAACCTTGAGGAGTTGATGGTGATTCATTCTGCGCTTGAGTTGATGGTCCCAGGTCTTCATGTGCGGCAGCCACGACTGAGACCTCAGCGTGCGGCACATCATCGAACGGAGTGGATTCTGTCTCTGCAGAATCGCGCAGCTGTTACTAGAATGCAGCAAGTAGGTGCAAACCTGCCACGCCATTCGAAGTACGTGCAGATATGCAGAATGCTTAGTCTCGACGATCCAAGGCCATGGATTACAGATCCCCCTGACGACGATGAGACTGATGACGGCGACTCTGGATCTTCTTCTTCTTCTGATGACGGCGACCCTGATGACGACGTGCAGCCGATTGCTGCTGCTGCAGTTGTTGGTGTTGATGACAACGTTGTTGATGATGGTGACGAGGTGGAAGAAGAGGGCCCAGATCAAGAAGCCAGACAGCTTGAGGAGCTCAACCTGCGCATCTTGGGTGAGCTAGGTCAAGCGGAGGAGGGTCCTGGCCTCACTTGTCCTTTTGCTGGGTCGTGCACTGCGTCATGGCGCATCGATCAACGTGCTGCGGCAGTCAAGCATGTGAGGAACATCCAACGCAGACACGACTAGTCCCTTGGAGCAGACGGGACGCAGGATATCTTCTGGCTGTCGTAGACTCGTAGCCAAAACCGTCAGTGCTTGTCGTGAAGATGATGACCACGAATTCATGAATGTCAATGCGGACTGATTATGTAATCGCTAGACTATGGACAAAACAATATGCATACTGCTTAGGTCCTGATCTCCCGACTCTGCCACACTCACCCTGACCAGCGGCTTCACCATTGGCATAACCCCTACACAGATTTTCGGCGAGGGTGGGCTGCGAGCGAACGATTTGCTCAAGTTTCAACGGCAGACAGTCCCTCGTTGACCATCTTTTTCCTTTTTTTGATTTTCGTTTCTTGGCGCCTATAAAATATCGGTGCAGCATGGAGCCGGACTAGACTGAGCAATCCAAATCCTCCCGGCACAGAAGGCGCCGAGAAGTGGTAGAATAGAATGTCAAAAGCTTTGCAGCTGTATGACTCGCACTCTACTTGTCATGATTGCGCGAATACGTACGTGGTATCGAGTACTGGTATAACACATTTGTGACTGCTCCAAGCTTCGGCCCGCCTGCACAACAAATTCAAGTACTCCAACACATGGCGTGACTCCGGTGAATCGGTGACTTGCTATGTGCACACGTTCTGTTCACCCCTTGTTCTACTTTGTATGGAGCATGAGCCTCTGATCTACTCCTCATCCGTCATCAATGACCAGCCAGAGTTCTACTCTTGAGCAGGTTCAAGCTGAGTTAATGACTTCCAAGGAACGTCTCCTTCGAGTAGACCACTATTATCTGTCTCGCCTTGCGAATTTAGAGGCTTTCTTTTGTTGACAGCAACCTGAGTCTCACTTGATCGTGTGGATTCGTGACTGTGTCAAATACTGCGGTAGCGCCATGGAGTCAAGGGCAGACGTGTGTCAATGCTGAAGGATATCAAGTACTGGGATATGGTCCATCATGCAGACTGCAATCACCAAGCTGATGGAGCATATCGGCAAGTGGGCTGCAACCGGCATCTTGCACCTTCTCTCGCTTGCGATTGGCAGTTTCTATTCTGGCAATCAAGATGGCCTATGGTGCGATACACGCTTCATCAATGAGATCGGAAACACAAGAAGCGGTCTTTGTATGCAGAACGAGGAGTGATGCACCTGCAACTTTTTGTCGAGTGCACAATTGCAAAACGCATCTGGCCAGCAGCTTATCGGGAACATTACCCATCTTACAAATTTCACAATCTTCTCTACATCACCTCGCCGGCATCTACTCCGACTTCGAGCCAGAGCTAGATTTGCTATGTCTGTCTCCATCTTTTCTCCAGGTCTCCCAGGTCAAGGCCGCCCGCCTTCCCGACTATGCTGTCTGCAATCACAAGACTCTTCTGCTTCCAAACACCTCGCCTCCAGCGAACACACTTTATTCCATGACTGCACAGGAGTTGACGATTCACAAGGAATACTCGGACGCGTGAACCAAGCTCGGCAATGTCTCTATCTCCGACAGTCCATCTTGCGTATCTTCCATTTTGTCGAAAAGAAGGGCGGGTCTTTGCGCTTGTGCATCGACTATCGCGGCCTCGACGCTCACACTCAAGATTTAGGCTCCTCTTCGTCTCGTCTCTGAAACTTCAAATCATCGCATCACGCAAAGGTTTTCACCAAGCTTGACCTGCGCGGCGCTTACAACTTACTTCGTAATGTGCCGTGAGAAGAATGGAAGACCGCATCGAAGACTCGTTACGGGCACGACGACTACAACGTTATGCCTTTTGGTCTTACAAACGCTCCCGCTTGTTTTCAAACGTTGATGAATACGGTGCTCCAGCCTTTAATCGACAAGTCGTGGTCTGCTATATTAATGATGTCCTTTTTTAATCCTCAAACGCAGGGCGAGCACACTGAATATGTTCTCTCTATTCTCAAAGTACTCGACGAGCACGAACTCTTCATCTAAGTCAAAAAGTACGTCTTTGACGTCGACATGGTCGAATTCCTTGTTTTTCTTATGTCTCCCAGCGGCATTGCCATGAACAATGTCAAGATCAGCTCTATCGTCAATTGGCCTCGACCAAAGTCAGCCCATGACGTTCAAGTGTGTTGTGGTTTGCCAACTACTACCGCCGATTTGTCTCCAACTACAGCAAGATTGTCAAGCTGCTCTACGCTCTCACAAACAAGGCGACTAAAGTATTCCCTTGGAACGATCAAACTATCGCGGCATTCACACAAGTTCAATCTCAGCTCTCTTCTGCTTCTATCCTCGTGTTTTTGACGTGGAGTAGGCTGTAATCATTGGGACTGACGCCAGCGACTTTGCACTTGGTTGTGTCATGTCCCAAGCCGATGCGAACAACATCCTTCGTCCCGTGGCTTTCACGACCGCACCCTCTCGGCATCAAAAAGCAATTCTCCAATCTACAACAAGGCATTTTTGGCACTTCTTGATTGCTTCAAAGCATGGCGCCAATATTTGGAGTGTTCTGCACATGCTATCGCTTTCTTCACCGACCACAAGAACTTGGAGTCCTCCAACACCAACCGATTTTTCAGTTCACGTCTTGTCCCCTGGTCCCGCTTAAGGTCGAGATTCAACTACAATATCCAAGTCCAGTGTCCAGCACAAGCACCCTCGTCGCTGGAGTTCGCTCTGCTCCCCCACCATTAGAGGGGGTCGCGAATCAACGCACACAATGAATTTCTTCAAGCCAGGACGATGTTGAGCAGTCTAGTACTTACTTGCGTGAGTGTGACTGCTACTGCCTTTTGCCACGTATGGCGTGCTTTCACGTGATGGTCACCCCAAGTACATAGAGAGAGTATGAGCATTCACTCTACTCTCTATCCGTAACAATCCTATTTGCTCTATATAGGTTGCTTGATTCAAGGGCCTGACCAGGCACGTCATCACTAGCTCCACGTACAACTCCGATCAGACAGCGTTCACTTGCTCCTGTCACTCTTCGGACTTCGCCAACTTCAAGGCAAGTCTTCTCTGTGTCGTCTGCTCCCCATTTCCCAGATCATAGAACTGACTTTCGCGCTCGCATCGTTGCAGCGTATTTCGCCGACCCTCTGGTGCAAGACGCTCTCGACGCACTTCAGCAGCCTCCTTCAACGCCAAGCCGTCCTTCTTCTCCGACGCCGAGTCACCAGCTACCTCGAATACGTCTGAAGACACTGCTGACCAACGCTTTCTCCTGGTCGACCGTCTTCATTTCTACAAAAATCGTGTGTACATCCCCTTCGACGCTACTCTCAACCTGGCTCTCCTCCAGCAACACCATGACTCGCCTATTTCCTGTCATCGGTCGTCGCCAAGGCTTTCGACCTCTTCTCTCGGCAGTCTTATTGGCAGTCGATGCGCGCGTATGTCCTCGATCACATCGCAACTTGCGACACATGCGCTCGCGCCGCAAGCGTTAGGGCTTCTTGCATTCCCTGCCTATTCCAGAAACTCCATGGTCTTCCATCTCGCTGGACTTCATCGTGAAGCGATCACCTTCTGACTCTTACGACTCGATCTCCATTGTCGTCGATCGTCTCGACCACAATGGCTCATTTCGTCCCTTACCATGAGGCCACCGTTGCAGCAGGCTTCGCAGCAATGTTCCTGAAAAGAATTCACTCACTATGGCATGCCGCTCGACATTGTCTCCGATCGCGGCACAGTCTTCGTCTCCTTGTTCTGGAAAGCATTCCTTGATCGCTTCGACCACTACCGATTCTCAGACTACCACTAGCTATGACATGGCCCAACGTCTCAAGCGTGTTCAACAAGAACTCAAGGCCCATTTCAAAGATGTCAAGCTGCTCAGAAGACCATCGCTGATCGTCATCGTCTTGAGATTTCTCCTTTCCAGCTCGGCCAACAGGTGTGCCTCAACGCCAAAAACATCCAAGCTCTGAAACAACATGGCAAGCTCTCTACAAGAATCTCAGCCCATCACCGGCACCTTTCATGACCGAGCTTCTCATATCTCAGTCCTTTCCCCGTCACCGGCACGATTCGCGATCGAGCCTTTCGACTCCGTTTTCCTGCCTCGATGCGCACACACAATGCCTCGATGCGCACACACGATGTGTTTAACCTAAGCCTCTCGCCTCCTCATCGATCACCAGACGCTCTCGGCAAAGCCTACTTGGACCGACCTCAAGAAGCTCCCGAGCCTACTATCGTTGGCAAAAAGTTGGAATGGATCTACGATGAAATTATGGCTATCCAACCTCGTGGCAGCGGTTATCAGTACAAGTGTATGATTTACTACGAAGGCCTCCCACACGATTTCAACAAGTGGATCCCTGCTCGAGAAACCTGCCAGAAAACTCCAGTCCTCGTCCAAGACTTTCTCCTCCGCAACCCTGATGCTGCCAGTCCATCCTACGTCAAGCTACCCACTCGACAAAGTGCATTCTGAAATTGGCCTCGTCTCGCAGCTCTACGTCTGTGTGCTGCTGCTTTAACTCGTCAAATCAACAGGATGGAGTGTCGTGTTTGTGTTGGTAGCCGTCTCGTCACCTGGACTGTGATTGCGCCATGTGTGCCTACTGACGTTACAAAAAGGAATGTTAAGGATCGTATTGGACGGTCTGCCGTGAGACTCTCAGGTCCCATGCCCTCATCACAGAGTCATCAAACAATGTCTACAGGAGAAGGTCTATACCAAGCACTGGACCAAGTCAAGGCCGATGTGCAAGCTGTCAAAGAAGCAACTGCCGCATTGGATAGATCAGTGGCCCGATTAAGTCTTTTCTGCCAAGGCAGCAACGGCCCATCACTGATCAGTTTCCATCTCATGGCCCACAACATCACTGACTTTTAAAAAATCCCAAGAGCCAACTGCACCTGCACAGGATGCACCCGCCGCACCCGTTGAGCTGGCCAAGCTGGCCAAGCTGGCAGCCATCCTGCATCAACTTGAATTGCTGAAAATCCACGCGACTGCTTCAAGCAAAGAGACTACCGTAACGGTGAATCTCAAACGCAAGCTCAAGGACAGCCAGCCTGATCAGGTATCGGTTGAACAGGTATCGAGCTTCTTAATCCGCTGACTAAACAGGACGGGATGAACGAGACCACAGCCAAGCTAAGCTGCAAGCGCCGACACCGATGCAAGGGCAAGAGCCAAGCAGCGTCGGCCTTCAGACCATTCCAATACTCTGCTATCGCTGCCTTGTCGATACAGGCGACGCCAGATGATCACAACAAAGTGTGCTCGGACATCCTCGTCAAGATGAAACAGCCGATCTGTTTGCATTGGCAACAGAGCGTGGCCAGGCCAAATCCAGCTGTTCTACCTTTATGACCTTGGCAAGGCTGTCCCTTGCCAGAGATGAGCCAGCTCGACAAACCAGCTGTTTCATCTTAACAAGGAGCTCCGAGCACACCTTGTTGTGTTCTGCTGGCGTGGCCTGCATCGACAAGGTAGCGATGGCAGGCAGCTGGAACGAGCTCTTGGGCGACGCAGGCGCGGGTTCACCGGCAGTCTTGCCCTTGCCCTTGCCTCGGTGTCGGCGCTTGCGGCTTGGCTTGGTTGTGGTCTCGTTCGTCCCATCCTGTTCGGTCAGCGGATTGTGCGAGGAAGAAGCTCGATAGTCGATACCTTTTCCACCGACACCTGCTCAGCCTCAGGGTGGCTGTCCTCGAGCTTGCGTTTGAGATCTACCGTTACGGTAGTCTCTTTGCTTGCAGTAGGCTCGTGGACTGTCAGCCCTTCGAGCTGATCCAGGATGGCTGCTATATTGGCAGGCACATCGGATCCGGGTGCTGCAGCCTCAGGCACTGCCGGCTCTTGGAATGTCTTGAAAGTCAGTGATGTTGTGGGCCACGAGGTGGCAACTGACCAATGATGGGCCGTGGCTGCTGCCCTGGCAGAGAAATTTCAAATCCGCGACAGACTTGTCCAGCCCGACGATTGCTTGTTTGACTGTCTGGAGCTCTGCCTTGGCTTGGTCCAGTGCTTGTAGTAGACCTTCTGCTGTAGACATTATTTGATGAGGGTATGGAACCTGAGAGTTTCACAGCAGACCGTCCAATATGGTCCTCAACATTCCCTTTTGTACCGTCAGTGGTCCAGGTGAAGAACTTCCCTCGGACGGGCAGATGTCATCTACAGATCATCCGTCTCATCCAGATCCAGAGCTTTCTTGTGTTATTAGCAGCTCATAGTAACCTGATTCCCACTTGGTCGCGCCTTTTTCAGATGCCACGGTATTCAGGGGAAGTCCCGTGTCAGCGCAGCGGGATATTCAGTTTTGGGATTTGGTGAATCCTGCAGACTGCAACGACCAGAGCTGATGGTGAGTACTGGCAAGTGGGTCGCAAGGCATCTTGTGATTCTTGTCCAGTCCGCCAAAGCTGCCTGCTCGCCTGAGCACGACCGATGATGTCCGCTGGTCGCAAATAGCTCTACTACTGATCCTGACATCCCGCAATCTTCTCGTTCTGACGACAGGAGCGGCAAGAGAGACATCAGCGCCCCAGCAAGGCGGCAAATCGAGCAGGATGCTTCTTCTATAAGGTCGCACATGGCCGCTGTTCGTAGGATTTTTGCTTCTTCGTCAGCTTGCCAGAGATGAGCCAGCTCGACAAATCAGCTGTTTCATCTTGACAAAGAGCTCCGAGCACACCTTGTTGTGTTCTGCTGGCGTGGCCTGCATCGACAAGGTAGCGATAGCAGGCAGCTGGAACAGTCTCACGGACGACACTGGCGCGGGCGCATCGGCAGTTTCTTCCTTGCCCTTGCCTCGGTGACGGCGTTTGCGGCTTGGCTTGGCTGTGGTCCCGTTCATCCCGTCCTGTTTGGTCAGCGGAGTAAGAAGCTCGATACCTTTTCAACCGATACCTGATCAGACTAGCTGTCCTCGAGCTTGCGTTTGAGGTCTACCGTTACGGTAGTCTCTTTGCTTGAAGCAGTAGCGTGGACTTCCAGAAGTTCAAGTTTGTGCATGATGCTAGGTTGGCAGGCAAATCGGATTTGGGTGCGGAGTGATGGGCAACCTTTCTTGATCTGTTTATATCAATCATAAGATCTCGCAACGCATTGATTGACTTGGTTCAAGATGCAAGGTGCACACCGGATAGCGAAACATGCGAGCGCGTGGCAAATGGTCCATTCTGGAAAGCCATTAATGACATGAATGCCATCTTGAAGCCTATCAACACAGAATTCATCCTTGCCCAAGGTCAAACGGCAACGATGGAGAAAGTTCTTCCTCGCTGGTATCGAATGAGAGACAACTACAAAGCCCTTGATGGCCATAATAGCCTCCCAACCATGGGCTTCGTGGACGGCAACAGTGCGTGGAGGAAATCGCCGCGCTCTATCACTTGTTGGAAGGAGCGATTTGCCCGACAAACACACAAGAATCATGCAGCGGCCTTCTTCCTCGACCCTAATACCAAGGAGAAGCCTGACACTGATTAAGTCAAGTTGATTGAAGCAGCATTTCTGTCAGTCGCTCCCAGCCAGCGTGATGCTACAATGATGATGAGAGAGTTCATTGCGTTCTTGGAGGAGACGGCTTCATTTGGTCCCACTGAGCAATGTTGGAAGATGTTTGGCAATGATATGAAGTCATCTTGGAGCAGACATATTCTTGGAAACGAAACGCAATCTGCTTGCTCACTATGCAAAACGCTTGTGTGCGACAACGGCAAATACCGTGACATCGGAGCGCTCCTTTTCAGCTCTCAAGCTTGTTCAGCATCGGATGCGCCATCGTCTCTCTCTCGAGCTCTCTGACCAGCTGATGTTCGTCTACTTCAATTCCAAAACAATGAGAAATAGAACAACGAAAAAGCGATCAAGGGCCGACAAGGGCGATTGTGCGACTGTCGATGTCGGCGTTGAGAGCGATGATGCTGCTATGAGAGTTATCGAGGATATGGTTGTGAGCGATGCCTGGGCAGATTACTTCAAGGTGTCAGAGCGACATGGATAAATCAATGGTCAGACTCAAAAGCTGGACGATGATACCGACAGTGATGCAGGCGAAGATCCCGATGCTCCGGCGTCGCTCCCTGACCGTATGGCAATCCATGCGCTGTTTTGTGGCTGAAAAGAGAGCCTCCACTATGGTCTGAAGAGAACAAGCATACCACCGTAGATGAGCAGCATAGTAATTTCAGTCATAAGTCCGATGAATCGGTTCATTTTACTTTTCGCCGAACCCTGCTACAGTCTGCGGACTGTGCAGTTGGCTGACGTGGCTCTTGGTCTTGGAATTTCTTAAAAGTCAGTAATATTGTGGGCCACGAGGTGGAAACTGACCAATTGTGAGCCGTCGCTCTGGCAAACATCTTTCAATTGTGCAACGGACTTGTCTAGTCCGGCAAAGGCTTCTTTGACAGCCTGCACTTCGGCCTTAACCTTGTCTAGTGCGAGCTGTAGACTGGCAACATCTGCTGGCATAGTCGCAGACATGGTTCGATGAGTGTATGGATCCTAAGAGTTTCACAGCAGACCGTCCAATATAGTCCTCAAGATTCCCTTTTTTTCTGTTTACCGATAGTAGTCACACCGAATCGCAGTCCGGGTGAGGTGACGAGATGGATACCATGACAAGCACAACACTCCTCCACAAGTCCAAGCAGCAATATCTCAAGACGTAGTCAACATACCGATAGTAGCGCAAAGCTAATGACCATGACATTGATAACTTGCTACCTCTAGAGACAACCGAGCGCAAATGCTCTAGATTCTTCTCTTGATGAAAGCTTTGAGCACTCAAGAGATGCAAGCCCGCCAAGGTAGGCGCTGCTGTTGCTGGCAATCACTGCCGTAGCAAGAGAAAAACAAAACACAGAACGAGAGGGAATACAGTGCTTGCCTTGAAGCGGTTGGGTTGCAACTGCAACTGCAATGCACATGCTGTGCGATGACAATCGCAAGATATGCACAAAACTTTGCCGATTTAAGGACAACGTGAGCTTGAGGAGTTGCAATGTCAAATATTTAGCTGGATCAAGGACGATGTAAATGGAACAATTGAGCCTGACCCAAATGCCACAGTGAACTTATATACATGCCAGCATCAGTGTCTCACGTTGAAGGAAGCTGAGTGCAAGCCAAGTTCTCTTCACAAGGCTGAAATACTTGCCTCGAGCGGGCAGACATCATCTACACATCATCTGTCTCACCCAGAAGCAGAGCTTTCTTGTGTTGGTAGCAAGCTCATAGTAGCCTGATTCCCACTTGGCCGTGCCTTTGTCAGATGCCACGGCACTCAGGGGAAGTCCCCTGTCAGCGCTGCGGAATATTCAGTTTTGGGATTTGGTGTGTCCTGCAGACTGCAACGACCAGAGCTGATAGTGAGTGCTGGCAAGTGGGCCGCAAGGCATCTTGTGATTCTTGTCCAGTCCGCCATAGCTGCCTTCTCGCCTGAGCACGGCCGATAATGTCCGCTGGTAGCAAATAGCTTTACTACTGATCCTGAAGCAGGATGCTTCTTCTATAAGGTCGCACATCGCCGCTGTTCGTAGCATTTTTTCTTCTTCGTCAGCCATTACTCACTTGAAGTATGGTCCTTCTGATCGCTGAGGTAACGCACGCTCGGGAAGAATAACTCTCCGAGTATGCAAACTTGATTCAACGTACTAGCGACAAGAATGACCGGACACAATGAATGGCAGATTGCAAGACCAAGTAGCTCAATATAATTGCCATCTACAAGCTCAATAACACGAGTCACGAATGCTCAACAATTGAATATTGCCTGGCCACGCTCTGCTGCCAATGTAGACATGAATGTTGAGGTGTTCTTCGGTCTTCTTGTTCAACACAAGGAGACGTTCGGATCGGTCGTTGTGCCTAGTGGAGATGGCAAACGTCTCGAAGGACACCTCTCATCATTGCTGGAATCCTGGTACTATGCCACCATCGCTTGTGCCGGTTCGCAGGCCAAGCGCTATGAGCTAGTGCATGAATGTGTTCTGCTATGAACAGCTCTCTGGGCCTCGCTCAGCAAGTCGGTGGAGAACGAGCGAGCGCAACAGACACGACTGGAGATGACCCAGAAGTAGAAGAAGAACTCCATGCAGTTGTGATTCAACCAGTAAATGCGGACGACTCTGTGGTCTGTGGTGAAGGCATGTGGAACTGAATCAAAAATGGAACGAATGCTTGTGATTCTGTGTTGCAGTCTTCTTCCACTTCTGGGTCAACCTCAGTCGTGTCTGTTGCGCTCGCTCGTTCTCCACTGACTTGCTGAGCGAGGCCCAGAGAGCTGTCCATAGCAGAACACATTCATGCACTAGCTCATAGCACTTGGCTTGCGAACCGGCACAAGCGATGGTTGCATAGTACCAGGATACCAGCACTGATGAGAGGTGTCCTTCGAGACGTTTGCCATCTCCACTGGGAACGATGATTGACCCAAAGCTCTCCTTGTAGTGTATTAAACAAGGACACCAGAGAAAGTCTCGACATGCACGTCGATATCGACAGCCGAAGTCCAAGTCAAACCCAATTGTTTACCCTTCGTGATCTTGAGAAGGCTGTTTGTCGCCAGGCATGAGCCAGGACGGCAGATAGTGCTCTTCATCTTGTCCAGCAGGTCGGCAAATCCCAGGTTGTGAGCGGCTGGTTTCGCTTGCATCGACAATGCGGCGATGAAACTAGCCAGCAGTCAGACTGTTTTGAACGTTGAGGGGGCTGGCTGGGCGGCCTTGTCCTTGCCCTTCCCCATAGTCATGTTCTCTGTAGTCAGCATGTTGTGCGAAGAAGAAGGACCTCGGTCACCTGCACAGTGGAGCCTAAAACGAGGTCGCATCAACCAAGCTCAGCCTTCTCTGGATGTATGCGGCGATCGCTCGACCTGCAGATGTTGCGCTTGTGCCGAGACGGACGCCAGACCTGCCAGCTTGGCAGCTGCGGCCGGTGCGGCATCTTGAGATTTCTATAAAGTCAGTGTGGTCCAAAGTGATGTGCTCCATCATGCCTTCTCCTCGGCCTCTATGGCTGTGCCTTGAGGTACTGGCCAATGTGATGGAGATCTTACCAGTGGCTGGCCATCGAGGCGCTGTTGGTATCTCCTCTCTAGTTTAAGAAGACGTTCCTTGAAGGTCATCATCTCAGCTTGGACCTGCTCAAGGGTAAGATTTTGGCTGGTCATTGAAGACGGATGAGGAGCATAACAGAGACTCTTGCGCCTTATAAAGCAGAGCAAGGATTGGCCGTCACGCTAAAGCACGCGATACCTTGCAGAGAGATGCAGTAGCAAGTGAAGCTATGTGACTTGATTGTGACGGAGTTCCCGCAGCGCAACTGCAACATTCAGATGGGCTTTTCGACTCCGATTACTTTCGAAGAAGAGCGAAGGGCTCTTGAGAACAGCTGGAGGTGGCGGCTTCTTCTACTTAATCGCCTGGCACACTACTCTATAGTCTCATAGAGCATCTGTCCAGTTGTTCCAACGGCCCTTGTTGGCCATATTGACCATATGGGTCTTCATTTGTTATTACACTTGTTACACAGTCTACTCTATGCCATCCTGTACTAGCAAATGCTCGAGTTGCTCTTCACACAAATGTGCTACGGCATCAGTGTCTATAGTGTCTATGAAAGAGGAAGCTGCAGAGTGCAAAGGGAGAAAGTCAAGTACTGTATACCAGACGCTTTATTGCGTACCTCGCACGAGCAGACATTATCTACACATGGTCCACTATCATCCGTCTCATCTTCCAGGCCCAGAGCTTTCTTGAGCTGATAGCAGCAGAAACCCATTTCATTGTGCCTTTATCAAATGCCGCGGTACTTCCATGGAGTCAGGTGCAGTCCGGTGTCAATGCTGCGGGATATTTAGTCCTGGGATGTGCACAACCAGCAGACTGCAACGACCGGCGCTGATGGCAGTGATGGGAGTTGGCGAGTGGGCTGCAGCCGGTATCTTGTCTGTCCCTCCACAGCTGCCTTCTCGCTAGAAACCAAGGCCGACGCCGTTCATCAGTACTAGCTCTACTATTCATCCTGACATCCCGCGCCCCCGCAATTTCTCATCCCGGCGACAAGAGCGGCAAGACAAACACCCAGCAGTAGCAGCAACCCAGCAACCCATCTGTCTGGCGGCAAGTCGAGCAGGATGCTTCTTTTATAAGGTCGCACATCGCCGCAGTTCGTAGGCTTTGTCCTTCTTCGTCAATTATTACTCACCTGAAGATGGTCATGGCCAAACCAGATGTCCTCCTCATCGGTGAGGTAACGCATGCTCGGAAAGAATACAACCAGCTCTCCGAGTATGCAAACTTGATCCAACGCACCAGCGACAAGAATGACCGGGCACAATTCATGGCGGACTGCAAGACCAAGTATCGCAATGTGGTTGCCATCTACAGGCTCAACAATACAGACTATACTGGCAGGTTTGACGAGGAGCTGTGTAATGCCCTGCCTCCATCGCTCAAATTCATCTGCCACAATGGTGCTGGTTATGATAATATCGATCCTCCGGCGCTCAAGGCGCGTGGCATTGTCTTCAGCAACACGCCCGGTGCGGTGGATGCACCTACGGCGGATGTTGCCTTCTTCATGATGCTTGGTTGCTTCCGCAACTTTTACAAGGCCATGCTTCACACGCGGCGCGGTGAATGGCGTGGTGATACGGGACTTGCGCATGATCCTGAGCACAAGGTTCTCGGTATCCTTGGTATGGGCGGCATTGGTCGGGCTTTGGCCAAGCGTGCTGCTGCATTTGACATGGACATCATCTATCACAACCGGAATAAGCTTCCAAAGGAAGAAGAAGCAGGTGCTCGCTGGGTATCATTTGACGAGCTGCTAGCGACTGCAGATTGTCTGTCCCTCAACTTGCCCCTCAACAAGCATACCCGCCACATCATCTCACATGAGGAGATTGGCAAGTGCAAAAAGGGCGTCATCATCATCAACACGGCACGCGGACCTGTTCTTGACGAGCAGGCACTGGTCGATGGTCTAGCATCTGGTCAAGTGGGCAATGCTGGTCTCGATGTATTTGAGAATGAGCCAGAGATTCACCCGGAGCTCCTCAAGAATGACAAGGTCTTTTTGCTGCCACACATTGGTACAGGTACAATTGAGTCGCAGTACAACATGGAGATGGTGGTCATCAACAACATCAAATCAGCTCTGACGCGTGGCGTGCTGGAAACGCCCATTGCAGAGCTCAAGGAGATTGCAAATGCGCACAAGACTGTTTAGTGACTGTTTAGCCATAGCCAACACGAATGACCTCATATCTCCTGTCAACTACATGCGACATGGCTGATCAAGATGTGTCGCGGCCGCCAGTGCCTCTTATCGCAGGACTGACACTCATGTACATCTACTTTGCTTCATTAAAGTGCCTAGTGTCTGGTCTGCCAGTTTTGACTGTCTTTAGCATTGTCCAGCTCTTGGCCTTTGGCAGTGGCGCATATAGGACCGTGACACTCGGTGCAGTTGCTTTGCATGTCGCATACTACCTAGCACGGCCTAGCTCGGTGCTCTATCTCTTCTTTTCATTAGCTTGTTGGACGTCTGTTGTCGTCTTGTCACTCGTCTACTATCCTATTCTGCGCACGCGATTGCGACCGGCGCGCGACTACATCAAACGAAAAATTACCAAGCTTGAAGAGCGTATAGCGCATTGGGAATGGCCGCTGCTCAATCTTGACGAAAAGGGCTATCTCAGACTACTCGGTGGTGCTAGTGTTGATATACTCGACGGCAGCATCGTCTTTACCAACGTCGACTTTGCCTATCGAGTGGACGCGTTTACAACCGTCCTTGCAAAGTTGGATACAGTCAGGATCCGAGTAGGGCGTGATGTCGCACTGGGTGAGCTTTCCGTCAATCTACGCGGTCATGGACATACAGTGGAAATGACGCAGCCAAGACTCAAGCCTGTGCGGACAATGAGTGTCGACATCAAGGCTGATTCTCGCAAACTACCGCCTGTAGACTCAGAGGTCTCATCGCGTCCAATCGTGCTCAAAAAGACAGGGAGTCGTACACCTCCAGTCTTGCCCCCACGCCGACAAGTCACTGAGCCTATTGATCAGACTGAGGATCTTGAGCTGCAACAAGCCATCAAAGAAAGCCTTGCTTCTGCAAAAAACTCGTCCCGTGTGTCCTTAAACGGCGATACAGCCGAGCCAACCCGTACGTCGCTTGAGGGACGGTCCGAGATTGACAGTGAGCTGCAATCACTCTACCCCGAAGAGGATGCCGAGTCTGATGCCTACTTTCGCAAGGTCTTGGAAGACAATGCCGTCAAGCACAAAGTTGATACGACTGCGCCAATAGGACAGGGGAATCTGGATGCCAAGGCAGCGTTTGCCAATCAGCTCAAAGACAAGCTAGAGGAAACACTTCGAGCGACAGAAGCCAAGCATTCTCCACAAATTCGACTTCGACAATTGCTAAACTTAATTCCTTGGTGGCTCAAACTACCGCCTGGACCACTGCTGACGCGTCTGATTCTATCGCCCATCATCTGGCTGCACCCATTGAAAATCAAGACTGTTGCCGTTTCTGGCACAGGCAAGCGCATCACCAATATCCTCGAACGTTGTGGTGTCTCACGAGCACATCCTGATCCAGAAATCTTTCGCCTGGTGCGTAAAGTGATTATATGGTTGGAGAGAGGCGATGTGTCACTTATATTGACAGATATCCAAGTGAATGGTTATGTGCCGCTTGCTCGAGATCCCGTCGCCACGGCAGACATCAAAGCGTCAAGACCAACGGCGTATCGCAATACGGGTGGCGAAGAAGACTTGTTGGCGCAACTCGAAGCCATCCAAGGGACAGTGCAAATGCCTACATACTTGCTGCCGAATCATGAAGCCTACTTTCCAGAAACACCGCGCTGCAAACTCTTTTACAGCGTCCTGCTTTCAATGCCAGCAGTCTTCAACAAGGAACTGCTCATTATTGGCGCTGCTTTTCTCAAGGCCATTACTATGATTGATATGAAGCAAGACGCAGCCAGTAGACCACCGCCATCAGTCCATCTCAATGGCAACTTTTCTCTTCGTGGGCTCGGCACATCCCTGAGGCAAGCGGCAGGCGATATTGCCAAGCAAAAGAGTGTACAGTGGGGCGTAGGGAGCGAGCGATTGGCCAAATACGTCAACAAGATTTCAAAATGGATGCGAACAGTGCATGCGGATGTGGGTGGCAAGGGCGAGATTGAGTTTGACTTGATCAAGCTGCGTCGCAAGAGGGACGGTAAGGAGGTGTAGATGCGTTCCATCTCGTAGAAAAATACTTTTCCACGACAAGACAAAGCATCATATTGAGTAGCTAGCCAGTACATGTCGGGATCCGAGGCGGCTACGGCGGCCAAGCCTGGGATGCCCAAGCCCAAGGTCCCAGAAGGGAATCCAGCATTCAACATGATGGGTCTGCCCAAGATTCGAAACTGGCGCTTACCCTCGCGCAACTGGTGCATCTTTTGGGCTGTTGTCGGCACATTTGCAGGCAGTGTGACCTATGATCGGTTCGAAAAGAAGAAGGTCCTGCGGCGCTATACAAGTATGGTTTCACATCTAGCGAATGAGCCACTTCAGCCATTGCAAATGCCGCGTAAAGTGCGCGTCTTTCTGGGTGCGCCGCCTGGAGATGGCTTATACGTCGCTCGAGATGCCTTTGATGAATATGTCAAGCCCATCTTTTACGCTGCGGCAGTCGACTATGAACTGGTAGAAGGACGCATGCAGGGGGATATTCGGCACAAGACTGCACAATCTATTCGCGACCGACGGCTAGGCGTGGATGGCATGACGGACTTGCAGAGACAATCAAAGCAGCAGCTCGAATGGAACAATGAAGGTGGTGATTTGATCCTTGGTCGGCATACCTTTAAAGAATACATTCGAGGCCTGCATGAAGGGTATCTTGGCCCGGTAGAGGAACCAGCAGAGGTACATGCCATCATGAACCCCGAGTTTCCAGATCAGGGTGCCGCCTCGCCAACAGAAGAACTTGAGCCCGGCCAGGAACTGCTGACTGACGCGCAAAAGGAAGAGCAAATCAAGGCCATCAAGGACAAGATTCCATCGAGCCCGCCGTCCTATCTTCTTCCAAACGCGTATGCGAATGCTCCGGATCCTGTAATAGACAAGCCGGTGGTGCACAGCTTTGTACCGCTCCAGCACTTGCTTGGCTTTCTCAATACACCCTGGCGAATATGGCGCTTTGTACATCGCAGGGATTTGGCTGAATCCATGTGCTCTGCCACAGCAGCGACTGTGCTTGGTCTGCACTCACGGCCGCTGACTCGAGAAGATCTCAGCATTAATGAGGCAGATGAGCTTGATTGGCCAAAGAAGAACCGAGAAAAGACGGACGGCGTCTGGGTAGAGGATATAGCGGTGGACGATCGAGTCATGGCGCATCTTGCGAGATATGAGCTGGATGTTGAAGAAGCGGAGCGGCTTGCATCTGAGGCAGCTGCTCGATATGCGGCAGAGTCTATATAGTATCTACTATATATTAGTAGATAAGTAGCTGAGCATCCCACGCATTCTGTGGCGACCGAAACGAATTCTATTCGAGCCTTACACTTTTCACCACACCACCCAGGAAGAGCACTGCCGTCTGGGTCCAACAAGCGACAGTACTCGACTTCCTCTTCATCCTCGCTTCATTTTGACCGCCGGTATTCCTCCACGACCTTCGCCATGCCAAAACCAGTCATTCTTTGGTCCCATCCACGATCCGTTTCGACGGCCTTTGAACGAGCCTTCATCCAGCGCGAGCAGGATGTCGTCTGTATGTTGAACGTATACAAAACGAATCTAACGTCAGGTTTTCACGAGCCATTCGGTGAGCCATTCTACTATTCTGCCGAGCGCATGAGCACACGATACTCGGAAGAAGAGTGCAAAAAGTGAGGCCTCCAATTTGCAAGACAGCTGTGCTCATACACTAGTAGCGGCCAACATGACAAGACTTTCAACAACATTTACCAAGAAATTCTTGCGGCGTCAAAGGATGAAAAGTATGTCTTTGTCAAGGACATGTCACAGTACATCGTCAAGCCTGACTCCATTGAAGGCAAAAACCCCACAGTCTTTACAGACGACGAGCTGAAAAGCATGACACACTCATTTTTGATTCGCACCCCCGAAAAGTCTGTGCCGTCCTACTACCGATGCTGCTCGGGTGACCAGGCCAAAGAGACTGGCTTTGAGACATACGATCCTGATGAGGCCGGCTATCGCGAGTCAGTGACCTTATTCAAGTACCTGACGAGCATTGGCATTGAGCCCATTATCGTCGACTCGAGCGATTTAATCAAGACGCCCAAGTTGGTTATGCAGGCATACTGCAAGCATGTCGGCATTCCCTACCTGGAGGGCATGATTGAGTGGAAGGCGGAGAAAGTGGAGAGCTTTGACAAATGGAAGGGATTCCATGATGATGCTCAGCAGTCCACTGGCTTCAAAGAGGTCAAGCGAGAAAAGGAGACGCACCCAGAGATTGTCACAAAGACAATTGAAGAGAACAAGGCGCCCTATGAATGGTTGTTTGAGCGTAGAGTCAAAATTGACAGTCAATAGCGAGGTATACATATGGAGTTTGCAGAACAACCTGAAGTATCTTGCATTACAGTTTGGACTGTATCGGCGGATTGCAGACAGCCATCAAGAATGCTTCAGGCTTTTCGAGAAAGAAGAAATGGTTGCCAGTCTTACTCCCGCATTGCACATCCACACCCAATCGCTTTGCCTCATTCGCAGCTGCCACAAACCACCCTGCGGTTTCTGCAGCATACAACAAACGTAAGCGCACGTCCGGTGCCTGTATTGCAGCTGTTGTAAAGGCATGCATTTCTTTGTTGTTACGAGCACACCACGTAGAACCATGCTGTATGTTTTCCAATTTCAAGGTACGTCTGTACAAAGCGTCAGCCGCAGTATCATCAATGGTCAAGGATGTTGGTGTAGATGCAAACTTGCCCCCAGGCCCGTCAGGGTGGCGATAATGCCCGGTGGTCCAGCGTTTAAAGACATTTGGGTCAGATAGATTGCCTAGTGCCTTGAGCTCGGGCGTCGGTCGGATGGCTTTGCCAAAAATGACAGAAGTCGGCTCAAACACAATCAAATCGTCGACTGCTGCAAGAGCATCTTTGCGAAGGTCGACTGGCAAGAACGTGGGATTTGCCAGCGCTAGAACCAGTTCAGATGCTTTTGACCAGCCGAGAAAGATGCAATGGCCAGTAGGCTTCAATTGCGTCTTGCAATAGTGTAAGAACAAGGCGAGGTCGGTTGTATAGTCCAAGCACATTGCCGTACGATCTGCTTTGCACTCAACTTCATCCTTTGTTAGTGGCGTAGACTGTCCAAAACCTCGACGATTGTAAGCAATAATGCGCAAATTGTAGGCCTCGAGTAGTTGTTGCTTGAACAAAGGCGTTGTCATGAGCTCAACATTGCTTCCTACGCCGTGCGTCATGATGAGTGTTGTTTTGATGGAAGCAACATCAGTTGAGAAGGTACTTAGTGAGTCAAAGTACTCGAGCTCTGTGCCATTGGAGAGCTTTGCGAAGGGCATCTTGGCAGCTCAGTCGTGGGTTGTGTGTACAGATGAGATTGCGGGGCCTTGCACAACCCACAAATCATCAGTTGACCAAGAAATCAGCCTGCGACCGCAAAGATGTGAAAAGCATGGTCTGTAGCCGGGTTGCGAGACAAAGACCAGCAGATGGACAGGTCACCATGATCACCTTCAAGATGTCAGTCATTGACGTTTTACATCATTCTGTGCTCAGTAGCGGCACAATCGGTAAATCAGGGAAATAGAGGTATTTGGACGCCAGGGACAAGTAGATTGCAACCCTCGAGGCTACTATGTCATCAGAGGAGTCTAGCGTGGACTTTGCATCCTGTTCACGTCTGTCTGCATCACGTTGGGCCGAAGCACAATGTCGGGTGATGTCATGCAGTGCAGAGCACGCATGGCCAAGAGTTACCACCTCAGCCTCTGCAACATGGCTCAGTGATGACAGCGGCGTTTCTTGGTATTGCCTGGACCGACAGATTTGTGGGATAGCATCAGTACGTGCTGTTCCAGAAGGTGCCCCAAGGCGAATTCTTGATGGATATCCTCATGCAGTTCTTTGGCGTTGATGCCGAGGACGCACTGAGGCTTATCAAGTTCAAGATTTGACGGGACCCGGCTAACCTGCACTGGTACATGAGTGCAATGCTGAGAGTCTACTGCCCTCTGTTATGTTGGTTGAATGTGCAGCTAGGATCAGCTCCGGTCAATTGCGAGCGTGGACGCTCTCACCGGAAATCACACAGCTCAATTGGCAACTCCCGTGTGTGCCCACGATTACACGTAAAGTCAACAGAGCAGAGGGCAGTAAAGTGACAGCATCCATATTCAAGTGCTGGTCCGTGTACTTGACGGGCATCAATCCAATTCAGCATCATGCCGAGTATTGCATGAGCAAGTCCATCAGAGACTCTTCTGGAACACTTGCTGCGAGAGCACATGATCGTACACTTTTTCTCATCTACCAGTGCAAGTCATGCTGACCAAGGCCGTCATTCACAAGTCGACACAAACACTCAATGCGAGATCCGAGGAGGTGACGCTGGACGTATGGCATACCTTTCAGCAGACAGAGCCAGTACAAGCTCGCTCAATGATGGCGCAGCGCTTGTTTGTGCTGGCCCACACATGTCGGAGACCGTATGTCCAATTGAGGCCTCCCATCAACGTCTGATATGACTCGTTTGATCCCGCATCTGCTCGAGTGCAAGCATCGGTGTTGTCATGGTTGCAGATCGCGGTCCCAATTGCTGCCTGTGGGATCAATTGCACGTACGTCGCGGTCTCTGGCAGCTAGATCGTCCTCGACTAGCCACCGACAATACACGTATCGACGACGCTTCCCTGCCATAGTTTACCTGGGTGCTCCCCCAATGCCGACCGAGCTCTCAATGGCTGCGTCTGTCAGACGACCAGCGCCTGGCTCTCCGGTCTTGTGTGAGGTCTTACTCAGTGCTCTTCTGACTCTTGAGAGAGCAGTCTACTCTACTGGGAGTCGGTCAACTGGATCGCGACCCCTGATATCGCCAACTTGCGCTGAGGCAGTCACAAAGGCAGTCACAGGTCAAGGTCGCAGTACAAAAGAAGACTACACATGTTCCCCTCTCTCTTGTCAGGAAGAGCTGGAGAGGCGAGGTCGGCAGGCATGCTATTGTACAGTCGAGGACACTTTGTCATGAGAGCAGCCTTAGGGCCTCACAGATGAAGCACCAAGCATTCGTTAAGACAACACACAAGGAGGAGCACGCAAGATCTCAAAACCCAATGCTACGCCTCTTGATCCTTACACACTTTCGGCAAGATAATCATGCAATCGACCCCTCTGCTCTCGTGATTTTGCAAAGTCACTGTACCGCCGCAAAACTTGGCATACAGTCTGGAAATAGGTAGACCATAGCCAAAGCCTGCCATGATTGCGCGCTCCGCTGCATTCTCAATCTGTTCTTCTGCTTCCGAGGGTGAGTAAGGAGAGTTTGCCGTCGTGTACATGTAGCGCCAGACGAGATCTGCTTGTTTGGCTGGAATGCCGCCGCCTTGATCACTGATTTTGATGACAACATTGTCTGCGTCGTCAATGAGAGAAATGGCGATGGGCGCGTACGGTTCTTCGAATGTCTCGACAATCGCGCGCATGCTGTTTTTTAGAATTTCAAATGCGATATGCCATAGGTAGCCCGGAATATAAGTAACGGCCAGGTTGTCAGGCAGATCCATCTGGACTTGCGGTGCTGTAGAGATGCCGTAATAGTCTACACACACTTGACGTGCATCAGCAGCTGCCTTTTGCAAGACTTGTGGAATGTTCATCTCGTGTTCAATAATACCACAGTAGCCATCTCTCCGTTGTGTGACGGCTGCTGTTTGGCCGAGCAGCGTCAAATGCTGTGTTGATGTTGTGCGCATGCCTATCCGTGACAGGTGAAATCGATCCAAAAACTCCTGCAGTGAATCATCCCGCGCGTCATTCTCTGGATGTGTTGCAATATGCCTGTGAAAGCCCTCTGCCAGGGTCGTCGCAACAGGCTGATGCCGTTTCGCAATTGTTTTGAGCACATCCGTCAGTTTTGTCCATTCTTGTATAGTGATGGCATCGCTCTGCTTATCCTTCCAGAGGTCCGCAAAGACTGCCAATTCACCAAAACTCTTCTCATACCACTGCTTGACACGCCCGACGCTGTCATTATGCCGCACAGACTCTGGCAATGTAGATAGGTCCTTGAGACGATGCGCGAGTCTGGTAGGCAATTCTACAGTTGCATGCATCCGCGCACCCTCGAGGACGTCCTGTGTCTCTTGGCTCCGTGTCCGCCGAAGCAGTCGGGCCAGATTGATGGTCGTCAGCTCACGCGCTGCATATTGGGCAATCAATGCCCCGGACATGGCGGCCGTGCAGGTGAATGTGGTGTCGTGTCACCTGACTGCCTGGGATGAGAGCGCCAGTGCAATATGGACAGAGGTGTAGTTGCTTGGTGTCACGGTCTTTGCGGAGTCGGAGTGGAGGCTGCCAAAACCCGACAACTCGCAAGACAAGACACAGTGATACACTCTGCCTGGAGCTTGTAGATTGCTCAAGACTAGCTCATGCTCAAACGCTTCTTGCGGCCTGCGCCAGGGAAGCAGCAGACGCTCGTGACAGCCTGCCGGGTCACGACCAACTTGGTGCGCATGAACCACGCCGTACGCTGTCCCTCTCGTCCTGCGCAAGAGCCATCTACACGGCCTGCCGCGGCCAAAGTGCTCCCAGAGGCACAAAAAGAGTATACATCTCCTTATGCATCTATACGGTCTGATCTAGACTATGACTACCATACACCGCCGACGCCAGAACGCTGTCAAGTACAAGACGAGCTCATACGAGCGACTCTGCAACGGCATGCTGCAGCAACAGCCGCGTATCCTGTCAAGCAACATAAGCGCCCGCTTCTGCTCTTTACTGCTGGAGCCATGGGCGCAGGCAAATCTCACTTCCTATCGACACTCCCTTTTAGTTATGTCTTGATTGACCCAGATGAGCTCATGAGTAAATTGCCTCGGTACGCACGCCCATGTGCGCCCGGTTCTACATTCGGTCAAGGCTCAGCACTTTTGCAAGAACTGGAACAATCCACTCGGCTACGGCACGAAGCGCGACTCATCACAGAAGTGATATTGCTCGCTGCAATGCAACAAGGTGCTGATATCGTCACTGATGGTTCTTTGCGGTCTTATACCTGGTACTTAGCACAAATACCCATGCTACGGCGACGCTTTCCGCAGTACCGCGTCGAGGTCGTTCACATCCACTGTCCGCTGCAAGAAGTTCTCAAGCGAGCCCAGAAGCGGAGTCTACGAACAGGCAGAGAGGTACCGCCGGCGCTGATTGAGCGATCTTGGAAAGACTCTAGGCGAGCCATCTCTGTGCTTGGTCGGCAGAAGCTGGTGGATCGTGTGCGTATGGTTGATTCTACAGGACCATTGCCACGCGTCGTCTATGATTCTCTCGAGGATGAAGCCTGGCCGCTGCGAGGTGTACCTAATGAAATATCAAGAGTCGATGGCTTCGTCAATTCTGCTGGCGTAGTCATGGAGAATGGTGATGATAGATTACAGACCAAAGTCAAGGCAAAATTGTAGGCGTAATCTATATGCTAAACGGCACCCGAAGCAAAGTAGAGCTTCGAAATGGCCGGTCCACTAAACTCTTCAATCTGGCTGCAGTAATTATCAATCTGCCCGGAAATGAGCAGTGACTCGAGTCTGTTGGGCTCATTCGCCACGACAACAGGTCCCTCGATTGGCTTTTGTCCAACAAACACGCGCTGTGTATTCTCTGCTTTGCGACGCGCATGTTCGCGTGCCATTTGTCGTGCATGGTATTGCAGCGCATTCTGCTCATAGTTGTAGTCGTCAATGCCTTCGAGCAAAAAGTCAATATTCTTCTCAAGATACGGGTCAACGGCCAAATCGAGCGACGCATAGCTGGGTGCACCAAAAGTTGTATCTTCAGGGTTGTGCGAGAGCTTGTCGGCTTTTGATGGGATCGGTGTCAGCTCTGCGAGCAGGGCTGTTGCGAGGTGCGAGTTGCACACCTCAATAGGAAGCTCCTCGAGAATATCTCTGTGAGTCAGGTTGTGCTTTTGTATTGTGCTTAGCAAGAGCTTGCCGCCAGCTTCCTTTTGTGCTGCCAAGAAGGCGGGTGCGAGCCTGTACGCTTTCAAGCTCAAATTGCCGGCATTCGATGTGCAAATGTCGTGCACAAGCACAACAGAGCGGTCATTGAGTTGCTTTTGATAGGCAAATTGTGTTTCTGTGAGCTGTTGGTTCAGGAAAGTTCCCAGGTATGCAGACTGATACCAGCCAACAACGTTATTATCTACGCCAACGTCACGAAGCCAGTGAATCATGTGGTTCATGTGCTGTGCTTTTGCCTTGGCAGAACCACTTCCTTCCTCGCCCTCATTGGGTGAAGGAAAGGGAAAGCAGTTGGTGACCTCTAGTACATCTTTGACATCCAATCCGAGTAACTGGCCAGTCGTACCGGGATGAGGAAAGCTTTCGCGACAGTGCTTTGCGATTTTGAGCACAACCAAAGAATCGACCTTCACAGAGCGCAAGGGGGCAGTGGAATCGATATCTGTGGCTGCCGGTGTCGACGGCACGGGCGCAATGGCTTGGACCATGCTTGTAGAGACGCAATGAAGGCTTGAGGCAAGCTCACAAGATGCTGCTGCTGCGAATGCTTCGTCGCGGTCAAAAAATTGTCGCGCACGTGATTTATTGTCAGATGGATGCGGAATTGCTTCTGGCGACTCTACTTAGTCTCTACCTACATGGAAATCTGATTCCGTGATTGCTTCTCTGCTTCGTTCGTCGTTTCTATCTAAAGAACTTTGATAAGAGTCATAAAAATACGGATATTGGCTAGCATCAGCTCACAACTTGCTCTGCTCAGCTGCCGACTCAGCCGCAATCTCGTCTCGCAACAGACGGCGCAAAATCTTGCCAGCTGGAGACTTTGGCACCTGGTCTACAAAGCGAATTCCGCCCCTCAGACGCTTGTAGCCCAGTACCTGCGGCTCGTACCAAGCTTCGATTGCAGCCTTTGCAGTCTGTTCATCCATCGTCTTGAGTGTGCCGTCTGCTTTCAGCACAATGTATGCGCGAACGTTCTCCGTCGTGCCTTCCTTCTGCAAGTCAGGCACTCCAACTACTGCACAGTCAACAATCTCTGGATGTGAAAGCAAGATGCCCTCGATTTCGGCAGGAGCCACCTAAAGTCAGCAATGCCGTAATAAAAGTCGCTTACTTGGAAGCCTGAACTCTTGATGAGCTCCTTGATGCGGTCAACAATCCACAGGCGGCCGTCTTTGGCGGCAACAGCGACATCTCCTGTTCGATAAAAGCCATCCGCGGTAAAGAACTTTGCATTCTCCTCCTCACTCATACCCAGATACCCGGAAAATACATTGTCTCCCTTTACAAGAAGCTCGCCTCGTTGTGTCTCGTTCCTGAGATCCACTACAGTCGCAGGTACAATCTCTTCGTCGGTTTCCAGGTTGACAATTTTGAGCTCCATGCCAGGCAGGGGATAGCCGCAATCGCCACCAGGCTGGCCAGGAGCAGGAATGCCAAAGTTTCCTCCGAAACTAGCAGCACTTCCCAAGCACACAAGCTCAGACATGCCCCACTATCGATTAGCGTGATTTTTTTACATGCAATCTTACCATCTGTTGAATTCGAATCTTGGGATTGATTCGCTTGACGCAGGCATCTGCCAAGTCTTGGCCACACGGGGCGGCACCCACAATGATGTGCTCAAGGTAGCTAAAGTTCCGTCCCTCAACCAAAGGGTGCCTAGCCAAAAGCAGAACGATAGGAGGAGCCACCATAATCTGATCTGGGCGAAACTTTTCCAACAAGTCAAGGTACGCTGGGAGGCTGAATTGCTGGAGGATGACTGACGTAAAGCCATTGTAAAGAGGGTCAAAGATTGATCCAAACAGACCAGCGGCATGAAACGAGGGAAAAGCACCCAACACAGTGATCCGCCTGTTGACGTCTTGCATGTGGCGCTTGTGATGAGCTGCATAGTGGTACTTGTGTGTTTGGGCAACCACATTTTGGTGCGTCAGCATCACAGCCTTGGGTAAGCCGCTGGTGCCGCTCGAGAAGCAAATGAGGGCAAGGGATTCGTTGACGTGGGAACCTCGCGGCCACTCAAGTTCCGGTCCATCAAGCAGCGCCGTCCAAGAATAATGAGATTTGTCCGTGGGTGTGGGCATGTCTCCACGAACAATGACCGTTAGATCTGGATGATGCTGCAAGACGCCCCTGACAGCGTGGTAAAATTGTGCATCGACAATGATGACCTTGAGTCCAGAGATTTGAATGTACTTGAGGATATCCTGAACAAGCGATTGCGGATTGATTGGGACAGCTTGGCCGCCTGCACACATGATGCCAAACAACATGACTGGATAATGGACACCGTTCAGGGACATCAATCCAACACGGTCGCCAGGCTGCACACCCACCTTGTGCTTGAGCGCATGACCAAACCTTTTGAAGGACTCTCGCGTTGCCCCGTACGTCAGAGGCTTACTGTTTGGATCGTTGTCCCAAAAGACGATGCGCGATTCTTCATAATTGGTAGCGGCCTTGTCGAAGAACAACGAGAGGACATCAGTTTCGGGCGATGGTGGGGCGGTAAAGGGGGTTGGCAGTGGCATTGTTCAATGATCTTGAGTGAATCGTTGGGCTCTGACTTGACTATGTAGTCGCTGGCTGATGACAAATAGCGGAGTGCCATGTTGTTTATGTTTACCCCTGAATTGAACTTGAGCAGTGTCCCGGAACGATCCATACCCGCACAGCCGCGATTCCGTGTGAACTCAGAGCTTTGCCTGTGCCTTTGCAGCTTCTTCAAGCGCAATTTGATCCCGTAGCAGCCGGCGCAGAATCTTGCCACTCGGTGACTTTTCAATCGCATCGACAAACCGAATTCCGCCAACGAGTCTTTTATAGCCCATCACCTGAGGGTTATACCAGGCTTTGATTTTGCGCTTGCACAGCTCGGGATCCATTTGCTTCAAGTCACTCCCAGGCCTGAGCACGATATAAGCCCTCACCTTCTCGCTCGTGCCTTGTTTGCGCCTGTCGGGGACGCCAACCACAGCGCAGTCGACAATGTCGGCATGCGACAGGAGAATACCTTCGACTTCCGCAGGAGCAACCTGGAAACCAGAACTCTTGATGAGCTCCTTGATGCGGTCCACGATCCAGATGCAGCCTTGCTGGTCAGCGACGCCGATGTCTCCGGTGCGATAGAAGCCATCGTCCGTAAAGTATTGTGCCATCTCTGCTTTTGGCATGCCTAGATAGCCTGCAAACACTGATGGACCCCTTACCAGAATCTCGCCTCGTTGAGACTCTTGCACTGGATCAATTTGTGCAGCTGGGTGGATCTCTTCGCCATTCTCAGGATTCACCAACTTCATCTCGAGGCCTGGTAATGGGAAGCCGACAGCGCCTGGTCTAGCTTTTGCCGCAGAATCATCGAGCATGCAAAACGTCGTTGCACAGCATACAAGCTCAGTCATGCCCCACTACTGTTAGCTTGACCTTGATGATGAGTTTCATACCACTTGTCGAAGCCTTGCTTTTGGATTGAGCCGTGCTACACATGCATCTGCTAGCTCTTTGGAAAGTGGCGCTGCGCCAACGTTGAGCCGTTCTACGCTGCTAAAGTCGTAGCCTTCGACAGCTGGACTCGTGGTCAACAATAGGACAATGGGTGGAGCTAGTCCTAGGTCAGTAGGCTTGTTTTCCTTGACAAGTTGCAAGAACAGTGGTAGTGTGAAGGATGGCATCAGAACAGATGTCGCACCGGCGTATGCTGGATCAATCATAGAGCCCCTGGCATGTCAGCAAAGTTTGGATCAAGAAAACATACCAGATTCCGGCTGCATGGAAAGGTGGAAATGCCGAGACAATGATATTGTGTAGTTTGCCTTCGTGCATGTGTCTGGCGTGCTGTGCTGCGTAATAAAACATGTGCTGATTCGCGACAATGTTCTCATGAGTCAGCGTAACGGCCTTTGGCAAGCCACCTGTGCCACTAGAAAAGCAGATGAAGGCTGTAGACTTGTTGACGGCTGGCCCGCGTGGCCATGCAAGCTCTGAAGAGCCACCGAGCAATTCATCAAAGCTCATGTGTGGCTTGCCTGATTTTGACGGAGGGACTCTGCCACGTACAATGACAGTCAAGCCTGGATAGTGAGGTAATACTCCCTCAATCGTCTTGTAAAACATGTCGTCGACAATGATGGTCTTCAGGCCGGTAACCTTGATGTAATTGATGACATCGTTTGTAAGGAGCATTGGATTCATCGGAACTACCTGTGCACCAGCGCATAAGACTCCAAAGAGCAAACACGGGTAATGTGTGCCATGTAGAGACAGGATGCCAACACGGTCGCCCTTGCGAACTTGCGCTTTTTGTTGAAGATTGAAGCCAATCTTTCGCATAGATGTGCGGAGGTTTCTGTACGAGAGAGGTGATGCACTGGCCTGAGCCCCTTTGAAGATGACTCTGTCAATTGGAAAACCTGTTGCTGGCTTATCAAAGAGCAAAGAAAGCACGTCCGTTGTTGGGATGGCCGGAGCCTTGAATGGCGTTGACAATGGCATTTGATTGATTGGTGCTCCAAGGACTCGTGAGCTCGTCGAGTATAACGCACAAGGCAGAGCGGAGATGCAATGGTTGTGGTAGTTGTCCACTTCGGCCTCTATCGACTGATATATTCGCGCGTCGATCGCCCCGCAAAACGTCCACTTCCCCAGATTTCGGAAATGCTGCGCGCCGGTCGCCGAATTTCCATGTATTTGACCTCGAAAGCGGGTCTGATCTGATCCGATGGCTCGTGTGCATGGTATTGTGATGAGAGACTCTACAGCTGTGGCAGCTTTGCACTTTGCAGCTTGACACTTGCTTGAAGATCCTTTGCCAATGACAGGAAGGTTCAAGCATACATAATGGTGCTTCCTTTCGCAGTGACGTCCAGTCAGCATGCTCTCCGCATATCAGGCTCTCCGGATATGGCCTTGCTCAACAGTCAAGTGAGCTCCATTGTTGACGCTTTATAGCATCCAGCGGCTTGAGCTGATCGTTTGCACTCGGCTTGTGACGAAGCTGCTGTAGCAGCAGACAAGCAAAGCCTTAGAATATGACACGATCATACCGCTCATTTTATGAAGCATATCGCAGCGGCCAAGAACAGAACAGTCTCAAACAGCTTTACAGCTGTACAGAGTGTCTGTCTGCAGATGTATGTCGATGATGTCGTCGTGAAGAGCGGCCGAAGCTCGCCCATCTGAATAACTTCCCCTACGGCGACTGAAAACATCGCTCGAGCTCGGTCTTCACGCCCGTGCCCTTACCTCTGCTGCATCTGCATTGCTTTTTGTTGGTCATATGCTACAGCTACATCTGCAATGGGCAGCATTTCTCCAGGCTCAAGTGCGGCGCACGCTATTCTTGTGCCCGAGGTAGAATCTCACATGCTCAAACGCTCCGTCACAGCTGCTTCTGGTGCGCCGCCCATTCACACACTGGAATGGCTGCCCTTCTACCGTCGGCCATTCGGCGAGTACATTTGTGATACGCTGCCAAGCAATCTTCTTGTCTTTCATCTCGTCGCAACGGGCTTCATCGTAAGCACCCAGCTGGTGTAATTTAGCTGACCAGAGACTGGCATTTTGGATGCAACCACATTTGTTGAATTTGGTACCTTCACATCAAATCAGACTGGTAATACAGTGTTGCTTGGTGTGCTCGCTTTAGGTCTAGGTGACCAACAGTACAAGAATCGCCTTGTTGATACGGCCGTTAGCCTGTCTAGCTTCCTGATTGCAGCATTCATCTGTGGTCAGATTGCCAATCACATCCATCCAGGACATGGCCGTGCACGGTGGTGGATACTGATGTCTTCATTTTATCAGACGGCGACGATTCTCATCACTGCTGGGCTATTGTTTGGCAAGGCCATTACAACTGGACGACAATGGTCTTGGCTCGTCATTCTTCTGCTTGCGAGTTCTTCTGGAAGTCAAGTGGCCATGGCGCGTCAGTTCTCAATACCTGGTATGGCTCTTTATTAGCTACAGCTTCTAATTGACAGAAATACCCACAGCCATGCTTACATCGCCACTTGTGGACCTCGTTACAGATCCGCACCTCTTCAGTACATCTTTCCACAAAGCACACGACAATCCACGGTCACGCAGGGTCTCCTATATCGTTGCTCTTGTTGTGGGTGTCTTTCTCGGCGCAGGCATACACAAGCATGCTGGGCCCGAGGTTGTGATTTTGATTGCTGGCTGCATGAAGCTCGTCATCCTCCTGTCTTTTCTCGTCACTGCGAGCGAAGCAGAGCATGAAGAGCGTGCCCGGGCCGAAAGAGAGCAAGTGGAAGCTACAGTACAGGCAGCATCGCCCTAGACGGTCAAAATACAACAAGTGCAAAAGATAGAAAGTACTTCAAAGTAGATGATGGAATAGCCGAATTTTGTCCCCGCAAAGTGACGCGACTCTTTGGACACATCGACCTACGACCTGGTACGCATACGTCTCAACGCTCAAGCAAGTCAGGCAAGATGAACTCCCTCATGACCATGGCTGTCAAGCACTTTGCCAACTCTGGCAATGTCAATCAGATCCAGCAACAAGCCGCCCAGCAAAAGCCAGAAGATGCCTCACTTTTCTCCAATGCGCTTTCCATGTTGTCCAGCGGCAACAACAATCACGGCCAAGGCCAATTTGAGGGCCTACAGGACCTAAATGGTGATGGCGTCGTGGATGAACGAGACTTGCAGATCGCCAATGAACGTGCTCATGCTAGCTCTGGCCAGGTAGACTCTTCTACCCTGGGTAAGGCTGGTCTCTTTTCCGCACTGGCAGGTATGGCTGGTGGCAGCAGCGGTGGTCACGGACAGCAACAGCAGCAGCAGTATGGAGGTCAGCAGCAACAACACTTCAACCAAGGTGGTCAGCAGCAGTACAACCAAGGTGGTCAGCAACAGTACAATCAAGGCGGTCAGCAGCAATTCAATCAAGGCGGTCAACAGCAGTACAATCAAGGCGGACAGCAGGGAGGATATGGCGGCCAGTCTCAAGGCCAGCCAAACTTGGTTGCAAGTGCCATGTCGCAAGCTGCCCACCTCTTTGACCAGAAGCAGCAGAATGGTCAGGTCCCTCAGGGCTCCACCAAGCAATCGGCTGTGAACCAGGCAGCAGGGCTCGCCATCAAGTATCTCATGAAGAATGGACAAGCTTCAGCCGTTACTGGCAGTTCGGGCGGTGCGTCGAGTCTGCTCAACATGGCTGGCAAGTTTATGAAGTAGTAATTGATACTGATCATTCCTATACGGGCGCCTGCTCGTCTTCATGTCTCTTGTGGCTCTTACCATAATGCCAATTGATGGGCGACTCTGCGCCAGTAAAGACGAATAAATCATACACGAGCGAGCCAAACAAGCAGCCCAGGATCGGAGCTAGTATACCGCCCCATAAGAACCAGTAGTGATGCATAGTAAACACTTCGCCAGAAAGCGTAACGCATGCTGCAATGACACGAGGCGCAAAGTCTCGGATTGGATTTAAGCTGGGACCCATAGGATAGCCAAAAGAAAAGCCAAGAACAGCGATGATGAGTGCGATGATGAAGGGATCAGTGCCTGTGACAGGTGGGCAATTGGACACGTCTGAAATGGCAAGAAAGCCAGCCATGAAGATTGCAGAGGCAACAAACTCATTGAAAAAGGCACAGACATACGATGTTCTCGTTGGCGCTGTCACGAGTTGGGATGCAGTAGGCCCCAAGGCACTGTAAACACCATAAGCAATGCTACATCCTGCAACAGCACCCATGACCTGAGCAACGACGTAGCCTAAAATGCGCCTCTTTGGAAATCCTCGAAAGACCGCCAGAGCAACCGTGATGGCAGGATTGAGATGAGCATCAGAGATACTACCAGCAACATAGATTGAGAGCATGACGCCGATGCCATAGGACAGAGCAGCCAATTTGTTGGAGCCATCTGGATCAAGGGTGCTCTGCAAAGTGGAAGCTTGACCGATGCAGATAAGGATAGTGGTGGCGAGAAATTCGGCGAGAACCTCCCTGTGTGTGCTTCGGAAGCGGGCCCAATGGTTGGTAGAGTTACTGAGCTCAGGAGAAGGCGTGTCAGATCTACAGTCTGCGACACGAGTATCAGCAATGCCCGTCGATGGCATCGCCTTGCAAGGAAGCTCTGCATCTGACAATGATTCGCAAACAGGGCTGTGTGCCAATTTGCCATGAGCACCATTGTCAAGCTGTTTCGCCGTGCCATGACATTCGTTAACTGTGCGCTGGTCGCTTGATGAACTCGAAAAAGATGGATGCGGCGCAAGAAGATCTGACGGATGACAATCTAAACGTTCGCTGTACTCAGACCTTGCTGTAGAATCTGTCTTGGATGAGTGAAAAGTCATGGCGCCAGGCTCGCATAAATTCTCCGCCTTCAACGACAGCTTGCATCCTTATGTCCGTGCATGAATATCACGTTGATGCCTTGTGATCATTTGCTTCGCTGACCATCAGCTGTCAATGTAGCTTGTTCGCTGTTGTCAGCATCGCACGACGCGTGTCAGACTACTCTAGGCAACGGCGGACAAGATTCTTGTGCGGGTCTACCATTGTTCAATACCACCTTGACGATCCTGTTGCTGCCTGACGTACTCAAAAATCTCTCTAGAAAATTCAGGGTCAATGCAGTAACGTGCAACACCGCTAGATTTCTCTTTGCTGGCCAGCGAGAATGGCTGAGGCTGTATTTGCGACCAGCGACATTGTGTCCTTCTCCATCCAGGGGACCCTCAGGGAATCTTCTCTCTGCAAATTGCTGGTTTGTAACGCACAAGGACAACAGTGTGAGCACGCGAAGAAAAGGACCGCGCAGATCACTCAGGGGCCCGTCGGCATGGCTAGCAGTCAAATGATCTTGCGTCTGCCTTGGAAAGACCTGCATCGAAGTGGATACGTGTGGAGCAAACAGCTAGGAACTTGATCTCCAATTCTTGCGTTGCGGTCGTGCGTTGTGCTCCAGTATATAAAGACGACGCTGATCGTGGTACAAGTAGCTTCCCGAATGACTTCTCGGAGAGCATGGCGGACGGAAGCAGCGGTAATTATTTTTGGTTGAGCTGCGTGTAGGTGCCAGACTTGAACCACTTGTTGTCCGATTGTGCTTTCTTGAGCGCATCGACATTGAGGGAAGGCAACTCGATTCCTTGAACGGACGAGAAGCTGAGCGAACTCTGCATGCCACCGACGCCTCCAGCAGAAGCACCGCCAAGAGTACCCAACCTGGACTGTCCAACAAGGGTTGGTCCATTCTGATGATTTGCTAAAAGTGCTGCCGCTCCCGTTAATTGACCACCCTTCATCTTCGCTTTTGGCAGCTTCGCGCGTGTGCGCTTGTCAATTGTCGGCGCACGGATAGAAGAGGTCGAGCCGACCATGCCCATACCTTCCGTATCGTCTCCATATGATACTTCCGCCTCTTCTTTACCAAACGCCATACGATTTCTCAGCTTTTGCAGCTCGGTGATAGCATACTTCTCCTTGGCTTTCCTCACCTTTTTGCCACCGCGCCGCTTCTTGGCTGGATCATCAGGTGCTGCAAGTGCCTTGACATCTTTAAGTTCAGGCGGTTCAGACAGCTTTTCAAGTTTTTTCTCCAGCTCTTCATGAAATACAAGTCCTTTGTCTCCTGCAGGACTGCCGTTGCCTGCATCGATGCGAGCAGCCAAGACTAGCTTGCCTGATACCATACGCTGCGCTTGCACGCGTACATCTTCAGGAACAGATTGGATGAGTGGAGAAAAATAGAGGTAACCTTGATTGACGTTGCTTCGCGCAAAGCCAACATGCGCGATCTGCTTCTTGCCAATAGAGGGTACATTGCAGGCTGGTAGCCGAGCCAGAGCATTGATACCACCTGCTTGTCCAACGACTTTGGCAGCTGTCGACGGGCCAACGATATTCGACAAGTTGGGCGCAATGATGGTGATGCGTGAAGTCACATACCCGATAATTTTCGCCTTGGCAGCGTCCAGACCAATGGCCATGTCACAAGCGCGTTCAATCTTTCGCAGTTCATCTTCAGTCAGCAATCGGCCATCCGTCGTGGTTGCTGTGACGGCAATGCTCATCGATGTTGCATTTGGTACGATTGTATTGAGCTTGCTTGTTAGTGGCACAAGATCTTCCTGGTTCCCAATCATGCGCACGCACTTCGCATAGTCTAGAGGGTTCAGCACGAGCTTTTCAAGCTCGGGAAAGCGTACAGCATAGTGCTCTTGTAGCCACTTTGTCACTAGTCGCAGTTCGTCGTCCACTTCCAGTGAGATGTTGTTTGCCTTGACAATCAGCTGGTACTCTGGATCCTGCTCGATAATGCCAAGTATCCGCATATCAACCTGTGAGGCGTATTGATCAATCTGACGCAGCACAGACTGCATGCGATCGGAAGGCAAGAGCTTCGCAATGTGGCTAATGTCGTCCGCATCAACAGCATCTGTGGTCTCCTCCGTTGCTACAAGCATTTCTTCATCCACTCCATCATTCTCCTCTTGCTCAGATACTTCGTCTGCCAAGTCAGCGAGCAAGTCGTCTAGATCGGACATGAGTGTCGCGTTGAGTCTGCCGCTTCACAAATTGACGTCTTCAAATTTGGTCGCCTGAACACGAACAATATCCAAGAAGAATAGCTGCCATGGGCAAGAGAACGTCTGATTCAGCAAGGACAGACGATCAATCATCTCGACCGCATAGACCTAGTCATGAAAGAGAAGGCCGTCGATCTCGCTCGCCCAAGAGGCGGCGTGAAGCGTCTCCTGCGAAAGTTGCACCTGCGATGATGCCTGCCATTGTGGATCCGTTTGACGAGTCGTTCTTTGAAGAGAAGATTATAGATCTTCCTGCTGCAAAGAAGGAAGCTGATGGCTGGGAAGCTCTCACAAGAGGCTCAGTACGAGACAAGAAGCCTCAGCCTGATTTGGTCAAGGCACCAAGCACTCGGGAATACGACAAGACAATGTCTATCGGTTCAGGCTACATATTTGGTGACAAGGGTTCAGAATGGCGTATGATGAAATTGCGTTCGCTGAGAGGCTCGGCCAAATCACTGAACCAGCCGGTTGAAGAGATTGCGTTCGAGCGCTATGGCACTCTCGAACGGTACGATGAAGCTCGTGAGGAAGAGCAAGAATTGGAAAGACGCAAGACCTATGGGATCAAGAAGACTCAGCCAACCGGCGACTTGTACCGAGAACGCCTTGCAAAAGAGCAGAAACATGACGCAAAGCTGTCAAGGCACGAGGATCAGGTCATCGAAGACATAAAAGAGGACGAGATGGCATCTCATGGTCATACCATGACGCTTTCAGAGCTCAACAGTATCAAAGCGAAGCTGCTCAAAGCTCAAATGATGCAATCGTCGGACGTGCAGCATCTACAACAACGATACGATGCTGCTGTACATCATTTTGAGACTCAGCAACAAGCAGCTTCAGTAGTTGTGCTTCCGGACATGGACTCACGGGGACAAGCTGTGCAAAAGAGGGAGGAAGACATGACGATTGAAGACATGGTACGCGAGGAGAAGCGAGAGTCCAAACTCATCAATGCCGCGAGACAGGATGCCGATAGAATTGCCAAGGATGGCAAATACAGCGACACTTTGGACTACCAGGACGAGCAGGCGGATAAGCTTGCTCAGCGAGTGCAACGCAAGGAACTGAACCTGAAGAATATGAGCATCAGCCAATACCAAAAGATGCAAAAAGTGCTTGACTCTTGTTCGCTTTGCCACAAGGAGGAAGGTGCTGAACCACCAATCGCTCCAGTGGTCTCGTTGGCGACTCGCACATTCTTGTCGTTACCATCAGCTCCACTGACACGCTATCACTGCCTGATTGTGCCTCTGCAGCATCGAACAAATACCCTCGAATGTGATGACGATGAATGGGTCGAGATTCGAAACTTTATGAAGTCCCTGACCCGCCTTTATGACAATCTTGGCATGTCGCCCATGTTTTACGAGAGTAATGCTCGGCCATACAAGAAGTCTCATGCGGCTATCGAGTGTCTACCGATACCAAAAGATTTGGCTGGCCAAGTACCCCGCTTTTGGCAAGAGGCTCTGGTTTCAGCGGATGAAGAGTGGTCGCAACACCGGCCGCTCATCAAGACTGATGGCAATATGTTCACGCGCAAAATGACGTCCGAGCTAGCTTACTTTCACGTCTGGTTTGATCTGAATGGAGGCCTGGGTCATGTCATTGAGGATGACTCCAAGTGGCCTCGAGGGGACTTGTTTGGCCGTGAGGTGGTGGGCAGCATTCTGGGCCTTGACGTAACTGTATGGCGGCGGCACGCTCAATGGGATGGCAACAAGTCCAGCAAAGAGCTGCAGCAGTTTCAATCGAAATGGCAACGATGGGACTGGACACAAACTTTGCTAGAGCAGTAGACACCAATCCACCCAAAATCATTTGTATTGCCACCAATAGCCGAGTGTTTATAATTTCCCCGACCGCGCACAAGTGATAGACTTGCATTGACTACTTCATCTGTAAGCAGTATGAATGGCGATGCAGTGCCAGAGCTAGGTGCACATGTCAAGCTTTTCCGTGTAACCGAGGGACGTACACGAGACCTGTACATAGCATGCCTCAATGGCCGTTCGCTCGACTTGCTTGAAGATTTGCGGGAAGCATTGCCGCACGATATTCTCAGTGTGATTGCTCGACCGAGCTTGCAGCTACAGCCTGTTATTGACTGGGCGAGATCGCAAGGCTACTTTGTCAGAGCAATCATTTCTAGTGATGCAGCTGCCAGCGAGCTCTTCCTTGGCGACTCCACCATACCGATGCTGGTCAACATGGCGGCTGACACTTTGGTCGCAAACGAGCTGGCTGAGAATCAAGATGTGCTGAGCTTTTGCGAAAAGCAGGACATGAACCACATGCTACCAATGTGCCATAAACTAGGTTCAAAGCTCGAGATTGTCGTTGCCGATGACATGCACCAGTCGGACGTCGTCCTTACAATTGCCGCCTGGCTCAGCGAGGAGGGTATCAAAGCTCGCTTCCAGAGACGCTCCAAAAGGCTGACCTCGTCACGTTGGAAGTACGCAGATGGTGTTGCCAATTTCCGAGATGCCAGTATGGAGCACTTCCCACAAGGTTTGCTCTACCGCTCAGCAGACTTGTCGGGTCTCACTGAGCAAGGTCTTCCGCAACTAGCGCGCTATGTACACACAATCATCGATGTTCGCTCAATGCCTGAAGTCAAGCGCAACGGCACAATTGGACCGCTAGAAAAGACCTTTTCTGACGCGCAGCTTGCTGAGCATGGGGTTGTTCGCCATCATGTACCAATCTTTAAAGAAACAGACTACTCGCCCGATGCAATCGCGCACCGTCATGGCTTGTACAAGAATGGCTCAGATGGCTTCGTCGAAGCCTATAGGGGTATTCTGGAGCATTGCGATCCTGCCTTGAATGCTGTCTTGACCGCACTGATACACAAGAGCATCCGTCAGAAGGACAGGCGCGGTGTGCTCGTTCACTGTTCAGCGGGCAAGGACCGTACCGGCATCTTATGCGCTCTTGTGTTATTGTATGCCGGTGTCTCTGCTGAAGCTGTTGCCTCTGAGTACGAGCTCACCTCCCTCGGTCTTGCTGACAAGAAACGCGCCATTCTCGAATCGCTCTCGCGACCTGGTGCAGATCTCGGTAGTCAGGCACAAGTCGAAAGCATGATGGGCAGCCCAAAGATTGTGATGCTCAAGTCCATCGCAGTGATGAAAGCTGAATTCAGTGGCGTAGAGGCCATCGTCAAGCGCAGCGGCATGTCGGAGGCGGATTTATTGGTGTTTCGGGCGTACACAGCTGAGCAACCTAGCGTCAAGTTGTAGAGTTGATTTGTCATGTTTCTTGAGCTTCGAGCAATTTGCTGAGCGTGACTACTTTATAGCCGCGTTGTGTCAATGCTGGCAATACTCTAGCTAGCATGGGTGCCGTCCAACTTCGACGATCGTGGCAAATGATGATGCTGCCCGGCTTCACCATGCTCAGTATGTGGCGTGCATTGATGCGAGGAAATGCAATTTGCGGATCATGCGGGTAAACGTTGCCAAGAACGAGTTTGAGGTTGAGTGAGCGCGTCACTGCCAGCATACGCGTTGAAAAGAAACCAGAGCCAGGGCGAAAATAGCGTGTGGGAGGTCTCTCCAGCTTGGCCGATTGGTAGACGTCGCTAATTTGTTTGTCCACAGCTTTGAGCTGTTGAGTCAAGACTGCATCTGAGAGATCTCGTGAAGGCTCATCATTCATAGCATGATTACCAAGCTCATTGCCAGTACTGATAACTTGCCGCAAGAGGTCTTCATTGCCTGGGACTTGGCTGCCAATGATAAAGAAGGTTGCAGAAGCATTGTGTTGCTGCAGGAGCTTGAGTACAGCTAACGTTTGAATCGATGGCGCGTCATCAATAGTCAATGCGACAAGCTTCTGTCCATTTGTAGACACTCTGAAGAGTACATCTGGAAAGCGCCTCTCAAGGTAGCTGAATATGATGGACGGAGGCTTGTAGATGCAGTAGAAGGGCAATATGAGCAGAAGGGTGACGAGAAATATAACGAGAAAGCTGAACATCCTTGCTTTTCGACGCCGGCGACTTGTGCACGGTATTCTTGGAAAAGCTGAGAATATCATTGACTTGCACACATATCCGCCAGAGCTGAATTGGTGAGTGCGTTGTGTTTGCGCTACACTTGCGGTTTCACAGCCTGAAGATCCAGATGGGTTGGAAATGCTGCATTCTACTGTATACTACATGTGATAGAAGGAAGGACGCGCAAATGAGGCGCGGCGGACTATCCAAACAGCTTGAAGTCGTCACCAACCTCGATAGCTTCCGACGGCCGATCTAAGTCCTCGTCCTCGCTACTGCTCTCATCAGAGTTGACACGCATACGTTGTCCAAACAATGAGCCAAACAGCTCATCCACCTGTTCTTCGTGCCAGGTACCAGAAGGTATTGGCGCCATGAAGTTTTGTAGCTTTTCGTGAACGTGGTACCGAAGTTTCCGACCTTTACTAGCGCGTGTGTCGACATTCTCGCGCTTCTGCTTTGCGACTTTTGTGGAGAGCCAACGAACACCACCTGTATTTGTTGCTGCAGTACCACTATCGAGCATGCGAGAGTCAATCAGATCTTTCAACATCTCGCTGTAAAAGTCGCCATCGTCAAAGATGTCCTCTTGCACGGCATTGCCTTGCTGCCTGTTGATTTGCGTACGACGGAGGAGTTTGTCGCGGTCTGATCTCGATTCCTTAACCTGCTGCAGAATACCTTGCTGCAGCACTTTGAACTTTTTGGAGCGGTCGATGGCATTTGCTGACTGGATCTTGTTGGACCACTTGACAAGTGTCGCATCACGCCAGCTCGCAAGGGCGTCGTCTTGAGCTTGCAGGTTCTCCCAGATTTCAGAAAGCGTCACATTGCTTGGCTCTTCTATTTCTGCAAGCTTGCGTTTCCGGCGAGTTACAGGAGATGGCAGATCTTGAGTGGCAAAAGCAGCCCGCACACTGGATATCATGTCAAGAACTTGTAGAGCGGCACGTTCAGCTGCTTTTGTATCACCAGTCACTGGACCACTGTTGACTGCTTGTATTGCTTTTTGCATTTTGATGCGCGCGTCGAGAAGAGCATCGTATACGCCGAGCTGCTTCTTCACCGCACGTCCCTTTGCGGCGTCATCTGTGGCTGTCTTGACGACAGACTGTACGAGTGCCTTTTCATCATCGGCCAGCATCTTTTTAAGCTCAGCCGCTTGTCGCTCATCTTCAGAATTATCCTCTTCCGTTTCTGACGAAGCCTCCGACTGGGGAAAGTCGCTTTGGTCTTCGTTTGAGCTTTCATCCGACTGTCCAGACTCTTCATCGTCTTGAATCATGTCATCGCTGCCATCTTCTGAGCCTTCACTACCCTCTTCCTCCTCATCTTCTGAATAAATATCCTTGCGACTCGTCTTTGTGCCCTTGTAAGCAGCAGAAACGGGCCGTTCATCCAGCTCTTGACGAAGCTTGGACTTGCCAACCGTCACATAATGGCTCCGCTCTGCCTCTGCATCGTCCTCTTCGCTAGCACTCCCATCCTCCTGTTCATCATCGGGTCCGTCTGCTTCGAGTGCCTCTGGATCAAAGTCAGCAGGCGCCGGTGTATCGAGCGATGCAAGCTGCTCTGCAAGCGACGAATTGCGCTTCGATGGCATCTCCCGATCCCCAGTAGCTCTTCTCTTGGAAAGGCTTTTAGCTGGGTTGTCTCTTGGACCTGAGTCTTGGTCGCGATCGCTTCAACTTTTCTTCGAGCTGTGGCGCAGAACCGTGGCGCATGATAATTGACAGCCAGTTGAGCTGACTCGAGACCACTTGGCATTTACTTCTGTACCTTGGTCATGCTACTCAGACGCTCATTTTCATGCTCATGCTCTAAAAGATATGCTCAGAGTGCTGTATGCTCACTTGATCTTACCTTATTTTACGCTCACACCCAGGGCTTGCCCAGGTCAGGCACAGCGCCACGTCTCAATATTGGCCGCGGCCTGCCCTCAAAACGCTCCATACCCAATGTCAGTAAGGTCATTGCCATCTCTTCTGCTAAAGGTGGAGTTGGCAAGTCGACAGTGTCCGGTAAGCTCACTTGCTTGAATGATGCGATACTGACCGCAAGTCAACGTCGCCCTTGCCATGGCGAGTCAAGGTCTACGGGTAGGCTTGCTCGACATTGATGTATTTGGACCTTCTGTTCCTAAATTACTGAACTTGACCGGACAACCTGAACTGACACAGGACAACAAACTAATTCCGCTGCAAAATTATGGTTTGAAGGCCATGTCAATGGGTTTCCTCGTGGATGAAGGTGCACCGATTGTTTGGCGCGGCATGATGGTCATGAAGGCGCTTCAGCAGCTCTTATTTGATGTCGAATGGGGGACATTGGATGTACTTGTCCTTGACATGCCACCAGGCACAGGGGATGCACAGCTGACAGTGACGCAGCAAGTGGTGCTTGACGGTGCCGCTATTGTCAGTACGCCTCAAGATATCGCGCTCATTGACGCTGTACGCGGTATCCACATGTTTGAAAAGACAGATGTCAAGGTATGCTTACATTTTGAGGAACAACAGTTAATGGAGCAGATTCTCGGGCTGATTCAAAACATGTCGTACTTTTGCTGTCCGCAATGCAATCACAAGACTCAAGTCTTTGGCACGGATGGGTTACTGAGGGAAGCTGAGAAGCGAGGCATTGGTCTCATTGGCAATGTGCCACTTCATGCCAGTATCTGTGCAGATGCAGACAGAGGAAAGCCTACTGTGGTAGCAGAACCAGAAGGGTCCTTGGCCAAAGCGTACCTTGAGATTGCTCAGCATATTCAAACAGCAATAGGCCTGCAACAAGGGTCATGATACATTTTCATGCAGATATCACTGTCATTCCCTTCCATTTATTCTACCACGAGCCACCTAGCCTTTGTAGTGCAATGACCATGAAGTCTGTCCTAAGCTATGCACCTCAACTGTCAACAGGCTGACCCCTGCCTAACCCGACCGTTCACGTGTTGCATCATTCAGCTCGCAAGCACAAGAACACCAAAACCTCATCAAGCTTCTGAAGCTCCAGAAGCATTCTAGTCTACCTGAGTCTATAGCTATGCTGCGAAGTCAAGCGATACGTCTCAGAGTCGCTGCTCTGCGTCGCGCATACGCCACCACACCAGGATCCGTCAAAGCCAACCTTGACCCAAACACACCCACCATCAAGCACCAGGAAGAGGCAGCCCTGGCGAAAGCTCGAGAGGTGGCAGCGACATCCAAGGGCCAGTCACCCAATAGACAAGTGACATGGTCGAATCAGCAACAACCAAGAGATTTGGCGTTCCGAGGACCTCGCTTTGAGCAAACTGATTTCGATTTGCAGGTATGTGTCAACCTGCAGACCAGTCCCGGCCGGAGCTGCAAGACAGAGCACAGATGCTGACACAATAGCCTGCGCCGCAAGCAGCCATTCAATTGATTGCGCAACAACCCATTCGTATGTCAGACAAGCGCATTATTGCGTGCGACGGCGGTGGTGGTGCACTCGGTCATCCTAAGGTCTACATCAACCTCGACAAGCACGGCGAGCCTCATGCTTGCAACTACTGTATGCTGCTTTATGACAAGATGCTTTGGCTAATGACAGGTGGACTGCGGTTTCAAATGAAGGCGCATGCAGCTGATGAACATTTGAGTGCGGCTGGCGGCAACTAGATGTATCGCGTCGTATCACAGATAGCATGAGCTGGTAGATGCGTATCCAAGCTTACTTTGTCCAATTTGCCCGTGTTTCGCGTGGTTGTCTTTGTCCTTCAAATACCGACTACATTTGTACACCTCAACACTCTGCGTGTTGGCACATATTGCTACGTCTTGACTCGGGAGGGGACATGCACAGAGCTAGCTGCTTCTCATAACACTTTCTCCCTCCATTCGATAGTCTAAGAGACTAGAAGCTGCATGACAACGACAACATCCATGCGAGTCTTTGGCTACGGCTCGCTCATCTACAAGCCTCCCCCTCATGTCGCTCATGCTACACCTGGATACATCACAACGCACATCAGACGCTTCTGGCAAGCAAGTGAAGACCATCGCGGTACGCCAGAACGACCCGGTCGCGTCGTAACACTGTTGAGCAGAGCTGAATTTGCAGCTTATGGCAAAGCTGAAGAAGAACGATTCATCACAAAGAAACAGTTACAAGACGACAGTGATGATGGTATCAAAACTTGGGGCATGGTGTACACCATCATACCAGAACGCATTGACGAAGTGCGCGCGTATCTGGGTATTCGCGAGATCAATGGCTACACGCTAGATCAAGTTGATGTCTTCACACCAGAGGAAGGCTGTATTCAAGCAGAAGTCTTCATTGGCACAACGGAGAACCCACAATTCACCGTGCAGACGGATCTCGACTCGCTTGCTCAGCACATCTTGGACAGTCAGGGCCCAAGTGGACCAAATCGAGAATATCTCTACTTGCTAGAGGCTGCGTTGCGTACCTTGGCTCTAGGCAGCGGCGATTTGTACATTGAGGATCTGACGAAAAGGGTGAGGCACTTGGAAGAGGTTTCTTTGGCAAGGTCGTGAATGTGCTTCAATTTCAAGACATAGACTGGTTCAACACCTATAGCTAGAATGGATGACTATGACGAACAAGATATACTCGCTCTTTCTACTCTCAAATTTGCACCTGTAGAACCTCGTCTATCACGATCTAAGCGCTCTGCTTCATCTGGTCGAAGACTCCAAAGCGAGCTATTGCCGACGCAAGACCAATTGCTGCTAGACAACCTATCACGCCAAGCGCGAGCTTTACAAGATGCACTATTCCACGCAGTTGCTGATCATGCTGCAGCTCTGCAGTCTCATACTGGCTGCAGCATGCAGTCTCATACTGGACAACTTCATGTCTTCCGTCATACACTGGCTGTAACGATGCGGTCGCTGCAAGAGGTCCTTGCAGAACGGGCATCTATGCACCAGTTCCACATCATGCGGTTGCTTGGAGCACGCGAGGATGCGCAGCATATACAAGAGCGTCTAGCACAGCTCTCTCAAGGGCACGAAAGTGATCAAGCAATGGAACAAGCGCATGCAGAAGACGTGGCGACAATCAGGGAGATGGATGCGACAGCTGCTGATTTGCGTAGTCAACTCAAGAGTCTGGCAGAACAGCGTGCGGCCGTCAAGACTCGCATGCGTGATAGACAGCAGGAGCGTCTTCGACAAAACAAGGCTCACGAAGAAGAGAGGACGGCCTTGCAATCTCAGCTCACTGTTGAACAAATCGAGGGCATGCTCAGCGAGATCAAGGACCTTGTTGCCAATGATGAAAAGGAAATCTACGCACTAGATGAAGGTCAGAGCCTATTCGAAGAACTGGTCATATGCATGCAACAAGTCGAGGCGGACATGGCGAGTGCCCTGCCATCGCCAACAGAGGCCAAACAGGTTATAGACGGGGCCATCACGCAATTGCAAATCTGGCTTGAGCAAGCCACTGCCAAACGGTGGAACCTGCTCATTGCTGTCATTGGGGATGAGCTCGACAGCCTGGAAGCTGCGCGAACTCTGCTGTTGGATAATGCTAGTTCTGCAGCTCTTGAGGGTAATGAGGGAGACCAGCAAGGTGCGCCCAATTTTGATTTTGCGGAGACGTCAGAAGCAGAAACGCGCGTTGCAGCAACCTCATCTGCCAATTGCGACCACACACAAGAACATAATGGCGACAGTCTTGCTGGAAGAGATAGACAAGCCTGAGCTCGACAATCGCTCGTATCGCCTCATTCAATTGTCAAATGACCTACAAGCACTCCTTGTGCACGACCCTGATACTGACAAAGCATCCGCTGCCCTCGATGTGCATATTGGACATCTATCGGATCCTTGGGACGCGGCTGGCTTGGCGCATTTCTGCGAGCACCTGCTCTTTATGGGAACTGAAAAGTACCCTAGGGAGAATGACTACTCGGAGTACTTGTCGGCACACAGTGGCCACAGCAACGCCTATACAAGCACAGTCGACACAAACTACTTTTTTGAAGTTGGACATGAGTTTTTAGAGCCGGCGCTAGATCGTTTCAGTCAATTCTTCATCTCGCCTTTGTTTCTGGAAAGCTGTAAGGACCGTGAGCTGCTGGCTGTTGATTCAGAAAACAAGAAGAACCTTCAGAACGACATGTGGCGAGCCTATCAGCTGGAAAAGTCATTGTCAAACCCGAAGCATGTCTACAGCAAGTTTGGAACCGGCAATTTGGAGACGCTCAAGGAGATTCCTGCTTCTCTTGGCCATGATGTCCGCGATGAGCTACTCAAATTTCATGGTGAGCTTTACAGTGCGAACCTAATGCGTCTAGTCATTCTCGGACGCGACTCGCTAGATGCACTGCAGCAGTTGGCAGTGGACAAGTTCTCTTCCATCAACAACAAGGGCATCCAGGCGCCAGTCTTTGACGGCAATATTTTGCGTCCTCAGCAAGAGCTTGGCAAGATTTACACTTTCAAACCCATCAAGGAGGTTCGCAATCTCGAGCTATGCTTTCCCATACCAGAATGCGACAATTTCTGGCGATCCCAGCCGAGTCACTACCTCTCACACTTGCTCGGTCATGAAGGCGAGGGCAGTGTATTGTCTCTCCTCAAGCAAAAAGGCTGGGCGCTCGTGCTCGGTGCCGGAGGCTCAAACGCTGCACCAGGCACAGACTTTTTCAAAATCACCATGGAGTTGACTGCAGACGGCGTGAAGCATTGGCGCGATATTGTCAAGATTGTCTTTGCCTACATTGAACTCATCAAGAAGGACGGTCTGCAAAAATGGATGTGGGATGAGAACCGACTTTTGAGTGAAGCACAATTCCGATACAGGGAAAAGTCGCCAGCGTCGCGTTTCACTGCTGATACTGCTGGTAAGCTGCACCGCCCCATTGACAAGCGCTTCATTCTGGGTACATCCGTGCCTCGTGAATTCAAAGTCGATGAAATCAAGCAATGTCTCGACTGCTTGAGGCCTGACAATTTCCGAGTTGCAATGGCAGATCCAGACGTACAGCCGAACTTGACTGAGAAGTACTATGGAACGCAATACCGTCTTGACGACCTCGACGCAAGTCTATTGGAAGCATGTCGGTCTGCCGGCGAGTCGCCCATTGCTGAGCTTGCCTTGCCAGCCAAGAATGAGTTTGTTCCCGAACGTTTCGACACTGGTAAGCATGATGTGGACCGCAAGTCGAAGCATCCTGATCTTCTCAAGGATACACCCTCAATGCGTCTTTGGCACAAGAAGGATGACACATTCTGGGTACCCAAGGCCAATTACCTCTACCGCGTCACTATTCCTGCATTACGGCAATCTGCAAAAGATGCAGTCATGGGAAAACTGTTTATCGAATTGCTCAAGGACTCGCTCAACGAGTTTTCGTACAATGCAGATATTGCAGGCCTGCAATACTCAATCGAACCAACAGTCGGAGGTCTCAACCTAGGATTCAGTGGCTACAATGACAAGATGCCAGTCTTGGCAGAAAAGGTGATTCGCCGCATGAGAAATCTCGAGGTGTCAGAACAACGCTTCATTATTGAAAAGGAGCGTCTGCAACGTGATTTGGGCAACTTTGAACTCGAAGCACCTTATCAGCAAGTCTCTTATCACATGTCCTTCGTTCTTGCTCATGTCGCTCACAGCAAGCAAGAGCAGCTCGCTGCACTCTCCAGCGTGTCGTTCAAGGATCTCGAAACCCTGAGTCAACATGCGCTGGATGCTTCTCATGTAGAGATTCTCGCTCATGGCAATGTATCCTCAGACGAGGCTCTTGCTGCGGCAGCACTCTATGAAGAAGTCGTCCAGGCTAAGCCACTTCCTGAAGAACAAGTCTTGCCGCTGCGAGCTCTCTGGATCCCACAAGGCAAACGTCAATATCAGCTCATCCTCAAAGACGAGGAGAATGCAAATTCAGCCATCGAGTATTTCTGTCAAGTTGGCTACATCAGTACGACGTCTGAGCGTGCTCTGGGTATGCTACTAGCGCAAATCGCCAACGAGCCCGCATTTGATCAGCTTCGAACAAAGGAGCAACTTGGATACATTGTCTTTTCAGGCTCTCGAACGACACTGACGAGCAATGGATTTCGCATTATCATCCAATCTGAAAAGTCTGCTGTGTATCTCGAGAGCAGGATTGAGGCATTCCTGGACGTTTTGAAGGCGCACTTGGAGAAGCTCAGCACTGAAGAATTTGAGAAGCAACGCAAGAGCGTCATTGACCGCAAGAATGAACAACTGCGCAACTTGAATCAAGAGACGAAGCTTTACTTCCATCACATTCAGTCGGGCAACTACGAGTTTGATGAAGTGGACGTATCGACGCGTGCATTGAAGCAAATCACGCAACAGCAGCTCCTTGCATTCTTTATGCAGTATGTCCACCCGTCTTCATCGACAAGACGTCAGATTTCTGTCCACCTGCAATCTCAGAAGGCCATGGCCGAGTCTGAAGAGCGTCTTGCCGCTGCAGTATGCAATGCAATAGCAGACGCAGGGGAGAGCGGAGAGGCCACGGTGATTGCATCGGGGAACATTCAGTCGTTCAAAGACGGCTGTGAAGTGATGGATTTCCCTCGACCTGTTCGTCCATTGCAGGAGTATGCAGCCAAGACCGATGCAAAGCTATAGATTGGGTAGACCTAATGAGGTGAATTGTGTTGCGTCCATCTCATGAATTCAAAATTGTCATCGACTTCGATCGCAACCGCGACGACGGTGACAACTTACATGCATGATGAGGCTGCCTATTGCCAAGCTACGCTCGCTCGCAAGCTCAACTAGACATTGCATCACCCTCTCGGATGATTCTACGCTCGTGCTGTTTCGCCTGCCTGCGCTCGCTAGTAATCAGCACAAGCAGCACATTGCTCGGCACGATGATGTTGAATATTATCTCATGCAGGAGGAGTGCCCGCACGCTGGTGGACCCATGTCTGATGCAACAATTGAGCTGGACGATGTGGAAGATACCTACATGGCCTCGTGTCCTTGGCATCACTACGACTTTAATCTAGACACTGGCGAGAGCAAGATGGGTATCAAAGCTTGCACCTACCCTTTGCAAATTGAAAACGGCAAGCTCTACATGGTTGTGAATACGGACGCATTGCAAGTCAAGTCTGTTGAACCAGTCAGTGAGGAATTCATTGCTCCGAAGACAAAACCTATGGAACGCGTCGCCGACGATATCGACGGTGCCGACAATCTACCCGTCCGTGTCACAGGCATCGAGTACTTGTCGGACGACGCATCCTTGACTTCTTGGTGTGTACACATTCTCAACACGAGCCAGCCAGAACACAAGATTCAGTTGACGCATTACCTCTGGCTGCTTTATACCACTCGAGAAGCTACATACCCAATGCAAATCGGCTCCGACCGCCCACCTGATGAGCCACCGCGTGATGCGCTGCTCAAAGTTGTGCATCCAGGAAGTTTCAAGGGCAGCGGTCGTGCGGGTAACGTCAAGCATCGCGTCGCTATGCTGCACTCACTCGCCAATATTGAGCAGTGGGCCATTGATCTTGCTCTCGACATCATGGCACGCTTCTCACATTTCAAAACCTCTCGAGGTACCTGCTTACCTCGCCAATTCTTTCACGACTGGCTCAAGGTTGCAAATGACGAAGCGAAGCACTTTTCTCTATTGAGGGGTAGACTGGAGCATGACGATCTTGGTAATTCCTCTTTTGGTGCCTTGCCAGTGCATCACGGCCTGTGGCAATCAGCGCAAGAGACGAGTCACGATCTGCGAGCCCGCATCAGCATTGTCGCTCTGGTCCATGAGGCGCGTGGCCTTGACATCAATCCCATGACTATTGGAAAGTTTGAGAGAAGCGGCGACAAGGGAAGTGTTGATGTCCTTCGCATCATTCACCGTGATGAGGTGACGCATGTCACAACAGGTCATCGATGGCTGACTTGGATCTGCGAAGACGAAGAGACTGACCCTGTCAATGTCTTTCGAAGCAATGTCAAGAAATACTTTAGAGGCAGCGTCAAGGGACCATTCAATCAAGCGGATAGGCAAACAGCAGGACTCGATGCGGACTGGTACGCCAACCTTGAAGGCACGCCAAAGACTGTTCTGATTGCTGGCGGTTAAAAAGATGACTTTGCTAAAGAGTATTCGCACCACGAATCAAGGCTTCTTGCGTTATACAATGCTTTTCTCGCTGTCTCGCCAATGCGCTATACGTTGCTACGATGCATGGCATGCTGGAGCCATGCCCAAAAATACTCCACCGCGACTGCAACCTCGTCGGCCGTGTATACCTCGTCGCCACTCTTGATCAATTATACGAGGCGCTCCTCAAGCTTGTCACATCTGTCTCGGAAACGTTGCCACCATGTGCATTAAAGTCGGACACTCGATTCTCGAAACAGCTGGTACAGGCAAGTCACTATCGTCAAAACTCAAGCTAGATTGCTTGAAAGCCTTCTCGTGACAGTCCTTTCTATTTTGCCCAGCTGACCCTTAAAAGCCACAGCAGACGCTGTGTTCTGCTCGCAGTGCTTCCAAGAAGGTTCAGAAGCACTCTTGGCCTGATTGAAAAGGGTTATCATCATGCGAGCACCACGAGATCAAGGCGCATTGCAGGGAGTGTGGAGGCTTGAGAGTTTGTCCGCATGACGAATTAAAGCATTCGTGTAAAATCTGTACGCCGTCAGCAGTGTGTACCCACGGTCTGTTCAAACACTCATGCAAGGCAACGCGACTCAGAAGCATTTTGTCACCACAGCGCACGCCGAAGGAGATGCAGAATCTGTGGAGCAGGGGAGATCTGTCAAGTCTCACGCCAATCCTCATCATGCCCAGCATGTCGTCACTTGCGCATGTGTCAAGCCATGTTACCCTTTGCGGCTCAGTCGGACTGTCCCAAACGACGACTACTACGCCAACTGATCTGGCCACTTGTTCCCCCGGAAAACCGGAGAGGGCTCAATCATCTCTTCACTTTTCATTTAAGGAGGGCCGTTGGGTCTCCCGCATCCTGCAGTATGACTGTGCAACGCCTTTTCATTTCACCAGCGGGCATCCGTGCTTGCACGATGTGCCACACATAACAAGATACCAAGCAGTAGTGTTTCATGTGCCTCGAATGCTCTTCTACGTTTTGAACGATCTATATGTCATTCGCGTTATCGATAAACCACTTCAAGCACCGGTTTTGCGATTGCCGTTGAGCCTCGAGCCTTCTAGCTGCCTCCTTACATGTCAATCCCCAATCTTCTGCTTTTCGCTTGATCAGATTGTATATTGGCATTCGCCGAGAGAACATCTTCCGCACGGGATCCTGACGGCGCCATGCGCTGCCCCAGTTTTCTTCCAGCGACAGGATTGAAGGCCCTCCACAAACACCATCTTCATATTCAGCCCATATCTGTGCGATGGAGACCAGGGCTGCCATATGATAGCTTGGCACCGAGGGTGAGTTGTCTGTCCTTGGCGCTGCATTGGCCGAGGCGCGGCGCCTGTCGGGCGATGTTATGAAGGTTGCCTCAGCGCTGCTCACACGTGTTAGGAAGCTCGCATCTAAGGCTGCAAGAGTGGCTGCTGGTGGTTGCCAAGCGGGCTGCTCCTGCAACGATGGTGCAATAGAAGTCGCTGTCACCGTATGCTGTGATGTGGCACCGTCAGCGTCTGCGTAGGGTTTCATTGTGAGTGAAACCGCCATGCGCGCCCGTTTCAGCGAAGCCATTTCACGGCCAAGAACTTCAAGCGCATCCTCTATTTTGGAGAGCCTGTCGTCTTGCCTATTGCATAGTGCAGTCATGGTGTCGAACACTTTCCTCATTTCTTGTGCAATCATAGGCTGAATCGCTGCAATCAATGGATTGACAGGCTCTTCGGCTGTCAAAAGAAATTCTGACATATCGCGCTTGTATTGCTGGAATTCGGCATGCTGAAAGATTGGATGCTTCAAGAGCACCAGGTCTGGATATTCATGCGCCAATGCTGCACAATCCTGAACAATGACCGTGCGCATGTATATCAGCATCCGCAGGAAGCCTTTTGCAGCCTCATCCTCCTGCACGGTGCCAGAGTCCCCGCGAGCTGCATTCAGTTTCGCGAGCCATGCTTCAGAGTCGGGAAAAATGAGAGCCAATACGCTAGCGGGTGGTGCAAGCTCAGCACGCTTGAGATAAAGATCCTTGAAATGCGTGTCCTTACCAAATCCTGCACTTGTGCATAATGCCTCCTGAGATACTTCCGTGAGATAATGCCGAGCCATCTTGTCGCTGTTCCAACGCCCAGAGCGGCGCAACTCATCAATGTCAAGCCCAGCTGTCTCACCAAACTGCACTCCATGCCCGCGACCCTGGTGGGCGGACTTCTTCGCTCGTATATTCAGCTTGACTTGGGCCTATCGTCAGTTAATCAGCGCCAATCAAAAGGATGGCAACGTACATTTTTGATTTGGCTGTAGTGCTTGCGATACGTCACGGCAGCTCCACTTTGTTCATCCAAAAAGAGTGGCTTGTCGTACCAATTTTTGCGGCTTGAGAAGTCAGGAAAGGCCTCACCTGACAGGTGATAACGGTGAAATAAGTAAAAACCAAGAGCCTGCACAGGACATTTGGTAGGGTCCTTGTGTCGCAGCATGCCTGCGTACTCTGTCCTGTCGGCCTGGTTCGTCTTGGACTGATTCGTCACGATCATGAGACATTTGTGGTCCTGTCTTGCGTCAGCCAGCTCGCCAGCAAACAAATCTGGCAACTCAGCAGCTCTGATGTTGTCGCCGCGTGTCGCCATAGCAGATGACAACAACCACATAGCCCGCATGATCAGACGCGATGAGTCAGTTGCCTTCAGCCAGTGTAAATTGACAGCATTGAAGTTGGTGGAGCTGTATTCCGCTTCTAGATTGTTGGCTTGTCTGTCGGCATCATTGCGGTGAACATCCTCCTTGGCTAAGTTCCTCAAGAACTCGATAACGACCACGCCTCTCGGATTTGGGTGAGTATTCTCCCCATTTGCAGTCTGTTGGCGCCAAAGCTTCGCGATGGCGGACACGATATTGCCAGCTGTTGATGAACTTACCCTTGGCTTTGGTCTTGACCTTGAGGACGAAGGAGCAGCGGAACTCGCGGACCCTTCAGAATTCTCGGTGGTCGATGATGACGGCTCTGCTGTGTCTCCTTCAGAGTTTTGTGCATCACTCGCCGACGACGGAAGCTCTGCCGTGTCTGGGTAAACAATAACTCGCTTCAAGAATAGCAAAAGCTTGCGCTCAGACACCATCCTGCCATCTTGGGATCCATGAGCGTCGCAGAATGTGTTCCATTTGTTCTGAGATGGAGCATATTGCTTTAAGGAAGCAGCTTTCATTGAAGCAGCATTATCAGCAACCGTTTCGAGGAAATTGTCTTGCAATGCACGTTCGCTTCTGTCAAAGGCGCTATGCGGTGTACTGTGCCCCGTCTGAGCCTCTGGCAAAGGACTCTGGCCAGCTCTGGCTCGTACAGCTGCATCAACCTGACCACCATTCTGAGCAGCAGCCGTTGCAACCGCAGCAGAAGAGGCATCAATTCGCGCAGCAGCAGAGGAAGAAGCGTTCATTTGCGCGACGGTTTGTGCAGCAGAAGTGGCAGCATGAACTTGAGCAGCAACAGGGGAAGTAGCAGCAACATGGGTTATAGCAGGGGCAGTAATGGTTTGAGTAGCGGCCGATGGGTCATCAGATTCGACAGTCTGACGAGCAGCCGTCTGAATGCGGCCTGCAGAAGTGTCAACAGTGCTCGTGGCGGCCGTGGTCGTAGCGCGAGCAGCGTCGGCAGCATTTCTATGTTTGGCGTTGGCAGTGGTTTGGGGGGATGTCAAGTACTCTCACCTTTTTAATCTTTTTCGCGGCTCTGCAGGCGTGGATGACAGGCGCTTTGACCTGGCCCCGTGTGCCATTTTGTTGATATTAGCCGATACCTCAGCGCACTAAGATGTTGGTTTGAGTGTGGATGGAGGCGAGGATGGTGTTTTCGCGTTTGGTGCGCGTTTGATTTATTTTGGCGGGGCCATGCGCGAGCAATTAGACTTGGATTTCAGGACAGGAACCATGGGACACTGGGACAAGTAAGAGTGAGATTTACCATCCACACCCAAGGACTAGCTACAGAATGTGACAAGGAAACTATACTATCCACCGAAAGGTAGGGTAGTCAGACTTGGAGAAAGAATTCCCGATCTGGAAGAACGCTTGCATGGTTGCTCTTGCTTACTTGCTTGCTCGCTTTCTCTAGAAGTGGACACTGTGGTTGCATCTAACTTGCAGAGACAAACCCAGAGTCAGAGACAGTTTGATGCTGTTGCGCGCTGTGACGGAGTATGGTGAAAGTCCGCAGGGTGAGCTGCGACCTCACATCGAGGCCTCACCGAGTCACCGATCAGATGGCATGGCACATGCTCCCGGACTTGCTGTGCTGGCGACTCCTTTATATACTTTCTTCTTGCCTTTTCGATACTTTAATCTCTTCCACATCTCATTCTCACGCCTATCGCATACGTATAGCCGCTTGAGTGGTGAAAGTGGAGGAGGAGCGACGTAAGGAACCTAAGGCCTTACAGACTGGTTACGAGTGTGAAGATCTGGAGCTATTCATCAGTCATGAGCAAATCTTACGACCTACGTGGCAAGGGCAAAGAGCCTATATTGCCTGTGGCTTCACGATCCAGGCCTCCCTCGGCAGTAGCAGCAACGTCCGGCAACAATCCACCACCTGCAACGCCTGTCAACATGGGACCTTCCACGGCAACTTTCAACCCACTCTTTTCCACGCCTACGTCAATAGGACCTCCAATGTCCAAATTCCCATCCCCAGTGTCTCTATCTCAGCAGCTGCGAGAGATGCAGGAAGAGGTGGAGGCAGAAGTCAGGCGCCTCCGGAAAAATAATACCATGCTGTCCAAGCGAGTTGATGTGTTGGCCGTGACCAAGGCCTCCAAGGACGACATACTGGAGGTTGAGTCAAGCTCAAGCTGCAATTGGAGGACGAGGTCTCAAAACAGGAGGTGCTGGACACGGAAGCCAAGGTGGAAGAGCTGGGGAAGACAGTGGTCACCGGAGTTGAGCTCAACAAGTGGGTTGAATACACAAAAGCATCGCATGCCGTCATCACTGAGAGGCTTGACAAGATGACCTTGTCACCTTGCCCACTCCGGTTAAGGAGGAGGCGGCTGACCCGACTGTCGGAGGCCCAACCTGCTTGGGTCAAAAAGATGGAGGAAGGCCGTTCGTTGCGACCTGGGCCTTTCGACACAATATGGACCTCCAGACGCTGCACCTGTGCAGCAGCTCAAGCCTCCAAAGCTGGTCAGCCTTGGCCCAAAGCGACCAGGAGCACTCACTTCGATGGTCATGATCTATCTCGACAATTGGGGTCATGCCTCGACAATGATGGCGATCAACGCCGCATTGACCGAGTCGAAGTCGGCGGCTGGTCAACAGTTCCATCTGAGAAACATCAGAAAAGGGGTCCCCGCCACACCCCAAGCCTGGTGTGATTTGATCACGGAACAGTTCGCCGCATCACGACCAGTGGCCCTGGCCACTTTACTCCAAGCCCGAATGTTTGATCCAGCAAAAGACGATGTCCAGGAGTGGATTGCGGAACTGCAATCTATCTGCCAGGAGGCCGAACAGGAACACGAATTTCCTTGATTAGTCTTCGGGTGCCAGAGTCGGCCCTGTTAGATGGCAAGCCTCCAAGCGCTTACAAGTCTGTGGCTGCTCTGCAAGAGGCCATGCTGATCCAGAAAAAGAGAAAACGATTCAGAGAACCCAGTCGAACCGTGCCAACGCTGAGTGAGGCGGACCAGGCCAATCCCAAGCCTGTTGTTACTGCCAACAGTCTCCCCAGCAGGAACGATCAAGGTTTGCCTTGGTGTCGATTTTGTCGCACCTATCACTGGCGCAATGAAACACCTTGCCAGGTGGAAGTTACCAATGTACATGTTGCTCCTTCCGATGCTCAAAGCGATGGTGAGGGCTAAAAATTGCCCATTGTGGACAGTCTTGGGGACACGACATCATCTCGGCTGGGGGACATGTAAGTCCGCAGTGTAAGGCTTTAGGTTCCTTACGTCGCTGCTCCTCCACTCTCATCACTCAAGCGACTATACGTATGTAGTAGGCCTGAGAATGAGATGTGGAAGAGATTAAAGTATGGAAAAGGTAAGAAGAGAGCATATAACGGAGTCGCCAGCACAGCAAGTCTGGGAGCACGCGCCATGCCATCTGATCGGTGAGGCCACCGAGCCGATGTGAGGTCGCAGCTCACCCTGCGGCCTTACATGTCAACCAAGATAAAGTCTCGTCTCCGAGACTGTCCACGATGAGCAGTTCTTAGCCCTCACCATCGCTTTGAGCATCGTGAGGAGCAATGTGTACAGTGGCAACTTCCACCTGGCAAGGCGTTTCATTGCGCCAGTGGTAGGTAGGTGCGACAAAATCGACAACAAGGCACACCTCGATCGTTCCTGCTGGGGAGACTGTTGGCAGTAACAACAGGCTTAGGATTGGCCTGGTCCGCTTCACTCAGCGTTGGCACGGAACGACTGGGTTCTCTGAATCGTTTTCTGTGCTTTTGGACCAACATGGCCTCTTGGAGGGCAGCCACCGACTTGTAGGCACTCGGAGGCTTGCCATCTGGCAGGTCCGACTCTGGCACCCGAAGACTGATCCAAGGAAACTCGTCTTCCTGTTCAGCCTTCTGGCAGATAAATTGGAGTTCCGCGATCCATTCCTGAACATCGTCCTTTGATGGGTTGAACATCCGGGCCTGATGTAAGGTGGCCAGGGCCATTGACCGTGATGCGGCGAACTGTTTTGTGATCAAATCACACCAGGCTTGGGGTGTGGCGGGACCCCTTTTTTTGGTGTTCCTCAAGTGGAACTGTTGGACAGCTGCCGACTTCGACTCGGTCAATGCGGCGTTGATTGCCATCATTGTCGAGGCATGACCCCAATTGTCGAGATAGATCATGACCATCGAAGTGAACGCCCCTGGTCGCTTTGGGTCAAGGCTGACCAGCTTTGGAGGCTTGAGCTGCTGCACAGGTGCAGCGTCTGCTGGTCCATTGTGCCGAAAGGCCCAGGTCGCAACGAACGGCCTTCTTCCGTTCTTTCGATACAAGCAGGATGAGCGTCCCTGAAAGCCGAGTTAGCCGCCTCCTCCTTTACTGGAGAAGGCAAGGTTATCTTGTCGAGCCTCTTGCTGAGGGCGGCATGCGATGCTTTTGTGAGTTCAACCCACTTGTTGAGCTCGAGCTGCACTTCGGTGATCACTTTCTTTCCCATCTCATCCACCTTGGCTTCCATGTCCAGAATCTCCTGTTTGGAGGCCTTGGTCGCGGCCAACACCTCAACTTGCTTGAACAGCATGGTATTGTTTTCTCGGAGGCGCCTGGCTTCTGCCTCCACCTCTTCCTGCATCTCTCGCAGCTGCTGAGATAGGGACACTGGAGGTGGGAGACTGGACTTCGGAGGTCCCATTGACGTAGGCGTGGAAGGTGGTGGATTTGCAGTTGCCGTGGGAGGTCCCATGTTGACAGGCGTTGCAGGTGGGCGATTGTTGCCGGGTGTTGCTGCTACTGCCGAGGGAGGTCTGGATCGTGAAGACAAGGGTAATAATGAGCTCCTTGTCCTTGCCACGTAGGTCGTAATATTTGCTCATGACTGATGAATAGCTCTAGATCTTCACACTCGAAACCAATCTGTAAGGCCTTAGATTCTTTTCGTCGTGCCTCCTTCGCATTCACCACTCAAGCAGCTATACGTGTGTAATAGGCGTGAGAATGAGATGTGGAAGAGACTATGTGGTAGAGAAGGGCTTCATGCTAGACCAGTTGTCAAAGAGACGCAGGATTCTCACCAGCAGGAATCTATTGGGAAGGTCTGTTGTGCGTGTGTTGGTATCCATCTCGTCATCTGGACTGTGACTCTTGGTCCATGTGACCACTGACTACTTACAGGGATCAACAAGCCGTAGAGTCAGGGGTTTCAGAGTATATAGGAGAGCAAAGGCGAGGTCTGCTTTTAGTCTCTAAGGAACATGTTTCTGTTGTCTAAGACGTCTTGGCCACAATAAGCGCTAATGGGACTGCGCTCTCGCCAGGTCTGGTCTACAAGGTAAAGTCAGGGGAAGGACCACTTCAGGCGAGCACAGCGGTCTTTTTGCAGCTTCTGGATGGCTGTACATCAAATACGCACGTCCTGGACGGGTTGAAAAATAATTCGCCAGTGGACTGAGACTTCTGACATCGCGCGGCTGCAGACTGTGCGTAGAGTGCGGCGGGCAGAAAGCGCAGATGATGTTGAGCTCGATGCAGGACTGATTGGAGGAAACTTCCGAGAAGCAGACCAAGTCGAAGGCAAGGCGGTCTTGGAGATGTCTCTTCCTCGAGGGTTATATGACCGATTTATTCATGGATCGTTGCATCGAGCTTAAGATTATCTGCGCTTTCTATTCGCCGCACTCTGCGCACATTCTGCAGCCACTCGATGTCGAAAGTCTCAGTCCGCTGGCAAACTACTATCCAACCAGTCCAGGCCGTACGCGTTTGACGTATATCCATTAGGAGAAGCTGCAAAAAGACAGCTGTGCCCTCACGCCTGAAGTAGTTCTTCCCCTGACTTTACCTTGTAGACCAGACCTGGCGAGAGCGCAGTCTCATTAGCGCATATTCTGGCCAAAATGGCGATCAAGTCACGATCATCGTCTGGCACAGCCTTGGGCAAGACGTCCCAACGTATTCCTGCTTGATGTGGACTCATGTATCAAGTTCGACACATCTATCGACTTCATCACATTGACTCCTGATGACTCGACATCAGATGTCACGGGACATCATGTCCACACTCCTTTTCACATCGAAAGTCGAACCCAGCGTACTGTTTTCCAATTCCAGCTTTAGCTTTTGCGCAGTCATCGTTTTTACTATGCGTGTTTCCTAGCAGAACTGCAAGCAGTGCAACACAGGGGTATACTGCCATCACGACTACCGCCGCAAGCATCGCACGCTCCTTGAAGCAGGAAGATCGGTCAACATATACGCCGCCTGTCACTGTGCCCAGCATGCTGTAGCCTGCATGCCTATGATGCCATGTCATTGCCGGCACTTGCGCGGGAAGTTGCGCCTCAATCGCTCGTTTAATTTTGGCGAGATCTGGCAGGAATGACGTCTCTGGCAGAAGTCTGGCACCGGCAGATGGCAGATGGCTTCCTTCCATCACTGACTCTGGGGTTACTTTGTCAACATGAACCTGGATCGGGTTCTCGTACAGTGCAGACGTCAGCTCAGCTGGCGCCCCACTGTTCCACCTTCATCTGCTGAGTGCCAGGGCAGGCCCGCCATCGGGACCCCTGACGTCGTCCACAGCAAGCATATAATGTCAATGCGCATCCGCCCAATGCTCCTTTTCTTCAAGCATTCTTTGCTCGGTCTATGAACGGTCACAGCTTGAAGCGCACCCTTCGAGACCACGAACCTGTGCCCGGCCAGCACACGCAGCGCGAGTGGGATCAACCTCTCGTCCACAAGATGACACACAACAGCCCTCCTCCAACGCGCTTGTCGACTCACTCGGGTGCGACCGCCGTTCAACCGCTTTCACCAGCATTGAGCGCGCAGAACGCAACTGCTGCGCCAATTGATGGCCGTACGCACGCAGACGAGCATGACCTCGAGAAGAATGCGAGTGGAGGTCGCTTCAGCTTGCACAAGCATAAGAGTGGGACTGATGACCGAGCTCTTGCAGCAGGCGCAGGTGCAGGTACAGGTGCCACAGCAGCACATCACCACCATTATCTGAGCATGCCCCATTTGCACGCTCGCCGTAAGCATTTCTATGATTTGTCGAGGACAGACAAGGCGAAGCTTCGGTTCAAGAATCACATGTTGGCGATGATTGGTGAGTACGTGGGAACTCTGCTCTTCACATTCTTTGCATTTGGCGGCGCTCAAGTCGCACTTGTCCCAAGTACGAGTATCACGGGTGCCACAGCAACGGCAAATGCTGACGGGTCTGCCGCGGCAGCCGAGACTATTCAAGCACCAAATACCTCTTCGTTGCAATTTGTTGCCCTGAGTTTCGGCTTCTCGCTCACAGTGACGGCCTGGACGTTTTATCGTGTGTCTGGTGGTCTGTTCAACCCTGCTGTCTCCTTGGGCCTGGCTCTTGTTGGTGTCATTACCCCTATGCGCGCTGTATTGCTCACGATCGTTCAATGCCTTGGTGCTATTACAGGCGCTGCTCTAATCCAGGTCATCATCCCTGGTCCGCTGTACGTCACAACTCGTCTTGGTGGAGGCATGTCGCCAGTGCGCGGTCTGTTCATGGAAATGTTCTTGACGACCATGCTCATGCTCACCATCTTGCTTCTGGCTGCAGAGAAGTCTCGGGCTACCTTCTTGGCGCCCATTGGTATTGGTCTCGCGTTGTTCATCACGCAACTTGTCGGCGTATTCTACACTGGCGCTTCTGTGAATCCAGCCCGCACCCTTGGTCCTGATGTGGTGATTAGATCGTTCCCATCATACACATGGATCTACTACGTGGGACCTGTGCTAGGTACGTTGCTTGCATGCGCATTCTACAAGATGATCAAGTTCTTGCACTATGAGACTGTCGTTCCTGGGCAAGACTCAGATATGGCGGCTGGACTTGGCGGTGGTGGTGTCAAGGATGAGAAACCAATGGGTCCCGACGAAGGTGGGCCCGAATATTCTGACGAGCCTGCAGGATCGAGTGGAGGAGCGCCTACGCAGGCTACTGGTCCTCAGCATGTTCAAGTCATCATTCCACCTGAGAGTCTTGCACAACTTGGTGCAGATGGCAGACGTTCCTCCATTATCAACATTCCCGGTGCCGGTCCTATTGCTCTTGATGGTATTGCTGGGCCTGGTCTGTCTGATTACAGTACACCTGCGAGCAAGGGAAACTTGGGTGCTGATTTGACATCCGCTACGGCACACACTAAATTTGTCGGCAGGGATGTCAGGCCTCACGGGGAGAATGCGTATTGATTACGGGATTGAGAATGCTTTATAGTTAATGAGTCATCATCGGACCGGTCGGCTGTCTATAAATACTTGAGGATCATAATGACTGTCTTGTGTGGTACAAGCTTCGCTGAATCAGGGGCAAGTATTGAGACTCTGATCTCTATGATATCGAGCCATTCTTTCGCCAGGTATCACAAGATAAAAAGATGCATAGAAGACAAGGCAGGATATCTACATAATGGTGCAATCCTCAGTCATCTTTGGCATACCCCCATCGAGCATGCCAAGATCCTCCCCCATAATCTCTGTTGGCGGACTGCCAAGCTCTTGCATCTCGCCCATGAGGGCCATTACCTTGTCCTTCTTTGCCTTGTCGTCGTCGTTGTATGTAGTTGAGTCAAATTCGGCAACAATCTGCTGCACCAGCTTGCATTGCTTCTTGTATGTCTCCAGTTTTGGGTCTTCCGGGTGCTCCTTGATCCAGTCTGGATACTTTTGAGAAAGTTCCAGTAAAGGTTCGTACAGAATCTCCTTGGACATGAGCTGTGCCATCATCCCTTCGAGGACACTGCCGAAATCACCATTTTCACCAGCAGACTGCTCAAATTGCTTCATCATTTCTGCCATGAAGGCATCCGACTCACCTTCGCCCATTTCAAGGCCCGCGCTATCATCTTGCTCGTTCGAGTTCTTGGCTGACCGCTCCGACTCTCTGATCCGTGCCAAGTTAGCCTCGAGCGTTTCTTGAAAATTCTTGGGCTTTCCATCGCTCTTTGCTGATACTGCTGCCGCCTTCTTTGCGGCATTATTGGGATAGGACGTCTTCTTTGAGGCATCCACGCTCTTTGCAGCATCCCCAGCTGCTCCATCCGCCGTTGCCAGTGACATTTGTTCCATCAATTGTTCGAAATCCTTCTTTGCCTCTGGTGACGCCTCAAGCTCCTTCATGAGATCCTCCATACCCATTTGTAGCTGCTGTGCAAAGTCACCAGACTCGAGGGCCGGCATACCAGACTCGCTCTCTTCTGGCACATCTCCCAATTCAGTCAGCCGGGACGCACTGCTGCCTGTGGCGAGAGCTGTACCACTTGTTGGTATCGGCTCCGAGGCATCGTTGTCAAAGTCGTCGAGGAGGTCATCGAGATCATCCAGGTCATCTGCTTCTTGTCTGTTGGACGCTGCCATGGCTATGCTCTGTATCTGTTGTACGAGGCAAGGCGAGTGGACTTGTGGTGTTGCAGAGTGGAGTAGTCAGGGATGAGTTTCACATGCACAGGACGCGACAAGACCAAAGACAAGACTAGCCAGGCGATACTTGAGGATGAGGCGCTAGAGGCTGCTCTTCTATGTCAGGTGGACGTAAGCGAAGTCATCAAGTCTCGTTTGCAGACGAAGCGGTGAATGGATACGACCCGGATGTTCTACCGGAACGCGATGACATGGTTGCCGATGCCATGACTGCGCGACAGGAGGCGCATCGAGCCGACATGGCACACAGGATGCAAAGCAATCAACAGGTTGATCAAGCTGTCCTCTTACAACTTGCGCAGGAGGACGAATTCAATGCAGCAGAAATGATGGTGGCAGCAGAAGCCCTGCAGCGACAGATGGAGGAGAATGCAGCCATTGAAGCCCAAGTCGAACAGTACACGGCACAGCTGCTTGAAGAAGCCGCCCTGGAAGAGATGCGCATGGACGACACATGAATAACTACAACTTCGCCTTATCTTCATTATACTCTACATCAGCCATGGCTTCTTGCATCACGGTTGCAACATGCCGCCGTCGAATGTCCCACATGTGACCCGTCACGAGGCAGCGTTGATTACCCGACGCAGGCGACGATGTTTGGTAGGTAATCCAATCTTCCCCCTCTGGCGTGGATGGCTTACCAGCAAGTGAACAATGAATGACCACTGCATGATCCAGCGATGTGACCTTGTTGAAGCGCATATACTTGTGCACAGCAGCATGCGCATTGGTTGCTGTAAACAAGAAATTCCTATCACTGCCATAAAGCAGCAAAACGGCCTGAAAGTTGTGACTCCGGTCATTGACCTTGACGAGGGGTTTAAAGTAATGCACCTGGCGACGCTGGTACGTGGGCCGTTTTCTGTTCTCTGCAACGAGGTTGAGCTTTCGAAACTCGAGTGGCATTTTCCAGCGGCTGCGCATATTGTGCAACAGCGGCATATCGACATCTGGGCAAGGGTCGACATTGTCAATTTGATGGTAAGGAATCAAATCCTTGGGATACGGGATGCCATGCTCAATCACAGGCACGTCCCGTACATTGGTGCTGAGTCCCGTCTTGAAGCTCGCAAAACAGGTATAGATGGCCTTGTCAAACTGCAAGGCTTCAACACGCCGTGTGGCATATCCTCGACCTGAGCGAACCTCGTAGACGCGATAGCAGATGCGCTCAACGGCATTGCCCGGTCGTAAAAAGTGGCCGTGCGTTGAGTGGAGGTCAAATCCTTCAGGTACTGTTTGACATGCAGCCCAACATGACTGAGCAATGGCTTGGCCGCCGTACAAACCGTGTGCCTCAACGCTGCCTTCGCCAAAGACTGGCAGCCATGCGAGGTTGACTGCAATGAATGTTCGCGGGAAATCTGTCGAGTCTGGATCAGAGATGTCTTCGAGAGCGAGGATCTCCTCGGTGCTTGTGATGAACTGGAGGTCCACCATGCCACCGATGTCTAGCTGGCAATAGGTAATGCAGAGTCTGGGGATAGTTGACGTCCTGCAATTCAAGATTCAAGTTTCGGCTCCGCATCGGGAGGCCGGAGACCTGCCAGGCTGCCAAACTGACATGTGAACACTCTATTCGGCCAATATATACGAGGCACAAGCTTGTCAGGCGCTTGTCTGGCTCAGTCTGCTCACCTGATGCTCTGGTCATCACCCATGCCAGAGCTTGGGCTACTGGTCCTTACGTGGACGTTCGGAGGATGCCGATGTCAATTTTCCTGTGGCTCATCGTCTCGGCGACTCCACATTTGACCTCCGAGCACTTCAAATTAGTTCAACACTTTGACTCTTCGCTGTACTTTCGCTCAGCATGCAGCCCATCAAGTTTCCCAATGAGCAGGATGCAAAGGTAATTTTGACGCAGCCAGAAGAGGGCATCTTCCTCATCACTTTCTGCAATGGCGAAGACAACAGGCTGGTAACCGACTTTTGCCAAGGTGTTCTCTCTGCCCTCGACAAGATTGAGCAGCTCTGTCCAGTCGGCTCGGTGGGTGCTGTTGTTACGACTGGCTCTGTCGCCAAGTTTTACAGCAACGGCCTCGATCTCGATCATGCCGGTAATACGGAAGGCTTTTGGGAAAGGTCATTTTACCCAATGCTGCACAGGCTCGCAAGCTACCACTTACCCTGCGTGGCTGCCATCAATGGTCACGCATTTGCAGGAGGTGCCATGATGGCGCTCTGTCACGATTACCGCATCACAAATGCCTCAAAGGGTTTCATGTCACTCAACGAAGTACACTTTGGTGCGCCCTTGATGACAGGCATGATGGCGTGTGTCAGGCACCGTGTCAGTCCTGCTGCCGTTCGCAAATGCGTTCTCGAAGGACATCGATTTGCTGGCGCAGAACAGGTTAAGCTTGGCTTTGCTGACCAGGCTGCTGATCCAGCAGACAATGGTGTTCTCAAGGCTGCTATCAAGGAAGCGCAACGACTCAGTCAATTCTCAAAGACGGGCGTGTATGGCAAGTTGAAGCTTGAAATGAACGCTGCACTCTTGGCAACACTCAACATTCAGTCACACAACGCTTGCGTTGAGCGGATGGCCAAGTATGACGATGACCGTGATGCATTCCAGGAGTCCAAGGCAAAGTTGTAATATAGTCTATATTCCCTGTTCCAGCTTTTCTACTTGTTCTTCCAGACTTGGCAATTGAGCAGCTAGCTCCTGCATCTTTTCTTGAATCTGTCGAATCTCCGACATGCTTGACGTGGGTTTGCGAGCGAGTGCACGAATACCGACTGATATCCGTGCTTGTACCACTTCTGGATCCACGAGTGTATGCTGGCTCCAGCGAAGGAGCAATTCAAGCGCCTCAACTGGCTTGCCCGTCAAAAACCCGCGCGTGACTGTCGCGCCCACATCTCGTTGCGTCAGTAGCCGTTGCAAAAGCGCATCCTTGTGAGTCGGCGACAATTGACTCGTCGTTCGCGTTGGCCGCATGAACCGCTTTCGATTGGGATCTTGGAGCTGGCCGTACTGATAAATTAACCAATCCATAACGGTACCCAGCGTCTTGAACTCGCCATACATGCCAAGCCGTTTGCAAATTTCCCGCCAAGCCTCAGGCTGTACCCGACCGCCTGTACGCAGGCATTTGCTGACTGCTTGGATGGCCAGCCGAATGTCGACGAGATGGGGTCGGCGATCTGCCATGTCCATGACATCGGGAAGTGAGCCAGGGCGACGTACTCGCAATAGACTCATGGAGAATTCTTCAGCAGTGGCATTCTCGACAACAAGATTTTGGATAGACATCTCTTCCAAGCCAGCAAGGGCATCGTCCATGTGAAAATTGACAATTCGAGAGCGCAGCAGGAGATTCCATGTATCAGAGGTTGCTTGCCCGCCGTTGACGAGATCGTGATGCATGGTTTCAAGCTGATGGAAATGTCGGCCTTCGAGTAGACCGAGAATCAGGTTGCGGTATAGAAAATCAGTGTCTGCTTTTGAGACGGCCTCGACATCTGCAAGGCGAGCATCACGCTCTACGCACGCTCGAACAATTTTGAGTGCTTTTTGGCCATCTCCGTGCTTTGCAATGAAGCGTACTAGGATTGCGTAGCCACGCGCAGTGACCCGAAAGCCTTGCACCATCATCTTTGTAATGAGCTTCTTGGCGTGCTCCAGATCCCTAGCAGCAAACAAACATGCCTGGAGACTTGCTGGACCAAGCGAGCAGCCCAACTTTTGCATACGTCGCAGGACTGGGTCTAGTGGATTGCCGGCATCTGCAAGAGCCAACAATGCAGCGGCCCAATAGTTATCCTCGTCAGTCTTGGTCGAGAGCTGTCCATAGTCTTGTGAGACTGCATGGAAGCCAGCGATCAGCTGTTGAGTCGATTGAGCAAGAGGTTGAGGCAAAGTCTCAAGCTGTCGAATGAATGCTTGTACCACATCTGGCGTGGAATGCTGCAGGTGGAAGCGAAGCAGCGCATCACAATGCGCGGAATAATCTGGCAAGTCGGCATGCTCAAAGAAGTACAAATGCGCTTGATGCGCTTCTTCAAATCGCCGCTGACTGACGAGATAGTCCATGACGGGCATGTAAAAATGTGGCGACGCGCCCGCTTGTCGCAGCAGACTATGTAAGCCATAGATAAGCTTGGATGGAGAGTGAGATGTGCACATGGCGTAGCATAGCCGTCGCCAGTCAATGGAGCCTGTGCCAAGGCCATCTCGCTGAAGTTTGCGATGCCACAGATAGACTTGCAAAGCATGATCTGCCTCTGTCGACATGAGGCCCATGAGCCATGTCGTGTAAAACTCTTTCCAATGGCCTTCACTCAACTGCCGCGTGCAACAGGCTTCATACAGCTTTTGCATGAAGCCGTCATCTTGGAGACCGAGCTGAATTGCGTGACGCCAGACCACATAATCCGTATAACTTGGTTCAACCAAGTGAGGACTGGACAGCATGCTAATGAAGTTGCGCTTAAATAAACTATCGTTATGCTTCATGTGGTGCATGAGTGAACATTTCCACATCAAAGCGCTCGTAGCTGGTTCGTGAAAGGTGAAGTACGCGGCGAGCGAGTATACCTTGTGCGCTTTGTTGAGCTTGAACATGTTTTTCGCAGCCTTTTCGAAGCGATCGCGTCCATTGAGTTTGACTGGAGAATGCCTAGACTGAGCCTGTATCCTTGTAAGAGTGTTGTTTCCATGCTTCGTATCATTATTGCTGTGTGTGTCTCTGACATGTTGCACACAGTCGTCGACCCAATGCTGGTGCAATGCTCTGTCCGGCCGGACACGGGCTCGAGAAATGGCGGCTGACATGGCGCTTCAGCATAGTCACCTGCACAGATACCTGCTTTCACGGCGCGAAATGGATACCTTGGCGCGTCTTGGTGTATGAGATGAAGCCTGAGCCTGCGTGGTTACAAAAGAAATCTGTCGCACGCATCATCTGCAGCTTCTACACTCTGGCAATGAGCTATCTATACGTTCAATCGAGGCCATCAGGTGCTTGCTGCTCCATTTGCACACTCTGCTGCATCCTCCTCTCTATTGCCAACAAGGCCATCTGCCTCGCAACGTTCTCTTCACTAGGCGAGGCAGTTGGGTCCAAGACTTTGCCCCTGCACGCTTTCGCTCGTCTTCGCGCAGCATCGTCATCAATCAGCTTGATGGCTTCCAACTTCTGCGATGCTTGAGCGGCCAGCATTGCGGATGGCTTAGACAAATCCTTAGCAATAGCTTGACGCATCATTTCCGTGTGCCTTGATATCCTTTCGTGGCTAATTTCCAGGTGATTCAGTGTGCCTTTAAACACAAAGAACTCTTCCATATCTTGTACTTCTGGATTGAAGCCGACTTCAAGCAATATGAGATCGGAGCCTCGTTGACTCAGCACAGTCTTTTGAATTGCTCCATTGCGCGTTTTGAAGCGCTGATATTTAGGCTCATCAGGATTTTTCAAGATATTGCCAGTCAGCTTTGCAAAGAGCTCCAAGCAGGCCAGCTTGGCTTGCTCAGGCTCTTGCGTGTCATGATATTGGTCAAGTAGACGCAACAGGACTGGAAAGCTGCCAGTCGGCGGTTTAAAGACGGAGGCCATAGCTTAGGTGCCATACATCAGTAAGACATCAGTCACCTGGCCTTACAGCTTCCCAATACAAATGTCAGCACAAAATAGTGACGCAGCTCAACGATTCCAAAGCTCTAGGGCGCAAGACGTCGACAGAAGAACAGAGACTGATGCAGTGATGCTCGGCCAAAAGGGTGCAACATACATTCAGATGGGCCAAAATACTAAGGCCCATCTAAGAAGGTACGCTAGTGCGAAGTTTTTTACTGCCCAGATATCATGCGTAGCAAGCCTTGGAGGGAGTATCACCAGACAAGCTTCTGCAGTGTTCTATTTGTCGTGGTTGAATGCTGACATAAGCCATGCGCCTTTGTTGACAAGCGCGCAGTTTATACTTCAGCAGCTCATTCACAACACAACAACCGCCAAGCAAGCAAACCCCAGTAGCAGCCAATGGCGGCCCCAAGTATGATGTCTGGCATGACGGGCGCAACCTCAGGCATGAGTTTCATGCCGACAAACTTACCAAAAGTTGTCCTCTCACCAGACGATATTCAATATTCCATCAGCGCCTACGAAGTCCTCCTGACAACGGCCAAAGCGTACCGGAATGCGCTTGCAACGCTCGCTCAAACGGCTAATGCATTTGGTGCTGCTTTGGAAAGTTGTGCGAGGCTGAAAGGTGTCGATGATGCTTCAGAAGGCCTATTGAGCGCTGCAGGGTTGCATTTCTTGATTGCAAACCATCAAAGCGTTCTGAGCGATACCGTCTACCGGTCCTATGAGATTCCTCTACGTGAGAATTTGGAAAGCTTTGTACTGGACGCAGGGCAAAGAAGAGAGGAGTACCTACGAGAACTGGCTCGTCGCAAGAAGATGCTTGCTGAACGGGAAAAGAAGCACATTGCGCTGGCGCATCGCAATAAACGCTCCCTTGGCGAATTCAGAGCAGCTCTGAGTGATTTGACGATGCTAGCGGATGACATTGATAAGCTCAAGTCGGATTACTTCTTTACCTCTCTCGGCAGTCACAACGATACCTGGCACCGTGTCTCTTCTCGCTCTGGCATCGTCTGCAAAGCCGAACTACAACTCTACAGTGCAATTGGGCAAAAGCAAGAAAATATGCTGCCTACATTACATGGCGTTGCTGATCCCTGGCAGAATGAGGTCCGCTCAGGGGATGATTTGTTCAGTATTGTTCCGCCGCAGGAGATTCTAGCACGTCCACAAAGTCCGTCGCATGAATCTGGTTTATTTGCAAGTTTGCTCGGAACCTTGCATGAAGCGAGTAGTGATCAGCGGGAAATAACGACAGTGACGCCCGGTGCATCGAGACAGGTGAGCGCTGGTCGAAGTGAGTTATTCTCAACAAGTCCCAAACTACCTGGTGCAGGTGTGTCTGCAGTACCTGTCGTGACACGCTTTCATGCAGAGCAAGAACAAACACCTACGCGCGCACACCAGGCGTATCCTACAAAACGCGCCACCAGTGCCTTGAAACGACTGAGTGGCGAGCGTGTACCTGTGCGCAATATCGCATTGCAAACACCTACGCGCCTTTCTCAGAGCAGCGAGTCTGTTGAGAGACCGTTGGATGACGTGACAGAGGCTGATCCAACATCACCGTATCAAGACGCTGAAGAACCCATCGCCGATGTTGCGGGTAGTACAACTGTATCGCCTGTCAAGCCGAGTAGTGCTGGAACAGGCATCTGTTCAATCATCACGCGACAGGGTAGTCTACCGAGCACACCTGTCAAGTCTGGTAGTGCAGGGAGTCATGGCTACAGCAATAGTATTCGGCATTCTCAAAGCTCGAGTGCACGGAAGCTTGATTTTGAGCGGGAACTTGGGAGTAGTGCGACAAAGTCAACTCGTACGCGTGCTTCCTTTGTTGGCGGAACATCGCCTGCAAAGAGTGTTGTGAGCAAATTGGAGGCAGAGGTGGAGGCGGTCATGGTTGCTCAGGGTAATGCATGGGCGCAATCGCCAGAGAGCCTCGACAAGCACAGCGATGCGCTTTGGTAGGGAAAGGGGAAATGATTCTGACTAGTCGAAAGAAAAGACTATGAAAATCCTGTAAAGAAGAAAACGCATGAATTGATAGCTTAAAGCTTGAGACCCAATGCCTGGTTGACTTTTGTACCTTGCTTGATGGACAGATTAAGCATGATTTCCTCAGAACCACCGGGGATGGCATATGCTCGCACGTCACGGTAGAGACGCTCGACTTTTTCACCTTGTCCGCCACGGGTGTAGGACAGACCACCAAAGATCTGAGCAGCTTCACGAGCGCAGTACTCAAACATGAGTGTCGACCTGATTTGTTAGTTTTGACCATGTATAAAAGGGAGCGTACTGTGCTTTGAGACCGGCAACGGCACCACCGAGCATGAGCATGGCTTCCGTGTCACCCATGACTTGTGTCTGGTAGATGACTTCCTCGAGTTTAGCGTGTGCGGCTTCGAGCTGACGGCCCATCTGAGCGAGCTTCATGTTGATGACACCGTGGTCAAAGAGACGCTGGCCAAAGGTCTTGCGCTTGAGGGAGTACTTGAATGCCTCTTCGTAGCAGACACGGGCGAATCCTAAAAGTCAGTATTTGCTCAAAGCAAAGAAAAGGCATACGGTTGGACTGGATGATGATGCCGATACGTTCGTGGTTGAAGTTTTGCATGATGGCCTTGAAGCCCTCGTTTTCCTTGCCAATGAGGTTCTCGACTGGGACTTTGACGTCCTCAAAGGTGATGTAAGTGGTGGCAGAAGACCAGACACCCATGCACTTCATCTGCTTGCAGGTGATGCCGGGCATTGTCTTTTCAATGCAGAGCAAGGAAACACCCTTCATGCCGTCACCGCCAGTACGCACGGCAGTTGTAAAGTAGTCTGCAAGAAGACCGTTTGTGATCCACTTCTTCTCACCATTGACAATGTAGTGCTTGCCATCTGGTGACAACTTTGCCGAACAAGTCAGGTTGGCAACGTCAGAACCTGCATCGGGTTCAGTAATGGCGAGACAGATGCGCTTCTTGCCGGCAATGATGTCTGGGATAACACGCTTCTTAAGAGCTGCTTGGCCGAATTTGAAGAGAGGTGGCAAACCAATACCGTAGCCACCGAGCAAATTCCAAACCACACCACCGGAACCGCAACGAGCCAACTCGTCAGTCAAGATGAGCTCGTGGAAGTGGTCCCATTCTTCGGGGGAGACGGATTTGACGCGAATGTCAGTGTACTCCTTTGGGAATTTCAAACCAATGGCTCCGCACAGGTATCCACGTTCGCCCATTTGTCGGTAGACGGACTCAGGCATGGACTTTGCCTCATCCCATTCATGGCAGTTGGGCATAATCTCTGCTTCCACCCACTCACGGACTTCCTCGCGAAGTCTCTTGTGGGACTCCTTGTAGTAGGGAGAGGCCCAGCCTTGGTACCAGGATGGATCGGCGTAGGGAACCATGTCACCAAAGAAATCCTTCTCGGCAGGTGCATCCTGAACCGGAGATGAAGCTTTGACGGATGGAACGGCGACACCGTTAACATTAGAGGGAACAGCGGAGTCAATGACCTTCTTGGCCTCGCTCTTCTTTGCAGGGGCAGTCTCGCCACCGCCACCAATGGTACCGACCTGCAGCTTGGGCTTGTACTTGTTGAGAATAGCCTTGTTGTGGTACTTCCAGAATTGCTTGGATGCATCCTGTCCAGCGACCTTGAGGACAATCTTCTTGCCACCTGGGTGGTTGTCTAGGAAGGAAGACATGTCATACACGCCATCGTCGACCTGGTCGTTAGTGTGCATTCTTTGAGATGTTTATACGCGTACGATGATGTAGATGTCCTTCTCTGTGTTGTGCTGCTTGACTTGTTCTGCCGTGAATGACTTGGACATGGCTGCTTGAGTGGTGGTGTCTGGTGTATGTCTGTTCTCTTCCCTCTCCCCGGATTCTGTCGGCTCAGGCACCCACATGTCACGCGACCAGCCAATCACAGCGCGGGAAGCAGCAACCACAGGAGTAAGCAGTGCGAAGAGTGCTACACTGTCTACAAGCCTAGCTACAAGACTACAAGACTAGCTACAAGATATTTGTCAAATTCCTCTGCTTGCCCGCTGAAACACTCAATCTGCCTGACCCCGCCCCTGTTTCGCCTCATGAACCCTTGCCAGCTACAGTACTTACGTGCCATGCTCAGCCTACTGTCAGGTACACCTCTACATGACTTCCATTGATGTGCTCTCAATGCCCTTGCTCCCAGGCTATACGCGTCATGCGCAAGATCCCTGCCAAACCCTTCCAAGAGACGTCAAAGCGCGCATTCGCGCCATACAGCAAAAGTTTCCAGGTCTACGACGTCCAAAGAGTAAAGTCCCTTCGTCTGAAGCAAACGCTGTAAGTGTACGCATACCCATCTATTGCTGCGAGGATCAGCTTCTCACGGCTGAACAACTCGAGCAGCTAGGATTGCCAACTGTTACTTCCTCTGGCCAGCTCATCGACTACCAGATCCTGCCGATAGACCGACTCGATGATGAAGAATTGCCGGCGTATTTGCCGCGACAGCGAAAGCCCGGCTTCAAAGGCTGGCTGCAACATCAGTATCGGCGGCGAGAACTTGTTCGAGCAGATGGGACGATCCTATGGGATGAGGTATTTGGCTTGTGTGTGGTAGTTTTCTTTACTGCCGTTGTCGTCGTTGCTGCTGCAGTTGTCTTGGCTGCTCTTATCTAGTCTGCAGCACTGTCTGCTAGCCTCATTCCCAATGCATCTGATGCCACAATGTTTAGAAGCTTGGGCCGTGTCTTTGTGCATTCCATCTGATGAGGTGATCTACGAGGAGCTGAAGGTGATCTGCGCGGCCTGCTCGAGCGGCGACTGCGCAAAGACTCAATACATACTCTTCGACTGCCTTGATAAGGGCTGCAGCTAAGTGCACCGACTCCGCCGGGCCTAGAGGTGAGCCGACATGCAGCGTTGAAACATATGAGGATGTTATTGCTTGAAGCATGACTCAGTAGGACTATATTCGCCTGTGCATGGAGATGTTATGTGAGTGTTCTGGTACCTAGTGAGATAGTCTTTCAGGCAGCATGCGGGATGATAGTTCAATGACACTGCATATGATCATGCCATGATAACAATGAGAAGTCGAACGGCGGCTCCTCGACGTCATGCGTGGGCAAATGATTTGACAGGCGTCAATCTCAGATCGCCCGACGATAGGGACAACCATCCACAAGACACAGATCCAGTGTATAGCTGCTATGCAACGTCGAGCAACCTGACAGCTCCTGTAGCTGCCACATGTCAGAAGATGCGCAGCGGAAGTTGACTGAACCCGCAAACACACGACAGCTTGCTACCTTGCAACTGCTGCAGCCCTTGTTTCAACTTGTGGTTGCTTATCTACTTGACGTTGATGTAGCGACCCGTGGGGCCCCTGCGCCTCACCACAGGCTATGAATACCTGTGCGGCTGCTGCTGTCACTCTTGCTTGCGTCTATAAGGTAGACAAGCAGACATACCCAACCTAGTCACCACCAATGCCATGAACAAGCTTACCCAGTTTGCGCGTCAACGTGTCAAAGCCGTCAAGCGACTTCCATTCGATGTGCTCATTCTCAAACGTATCCTCCGCTCAGCAGCGAGCTTGACCATATGTACAGCACTCATCCTGGTCGTACCCACCTCGCAGTTTCTTGGTCAAAACTCTTTCCTGTTGGGCACTGCAGCCATCTACCTATTCCCGAAAGGAACGGTCGGTTCGCAGTTCCTCCTCAGCTGCATCTCCTACTTTGGCTTCCTGCTTGGACTCGTTTGGTACAACATTGTCTCCCACATCGCCATCCATGTCCCAGAAACAGGCAAGCGTGTCTTTCTCTACATCTTCTTCCTCATTGGCGCATTCATGTGCGGCTGGACACGATCTAGATGGACCTTGTCGTACCTTGGCATCAACTTCTTCATGATTGTTCAGATCTTTGGTCTTGTCAATGCAATTGAGCTCGCTGAGCATACGGTCCAGCCATTCACCGACTACTTTTACGTCTTCACCTTTGGTACCCTCATTACCTTTGCATGCAGCTTGATTTGGCCAGAGAACACAGCTATTACCATTGAGAAGCATTTGCTGAGCTCATTGAATGCTGCCACAGACTTGGTGGAGCATCATGGTAGCGGGAGCAAGCGAAGCAAAAGCAAGTTTTCCGATGTGAAAGGCTTCAACGACAAGCTCATGGCGTCCATTGATGCGAGCAAGTATGAAGTGGTCTACAGTCGCATCCCTCCTGCGTCACTACAACTCATCAACGCTGGTATTGCCGACCTAATCAACAAGTTGTATGTGCTTGATGAAGTCCTCAGAGATCTTTCATCAAAGGCTCAAGTGCTGGGCAGTCGTGAAGCATATATTGAAGGACTCCTCGCAGACATGGCACTCTTGCACGGTCGTCTTCTTCGTGCCATCGTGCAAAACATGCAAGATGCTATCGCAGGTCGTCAGCAGGATCTCGAAGGTCAGTCAACTGCCCAGCTCGAAGTACAACTCAATAAATGCCAAAGAGCTCTTTCGAATCTTCCACCAACCGACAAAACTGATTTGGAGAGTCGAGCAATCAATGACCAAGCTGTTCACGCTGCCTTTGAAGTTGCCAAGAACCTCCTGCTGATGTACGGCAACTCTGTCAAGGCATCACAAGCCGCCTGTCATCGCCGCAGACTCTTTTGGCCATCAGGGGTCCGACTCACCTGGCCAACAATGAGGAAACAACCTGGTGTATGGCGTTACTGGATCGCACATCGTGCAAGCATCTTTCGAGACTCTCAGCACACTGCCTATGCGGTCAAATTCACCCTCGTCATGGGCATCCTCAGTATCTTCCCCTTCATTGATGATTGGCGAGTCTGGTATCGCGATGTGCGTGGACACTGGTCCATGATTAGTGCCATGGTTGTCATGGAAGTCGCTCGTGGTCTCGTCTTTCGTTCTGCTTTGATGAAAGGTGCTGGTGCCATTCTTGGCGGTTTGATGGCGTTGATCTTATTCAGTATCTCTGCTGAACGATTGGCGAGCATCTTGTTGACTCTGCCCTGTGCCATCTTCATCTACTACATTGCGCTACACCCACGCTATGGCAAGATGGGCCTCGTCGCTGCACTTGCATACAACCTCGTCTTGAACCAAGGACATACCTCGGAAGAACCCTACATGGCATACTTGAAGCGAACAGCAACCCTCGTGGGCGGTATCGCTGTGGCTGTTCTGGTGCATGTACTCGTCTTTCCATACCATGCACGACGTGTGCTCAAGGAAGAGACGTGTTTGGCATTTGATGCACTCGCGAGTGGTTTCCATGAATTGGCTCACGATGCAGACTACATCTCGGAACGGAAGGATGTCGTTCGACACTTGAATGCTGCCAGGACGCTCATCAACATGACGCACTGGGAGCCGAGCTTGAAAGGGCCATTTCCCAAGGAAATGTATCAGAATGTGCTGCAATGCGCCTACCAGCTTGAGGACATCTTGACGTATGCACAACGCTCTGAGAGCTGCGGCGAAAAGACCAATTTGAATGCGTCAAGGGATGATGTGATGAGAAGCATGGCAAAGGACCTCTACTTGCTAGCCCATGCACTCCACACGAGATCCAGCAGTATTGTGCATCTCGCTGCGAATTTGCCAGACGCGCTGACAAGCTATCGCCAGCTTTTGGTCGCGAAGCCCTGGCAGTCAAGCAGCAGCCTCGATATAAGTCAGTGTGATGGACAAGCCGAATCGGCGTCATTCTTCTACCTCTGCAAACTCATGTCTGGGCCCATGACACGCATGTCTTTACTGATTCATGAAGCCATCGCTGGTCGATTTCTTCCAGATATCATCCACAGAACGAGCGCTAGCTTAGCCACATCACCACAGCTCTCGACGCACAAGCCCAATCTGTCGCCACTCGTGCTCTCTTCAACGCCGTCGACTGACCTCGAGAAACTGCCTACAACCACGAACCTGCTACCAGAAATGGCAGTCTCTGCAGAGGAACGTGAGATTATTGCTGCACGTTCGCGACGAAGCAGTGTAGGTGGACGCATTCGAGGTTCCAATGCAAGTTTCCTATCGACTCTGCAGCTACCGAGAATCGAACAAGGTCTTGTCGTGTCTCCAACAGAGACGCTGGTTAGTCCGCAACCAGTATTTGACAACTCGCCCATTGAATCACCACAAACTCGGCGTCCGAGTATCACCATTCAACTTCCCTCAATGCCAGATGGCGTGGCACGTCCCTTCCAACGATAGCTTATAGTTTTGCATAGCGTCTCTCAACAATCTCATGCTCTTCTTTGGGACTCATTTGCGGTGCAAAGAAAGATCAGACTACCGCTGCTGTATACCCAAGCGCTCTTCACGCGTCTTGCCACGTTTTCCATCCCATTGAGCCTCCACCACGGGCGAATGCATCCCAGTATCGGCATTCTCAGCGCGCGTTGCGTCGCCAGCTGCTGCCAATTGTCCTGCAAGACGCTGCTCCTTCGCGTCTACATAGTCGTGTAAGTCTTCATGTGCCAATTGAATGGCAGTCGGAGGTCTGCGCAGCATGCTGGATGATAGCAACGGCTTGTCTCCACGACTTGATGAGGGCGTGCACGTCTGTCGTGTCAGCACACGTTAGTAAGTTCAGATGGCACAGCTTCCACCGCTGCACAAACTCGAAAGGATATACTACTATATGTAATGACGCAGACGCATCGCTAGATTAAAGTAACTTCACAAGGCCAGTCTAGACCTGCTTCTCCAGCGATTGCTGCAAGACAAGTTCTGCGTACAAGCCGCCATTCGCAAGAAGCTCGCCATGCGTCCCCTTCTCAATGATACGCCCATGCTCAAACACGAAAATGACATCCGCCTTTTGAATACTCGACAGTCGATGCGCAATCGCCAAGGTTGTACGACCTTTCGCTGCCTTGTCCAGAGCAGCTTGTACCACCTTCTCCGACTCTGAGTCAAGTGCCGAGGTTGCTTCATCGAGCAGCAAGACTTTCGGGTTGCGAATCAACGCTCTGGCAATAGCAATCCGTTGCTTCTGTCCGCCAGACAATGCTGTACCACGACTGCCACACATCGTCTCGAAGCCCGAGGGCAATGATTCAATGAAGTCCAAAATGTTGGCATCCCGACACGCTTGTTCAAGCGCCTCTTGTGTCACTTTCTCGCTGTTCTCTGCACCAAGCAAGATATTGAAACGGATCGTACCTTGGTAAAGTGTTGGTTCCTGACTGACGAGCGACATGGATTTTCTGAGCTCACTCAAATTGTACTCGGCAATTTCGTGTCCATCGATCGTAATGCTGCCTGACAATGGATTGTAGAAGCGTTCCACAAGGCCGACGGTCGTCGACTTGCCACAGCCGGAAGCACCCACCAACGCACAATAGCTTCCCGGCTCTATCCGCAAGTTCAAACCACGCAAGACAGGTACATCAGGTCTAGTCGGGTACCGGAAATGAACATCCTTGAACTCAATGGCTCCCTCCGTGACGCCATTCTTGAGACCATCCTTGGACCAGCTGTCAATCTCAGGCTGACGCTCAAATAGTCCAATGATCTTTTGTGCTGAACCCTTAGCTTTCATGATGTCTGGTGCAAAGGAGAAGAATTGACCAGCAGACTGACTGCCAAATGTAATAGCGATGAAGCAGATGAAAAAGTCGTAGACGTTGATTTCATTGTTGACGATGAGACGCGCACCATACCAAAAGGCAAGGCCGTTGATCAGAAAGGTGATCGATTGACTGAGTGCAAAGAAGACTGATGTCTTGAGTGTCGAGATGTAAGCCTGCTTCTGTGGACCTTCAAGAGATTGCCGGTACGTTGCGAAAACATCGTCTTCGCGCGTGAGCGATGCCACAGTACGGATGACCGAAGTGGCCTCACAGGCAAAGTTGGCACTGCTTTCATACGCATTCTTGATGCGTTCTTGAAAGATGGCGAGCAACTTGAAACGCAGGTAGCCAGCAACAATCAATACAGGCATGCAAGCAAGGACGACAAGCGCCAATTTCCAATAGACCACGAGTGACAAGACGGCGCTCGAGATGAGATTGACAAAGACAGTCAGGATGGTCCCAAGGGTGTTGCCATGAAGTCCAGCAAGATCTGTACACTGCGTGGCAAGTGACGAGGTCAATGCTCCAGTCGAATTTTCGTCCTTGTCAAAGAAGGCCACATCTTGTCGCAAAATGTTTCGGAATGTCAGCAGACGTACACGACGCACCATCATCTCGCTGCACATGCCGAAGAAGAAGGCTGTAGCGAAATAGGCAAAGAACTCGACAACAGCAATGATGAACCAAAGCAATGCGTAAAAGTTGGCGTCCGATTGGAACCCTGCTTGTTGAGGGTTCGTAAAGAGGGTGATGAGCTTTGCAAAAACGATAGCTTGAGCTGGATAGACTGCTCCACACAACACGGAAGCGACAGCACCGACCAGCATAAAGTGCCACTCGGTGGTGTTGAACTTACCAATTTCCTTGATCAGGTAGAAGATACTGTGCTTCTTGCGCTTGCCTTCGGCCGTTTGCTCGGCAAGTACACGTGCAGAGATGGATTGCCCAGTCGCAGTGCGCGCAAGTGCAAGTCTGTCACCCATTGCTTTTTGTTCGTATTGCTCCAACTCGGCATCTTGAGACTTTTGTTTCTGAGCAAGACGCTGTGCTTCAACCAGTGCAAAGTAAGCGCCACGCTTATCGAGCAAGTCATTGTGTGTACCTTGCTCAACGATACGGCCTTTCGTCATGACGACAATGTTGTGTGCATTCTTGATGGTCGCAAGTCGGTGTGCAATAACGATAGAGGTGCGGTTGCTCGATGACGAAGCCTTGTCCAGTGCATCTTGCACAACACCTTCAGACTTGGTGTCCAATGCAGCCGTTGCTTCATCAAGAATCAAAATCTTGGGGTTTGATACAATGGCACGAGCAATGGCAACACGTTGCTTCTGCCCGCCACTCAGTAGCATACCTTTTTCACCCACATGCGTATCATACCCATGCGGTAGTTGTGCAATGAAATCGGCTGCATTCGCTTGTTCACAAGCAAAGATGACCATCTCGCGCTTCTTTTCAATGTCGGCATGCTCCCATTCAGTGCCAATCAAGCCGTGTGCAACATTCTCAAACACGGTTGTGGCAAACAAGTTTGGCTCCTGGCTGACAAGCGAAATGTGTGCTCGTAGGGACTTGATGTTGATGTCCTTGATGGGCATACCATCGACCGTAATCTCACCAGAGATCGGGTCATAGAAACGCTCAACCAGTCCAACAATGGTAGACTTGCCAGACCCACTTGCCCCAACGAGAGCTGTGACGCGGCCAGCTGGGATGTGTAGCGACATGTCGTACAAGACTGTCTGTTCTGCTCGTGCAGGATAAATGAAGTGCACATTCTTAAGCTCAATCTCACCGCGAAGTTCTTTAATGTGGATACCTTCCTCGCTGTAGACATCAATAGAGGGCACACGGTCGATTGTTTCGAAAATCTTCTGACCAGCAGAGACGGCGTAGTTAAAGGCCTGAATATTGGGAGCGATTTGTCCAAGGGCAAAACTACCAATAATCACAGCAAAGAAGACGTTGATGACGATACCTGTGTCGAGTTCTCCACGGACCAACATGCGTGCGCCCTGGAAGAAGGCCAGACCATAGGCAGAGTACATGATGAAGAAGATGGATCCTAGCAGAGCTCCAAGAGAGAAGGCCTTTTTCTTGCCAGCCTTTTCAGAAGAACCGAGGAAGGAGTCGTATAGCTTGGCGAGTTTCTCTTGCGTACCGAATGATTGTGTGATGCGAACAGATGAGATGACCTCCTCAGCGAGCGTTCCACCAGTCGAGTAGAACTCGAGGGTTTGTTTGGTATACTTTTCAACAAAAGTCGAAATGCCGCCCATGGCCAGCATCATCGCAGGTAAAATAGACGCCAGAATCAGCGTGAGTTTCCAGTTCTTGATGAATGCAATGATAAAGGCGGAAAAGAATGTTGCGACACCCGACAAGGCCAAGCCAATCTTCTCGCTGATGCCATCTTGGATAAGGTTGGTGTCGGATGTGATGCGCGTCGTAACTTCGCCTGCACCAAGTTTGTCAAAGTATCCTATATTTTGACGCATGATTGCACGGAGATATTCTTCGCGAATTCTCCTTGATACATTCTCGCCTGCGCAGATGAAGGCGCAAGTGTAGATATATGTCGTAACAAATACCCCTATAGCGATGTAGACGAAGTACAGTGTGAGTCGATTGACGTCGTCCTGAAATTGCTGTTTGCCTTGTCCACGAGTGACATTGGTGAAAGACTGAGTCAATGAACCAAAGACGATTGTCATGAGCGGCTGCTGTTAGTTTTTGTGCTTGTATGTATGGCATCACTTACCAAAGCCGCGCCCGCAGCAATACATGTGATGACGGCGATAGCCTCAAGCAACAAGTCTTGTTTTGAGGCAAACCGGAAAAGACCAAAGTAGGTCACCGGTTTGCTCTTGCTCGTCTCAATTTGTGCCAGGAGCGCCGTCCGTTGCGCCTCAGTGAGGCGCGCAAGTGGGTCTTCTCCTCCTACAGCAGTCCGGTCGCTGTTCTTCGACTCAGAAGCGGCCGGCGACACGGAGCCGTCTGGCCTGTCTGGAGTCGTCCTTTTGGAGCGCTTAAAAAGCATAGCTCTTGGATAACAGTGCCTTGGCGTTGTTCCCTTCTATTCTGATGATAGATGACGCTTTCTCGAGAGGTATGCAAGTAACAAATACTCAAGCAAGTGCAGATAAGTAAAGAGGTAGAGTGCTGACGAGATTGATGATGAAGCTCTGGACAGATATAGAGGCCGCGGCCTTGGCTCAGTGCAGCTGCCGCGTGTTTGCTTTTCGCTCGAGGATTTAGTTTCGCCGGGGGGTTGCGCTAAATTGCCTGGGTGAGCTGCAGCTTGAAGCGCGAATCGGGCAACTCAGGGCGAGGGCGCGATTGACAGCAACGTAACACGGCATATTTAGATAGGGGTATACGTAAAACACTTTATATACCATTACTGATAGCAGCCGAGGGTTCTAACTGCAGTGTCTGTGTGCGTCTATCCAAGCTACGCGTCTGGGCTGTCAGTGCTCTGCAAAGACGAGAAAGACTACTACTTGGTCGAAAGGACCTGCATTTGCCAGCCAGCAGCTGAGAGGGTGTCTTCGGGTAATGCTCGCTAAGCAACGCTTCGTGATTGTGAATCAAAGCTTGCCCTTCGGTAAATGGGTGACTTCTTGCACGACACTTATAACGATGATACCTGCATCAATTCCGATTCGACTTTGACTATCGATGACTTATCTCTTCCATGCTGAGGTCAAAATTTCGAATCTACGAGGACATCAACGTCAATGTCGCTTTTACTTTGAATCGTTGATGCTAGCGGGTTCGAGAAGCTCTTGGCCGAGACTTGCTCAAACCCTTCATTGAACATGAAGTTGAGCATGGCTCTACCAGCTCAGATCAACCTGTTCTGCCTCTGCAAGGTGAACGACGGCCTCCTTCAATGCACTCGCCTGCTCTCCTGCCTTGACCCGTCCAAAGTAGATTTGGCAGTCTAAATTGACACACAACACTTCACGCTCGCTCTCCTGACAAGCTCGACAAATCTTGAGCAGATCGTCTCGCGTGGTGGCAACTGCAAGTGCTTCCTCCTTCTTCGTTGCGATGATGCCCAAAGCGTCCTTTGCATGCGTTGTGCAGAGCTTTCTGCTAGGTGGACAGTCTTGACCACATATAGCACACTTGGCCAACTGCTTCTTGCCAGCTTTGAGAAAGGCTCCCATGACGCCTGTACCCTTGACGGCCACTTTTTGCTTCGTCGTGCTTCCAGCTCCTTTGAGCAGGCTTTCAGCCTCCTTGACTGGCATCATGAGTTCGAGTATTCGCAGCACAGGATTATGCACTGTGTGTGCAAGGTAATAAGCATAATCCAGTAGCAAGCCTTTTTCCATCACATAAACCGGATCCTCGGCCTTTTCATAGCCTGGCGCTTTTGGAGCTCCCTGAACAAAGCAGTATCGAATTCGTTCGCCATCTCGAAAGATTCGAGAAGGCTGACGTGCACGCATCTTCTCAATGACAGAAATGTGCGCCTGCTTGCCAGAATAGTCGGATGCATCTGTGCCTAGCCATAGTCCCTTGGTCATGACAAACTGTGATACATCGAGTTTGCCGTCCAATATCTGGCTCACGACTGCGCTCACAGACTGCTTGACTTGAGTGACGATGCTTTGTCTGTCTGCTGCCGTGATCTTTTGGTCATGAGCATTGTTCTTTGCTGGGAAGAGAAGTTTAAAGATGTCACCGAGGATGGTGTCGAGCAAGGGCACTGCGTCTCGCCGATTTACTTCTATGCCCTTGACATCCACGCCATCAGGCTCGTCTGGCTTTGTCCAGATAAGTCCTGCGTAGCGCTTACGATTCTGTAGTAGTGAGGGAAAGAGAACTTTCTCAAATTCAAGCTGTATAGGCTCAGGCCAGATCTGGGACACTTCTTCACTGATTTGCTTGCCAAGCTGAATGGCCTCATCGACAGTCGCGCCTGGGACCTGCAGGAAGACTGAATCGGTATCGCCATAGACGACACGGACTTGCCGTGCTGCATAGCGCTTCTCGATCTCTTCCTTTGCATGTGCCAAGAGTCGGGCTCCTTCACTGATAGTGGCATCAGCAATGGCAAGATTCTGTACCTTGGCATCTCGTGCGCCCATCGCCCCGTATACTGCATTCGCCACGACTTTGATGGCTTTTTGACGACCGTCCAATACACGATGTAGCGTCGCATCCGTCGTAGACTGTGCCATGAGTTTCTTGACACGTCCACGTTCCGCGAGAAAGTGTTCTAGGATGCGTGGCACGATGCCGCGTTTTGTTTCTGCATTGACAAAGGTCGCACCACCAAAGCCGACCCATGTGTCATCCTGGGTGAGGCCAGAAGCAGCTGCTGGTGCACCAGGCATGACTTCTGTTGAAAAACACAAGTTGCGTGCAATCAGAATACTCGGGTAAAGCGAGCGAAAGTCGAGCACTGCAACAGGGTGCTGAGTATCATAAGCGACTTCTGGCATCCAATTGAGGGCAGATTGAGTCATCTGATCGCCTGATCTATTGCGTTCAGGCACAACAACATCGAGTTCTTTACAAAAACGATGAAGGCAACTCCAGAACCGCTTCATTTGGCCCTTCTCAACCACATCCACAAAGTTGAGGCCAGTCACACGTGCGAGCTCGACGTAGGTGATGAGACTTGCTTGTGTCCTGAGTAAACACAATGCAGCTTCGCCTTCGAGTAAGGCATAGCCAAGCACGCGGCATTGCTCGTCTGCATCGCTATCATCTCGCCACAGACGAGCAAGGGTTGTAGTCGAAAGCTTTTCCAACGTTCGACCAGCCAAAACACTAGATGCTTCATTGAGAGAATAGGTGCGTAGTCGTTCTTCTCGTTCAATGACACTCCGCAGATCGAGCACAAGTCGACCGGTACACCCGAGTTCTGTGTGTTCTCGATTCGACACAGCACTCATCTTGCGTTCCTTTTTCAGCCAAGCGCCAGAATACAACTGACGACGTTTCGTTTTGAGTGAGACATGGCTGAGTCGAGAAAGGTGAACAACGTCCTTCAAGCCAAGATCCACACCTCGTTGGAGAATAGCAGGAATGGCATCTGCCGTGACATCGTACCCGCTCAGGACATCCGGGTCATACGCCAGGAATAATTCTCGAAATGCGGCAATCATGGCAGTTTCCGACTCGAGGATATGGACTTGCGCTGATTTAGTGGATTCAAGGAGACCCACATCCAGTGCATCTTTGCCATATGTCAGAATGAGCTTCTTGTCTGCATCTGATGCATCGCCAATGACGCGCGATGTGAGAATGACGGTGATACATGCAATGATTTCGCTTGTCACTTCACCGTCTTTTGATTTCGTCACTTTTGTCTTCTTCTTCGTGGGTGTCACAGGTGCAGACTTGTTGCTCGTGCCATTTGGCAAGACGAGACAACTGCATAAGAGACAACGAAGCGGTGGGAGTTTACTCCAAGCAGCAGTCTTGGCTTCATCATGCTTACTCGGACTCGGCGACAATGCTTCAATATCTCTGTACGATGCTTCTGCCGTGAGAGAAGCACGTTCATAAGGTACAGTAGGCTCGAGCAGACTATACTTGCCAGCGGGAATCTTGACCCATCCACAACCCGTCAATCCCAAGTCACACATGAATCGTAAGTCAAAGGAAACACCCGTTTCATAGACTTGTGCTGAATAGAGTTTCCCTTGTTGAAACAAATTGAGCAAGCCAGGCAATTCGTCCGCTTTGCCAAGGATAATTGCAATCTGACTCGCATCGCTAGGTCGTTCTAGGATGATCTTCAAGAAGCGTGTATACTTTTGTGCATCTTTGCGGAAATAGTCGAGTGGTTCTCTTGTACACAACTCAAATGAGAGTGCTGCAACCGGTTGTTTGAGATTTTGCCGCAACCCTGCTTCAAACGCAACATAGTCGTCTGCTGTAAATGCTTGAGTGATGGGATAATACAGTGATTGGCGAAAATCACGGACCAGTAAGATCAATGAATCACCGGCTTCCGTGACGCCATGGATGCGAATCAGAGAGTCTTGGAGTTTATCTTTTGGATCTTCACATTCGAGGATGGAAAAGATTAGTTCTGTTGAGGGTGTGAGAGTACTAGGAGGTCTAGCGTAGGGTGAGACGTCAAAGCTTGTGGATTCTCGTTTACGCTTCATGAATGAATGAGTAGTCAGTGTCTTTGAGTCGTCGACGTCATTTAACGTTCTGGACGTCGAACAACCACACAACAAGCAAGGAAGAGGCAGTGAAGGGCAAGCCAGAGGTTTGTATTATTAGGATGCATTGCTAAGACAGTCGTCTACTAAAAGTGAAAAGAAAGATCGTCCCTTACACGTCCATCTAGTCAATGACGAAGTAGGCTGTATGAAATAGGGTTGTTCTTTTTTTTGTGTTTCAGGATACAACGGAAAGAGAGAGAGTGTGAGACAGTGTAGCAAAAAGAAGAAAGGTTGAAGCAATGGAGCTTGAGAATAGAAGAGACCGTCTAGTGGTCCTTCTCGTGCTTCGTAGAAACACGTTGCAACGCAACAACAAAGTCTTCGAGTGATCGTCCCGACTTGGCTGCCTTGCTCTTTGGTGATCGCCTGTTCATGGTGTCGTCAAATGCAACGGACTCTGAGAGGAGGTAGTAGACACCTGCCATCATGCAGAAGATACCGAGAGAGAAGAGCCAAACGCGGACGATAGCCACAATCGATGTGTTGCCACCAACAAACCAACCGAAAAGACAGAAGAGCGTAGCGAGCACATCGACAATGAACACAGCACCAGCCAATTGCCAAGAAGGCAATGAGCTCCAGAAAGGTCCATTGGCACGGGTGACGAAAATGAGCCAGTTCTCGGTGAGGGAGATTTCGAGGAAGAGGACTTCATCCACAACACCGAAGTTCTGAACAATACCAAACGAACCATTTCCTGAACCAACCTCCTTAACACCGATACCACCAGCGTACATAGTTGTAAGACAAATCCACGTTCCGACAGCCAGTACAATACCGAGGACGGTAGACAGTCCCCAGAGCTTTGGCAAGTTCCACTTGACGGGTGTCATGGAGTATGGTGCATTGTCATAGGCAATAGCCAAGGTTGCCACATCGGCGAAAATGGCAATGAAGACAACCAACTCGAGCTGAAGCGAACGGTTAAGGATGATGATCCAAAGACCGAGGAAGAGTTCCAAGTGGAGGGAGAGAGCGATACGGTACACGACGTATGCGTACATGCGGTGGAAAATCTGTCGGGAAGTCTTGAGGGCATCGATAATGGCACCGAGACCGGGAGCGAGGAAGACAATGTCAGCGGCGGAACGAGCAGCGTCGGAAGCACCTTCAACAGCAATACCAGTGTCGGCCTTCTTGAGGGAGGGAGCATCGTTGACACCGTCACCCGTCATGGCAACGAGGTATCCACGCTGTTGGAGAATCTCAACGACATTGTACTTGTGCTGGGGGAAGACCTCGGCGAAACCATCGGCAGCCTCAACAAAGTCGTACACTTCCGAACCAGGCATATCACCACCACCACCGAGACCGAGACGTTCAGCATTGTAGACATTGGTGCCCATACCGAGCTGCCTCATCGTTTCCTTTGCAATACCAACAGCATCACCCGTAAGCATCTTGATGCGGAGACCGAGACGAACAGCTTCGTTACAGGTCTTGCCGGTATCGTGACGAGGAGGGTCAGAGCAAGGCATGATACCAAGAATCTCCCAGTTTTGACCTTCAATCTTGCGAGCAACACCAAGGGAACGGAAACCACGCGATGCAAACTCAGCAACCTTGTCCTTGTAAGCATTGCCGATCTCATCAGGAACGGGGTGGTCTTCCTCAACGGTACGCAGAACAAAGAGAGGAGCACCCTTGACACAGGTCATGCGCACACCTTCAGGTGATTCAACAATAGCAGTAACCTTCTTGGAGACCGGGTCGAAGGGGAAGAACTCGAGGAGCTTGTACTTGGCAAGGACAGATTTGGGACCAGGGTAGAACTTGAGGGACTTGAGGAAAGCCTTGTCAATAGCATCAATACCCTTCTTCTTGCGAGAAGCAGCGAGACATCCACAAAGCATGAGGTCATCACCAGACACACCTTCAACCGTGAACGGCTCAGCAAGGGAGAGCTTGTTCTTGGTGAGGGTACCAGTCTTGTCGGAACAGAGAATCTCAACACCGGCAAGCGACTCAATGGCAGAGAGCTTCTGGACAATGGCGCGCTTCTTGGCAAGGTAGGCAGCGCCGACAGCCATGGTGGTAGTAACAACAGCGGGCAAACCGACGGGGACACCGATGATGGTGATGGCGAGGGTGTACTCCAGGATGAGAGCGATACGAGTAGAGCGGTAGAAGGCCGAGATGTAGACACCGAGGAGGGTAACGATAACCAAGACGAGAAGAATGGTACCGATACCGTTGAGGACCTCTGTGAAGTGACCTTGACCGCCGGAAGCCTTGTTGACGAGTGCAGCGGCCTTACCAACAAAGGTAGAGTCACCGGTGGCAGTAACAACCATGAAGGCCTCACCACGCTTGACAGCGGCGGAACCATACATGTTGTCGCCGCAACGCTTGTCAACGGCAAGAGACTCACCAGTCATGGCAGACTGGTCGACCTGGAGGAAACAGTCTTGGGTGACGAGACGACCATCTGCTGGGCAAATGGTACCTTCCTCGAGCTGGAGAATATCACCTGGAACGACTTCGGGGGCTTCGATGTCGATGAGGTTGCCGTTACGGAGGACAGTGGCTTTGAGAGCGAGGGTCTTTTTGAGCTCATCGACAATGGAACCGGCCTGGTACTCTTGGATGAAACCGACAAAGGCGTTGAGGAGCAAGAGACCGCAAATGACACCAAAGTCGACCCAATCACGGAGACCGGCAGCGAGAATGGCAGCTGCCTCCATGACAAATTGAATGGGACCAACAAAGAAGTGAAGGAACTTGAGGATCAAGTTTTCCTTCTCCTCCTTCATCTGGTTGAGACCGTACTTCTTTCGACCTGGCAGATTAGTAGGCATTCAAAAAACAAGGAGAGAAACTTACGGTTGAGCACCTCAGAGTCAGAGAGACCAGTGCGGGTGTCTGTCTGGAGCAGCTCCTCGGGGACTGGCTTTGCGGAGACGCCATCAGCAACGGAGCCGTCTTCCTCCTCTTCCTCTGCGCCATCTGCAGATTCGAGCTCAGCAATCAGCTCGTCCATGTCCTCGTCGTCCTCCTCATCGTCGTCTTCGTCGTGGTGGCCTGGGAGAGCGGCTGCTGGGGCTCCTGGTGCGGTGTTGGCACCGACAGCTGGGTGGGCTGCCTTTTCATTCTCTGCGAGGTAGTCCCGCTGTGCGCTGTCTGTGTTGTGGGTGGTGGCCGTGACGATGGGCGGTTGGATGCCGCTCATTGCTGGGAGAGAGAGAGAGTGTTGGGTGGTGTGTGTTGGTGTAGGGGGAAGGGAAGGGAGAAGGGTTGTTGGGTTGCTGCTTCCCTGCTGCTGCTGCTGCTCGCTGCCTGTTGCTGAGTTGTGCAGTTGACTGTGATGGGCGAGGAATGGACGGGGGAGGGCGAGTGGGCAGGATTTATATAATTCCAGAGGCGGATTCCCTGACTGATCCTTACTGCCTGCTCAGAGGATATTGTCTACTGCTGCTGCTACGGGTATCCTCCTGCTCCTCCTAGTAAGGGGAACAGCCTGCATTTGTCTCTCTATGACAGCACCTGCCTCATCCTCTGCCACGCTCCCTGCTTCATTCACGCAAACACAAACATCAACCCAAACAAGAGTCCGGCACCGACTCGCATGATGCTCATTGACTCACCCACTGAGAACAAGCCCTTCAATCCTGCAGCACAAGACGTCTCACCTGTCATGACTCATGGGCTATGCTAGAGCACGAGATACTCTGTTGTTTGCTGTGACTTGACTTGACTCCCTGCTCACTTGCTCGCTACGGAAATTTCGGCTGACGAGATACAATGATACAAAGCAAAGAGACGGACAGGTGTGACTGCGGAGGCCTGTCCTCCATCAACTGCCCGCAGGTGCCAAGCCCACACGAGTAGGACGACCTAGACTGAGGCTAGACAGCAAGCTACACTAAGCCCATCTATGGAACTCGAGGATGGAAGTTGAAAAGAGATGGCCCCAAATAGACAGTCTCGATGCCAGCCACCATGGGCAGCGCTCGTTTTAATTCCCATTTCGCTGGACCACCCACCCGTTTAGGCCTTGTCTCGCCAAGGTTGCGCGGAGATAACACAATGTAAAGTGCTCGAGCCTTCACTGCTTTCGGCCTGCTTGCTGTCCTTGTCAAGACTTGCTGCTCAAGTGACACATAGTGACATAGAGCAGTAGCCAAGGGCCCGAGCAAGCGGATCATATCAAGTCAAATAGCAAGGTGGTCGAAACAAGCCTCGACAGAAGCAGTCCGGACATGCCAGACACCGATACTTGGCTCCCGAAATTGAAAGCGGCCGTTGCAAAATGGTCTTGAGATTGAGAAATGTCCAACAGCTGTCGAATCAGAAATCAACCCGCCCGCCGCACAACCGTTAAAAGGAACAAGCACGCTTCGTACAAAGTCATCTTGATTGGCCAATGGCCATCTTGAACTTTTCTCAACTTCGCACAACGTTGATCGACGCGGCCGTTACTGCATTCCGCGGCCGGGCCTAATCAACGAAGGATGTTTTGTCTAGAACGAGTCTGAACGACACTTAGCAAAGCGTGAGAAAGACTGAGAGATACGGGCGCGGCCGGTCATCATCCCACGCCCAACATGTCCAGATTACCAGACTTCTTTTCCCAGACTCTCAACACCATGAAAGTGTCCGGAGTGTATCATCTGTTTTGATGCAGAATGTCATATGTTCATACGACCATAGCTTTGCGGGTCCTGCTCGATCATCATCAGACGTCAAGGTAAGTTCAGGAGCTCGAGGAGTGTCACAGTGTGAGGTCGCGTGCGGTGTGACATTGCATGTTCGTGTGTTCGATGCCGGAACTGCTGATTCTGGCGGATATGACGGCTCTCGAGACTTCTCATCTACATTGTAGCTACTACTTCGTCTTTGCCAAGACTAGCTCAGTAGATGGCGTATGAACAAGGGCTCGTCAGTTCAAGTCATGGCTAGGCAAGCGTCATCATTGCTCGAGCTCGGTGTTTAGAACCATCCTACGACAAGAATCTACTTGTGTCGAGCAACTTCATTCTCAAGTGCGGTCATGTTCTATTGGAACGACTCGTTTCCAATCAATTGACAGTACGATTTGCTGTATTGACGCTTTCCTCGCGTGATGCACATGTACACCCGCGCAGTTGCTTTGGGTGTTTGCAGTGGCACTTTGCACTGTTTGGCAGACCCGGTCCGAAATATGCCCGGACGGCCGAACATTGAAGTGCTTCAATGGACAACCTAATGTTGACTTCCGTCATGCTTACACAAGGCCTTGACAAGTTGGCAATCAGACTGTTGTAGCTGCCTCCTTACGCTAGCTGACACAATGGCACTATTCTCAGTTCTGCTCCCCTGTACCAGACCTTTGGCCAATATATTGGCTGTCATCTGTGTAACGACTGACAAGCAACCTATCACACATGATTCATCTCTCAGTATGTGTATGACAGCTTTGTCGTCAACCCTAGCGAAACAAAACTGTATAGAGCAAACAGTTTCCGGGTGCGTCACACATGGTACTTGCTAGTCCGAGTGTTTGTAGTAACATTGTACGCTTCAATTTTGAGGTCTTCTTGCAAAGTGACTGTCAAACACCGATCTTATACAAGTGGCAATGACACCACATAGTAAGCTGTATATAGCGTATGGCGTACGACAAATTCGTCGACAAAGCGGGAAGAGGCCGGAATAGTGCTGGTGCAGCCGGTTTGGTTCAAGGTGATTGGAATGCGACCGTATGGAAGAATTTCCTGAACAAAACTTACAAAAGTCATCCGGATCAGACAATTTCCTAATATTTGACCTGTTCCAGTGTCCAGGTCAGGGATTCAGGGAGCTCGAGTCTCGCGTGACTCGCATCAGCATTGGATGACCTATCAGGTAGTATCAGCCTGGAACTATCTGCGAGACTGCGACTCGAGTATCAGCTAGCTCTGAAGACGACTCGGAAGTTCGGAACTCTCATATGAATGGCAGTTGACACCCGAGAGAGCCGCCGTGAACAAAGACAAAAGACAACTTTTAGCGACGGTCTGCGGCACTTGCCGATATTTGATGCATTGGTAGATATCCGATTGCGAGTGAAATGGAAGACTGTCGACTCAGTGTGGAGTCAGTGTGGACTTGTCGAGTCTATCGTGAACGTCGACTCATAGAACTGGCGACAATGTCATTGCAGACTTTTGGTGAAAGTGTGTCGTGACTGATCGGGCTCAAAGCATTTGTACTGATTGCAGCGACTTGCTCGATCTCGCACTAGTCCTAGCAATGGCCACAAAACCAATGCCAAAGGGGAAGCCCTGACAAGACTCACCCCTGAAGCAAATTCTCAACAGCACGCTCCAGTGAATTCCCAGCAAGTCCCAAAGCCTGCACAGCTTCCAATCGTGAAATCCCCATCATACTCATCAATGTCTCTACATCATGCTGCGCCGCTGGTCGTAATTCCCTTCCTTCATCACCACTGGTTCCCGTTGCTGCACCGGCAAATGCGCCAAGTGCTTCACCCATCGATCCCGCAACACGACTTGGCCGCATAGCTGCTTCTTGTGTGTGTGTCGTCTCGCCCGTCCGTTCACGCGGTCGGAATTCTTGGATGGTCTGGGTGTTGGGTCGTGCAGTGGTGGTACGAGCTGGCTGTTCCAACCATCGCGTCAGGATGGATGGTAATCTGAATCGTGCTAGTGTCGCTGAAGAGTGGACACAGGCACCTACAAGCCAGCCTGTCGTAGCAGCGACGAGGGAGCCTGGGAATTGACTTGTTGCGAGTTGTGCGGCAATGGCGAAGAGAAAGACTTTATCACTGAGTTGCCATTGACTTTGTCGAGCGCCGGTAGGATGTATCGTATAGCTTGGTGGAACGAGGGTATGGTATTGAAACAGCAAGGCGAATAGTGTCGCCGTCATGCCTGATGAGAGGATGTTGAAGCGTGATGAGAAGGTTGCTCGACAAAGGAACAGTGCCAGGGGTGCGAGAATGGATGTCAAGCTGAAGCAGAGGGTGAAGCAGCTCGCGAAGCGACGCGTTCCCATGAGCCGTTCTAGAATACGCAGGTTGTAGAGTGCAATAGCACCAAACAGGACTTCACCGGCATTCGCATACAAGCCTTGCCAGACTGCGATTCGCCAGAACTGTGATTGGCCCAAGATATGAGGGACGAGTTGGATGTGGAAGAGGTGTTTGACGTCTAATATGGAAGCGACGGTGGAATTGACGAGGATGCCCCCTAGCACGAGCTTTGTGAATGGCGTATTCCGTAGGCCTGGGTATGGTCAGTCTTGCTGTCATCTATGCAACTGAGAGATACCTGAGGGCGTGGCCGTGAGCATGTCTTGCACTTGATCTTGTTGGTGACGTCGCAAGTTGAAAGTCGCGTCGTCGCATCCACAAAGACCAGACCAAAGTTACCAGACCAGACAGTCTTTGACCAGAGCACAGGCCAGCTTCTACATGGAGGCTGCAGCTACGGAGGACGCGTCTTCTTTGCAAAGAAGCTTGTCATGCTCTTCATCCCCTTGGTGTTCACCTTCTTGAGTGCTTCCACGCCCATGGACCCCTTCTTCTGCTTCTTGGCCACACCTGCCATCAGCCCTGCCTCGTCGCCAACCACAGAGCGCTTCATAAACTCATTCGGATTGATGACCGTTGCTCTTCTAGATGCCTCAAACGCAACCAATGCAGGAACCCCAAAACTCGGTGCAATGCGTTGTTCAACTGTGTCTGGCAGGTAACTCGCAACAAGCCCCCATGCAGCACGTTGTCGTGCTTCCGTAGCAAGTTGAGAAGCTTCTTCATGACTCGCTGGCCATGTGACAAGAGAGTCGACCATACTGCCTGGCAATGCCGCAGCAACGGCTTCGACGCGTTGTGCGACCCATTCTTGGACTTTTCTTGCTGATGGCCGGAAGAACCCCGGTGTGGTGGTGGCATCACATAGATGCTGTAGGTGATTCTCTGCCGAATCTCGTATCCGTGTATGGAGTGACTCAAGTAAGTCTTCGGCATCCACAAAACGTCCATTATGCTTGGTTGCGTCTTGTTCAAGCGCACTGATAAGGAAGAAGGCGATGTCGATGGGAGAAGCTACATGAATCGGTGCTGGAGCGAGAATCCTGTCTGGAAGGAACAGGGTCTGCTTGGCCGCCGTCTGTTCAAAGGTGATGACTTCGTAGAGACATGCTGAGGGTTGCGGTGTCCTGAGGAAATGGCAAAGCTCGCGGGTCTTTGGGTGCGGGAGCTGGATGATGTCCTTTGCGTTGCCCGGGCAGATCAAGATGGCCGAGGACATGGATGCATGTGCTGAGCAGCTGATGGATGATGGGTGCTGGTTGATGGTTGATGATCTCTTGTTCGCGCCGAAGAAAAGACGCGACAACAACAACAAGACAAGGGGCGCTGGCTAGAGGTCCATCGATCTGCTGCTGTACTCTCTCAACAGAAGGAAGAAGCCGCCGAAAGCACGCCGAGCAGTATGTCCAGCAACAAGACGCCAATAACCAGGTCACTTGACCCGTCCATCCGCATGTTCATGAACAGTGACCCAGATCCAGGACCCCTCAAACCTCGAGTGAAGCGCAAACACGACGGCACAGTCATCACGCATATCGCTGCACCCAGCACAAATCGCATCCGTGTCGTATGCGTGAGCGATACACATGGTCGTCAGGGATGGGATGCAAACTTGCCGGCGGGTGATATCCTCATCCATGCCGGCGATCTCTCCCTCTATGGCGCCCCCACTGATCTAGATACATGTTTTGACCAGCTCAAAGCATTACCCTTTGCGCATAAACTTGTGGTTGCTGGGAATCATGATTTGGGACTCGATCGTGACTTTATACAGAGTCATACGGGTCCTGCTATGCGTCAATATGCCATTAATCTAAGAGAACAGAGACGACTCCAGGCGCGTTGGCGAAGTGACGAGGCTCGCCTTGCAGGGATCATCATGCTCCAGAACGAAAGTATTGAAGTGGTCGTTCGTGGTAGACGGTTGAATGTCTACGGCAGTCCACTCTCCCCCTTCTACTGCGATTGGGCGTTTTCCTATGCGCCAGATGAGGATCCTTGGCGGATACGGGAGGATGTCGATATTGTCATTACGCATTCTCCACCAAAAGGTACGATGGATCTAGTGCCGGGTCTCGTGCATGATGGACATGTAGGGTGTCCGCACCTTCGCGACAGGATATCGCAGGTAAAGCCGATGCTGCATGTCTTTGGGCATATCCGTGAGTGTCTTTTGCTGTTACTGAGGGAGAAGAAGCTGACATGTACAGATGAAGGTGCAGAGCAGGGATTGCAGCGGACAAGTCTAGACGATGGCGGTGAAATACTGTCTGTGAATGCGGCCCTGCTGAATGAGCGATATGAGGTGGCTTATGATGCTACTGTGGTTGATCTGTAAGCTAGATATCCATGATCCATCGCCTGTACATGCACTAGACTACTATGGACTGCTGTAGTGCTCGCCGTTGCCTTCTGCGCCAAAAATCAAAACATCAAAAACGACATCGCGACCCAAAACATCAACAACAAAGACATACAAGGCCGTCTACTGCTCGTTGCTCAGAGATGGTGGCAACACGCAGGGGACAGACTGCTCAAGTAGCTACTGCTGCTCCTGCTCCCGCAACCACGAGAAAATCAAAAACTGCAGGTGCGCGCCAGAATGCAAGGGCAAAACAACAAGCACTTAACGAACAGGTCCCTGAACAACTAGGCAAGATCCTTGACAACGCGCCTGTCTCGCCGAAAAAGACGAGAAGTGGGAGACATAGGAGTCTAGCAAAAGAGCAGACTGTATTGGAACACGAGACGGCAGAGGCGCACAATGAGCCACAGATGATGGATGAGCCCGTCAAGAAGACGAGAACGCGCAGAGGAAAACAAGTGGACGTCGAGACAATTGCTGAAGATGAGTCTGAGCAGGCTGAACAAGCTGCTGAAGCAGTCGAGTGTCGCAAGTCTTCTCCCGCCAAAGTACGCGTCACTCGCCGTCGAGCAGCCCTCAAAGAGGAAGGCCCCATTGTTGCTGTTGCGAAGAAGCCCGCCAAACGGAACGCTCGTGGGCGTCAGGCACTCTCTGCAAAGCAGGAAGAAAATGCCTCAACGCCTGTTCAAGCAGCTTCCAATAGCCCTGCCAAGCCATTGGCGCTACCTTCACCAAAACGTCTATCTAGTCCGCTGCGGCGCGATGTCATCATGTCACCACGTTTGGCTGTGTTTACTGAGCCGGAGCCATCGGCAGTCCATGCAATCACGCCAAAGGACAAGAGTGCATCTGTCACTCCACCCGTCTCACAAGGAGAGGAAATCCAGACTGACGCCGAGACGTCCATGTTTGCTCAACCAGCAAGGTTGCTTTCGCCAGAGCTGCTTAAAGCGCAGCCAAGTTCGATGGCTCGTGGCTTGATCCAGGGTATGAAGCTCGGATCATTGCCTAGTGCTGCCTTGACGCCAGCCAAGAACGTGACAAGTTTCGCGCAAGATACACCTGTGCAGACTCAAGTGCAATGTAAGTCCACCATCAAGCAATGTCAAAATTTAACATCAGCAGCGCAACAAAGCACCTCTGTCAATGCAACACTCGCCACACCAGCAGAGCCAGGTCACGCAGCCGAGGAAGTCTTTGCTATCCTGGACGAAATGGCACTCGCTCCTGAATCCACTGCATCGCCCTTCAAGATGCCAGCCTTGCCATTCGACTTGCACTCATTACAGCCCAAGGCCAACAACTCCGCTGCCAAGCTCCGTATGTCTGCAGCAAAGTATCTGGCTAGCCCCTTGAAGAATGTCGGTCATCCAGTCAGATCGCGTCTCTCCCCTTCAAAGATGCAAATGTCACCGATGCAATGGTCTGCGTCTCCGGCTTCATCAATGGCTGCTACTTCACCCATGCCGACACCTGATTCTGGTGCATTTATGCATACTGCGATCGACAGAGTATTGCCGAGGCCCGTCAGGATGCGTGCAAGTCCAGTCAAGTCTCTGATGGCAGAGACACCTAGTCGGGCCTTGCCCTTGCCATTGAGGACGAACGCGACGCCGTTCCAGGATCTTGAAGCTACTCCGGCGCCGTCCTCTGCAAGAATGTTGCCTACTTTACAACAGACTCCTCAAACACCTGCTATACCCTCAGCGGATGAAGCAGTCGCCGCGACGCCAGCCTTGCATTGTGCGGCTTCTCCAGTGGTGCAAGTGCAGCCCACACCAGAAACGGGCAAGATTCCTTCATCAGTCAATAAAGCATTCACACTACCTGATGAGCGACTCGCTTCTCCGGCAACATCTGCATTGAACGCATCGCCAGTCAAACCTGCTACTCCAGTAACGCTTCGTGCAAGTCCGGCAGTAGTGACTGAGTCTCCTGTTGAAGAAGCCGCAGCGCTTGGAGCAACGACTGAACTTGTTTTGGATACTGCCATTTCTTCACAGGCGTTTGAGGATGATCCTGTCGAGACTTCCGCGATCCAAGAAGCTGTCGTGGTAACTCCAGTGATTGAAGTGGCATCGCCTGTCAGACGTCAGCCTTCGCCTCGCAAGACGATCGTCTCTCCAGAGAAGACCGCCAAATCGCCCGCCAAAGCACGAACGTCGCCTCGGAAAAGTCAAGCATCATCAACAACAACAACAACAGATTCATCGCCCAACGAGGTTATGATTGTGGCTGCTTCGCCCGCAAAGCTAGCTGTTGCTTCGCCGCAAAAGACTCGAACATCGCCCAGAAAGCAGCGTCTCTCTCCTCTCAAAACACTTGGCGTGCCTATACTGGCACGACGTTCTCCTGCCAAATCTCCAGGACGAGGTGGTGTTGCTCGTGTTGACGCGATTGATGAGGCAGATGCTGAGATCGATGCGCTTGTACAAGAATTGATCCGAGCAGCAACTGTCAAGGCTGTTTTGCCTGCCATGGAACTTGTACTTAAGAAACAGCCATGTGCCGTATTGGAGGCGAATCCAGAGAATGATCAAGTCAGCTCTAGGAGCGACAGTCCCAAGGAGGATGCGATTTTTCCTGTCGCAGCTGAAGCGGCAGGCATGAAGCCTCTGGCTGCGGCTGAAGTATTCGACAAGTTGGTCGATGATCCAGTGTCGCCAGGGGTCGAGGCAGAAGTGGAGGAACCTGAGTCTCCACTTGCAGTCGAAGAGATCGAGGAGATTGTGCCGCTCGATGATGCATTGCTTGAGGCAACTCACGAGCCAATGGCCGAGCCAGCGCTCATCGATCACGTCGAGGAAGTTGCCGTGCTAGAGGCAGCTCAGTCGCCTGCCATTGAGGTTGCGTCTTCGGAGACCCAGACGTTTGTTCGTGTTAGCATTCCGCCTATCAGGGATGCAATGACAGATGCGGACTCTATGACGCATCTTGCTGAATCTGGTCTGCCGACTACAGCTGCTGGTCAACAGAATGAACATGGTGATGAGGACACTCCTACCAGAATTGACCGTGTCCTGCCAATCGCGGATGCAGCACAAGAGCCGTCAGTGGCTGCTGAATCCCATGGAGAGGTCGAAGAAGAGCCCGTCGTTCTACAACTCAGCTCCGACCCCCTTGAAGCTGCAGTTGAGGAATTGATTGAGGACTTAACCACAAAGTCAGGGTCAGCAGAACCTGAAGCCGCAATCACTTCAATGGATGATCAAGTCGAGAGTCTTGCTGTACGATCGTCACCTGCGAAAGCGGCTGCTTCATCTCCAGCTAAGGCTCTGAAGCCTCTCCCTGTCAAGGCGGTCCAATCGTCGCCGCGCAAAGCAGCTTCGCCAGCCAAAGTACTTGAACCATCACCAGTCAAACAAGTGGCTGAGGCCGACTCTGCTCTGGACACGTCTCGGCTCTCCATTGGCTCTGCTATGGAATTGTCCTTCATCTCTGCCAAAAATACCTCGATCAACCTTGATTTCTCGCCAGTCAGACTACCACATGTCGTCTTTGGCTATCAGCCTGGAGAGATCTTATCGATGGATGTACCGAGCTTGGACTCACATGTTGCAATCACGTCTCCTGCTCGTCCTGCACAGTCCCCGGTCAAGCTCACAGAGAATCCGATCAAGCCTCAGAAAAGTCCTGCAAAGGCAAAGAGTTCAGTTAAGGCCCAGAAGAGTCCTGCGAAGGGTCGTGTAAGGAGTCCGGCCAAAAGTCTTGTAACCACGGAGGCCCAGTCAACCCAATCAGAGTCGCCCTATTCCCTGAAGCGTCAACTGGATGAGAATGATGTTGATGAGGCTCCATCGAGTCCGCCTGCCAAGAAGCAAAAGCGCAGTGCGCGTCGTCAGAGTAGACGTCAATCATACATGACAGCAACAAAGACAGCTGTGCGCGAGCGCGAGATCGAGCTCGCCAATAGACAGGCTCAGCAAGATGCTGCAGATGTTCAATTGGCCATGGAGGCGGAAGCAGAAAGTGAAGTCGGTTTGGCGGCTTCGTTGCTTGTGGAAATGCCTGGTAGTGTCGAGAGGAAGCGCACGCGAAGGCGAAGCAGTTTGGCTGCAAAATCGCCCTTGTCAAAGGTCCAGCCGCCTGCGGTGGCCTCGGACGAAACGCTAGATCTGTCATCTGCCGAGTCGTTTTCTCCGATTGTGCAAAGGACACAGACGCAGAGTCTTCAGGAAGCATCTGCCATCAAGATACAAGCCGTCTTTCGTGGCTGGCGAGAGAGAAAGTACCTTTCTGAAGCGCAAGAGCAATCGCACAGCGCAGAGCATACGTCTGATGAGATACCTGATGCTGGCGAAGTAACTGCCGAAGACCTTGGTGATGTCACAGTTGAGGATGTGCCTTCCGATGTCGTTGCATCCTTGGAAGCACAAGCAGATGCTCAAGTTGAGGCCCAAGACATTCAAACGGACTCGACAGCGAAGTCCAAGTCGAAGAAGGGTGGCGACCTCAACGTCATGTTTGATGACTTTTTGAAGAGCTGGCAGACGAAGAAGTCGCAAAAGGCGACAGAACCTGCGCCAGGGCCACCATCACCAGTGAAACCAGAACAGAGTACTCCTCGTCGCACGATTGCAGGAGTTTTGTCGCCCCAGAAGAGCGCGCAAAAGGCAGCTGCCGTTGTGGTCCTACCGCCGTCAGCGCAAAAGGTCAAAAGTCGTGCACTGAGATCACAGTTACCGGCACCAAAGAACCAACTGCCTGTTGTCGCTGCAGCAGCAGTGCCAGTGGCTGATCGCTCCAAGTCACGCATTGTGCAACCAAAGCGAGGCATTCCTGTTCCAATCAGAGCTTCAGCAGCAATTGTCAGTCCCACGAAGCCTTTAGAATTGGAACGCAAGCGCAAAGACGCCCCTGAAGCAGATATGGTTGCGCCTCGAGCGAAACGTGCCAGAGCTGTGAGTACGTCTGCTCTAGCTGGTCCTATGCGCTCAAAGACACCGCCCGTCATGCTTGGTGCCAGGTCAGCCCCAACAACACCAAAGAAGTTGCTTCACTTGACGCCTGCCGAAGTCACCAAGGCGACACGCAATTTCACCTCTCAAAACCGGCTGTATCGATGCGATTTTGAGCGTGTTGTGGTGCACAAGGATATGCTACGCCCAGCGAGTCCCCCACCGAAGCAGCAAGCCAAGCTTGCGCAGGCTTTGCGAGTCAAGCGACGCAATTGGACGAAGGAGAAGGGCTACACATTTGGAGCGGGTGATGATGAATCATATCAGCCAACACACGTCACGCCTACACGAAAGGCCATCAAATGGTCAGAAACGCTCGAGGTGGATCTGCTGACATTGCCTAAGACCTCACCGTCGCGCGCAGCATTGCTGGCTGGGGATGTGAATAGTTGCATTGCACAACTCAGCCTGGATGACTTTGGCAATGCTGAGGGAACAGTACCATTGACGCCTGTCATTGGGCCGGCACCCAAGGTAGTGGTGAAGAAGCTGTTGTACCGTGGGGAGGTTGATGATTAGAAGCATTCGTAGTTGTAGCGAGAACCCATCTGAACGAGACGTCGCCTCAAATTTGCAGCTGCAGCGCCAACTATTGAAGCTTGCTCTACCTTTGCTGTATATGCTTTCATCTGTAAGACGGGCTCGCTGTCAGTATCTTAGGCTCCTGTACAGAAATCATGCTACAGCTCAAGCTCCTCGAGCAGCAATGGATCAAATCTTCAATCCATCTTTATTGTCCGTGAACGCCACAGACTCCATAGCAAGCGAGGATGAATGGCAAAGTGCACTAGATCACGCTGCCGGAGTAAGAGAAAAGGAAGAAGCTGAGCCTGAGACTTCTGGAAGCGATGATGCTGCATTGTTTGCCGCCAACAGAATAGGACAAGTCGTCATGCCGTCCAGCATTACTGACCGCGTCGGCAAGATTCTTGGTGAAGTACATGGTCCCGCCATCAGACAAACAGCGATGCGTTTCTATCTTGCCACAACAACAAAGGCAAGTCAGCCAGGGTCAGTTGTCTCTGATTTTGGCGGAGGTTCGACGATGAAACGGTCATTCATCCCCATGCCGAGTGGCAAGGACTTTACAAGCCTTGAAGCAGATGCATTCTTGGCTGGCTTCATGCCACAGATCTATGCAACGAGCTATACTGTGCTGAAAGAGCTACGGAAACGACTTGGTGAAGCATGGTATCCTGGGCGTGTGCTCGACGCAGGTGTAGGTCCCGGTATTGGCGCCCTGGCTTTCCATCAAGTCTATACGGCTGAGAACCCCTTGGTGACTGATGAGTCAGTTCCCAGAGACACAAGACTTCATGTTGTGGTAGCAAATCAAGGCATGCGCGATCGCGCCGATACCATATGGAAGGGCCAAACGGATGCCAAAGTCGAGCTATTCTGGAAGATGCCAGGTACGCGGCAAAAGCAGTATGATCTTGTTCTAGCACCACATACATTGCTCGATGCCAAGGGCCCAAATAGCCAGCGCGACGCAATTGTCAAGGAACTATGGGCAAGAGTTGCACATGGTGGCGTTCTCTTGCTATTAGAACGAGGCACACCCCTTGGCTTTGAGGCTGTAGCTCGTGCAAGAGAGATTCTCCTGCGCAAAAGCAACAAAATTGCTGCGAGTACGGCTGAAGCTGCAGACGATCTACGTGCTGCTGGTATTGAGGCAGACGAATCGAGCCTTAACAATACCACCGACGAAGCATGTCATGTCATTGCACCATGCCCACACGATGGTGTCTGCCCACTCTGGATGTTTGGCCATCAACCAAAACGCCAGCAATGGTGTCACTTTTCGCAGCGCCTACAGAGACCTGAGTATTTGCAGCGTACGAAGCATGCAAAGACCAATACTGAGGATTGTACTTACTCCTATGTCATGCTTCGCAAGGGGCTGACACGTCCTGAACAGCCAATCGTCAAGTCACGAAGTCTGAATGACGACTTGGTGAGCCCGGTAGAGGAGGAGCTGCGTCATGAAAGCATTGTGTCTTCGTCCTATCATTGGCCACGCATCATCTTACCGCCGCTCAAGAAGCATAAACACATTCTGCTGGATGTATGCTCGTCTGGTTTGTCTTCAGAAGACGCTATGAGCGCAGAAAGCAAATTAGAGCGCATGACGATTCCAAAGTCCCAGGGAACGGAGCAGTATCGATTTGCGAGGCGAAGCCATTGGGGTGACTTGCTTCCCTTTCGCGGCAAGACGGTGGTGGAACGACCTGTTGTGGATCGTCAAGGGAAGCGGAAAAAGTACAGTCGGCGACAGCATCTTGTTCAGGATGTCGAGTAACAAGCAAACTCGTAGAATATATGAATGCTACGAAGAGCTCCAGTCCAGAGCATGAGTGGCACCTGGGTCAGCGTCAAGGTGCTAAGTCAAGCCGTCCCTTCCTACGGCACCATCTATGAGTGGCGTGACTATGAAAGCAGCGCCGGCTTCAGGTCACCACGTGCAGTCGTTGTGTTGTTGTGTGCAGTGTGCGGCCTTAAACGAACTTGAACTGTCACGCTCTCGGTGTCTTGCAAGAGGATGGCGAGCTCTGCGACAGAGACAGTTCGTGCGAGTAGCTCAACGACAGCCACCCTGAATGGTGCGCCAGAGACAATCCATCTCTCTGCCGAGCAGTATGATGCCGAGCAAGTGCGCTTGATGGAAGAGGTTTGCATTCTTCTCGACCGCGACGATCGCAACCAGGGCCCTTGCTCAAAGAAGGATTGTCATCTCATGACCAATATCAACAAGGGTCTCCTTCATCGTGCCTTTTCACTCTTCTTGTTCAGCGGCGAGGGTAAGCTCTTGCTGCAACAACGCGCCTCTGAAAAGATCACCTTTCCAGATATGTGGACCAATACATGCTGCTCGCATCCCCTTCACATTGCAGGCGAGCAAGGAAGTGCCAGTGGAGAAGCAGATAGTCTATCAGCGAGTATTGAAGGTGTGAAGCGTGCAGCTCAACGCAAAGTACAACAAGAACTCGGCATCCAAGCACACGACGCGCCGACTGACAACATGCACTTTTTGACGCGCATCCACTATCTTGCGCCGTCTGATGGACAATGGGGTGAGCATGAGATTGATTACATCTTGTTTCTACAGCATCCTGCGCCAAAAGGGCCGGCACTGGAGCCGAATATGAATGAAGTACGCGATGTGCGCTGGGTCTCGCAGGCTGACTTGCGGGAAATGTTCAGCAGTAATCCCGAGGGTCTGACATACACCCCTTGGTTCAAGCTTATCTGCGAGTCGTTCTTGTTCAAGTGGTGGGACTCGCTCGCGGACTTGTCGGTGTGCAAGGATGAAGAGACGATCCACAGGATGGGCGTCTAGAAGCAGTCCAGGTGACTGTCTTCTCCATTGGCCTATGAGCCGTATTGACTCTCCCACTGCAGTAGTGTGTTGGTGAGCTTCTCCATGAGCTCGACACTGCCGCCATTGCCTTCGCCATAACTCCATACTTCATCCATATCAAGCTTGCCATTTGTCGCTTGCTTCCCTCTCTCTGCCTTGGCAACTGACTGAGCTATATCGCCCGTCTCTGCTGCATTGGTGTCATCTTCTCTGACATGTCGCCAACGTACCCATTCATCCTTCTCAGCAGCCATTTCCACTTGACACCGTCCAATGTACTCCAAAATGGCAGACACTCGTTTCCGCATCTCGCCAAGGGGTACCAAGCGTCCGCTTGTTCCAATCAAATTCCCACCAATACCCACCATACTACTCGCTGTTGCGGCATGTTGACCACTACTCGAGGAACGCGTACTACTACCAGCCATCATGGATGCCGCTGCTGCTGCAGCCGCTGCACGTTCACTTGCCTTTTTACCACCACCGCCACCGCCTCGACGATCACGTTTTCTGGATGCAGGTGCGGCCATATCTGCACCAGTCTGATTAGAGGGCGTTCCTTCCCGAGAGCCTTGTCTTGAACCTGGTTGACTTCCCTGTGTTGCGACAATGGATCCGCGATGCCGAGCTTGTGGAACATCAGAAGCAATAGACCCAACGTCGTCCCTAGATTCTTCTTCTACATCCTGCATGAGATCTTTTGCTCTTGAAGAAGCCTTGCGCAATGCAGCAGGACCTGGTTTCCGACCACCACGTCTGCCAGTGGAAACACTCGATTCTTGCGTTTCTTCACGTTTGAGTTGTGCAGAGGTTATTGTGGATGTTGCTTCGCCAGCGCCACCCTTCTTGCGACGTTTCGGCTTACTCCCACCATCTGAGTCTCGTGATGGTGACGGCGAGGGTGTGCGTGTGCGTTTACTCAGACCAGACGGCGATGCGCGCCGTTTTGTACTCCGACCTGATCGACCACTGATTGAAGGCGCTGCTGCACCTGATCCTGCGCCTGATTGTTGCGCTGATAGGAGAAGGGCTGCTTCCAGTTGCCTATCATAGGCAGCATCCCGCGAATTCATGGTATTCCTGCGCCGCCTGACACTAGCGCTCTCCTCATCCGCCGCTTCAGCAGTCGTAGTTCTATGTCGCGGTACCGATGGTGGGGATGGCTCTCGTTCGCGCTTTGTGAGGGTTGAGAGGGAACTGGAGCCATAGCTGCTTGACAGTCTCTCTGTCGGTAAGCCACCTGTCGCTGTACCTGGCGGTGATGTGTCTGCTGTCATGGGCCTCACTGATGGAGCTGCAGGACTCGGTTTTGTGTCGTCTTTACCATCGAGACCGAGGTAGGTGCTTCGTTTGCGCCGTCGAGGACGCTGAATGATGCGATGCAAGTCAGGTCTGCATAGTTCACAGTGATACGTTTCTGGCATCTGAGTATCGTTGAGCAAGCCGACGCAGTAGCCGTGTTGCCAGACGAGGCAGTCGTCGCATTGGACAAAGAGGCCCGTGTCTTCGTAGTCGGATTCGTCTGTGACGAGGTCGATGTTGCCACAGATGCAGCGGGTGACTTCTTCGTCGTCTGCGCCGTCTTCGTCGTTGTCTGAGGCTGGCATTGCTACTAGCTGCTTGTGTAGAGAGAGTAGAGTAGAGAGAGAGTAGAGAGAGAGTAGAGAGAGAGTAGAGAGTGCTCGAGTGATCTCACGTGAGGGAAGGAAGCAACTCAAGCAAGGAAGAGACCTGCAGACCAGCGAGCTATAGACAGCAGACAGCAGAGAGCAGAGAGCAGAGATACAGACGAGAGACAGAGGCAGAGAGAGGCAGCATCAGTAGAGAGCCAAGTCGCATGGACAGCACAAGTACAGGGAGACGCATCCTGCCGCTGCCGAAGCGCAGAGTCGCCAGTCTCTCTTCAGCATCACTAGCAGAGCATGGCACGAGCCAGCATCGACAGGGCCAAGGCGAGGAGGAAGCACTAGCAGTGACTGCAGCCACTGGGCGGCCGCCGCTCTTCTCCCGGGCATTGCATCAAGGAATGGGACTCATACATCAGCAGCATGGAGGACGCCATGACGCGGCCAGCGAGGGTGACTCGGAGGACGACGAGGGAGGAGCTGCACGGGCAGGCGGCGACGAGGAGCAGGAGCAAGACGAGGAAGAGGACGAGGACGAGTGCAGCGGATGCCGGGACTGGCTCGACAATGTGAAGAACAAGAAGAAGCGCAAGATACCGACCTCTGCAGTCATGGGACACAGCAGCAGCCATGCGGGGAGTACAGCAACGGCGGTTCCTTTCGCATCGACACTGGGACAAGGATTGCATATGGCGAGACAGCGAGCAAGTCTGAGTGTGAAGCAGCATCAGCAGCAACAGCAACAGATGCTCTCGAGACGGCGGCGGACTTGGGATGTCTCTACTGCTGCTGCTGCTGGGGAAGGTCTTGGGCCAGGAGGATCAAGGTCTCTGGACAAGACGACGACGACGACCGCACCAGACATTTCCCTTCCTTCAAAGCCCTTCGACTTCAGCTGCGACTCGCCCATCGCCCGCAACCTGCCCACAGCAGCACCAGAGCACATACCCGCCCAGGCACAGCAGCCCATCAGCGTCGCTACACAGACAACGCCAAGTCTCGCAGACAGCTCACCCGTCGTCATGCCCCTCAGACCCAACAAGACACCCTCAGAGAAGAGCGAAGACCGTGTCCGTCTCGTTCGCCGGCAACGCAGAGAACTCAAGGCAAAGCTCAAACCAGGCGAGACACCACCCCTTTGGATCTGTCAGTTTTGTGAGTTTGAGAGTATCTTTGGGTATGCACCCTTGGCACTGATTGATGGGTACAACGAGCGCATGCGGAGTGCACGAAGAGCAGCGCAGGAGAGAGCACGCTTGTTAGAGAAGGCACGGTCAAAGGGCAAGAAGAAGAAGAAGAAGGCTGCTGCAACGACTCCTTCATCCTCAGCAACGCCTGCTGCCACTGCTACAGATGGCCATGGTGCTGCAACAACGGCGCCCATTGCAAAGCCAGGGCTCCCCCCAACGCTCGAACCACCGCAGGTCAGTATCATCAAGAAGGGCATCGACAAGGGAATCGGTCCGACTCACTCAGGATGTACTTGCTGTGGTGGATATCGTCAAGCTCAAGAGACGCACACGCGGCCACCACCGCCTCCCATACGAGACAGGATGGCAGCACCTCCACCCACCACGCAACTGCCGCCTATCCCAGGACAGGCAAAGCAAGCAGCGTCTGTGCCTATGCAACGTGAGGAGGCTGTCTCTCCAGAGACTTTCACTACTGGCGAACCTATTGTCTGTTGAGCGTTTGCTTCTTCTGCTCTGTCGTTTCTACATTCTTTCCATTCAGCGATCATGGTTTCTTCGTGTGTTGAGGGTTCTTCATCTTCGTGTTCTATACAGTACCAGCTCATCCTTTCTTCTTTTATACCCGGCGAGTCGCTCGTTTCATAGCCCAACTACTGCATTTGTGTCTGGTGAGGAAGTCTGTGCTGATCGAGTATCATCACCTAGATGAGAAGCAGGATTGACCGTCTCAGCACATCCTATACTCATCTACACACTAGAGACACAAGAGACACACCTCCCCAGCTGTATCCAGGCACTTTGCAGCTCTCCTCCTCCATCTGATCCTGCCCCGCACGTCATCCACGACTCGACTCGACGCGACCAAGGACATTAAGTGCAGGAATTACGGCAGTAGTCTTTGACTTGCCGCTGGACTTGGGCCTCATCTCGGAGAACAAGTCTCATTATAAAACTACTTGGCGAGTCTCGAGGAAGCGGGATGACGACGCCGCGATTTTCTTGGGCACTCTACGCTAGTTTGATTCTTCTACGACTCTATCTTGCCCTTCAGCCTTCCTACATACACCCAGACGAGCTATTCCAAGGTGCCGACGCCGTTACTGCTGATCTGTTTCATGCAGGAAAGTCATCCACGCTATCATGGGAATTCACTTCGCAACGGCCAGTTCGTTCCATTGCGCCGCTGTACATCTTCCTCTCTCCGGCGCTCTATCTCCTCCGTGCTTTCAAGCCCGCTGCATCGCCGCAGCAGATCTTCGCTACTCTCAGGCTGCAGCAATTCGGCCTATCGCTCGGTATTGACGCGCTCATTTACCTGCTGAGCAACGCACGACGTACACGACAGCACAAAACGCTAGCCAATGTCATTTTGTTTGCTAGTAGCTACACAGCGTGGACCTACCATACGCATACTTTCTCAAACAGTTGGGAGACATGGTTGGTCTTATTGGCGCTGTACTTGCATCTCTATCAGCACGGCTACATGGCTCAGCTACTCAGAGGCGTCATTCTGGCCCTTGGTGCATTCACACGCGTGTCGTTTGTATCGTTTTTGGCACCCATCTACTTGCTGTCTCTCGGGCAGCGCGCAGCACTCGCTTCCAGCATCATTAGCTTGACGGCTGCAATTGCTACCGCTACCGTCTTTGTCCTTGCAGACTCGGCGTACTATCAAAACACGACACCACTGCCAATACCAGCAGTTCTGACGAGTTGGCCAGGAGCGGCAGCATGTCAAGCGATTTTATCGAAACTGGTCTTGACACCAGTGAATAATCTGCTTTACAATGCAGATAGCGCCAATCTCGCCAAGCATGGTCTGCATCCACGATGGACGCATCTCCTCAACCTCGTCATTCTCCTTGGTCCAGCCCTTACTTTGCTACCTGGTCGATTACCCACTCGAAGTGCCACGTTGCTCGTCTCGGCCGTTGCGGGATTCGTGAGTCTCTCCCTCGTGCCGCACCAAGAAGCTCGATTCTTACTGCCGGTCACGGCGCTGCTTCTCACTGCACTGGACCTAGACCCTCAAAACGAAGTTGTTGCCGAGGAGATTGTGGTGACAGAGGTCGAGACGGCGCTGGAGAAGGACATACTCGTGACCGACACACAAATTGTGGCCCCAACTCGCCGCATCAGCCGTCGCTTCATTGCTTCCTGGATTGTGTTTAATGCGCTTGCTGGTGGGCTCTTCGGCTTGCTTCATCAGCGCGGCGTCATCAGTGCGTCTCTTGATATCGCACGCATGCAACAGTCGGCAGGGTCAACACTTTATGAACCAGGTCATACAGCGGTACAAAGGACGGTCACGAGAAGTATCAATGCTTCGAATCCACCCAAAGTGACAGAGAGTACGCCGGTGGTCAATAAATCCAAAACACTCGTTCCGGCAAACGAAATTCAAGTCGCGTACTATAAGACTTACCCTGCTCCCGCGTACCTGTTACCCCCTGGCGTCACCGTCAAACACTTACAAGGCTGTTCTGAGCATTGCACAAATCCTGGTGCAGCATTGAATAGAGATTCTCTCGAAGGTGCTAGTTTCTTGGTCGTTCCGCTTGCCTTTTTCGATGATTGCATTGGCAACATGACGGAAGCGAGACGCGCCACTGCAAAGTTCTTGACGAGTACTTTTGTTGAAGTGGGGCGGTATCCGCATGTGGATCTGGATAATCTCGACTTGACGGTACTTCCAACGTGGCAACGATACAGGCAATCTCTGCAAACTTGGACAAGTGGTCGCAAGGAACCGGCACCGAGTCGCTCAGAGAAGCAAGAGAAAAGACCTGTCAAGCCTGAAGCGAAGCAGCCAAAGCAAGCTTCTACGCCAGTGATGCCAGCAGAACGAATCACGCCGGATGTGTCCACTGCGGATCCCGTGCCAGCGAGCCCAGTTCCTGAAGTCAGTGTCACGCCTGGACCCAAGGAAACAGCCATGCCTGATATTGCATGGACAACATGGCTCTACAAGCGCGTTGTAGAGGGAGAACCGTCCAATCCAGTGACGACAGGTCAGACTTGGCTTGAGCCCGTTTGGCTGACGGAGCAGTTTGTGCGTGATGCAGCGCAGGCGCAAAGTCTAGTGCTATTGAAACGCAGGCATCCCGTCAAGTCTGTAAGGGAGGGAGGAGCAGATGCTGCAGGTGCTGTGAGAAGACGAGTGCCGGATGCTGATTGGCGTATGATGTGATGTAGCAATGCTCCTTAAGCTTTCTATTCGATATTCCTCTCGAGGTACGCCATCTGATGATTTCCTGCCGAAGTCCCGAGGTCGTGAACAGCTTCGAAGGTCGCCATCCATCTGTCGACCGCATACAAGTCCACGGTGTCCATCTAGGCACAGCAGCATTGATTCGCTTGCTCATCGACAGTTTATGCAAAGCATCAGAGCTCTGAACATCTGCAAGCTGAAGTCCGCTCGACTACTCCATCCGCTCGTTACACCGTCTTCTCTCATAAACTTAAGAAGCAGCGTTTTAAAGCGTATGGCTTCGTATAAGCCTATTTTATCAGCCGATGATTGGACTAGACAAGCTGTTGAGCTAATTGATGCCCGTCATCTGCACACTCAAGAAGAACAGCCACGCATTCTCATCCTGTATGGTTCATTACGCAAAGAATCCTACTCCAAAAAGCTAGCCTACGAATTTGCAAGGCTCCTATCAGGTTTGGGTAGTGATGTGCGTATCTTTGATCCAATGGGTCTTCCGATCAAGAATGACGATGACACAGACCATCCCAAAGTCCAAGAGTTACGCAATGCTGCTATCTGGAGTGAAGGTATGGTCTGGGTTTCTCCTGAACAGCATGGCTCCATGACCGCCGTTTTTAAGAATCAAATTGATTGGATTCCCTTGTCGCTCGGTAGTGTTCGTCCTACACAGGGGCGTGCATTGGCCCTGGCTCAAGTCAATGGTGGCTCACAGTCCTTCAATAGTGTCAATCAATTGCGCATTCTTGGTCGTTGGATGCGCTGCTTCACCATACCCAACCAATCATCCATTCCAAAAGCATGGACTCAATTTGATGGAGACGGGCGATTGAAGGATACAGGGTTTCGGGAACGTGTCGTGGATGTCGCGGAGGAGCTTTACAAAGTGTTGCACATGCTGCGACCTCATAGAGAGTCGCTCGACAGTCGATACTCGGAACGTGTGGAAAAGGCCAAGCAAGGAAGGCTGTTAAGTCAAGCTGAGAAGGAAGCACAAAAACAGCAGCCAAGCACAAAGGAAGCAAATGAGCCAGAGCTCATGGAAGCAAAGCCGACAAGTGCATCTTGATACATCGCAAGCAATAGTAGGACTATTGTACAAAAGCTAGAGTGAATATTGGCATCACGCCTGCTGATTATCCACGGGACTGGCTTCTTGAACGACTGTTTTCTCCACCTGCTTCTCCTCTTGTGACGCCAAGTTTCGAGGGAGATGCTCCGCTGATGCAACGCGTGACCGCATGGACGTCGTATACCCCTGTGACAATTGACCAAACATCGCCATCTCACCCAAATCAGGCTGACTCAATGAGCGACCTACCGCACTTGCCACTGCCTGCTCATGCTGAGCATCAAAAGCAGGACGCGTGATCTCCATAGGTGGAAAGACTGCATCTGAACCAAAGTGCTCACGCACCAAGGTCGTCACGTCAATGAGTGCCAGTCGAGCATTGTTGACGGCATGAGCGCCTGCTTGAAAGGGCATCCTTGGCATGTGAAGAATTGGTTTGCCACGAGACTTGTCGACACCAAATGTAGAGACGAGTGCAATGAGCACACAAAAGACGGCAAGCAAGATTTGCAAGGCGAGAAAGACGGCAACGGGGACGAGTCTTGCTTTTGTTCCAATGATGGTGCGCGTTTCTTGTTCACTGAGTGAGTTGGTTGCTTCAAAGACGCTCGCAGATTGGCCTAGGATAGTCTGACTGACGGCCAATGCGACGAATGCCGCGAAATCTGCCGATGAATTTGCCTTGACAGCCGCGGCCGTCACGCCGAGTGAGATTTGATCAGCACCGTAGGATTGAGCAATAGCTCCATGTAGCGCATGCGTAGTACTTTGATTGGCAAGCACAGCTGAACCTTGCAAGAGCTCATAGATTGGCGGCGCCGCTGTGCCCGAGGGTTTTGACGAGAATTGCAAGTTGTAGACAGACACTTCACATGCCAGTACAGTACAGGATTGTGGCAAGCCAACGTAAATACCGGTGTTGAAATTGGCAACATCAACGAAATCGCTGGTGGACAAATTGGCGAATGAAGGGGCATAGGCTTTGAAGCAACCAGACCCACCAAGACTAAATGGATTCGTTACGCGCGTACCATTGAGCATTGCCGTTTCGAAGATTTGGTTGCTGAAGAGTAGACCGCTGAAGCCAGCATACGTACTTGGGCATGTGAACCTGGCATAGCCGCTTGAGACGGCTTGACGAGGACAGGAACCCGTGATGACCTGGCATGTGGTAGACACGCCGACCGTCTGTGCAACGTAGGAGATGTTGGGTGATGTGATTGCCGGTCGCAAGTAGGCCATTGCACCATCATTGGCGATGACATGAAGACTGGAGGTGTTGGTTGTGGTGGCAAAGGTCTCGATAGGGTCAAAGAGATAGCCATTGCTGCCGAATACACAGCTATCGTCGACAAATCCGTTGAATGACACGGAGCGCGAGTTGGAGTCTGGGTCAAAACAAGCTGAGCGCAATGTCCGAGAGTAAGGATGCAATGGTCCTGTAGCGTTGCTTGACGAGACCAGTGTCGCAGAGCTCAGGGTCTTATGCACCCAAACCTGTTATTAGCGGGACTCTGGAGCACATGAGGCATACGTCAGCCACCTGAATAGCCAGCGTTAAGAGCATTGTTGTACTAAAGACACCGATTGTCCATTTGAGGATTGGTCTTGTCCGCTCGGTGACAGTCTTGCGTTGTAGTCCATACCCAGAGGGGTGCATCTGGAAGGGCGATGCAAACACGAGGAACTCAAAGATGACATAGAGAGAGCCGCCGCTGCACATCTTCATCATGAGTGCAAACTGGTCTGCCGTTGGGAGATCAGCAAAGCGCGCTTGTTTCTCGAGGTTGATCCAGAGCTGTGCCAGGCGATACGCAAAGAGCATCATGATAACGGACGAGAGCATTGACATGATGGTGGATGTAATGGTGCCAATGAAGAGGGGTACGTTTGCAGATATGGTCGAGTACAAGTCTAGCAGCGTCAGTTCAAGCACTGGAGATGTGAGGAGACGTACATCCTTCGCCAATCCGATCGAGATACCTGAAGAGAACATAGTAGAAGGCTGCAGCGAGCGACGAGGTAGGTGCTACAACAAGCAATGTGAGTAACGCAATCTGTGGTGCGACTGCGTAATGCTGAGTGGTCGAGAAGCGCTTGCCAGTGTGCGCAGGTGGTTCATTGGACTGGGCGCGCTGCTCGTCCTGATGACCAGACTGGGAGGGAGCATGATACGGTGCTGCTGCAAAACGCTGTGGAAAGGCAGACGGGCTAGGCCGCTCGAGTGTAGGAAGCTGAGTGGAGTTGGACAAGAGAGAGGCATAGTGCGCTGTCGACATGGATCCAAAGGAAGAAGAAGTAGCAGCGCTATGCAAATGCGGTAGAGGGAGTAGGAGAGAGTCCTGCTGGATCCTCAGCACACAACCAGACCGTGCCCTCCTTCTGCTGCTCTTCTGTCAAGGAGTCAACTCTGGAGAGCACAAGAGCCTCAATGACCGCTGTGTCGAGCACTTCCCACAATGTTCAACGTGAGGCAGACAACCATGAAGACAACACCGTAGATACCCAGTGCCGCTGCACCATACCGTGTATACCGCCGCTGCTTCTCGCTCTGTGACCACACCGCACTCTCGCCATCACCCTCTGTGTCTCTTTCCGCTTGCTCATCCGATGCAACATTGAGATAGTCCTCTGAATCGCCTGTGATGCGCCAGTAGAAAAGTCCTGGTAGGATGAAGCTGATGGCAGTGGAACCAGTCGCGCCGACATACGATAAGACCACCTCCAGACTAGACACGGCAAAAGCAACCATGTACGTGGCGATTAAAATGAATGTGGTGAGTAACGTCCATCTCAAGTCACTAATATGCTCTTCTTGTGCTTCAGGCTCCTGTCGCATACCACGCAGATTGACAGAACTCGAATGACGCGAGATGGTCCGTGAGACGGGTAGTTTCTCATTCAGCAAGTGCATCGCTCGTCCAGCACTCACAATAATCTTGTCGAGACTTGCACGACACGGATGAGCTTGTAGCGGGTAGCTGAATAGGATAAGCACCACAATCGCTGTTCTGCCAATGTTTGCAGAGATGGAGTTTGGGTACATGCTGACAATGTTACCATTGACCTTGTCGCCATACGAGAGGTAGCCAGTGATGGCAACAAGCAGGTATACTGCCCAAGATCCGCCAATGGAAGTGGCAACAACACCGTTGATTTGCCTCTGGGATGTGTCTTCAATCTCATTGACGATACTCAAGATGTTCTGATGGCATGTAAAGGCGAAAACTGTGGCTATTAGCAAGACCAACGCGAAGGGAAACCATACCAAAGACTGGCAGCGCATTGAGAAACTTGACAAAGCCCTTCCACTCAAAGAGCTTAACGAGGCCCCGGTCGGGCAGCGTGTCGCCAGTGATCCAGTGTCCAACAACGAGAAGTACCAGGTAGCCAATTGCAAACAGAGAGACAACAGAAGTATATTTGAGAGAGTCAAGCCTGCGCAAAAAGGAGAGCGGTACAATGATGATCATGAAAACAGTGAGCCAGAACCGCCTGTCCATGAGAAAGTCGCTGTCTTTAGCGCTCGGCACTGCAGCATGTATGATTTGCGGCATCAAATTGCTGATAATGATGAGATAGCTGACGGCCACGCCAAAGGTCTTGAGAGCAATGGCAAGATCAAAAAAGATGGCAGCAGATGGGTAGGTCCGCCTTGATAGTTGGAAGAAACTCGCTCTACCATCCTCCACATACTTTGCGCATCGTGTCAGCAAGTACAGACCAAAGCCAGACGTCATGCCCGCAAAGGTGATGACCAGAATGCCGCCAAAGATGCCAAGTGTCGCCATCGCATGGGGCATCGCCAAGACACCTGCGCCGATGATGGTATTCTGTCATTAGCATTGCCCTCAACTAGGCCTTCAGAGGCATACGGCTAGGTTAATGAATGAAGAGCTGAAAGACGCTGAGCCGACATGTTTGCGGATATCAGAGGGCATGGCACAGTCGCCTGTCGCTTCCAGAAGTAACGGTCGGGTGGCTTCAGAGTCGTCGGAAGGCATGAAGCAGGGCCTGTCGGCAGTAATTGAGGAGGTCAGGAACTCGGATATTCAACAGGGGTATGTGAAGTCCAATGTGACCTTTGGAAAGCTAACGATGCGGCCGGGCGTCTATAGATCAGGAGTCGTGTGTCGCTTGTATTTGTCGGCTGTCGCTTTGTGTTCATTTCGACATCCAGCAGCAGAATTCGAAACGAGCAACAGCAGCCTGAGCACTGACCACTAATTTGCACTAACACACCGTTGCTGCCATAGCCGCAATCTGAAATGATGCTCTCTCGCTGTACATGCAGAAGTACGCTCTCTACTCAATCAATCAGGGCCTATGCCACAAACACAGCTCCTGGTCCAGGTGTTCCTGCCATTTTCAATCGCCACCACAAGCAGATTCAGCGTGCTCGCAGTGTAGCAGACCCCGTCGCCAGCAGAGAAGCAGACTACATTAAGGATGAGATTGCCAATCGTACGATTGACCGCATGCTCTTCTTGAAGCGCGATTTTGCACATCTAGTCGATCTTGGTGCTGGTACAGGCCACTTGCTGCGTGCGCTTACCAAAGATACAGAAGACGCAAAACTCTTGCGGAGTCGGATACAGAAGCTTACTATGACTGATTTGTCTATGCCAATGCTCAAGCGTGATGTTATGCCTGCTGAGGGTATGACGGTCGAACGTACTTATGTCGACGAAGAATCATTGCCATTTCCCGATAAATCGCTTGATGCGGTCGTCTCGAATCTCTCTATGCATTGGATCAATGACTTACCTTCTACACTCCTCCAAATCAAAGGCTGCCTCAAGCCTGATGGAGCCTTCATTGGCAGTTTATTTGGTGGCGACACGTTGTTTGAGCTACGCACAGCATTACAGCTGGCAGAACTCGAACGATCCGGCGGTATTTCCCCACGCGTGTCTCCCATGACGGATGTCAAGGATGTAGGCTCACTCTTGAATAAAGCCGGCTTCAAGCTCACCACCGTTGATGTGGATGACATTGTTGTCGAGTACCCTGATATTTTTGCACTTATGCAAGATTTACAAGCGATGGGTGAGACGAATGCAATCTTGCAGCGCAGACAGGGTCCCATTTCACGAGACTTACTCATGGCAGCTGATGCCATCTATCGCTCCCTCCATGCCGAACGCAATGCAACCGGTCAGATTGTTGGTCGTGGGATTCCAGCGACGTTCAGGGTCATCTACATGATTGGATGGGCGCCTGGAGCGGGTCAAAGTGCACCGAGTGCAAGGGGCAGCGCGGATACCAGTCTGAAGGATACATTAGCGAGCATGAAGGAGCATTAGACATACAGAAGCAGTATAGAAGCTCTGCTAAGCAGACATACTTCCCAAAAGTCTTCTGTCTTCTGTCCCATCTGGTGCGCCTCCCTGCGCCGCATCTCTCGGTTTTTTAATTTTTCTGCTGGGACGAAGAGCACGATCAAAGCTAGCAGCAGCTGGAACAGCCGCCATGGTCTCTGCAAAGAAGCAGGCCTTTCTAGACCGCAAGAAGACACTCAAGGAAGCAGGCGGGCAAGATGGAGACGAAGCAGTCAAGCCAGAAATTATTGTGCGGCCGAGCAAGAAGCGTACCCAGACGGAGGTTGCTGAGACTGCGCATGAGCCTGCTGAGCGGACAGTCAAGAAGCGCAAAGTCCATGTGAAAGAGGCACCCGACGCCAACAACAAGAATGCGACGCTCTTTGTGCGCAATTTGAGCTTCAAAACAACGCAGGAACAGCTTGAAGCGTTCTTCTCGGCAGTCTCGCCTGTGAAACATACAGTCATCATTACGAACCCAGAGACCAGTGTGTCTCTTGGCTATGGTTTTGTTTCGTTTGCCACAGCGGAAGATGCGGCACTTGCCAAGTCAGAGCTGAGTATGGCGCCGCTTGACGATCGTCTCGTCAAGATTGACTTTGCTGAGAAGCGTGCCCGAAAGGATGAAGCAGAGGCAGAGAAGAAGCAGGCTACAAAGCAAGCACGGCTGGACGCCACCAAGGAATCTCACCAAGCAGAGCTCATCTTGAGAAATCTGTCCTTCAAGGTGCGTGACCCTGTTCAGCTTCGACGTGTCTTTGAGAAGTTTGGCGGCATCAAAGATGTGCGTATTCCGAGAGGACCTGGTGCCAAGATGCGAGGCTTTGGGTTCGTGGTGTTCAAGAAGCGTGAGCATGCCGCAAAAGCAATCGAGGCGCTTAATGGCATTGATCTCGAAGGAAGGCCCATTGCTGTGGATTGGTCCGTTAAGAAGGAAGAATCTGAAGAGGCGACTGCCGAGGATGAAGATGAAGACGAAGCACAGAGCGACGAGAATGAAGACGAGGATGAAGATGAAGATGATGAAGAGGCTTATGATGAAGTTGAAGAGGGCGAGAAGAACGCTGGAGAGGGCTCAAAGGACTCTGAAGAGGATTCTGAGGAAAACTCGGACGAAGAATCAGACACACCCGACCAACGCTCCTCGACACTCTTTGTTCGCAATCTTCTCTTTGAAACTACGGAGACTGAGATTTACACATTCTTCAAGCAATTTGGACCTCTTCGTTATGCACGCATCGTCATGGATCACTTCACTGGCCGTTCTCGCGGTACTGCGTTTGTTGCATTTGTTCACGTTGCAGATGCACAAGCCTGCCTCGCACTCTACCGCACCTTGCCCAAGAATGTCACGCACGACGCCACCTCACTTCTTCTCTCTGAAGAGCGCAAGGAAGGCACTCTCGGGCGATTTGTCCTCGGTGGCCGGCTTCTCGACATCAACGAAGCACTCTCGAGAGATGATGCTGCTCAGCAGGTTGACAAGCATGATGCTGCCAAGCGTGCGGAAAAGGGTAAAGGTGTCGACAAGCGCAACTTGTTTCTGCTCAACGAAGGCCGAATTGGTGGTAGTCATCCACTGTTGCCACTGCTGTCCGAACAGGATCAATCCATGCGTAGTGCATCCTTTACACAGCGAAAATCGCTCGTGGCGAGAAATCCAGGACTGCACTTGTCGTTGACGCGATTGTCGGTTCGCAATCTACCAAGACATATTGGCGACAAGGAACTCAAGTACCTTGCGCGACAGTCGATTGTTGGTTTTGGACAGGATGTCAAAGCTGGTCTTCGTGAATCACTCACAAAGGAAGAATTGGCACGCGACTCTAGCAAGTCATCAGCAACGGGCGTTGTGAAGCAAGCGAAAGTGGTCTTGGAAAAGGATGGTAGTCGTTCTCGTGGGTATGGGTTCATCAGTTTTGCATCGCATCGATTTGCTCTTATGGGATTGCGATGGCTCAATGCACGGCAGATTGGGAGTAAGCTTGATTTGGTCAAGATGAAGAATGCGCAGCCTATGGATCCTGGTCGAGATGTCAGCCAGGATGATCGGAAGCGCAGACTCATTGTTGAATTCGCCATTGAGAATGTCGGCGTTGTGAAGCGCAGACAGGAGAAGGAGAAGATGCACAAGGAGAAGGCATTGTCTGCAAAGGACCTCAAAGCACAGCAGGAGCGTCAACGCGCAGAAGAAGTGGAGGATGAACGCAGACGGAAACGTGCTGGCAACAAGCCAAGTGCTCTCGATGCTGAAGCTGCAGCGCAAGCGAAAATGGGCAAAATCATCAGCAAGAAGCGTCAAATGAAGCGAGGCAAGCGTCAAGCATAGGCTCAGTATTTTGACCTGTCGTTGTCGCACATATTTAGCATCTATAGCTTTTTCGCTGCTTCAGCGGCAACTCTCGCCGGACCAACCTTCCATCCGCGCTTGACTAGCGCCTTGACAATGCCAGGTGTAATGGCAATCGTGATGGGCACACGCACAAAGATGAAGATTGCTTTGTGAATGCCGTAGGCAATCGCTGCTTCTGTCCAAATAGACGCTGGTTTGACACCATGCTTCTGCACTTCTTTGTGAACAGCCTCCGTCACAACTCCTGGCTCGTCATCTTGTACATCCGTCACGCTAGATTTAGGCGCCCAGCCAGTCCAATCGCGCACTACAGCAAAGGCCTTGTCTTCAAGCGCGCCAATGCGATCTGTGCCGAGCGCATGCACGAGACCAAAGGCGACGGCATAGTCCACGAGGGAAATACCCAGATAGACCACAATCGCCGCTCTGCCATACTTGCGCGAGAGCTCCTTTAGCTTGCCGGAGAGCGACGTTGCTGGCTGTTCTGGCTTTGTGCCAGTGGCGCCTGAGGTGTTGAAGCGGCGGCCAACGTGCTGTAATCGCTGTAATCTCGGTGGTCTTGCTGCGGAGAGGGAGATCCTTGGTGGTGCATGGAATATACCAGTGACGGGCCGCCGGAAGGCTCTGCTTGCCATGCCCAGGGAAGCCATGGATAGAGCTTTGCTGGAGTCTTTGGCCATGACGCTTTCTCTTGGCCTCGTCGTCTTCCACGAGATGGAACGCACATCGCTCAAGGATCGCAGCGATCACTGTGATCGTCGAAGAAGACCAATATGCCAATGAGGGAGGATGCGGGTGCTATATATGTAGTATGCTCATGCTAGATAATGTCCCGTGCTGCACCGCGCGCAAAGTCCATAACGCGCCAGCCGTGCGTCACTGGGTTGTTGAGTTCATCCTTGAGGCGGGTAAAGATGGCAACGTAAGTGACGGCCTGAACATGGTCTTCGCGACCGGCAACAACTTCTCCCTTCAAATTCTTGAAGAGGTGAATCTCTTGTGTGCGGAAGGAGACAATGAATACTGGAATGTCGTTGGGCGGTACCACCTTGTATTGTGCAATATCAACGTTTCGCAAGTCGACAATCCTGCCGTCTGAGACAAGCTTCTGTTCAGTGACTTGCTTGGATGTGGCTGTATGTACCGACAGGGGTGCCTCCGAGAGCCAATTCGCCAAAGTAACCGTATCATTCTTGATGTACGCCTCGCAAATCTCTGGCAGAATGTAGTCTCGCAGTGAGTTAAGCCAAGGCTCGACCTGGAAGCCAGGGTCAATCTCCTTCATCAGCCGAATCACTCTCGCAGACTCGTTTTCTGCCGTGAACTTGCCCCAAATTTCTGCAACGCGGTCTGTGATTTCTCGTGTTGAGCTGACAATCGGATTCTCTGACTCGACGTATGAGGTCTTGAAGCGGTTGAGACCCGCAAAGACGGATGAGGTTTCCTTGTACGCCTTCCAGCTTTCCTTCCATTGCGAATCCTTGTGGATCACCACGCCAGTTTGCTCATCATTCTCCTCAATAGCACGATGCCGCGGCTTCATGGCATCGATTTTTGCTTGCTTCTCCCGCGCTCGCTGCCGGCTTTCCTTTGTTGAGAAACCACCATAACGTGATGACTGGCCATCGTCAATAGTGTCGGAGATGCTCTTGTACGCCTCACTCTCGCGAATTGGCTTTGTCGTCTTGTCGAGAATGTCTGCCGTCGCTGCTACACTTTTGCGTGTCACTTGTCCAACGGGAGAGTCCCATGCCTTTGCAACACCACTCCCCAGTACCTGGCCAGTCTTTCTGATGGCCTTGCCAGTTACACCTGCTGCACCTGCACCGCGCTTTTGCGCCGCCTCAAAGGCCTCTCTCGCCTTTTTGTATGCTTCAGATTCGCCTGCTTTCTCAGCCTCGCCCTGTAGCGCTTTCACTGAATCTTGCAGCTCTTGTGACTTTTTCAGTTCTTGCTTGAATGTGTCCACAAAGACACGGAAGGGACTATTGGGCGATGGCGGCGGAGAAGGGTCGCCTCGAAGACGATGTGCAGTCGCAGAAAATTGTCGGGCGACAGGCCTTTGCAGCCGTACTATTCTGAGCATCCTATATGTGGCCCAGCCCTGTCCTAAGGTGCTCTTGGCTTGTTTGTGTGGCCGTGCAATGCCAGCCGAGCACTGATACAGCGTCTTACTTTGTATGCTGCTCGTCTTTGTGCGTGTGCTGCAGCTCGTCGACGTCGCCAGAAATTTTGAACATCACGTGAGAGGAATTGCCTGCACCCACCCTGAGCTTGTGCCTATGGCTGAAACTTGCTCACTCAGATGTCAGCACGTCCGGGGCCAAAGCTGAGAATCTCGGGGATCCCTAGGTGCCTTGAACTGACCGAGCTGTTCACTAGACTTGCTAAATAAGCTATCGACTGTTGCCCCAACGGCAAGCTTGTCTCAAGATGATGCTTTGACTGTGTGTGCTTCTGATGGCCCGGTCCTCGACCTTGCAGTCGGTCTGGGCAGCTAAACGCATGGTCACTCTGCCAAGCTGATCTTCAAAGATATTCTGCAGTTGAGATTCGCCTACCTTTGGTGTTGCTACACCACGTTACCTCTTGTAGCCATGGCTTGACGAACATGATTGAAAAAGAAATTGAGCTCAAGAAACGAGGCTTTTTCGTTGAGGTCATTTGCGTCTTGTAGACAGTTGTTAAGCGCATAGACAACTGTCAAAGCGGTAGGACAAAGCCACATCTTGCGTTGTTCAGAATCTGGAGATCTATGCAACCTGGTCGCCGGTAAGACGACCTGATAGACGCCTTTCACATGCTCGGTGCTCTCCTGGTCGATGGAACATCACGTTGTGCAGTATCTATGTTTTCTTCGAGGCCTGGTTGGGCCCCGACCAAGCGCAACCTCCAGTCAGCAAGCGCGACTCGAGATTGGCAAGCAGGCCGTTTGCATCTCTCGCCACGGAGTACGACGTGCTCCAACGGCTGTCTAAGCGTTGGCTAAGGGCTATTTAAGACCCACCTGCTCGCTCCAGTTTTGCATCCTCGTTCGCTCTTTGTTGCCATCCAGGCTCGCTGCTGATCTCGAGATCTGCTCAGCATTGCGTTATCATCATGCTGTCGCGCTGGTCGTGTCTCCTCCTCGCTTTCCAAAGCTCTGCTTCTGCTCTTGTCGCAAGAGACCATCATCCTGTTCCTGACATTTCCAATTTCGCTCTCGAGAAAGAACACTCGGTGGATGTCCAACACACTTTATGGCACAACCATTCTGCCTCACACACGCTTGAGCCCGCTCCTCCTCAAGAGACACAGACTGTCGCATCTACACCATCTGTGCAAAGTTCGCCGCAAGCTACCTTGACCCCTGGTGTCACCATGGTCAAAGTCATTGATATTGTGGCCACTGCTCAAGCTGCCCCTGTCGCCGTCACTGTGATGCAGCCAGTTCGCGTTGTTCAAGAGCCTGCTCTTTCTTTGGACGATGATATGACTCTCCCTTTGAAGCCGCCTCAGCAAACTGCCGCAGTAGACTCCTCCTATTCAGACAAGCACAAGAGTCACGGCAAGAACAAGAATCATGGCAAGAATGGCTCTCGCGGCAAGCACTGGAAGCATGGCAAGAATGGACACCACGGCATTGACAAGTACGGTGCTCCTGATCGTACTACTTGGAACGAGGACAACATCTTCACGGACTACACGCAGTACATCCCAGACACTGGCGTCACTCGCTACTACGATTTGACTGTGGACGAGGCCAACTTGGCTCCAGATGGCGTCGACGCTCCTTTCATGCAAGTATTCAACGGCCAATTTCCCGGACCCTTGATTGAGGCGGATTGGGGCGACCACATTGAAGTTCGCGTGCACAACCATCTTCGCAATAACGGCACCTCCATCCACTGGCACGGCTTCATCCACACAAACAACACACAAAACGATGGAGTCAATGGCGTCACCCAGTGCCCTATTCCTCCACTGTCTTCTCTCACCTATCGGTTCCGCGCGCAACGCTACGGCACCAGCTGGGTACGTGCTATAAGCCAAATGACCTCGAGCTAATCTACAGTATCACAGCCACACAAGTGTGCAGTATGGCAATGGACTTTATGGTCCTATATTGATTCGCGGCCCCTCTTCTGCCAACTGGGACGTGGATCTTGGCACTGTCAATATTGGAGATTGGTACCACAAGTCGCAATTTGAGCTTGTCCAGGACTTCTTCGTCAGCGGGCCTCCTACAGGTACGTCTATCAAGTGGTGCTCTCCATGCTAACTTTCAACAGCAAGTGCGACCGTGTTCAATGGCCAGGGTGTATTCAACGACAACGGCACGCTTCGTGGCTCTTACTACGACATCACAAAAGAACTCAAGTTCCGGCCTGGTAGGAAGCATCTGCTCCGCCTCATCAACTCTGCCTCAGATGCCAAATACGAGATCTCACTCGACGAACACACCATGACCGTTGTCTCTTTGGACTGGATTCCCGTTCGCCCATTCAAAACAAAGACGCTCTTCTTGTCCATTGGCCAGCGTGCTGAAGTCATCATCAAGGCAACAGAAGACCCTCGCAAGTCTTACTGGTTTCGTGCAGATACGACCGCTTTGGGAATGAATCGTGGGACCACTTGTGGCGACAAGAATTTGTCCGCAAATCAATCCAAGGCCATTATTTCTTACGTGGGTGCTGATGGCTCTGATCCCGATTCAACGCCGTGGACGTACACACCTCACTGTTCGGATGTTGCAATGAATAATGCCAAGCCCGTCGTTGCACTGACTCTCCCTCCTCCAATCTTCAGGCAGAATCATTCACTGGATCCCATCAAGCCTAATGCCACTGGTGACATCGTCTTCAATGTCGACAACTCGTCGCTGTATCTCAACTGGAACAAACCTACTCTGAATCTGATCAACGATGGTTTCACTCAATTCCCAAGGCAGTACAACGTCTATCAGCTGAACGGCACAGATCGCGACTCTGTCATTGTCGTGCTGCAAGACAACACAGGCATCCCGCATCCTATTCACCTGCACGGCCACGACATGTCTATTGCTGCGCTTGGTAACGGTACTTGGAACGGGACCATCAATTTCGACAATCCACCTCGACGCGACACTGTTCAAGTCGAAGGAGGAGGCCATCTCGTCATGCACTTTGCATTGGACAATCCGGGGACTTGGTTATGGCACTGCCACATTGCCTTCCACGTCAGTGCAGGTCTGGGAGCGCAATTTGTCGAGCGTATACAGGATATCAATACGGTGGAGAATGTCACGCAGACGTACCAGACATGCTCGCAGTGGCAGGCCTGGACAGATTTCAACTTGGTGCTGCAGACGGATTCTGGGGTGTAGCTCATTTGAGATGACTGCATGAACATCGGCATTGCTTGCATAGACGTCTGCATTCAAGGCATATAATAGACGCCTAGAGCCCAGGTAGATTTATGTTGGCCACTTCCATCATCCTTGTCGCGAAAATCCTGTCAATGCCATCTGAATTTTCGCCAGAATGCACAACTTTGCAAGTCCTTCTCCATGCCGGCGAACTAGCACTCAATTGGTTTTTGGCTTCAGATCGCCCATCGTCATCCAGAGGGCTGGGTGGCGAGGGGGGACTGTGTCTCCGAGACCAAGTCTGGGTTCGCTGCAATTGAGCGCGTCGATTCCTCGACCGAGTTGGGTGTGCTCAAATACGTTGCAAGCTCCGGAGCAGATGGGCCAACATCTGACTGCAGATCTCGTGTACGCGTCAGAGACGATGCACGAGTGGCATGTTGCTTTCAACTTGCTCCTGCCACAATTCAGAAGGACTTTTGTACTTGCGTAGAACTGGTTTGATCATGGCCCCCAGGCGTTTGGAGCGAGCGAACGAGGCCATGATCATGTCTCGGTTCGCTCTCGTTTCTGGCGTGTCTCGGTCCGCTCTCGTCTCTGGTATGAGACAAAGCACGCCTTCAAATTGGCCACTCTACTCGCACAACACACAAAAATGCCCCGAACGAAGTGGAACCTGAAGGGCCTAGGAGGTTTGCACGATCTCGTACGGCATCGCAGAATGCATCCTATGCCTTTGTATCAACTTCATGCGCTTTACCGGCACAAACCAAGCCAGCAGCAAAACCCGCCGAATCAAGACAAAAACAACATTGGCGAGATCGAAATAGACCGTCACGGAGACCGTCAAGGCATCGCAAGATGTAACTCCCGCACTTCTTTCAGCGGCACGTGATGAGATTGTTGCTCTGGAAGCAAAGTTAAGGCGTGATATCGAGGCTATCATGCGAGAGCACAATCTCAAGACCGCTGCGATGCTCGCATTCAAATTAGGCCATAATCATGTCCCGATCACCTGTCGTTTCTGGCATGAGACAGAGCACGCCTCCAAATTGGCCAGCCCAGGCCGCACCTTTAAGCTGCGTCTCCATGTTTAGCTGGCGCATGAGCAAGTCAGCCGCGTATTTCGGGCATTTGGGTTGAGGCCCATTGAGTAGCACGAACCAGTTGTCGCGGCCCAGCTGACGAGCTGATGCCCGAATGTCGCGTCGTCGACTTGGGACGACTTTCCACGGTGCCACAGGTGTTGGGTTCTCCACCCAGTCTTGGCCACTAGCGGACGGAGTTCTGCCAGAGTTCAAAGACTCCAAGACACAAACCGCGGGCAGTGGACTCGAAGGGGGTGTGGCTGCGATCAACACACTTGTGACAGGTGTTGAAACCACTGGAGGGTCAGCACTAATGTTGTTCTCCTGGCAGATCGCCGTCTCCATCCGTGACTTTGATGCAAGCATCGCAGCAGTCTTGAGGTTGTGCTCTCGCATGATAGCCTCGAGATCACCCGTTAACTTTGCTTCCAGAGCAACAATCTCATCACGTGCCGCAGAAGTCCGTCCGGTAGTGGTGTGGCCATGACTGGGTGGAGAACCCAACACCTGTGGCACCTTGGAAAGTCGTCCCAAGTCGAAGACGCGACATTCGGGCATCAGCTCGTCAGCTGGGCCGCGACAACTGGTTCGTGCTACTCAATGGGCCTCAACCCAAATGCCCGAAATACGCGGCTGACTTTCTCATGCGCCAGCTAAACATGGAGACGCAGCTTAAAGGTGCGGCCTGGGCTGGCCAATTTGAAGGCGTGCTTTGTCTCATGCCAGAGACGAGAGCGGAGGACGGACATGCTGGCAGATGGATTGCGCATATGCGCGGCAGCAATGATCAGCTCATGGTCGATAGAGGAAGAAGGCACAGGGATGAGCCCGATCGCTCCTGCCCGGCATGCAAGCCAACCGACGATGTTGTGGAGACTCTGCAGCATGTACTGCTCGAATGCTGCGACCACAAAGCTCGACTGGCGGACATACGGCTGCGTTGGTCTCACATGAGCGTTGCTGACATGCAAATCATTGTCGACCCGCCAAAAGGAAATGTCTTCATGTCGCGCATTGCCAACGCTGTCATCAGTAAAGTCATTGGGCGCCACTTGGGGATACCCTAGCTTTGTCTTCTGTGACCAGCCGAGTGCCTTATGGCACTATGCGTTGTCCGGCGTGGAGAGTTGGAGCACCTTGTGCAGGTGGATGCTCTGTTTTGCTTCCTTCATAGTGGAGGACAGTAGTTGAGCTGAGCACGACGTAGCTTTTTTATATGAGCTAAAACCTATCACTCCAACATCAGGAGCTCCTTTGAGCTGTGACGTTCACTTGCGTCATTGGTGTTTAGTATAATTGCCCAGCCGTCCTCTGAGGTCCTCCCCGCTCTTTTCATCCTGCTGCAGTTGAGAGCATACACACTACTGCCCAGGTTGGCATCTGCTTGAGGATCACGTGATGTCACAGCAATTCACGCCTGGTCACCCTGAAGATGAGGCAAGTTTGAGCGCGTTCCTCCATGCGTAAAGCACATTCTCCTAATGCCAGCACGCTGAGGCATCTATATTGGCAGCCTGGGGTCTTGAGAGTATCGCAGAGCTCGCCTCGAGAGTGAGTGGGTAGGACGTGTCAGGCAGCTCGAGTCGAGACTCCTGCCAAGAAAAGCTGAAGAGCAGAGCTTACGCATAAGAACGCTTGAAGCGTGCCAAGATGAAGATTTTTCGGGGCTCAGCAAATGCTGGCATCAATCATGCGCAAAGGAGTGCGGCGTCTCTGACTGAGATCCCGCTTCTGCTCCACACGTTCTGTGTAGCAAGTCACGCTTTCGCATCGCAGCACATCATGCCAGGCGTCTCAAAGGTCTAGATGGCGTAAACACAGATGCAGGCATGCTGCTCGATTCGTGTTGTCCGCTTCAAGCCCCTGCATGCTGCTAGATTTCGAGATCTTTGCGCCTTTTGGCCCCTGACCTTTTTACTTGCCGTCTCAGAATGGGCTTATGACAGCTCATATCTTCATTGGATTGTAAACATGTCATTTCATCGTCGTCACGCTTCGTGCGGGGTTGATACCAATCACGAAGATGGACACGGGCAACATATCTGTCTGCATTTGCGCCTACGAGACCTTCAGGGAGTATCGGCCTAGGTCGGCCTTGTTCTAGGCTGTGCACGACAAACAAGATGTCTGCATTGTCCGACTCTACAACATCGGGTCGCTGCGGCAGTGCTTTTTGTTCTATTTTCGTCCACTTGATGCCATGCATCTTGTTGCTGGTGCCGTATAAGCAGTTGGAAGAGGCCGACCCCTTCTTTCTCCAAACAAAATTTCCAACAAGACATCCGCTCTGTTTCTCATTTTCAGAGAAGTGCACTGAGATATATCACAACTTTCCAGATCACTGCGAAACCAGAGATGATGATGCGTCTTTGGAACAAGAAGCTGAAGCTTGCTACGCTTCTCAGCTGCACTGTTGGCTTCATCGTTGTGGAAGGAAATGAGTCGGAAGTCCAGAAACGTCAGTTGCTCAGCATCGGGGGCAGCTCATCCATCGGACAAGCCTTGAACAACATCCTCAAGGACGTTCCTGTGATTTATCTTGGACCTCCTTCCAACGGAATCCCCACCAAAACTGTCAACCAGCCAGTCCAGATCAAGCCACCAGTTTCGGTACGAATCCCGTCGGTTGCAGACTTATTTCGCTCGACCCGTGGAAAGTTTGGCGTCGCATACTGTAAGCATCCGTCTTCTGATCATATTACTTGCTGACCCTTGTAGCCAAGGCACCTGACACGCCCAACCGCAGAATTTGGCGAGATGGGTTGGATATCAAGACCGACTACACAAACAATGTTCCAGAAACTGGCAGGGTCGTCAAGTACACGCTCCATGTCAGCGAATCAACGAATCTGGCTCCAGCGGGTGTCAATGCCCCATTCATGAAAGTCTTCAACGGACAATTCCCAGGACCCCTAATTGAGGCCAACTGGGGTGATGAAATTGAAGTGCTCGTCATCAACCACTTGGCAGTCCAGGGTACTTCAATTCACTGGCATGGCTTTGTACAAACTGACCGCAATCGCTTCGATGGCGTCAACGGAGTAAGCCAGTGCCCTATTCCGCCAAACAGCCAAATGCTGTACAAGATACGAGCTGAACGCTACGGAACGACCTGGGTACGCCGCTCACAAGATGACTGACGCGCTAACGTCAGTACCACAGTCACACTAGTGTGCAATACGGCGACGGCTTATATGGGCCGATCGTCATCCATGGTCCTACTTCTGCCGACTGGGACGTAGACCTTGGCCCGTTGATCCTAGGAGATGCATATGACGAAAGTCAAGACGAACTTGTTAAGAAATTCTTCAAGCAAGGACCTCAAGCTGCTTCTGCAACCTTGTTCAATGGACGTGGCGTTCGAAGTGATAGCGGTAATCTTCGTGGCTCATTCTACGAGATCACACAGAAGGTCAAGTTCAAACGAGGATACCGATATCTTCTGAGATTGATCAACGCGTCAGTCGACCAAAAGTTCCAAGTCAGTCTGGACAACCACACAATGACCGTGGTTGCATTTGACTTTGTTCCAGTCGAACCATATGAAGTCGAGACGGCCTTGTTGTCGATCGGCCAAAGAATGGATGTCGTCATCACGGCGACAGGGGTCGACGATATGTCATACTGGTTCAGGGCAGATACATCAGATATGGCGACAGATCGTGGGACGACATGTGGCGACCTGAATTTGTCCAAAGAACAGTCGAAGGCCATCGTTCGTTACGTACAGGCAGACTCTTCTGACCCAACAACACAACCGCACACCTACACACCACACTGTTCTGATGAGATAAATTCCGACAAGGTCGTCCCGATGGTACCTCTGACACTCCCTGCTCCTGCTCAGGATCAAATCTACAAGATCGCATTCAAATTGGTGGTCAATGCTTCCGGTGATATCAACTTCCTCGCAGACAACTCCTCATTGTTTCTTGACTGGTCGCATCCATCTCTTGGCTTTGTCTACGATCGAATCACCGAATTTCCCCGACCATTCAATGTGTACGAGCTGAAAGGCGAACCTACCGACACGGTGTTGATTGTCCTGCAAGACACAACTGGAATACCACACCCAATCCATCTACATGGTCACGATATGTCTATTGCTGCACTTGGAACTGGCACCTGGGATGGCAATTTCGACCTGGACAACCCACCACGCCGAGATACGGTTCAGATGGATGCTGGGGGACATTTGGCTATGCACTTCCGTCTCGACAACCCAGGTCTTTGGCTTTTCCACTGCCATATCGCATTTCATGTAAGTTCTGGGTTTGGCGCTCAATTTGCGGAGCAAGCCAAGGACATTGATGCAGGCTTCGACGAGCTCGAAGAGCAGGGCGCTTTCCGAAAGCTGTGTGCTGTGTGGGACAAGTGGAAGCAATACAATTCTATCGTCCAAATCGATTCTGGTGTGTAAGGTAGCCTTACGTACTACCCCCACGACTTGAAGTATTCCTATTCAGACAGTATGCCGCCCATGACTATCAGATCTTTACCAGCGCTGCAATTTACGGTGATAGTCCAAGTGGAAGCTTGAAGGTCGGGTGTCAGGGGCCCACGACCCGTCGAGTCATCGACCACGCACGACCTCTCAACATGGCTCAAGCGTTGAACCGAGATGACTGGTGGCATTGCTCGCATCATTTTGCAGCGATCTGCGGGAATGCAAGGCGTGCTCGAAGCGTCTCACGACCTGGTACTACTAAAGAGTGCAGGGGCTGCCGCCGCGCCAGTGTCTTTCTTGGGTTGAATAATTGACGCAGAGGGAATTTCAGAGGGCCTATTAGGGATCAAACGTGTTTGCATTTCTGGCTCTACAGTTGGCAGGTTTGAAGTCGATTGACTGATTGCCTGCTTGGTACTGGAGGTCCATGCTCTACACATTTGTTGAGCTTTGGATCGGGCAAACAGATGCGATGGCTGCTACGGAGTCACTGTCGTATCCCGTTGGTTGACGCCCAATGATTTCAATGCTCGGCAGAATCAGCTTTCTCAACCCGGTTTGGCAACGATGCTGGCTAATTGAGGCGATGACGCTTCATCCAGAGACTTGCAGCTGGTTCAATGTTTCTCGCTGCTTGTCCAATTTTAGTGTCCACAGCCTCGCGATCTGTGCACCCTCGACACGCATCGCTTGACGTATCTTGAGAAATGACGAGTGCGCATGACTACGTGATGGGTATGCTCGATGATTGTGTGGTCGTATGCGACCTTCTATTCTTGAAGCTTCGTTGCTGCGGGCCCATTGCCCCAACGGCTTCCTCGGCGAAGCATAGCGGGCGCTATGGAAAGCTTAAAAATGGCTCTCTTTTCTCACATCTGCCCAGAACAAGTTTTTCTCGATGTCTATCCACTGCTCTAGTGGTTTGCTCTTGTATCTCATCAATCTGCTCCTTGTTTTGGCGACCAATTCTCTCGGTGGCGAGCGTCACAGCGAGGACCACATCACGCAGCAAAGCACGGCTCTGAAACCATTTCCTGTTGTCCTCTCGCAATCATCCAGCCGCGATGTCAAGGTGAAACCCACTATTGCGAAGCGTCTTTCTCTGCGGCCTCGTGGGCTGCAACCGGCTGCTCAGAAACAGAATCTCGCCAAACGTGAAGCCACGAAAATGGTCATGGTTGTTGATCTTGGTCTTCCAGCACCCGGTGCATCCAATCCAGTACGTACAAAGGGCCAGATTGTCAGCGATGACCCAGAAGCGACTGTCTCTGTCCCAGATGTAACTCAAATCCAAGATGATGCTACACCTACGCCTCAAACCTTTAGCAACACTCACCGAAGAAGGCCAATTTTCAACACTCCGGACCGTTCCATCTACAAGAATTGGTCAATCAACTCTGACTATCTCTCCCATGTCCCCGACACAGGCGTCACTCGACACTATGAGCTCACCGTGGACGAGATTACCCTTGCGCCGGACGGTGTCGACGCTCCTTTCATGCAAGTGTTCAATGGCCAATTCCCAGGACCTCTGATTGAAGCAAACTTTGGCGACTGGATAGAAATTCGCGTTACCAACAAGCTTCTCAATAACGGTACATCTATTCATTGGCACGGCTTCGTCCAGACAAACAACACGCAGAACGATGGCGTCAATGGTGTCACACAGTGCCCAATTCCGCCTTCCGGCGCAGAATTGGTATATCGCATACGTGCCGAGCGATATGGAACATCTTGGGTAAGTCAAACTCGTTCGAGCAAACAAGGCTAATGACCCAGTATCACAGCCACACGAGCGTGCAGTACGGCAATGGTCTCTATGGACCCATCGTCGTGCATGGCCCAACATCAGCTGACTGGGACTTTGACATGGGCACACTCCTTATTGGAGACTGGTACAACCAGTCTCAATTTGACCTCATCAATCGCTTCTTTCAATCTGGTCCGGCTACCGCATCTTCCACAGTGTTCAATGGGCAGGGCGTACGATTGCAAGCAAACGGCACCACTACCGGCCATTACTACGACATCACAAACAAGCGACGCTTCCAGCGTGGTGGTCGATACCTCCTGCGCCTCATCAATTCTGCTTCTGACGCAAAGTACCAGGTCTCACTCGACAACCACACCATGACGGTAATTTCCGTGGACTTCATTCCCATCAAGCCATTCGAGACACGAACAGCCTTCTTGAGCATTGGACAGCGCATGGATGTCATCTTCACTGCTACTGGTGGCTCAACTGCATCCTACTGGTTCCGTGCTGATACGACCGCCCTGAATGGCACGTTGAATCGCGGGACGACATGCGGCGATCAGAATGACAGTGCACTCCAATCAAAAGCCATCGTGCGCTACATTCGAGCCAGCAATAACACTGAACCCACAAGCAATCCGCACACGTACTCACCGCACTGTTCAGACCTTGCCAGTGATCACAGTGTTGTACCTGTTTTACCACTACGACTGCCACCCCCTACCAATACACAAAACATCGTCATTGACCCAATCGTGGCGAATTCTTCGGGCGACATCGTCTTTAGGCTCGACAACTCGTCACTCTACCTCAATTTGAACTTTCCAACTCTGAAGCTCATCAATGATGGATTCAAGACTTTCCCCAGGCAGTACAACGTGTACATCCTCAACGGCACTTGGCAAGACTCGACCATGATTGTGCTACAAGACAACACTGGCATCCCTCATCCCATTCACCTGCATGGTCACGACATGTCTGTTGCGGCGCTTGGTAACGGTACTTGGAATGGAACCATCAATTTCAACAATCCACCTCGACGCGACACTGTTCAAATGGAAGGAGGAGGCCATCTCGTCATGCACTTTGCGTTGGACAACCCGGGAACTTGGCTATGGCACTGTCACATCGCATTCCACGTCAGTGCGGGTCTCGGAGCGCAATTTGTCGAGCGTATGCAAGATATCAATACGGTGGAGAATGTCACGCAGACGTATCAGACGTGCTCGCAATGGCAGGCCTGGACAAATTTCAACCTAGTCATGCAAACGGACTCTGGTGTGTAGGTGATTTTTCGGTTCATCAGGCATGGCACATAAGCATAGAAAGTCGTAGCGTATCATTTTTGTATATCTACTGTGACAAACGTGCTGCCAGGCCTTGACGCGCTCACGGCGAAGAGACCAGGAACCCATCTGAATAGTCTTGTGTCTTCTTCCAAGGTTTTCAGGGGTCTGCGGTCTAGTAGCATTGGACAACTCCACGGACTGGTCACTCAGGGCAGAGTCGATTGCATACTTCAAAGTCGTTGCCTCTCAAAGCAAAAGCAGAGGGCAAGGCAAACTCCTTCAGCTCATGGAATTCATACGTAAAGTGCTTCTCCACGGAAGTGTCGTCCAAGATCGTTCATCGACGCTAGACTCTATGCTCATCCAAGCTTTGGGATGAAGACTGGCACTTCCTTTTTGTACTTCTGCCAAGCAGGACCATACTTCTTGTCTGCCTTATCTTCGAGCATAGGCACACCGGATACGTAGCGTGTCAGGAAGGTGACGAAGAGGGGAGACACAAAGCCGAGAGCGCCGACATAGGAGGGGTACACGGTCGTGCTAGCAAGCGCAGACAATGCTAAGATGGACGTGCCGGTCCACAGTGAGCTTTCACCAAAGTAGTTTGGGTGTCGTGAAAGAGACCACAAACCTTCATTGATGAATTCTTCAGAGTGCTTCTTCTCTTCCTTGCGTTGGCGCCAGTCAGACTTTTGACGATCAGCAGTCACCTCAAAGCCCATGCCTGCCACCCAGACGGCCATACCCACATAATCAAGCAGTCCCAATGCTGGCATAGCGCGTTTCGGTACTGCGTTCGCGAGCAACACGGGTGCCGAGACAAGTGTCACCCAAACAGCTTGTGCCATGAACGCGCCGAAGAATTTGGCTGGATTAGGCTTGATCTCATCAAAACGTGAGTCCTTGCCGTCCTTCTTGATTCTTGCAAAGAGGAAAGAACCGAGGCGGATTGCCCAAATGGCTACCATGCCAGATAAGATGAGCTTGCGCGCGCCAAAGTCAGCTAGTCCAGGTACTGGTGGAGTAGGCAGACTGTGTACGCGTGCATAGCTGAGGGAACGAAGCCAAGGCATGTAAAGACTGATGCCTGTCGCTGCGAGGAAGGTTGCCGAGCCGGACAAGTCATAGTACTTTTCGGATTGCGCGAGGATGGATGGTACAGCGACGGCTGCTTGGATACCAAAGATGGTGAGCACGGCAGGTACGAGGGTCGAGAGCGCCGGGTTTTTGAAGGAGAGCATAGAGTGCAGCGGCATACGGTAGGTGTCGAGTAATGTAGAGCTGTTGCGATTGTGGTGTCCTGGCTGAATGACGGCATCTCTCAGCTGCATACTTTGATGATGTCAGCAGCAACTAGTCACATCTACAGCCCGGCAGCAAATCTCCGTAACCACTTGTTTGTCTACGTTGGAGCTGCTACTGCTGTATTCAATGCTCTTCATAAGTCAGCACAAGAGGACCATCATTTGACAAGTTGATCAGGCATCCTGGCGCGAACAATCAGGACAGGGGCATAGCTCAAAGTGCGAAACCCATACAAATAAGAATCAAAAGAATGCTATCAAGATGACTACGCTATGCACAGTCGTACCTATGAAGTGGAAATTCGACGACCCTTGCGCTCGTCTTGTGTACCAAGCTCAGGCATCGTCCGTCGTCGGAGAGAGCGAATCCTCACCATCTCATCCATCTCCGCTTGCAGGAAGTCGTCCACCTCAACCAAAGCTTTACTCTTTCGTTTGAACTTGAGAATAGCTCCCGCATCAGCCACACGTGGGCAACGGATAAGTTCCAAGACTTGGAGCTTGGGTGCATTCTTCAAGAGCCTGCCCACCGACCAGTCGGTGATGCCCTCGCAAGCGTTGAGGGAAAGACGCTCAATAGCCTCACCGCGGTACTCGCTGATGGCGCAAACAGCTTCATCACCAACATTGCAACCAGCAACGCCGAGCGTTTCAATTTGTGTGAGACGAGCAATCTCAAAGATACTTCGGTCGGTGACACGGTGAGAACGTGCAACACGACCGACGTTGAGGTATTGTAGACCGCGACAGGCACGAGCAATGGTGAGAATGCCAGCATCTCCCACCAATTCGCATGCGCGCAGATCAAGGATCTTGAGGCGTGGGCAACGTCGTGCTACCTGAGCAAGAAATTGATCATCTGCAATGGCGCAACCAGGCAAGGCCAGCTTGGTGAGTTGTCCATGAGAGCCAAGCAGACTTGCCGGAGGAAGGAGCTGCGGGCAAACGTAGAATTCGAGTGCCGTGAGGCGCGTGTGTTTGAGCTTGTTGAGCTGCTCTTGCTCCACAGATGTCTTGTGGATGAGCAAGTCTCGGCAGCCATCCTGGTGTGCCATGTCGGATGCAAGATAACGATCGAGACTATCGGGTGAGTTGAGTTCTACTCGACGAGACAGAGCGCGCCGTGCAGCGTCGTGAAAGAGGCTGTTCACAGTCAAGCACGCAAACATGGCGCCTCGGCAGCGTTTTGCTTCAGTATTCCAGTCCACAGGCACAGCCTGTCCCTTGGCGTTGAGTGTGATGCTGCGCGTCTTGTCTCGTGTTGCACCAGCGCGTGTGTTGATGCTGGATGTAGCCACACAGCACTGATCGTCAAGACGCTGCATGATCTGTTCGACTATCTCTGGCAGGTTCAGAGCAAGTTGTACAGCAGGCGTTGGCTGGACATGAATACCAGCGGTGGATAGAATAAGTGAATCGAGTTCACTTCCCCTGCATCGGTCAAAAAAAGACGACGAAGCAATGACGGGTGAAGGCCCAGTCGCGAGCGCCTCCTTGGGTGTCGGTCTAACGCGCAGCGCATAGGTAGGTGTAGGCGGTGCTTGCAAGCCCGTTTCTGCAAATTTGTGTTCTGTACACTCCTTGACTTCGATCTCAAGCGCATTTGGCGCCTCCTTGGGCTTGCGCTGAGCGTCATGCTGGCCCATCTTTTGCTTCCGGGGCTACTCATGGTGCGGTTGCTAGAGAACCAGGAACTCAGCCGACGAACTGCAGGCATCTTGTCACTGGAGCTATTTGAAGGGCGGCCAGATGTGCTTCCGCTTGCTTGCATCGCCATACGCGGAATAGCAGCGACATCTGCCGTGGTAGTGATGTCGCCTTCTTCTTCATAGCCAAACGAGAAGCTCATACTCGCACCGTTTCCAAACAAACGACAAGCAGAGAGGGTTATGTAACGACAGAGGTAACAGGGAAAGAGCGATGGAGAGACGATGAGCTTTCAAGATGGCGCTTGCTCGTCTTTTGAACAGATGCGCTCCGGGCACCGCACTCGGCAGCTCGCGCTGAAAGAGCGAGTCAGTGCCAGCCCCATGTCATGTAGGCAGTTACAGCGGCTGACCAGCAGCGTGCACTGTTTCCCAACGCCAAAAGTGTTTCAGAGGACAAGCAAGGCAAAGTGTTAGTGGTTGTTCGGGTAGCGTGAGTCTTGCTTGAGACAGTTCGAGGCCGCATTTAGCAAAGATGGCTGCCAAACTCGGGGCGGACGCTTTCAGATGGGCACCGGTTCCTGGCCAACTTTAAGAGTTGCGCGAGTCTCTGATGAGCATGCTTTCGTCATGCTATGGACTAAATTGGGCTGATTACCTCCAAACATGCCGCTCGTAGCATCGCCAAAACGGCTCGACAGCGGCTCTTCTCACCGTATCTCGCAGCCAGAAGGCAGATACCCCGGTCTCCTCGTGTGAGCAGCCGTAGTTGTCTGACGGACACTCCGCCTTCATGGTCAAACGCATCCAAGTACGAGGTAGAACTGGTATCTACCTGCACGACTAGGCGAGTGACGGGATCATGCGAGGTCGGACCATCATAGCTAGACATCTCTGATCTTGATCGTGTCTTTGACCATGACGCTTTGACTGTATGCCCTCACCTTGCTGTCCATTTGATTGGGTTATCGGGCATTTGAGACAGAAACGGTGTTGACGTGCCCAGCAGATGCTGCTTTCGGCCGTGGAACAAATGGATTCATTCAGATGGTGCACACCTTCTCCTGGCAATTCTCATCACCACCGCAGCTGGAGAATTGACCGAGATGATTATATAGACGTCTGGATGAATTGGGCTAGTAGAGATGGTTCGGCCCGGCAGAAGACTATATTGAATTAGTGTCGCTACATTGTCGTGCACGCAATAAAGCTGGTTGACGACCATAAGCAATACGCTCGGTTCGACGCGGGAGACAAGACAGATGGTACAATCTAGCGAACATCCAGCTCTGTGCCGGTATTCAAAGGTGACTAGTTTCCATACAGAGATGCAGGGCATGAAACACTACACTTTGACAGGAGGGTCCCCTCTTTCTGGCGTCGGACACGTCATGGACTCGACTTCCAGGATGGTCTTTCAAGAGACCTTTGTGCATCGCATCCGAGACTTGTTCCAGCTCTTGGGGCCCCCTTTCCTGATGAGGTAGTACTAGACAAAATGCAATTGCCGTGACAGCTGGCCTACAGGTCTCGGTCTGCTCGTTATGAAGTCGATGAATCATGAGTCACACAACGGCACATCAACCAGGCTACCTGAAACAGATAGCAGAGGTCCAAGCTATAGAAAGTCAGCCAGAATATCGGAAGACGCCGCCTTCACCAACCATGGTGATACCTCGTGGGTGGTATCGGTATGCAAGGATTGACTCTTGACATAAACAGCTCGAGAGACGAGCTTCGCGGTCCAATTGAAATAAGCGAATTGCGAATTCTACAGTTTGTACTCCTACCCGTAGCATCGTGTCGCTGTGATACTGCATGACGCGTGAAGTCCAAACAACGTCTAGATTTGGGGTTGAGCGGTGAGCACCGTGGCCGTGGGTCGGCGAAGCTTAATCCAAGAAGTTCCGGAGGTCTCACCGAAACCCGCGCACGGAGCCTAGCCCTGCAGCTGGGACACTCGCTGCATTCTCGAGAAACTCTTAACGTTAGGACTCGCCGCATTCAAGGTATGATCAGGTGCCCTTATCAGCGCAATCACGGTTTCGTTACTGCTTTGCAAGGCTGTGCAGAAGTACTCACGTAACACAAGACTAGACTTGCCATCTGGAAGGCGACCGGAGATACCGGATGAATACGCGCTGTGGGGAACGTGAACATAGAACAAATACTTACCTTCCATGGCCATCTATCGCGTGCTACGGATACAGTCTAGACTACTTATGCTCTCTTCGCAGGAAAGCTGCCTAGATGCCCAGACCGCTGAGTTCCTCCAAGATGCTAGAGTCGTCTCGTCTCAGGGGCTTCTTCCCAGACTTGCCAACTCCTTGGTTCTCCTTGTCAAGATCACGCTGGACACAAACAGTAATGTCACGCGTTGCATCGTAGTCTTCCAGGTCAATGTCTGCATCCTGCAAAAACTGCTCCATCGTGCTCGGCACGGCTGCGACCGGATCATGGAAGATGCCAATTGACTCGCGTCTCTTGCTGGCTTGATCCTGTGCAGGGCTCGCCTCTTTGCGCTTGACGTGTATTGCTGAAGTATTGAGAGGATGTGCCAGTGTGGTAGCTGATCGCGATGCCGGTGCCCTCACGCTTCGGCCGAGCTGCTCATGGCCGCCTTGCTGGCGACTGCCTTTTGTGTGCCTTTGTGGAGATGCTTGAGCTGGTAAGTCTCTTTGCCGTTCACGCTGCTTGACAGGCTGATGACCAAGCCATGGCGTCGCTCGCAAAGGTGTCATGTCAGCATCAGACACTGCAGCTTTACCCATTGGTGTCTTGTTGTTTGATAGACCACCAGAGTTCCCTCCCATAACTGCCATCAATCGTCTCGACAGCTCTTGCGCCTCCTGAAATTCTGCCAAGCGGGCCTCATACTTGGCCCTGAGACTTGTCAGTGCACTTCGCAAGCGCTGCCGCTCCCGTTCTCCAGTCTCAAGAGCATACTCATATCTGCTTTTGTTGGCCTTCAGATCATCTTGCAGTGTCTGCTGGGCCATTGCGTGTTGCTCGGCAAGAAGTTCAAGCTTCTCGTCGGCACTCATCTTGATGGTTTCCACTTGCTGCAGGAGGAGATCCCGTTCTCGTGTCATGTGTAGTAGCGACTCTTGAAGCTTCTCCATATTGGTTTGAACCTGACCTAGACCGTGTGTTGTAGTTTGCAACTGCACTGCGTCTTGTTGCTTCTGGAGAGTCATTGCATTTATCTCATTGACCAGCTGCTTTCGAGCTGTCTCGTGTTCCGACGTCAAGGCCTGCAAAGACGCTGTCAGCTCGCGCTTCATTTCGAGAGCATCGACCTCCATCGTACGCATCGCTGAGTCCTTGCTCTTCAATGCTTCATCCTTTGCCTGTAGTGCAAGCTGAAGCTCAGCTACCTGTCCCTCGCGCGCACTTGACAAAGTCTTCAGCTTCGCCATGGCTGCGTTGTATTCTCTGGCTTCCATCATCAAGCGTTCATTGACTCTGCCTGATTCGATATTGTGCGCATTTGCAGACTCAAGTGCCATAGTCAAGCGTTTCTTCAAATCCTGGCATTCTTGTTCATGCCGACTGACGAGATCGCTTGCGTACTTTTTGCTCTCCTGCAGCTTGTCGTGGTTTTGACGCTCATTGTGCTCGCATTGTCGCAGACGCTCATCGCGTTGTGCTAGTTCACGACGCATGCTGTCCATGATCTCATTTACGCGACCTTGCTCATCTGCAGTATCACGCTCTCGTTGTCGCATCTCTGTTTGAACTTCTTGCAGTTGACTCTTGAGCATGCTGGCTTCCTCATTCGCCGCATTCAGAGCATCCTTCAATGTACGCATGGGGAGCTCTGTGGTTTCTGCCCGGATCTCCAGATCTCGACATACTAGATCTACGCGTGCAACAAGAATGTCATGTTGATGAGCTGCTTCAGCTTGTAAGTCAACGAGTAGCTTTGCACGCCAATCTTTCGATGATTGACCCGATGCTGGGGTGTTGGGTTGCTGCTGCAGAGCGATCGGCCGTGAGCTCTGTCGGCAAACCTTAAATTGATCCAGAGTTGGTATAAGCATGTCAGTCAGTTTGTCGAGAACAGGTAGGAGATGTAGATGCGAGGCTTCTGCCAAAGCTGATGAGATCAATAGTTTGCAAACGTCTCGATCGTGAGCAAGGAGAGGACCTGCGCCTTTCGGTAAGGCTGCCCAAGCTGTTAGAGATGATGAATGCTTGATCAACTGTGTTGCCGATATTTTGGTGTTGCTTAGCCCTTTCAATAGCCAACGGTTACATTCTGCAACTGACTTACTTTCATCTTTTTGCTTGTTGAGCAAGAACGATAGAGCCCGGTCAGAAGCAGATGATGTAGCAGGCAGAAGGGATGATAGGCTTGCAAACGCTTTCGCTAGTGGAAGTGAAGCATTCTTTGCTTCCAGGTGGTCCATTGCGCGTTCGCATAGTCTTGCTGCAATTTCATGGATACCTTGGATTTGCTGTACGCCTTTCATAGCAGACAAGAAGGCCGCTGCCACTTCGACAATCTCTTCGTCGAGGAGCAGGTCAAGCTTTTCATTGAGCTTTCTGCAAAGAGACTGACCTTCCTTCTTGGCGAGCCATTCATCCAAGACTTGTCGAGAAAGTGCATGCATAGCATTGGTTGCATATTCTACGTGTCGGCGCTGAAAGCCCTCTCCTGTTGTCGATAGCGCAGCAGAGACACTACCAACAACGAGACGAGCAACTTTGAGCCCCTTATCGCCTTGGAAAAGGGTAGAAGCGCTGCTCCCATTCTTACCAGCCTGCGCGGAGCTCATCATATTTGCGAGCGATGCCAGGCATGAGAGGGCCAAGATGACTAGTTCGTTGGACGGATTGCTCAGAAAGCCTGCAAGCGTTGCCTGCCATGCATATTGCTGTGTTGCCGAAAGTGTCGAGAAACAAACATCGGCATTGTTGAGCAAGACACCCTCCATGTAGACAAGGTAGCGAGTCTCGTCTATATTGGTAACAGCTTCGTTTAGCATGCCCATGAATAGTGGGAGCTGTACAGGCGGCAAGCATCCTTCTGGCAGCTTACACTCGAGGAAAGCACAGAGCACTGCAGTGTACTTCTCGAAAGACTTTTGATTGACGAGCGCCTGTCGCAACAGGTTCTCAAACAGAGCAGGGTGGCACGTCAGCATCGCATCTCGTAAATCTTTCTGCCTGCTGAATTGTTCTACAACAAATAGAGCATGTGTATCGCAGCTGAAACTGCCAATCAGCAGCTCCGCTAGAGCATCGTGGGCTTCGGGGTGATATTTCGCCCATATTTCGATGTCAGCCAAGGCAGTCTTCTCAAGAGCTCCCGCAAGACTTGCAAGGGATGGAGTATAGCTGCATGCAAGCAGTTCAGCTAGCTGTTCCTCAAGCAGCCTGTATGCATGCTCGTCCATGGGTCCCTCGTCTTTTGTTGATTTGTTGTGGTCGTTGCGGTTTTGCCTCGTTGCTGCTTGATTTTGTTCAGATGCGCGCACGCGACAGAAATGCATTTATGCCGCCTTCTATAACCCATCTATAGCTTCTCCTCCTGCAACACATTCGTCTCCTGGTCCAGTCCTTTCCAAATATCAAGGTCAGGTGCTTCTTGACCAATGCCTAGATTTCTCAGGTACTCCCGAACAGCACGAACGTTGAGTGACATGGCTTCATGCGGATCAATCGCTGCTTTGAACGCATACTTAGTCGCCAGGGGAAACAACAGCTGAAAGTCGGACTGCGACAGATGCGCAGATTGTCGGACCCACAGCAATCTGTTGCGTCCACCATTACTCGCTGTGGGCCGTAGTAATTGTTTCAAAGCATTGAAATTGCTCGACCATTTTTGAAACGCTTCACTTGCAACTGCGATACTCGGCACATCCAAGGGCTTTGTATCTGAATCCTGAAGGACTTCCATCCAAGGATCCAACAACACAGCCGCCCCGAATTCGTTCTTGAAGGGGTTCGCAGTTTCTTGCGCAGGCAAGACTTCACCTTGTTCTTTACAGCAATGCACCGCCGTCGCTGCGCCAAACGAATGACCAGCGGCCAGAATCTTGCCACTATCGCAAAGTAGCTGTCCGCGTAGACTCTGTTTCAACGCTTCTGAAAATCCTTCCTGTCGAACAATCTCTAGCGGTTCACCCAGGAAACGACCGTCGCCTCGGTTCAACGAGCGCGTCAGTGCAAGTCCTAGACCCATCTCATACATGCGCTGTGCCATCTGTGCACGCCGTTTCGCAACCGTCACAGGGTTTGTCTCCTTGATGGATACATACGACACGACCCGCTCATCAGGCTGTCCCTGACGTATGACAGAAATGGCAGCAGATCCATCACGGTGCTCCACTACGCAGACAAATTGACCACCACTTGCTAAACTCCCACAAACTTGACTATACGCATTCCGCGAGCCGCCGAGGCCATGACTGAATAATGCGCATGGCCAGAGTGTCTTTCCTGGAGATGCTGGTAGGATTGGTGTGTCTAGCGCTGCAGGGATCTCCGTCCATCGCAATCCAAGCAACGATACACTAGAGAGGAGTTTCTCCTTGATGCCAAGGAATTGCGCATATCCCTTAACTGTGAACCCACCTTCACCAAGCCATCTCGGTCGTCTACGAGCCGCATGATGGGATTCTTCAGAGATTGGATAGAAGAGGCGAACGAGACAGGTATCGAGGGGTGGATCATCACCGAACGTGCGGCGATATGCAAGTGGTAGGTTGACTTCGAGTTCTGCGGTACCGACTTGATAAGGGCCTGGGTAGCGTGGGAGGTAGGGAGACAGAGGGTTCAAGCGCATGGCGGCAAGCCTAGCGGCACACGTCGTGCTGTGTGTAGTTCTCTACAACTGTACAAGTAGTGTTCTGGTCGAAAAGTCAAATCGTCATGCAGCGAAATTCATGAGGCAGAGCCAGCTACAACTCAGTTGATTTTGAAGGAAGAATAATTGGGTCATTAATGATTGCATTGAGTATGCTATGATGCGTTAAGCTAGGCCTCAGAGAGGATGATAGAGATGAGTCGCTCAGGTGGTGCAGTCGCTGTGATAAAATAGGAAAAGAAGAGGAAAACCAGAGAGTGAAGAGACACAAGTGACCTGTTAAAGGTAGCTTGCAACAGAGATGCGTCGAGTGCTGCCCTCAATTTGCTTGATGGGTACAGCAGACATGGCATGCTGTGAGTTGAAGAATCGCTCAAAGATGCCAGACTTGCGCTTGTGTTGACTGTGAACGTTGCCGCCTGCGGCATACACCTGTGATGACCGCCTGCTACCAGACATGGGTGGCGGTGAGAGGTCGAGCGGTGAGCCAACACTGCTGCAGGATGAGAGCGATGGCATCATCAAAGGCGGTGTAGGCAGTGCAGCAACATGGCTGACACCGTGCATCGCATACAATGGCGAGGCAGGCATGTATGACATGGGTGATGCGTGCTGCTGGCTCGGAATGATGATCGGCGCCGGTGAGGTGGGCGGCGTTGCGTAGTTGGAGAGCTTGCGTGCGTACACGTATGAAGGGCTCTCGAGCTGTTGTTGTTGCAAGTGTCGCTTCTTGATGGGCGCGAGGAAGCCATTGAGGGAGGTATAGAGGTCAATGTCTGTGATGCTGAGGTCCCACTCGAGCAAAGAGAGCAGTTGCTTCTCCATGAGGTTGACTTCCTCGAGCTTGAAGAGGCCATTGGTGTATGACTTCCAGTGCTTGTTCTTGGGCGAGGAGTCATTGAGGTACTTTGCTGCCAAGATGAGCGCAGCAAGGAAGACGCGGTGGCAAGTGCATGGCATGCCTTTGGCGACAGGCGGCAACTTGTCGGAGAGGCGGTCGAGGTAGACGAGCGTCGACATAAGGGTGGGTGTCTGGACACGCGACTTTTCGCACAAGACAGTGATGAAGGTCTCGAGCGATGGCAAGGCGCTGTTGAAGGATCCGCGCGCGGGTGAGACGGGCGGTGTTGGCATGTCATCGCCGCAGCTGATGACACTGTTGGCCTTGTTGGCGAGGGCCGTGATCATGTCCATGGAGACTGGGTACTTGACGAACTCTGCGAGTGCCTGCTTTGAGGAAGACATGGCTGTTGCTGGTTGATATGTTTTGCGTCAAGAAGAGAAAGATGAAGAAGAGAAGAAGAGAATGTTCGGCGCGTCGAAGGGAAGACAGTCGGCCGTGCTCGTTCTTTTGTTGTCTCTGCAGCTGTCGAGAGAGGGGTTTGTGTTATTGTCCCTGGATATGCAGCAACGTTAAGAGTGTGGCGCTTTTCTTGTGCAAGGGGAAGCCGAAGTGAGGTTTGTTCAATGCTGCTGTTGCTTGTCTTGTATATCCCTCTGGGTTGAAGGGAGAGTAGATGGAAGAAGAAGCAAAGGAAGGTTCGATGATGGATGGGAAGAAGAGAGAGGGCCGGGGTCGCCTTTCTATATGTTCTTTTCGTCGTCAGGGCCTGCACACTGGATGGCCGCTTGCAGAGGTGGACCCGCACGCGCAACACACTCAAACACTTACAGCGAGAGACTCACAGCAGGATGAGAGACACAGGCCAGGTGCCTCCGTCTTTCCGCAAAGAGAGTGCCATGGCAAGTTGGGAAACGGAGAGGGCAGGTCGTGTTTCACCGCACAGAAAATGTCTCGATGAGAAAAGGAAAAACGCCCCTTCCGCCTCCCTTAAAATGTCCCCAGCCACCAGCATCCAGAGGGCAACAACCGTCATCTTCTCAGGTTTTGTGCACAGACTTGCAAGTGTCTCAGACAGTCAGACTATCAGACAAGCACAAGCGCAGGCTGATCAGCTCGGTCTCATTGCCAGGACACGATGATTCAGATACACTGCAGCACGAGTTTGGAGCTTAACTCACCCGCGTAAGCTCTAGAACCTACTACTTCCCGTGGGGCCTCCTTCGACAAGGAACGTCCGTCTTGCTACCTACTAAGTTTATGTTCCTGTGGTAAATGTTTGTCTTGCGAAGTAGGGCTCGAGGTCGGCTTGTCCGTTCGAGCATTGGGACTTACTGGAGACTTACCAAGAATAGCAGAGAACAGTGAGGATCCTTGGTTTCTCGTTTGTTTGAACTTGCACGACAGATTGACACCTGTGTGTGACAGTGTGTCTCGTAGTCGCACCATCCTGGTCATAATGTGATCGTACCTGTCGATCTTGTAAGATGCTTGTATCCTCGTAGCTCTGACCTAGTCCAGTCAGCAGCCGAACGACGAGAGGCTCACATCGTGTGCGAGCAGTAGCTTCTTGATACTCTGCTAGTAGTGTCTCGTAAGGACATCTCGTAAGTACAATATGCTGTTACACTATCACCAGTTTGGATCGTGACAGCTGCAAGATGATGCATCTGCCCAATGCCGGAGAGCATTTCCATTGCCAGAATTTCTACGAGGGCGTTTTCAATTGGCTGACACGGCGCTGGCGTCCACCTGTCAAGAAATAAAAGAAAAAGAAAAACTTTATAGGCTCCCTTGTAGATGTAGTAGCAGTTGTACGGTTGTACCTGTGCAACTTGTCGGTTGTTGGTCTGCTTCCCCCTCAACCTCCCACGTTCACCATGCAGCAGGGTATAATATGCCAAGAAGGCCCACGGACGATACCAAGTCTACGGTCAACATCCTTGGTTGCGAGCGAAAAGACCGTGCTACGAAAAAGGCCTTAAACACATAGCGGGGGAAGTAGTACATCATCAACATCAAAGAGCCATGACCAAGGCGTACGCCGCCGCGCCGCGTAGCTGGCGCATGCCCATCAATTGTCGGACAGGACGGCCAGCAATGTCTCTCGCCCATGTCAGGCCGCAAACGTAGTTGTCAGTCAGAGACATGGATAGACGGAAGGTGCCAACGGGTATACGAAGCATACAGAAGTTCCATCCGCACGCCTTGCCAAGGGGTGTAGGTGTCTCTGTCGTTGTTTCAAGCGGCTTCTACAGCGGCGGTTCTCCGCATTCGAAGAACTTTTTTTATTTGACATCCACGCGACATTTCTCGAATTCATGGCATGGGAGGTCGTATGAATTGCATCCTGCAGAAACGCTTCATAGCCGTGGCAATAGACTGTGCTAAGTGTGCTTGTATGAGTCTGTGAACCGGGGTCCGCCAGTAGGTCATTGTGCAGCCGTTGGCTCAAGATACCCGCTGTACATTGGGCCGAGGACAGAACCGTGCGAGTGAGTCCTTGCAATGATCTCGCAGACACTGGACAGCACTAGCGTAGTACACAAGTCTAGCAAACCTGATCCGTTGCCGCACAACGCATTGCAAAGTCGCGACAAGCACGCCTCTTCTAAACCGAATCACGTCGACTCAGTACAACCCGATCTCGGGTGTCTTGATGGAGTGCGCTAACCACCCTCCTGGATGCGGCATACCCTGCATCCAAACAAAAAGAATGCCTAACCAGCACCGGTGGTCGCAATTTCGGTCTGGTTGTGTCTTTCAGACCTAATCACTCTTCAGATGGCAACTCCACCAAAATTGTGTCCCCACCTGCACCGCTGCCAGTCCAGCCCCTTTTCTTACTTTTCGCAACATCAACCATCTCCTTGCAGCAACAAGCGTGTTCCAAGTCGCTTCTATGAACGACCCGGAATGTCTTTGTAGTCACTTCCAAGAAGGGTAAACTGCTAGACTGTCCTTAGATGTAGACCATTTCGGCGACGACGCTTGCAGCGGGAACGGATGAGGTGGCATGGCACTCAAAAGACCTCACGAGATGTCTTGTATCATCCTTCGACCCGGTTGCCGCCTTGAGCAGTGAGGACACTTGAAAATAGATACGCCAAAGTTTTATTCGCAAGGGTTCAGATATGAACTGTCACTCATGGAAATCAATTAACAAGAAGAACGCATCGGGGTCATGGTGTAGAGTTGCTATGCTGAATATTCGACCGCGTCGCATACGAGCAGGTCTACAAGACTGCACCAAAGCCAAATGTCGTCTTGATGGGCTTGACGTAGTCTGCAGGATGGTTAGCAAGCGCTCACACGGAAAGAAAGACATACACTCAACAAAGTTGGTCTTGACAACCTCTTCCGTACCCAACGGCACGTCCTCCATCACCATACGCAAATTCGTCCCATCAAGTCCCTGATCAAATGTCATTGTCAATGTTGCATAATGTCCAGCAGGCCAATCCTTCAACCGCCACGTCTGTACCAACTTTTCATTCTCCTGCAAGTCCAAAAACTCACCCTCGACATTCCCATTGAAGAGCTGGTATTGGCCGCCTTTACGAGCGTCGATATTGGGTTGTGCACGCGTCCATGCTGCAAGACGAGCAGGATCGATGAAGGTCGTATAGAGTTCCTTTGCAAGGGTTTGGAACTCAAACGTCTCTGCTATACTAGACGTATTGACCTTTTTCGTCGATGTGGATGATTTTGCGGCAGTGGCAGAGGTGTTTGATTGCTGCTGCTGCGGTTGAGTAGGTGCATTGGCTGCATTGGCAGCTGTACCGACCGTCGGTGCATGACCTGCATCGAAATTGATCTTCACATCCTTACCGTGCGCATCCACGAGCGCTTGTGGGAATCCCTGTAGCTGTTGTCGCAAAGCAGGGACGAGTCGCTGTTTAATCAAGTCTCTGGCTTTTGCCTTTTCCCGAGTCTCAGAAAAGACTTCGATATCAAAGACATAGTCGTCTTCTTCGTGATCGTGCATGACTTCGGGAATGGTAATATTGCCATCAACCGTTGTGCTTTCTGCATCCTTCAATGTTCCTGTAAATTTCAACACAAGCTTGATATCGTAGATGGTGATGATTTTGCCCTTTCGCATGGCAACATCACAGTCACCGGAAGACTCAGAGACGGTGGTGATGCGGATCTCTGCTTGGTCGTTGTCCGCTTGCTTGCAGAGGTTGTCGGTAAACCATGATTTCGCCCAGGGCCTGCAGTCCTTTGTGGTCCAGTGCCAGTTTCCGGGGTTGTGCAGGACCATTTCTTGGATGGAGGATGGATGGGAAGAGCAATGCCTATGGAGTGGGTAGATGGTGGGTCGTGTCTGGTTGTCTGTGTCGCGTCCTGCGAAATTTCTGGAAGGAGAAAGAAGCAGCACGGGAGAGGACTGCATGGCCTGGGCTGCAGAAGGGAGACATGGCAGAGGAGAGACTGGTAGGAGTATGCAGAGTAGCAGGAGGATGAGACGACAGCAGATGTCTAGTACTTCTACTTTGTGACTGCGGGTGTCTGCCTGCGCTCAGGGGTCGACGACTGCAGCGACCTGGACGACGACAGCTTAGCCAGGTAGAGACACAAGAGAGACCTGCTCATGCCCTGCTAGACACCTACACAGCCCAGAGCATGGTCACAACAAAGCTCTCCTACCAAAACCGCAAGATCGAAGGCGAAAAACTAGCACAAGTCATCAAAAAGGACCTCCTCAAGCGACACCGTCCAAGACAACAAACTGCCAAAGATGCCTCCCTCGACCTCATCATGACAGGCAAATCACTCGGTGCGTATCTTGATCTCGTGTGTGAGGGATTACTCGCCTCCATCCACAATGGCGCCGTTCGACTCGGTGAATTGGAACTCGCAGACAATGGCGTACCCACAACAAGTCTATTCAGCTTGGCGCTCGTCGTGCGTGCCTCTGCGCATGATTTGCATCACCTGAACCTTTCGCATAATCAGCTGATTGTTGAAACAGAGCAAGACTTGTGCGCCTGGCGAGCATTTGTCGCTGCGCTTGCAACGTGTAGTGCACTACAGTCGATCGATTTGTCAGACAACCCACTGGGTGACGAGGCAATTGAGGTATTGGCGCGGTACTATTGCAGACAATCGAATGCGGAGATGACTGTTGCTAGTCTTGCGATTGCGACATCGCCTATGAGGACGCAGCAAGTAGACGACAGGCAACATGATTCTTCAGACCCCGAAAGACACAGAAGCGTCTCTCATGCAGGATCTCACGAGATAACAAGTTTCCGTGGTGTTCGTGGATTTGCACGACTCAGACTGGATCGCACAGAGCAAACAGACGCAGGTGCACTCTTCCTCTCGTTTGTGGTGGAACATACACCCATTTCGCAACTCATCACGTATGCAGACAACGAGTACTCCAATGCCGGTTTACGACTTCTTGAAGCAGCAGAAAGTGTTAGACTACTGAGTACCAGTCCATCGGCAACAACAGATACAAATTTTGTGGATGATCTGGCGAGTAAGTCACCAATCATCGGATTGCAGGGTGTCAAGCTGAGTGTGCCCAACACACCCAAAAGATCCCCCGTTCGTCGTCGGTCCTCCATTGATAACGAGCCTGTGAGTCCTGCTCGCTGTCTTTCCCATAAGATAGACGATGCAGAACATGCCGTCGAGGTACTCGAGCGTTTTCGTGTCAAAATTCAGGGGAGTGTGCTCAAAAGTCACACAGAAGACACTCTACCAGTCAACTTGTGGCGTTCTGCATTATATACGCTTCGATTGGCAAGACTATTGATGCACGGTCGTTCAAGCACCGGCAACGCTGCTCGCCTTCGATTGGGTATACATCTTTGGCAGCGGATCTTGCTACCCCTGACAGACCCATGTGCTGCATTATCTCATGAGCAGCGGCGGAAGGTGTTTGAGTATGCGACGAGCGAGCAAGCTATGAGTGCATGTTACAATGTGAATGAAAAGCTACCGCACGTCAAAGTCTGGCACACGCTTGAAATGCTTGACTGCTTGGCCTATGAGTATGCTGCTTAACAAGATACTGGAGCACATGCAGGCGCACCATGGCATGGTTTTACCATAGCATGCATTCTCTAGTAGCAACCTTTTGCATGTTCCTGAATTTCCTCCTCGCCCATCTGATCGATCTCCCACTGAACTTTCGATCGGCAGCAGTTCCTCCTCATCCGGCGAACACTGGCCGACCGCTGTCTCAAGCAAAAGAGCATACGCTTGAGACTCCTCAGACATGATACATCTGAAGCTGTTTGGAGTTTGACAAGCACATGACTGTTCGACGGGACGACAAGTGCAAGGATTTAATGTCTTGCCGCCATGAACAATCAACGCTTTTCAGGACATGCCATGCTACTGCTGCTAGACCACCGTGGCTTGTAACGTAACAGCGATCTGAACGACCAGCATGATGACGCGTTGCTGGAAAAGTCCCAATGTGGTTACGGCTACGAAAATGCGCAACCGCTATACGGACTCATACGAAAGTCCTCCTCTAGCACGAGCTATCAAGTGTTGCCCTTGTTTAGGATTCTCGGCGAATTGACGACAAGGTGTTAAGAGCGGAAGGCCCGCTTTGATCAAAGGCACTATCTGGAGAATGGAAGCCTGTTACGAAGCATTATTTTGTTGAAGCAGTCTTGTCTTTCCAGAATGGCGACGCTACGGCCTCTGCTTGGCATTTGAGCGGGAAGAAAGGTATCTGGCAGATATCGGCCCCCCAGAGGTAAGCGATATCTACGGCGACGTGCTATTGACTCGTGGCGAAGACACTTTCTGATGGACTTTCTGATTACCCGCTCTACTAGACAATCACTGGCACGACTTCCAAAGGTATAAGCCACTTTGCTGTGGCGATGGTACTATGTATTGAAAGACACCCGCCTGCTCCGTTCATATGCATGTCAAAACGTGCTGCTAAGACCGTCCTCCCGTACAAAATCTAGGTGTCGTGTCAAAACTAGGTTCTTTCTTCATTGTCTCAAACTCTTCTGGTTCACAGTCATAGACTCATAGCCATGCAACGGGACCCGTCCTTTCCCCAGATTTGAATCGGACCCGCCGTGCATGGTGCAACGGGCCGAGACCAGGCTGGCCGCCATGGAGCCGCCCGACCAGGATGGCGGGCCCATCTGAAGCGCTCGATCCGGGCGCCACGCAATGTCTCAGAGTATGTGAAGACCAGGCCCTTGTGTCAGGCTCGTGCTGCCTGCAAGTACCAAGAGTTCAAGACAGCATCAGGGTCACGCCAATTCAGTCTCCCCACTCAGCAAGGTTACTAGGTTAGCAGGCTTGCGCTTGTCCAGAATTGGTTGAGAGTCAGGCGCTCACTCATCCTTACCACAGATGAATAAAGTTTCAGGAGACACCAGCATGGTCACCCACACACCCACCATACACTGCAGTAGGGACGGCCTGGGCGGTTCAGCGAGCTGTCTGCATACTCTGTTTGCCACATGGCCGTTGTTCACGGGCCGGAAATCTGCTAGGATACGCGATGTGCGACTATGCCATGCTCTGTTCTCTTTGCCGTGTCAGAGGCGCTTGCTGTACGAGCGCATGCCTGCTAAGGTGCGATACTGCCAGAAGCTGATGATGCCGAGCCCGTGAAGGACAAGACGATGATACGATGATGCGAAGGCACGGTCGATGCTGCTGTGACTATTGAGATGATGCGATCATACTAAGCGAAGGAATCACAAGGTCACACAAAAGTATACTTTGGCTCTGTGAGTAAGTGAGATTGCTGTGGAGCTGAGCTATGCTATGCGCTTCGTATGCTAGCATGTTCTCGTATATCGATAGAGGCAGGTGTGCGTGATGGGGTAGATATCTTGCAAGCTGTCTCGCAAAGTGTTTGATCAGCAATGCCGTGTGTAGGTAGTCAAGGGTTGCTGCCACACATGGAGTCAGTCAGTCAGCAGTCAGTCAGCAGCAGCAGCGGTCAGCAGTCAGTCAGTCAGTCAGTCAGCAGGAGTGGTAGTGAGAGAGAGTCTGAATGAATGCTGGTTCAAGTTGACTCAGACTGCGAGATGCCACGAGGCAGCAACGCCCAATGACATCCAACAGCCAGCACCTCCAGCAACTCGTGGCCTGCGACTCTCATGGCAGTGACCCCTCTTTCTGACTGTGCACTGTACTCTGAGCACTGAGCACTCTATGCGCACAGTGTACGAACATCCGATCTGCCTGCGCTGGCTGTACGGGGCAACGGCAACGGCCCACCTGCCCGGCCCTCAAGACAAGCCAGCGTGGCCATTCGACATCCTCGCCCCAGCAGAAGCACATTGATTGGAAGGGAGCGAACGGGTCATCTTCGTTTGTCGGTGACGATAGGATCTGTCCCGCTGCAAGAAGGGGGGTTTACATGTCTCTGAACCACACTCTCTCTCTTCCTGCCCGTGTTACCCTCGTCGCAACACGCTGTCACTGATCGGCTGCTGACGAACGAGGCGGCATTCTGCCTCGCACTCATAAGGCAAGCGCATCCGCTGTACTTGATCAGGTTGCTCTCACTGCTCAACGTCAAACGTCGACATCGGTTATCGCCATTCTTGTACATATCAAACTAGCGACCCATCCCAGCCCATCCACCATGCAAGTCGACGATTCAAAGGAGGTAGACTACTTTGCGCTCGACGCAGCCGCCTTCCTCAACTCTCCATCGATGCAAGCAGCCATTGATATGCTCTCTGCTCATTTCGCCGCCATCTCAGATGAAGACACGGCATCGACCGCTTCCACCTCATCCCCTTCGCGCTCCGTCTTTTCAACGTCGCATGCACCAGATGTACCACTCAAGTCAGGTCGTCGTGCTCGTTTCCGCAGTAGTGTCGCATCAGGCGCTTACTCGACGTCCAGTCGCTCAAGCTACTACCCCTCAGACGAAGAAACTAGCCCTGAAAAGCTATTCAAGCCCAGCTACACCTACCAAACAACGTCTGTCTTTCAAGAAGACTTACCAGATGCGACCTCTCGCGGTCGCTCTACCATCCCTCGATCGTTGCCGGAAACACCACGCTTGTTTAGCACCACGCACCGTCGTCAAACAAGCAACGCAACCTCCTCCCTCGCTCTCTCTCACTCAACACGTTCATCTGTTGATTATACTGAGAATTCGGGTAAACGTCCTGCAACCGTTGCTCATCGTGCCGCTGCAGAAGCATACAAGCAATCTCGACAGGAACGTAAAGTGCAGCGTATGCAGATGCATAAAGGACTGCAGGTGAGTTGGCTCTAGCAACCAGGTCCTGCGACGGCACGGTTTTGAAGTGAGTTTGCAGTGGTGCAGGGGTTGTTGGCATCGATTGCAAAGACTCAAAATCGTGCTTTGGAGGCATTGGAGGAGGCGAAGCACAAGGAGGGTGTGGAGGAGATTGGAGACGAGGAAACGAATCGGATTAGGACGTGGTTAGGGAAGGGAAAGGAAAAGGAAGGAACAAGTTTGACATTGCAGGAGGAAGTACCCGAGCCTGCTGTGCTGGTTGGGGAAGCACAGTTTCTGCAAGAAGAGGTGAACGTCCACAGTGTTGCGGCGCATGACGCGGTACTCAAAGTCAAGTCTATGGTGCGCCGTCATCGTCGTTTGCGTGCACGACACATCAAGCAGCAATTAGGTGAGCCCCTCAAGCGTGGTCGACATCCATTTCAAGCACACAGAGGGCGTACCAGCGTCAAAGCATCAAATCGGCGCACCTCCTACGACAAAGGTGACGTTTCGGCGTTATTACCCATCGAGGAGGTCACAGAAGACGGCATGTCCATCCTCAGCACGAACGACTCGTCGGATGCCTCTGGAACAACGCTCATGTCATCGCGCAGTAGCAGCAATGCCTCTCTACAATCTACAGAGTCGAGTCCAGTCACACTTGCATCATTGCATGCAGCGACGATCGAGCAAGCAACGCGGATCCAGGTATTGTCTAATCGTGCTCGGCAAGTGATGGGTATTGTGGATGGTGCGTCTGGACGTGTGACATTGACGAGACGTGCGAGCGTATCGAATTTGAAGGACTTGTTGCCGAGATTGGCAGACACGTCTGATCGTGCTGCTGTGCGGTCTGTTGAGTCATCGAGTTCTCTTGACGGCGCATCGACAAACGAGTCGAGTGTTGAGAGTGATGCGTCCAGTACACGTCTGCCGCCGAATCTGACTGCCGCGCAAGCACTTCTTCGCCAAACGCCTCTACCAACACATGAGTCGTTTGATGATGATGCGATTCTTCGCAGGGCTGCGCGCAAGTATTCCGCCATCGAGCTCCTCTTTGCTCGTCACCCGAAGCGCCCTGTTCAGGAAGCGACCAAACGCGACATCATCCTGCGGCGAGCCTCAATCAAGCCTGCCAAGCAACAACCTGCCATGTCGGAAGAAACACGTATGGTGAAACATGCTGCCTTGTTGATGGGTCATTCGCCGCTACTGCCATACAGCAGTCGCTTCATGCATGCAACGCAGATCTGTGATCCACTCGAGGACGACGAGTCTGCTATATTCCAACGCTGGTTTCAGCTGGCGCAACTGCTTTCCCTCTGACAATCAATGATGAAGGTCCTTCCTTCTACAAACCCAAATCAGCCATGTCCAAGGCCAATACGAAAGAGATCTTTTCAAGTGTTTATTTTATTACGAACAGGTCTTATCAAGGCTTCGTTCATGTATGTTGTTCATCTCGTATTCAGTAATCATGTAAGTAGGAACGAGATTGTTTATAAGATTATTTCCTGTGACTAAAGCGGGTTGTAAGGGTCAACTAGCGACGAGCGTCGTAGCCCGTTTTCATGGGTAGGTATGATAGAGAACGAGACTATTCCAAGTAGGTTAGAGCGCACATTGACCGTATATAGACTAAAGCCTTGCCGTGCAACAACGGAGCGCGATTTCGATCATTTGGTTCCTGGCCATCTGAAGGCAGGAAGGCCATTCAGCGGTCGGTAAGAGAAGAAGATAGTTTAATCTACAGTGTTTACCAAGAAGCCTTACCGAGTAGACAGCTTTAAGAACGACCAATCTCGACTCTTCAGAATCATCAAGACCTTCCGCCGTTTTGGGTCGATTTACTGCTGGGCACCACGAGAGGCACCAGAGGTTTCCTCAGTGAAATCATCCTCATCCTTCTCTACATAAGAGACATCCTTGCTAGCATCACGCTTGCCCACCTCCGACTCATCGCTGATGATGTTGCTCTCATCAATAGCATCCTTGTCATCTTGCTCCAACTGCGCTTCATCAGGCTTGGCGACATCAGACGTATCGTCGAGAGAGTTGACTACCTCGTCATCTTGAACAACGGGGATGGGGGCATCGGCGCCGGCCTGTGGGTCTGAGGCGGTTGTACGGCCTTGTGTAACGGGTTCAGCTTGTGCAGACATGATTTTTTGTTCTGTAGATATAGTTTGATCGGATAGAATAGTGCTAGCAGACGGCCCTTCTTATGCTTAGCTGTCTGTTTCTTACATCATGCTCACAGTGTTGACATCACGACTACTGCTCGCGAGTGTAGTTGTCTACGTAGGAATCACTGCACGTAATTGACAAGCGCCACCAGATCCGATCTCGGCTACGTAATTCCTTATGTCAGCAACGGGGTAGCGTAGATGATAAGAGGACAAGCAGATGAATGTACAGTAGCCATCTGCGCTACAATGCTACGCTATGCTCCATACAATCTAGTCTTATAGCAGCATCGCCCCAGACTCGTATGAGTGATTCTCCTGCTACATCCTCGCGTCAGCAAATTTGTTAAAGGGGCAAGATGGAGTGATGCCTTACATCATGTACTCGAGCGCGCCATGCATCAACAGGACCAAAATGAGACTCAACGGCATCTTCCAGATCAAATAAAATAGGTGCAGTTCTTGGAACAGTACCCGTGAAGCTCTGAAAAGCAGAAGAGGATCGTCTTGATTCCATGCTCTCCTTGGCAACTTTCTCCTCATAGTTGCGAATAGCAGACGTCACATGCTTACCGTTCGGTGTATGGGATTGTCTCAAGTCGCGCGAGAATTGCCGTTGCGAGGCAGTCTTGGGTGTCGGTCGACCAGGTGTCCGCGACCATGTCTTTTGCGCAGACCGTGTTGCTTTGCGTGCACTGTTGAGGAGTTCCCCAAAAACCCGACGGTCGGGTGAGGCGTGCTGCGTGGGTCTTGCTGGCGTTTGTTTCGGTGACTTGAACTTTGGTGTAGCTTGCTTGGACTTGTGCGACTTGGGTGTCGTTGACTTTGGCGAGGGTGGTGTCGCGACCGGCATGGCAGGCGCTGCTGTAGCCATGGGTATAGGCATCTGTTCTTCCTCGCTCGAATCTGACCAGTTGTTCAGCACTTGATTCGTTTCTTGACTGGCAGTTCGGTCTCGCCGGTGCTTGAGCATATCCTGCAGATCCCACGAATGCGGTCTCTTGGCTGTACCATCCTTGGGAAACCCAAATTCCGAACCAGAGTCGCTGTCGGGCTTTCTGGATTGCTTGGAAGGGTGTTGCACCGGCACGGCAGACTCGTCTGTTGGATCAAGCACACTCAATTTGCTCACTGTTGAAGCTGCATCCTGCATACCACGCAATTTGTCTGTATATCGTTGTGCTAGCCGGTCAGAATCGGTAAAGGCAACGATGGGTGAGCGTGTCTGACGCACTGTAGCAGGGGCGTGACTGGGAACTTGACTGGTAGCAGCAGAGCTGCGCCTTGAAGCTGCTCGAAAGCCAAACTGCGTACTGCCACTGGCTGTGCGAGCAGGACGGACATAGGATGATGCGGAGATGTGTAGGTCTGTATACACGGGCGATGCTTGAGCTTGTCCAGCAAACGATCCTTCTTGACTCATTGACGGTGGACGAGTCGATGCAGGGTGCGTAGGAGCATCTACATGCTCTTTGAATTGCGAGAAGACACTCTCCGTCCTGTGCGACGGTGGTGCAGAGGGTACAGGATCAACAGCTGATGCAGGTGGCGCGTAGAAGTGCGCATCTGTCACTTTACCAGAGCGAGCATGGTTCATATTGAAGAAGACGGGCGTATCACGCTTGCGCGTCAGTGTCCGTCTGAGAGACCCTACAAAGCGCTGTGCAAGTGTTGGCGGACGCTGCCTAGTACTCGTTAGCACAAGGACTCGTTGGAGATGATCTGAGAGCATCTCCTTACCTGACACGCTGCGACTGGAAGCCAGTAAACTGTGTACCACCCCTGAGGAATGAGTCTCGCTGTGCATCGCGCTCACGCATGCCAGTCTTGACTGGATAGTGAATCGTGCCGTCTGCGTAGGCAAAGCTGCGATCATTGCTTGCTGCGTGAGCTGCACGGAGCGTATCTGGATGAGGGAGGTAGTCTTGCTGCGCAGTAGGCGGCAGTGGTGCGTCTGCACTTGCGCCCATGGCGAGTCGTGCTGCGCGGACGATGTTGATGCCTGGCTGGGCATTGAGATGCTGGGACATGATAGCAATACAAGGAAGGAGCTTTTGAGACAATGGAGGGATGAGCTGATGCGAGAGGACAAGGATGAGAGCAGCAGCAGCAGTTGAGGGTCGAAGTGGAGGTAAAAATCAGAAGATTGCTAGGGAAATGCCAGAGACCACCTCATTAGATAGATACCTTGGGTAGCAAATAGCTAGTCCTTGATGCCAAACAGCCGACGCAGCTTCTGGAAGCGCTTCACCTTGCCCGTCCGTTTAGAGACGCTCACCGTGCTGTCCATTCGGTTCATAGTCGGCCGCGAAAAGACGGCACTGCTCTTTCGCGCACCAGCAGCGGCGCTCGTCTCTGCATTCAAGACACGTTCCGGAGAACGCAATGTGCCAGCCTGCAAGGCACTCGTCTCCTTCTTGGTTCGGGGTGTACGCGGTGTATCCGAGTCACTCGAGTAGCGTCGCATTGGCGGCAAGCTAGGCACAGGTGGTACATCTCCATCAGCGTCTGCAGCAGCGGCAGCACGAGCCTTCTTGGCGCTGCCAAAGCCGAATGACATGCGTCGGAATCGGCTCGTCTTGGGCGTTGCAGGCTCAGACATGGCATCTATGTGCGTCGTACCCGTTGGCACAATACTCATGGACGACCTGCTCGTTGCAATCATTGGTCGGGCAGGCTTTGCGAATGCTCGATCATCTGATGCAGATCGTCGATGGCCAGACTGTCCATCCAGCAACGACTCGGGTCTAAGACTTGTCCTGAAGGTTCGCTCCTGCATGGATGAGATGGAGTCACGACGTTGTAACTTGTTCGTCGATCGCTTCCGTTCAAAGCTGCTTCGCTTCTTGGGCTCGCGTGCATCTTCATGAATATTGTCACCAGCGAGTGATGCGACATCGGCATTCGCATCTTTATGCAACAAACGCTGAACATTGCGTTGTGCAACTTCCATAACAGCGATATGCTGCGATACAGCCTCACTGTGAATACTGCCAGCCACAGAACCCGCCACACTCCCACGCCTCATCAACTGCCCACGCGAAGGTCCTTGCTGCTGACTTCGTAGACTCGTCATGGACATGCGTCGAGACAAGCCATTAGGTTGTTGTTCGACAACTGCTTGACGCGACGGTTCTTGCATCGATTGTCGTCGTTCAGCACGATCCGTCGTACGCAGCGATGTCATCCGACGTGGACCGTCAGCTGCTGCTGGTTTGCCATGTTGACTGCTGCCTCGCTCGCTTCTAGCCATACTGCGAACAGAACCATTCCCGTCACCGCGCAAGGAGGATCGCATACCCATACCACCGCCATTGATGCGTTTTGCACGACGACGCTGAGCAAAGGAGTCATCAGACCCTGAATCCACATCGAGGTGAGAATTGGCTTCATCATTGAATCGCACGGATCCATTTTGCGAGGGTGTTTTGCGCATAGCGGATTTAATGGGTGTATGCGTTCCTGCAGCCGACCCTGCCGCTGAGCCAGGCCCTGTTGTGCGCGTTGCTGCCGTCACTGCTGCTAGATTTTGTTGCGTCAACTTGAGCGTGGGTGTTGCTGCCGTGTGTGCAGCTACACCATTTCGCGGAAGGCCTTTTGATGCCGGTGTCTGTTTCGCAGGGCTGGCTTTGAAGTCTTCGTCAGCATCACTGTAGACGCTACCATGTGAGTGAATTGTGCTCAAATCATCCTCTTCCTTTGCCGTTGTCAAACTAGCCACAGCCACAGTGCTGGCACCTAAACCGATCGGTGCAGGTTTATTGAGGGGTGGTGCCATGAGACCGGCTTGTGAGCCAAGTGAACTACTCGACAATCGACGCACAAGCTGGACGGCAGGTGCCCCACCTCGACCAGGTCCAAGGGTCGTTGCAGGTGATGGCTTCATAGCACTTCGCTTGACACCACCAGCAGGCGATGGGTCTCTTGACAACCGCCTATCTTCCTGCTCATCGACATCTGAGAAACTCACGCGCGAACTACGTTTCTTTTGTTGAAGCGCGTCAGCAGAGTTGTTTGGAAGATCAGAGGAATCAGAGACAATCGACGACGCGATACTTTCTGCACGTCTACCACGTGTCGTTGCAAGAGGCGGAGCGAGATGGGCGTTGCTTGTTGCACCGGCTGTTCGCATTGCACCAGCGGAGGTCTGTCCAGTATAGGTATACGATTTGTTGTAATCTTCATTGATACGTTCCAAATCACTCTGAAAGGAACGAATCGAAGCACTGGAGGACATACCGCCTTGTCGACGTTGTTGAACTTGCGGCGGCTTTGAGCGTGCACCAGCAACGCTACCAGGTCTACCAAACGTTGCAGGAGAAGATGTTACAGGTGAAGACGATGCAGCTTGCTGTTGTTGCTGCATCAGCCGTTTTGAACCCGTCAGTCGCACAGCGTTGTACTGACCGGGTCGAGAGCCAGCGCCTGTGCCACCTGTTGCGTTTGATCGGATTGAGGCATTGCTGTAGCTGCGCGTCAAGCCTGGTGTGCCATTCGTCGAGGACTCTGAAGCGCGACGTCTAGTATGGTTAGCTTCTTTTCTAGAAAGATAGGGCCCGACTTACTGTGATGCTGCGAGTGCTGCTGCAGCGGCGGCCTAGGGATGTTTGTTAGTCTCCTTGATTGTCCTTTGAGTATGGTAGGGGAAGTGCATACGGCAGCTGAAGCCGACGCGTTGCTTTGAGCTTGAGAGGAAACAGAGCGAGTACTGTTTGATCTGCCAAGCTGGCTGGATCGACTGTTGGACCGTCTCATGATGTCTGTTGCTTATGTATGTTTGAATGTCTTGTGTAACAAAGCGTGTATTTCTTGTTTTGGTGGTACAAAGAGTATGAGGCCTGGGCCGTCGAGAGAGAAAAAGAGAGTCCTTGGTGTGTCTCTTCCTCTGAGGCCGAGTGAAGGGGCGATATGAGAAGAAAGGCAGGTGGACTGGGTCGATGCTTGTTGTTGTGCCTTGGATAAATTTCGCTGCTGTCACTTCAGGGCGGCGGATCCAAGCAAGGGAGCAGCAAGAGCCAAGAGGGCCTGGGCACAACCACTGACAGCACTCATATGACGACATGTGCACGGTGAGTCAGTAGTCCCTAGAAGCGGGAATCGCATACTACTTGACTTGATTCTATAGATATCGCAGAGACATCAAACATAAGCTGAGCTAGCTAAATTTACTTCATCTTGCTGGCAATAATGTCCTTGAGAGTGGCGGCGTCCTTGGCAAAGGCGGCAATACCCGTCGACAGCTTCTCAACAGCCATAGGGTTGTTGTTGAAGTCAAACCTGAACTTGGACTCGTCGTTGATGTACGACAACTTCTCCTGCTTCTCAGAGATCTTGTTGCCATCCAACTTGCGCTCAAGCTTCTCATTCGAGTTGGCGAGCTCCTCGAGCAAGCTGGGCGAAATGGTCAGGTAGTCACATCCAGCCAACTCGGTAATCTCACCAACATTGCGGAAGGAAGCACCCATCACGACAGTCTTGTAGCCGTGCTGCTTGTAGTAGTTGAAGATGCGTGTCACCGACTTGACACCGGGGTCTTCGTGAGGTGCAAATGTCTTGCCCTCCTTGGCCTTGTAGTAATCCATGATACGACCCACAAAAGGTGAGATGAGGGTGATGTTGGCCTCGGCACAGGCAATGGCTTGCTCAATGGAGAACAAGAGGGTCAGGTTGCAGTGAATGCCTTCCTTCTCGAGCTGCTCGGCAGCCTTGATACCTTCCCAAGTAGAGGCAATCTTAATCAACACTCGGTCCTTGTCAATACCTTGCTCCTTGTACAGAGCAATGATATGACGAGCCTTCTCGAGTGTAGCCTCGGTACTGAAGGAGAATCGAGCATCCACCTCCGTTGAGACACGGCCGGGCACAATCTTGAGGATTTCCTTGCCAAACTCAACAAGCAGTGCATCCAAGGCAGCGTCAATCTTCTCATCCTCGGAAGAGCCGTGCTGCTTGCCGTATGCAATAGCATCGTCAATCAGCTTGCCATAGGATTCTTTCTTTGCAGCAGCCAAGATAAGGGATGGGTTGGTGGTGGCGTCTTGGGGCTTGTACTTGGCGATAGTCTCGAAGTCACCGGAGTCGGCGACACAGGTTGTGAACTGTTTGAGCTGGTCGAGTTGCGAAGACATGATGTGGGTATGGATGACTGAACTGTTGGGCCAGTGTCGAATAGTCCTCCTTTCGCCTTGAGACTCGCCCGCGGGTTGAGATGCACGTGCCATGACCGCAGCGTGGGATCACGAGATGGACAAGGGGGGCGAGGCATGATATCTCATATATATGGCGATACTTCCTGTAATGCACGAGACACAAGCTTGAAGAGCAGCCTATCTGCGAATAGGAGACACACTGTTGGGTGAGCTCTGCTTCTCCAAGTGGTGAGGCGCCTGATCAGCTCGAGTACGAGTCTTGACCACAAAGTTGGCAATGGTATAAGCCAGCACCACCACGCCCATCACCACATACCAAGCAATCTGGGAAGCCTTGCCCAGTCCAACCATCGGCATCCTGAAGGCCAAACCAACATTCACCATCGAAGCAACAATAATAGCACGTCCCATGAAGCGATGGCCCATACCGGTTGCTGCACTGCCTTTACCCTTCTTGTACATCATATGGTGCAATGCACCGCCTGCAGCCTGCAAGAAGATCAGTGCAAAGATGACCACACCCACAGTCTGGTGCGCATACATAAAGTGCATATCATCCGACGCGTTCACACCAAGTGCAAGACCAGCAATAGCCAACACAATACCAAAGAGCTGGATACTGTAATGAAGTCGCACAGCGCGTGCAATCAATGCTGGGAAGAACCGCACAACAATGGCACCCAGTCCAAAGACGCCAATCAGACCCACCGTCATCAAAACAGCATGAGCAAGCCATTTCTTGCGGTACGCATCCATCTCGGCTTGTTCACTCGCTGCACTGCTTGAACCGCTGCTTGTGGTGCCAGCAACGGGATTGCCATTCACAGACGAAGACGTAGCAGCGGGCACAGCACCAGAAACACTAGAGCTGCCAGCTGCCGTGCCAGTTTGTGCAAGCGCAACGCCAGGAATGCCACCAGCGCCTGTTGCTTTTGTCAAGTCAAAGTTGAAGTGGCCGCGATTGCTTGATGCGTGCTGCTGAATAGTGCTGCTTGCAGACACAGGCTGCGAGGGTTGCTGATTCGAAAAGGCATAAATCATGGGGGCCGAGGTGGAGGTGACTGCAAGGGATCCGGTGCTCCATGTACGACAACCGGTACACTTGAAGTTCGCAGTGAAGCCGGTTGAATCTGCTGTCGTGCCCGTCAACATCTCTGTTGTAATGGCCGTTGCTGTATAGGGCCTTGGCTGGACTTGTCCTGAGGCAGTGCGCACAGAGAGCGTCACGTTGCCATTGTTGGGCATGAGAACGAAGAACAAGCTGCCGCCCATGTTACTACCGAATGCCATGGCACCATAACCGAGTGTGGAGGGCCCAGTGACGGAGAAGTACAAGTCGTCCGAGTCGGAGGGGACATTGATATTGAAACACAAGTTGGGGGTTACGGTTGTGATGCAGTGTTGTGCAGAGGGCGCGACAGTCTGAGCGACGACGGCCTTGGCTGCGAGAAGCGCACCTGCGATCAAAGCAGTAGCGAACATGATGATAGCTGAGTGCAAAAGGAAGTGGAGGAGGAGCGAAGGTGCGGAGGAGCTTATGTTATGGAAAACAAAGGGATGATGCGCTGACTGCGCACACCAGAGGCAGAGGGTCAATCAGCGCCGGTTGCGACTGCGACACTATCGTCTTGCTTCACAAGCTGGCCGCGTTGCTTTGGGTGGCAGCGCACGTTTTGGGTCGGTCGAGGCTCAGCGGTCGGTGCATGGCCAATCAGGGAGTTTGCTTAGTTGCCAAGCCGAGGACTCGAATTTCCGTGACATCTGCAGCGATTCTGCACATTTCTTCAGCGATTCTGCACGTCACGCTTGTCAACTTGTCAAGGCTGTCAGATGGCACATAGAACTGTCTCCCATCTATTTTGCATCCTACGATATGCGCTATGCTCACGATCCTTGATCATCGACAGATGCATGAGCTGGACCATGCCATGCCTCAGAGACAAGCGCAACTAAAGCAACCCATGCCAAGACTCAAGCATGCCCCACCTGCGCTGATGCGACACAGCCGCCAGGGCTCAGGGGGTGCTTCGACCGTGCGTGCAGCGTGCAGTGCTCACTAATACATCCGAGTCACTGATCATGATACGACACAATCTGCTTTAAGCTTCACTTGACGCACTGCACATCGGAAGCATCCTTCCCGCGTCGGCGATAGCACGAAGGATTCCGCTTTGCAGGCTCGAGTGCATCTTTGAGACATTGTCAATGTCAAATGCTTTGCCTATTCGCTTTCTCAGATCAGCATCACGACTTATCATTGAACGAGTGAATCTTGATTTCGCTATGCTATATTTTAGTCTCGTACTGCAATGGAGCGCTACCGCTCCTGGCGACGAACGACCTCTTGGCCAACGGCGACATGGGCGAGCGTTGCGCATACAACGACTCAGACGTACTTGAACCAACTGCAGAAGACTGCGTATACATGGCGCTCGAGCCACTCGACATGCTTGCACTGCGTTTCTCAATCTCAATGAAGGAAGAAGAGGCAAGGCATAACGGTGTAGGTCTTGGTCGTCTTTTGCTAGGCTTCAATGGTGATGGCGATCTTGTAATCACTGTGCTCGACAAAGGTCCTCCAAGAGCCGTGTTGTTCCACTGGATGGGCTCAGCCTGAAGCCATGCACTGAGTGGTACATCAGTCTCTGGTGTCTTGACTTCCTCCAATGCAGGCGGACTGCTCAATGAGCTCACCCAATCAGGCTGACTCGTCGCGCTCAAATGACGAGGCATGGGCTCTCGTCTCGGTGAGCGACCGGTGCGCGTTGCAGGCGGTGAGGGAGGAGGTCTGTCTGGTGGTGAAAACTGAGATGCACGACCACCAAAGATGTGTTGATGCGCACGCTTGTATTCATCCGGACGTTCAGGGTTGTATCGAGGAATGAAGAGCATCGCTGCAGCACCAATGCTGTTACGACGTGTCTCGCCAAAATTGAGGGTTGATGGGGATGCCGGGAATTCTTGAAAGATGCCGCGTGTAGGACTCGCAGAAAGATCTGATCCAGAGGTGATGCAGCGTCGCATGGATGCAGATGCCGGCGACAGTCCTGCCGTTGGTGACGCATCTTCGAGAGGTTGGATGTCGCCACCCTGAACTTCAAACATCAAGTCACCAGGACTGTTTTGTCGAGAACGAATGAAACCATAGATAGAGTTTGCCCTTGTGAGTGAACCTCTACGCATCAAGTGGCTCATCTGTGATGAATGATAGAATGAAAAGGCGCCCATGATGAAGTGCGAAGCAGGGTGCTTTATTGATAATCAGGCACAAGGAGCGGGACTATCTCCAGAGCTCGTAGCGGAGTGCAGCGGTTGAATAGCCCGCCTTCGTATACGTTTTATGCTACGCAATCACCCGATGTTTGGAAAGCAAAGAATGCTGCGGACCCTCTGATGAAGTACCAGGTGCCAGCACACAGGTAGCGAAAATAGCTGAAGCGCTTGGACCTCGACCCGCAACAAGCAAGGTCCGGGGAGGTCAGTGCTTTTTGTATCGCAACAGGAATAGGACAGGTGGTGGAACTGACTCCATAAAAGGCGAGCGCGGATTGCCGATATACGATTGCCCAGGAAGGCTTCCCAGGTTGGTCGTTGCCGCTCTGTGCAAATGGTGAGCCCGTTCCTGAATTGGCCTGTTTTGTCTCGGAAAATGAATTCCCGCGCAAAGACGTCACGACTCACCAGCCCCCTTAACTTCTTGTGCGTTTTGGGCAGCACCTCCCAACTGACAGCTGCTGTCTGACCGCCCGTGACCTATAGCTGTCTATTAGCTGAGACATACGACTGTCGAAAGGTATGTAAGTTGCGGAGCTGTCATGTCATTGCCAGCGGAAGCTACTTCTCGACGGCGACATTGAGACATGAGAAGATGAACTTGCATCGCTTGCCACGAGGAGCGGACCGATATGAAAGTTAAACTCAGTCTCACTAGTGATGTGACTTCGACATCTACAGAGATCTGCTGTTGCTCAGCAAGCGTGCCAAGGATATGGATACTGTCAGTGCGTGTCAGATCACGCCCGAAGCTCATAATTTCGTAAGTACCATATCCTTACTTTTAAGAGGTGCACTGGCATGGCAATTGCGAATGCCATCGGAAAGGCTTGAGTCGCTTCATGGTCGTGGTGCACGGTCAGCATAACGAGCCAAGTGGTCCACCCGAGCGCAAGGTTACGAGATGCAGCTCGATACCTCGGTATTTGACTACTCCCGTTCGCTACGCAACTCTCCGAGATCGAGCTCGCGACCCTCTCGTGACTCGTCTATCGGCGAGGATATAGCAGCTAGCATTCGCACACGATGCCATCTTGCATCGTCCCGTTCCGCGAAGGCGGAGCTCGGGTTCGGTGACTATGCATCGCTTCGTCATAGTTTGCCGCGAATCCTCTGGCATATTCAGCTCGCGTATGTCTCATTAAGAATCTCGTCCGCCAAGCTGTATATGTCGAATTACTGATGACTCAGTGATGAGGTCAAGCCGTGTTCACTCCATCTTCGCCTAGCACTTCTTGAAACGATCAAGTATTCTCAATCATAAGGGGCCAGCTGGGCTGCAGGGCTGGGATCCATCAGCGGTAGGCGAGAACAAGGCGACACTGGAACCTGTCACGGCGGTAGACTGGTAGGTTTGTCGGTTTATTTGTATGAAGGTTTTGAATTCAGACACGGCAGGCGTTCGACAGCTGTCATTCTGAGACACAGACCCGAGTCAGAAAGTATGTATCACAAACCTTGAAGGAGGAGTACCGAGCAAGCTTAGTAAGCCGACCGGGTCTTGAGAACTGTGTCAGGCTGTCAGCCATAAGCTGAGCTGAAGTATTCGTAGTTCAATGACGTTGCGGTAATGGACAACGGCTTCGATGGAACAGCCGATCGCAGGCGGTCAAAGCTACAGATCATCTCTTCTTGTGCTCATGAGTCCAAGCTCTGTACAAATTTACGAGAAGCGCCCTTAGTGCGACAGATGAGGGATCGCATAAATACTGGTCGGATCTTCTGCAGATGTATCGCGAGTAGTTCGCGACTTTGAGACTGCTTTCGTTTCTTTGGCTGCTCTTTCACAACCAAACTGCTTCGGATAGATTGCCAAAACACAAACACTGCGACTGCATGAGTTTGCGAAGACTGCGAGCTTCTACGTGTTCGTACAGTGACGAACACTATCTGTGAAAGCGTTCAGTATGGCTTGGATCGCGCTTTTGACTATGGTCAGCTGGCTTGAGCTGGTCAACTCTGCGACGACCAGTACACCCGCGTACAAGACGTCCGCGAACTGGTTGCGCGCGTCTGCATTCGTGCAGGGCCTCACAGCCATGGAGAAGGCCAACTTGACGACAGGCGTAGGTCTGGGGTCGCGTTGCACGGGGAACACGGGTGAAATTACAAGACTCAATTTCCCCTCACTCTGTTTCAGTGATGGTCCCGCTGGTGTCGCGACGGGCGACGGAGGTTCTTCCTTCCCAGCAGAAGTTGTATCTGGCTCTACTTGGGATACTGATCTCATCTATCAAGTCAGTTATGCGATGGGCACTGAGTTCCGCGGAAAAGGTATCAATGTCGCTTTTGCCCCTGTTGTGGGAGGACCCCTGGGAAGGTCTCCTTATGCCGGACGGAACTGGTAAGCTCTCACAATGACGCGGAGTATAGCTCACAAAGCAGGGAGGGATATGGCGCGGATCCATACATCAACGGCATCGCGTCTTACTGGGGTGTCAAGGGTATTCAAGACGCAGGCGTCATTGCGACTCCAAAGTAAGGACCTCTGAATTGTTGAGACTACTGACATGGCAGACACTTTGTGGCCTATGAACAAGAGACTTTCCGATATACGGCCATACTGCAAAAGATTGCCGATCTTGCCAGTCTAGGTCTTGCAGGAGGTGGTTCTATGCAATTCAACAAAGACCAGATTGACTCCATCGTGTCGAATCGCACTTTGCGTGAACTTTATCTCTGGCCTTTTGAGGAGGCAATGCGGGCTCAGCCTCTTGCAATGATGTGCTCCTACAATCTCATCAATGGTGAAGACGCCTGTTCAAATGGCCCATTGATCAGCATTGCTAAGGACGAATGGGACTTTAGTGGATTCATCGTCTCTGATTACGGATCGGCTTTCATGGTCGGTTCAACGGCACGACTTGCAAATGCAGGTATGGATATGGACTTGCCGGGCGGCGAAGGCGTCTTTGGTGTTCAGCTGCCCGTCCTTGTGGCTACTGGCGTCATCGCGAAAGACCGCCTCACTGACATGGCCACGCGTGTAGTATACGCATACTTTGAGTCTGGGCAAGACTTCAACTACCCTGGACCAAATTATGTCCTTCGACAGCCCGTGGAATCTCCTCAAAATCAGTTCGTGGACGTACAAAAAGGTCACGGTAATATTGCTCGCAAGGTTGCAGAAGATGGTGCTGTGCTTCTTAAAAACACCAACAATACATCCACGGGTTTGCCATTGCGCAAAGGTTTACGTCTTGGTGTTTTTGGTACGGATGCTGGGCCATCTCCTGTTGGCAATAGATTCCTTTCAGGAATTTACCCTGCAGCCAGCACGAACAATGGAACCTTGTACCTCGGCTATGGCTCTGGCTTTGCTTTGCCACCTTATGTGCTTGATCCACTTGCTGCCATCACTTGGAAAGCACTGGAACATAGATGGCAAGTTGCGCCTGTGCTGCAGAACTATCCGGCCAAGAACAAAGCTAGTTTCGAGTCAGCTGTCAAGTTTGCAGAAACTTGCCTCGTCTTTGTCGCTGCGAATTCTGGGGAATCTGCAGACAGAGAGACTCTCAAGTTTGACAATGATGGTGATGATCTGATCAAGTATGTGGCCGATCATTGTGCTGATACGATTGTCATTGCACATATCGTTGGGCCGACCAACATGGAGGTGGCCTTCAATCACCCAAATGTCACTTCAATTCTCAATGCTGGCCTGCCTGGGCAAGAGTCTGGTCGTGCGCTAGTCAACTTGCTCGAGGGCACTGTCAATCCTTCCGGTAAGCTCGTCTACACCATTCTGCAGAACGACAATGACTACATTCAAGTCAACCGAACTTCTGACCATGAACCCAAGAGCTTCTTTACAGAGAACTTGCTGATCGACTATCGCCTTGCCGATGCCAAGAATCTGCCGGTCAGATTCGAGTTTGGCTATGGCCTGTCCTATACGCAATTTGCCTACTCCGGCATTGCATTGGCGAAAATCAATGGAACTTCGTTCGACACTGCGCGTCGTGATGACTCGTTAATGCGCATTTCTGCAATGGTCACGAACGTTGGGACAGTAGCCGGCGCGGAAGTCTCTCAGCTATATCTGGCATTCCCGGCGAGCGTTGGTGAGCCACCCAAAGTTCTCAGGGGCTTCACCAAAACCTTCCTCGAGCCCGGCGAGGCTGCGAGCGTTGTATTCGATGTGAGAAAGAAAGATATCAGCACTTGGGATGATTCACAGAACCGCTGGAACGTGGCTAGCGGAGAGCTTATGTTTATGGTGGGTGCATCAAGTCGAAATCTGCCATTGAATATTACAACGGTTGTGTAGTGTGGGCGCACCAGTTTACGGTCCATATTTTAGCAGCTCTATCATTTATGCGTATGCGGCAAGGTCTTACAAGTGTTGTCTGTGCGGGTCTGCGTTGTCTCGGGGGAGCGAGGAGGTGGTCGCGCTCAGGGACGGGGAATGAGGAGATGGACACTGGACAGGCGATCAACACGCGCGGCAGCAACAACAAAGGGAGACAGCAGAAAGGCAACAGCGCGGCCAGAGCGCAGCCGACTCACTTGCCACAGACCAACTCTCGTCGACTCGTCCTACAACACACACCTTCTCATTCTCTTTCAGCGACAGCGCATAACCCCAGTCACTGTCGAAAGGCCTCATTTCTTTCTCGTTTTTACTTGTCAATTTTCAAAAGCGTGACGAGACTCCCTGCCCTAGCAGAGTAATACGCCTGCAGTACCTCCTGAACGACTGTCTGAAGTGGGCGACGATTTTCCGTCTGCGCATGTACCCAAAGCAAGTCAACCTAGGCAGCAACAAGCAAGCCTCTTCCGTCTACTCCAGTATGAGACGCCAGCGATCATTTGGCCATATCTTTGGATCACCCTTTTTCGTGGGCACCCTGTCAATCGCCATCATCGGCTGGGTGATTGCGTTTGCATCCAGTATTGCCAGCGATGTCGATAGCGCAAACTTTTCTCATTTCGCGTGGTGGGCCGTGATGTATGAGCTGGCTCTCATCCTTGGCGTTACAGTGTGCGTACTCTACAACACATACGAAAAACACAAAGTCGCACTGGCCGCCTATGCAGCGCTTGGCGTCGCACTCAGCTCATCGACTTGCAATGCGCTCATCTACAGCGATGAAGGTGCAGAGCAAGCAGTGGCCGTCGGGCATATTTTCCTCAGTATCGTCAACCTCATATGGATCGGTTACTTTGGCTCAACACCAGACAGCGTCTCTCGCGGCTGGGTGGATGGCTTTGCCTCTACAAAAGCGCCTGCCGTGCCAGACGGTCCGCGACCACAGAGCTTTGCCATGAATGGTCGGTTTGCCTCACCTTATCCAAAGACACTGCTGGATGCCCCTCCCAGAGGCACACAACAGCTTGCATCGCCTTCGAGCGCTGCAACGCCTATGAGCAATACGAACGGCACCAACACGACACCACAGACGCAGGTGAGTGCACCGATCGGATTTGACTATCGTGCACGCGCCATCTACGCCTATGAAGCCAACCCGGAGGATCCGAATGAGATTTCGTTTGCCAAAGGCGAGATTCTGGAGATTGCAGATATCAGTGGCAAATGGTTCCAAGCTCGCAATACCAAAGGCGAGGTGGGTATTGCGCCGAGTAACTACCTGACCTTGATTCCGCTTGACTCTTAAGTCTTGATGGCTCAAAGACAAAAAGCCATTTTTGGAACGGGGCAAGTTTTCGCTGATGCTTGTACCCCTGTATGCTCCCCCCTTTCTTGAATATATACTTTCACCTTTCCAGTCGCTTATCGCTTAAGGAAGCAAGGCCTTTCAAGGCATTGTAGCTTCTTTCGACCGTAATCTTTCTGTCTACTGTCATGAAGTCTTTGTTGCATAATTGATTACCCACACACAGAGGATCATGAAGGCTTCTCTTGGGTCATTGCCCCTGGACGGCCAATCTATCCTCTGTCTACAGATGCTACTGTCTAGCAAGAGATTGGCACAGGCAAGGCGACAGCAGCGAGACGATCTTCAGATGGCGTCAAATTTGGTCGTCAGAGGACCAAGATTGAGTTGGGGTATAGGCACAGATTGGCTACTCGCATTGGCTGTAAGCTGTCTTTTGTGTTTTACTCACTGATGTTCCAAGAGTCCAATATAGGGACTGCAGCGACGTGATCACGAGCTTGTGGCTAAAGTTCCCCGATGCGAGGTTTCTCAAATTCTCAGTCACAGTCTCAGATTGCCCCAGCCAGAATTGCATGCTGCACCTCGCGTATCAATGGCGTCGTCTTCATGCAGCGCGTCGCCCTCCAGCAATCAATCGTTGGTTCAAGCTGAGTGCAGATGAAAAGGTGCATCTATGGGCGTATGGCCCTAGGCTTAACAAGTTGCAAACTCCAATAGGTGCATGAACAGCCTAAGGCTGAAGGTATCTAACAAACGATCAAGCCAGTGCAAGGCTATGCGGCTACGCCTCTGTGCTTCAGGTTTATCAGGCTGCAGCGTTTCTGCCAGGAAAAAGGAGCCTTGTCTGCGGCCATGAGCGAGCTTCGACAAGGCAGACAGGGCCTAGTGGCTACTAAATTACTAGGTTGGTCTGAGGTAGGCTGTTCCTTGGTTCGTCGTACCTAGGCCTAGATACGCATCGTCTTCGCACTGACTCTGTACTGACTTCACCAGCCATCTGCCGGAAGAGCCTCCGCACTGAGTCTGCAGACTGCAAGGCCGTTGGACAAGACGTTGAGGGCATGACGTGCGGGCCTCTGCGGCTTGAGTGGATTGATTGGCTTGGAACGAACGGCACAGGACGCGAAATTTTCTATTCTTATCGCAGTCCCAGCTCGAGGTCCTCTAGGCTCCAGCACTGATGCCGAGGGAGGGAAGAGGCATGGTAGCAGAGTACGCGGGTGATATAGCAGAGTAGTGACTGATCCAGTGATTGACATAGTTGCGAGGCATGCAGGGCAGAGAGTTTGGCAGGTTGCACAAGCTCAAGTGTCTGAATGGCTCGCCGGCATCATTCGAGATTCGGGTGAGCGGCCGCTGCCACCAGATCAGCAGCCCGCCTGTGGCCGTTGACGCGATCTCCAGCCTGTGGCGAGCAGTCACTTCCAGAAGGCCTCCCACCCACGAAATATTCCGTCAAGTCGACGGAGATAAAGGCCTGCTGCCCCCTACTACCTGTCTTCCCTCGTACGAAACACACATACTCTACAACTATGCAGTTCACCACCCTCGCCCTCACCTTCATCGCTGCCGTCGCCGCACAGTCAGACGCCTCGGCTTCTGCTTCTGATGTATCGGCCGCCGTCTCGAGCGCCGTCTCGTCTGTCTCTGCACAGTCCTCGGCCTCGTCTCGCTCAGCATCTCGCTCGTCGGCCCTCTCTTCGGTCCGTCGCAGTGTCTCGCTCAACTCTGCCTCGATCGCAGCTGCACAGCGTTCAGCTCGTTCTGCCGCATCTATTGCCTCCTCCAGGGGAGCTGCCTCCGTCCGATCCGTTGAGGCTTCTGCTTCCGGTATGTCGATTCTCAAAGCACGTCAGACCTTGCACAATTTTATTTTTCTTGTGTGACGCTCTGACTTGCACCAACATTCATTCAGATGGCTAACATTTCTAGGTCTTGACGCCGTTTCCCAGACTGAGGCCGCCGCTTCCATCCGTTCGGCCGCGTCGACCGCTTTCGCCGGTATCATCAGCTCTGCCAACGCCGTCATCTCGTCTTTGGCTTCCGAGGCTTCGCAGGCTGCCGCTCAGGGTGCATCTGCTACCTCGCGCGCTGCTGCTCCCTCGATGGCTGCTGCCGCCGGTGCTGGTCTCTTCATGGCCATCGGTGGTGCCATTGTTGCTCTCTAAACAATCTCTCATGATTGCCTCTTGAGATCTTCCAACAAAAAGAACAGCACGAAGTTAGATTGCGCTGATCAGCTCGTCAAGCACTGTGTATTTCCACAGGAAGCCATGTACTGTTAAAGCTATTATATAGAATAAAACTTTGTTGACCTTTCAATTAGTCTCTGAACGTCATGTATCTTTTGATGAACTCAAACACAGAAGGGCTTGCCGACGAATCTACACGCAGCGAGTCCAACAACTTCGGCACTCGACCGAGCGGCATGAACAAGTCAGGTTTGAACACAAGAGATTTCAAGAATGCAATCGAAGTGGAAGTAAAAAGTATTTGATAAGAAGGTGCCTATCTGGTGAAGGCTACACGGAGTGTCCTGGAACAGGCCCACTCTTGTTTTCGTATGCATTGAAATGCTCATGCTGAGAAGTATGGCTCAGCTTATTCAAAGCCTGAGGATGTCATCAGTAGTGGTAGTGCCGCCAACGTTGCCAAGGGTAATCACATCCTTCTGAGACTTGCTGGTCACCAAACTCTTGAGCTGAGCAGGGGTGTATGCCCTGTAAGCAGACTGAGAGAGGTAGTAGGCCAATGCACCAGCAACGTGAGGCGTAGCCATCGATGTTCCACTGATCACGTTTGTGTCAGTGTCAGAACGAATCCAGCACGAGAGAATGTGGTATCCAGGAGCGTTGATGGTGACTGCTGGTCCGTAGTTGGAGAAGTAGGCGCGTGTGTCGGTAATGTTCGTGGCACCAACAGTAATGACGGCCGAGTTGATGGAGGAACGAGCAGGGCTCACATTGCGCGCATCCTGGTTCTCATTGCCGGCGGCAACGGCAACGTGAACACCGTTCGTTGTGGCAGCCTTCACGGCGCTGTCAAGCGATGTAGCGATATCTCCACCGAGAGACATGGAGATGACAGAGGGACGACCAGTGTTTTGCTTGCGGTTGACAGCATACTGAATAGCAGAGATAATGCCACTGGTGGCACCGCTGCCATCTGCTCCGAGAACCTTAAGTCCAATCAATGAAGCATTCTTCGAGACACCGTACAAGCTTGAAGCAATGGTGCCACCACAGTGAGTGCCGTGGCCATTGTCGTCAACGTTGACACCACCGTCGTAGAAGTTTCCGTCAGATGGGCAAAGTGCACGACCGCCGAATGCAGAGTGAGTGCATCGCAATCCAGTGTCAATCACGTACACGTCAACACCAGCTCCCGCGTAAGCATTGTCGTAGGTGTACCTCCAAGCGCCACGAGGCTCGTTGTAGGTGCCAGAAGTAGAAGCAACGCGAGTGGCGGTCGAGATTCGCTGCAGACCCCATGGTGCGTTCGTCTGTGTGACTGTGACCTTGGTGGACATAATCAAGTCGTCCTCAATCTTGGCAACGCCAGGCAACAACCGCAGGAGTTCCATGAGAGGAGCAGCCTCTGCAGGGACGGCAAAACCGTTGATGAGAGAGAACCGGTGAGACACCAACTCAGAGAGCCCTGGGACAAGCTTGATGATGCTGTCGAGTGCAGTACCATCAGCGAGCGACACAATGTACCCACCGTTGGAGCGACGAGCAAGCTCGACGTTGCTGGCTTCGGGGATAGCGGCCGGTGCAGCAAGGGCAGTTCCGAGCAGGGCGACGAGGACTGAGAAACGCATGCTGCAAGAGTAGATGAGATGCTTGTTCTAAGAGTGCAGAGTGCAGACTCTTTATACTTTCTCTTCAACAGCTCTCTCGTGCATTGAGTTCAACTTGATTTCAGAAGTCGCCAACAAGGATAAGGACGCGTCGCGGCGTCAGTAGTTCGTGTCGATCTTGCCACCCCTGCTCGGGACGAACCCGAGCACGTCCAACGCGGCATACCACCTTTATTCCGTAGATTTTGCCTTTATCCTGGAGATCCTGTGGCCGCACGACGTTTACGGCAGTTGTAATCTTGGTGCAAAGGTGGTCGTTGAGGTCGTTGTATGAATTTCTTGACACGCGTCAAATGATCTGCAGGCGCAGTCTTCATTTTATCTGGTACCAGAGTTGACTTCAGCCGGCAGCGGCAACCTACCGAGGATACGAGAAGCTTCATGCAACTGCAATAGAGTTTGTAGATAGCAAACTGGCCTCTCCAAGTACCACTGGGTGGGACAGACACTCACAGACGTTGTTTTGGCGGCTCTTGCCGACCGCAATCTGTGGAAAGTAGATGCTGAGACTCAGAGAATCAAAATACCCCAAGAGTGTGGCAGGCTGCTTTGACAGCGTGCAATTCTTGCAAGAAAGTCCGAGACACTTTGGTTCAGAGACTTGAGATTTCAAATTATCGAAGTCCAGTGCGGCGACTTCCCGCATTATCACTTTGGTTGAGCAAGAAAAGCACAGACGCGCGGTCACTACATCTCCTAGCAGTTGCAGTTCTCGAGCTCTGTAGTGAGTAGTTGTCATATGCATTGGCAACTGACAGTGTCGTGCGAACCTGCCAGCTGGCGCCGCACGGAACTTCGAAACAACTATATTGTCCCACTTCGTAGTCCGGAGGCATGGTCCGTGAACCGTGGGGCGGATGGAACTTGATTGTAGTCTTCGACTCTTCGGCTTTGTCTTCTGCTGAAAAGGCCGAGGATGGAACGCGTTGCCTTTGACAAGTTGAGTGATCTGCAGTGCTGCGCCGTGGCGTCGACCAAAATTGGCCTCTTCCCGGGGAAAATTGCCCCTGACTTCAGGCTGATCCCCACGCTCTTTCGGCAGAACTCCAACATTCAACCTTGGATTATTTCCTGCTGGAAGCATATCTTTTCGTGTTGACTCAGCCTCACAAACCCGAGAGATAGCGCCTGCAAGATAGGCTGCTTGCTGAGCCTAAGATGGTGAAGTGCTGAACGCAAGCCTACCACGGATGCAACTTGCAATCTGACAATAAAGGTATAATCCCGCTGTCGGATCGGACAACTACTCTGATTAGGATACTATCTGCACTCTGACAACGCATACTTTGCTTGAACCAGTACGGTCACTCGATAGTTTGACAAGACCTGGTTAGCTTGCCATATATGTACAACAACTTCTAATGCTAATCTGGCACTACAGGCCTCTCTATCTTGAGCCTTGGACTTGCTTTCATGCTAAGTCCGGACTGTACACCAACTGAACTTGAATGATCGTCTAGATATGTAGCAGGTTGTTGACAGTGTTACGCCTTATTTTGGATGCTCCAAGAGCAATGACACCTTTCTGCGACTTGCTGACGAGATATTGCTTCAATTGTGCAGGGGTGTAAGCGTTGTAGGTGGGGTCGGACAAGAAGTAGGCCAGAACACCGGCAGTGTGAGGTGTTGCCATTGAGGTACCGCTGATGACATTGGTGTCAGTATCACTGCGGATCCAAGTACTCAGCACATTGACACCAGGCCCGAAGACAGTGACAGGTGACCCATAGTTACTGAAATAGGCGCGAGCATCAGTAATGTCGTGAGCACCAACACAGACAACAGCAGAGTTGAGACCAGCGCGAGCAGGACTAACATTGTTGGCATCCTGGTTCTCATTGCCAGCAGCAACGGCGACGTGCACTCCATTTGCGGTTGCAGACTTGACAGCAGAGTCGAGAGCTGTCGAAGCACTGCCACCAAGAGACATGGTGATGACAGACTTCCTGCCTGTTGCCTTGCTGCGATTGACTGCGTACTGGATACCAGCGATGATGTTACTGGTCGCGCCCGAACCATCCGCACCGAGGACCTTGACGGCGATGAGGCTGACCTTCTTTGAGACACCGTAAAGAGAAGAACCGACAGTACCAGCACAATGCGTGCCGTGACCATTGTCGTCCGTGTTTACGCCGCCATCGTTGAAGTTGCCATCTGATGGGCACAGAGCACGTCCCTCGAACGCTGAGTGTGTACAACGGATGCCAGTATCGACAACATAGACGTCGACGCCTTGACCTGCATAGTTCTCGTTGTAGTTGTAGGTATACGCAGGGCGTTGTTCATTGGCTGTGCCTGTGGTGGATGCGACTCGACTCTGTGAAGAGATACGCTGCAGACCCCAAGGCGCATCGGTCTGTGTGGCCAACGTGTACATCGTGAAGTCCTCCTCTACCGAGAGGACACCAGGTAGCAGCTTGAGCAGTGCAACAACAGGAGCTGCCTCGGAAGACACAACGAAACCGTTGATGATCTTCAATGGTCGGAGATTTGCCTTGGCGAGACCAGGTGCAACCTTTACGATACTATCGAGAGATGTGCCATCCGCGACCTGTACGATGTATCCATTGCTCTTTGCTGCTGGTGCTGCAAGAACGCTGCTGAGAAGAAGAGAGATTAGAGTGAAGTGCATGCTAGGGAACTGATGTAGAGCAAGACTAAATAAGCAGGCAGGGCAGGGTCTTTATAGCCCCTGTCAAAAAAGAAGAAAAGAGATCCCCAGACACAAGCAATGGAAACGCCAATTCAAGTCAACGCGTAATCGATCGATCCCCGGAAGCGGTAGACCGCAGCATCTTTCCCGGATGAACTTGACTGCGGGGATTTATACATACGGTATTAGCGTGACGTCTCGTGGGCCGTGGCGTAGGTGACACTGGTCGTTGAGGTTTGTGCGAGTTGCCTTGGCCCTAGATTCGCGAGATTCAAAATGGCCAGCCAGGCCAGGGCTAGTGCGCCGTGCCACTGGCCCACTGCACACGCTCTCTCCGCAGGCACAAACGTGCCGTATGTACCAACACAACGACTGTCGGCTTAGAAACATATAAGCTCCATCATGCCTACATGCTATACTCATGACAAGGCGTGTGCAATACATGCCTGCGACGTGAATGGGCTAGGCACTCTAATGGCGATTTCTGACGGCTGAACATGTGAAGATGCTGGACAGAACAAATTATTGAAAGATCTGGTAATTACCGACCGTTGCACGCGACCACGCTTCAACAACCTGGGTCTTGGCGAACAACTGGAACATGTCTTGACACAGAACAGACATTGATAGTGCCTTACACGTAGAGCGCTCCAGTGGGCATTGTCAAGTAGAAGTCAGACTCGCGACCACTCTGAGAGCTAGTCTTTCGATTACGAAACAGAGAAGGAACTATGAACTGGTCATTATGAAAGGAGCTTTTGGAAAACTAATCAGATTTGCAGCAGATTGTTTGCAGTAGTGCGTGACACCTGCTGTCTAAAGAAGCCAAAAGTACCCTTGGTTTGACCAAGAGCAATGACACCCTTCTGCGACTTACCGACTAGCACTTGCTTCAATTGAGCAGGCGAGAAGGCGTTATAGCTAGGGTCTGAGAGGTAGTAGGCCAAGACACCAGCTGTGTGAGGCGTGGCCATCGAAGTGCCGCTGATAACATTGGTATCAGTGTCGCTGCGGAACCAGGTACTTAGGACATTGACACCAGGGCCAAAAACAGTGACAGGAGTTCCATAATTGCTGAATGAAGCACGAGCATCAGTAATGTCGTGAGCACCAACACAGACAACAGCAGAGTTGAGACCAGCACGGGCAGGACTGACGTTGTTGGCATCCTGGTTCTCGTTACCAGCTGCAACAGCAACATGCACTCCGTTCGTAGTTGCAGCCTTCACAGCTGCGTCCAAAGCACTTGAAGCTCCACCACCAAGAGACATCGATATGACGGACTTTCTGCCTGTGGCCTTGCTGCGGTTGACAGCGTACTGGATACCCAGGATGATGTTGCTGGTTGCGCCAGAACCATCTGCACCGAGCACCTTGACCGCAACGAGCTGAACCTTCTTTGAAACACCGTAGAAAGAGGAACCGACAGTCCCAGCACAGTGCGTGCCATGACCGTTGTCGTCCAAATTGATACCACCATCGTAGAAGTTGCCATCTGTGGGGCACAGAGCACGTCCGCCGAATGCAGTGTGCGAGCATCGAATACCGGTATCCACGACATAAACGTCAACACCTTGTCCGGCAAAGTTCTCGTTGTAGGTGTAAGAGTATGCCGGTTGGCGTTCGTTGGGTGTGCCAAGGGTCGAAGCAACACGAGTCTTGGTGGAAATACGCTGCAAACCCCAAGGTGCGTTGCTCTGTGTGGCAGAGGTAAACATGGTGATGTCGTTTTCTACCGAGAGCACACCAGGTAGCAGCTTAAGAAGTGCAACAGTTGGCCCTGCCTCCGAAGAGACGGCAAAGCCATTGATGATGCTGAAAGGCCGTACACTTGCCGATGACAATCCAGGCAGAGAAGACAAGATACTCCCAATGGGTGTGCCATCTGCGAGACGGACGATGTACCCAGTGCTAGTGGCCGCAGGTGCTGCTAAAGCACTGCCGAGCAGAAGAGAAAGAAGCCCGAATTGCATGATCTGATGATTGTGATGCAACTGGCAAAAGAGCGAGCGATTGACAAGCTTAAGATTTTATAGGTTTCACAAGACATAGCATCGCTACTGCAGCACATTCACGTGTACCGCGCTTGTAGAGCTGCCAAGTCCCTACATGACTGCTTCTATGCGGAGAATAATGCGCGTAGCTGGCATTTCTTGACGTGGGAGGTCGTGCAGGTGTCGCACTGCTGTCAGAACTGTAAATTTCCAAAACTTGGCTGCCGACATCTCCGCACTAAACGTGCGAGGGACCAGCTGCAAGGTGTACAAGCAAAGCCTTCAGAACTCAGTGGCTACATCAGCAAGGGCGACCATGCGGGATGTTGACGACTAGCTTGCACACATGTTTGACTGGTCAGTCTAAAGTGCCGAGCTTTAGCTAATCGGATAGCCAAAAGAGGGACCATCTCGTTATCTTGTTCAGGAACCACCTGGGCGGTCAGTTACACTGGCATTATAGGGCTCTCTTGAAAGTGTATATTTGGCTAACCTCAATGATGGGCTATCAATGATGGGCTATCAATGATGGGCTACAAAGTTTTTGTACAGACGTCATCAGAATAGATGTGTATCATGAGTGCTTCTAAAGCTGTAGCAAGTTGTTGACAGTCGTCTTTGACACTTCCTCTGCAAACAGACCAAGCAGTCCCTTGGTCTTGCCGAGAGCAATGACACCCTTCTGCGACTTGCCGACCAAGACTTGCTTCAGTTCAGCAGGTGAGAAGGCACTGTAGCTAGGGTCTGAAAGGTAATAGGCCAAGACACCGGCAGTGTGAGGCGTAGCCATCGACGTACCACTGATGACATTGGAGTCGGTGTCGCTGCGGAACCAGGTGCTCAAGGTATTGACACCAGGACCAAAGACAGTAACAGGAGTACCATAGTTGCTGAATGAAGCACGAGCATCAGTAATGTCGTGAGCACCAACACAAACAACAGCAGAGTTGAGACCGGCACGGGCAGGGCTGACGTTGTTGGCATCCTGGTTCTCGTTACCAGCTGCAACAGCAACATGCACTCCGTTCGTGGTTGCAGCCTTCACAGCTGCGTCCAAAGCGCTTGAAGCACCACCACCGAGAGACATCGAAATGACTGAGTTCTTGCCAGATGCCTGACTGCGCTCGACTGCATACTGGATACCGAGGATAATGTTGCTAGTCGCACCCGAGCCATCAGCGCCAAGAACCTTGACTCCAACGAGCTGAACCTTCTTTGAAACACCGTAGAGAGAAGAACCGACAGTACCAGCACAGTGCGTGCCGTGACCGTTGTCATCGACATTGACGCCACCATCAAACAGATTGCCGTCTGATGGACACAGAGCACGTCCTTCGAAAGCAGAGTGCGAGCATCGGATACCAGTGTCGACAACGTAGACATCAACACCTTGTCCAGCAAAGTTCTCGTTGTAGGTGTATGTGTATGCAGGCAATTTCTCATTTGGTGTGCCAGTCGTTGAAGCGACGCGACTTTGGGTAGAGATGCGCTGGAGACCCCAGGGTGCGTTGCTCTGTGTAGCAGATGCAAACATGGTGATATCATCCTCTATCGAGAGAACACCAGGGAGCAGCTTGAGGACTGCGACAAGGGGAGCAGCTTCTGAAGGCAGCGCGAATCCGTTGATGATGCTGAAGGGTCGAACGCCTGCTGATGACAGATCAGGCAGTGACGAGAGGATGCTCTCGAGAGGCGTGCCATCTGCGAGACGAACAATGTAGCCAGATCCTGAAGCTGCAGGTGCCGCTAGAGCGCTACCGAGCAAGAGAGAGAGGAGACCGAACTGCATGGTTTCTTGGTTGATGGACAACAGGTGGGACGAAGCTTGACCTTATATGTCTTCTGAGTCAGCCTCGTACTGCTGTATACCCTCGTCGCGTGCGTTCTTTGAAATGCTGGCTGATATCCGGGGAGCAGATCACGAAAAGGATGACTGATTATGATACTGTATGCAGTGTACAGCTGTAGCCTGCAGAGAGCTACGGACGCGAGGTGGCGTCAGCAAGGCGACAAGAGTCTCTGGTCCTCGGGACTGGATCTGGCATTCTTCAGGCTGTCTGCCTCTTGGATCGACAGTCAGTGCATTCATGGAGCAGTAGACAAGGCAATGTTAAGCATAGTTCATGAATGCGCAGCAACATCAGCTTCATTATAACGGGTAGATCGTTCTTAGACCTCGGGAGACTGACGAAAACTGGAGAAGCTGTGACTCCAGTCTCAGCGGCGAGCGATACCAGCCCTTGTTTGATGTCTGCGCCATAATACGGTATTGATACCGCCATGGCTGACGACCGTTGGTGGCAGGATCTGGTCTCGAATAGCCGAAATTCTCGGGAACCGCTCGGTAAGTTCCATCGGGCACACAGCTATCCACTGCCTGGCACCTACATGGCGAAAACAGGTAGACAAATAAGCGCTGACGGACTAGCGTATCAATAAGCTGATGATGTAGACAGATCATAGTTTGAGCGAGACTTGTGCTGAGAAGATTATGTGACAGGCTTCACATGCCACGACATGCGTCGATTTAACCTTAAATACTCGAGTTCGCGAAATGATCGTCCAGGCAGTACAGCACTGCCACCTTTGCTGCACTTGAAGCTCACGCTGTGGAAAGCAGTGGCCACTGACCACTGACCACTGACCGATGACTGCATTGTTGGACTCAGGGCATGGAACACAAGAGTTTCAACGTCAGGAGCATGAACTTGTGTCTCAACTTCTTCATACTTGCTCACTGAGAGACATATGTTGCTGTATGTAGTCTTGTAAACATATGCATGCCACTCTACGCTCAGGCTGCTTTGCCATGTGTCGCGAAATGATGCCGCTACAGGTCCAGATCAATCTTCGAACGATCAATAGCAGGCGATGCGGCCTGAGCCTGTCTGCGCTTTGTATTGTCCTCATCGTCCTCCTCCTCATCTTCGCTAAGAGGGAGGGAATCGTCTTTCGCATGCATGCCAGCAGCTATTTCGTCCTCTCCTGCAGCCTCGACCTCTCTTTCCTGTCCAGGCTCGGGATCCACCATGATGAGTCGCTCCTCAGGGTAACCCTCGTCAGGCTCCAATAAAGCACCCTGACCCTCATCTGACATGTTCTCCACTTGCTCGTCGTCTGCCTCTTCGTAGCGGTCATACTCCCGTGCCCGTGCAAAGTCATTCCGCGCATTGATCCAATCGTTTGATTCGCCATCATCATCCTCATCTTCTTCATCTGAACTCTCAAACTTATCGCCTCCTTCATTTGAGATTTGCTGAGAAATGTAGTTGGCGAATTGGTCGGATCCTTCAGCTTCATCATTCATATTGAACTGACCCATACGGCGTTGCAGCTCTTCGTCGTCTTCCTCAGCACCAGGCATGTCCCAGCCAACACTAGGCATGGTCTGCGACGGCATAGGTGGTCGTTCGCCCCCAAGAATCGCTGCATCCCTTGCTCTTGTTTCTGCAAGTGTAGTGTTGACAAAGTCCACCCACGCTTGTGAAGTCAGCCGCTCGTGAATGAGTGGAGAAATGCTCTGTGGTGGATATCGCTCGGAAAACTTGACCACTTCATCAGCGATCAATGTCAAATGACCCATATAGCCAAGCCGTACTCCATCCCCGGCAACGTGCGAGTCTGATGATTGCTGACCAGCGACAATCTTCTCACAAAGCTGCCCTTGTACAAACATGTCAATGGCAAGGACACGATTGTAGCCGCGGTCCATCGGACCATTGAAGATTTGCTGAACGACATCATACACGACATTGTGCAGGAAATTATTCCAGGGAAATTTGAAGAAGAGATCGAGAATGGTCGAGATGACACGCTGCTGCATGAATTGCATCTTGAGGAAATCTCCCACGACAGGATCAAACGGTTGCATTTCTTGAGAATTGCTCGACGTGATGGAAACTGTATCTGCGTCCGATGGTGGAGCAGCTGCGCGAGGTGTAGGCAGATTGTCTTCATCGTCAGCTTCGACTGAGTCGGCTCCAGCATTGGTCGTTGCCTCTGCCAGCAGAGTGCTGAGCACGGGCTTCCCTGAACTCGTGTCGGCCTCCAGATGAAAGCCCTCTTGTGGCAAGTCTGGAGTCCGTACTTCGTGGTCCTGTGGGCCAATATCAGCCATCATCTCTAGCTCTTGCTGCTCTTTCGCATGACCAGGCGAGATGCCATGCTTGTGCAATTTGCTCTCCGGCAAGTACGGCATACCTTCTTGCTCAATCGATCCTCGTCGCTCATGTCCACGCGGGCGTGTCGGTGCAATGGCCTCCTTCTCTTCCTCACTAGCCCGCTCAGAATCCATGGACTGCCGTGGAAGACTTGCGCGGGACCGACTACGCGATGGCGTTCGTTTCGCATTGAGTGCTGCATTCGCCCGCCGTTCCTCTTCCCTCAGTTTGACCTGGATCTGCTTCAGCCGTTCTCTCTCTGCATCGCGTTCGCGGACAACATCTTCGCCACGCGGATCATTCAACAATGCCATGTTACTGCAGTGCAATAATTCGGCGTACAACTCACAGATGCGAAAGCGTTCAAAGCCTAGTGACTCAATTTCGCCGTATCCAGAGGTCTTGATGCGCTTGACATTGCGTGGCGCGAGCAGCAAGGCCTGGAACTCTTGAATGGCACCTGCAAAAATCCGTAGCATCGTGCCAAGATAGATTGGATCGCGTGAGGTTGGGGGCTGCTGACTATACGCTAGCGCCATGATGGGCGTCGCGTCATAGTCGGAGTTGTTTTTCCGGATGAGCTCAATGACGATACTAACGCCCGTTGTCAGGCTTGCGTTGGATCCTGCTTCCACAGGCTGAATCATGTGTCGTACAAGCGTCGACATGGTGTCTTCGGATACGAGGTTTCGTGAGAGCGCATTGGGCCCAATCACACCCGGATCGTTCGAGTTGGCAGAGATGGCGATGATGGCCTTGATGACATCCGAGACGGTCGTTTGAATATCGGGATCCACGTCGGGCTTTAGCTGCTTGAGCAATGAGTTGAGCAAGCCTTCGTCATATAACCACTCGACGATACCAGCTCCTACCTCTGTCTTCTCCATCGATATAATTTTGAGCAGTAAATCCATGATGGCGCTTGTATCGCTGTGCTTGAGGATTTTCTCCAGGACGTTCGGTACAGATTGAACAAACGGTATCATCTCATCTGTCTTCTTCTCCAAGAATTTTTCATTGACCTTGGTGAAGTAAGATGCCCTCAAAGGGTTGAGCGGAGGCTCGCTGTCGAGAAAGCCCCAAAACATCTCTAGTAGCCGTGGGTGCTCAAAGACAGTTTCGCAGATTGACCATACTTCACAAGAGAGAATCTCACAGGCAACAAAGGCATATCTAGTATTAGCGTGGCTTCATATCTCCCCGGCAGTCATACTTGAAGGATTTGCTTGGGTCGTCTGTGTAATCCTCGATGATAAGCTGTAGCAGTCGTTGGATGATGTGCTCCTGGCGCAAATAGTCGAGGAGCCGCGCATGGTGGTTCTTGATTTCCTGCAGCAAGTCTTCCTCGTCGAGCACTTGTTCCAAAGTCACTTCATGCGCCGGCTTCTCTAGCAGCGCTTCGATACCACAGGTTTCCCGAAACCCGAATCCCCCATATTTCCCTAGAGCATCAGCAAGCGTGCGCACAGACTAGAGTGCTGCCATACAAAACATGACGGAAACGCTGCCTGGACTCTAGTGCCAGCTCGAGGCTGTCCAGGGAGTGCTGTCGCGTGAAGGGCGCAGATGCTTTTTGTCGTCTTGTTTCTCTTTTGTGTGTGGACGTTTGAGCCTCGCACGAGCGAGACCAAAAGACGCAAAGACGCAAAGACACAACGTTGAACGGCCACCACGCATCTTTATACTCGGCCTACCTGTGCAATACATCAGATTCATTCGTATATATATATACATATCTTGCCGCTTGGCTATGACATGCGCGTGATCTCCGCAAGACCCTCCAATTCTCGCTCTCCCAACAGCTTCCCATCCCTGTCACGCAATTGCATGGCCGACTCGCTCGCCGTGATCAACATCTCTGCGTCCAGAGAGACGTACAAGTTGCGGCAGACAACGGGCAATGACCTGGTCTTGCCATTGAGAATGTTGACCTGCAACAATCGCTCTGCACAGCGTATCCATAGACTATATGCTGCCACATGAATACTGTAGACAGCTTCATCCGCAGCAAGTGGCAGGGAGAATGTCTCAACTTCATCCAAAAAGCCGCCACCAACGATAGCTAGTTGCACAATGCTTGTACGAGTGAGCACAAAGCAAGATGCAGCATCGTCCACGGCCATATCAATTGCATCGTCTTCGAGCTCGTGGCTGGCACAATCAACGAGTGAACCATCTTGTTCCTGCACCTCGTAAGTTGTCAGCGAACTTCGAGTCAGACCAAAAATGAACTCATCCTTGCCGTCAGGGAGGAGCTTCAGCAGAGGCTCCTCTCCGTCCGAACAAGGGATGACCATACCCATAGCAACCACATCGGAAGCAGTCTCGCCATGAATATGCTGCTTAATCACATCAATCGCTGGCTGTGGGTCTCCCGGATCACTAATGTCTTCTGTGTCCATGCGATGCGAAATCGCGAATAGCTCAATGAGCGATTCCGCAACAAGGTCTTCATGCACAGGCTCCAGCTTGCTCGTCCGCCGACGTCTTTTCGTCATAGGTGCCTTCGGGCCGCGCAGAATAGTGTAGCCAGTGTCAGCTAGCACATAAAGGTAATTGCCAATGAGAGAGAATGTCGAAGGTCCCTTAAGGTCTGTGCCACAGACACTCTTCTCCTCAATATTGCCTAATTCTGTCGGCGCAAGCGTTACCAACCGAGCAGGGCTCTCTTCATCATTCTGATCCAGTACATAGAATGACTTGTTGCTTGTGTCAACCAGGACTTGCCTGCATTCTCGGAAGGAAACCGTCAGTGTCGTGCGTAGCGACACTGCATGCGACTTGGTCGACACTTGCACAAAGTAGATTTTCCCAACGCTGCTTCCCACTACATGTTAGCAATAGGTCTTGAGAAACAGGCCCTACCGATGAAGCTGCCAATCATGCCGTCATGGTCCGAGTGGCAGCTGTAAGATCTCGCGTCGCGTCGTTTGCGGAAGCCATCTCGGAGGCAGCGAATGTTATGTCAGCAACAACTACACACAACCTTGAAGTCACATTTGCATGCATGATGAATTGTACAATACCAGGCTTCTAGAGGTACAGAATGTCCACAGAACTGGAACCTTCTACTCGTTGCCGAAAGTAATCAGCCAGGCCCAAACCTCAGCTTGCGTTGCCCCTTTTCGAGCTCAGGTCCAGCTTTCCGCTTTCCCTTTGTCTTGCCGATTCTTGAATGACTTGGTTGAGCCGCACCCACAGGTACTGTAGGTCGAGCATTCCGCTCTTCTTCAGCAAGCGACCTTGAGAGGTCCTTGGCATAGTGCCAGTCGATGTGTTCTTCCTCCGTTTCTCCCGACACAGCCTTTCTGCATCGCTCGCACCTGAATGATCCATCGTGTATTGCCGGGTGATCAGACGCAACTAGTGCTTGGCTCGAAGAAGCAAGATCGACGCTGCTCGTCCTTTGAAGCTTTGACGTATATGCAGACTCAACGCTCTCCTCGGATTGCACAGCGGGCACTGCAGGCTGCTCGACCTTCTTGAAGAAGCCACCAATATCCTGAACACCTGCTTCAAGCTCCTCAAAGCCTCCCAGACCAAAGCTCAAATTGAAGCACGGAAATGCTCTGCCTTCAGCCATGACTTGCTGCAACAGCTTTGTCCCGAGCTGCGACAGATAGTCAACTGTTAAATCGGGTCCTTTGCTAATTGGCATCTGCCGATTCTTGGACGCTCCTGGAATGCGATGATGCAAGGTCAGTGTCCTAGGTCTCCGTTGATTTGGATCTTCGAGCAGTCGCGATGCTAGATCAGCCGTCAGCACGCGGATCCACCGTTCAGCTTGCTCGAGACTGTCGATAGACGGCCTGAATGACTTGGCAGATAGCATTGACTTGACTTGAGTACTGGTCGAGACTTCTGCGTAATCAATGCCTCTAACAATATTCCATAGCCATTGTCCAGTTTCTGTGCCTAGCTTTTGACGAAGCTCTGCGATTGATATCGCAACAATGTCCTTTACTGACGATGTAGCAAACACTTTTTCAACCTCGACTCCGAGCTTGCCACCGAGGTTGCGGATCTTTGTAAAGGACAGCGTCTCCAGAAACGACTGTACTGCGCGGTTGCGGAGAATCGTCTGACCGGCAGGCTTGTTTTGCCCCGCTGCAATCTTGGCAAGCGTCTTGTTGCGAGCGACGCCTGCAGAGCAGGTATACCCAAGTGTCTCTTTGACGTCCGCCCGTACTTTCGTCATGAACTCTGCCGCAATCTTCATTGCAATGTCATCCCAATCATTACGATCTTCTTCTGTGTCACTCGCAGCCAGTGGCACGAGCGTCCCATCTTGCTTGTCCCACTGAACAAACGGTGCTTGTGGCAAAGGCTGATCAAGATTGGAGAGGTCAATCTTGAGTAGATGGCTGTAACGCTCAAGCAATGTTGCCTTCACGACACTTGACAGGTCAAGAAACGATTCATCAATACTTGCCTTCTCAACATGACTGCAGTGCTTCTTGAAAATCTCAAGAATCTTGCGCGACGCACGACGATATGGGTCGAGACTGACTTTATGTGTTTTTGGGTCGACGTCCTCATCATGATACCTTGCCATTGTATCGCCTTCTTTCCAAGTCTGAACATGCACGAGCTTGATAGTCGGACACTTTTGCAGAGCGGATTCTGCATTTTCATGACGCGTGATGCCAGCTGCGCGTGCAGCATAGTTGATGGCAATCAGCCCTCGCCATTGAACAACAGCCAAGGGGAGCGTAGGATCATAGCCTATCCGATTGCCTTCGACTTGAGCATAGAAGCAGTCCAGATCACACAGCGCAATGACGCGCAAGGGTGATTCTTTAGCGGGAGACGCAGAGTCTAGCAAATTAAGGTGGCGATATGTGAAGCGAGAAGACAAGTGAGATGGCTGCGATGAGAGCAAGACATCCTCATCCGCCATAAGCCTTGGCGAGGGAGCAAGAGAAATAAGAAGCTAGCGTGACTGTTTTGTAGAAGTGTTGTTGTTTGCGGATGTTTCGCGGATTTCATATACACGCGACGTAGTATCTACACGACACTCCCTGACCAGAAAAGAGCTGTGAACTATGGCTCTCAGCAGGAGCCCTGCGCTGTTCCGAGACCATCGCTATGTCTGTCGCTCAAAGCGCGCTAGATACACTACCTGAAGCACATGATGCGCCTCCAAAGCTTCCCATCAAGGATCTACTCATTCTGGCAAGCGTTCGTTTTGCAGAGCCAGTTTCCTTCACTAGTGTCAATCCGTACATCTTCTTCTTCATCCTGTCATTTGGTATTGCTGAAGCGGATGTCGGCTTCTATGCAGGCTTGATCTTTGCTACCTTTCCGCTTGCAGAGTTCGCCACATCCTTATTTTGGGTACGCTTGTCTGATCGCATTGGTCGACGGAAAGTCATTCTCATCTGTCTTGCTGGATGTATCCTACCAACACTATTGTTTGGCTTCAGCAGATCTGTGGGCGAGGCAATGCTATGGCGAACCTTGACGGGTCTCATCAATGGCAATTCACCTGTCATCGCAACGGCCTGCGCAGAGCTCGTCACGTATAAACCACATCAAGCACTGGCATTCAGCGTCATGCCCGTGACGTGGACACTGGGCTCTATTATTGGTCCCATGCTGGGAGGTTCCCTAAGTGACCCTGTCCAGCAGTACCCAGCGTGGTTCAAATCAGATACGCCACTACGACAATTCTTGCTCAAGTTTAGGTTCTCCCTACCGGGGATCGTTTGCGCTTCATTATTCTTGGTTACACTGATTGTGGCAGTCGTTGGACTCAAGGAGCCGCCTGCTGCTGTGCGACCACTCAGTCAGGCCGAAGAACCCAGCGAACGAACGCGACTTTTGTCGAGGCCATCAGATGAAGACAACAGCAACAACAATGGTCGTCCAGAGACAACTGCAAGCGACTCAGAAAAGGCGCCTCTCACACTCTGGCAGGAAGCTAAATACCTTACTCCATGCATCTACACGAACCTCGGCTTGTCTGCACTCGTGTGCTTTGTCACCATGAGCACTGACCAAGTCTTCCCTCTACTCGCATCTACTTCGCGCGAACTAGGTGGTCTTGCACTTGCCTCGCCGCAGGTAGGTACCATCTACACAGGCACCAGCGTTGCTTGCATCCTTGGACAGTTGCTGTTTCACGTGGTCCATCGCAACATTGGCAGTCGTGGTTGTTTGCGAGTTTCTAGTACCTTTTGTCTAATCACTTGTTTGACATTCCCGAATATGGTAAACTTGGCGTACCTGATTGACAAAGGCAAGCCGGAGACAAGTACAGCGAGGCAGCAGAATGCGATACTCTGTCTAGCCATGTTGTGTCTCGTTACACAACGCATCGCTGGAATTCTTGCTTTTCCGTCATTAGTCATCCTTCTCACCAATGCCGTACCATCTGTGTCGGTACCGCAGAGCGATGGTGACCATGCAGGCGCGCCTGTTCGATCATTACTCGGTACAGTCAATGGTTTGTCACAAGCGACGAATTGTGCATTTCGAGGGATTGGACCATTGATGATGGGTCCGTTTTGGGCATGGAGTATCAGGTCGCAGCATCGCTGGGTGTTTTGGACCTTCATAGCAGGCTTGGGCTGCTCCATCTGGGTGATTACGCGCATAGGCAAGCTTGAGGAAGAGGAAGGAGAGACGTAAGGCAAAAAAGAAGATCATTTACTCTACAAGGGTTATATAGACGAAGGCATAGAAAGCGTTTCTATTCTTTTTCCTGCTACCAAGCCAGTGCTTTACTGTCCTCCACGAAGACGCAACACCAAGTGCAATGTTGACTCCTTCTGAATGTTGTAGTCGGCCAAAGTGCGACCATCCTCAAGCTGCTTTCCAGCAAAGATGAGACGCTGCTGGTCAGGTGGAATACCTTCCTTGTCTTGAATCTTGCTCTTGACGTTGTCAATGGTGTCTGATGACTCTACCTCGAGTGTGATGGTCTTTCCAGTCAGAGTCTTGACGAAAATTTGCATACCACCGCGGAGACGGAGCACAAGGTGGAGAGTTGACTCCTTCTGGATATTGTAGTCTGCAAGCGTGCGGCCGTCCTCAAGCTGCTTGCCAGCAAAAATGAGACGCTGCTGGTCAGGTGGAATGCCCTCCTTGTCTTGAATCTTGCTCTTGACGTTGTCAATGGTGTCTGATGATTCGACTTCGAGTGTAATGGTCTTTCCAGTCAAAGTCTTAACGAAAATCTGCATACCACCGCGAAGACGGAGCACAAGGTGGAGAGTTGACTCCTTCTGGATGTTGTAGTCTGCCAAAGTGCGACCGTCCTCAAGCTGCTTGCCAGCAAAAATGAGACGCTGCTGGTCAGGTGGGATACCTTCCTTGTCTTGGATCTTGCTCTTGACATTGTCAATGGTGTCTGATGACTCTACCTCAAGTGTAATGGTCTTTCCAGTCAACGTCTTGACGAAAATTTGCATACCACCACGGAGACGGAGGACAAGGTGGAGGGTTGACTCCTTCTGAATATTGTAGTCGGCCAAAGTGCGACCATCCTCAAGCTGCTTGCCAGCAAAAATGAGACGCTGCTGATCAGGTGGAATGCCCTCCTTGTCCTGAATCTTGCTCTTGACATTGTCAATGGTGTCTGATGACTCAACCTCGAGTGTGATGGTCTTTCCAGTAAGAGTCTTGACAAAGATCTGCATACCACCACGAAGACGGAGCACAAGGTGGAGAGTTGACTCCTTCTGGATGTTGTAGTCTGCAAGTGTGCGACCATCTTCAAGCTGCTTACCAGCGAAAATCAAACGCTGCTGGTCCGGTGGAATCCCTTCCTTGTCCTGAATTTTCGACTTGACATTGTCAATGGTGTCTGAGGATTCAACCTCAAGGGTAATGGTCTTGCCAGTAAGTGTCTTGACAAAGATCTAGAAGGATAGGTTAGTATGTGTGTGATGGGGTAGATAAGGCGCAACGTGGCGAATACGCTTGTACGCGTCAAGATTGGCAAAACGAATACACATTGACGGTGCGCATTGCCTGTGATGCTGAGGAGGACTCACCTGCATGGTTGGATGTGTTTGAGGGATGGAGAGGGGTGGTGTGAGTAGAGGAAGAGGAAGACAGCAGGCGGCGGGAAAGAAGCGTCAGAGGTCACGTGCACGGAGTTCTAGAAGGGCTGACTCAGCATCTACCAAAAGTATACAGTAGACAAGTACTATAGACTATAGACTGGCAGACAGCCTGCTAATACTCATACGTCGCAGCCAGTCTCCGTTTCAGGTGCTCGCCCGCTGTAATCTCCTCCTCACGCACAGCACGGTTTGTTTCATTCGGTTTCATCGACAGCACCGTGTCATCGTCCGGGTGGCAGAAGTACGCAATGGAGTACCGGTCGCCCTTGTCTGCTGTGGCCATCACTCGATGGAGCGTTGATTTGAGGAGTCCATCTGTCCAGAGCTCCAGCTGATCCGCTACATTGACTAGAATGGGCACACAGTCCTCATCAGTCCTTGCCTCAGCTGGGGGTGGAATCGCTTGCCATGCGTCTGTCGCACTGTACGGTGGTCTCACTTCAAGACCTGATCCACCAGCTTTGACAAACAGTAACGTGAGTGTTCCATAGTCTGTATGTGCACCTGCTCGAATATCACCTTGCTCAAAGCGCTCATCTATAGCAGGATAGTATAGCAATCGCAAGACTGTCCCGGATGGCTTAGAGGCATTGTGCTTGCTGCTGAAGAAGTCTGGTTCTTTACCAAGCCCAAGTGCAAGAAGGTCAAGGAGACGTGTTGTGACTTGTCGACAACAGGCTTCAAACTCTGCCAAGACGGCCTTCTCAGCTTGAAGCACCCTTGGCAATGGCTGATGTGCATTCGAGGAGACATCGAGATTGAAGGCTTCCTTGAAGTCACCTTTGCGCTGTGTAGCAGGATCTAGTTTTTCAGAATGCATCCTTGACCATCCAAAGTTAGATGCGTCTATAGCGAATGGCTCCTTTTCAGAATCTGGCAAGGCAAAGAGTGCTCGAGACTAGACACATCAGCTCACTGGAGAGGTCCTGGTATGATAAGCGTACCAAGGTCCATATTTGACTGAGCAAGCTAGAGGAGATGCCGTGGCCAGAGACATAGATGAAGCCGAGTGACTTGGCTGCCTCGACCACCTCGCCTGCAGTCTTGGCGTCTAGCCTTGAGATGTCGACGGTGCTGAGGTCTGTGGCCATGGGTCTTGGTCCGAAAGGTTTCGCGACTTTTTGATTTTACGCGCTTCACGACAAAACAACCACGCTGGGTCAACTGGAGCTGGCTCGCTCATATGAGCTACTACGATATAGATGCTATCATCACCTCGCAGAATAAGCTCCCGTGCACATTCAAACTAGACGTGCCGGGCTTAGGCTACCTAGAAGCCAGCGACACGCCAGATGTACACATCGCACCACATCATGAACCTGATAACTGACAAAATACCGCTAGCTCAAGGCCAATACAAAGCTCGACTTGCCATATTGGATGGCTGAACTCCTTGCCATTCGCGAAGTGGTCGACTTGCATGAGCCTAGTTGCTACAGCAAGAAGATTGCAGCTGCGCTCAAGGCAGATCCACGTTCAGTGGACTTGCGTTCTCAATGCAACAATTTCTATACATTTGCATTGAAGTATCTCGAATGGACAGTGACTGAGGATTTGCTACAAGTGGTGCTAGATACATTTCGGAGTCGCGTTGCCAAGATGGCAGACCATGCGCATAACCCTACAGGTGCCATGGCAGAAGGTCTTGCTTTTCTCAAGGGTCTTGATGATTTCGAGAGGCAGTGTCAGTCTTCAGCTTACTGATTGAGGCTTATTGCTAATTGTCAGTGTTTAAACGATGCCATGAGAGTTCGCTGGCAATGAAGAAGTGGGCAGACCGTCCAAGGGACAAGGAGATGCGGTAGAATAGCTGATCGCTTGCTTGTCAATGATGCCCTGACGCTTTTGCAATCCACCATTCGGATTGGCAAAAAGATTTGCACTGAATGAATGGATAGGATATCTACATCGAGGAAGTCCTCGTTGTCGATCAGCAGACAGAGCATGGCTTCGCAGGTCAGGCGTCATTCGAGCTACTTTACCTTCTATGCAGCTGTCCATCCGCGATGTAGTCATACGCTGTACATATATTGGGCCTTGTGGGAGGTTGCTTGCTGCTGCTTTCCAGGGGCAGCGTCTGGGGAAGCACGACGAACTTCACTCAAACTCACGACCAGACTCCACTCCAGCTACAGACAGCATCCATCATCCTCCTGGCCTGCCATCGGGCAAATGCCTGTCCGCCCAGTCCGCATCGAAGCATCCAGGCAACATCGAATCCGCGCCCGTCTCTACTCCCCTTCCTCCTCCACACCGCCCACACGACTCTGTATCCTGGCACACCCTTACCCAACCTTCAGCTCCTACAACAATGAACTCATCGTCCTCCTTGCCGAACATCTCCAACAACTCAACTTCCTCGTCCTCACCTTCAACTTTCGTCGACAAAAGGGAACATGGTCAGGTCACTTGGAACGCTCTGACTATAGCTGTGCGTTGGATTGGTGTTTGATCAAGTTTCCTAATGTACAAGAAGTCATCTTGGGCGGATACTCCTATGGCGCGCTTGTGGCAAGTGCCTGTTTCCCACATCCGTTACCTGTGCTCCATGCCTTGGATGATGTTGTTGGTTTTGAAAGCCGAGCAGGCATGCTACCGCGACATCCTGGTCGTGCAAGTATCGGATCGCATGTCTCTGACGCACCGACGGAACATGCAAGGACACAACCTACCTCTGCGGATATGGAAGATGATGAAGCTGCGAATCGGCAGAGTATCGCACTTAATCGACATCGTACCTCTTCTGTGTTTGGTCGTGCGACACACTGGCTTCCCGGCACGCATGCGAGTCATCGTGGTGATGCCTTGCTAGCGGAGAATCTCACCAGAAAACTCAAAGTACGCTACCTCTTTGTATCGCTGCCACTCAGTGCATATCGCTACTCACTATGGATGTTCCCAAAACCCAGGCGAGCATGGGAGAATAAACGCCATTTACCAGCGAGTTCTATTGACAAGATTGATATCTTTGCCATTTGGGGGGATGAAGATGAGTTTTCATCCAAGGTACGCATCAAGCGCAAATTGAACAGAGCAAGTTGGCATGTCAGGTTGATTGAGGGATGTGGTCATTTCGTGGAAGAGGATGAGCATGTTCAGCAGTTGAAGGAACAGGTCGAGCGCTGGATTGACGGTGGACGAGACTAACACAGGCCTTGTGACAATTACATAGAGGTCTAGTCGTCAAACTTGAAAGACCGCGCTTGCTGGTCAATCGCTCCTCCTTTGTACGCACCACGCTTCTTCTTATTCTTCTCCTTTGTGAAGTTCTTGCCACGCGTCTTGAGCAAGTCCGCACTCGCTTTACTCCCAAATTCATTGTCTGGTCCACGATACGCATTATCACGCAACACATCATTCGCATACTCAATCTTTTCCGTGTTGATGCGAGAGAAGGGGATGTTTTGTTTTCTACCACTCGCTTTCGTCACCGTGACTTCTTGATCATGTGACGCGGTCGTCTTGGCCTTCTTTGCGGCACCTGTTGCTGCAACGGGCTGGATATTGACGATGGGATCTGCTTCATCCGAGTCTGCGTCTCGTGAACGTTTCTTGGATGAAGGCTTGGTTGTTGTCGTTGCGGCCTTGTCGGTATCACTGTCACTGTCACTGTCGCTGTCGCTTGATGACGAGTCGTCTGAGCTGGAGCTGCTGCTTGAAGAGCTAGAACTCGAGCTGCTGCTGGAGGAACTAGAGCTACTGCTGGATGAGCTGGAACTTGATGAGCTTGAGCTGCTGCTGCTGCTGCTGCTGCTGCTGCTGCTGCTGCTACTGCTGCTTGTATCAGATTCAGCCCCAGAGTCAGAGCCAGACTCAGACTCAGACTCAGAAACAGAAGCACTCTTCAAAACAGCGGCTCCCTGTGTCTCCTTCACATCGGCCTCGACAGTCTCGCTCGTGTCATTGTCAGAGGCTTCGCTCTCACTCTCACTGCTGCTAGAATCGCTACTTTCCTCCGACGTGCTTTCATCGCTACCGGCAGCAAACCACTCATGATCACCCAAGATATTCTGATGCTGCGTCCGCCAGTCCTTAAGCACTTTAAGCAATGAATGCGTCGGTTGGCGCACAAGCCAGTCTGGCGCGCTGCCCGAGCCTGTGTCGGCCGTTACTTTCTTGTTGAGGGACTTGGCGACATTGTCAAAGCCAGGGGTTTTGGATAAATAGCTGTAGATATAAGCTAGCAGGATCTTCTGCTCTTCCCGTTCTTTACTCATGCTTGAGAGTCTTGTTTGTGCAGTGGCTCATTGCTGCTGCTTCTTTACGATGTCAGATAAATTTGAACTTCTCACGCTCTCGACTTCCAGACCTATAGAAGCTAGTAACGGATTGCTTGAGATGCTACCACTTGGATGCTAATGGATTGATGAGCGGAGGAATCTCGCTGAACGTCGTGGTGATCTTCCGCTGCGAGACTGGCTCGTCCCTGCCTTGCCACCACCGCTCAATCTCTGCAACCCGTGCTGCATGCGTCTCGACAACTTCTTCCTGCAGGTACAAGCCTTCCACCACACCCACCCAGTCCTTATTTTGCATGTCTACCGGTGGCTTCACTTGCCCACCACCATTGATGCAACCAGACTCGCACGCCATAACTTCAACGTAATCGTAATCCACGCGCTTCACTTGTCGTCGAGAGTTTGTTGCTTTGGGTGCCATCTTTTGTGTGAGTGAGGTGATTTGTCGAAACCCATACGCTTCTGCAAATCGCAGCAATGTCTGCCCGTCAGAGTCAAGCAATTCATATTCCTTAAGCTTCGGTGATCGCTGCTTCGTGATGCGTATCCGGGGATCATCCTCGACCGAACCAAGTCGTATACCATGTAAAGCCCATGCCGCCTCCTTCATGATATGCGCAAGATATCCACCAGATGAGCTACCGGGCTGCCTTCCACTCTCCGGCCCGAACGACGACCCATCCTCCTGCAACTCACGAAAGAGACACCCAGACTCTCGAATCATCTCGACGACTTCAGCAGACGTCACAACGGTATCCACATCACGCACCTCTTCCTCTTGAAATTCCTGTCGTGAGGCCTCTAGCTTCTTGTCGAAACACGGCATGATGGCCACATGCACCACCTCCCGCCTCGCACAGCCCAGTTCACGTGTCAGCACGTCCTTCAGCATTCGACCCGTCAATTGCTGCGGTGATCGAACACGGCTGATGGCAGGGAGGATACTTGATTTTTGCTTTTCTGCATAACAGATCCAGCCGGGACATGCACCTGCAAGAAGCGGTCCAGTGATACCTTCCTTTCGGCGTCGTAAGAACTCTTGTGAAGCGTGATGGAGGCTGACTTCACGGCCTGGATTGGTGGAGACGACGTGTGTGAAGCCAAGTGATTTGAGGAGTGTTTTGAGCTTACGGAAGGTGGTGGTGCGTGGGAGGTTGAAGGACGCGGCAATGGAGGCGATAGATTGCGGTGAAATACTCGCTACCACGATACGTGTCCTTCCAGACGGCGACACAGCATCCACCGTGACTTCTGCAAGAACACGCGCGACCTCGCTCCAGGACTGTAGTCCAATCAAGACAGACTCAGCCGTGGTGACACACCCAGAACAGGCAAGACAATCATTGAGTGTGATACTGGCCGTTTCAAGCGCATGTTCAGTTCCATCTTTCCCAACTTCCCAGTGTTTCCCTGCCTCATCTACTTTGATGCTCGAGTCTTGCTGTGTCTTGTGGACTTCCACGGGCTTAACGCAATCTTGTGCCGGTAGGAAGAAGTCATTGAGCGCGTCTTCACTGAGTAGCGGCATGCAATCACCCGCTCGTGCTCAGCAAAAGTCAATAGGAGAAGGCGACCTGAGGTAAATACCTGTGCGAAAAAGCTTGCAGATGCGATGCAAGGAAAGATGTGTGGCAATGGCTGCTTGATACTCGTCAATGTCTCGTGCTGACCAAAAAAATGCGGCGATGCAAAATCCTTTGAGATGGGCAAGTCTGACTGATTTTCAGCCCGGGATTTTCACCAAGCCGGTACGGGTTGTCGCTCAAGCTGGCGAAACTTGCCTGTATCAAAGGATTACGACTCTACACAATTGTAAGGCCGCAGGGTGAGCTGCGACCTCACATCGGCTCGGAGGCCTCACCGATCAGATGGCATGGCACGTGCTCCCGGACTGGCTGTGCTGGCAACTCCTTTATATGCTCTCTTCTTACTTTTCCCATACTTTAATCTCATCCACATCATTCTCAGGCCTACTACATACGTATAGTTGCTGGAGTGGTGAAAGTGGAGGAGCAGCGGCGTAAGGAACCTAAGGCCTTACAGCAACGCACACATGCACCATTACTGTCGTTGAGAAAATTAAGACAATCGGCGCAGTCCATAGCTCTAGGCCTGGAAGTCAACATCTCGAGAACTGTCGCGCATGCCGATCGGTAGGTCAAGACTATTGAGTAGATGAAAGTCTTTGCTCACAAGTGCTTAGCGAACGGCCAGGAACAACATCTCGAGAACTGTCGCGCATGCCGATCGGTCGGTCAAGACTAGTGGATGAAAGTCTTTGCTCACAAGTGCTTAGCGAACGGCCAGGAACATGCAGCGCTCTAGGACTCGAGATATGAAGCTCCCATGGGAGTAGTGCTTCAAGGTTTGCTAATTTCGTGGCAGCTCGCCAACCCGAAAGCAGGATGGACATCGCTTGATCTAAGACTCCCTTGCTATGGACACGGTCAGCTCTATGTTGCTTTTTCGAGAGTGATGGATGTGCCAGACCTATATACATAGCAAGAGAGAGACAAGATCACAGAACAAGGAATGTGGTCTACCCTGAAGGTCTCTTCATACGCCGTCAGCAGAAAAGTGACTTTGACGACGTCTCCGGTCTTTAGCTCTGGAGGCGCGATTGGCTTGTTCTCTTCACCGTAACCTGATGAAGATGCGCCACCATTGATGAAAACATGCTTGGCAGAAGTCTTGCCACTCTGCCATTTCTTCATCTTCAGATTGCGTCGCTGCTGGTTGATTGAGCAGAACTTCGGGATAGACAACGTTCCTTGTTCTGTGATTCTGGTCTCTCTCTTGCAATGTACATAGGTTTTGCACATCCATCACTCTCGAAAAAGCAACATAGAGCTGGGCGTGTCCAAAGTTGGGCACGAAATCAAGGCTTGGTATTCGTCGTACCATATTGCGAATGACCAGGACTCCTCGGCCAATCCGAATGGGCTGTGCGTCGAGGTAACAGATTTGTAGCATTTAACGCGACCTGTTGTGAGTCCAGTCAACCGACCTATCTTGAGCAACACTTGTCTAAATGAGCAGCCCATCTGATCTGGATGGCCCGATCTGGTCGTTCGCATCATGGAACGAAGAATACCAAGCATCAGTCTCTGCCTCAGGTGGTTCTGCAGCGGCGATCTTCCTGGATGGGGATCTCAAAGCTGTTGGCTTTCTATTTGGTGAGGCTATGGTTGATGTAGAGACACAGTAGATTCTCAAATTCGTCAACATGACGCTTTTCCAAAGTATTGTCGAAATCGCGACTTTGCTTGACATCGAATGCTTGGACGCTTAGTGAAGACACACGTCGAGTTGTTGTCCACATGATTACGCAGCTATAGCCTGTATTGTACTACACTCCGCTGACGAACAGCTTCAATTGTCAATTCACTTGCGCTTTGCTTCTTGGATCGGCACAAAAAGTACTTGCGCCAATATGCTGAGCTAGGTCTCTGCTGTCTGTTGGTGCTGAGCATTTGAGCAGGCGGAGAGCGTAATTTGTGCTTCCATGCTTCCCGCTATGCGTTGCCTGATCAGATTGTTCATTCACGTACGCAATCAGCCTGTTGGACCACAAAGGGCAGCCAAGCATCCTCATCGTTGCTTCCGAACCCAACCGTGTGAGAGGACTACTAGACAGCATATATGGCGGACTTCCTATCGTCTTTCTCACAGGCGTAGTGAGCACGCGCGCCTCACCAGCCGATCGGTCGACAGACTGCAGAAATCTAAGCCAACACATCGGCGCCAGTATTCGATGTGCAGATGATCCGCATGCTGGGACGTTGGGCTTATTAGTTCAGCAAAAGTCGACCAAGGCCGTCTACGCTTTGACTTGTGCCCATGTAGCACAGCCAGTTCCGGTAGTGCCGAGTGTGCCCGCTAGCTTCCAGCCGTGTCGCATTGTCTGCCCTGCTGAGAACAATCTGATTGACATTCTCGAAAGGCTTGACTTAACTATCGCCAGGGAGGAACTCGAATTGTCTTGCTACGAAAGGGATCCTCAAAAATGGCTGGCGCACTGCCGCTCGATGTCGAGAAGGACTAGAGGCCCAGAGTCAACAGCAACGAAACACGCTTTTGGCGCAACACGACTTTGGCACGGTCTATGCAATGGATATCCATCTCACCGACCCTGGACAGGGCTATTACAGCGATTGTACTTGTGCGCGTGGCGTTCACAGGAAGAAGACGAATCCTATTGACGGTCCCTGCGACGGCTTCGTGGACCCGGAGTCTTCACTAAGCGTCCAGGCATTCGATGTCAAGCAAAGTGGCAACTACGACAATACTTTGGAAAAGCGTCAAGTCGACGTATCTGGGTCCATATTGTGTCTCTACCTCCACCATGACCCCACCGAACAGCAAGCCAACAGCCTTGGACTCCCCATCCAAGAAGATTGCCGCTCCAGAATCACCTGAAGTGGAAACTGAGGCTTGGCAATCTTCGTTCCATGTTGCGAACGACCAGAACTCCTCGGCCAATCCGAACGGGCTGTGCATTGAGGCAACAAACTTGTAGCCGTTGACGCGACCTTTTGTCAGACCAGTCGACCGACCTATCTTGACCAACATTTGCCTGTACGTCAATGTCTCAGGGTCCAGAAAGCCGTCGCAGACATGATTGCGGAAATCGATCATATTCCTTTCGATGGAGACATTCGCTGCATCAGCCACGCGCACTAGAGCACAATCGCTGTAAAAGGGATTCGACGGAGTGGGCAGATGGACATTCATAGCGCAGACCGTGCCAAAGTCGTGTCGCGATAGAAGCGTAGCTCGCTGCTGACGACTGTCGGCGAGTGCTTTTCGGCAGAGAGCGGTAGCGCGCCATTTTGGGGGATCAGTCTCGCAGCAAGCCAATTTAGTTTCCTGCTTGGCGATGGTAGTGTCAAGCCAGGCGAGCATCTCTCTCAAGTCGGCATCAGCAGGGCACACAATTCGGCACGGCTGAAAGCTGTCGGGCACACTCGGCACTGCTGGAACTGGCTGTGCTACATGGGCGCAGGTTAAGGCGCAGACAGCCTTAGTAGACTTTTGCTGAACGAATAAGCCCAACGTCCCGGCGTGCGAATCACCTGCACATGAGATACTGGCGCCGATCTGCTGAGTGAGGTTTTTGCTGGCCGTCGTCCAATCGGCTGGTGAGGCGCGCGTGCTCACTACGCCTTTGAGAAAGACGACAGGAAGTCCGCCATATGTGCTGTCCAGTAGTCCCCTCACACGGTTGGGTTCGGACACAACGATCAGGATGCTTGGCTGCCCCTTATAGTCCACCAAGCTGATTGCGTACGTGAATGAGGCATCTGCCTTCATCAGGCGACGCATGATGGGCAGGATGGAAGTACAGATTGCGCTCTCTGCCTGCTCAAATTCAGCGCTGCGTGCAAGGGTGCGCAGCACAACATCGTATACCGGGAATGTACTCATATTCCATGCGGAAGATGATTGAGAGGAGAGCAGACTTCCCTCCTTGGGCAACCCAGCTCTGCTAGTTCTTCCATTCGAGACAAAGAAGTCTGTGATGCTCCTCTGGGTCAGCCTCGCTGGCGCCGTTTGCGGTCGCTTGCGATTGTTCTGCATCATAGTGTTGTGCCTGTCGAAGAAGACGTCCTGATGAGGAGATAGCGAGTCAGACACAGTCTGTGGCTTCTAATATGCGAGCTCGCCCTATGTAGGGAGCTTGTAGATAGCCTGCCTCGTCCAGCCTTACATAGGTTTGTCTAGAGCTTTTGTGAAATTGCTCACTATGAGTCAGTACTGAGCACGTGTGCCGTGGTTTCACAGCTGCGCAGTATGCTCCAGGCTGTCTCATCTAGTCAGAGCAATGATGCGGCAGAGGTGTTTGCCAAACCCGCGTATGGTAGTAGTCTTTGAGAAGCACGCCTCATGCTGCTCTCCATAGATCCTTTGATATTGGCAATTGTATCCAGGTGTCGTGCCGTCTCGGTTTCCATCGAAAAGTTGAATTGCCTCCATCAAAGGATCTGGGCAGGGGAGCATGGATGTCATCGCCGCATTCTCGTGGAAGTCTACTTGCACACCCAACAAAACACCCTTGGAAGCTAGACACGAGCTACAATATGGTCAAGGAAGCAAGCAAAGTCATCTCTGAGTTCAATGAGCTCGTCAACATGACCCCAGAAGACCTCAAAGCGTGGCTCGAGACAGAAGACTCCAAATCAGCAGGGTGGACGGGCAGCAGTGGCGATTCCGGTGAGACAGTCGGGCATGATTCTGGCAACAAGATCATCAAGATCCTTGAAAGTAATCCAGACAGGCAGGAAGACAAGTATGCCGAGGAGGATATCGACCATATGCGCAAAGTGGTCAGTTACTGCAAGCGTCACCTGGCACAGGAGGAAGGGATGAAGGAGCGCAAGTCAGAGGCAGAACTCAAGGAGACCAAGAGTTACAAGTCGCTCAAGAACTGGGGACACGACTCGTTGAAGAAGGCGTCGAAGGCTGGTGGCAGCAGTAAGAAGGACACAAAGAAGAAGGAGGATGACAAGCAGGAAGACGAGGAGAAGGAAGAGAAGAAGGAAAAGAAGGCAAAGAAGGATGAAGAAACACCTGCCGCTGGTGACAAGCGCAAAGCAGATGAAGCACAGGATGAAGAAGAGAATGCTGATGCTGAAGCTGATGCGCCAAAGCCAAAGAAGGCGAAGGAGGACGAGGGCAGTGCTGGGGAGAAGGAGACTGAGCAGGAGGCGGCAGCTGAGCCTGAAGCAGAGAAGACAGAGACAGAGACTGCTGCTGAGTCTGAGGGCAAGAAGGAAGCATAGATCTAGAGCAGACATTGCATGGACATCTTCGCAGTTACAGATCTAGAGTAGACAATGGACACCTTCACTGTTACAGATCCAGAGTAGTCAATGGGCATCTTCACTATTACATATCTAGAGTAGACAATGGACATCTTCACAGTTGCATATCCAGAGTAGACATTGCAAGGACATCTTCAGTGTTACACAGATGCGCAGTTGCACCCCGCAGCACTTGATCCGCCGCTCACTCCCAAAATTCTCCGCGCAGAGCAAGCACACATACGCACGGTCCACTTGGCCCTTGAGCTTCTCTATAGATGTTTGCATCCCAGTAGTCGTCAGCAGCAGCAGCACCATGACAGGCAAGGCGCCCGGTGACATCGAAATGGCAGGTCTCGACATACGCGCCATCGACCACCAGAAACCAATTCTGCGTACGCCCAATCGCACAACACGCGCTGCCATTCGGCACTTCTTTTGCTACCCAGAGCCCCATCTCAAGATTCGCCCAACGGCCTGGCTCGATGGACTTCGTGGAGCAGCGGCATTTGAAGTACTCGTGTACCATTACCACCTCAAATTCCTTGGGCAAGACTATAATCCTGCCTATGGATCCCGTGTCGATACACGGCAATGGTGGCGGCTTCCTTTCATCAGAAACATTTTCCATTCAGGCCATTCTATGGTCAATGTCTTTTTCATCATCTCTGGTCTAGTCCTAACACAACGCTCCCTCAGCCTCATCCGAACGAAACAACATGCAAAACTCTATCCAGCCATTTCATCTGCTATGTTTAGGCGTGGTATTCGGATATACTTACCTGCTGTGATCGTCTCCTTCTTTGGTATGCTCACCATTGCTTTCGGAATACGGCATGATCAGCATATTGAACAGCCGTCATTCCTTGGGCAAGTCTGGCACTGGATGATCGCCTGTCGCGATTTCGCCAACCCCTGGCATGACTATGACCATGCCTATGATCTGGTTCACAAGTATGAGCATACCATGTGGACCCTACCGCTCGAATTTTATGGCAGTTTGGTGTGTTGGGTCACATTACTCACAGTGTCGCGCATTGCCGATACACGGAAACGGACAGCTGTTGTGCTCATGCTGTGCTATTTCAGCTTTGTCAAGGGCAACTGGTGGTCTCTCAACTTTCTCTGGGGAATCTTACTCGCTGATTTTCTACTCTACCAAGAAGCCGAAGCAGCAAGCCAACCCACAGGGCGTCTGAGACTGGCAATCAAAGCTGTCTGGTTCGCACTGCTCATTTGGTGCCTGTATGTCTGTGGCCTGCCTGATGCGCATTACGCAGACTATTCCCTGCCTGGATTCGACTGGTATTACCATCACGTCCCACAATCATTCAGATTCATTGAAGAAGGAGGTCGTTTCTGGTGGATGATCTCTGGCAGCTTGCTGGTGGTTTGCATCTCCCAGCTCCCACCCGTCAAGCTTTTGTTTGAATGCAGACCATTGCAGTATCTCGGCAAGATTTCCTTCATGATGTACCTCGTCCACACGTACGTCTTGGAACTCGTCGGCGTGCACTTCAAGGATTTCGTTTCTAGTCTGGTATCAACACCGCTGGATGTTCCGTCGTTGGATGGCAAAGGAACCATCACCTTCATGGTCCCGCAAGGCAGAGCTGCCAATTACTTTGTCTATTTTGCATTTTGGTCATTCAACCTTCCCCTTGTCTTTGCTGTTTCAGGTTGGGTCACGCGATATGTTGACGATCCCTCCATTCGCTTTGCAAAATGGCTAGAAGGACAGTTCGTGGACGATGCATAGATTTTGCAGAACGCAGCTGTTCACTTGTAGCATCCACTGTCTTTCAACTTTCTAGCATTTTCCGGCGCTCAGGAGTCGTCGACTGCTCCTGATTTTTTCAGATGACAAGTGTGTTTCTGCTTTTACGTTTCCGCCACAGATTGATGACGATTGAGCGGTGCCAGAGCCAGACCATTGTATAATCGCATCATTCAGGTCATCTTTAATCGGCTGGACACAATTGCTGCCATTCACCAATTATGAGGACAGACTTCCCCTGACAAGGGGCACACCTCCCATGTCACATCAATTTGGGCCAATTCACAAAGGACACGTTGCGATGCAGCGACGAGGCTTTTTCCCTCTAAAACTACACGAACTAGTAAGACTGACAGTCCACCACGTCAACATGTCCGACAAGATGCCGGAGCCACCGGTGCAGGATGCCAGTGAGATTGAGCAACAGTCTGTGGAGCCTGATACTTGGATTCACCGGCTTATCTCCCCATCGTTGCGTACAGAGATCCGCTTGTTCTTCAACTACCCAGTGCAGGTGAAAGTTCACCGAACCACTTGGATTGATGGTCTTCGCGGCCTTGCTGCACTCGAAGTCTTCATCTACTTCCTCCATTGTCGCATGTTTGGCAAGGATGTGGATCGTACGTTTGGCTCAGAGGGCCGGACATCTCATCTTTGGCGATTACCACTCCTTCGAAACGTCTATGCATCTGGTGAAGCTATGCTCAATACATTGATGATGATCTCCGGTACTGTCATCACGTATGGCTACTTGCGCAAGATCCGAGATGGTGAAACAGAACGCATCTATTCAGCCATCCTTGGCAGTATGTTTCGACGAGTGATTCGACTTTACTTGCCTATCCTCATCCTCACATTCATCACCGCACTCATGGTTGCCCTGGATCTGCGTTACTATGAAGAGCACGCAAAGGACAACTTCATCATGCAACTTTGGCATTGGGCAAAAGCTAGCGTGGCGTTCTGCAACCCTTGGCGTAAGATCGTGGTCCACTCTGAAATGAGCCACGGCTACAAATATGGTACATGGGCAGTGCCACTCTCAATCTTTGCAAGCTTCGTCTGCTACTCGACCCTCTTTGTCGTGTCCTGGCTCAGTAAGGCTCGCTACCGTCTTGTCATTGAGCTGGCTGTTCTCTACTACTACTTGTCGACTGGCACTTGGTGGACCAGCAATTACCTCTTTGGCATGCTGTTTGCAGAGTTTTTGCTTTGGCAGGAATCTCGCACTGCAGAGGAGACGCCAGAGCCCGTCATCACTGTTGCAACGCCACAATTCTGGCTGCAAGGACTTTGGTGGATCTTATTTGTTGTGGCATGGTACCTGTGCGGCATGCCCTTCAAGGTCCCTAGAGCTGAGAAACACCTGCCTGGTTTCAACTGGTTCTTTGACCATGTCCCGAAAGAATTCAGCAAAACGGAACATCTTGGTCGTTTCTGGCTCATGCTGGGTGGTAGTCTGTTGGTGATTTGCGTCTCCCAGCTACGAGTCTTTCGTCGTCTTCTCGAGGGTCGATTCCTACAGCATGTGGGTAAACACTCGTACATGCTGTTCCTCATACAAACAGATGTGATTGAGCTCTTTGGTGATCCCCTCGCATCCCTCATCAAGCATGATGACATGGACAATGCGCCTCACGCATGGCTTGTCTCTGGGTATATCCTCTATTGCGCCACCATGGTGCCAGTCACTCTGTACGCTGCGGGTCTTGCCACCAAGTATATCTATGCGCCTTGTGGGCGATTAGGTGAGTTCCTGGAGAAGCATGGCGTGAATGAGCTGGTCAAAGCGTTCAAGGAGCTCAAACTCTTGTTCTTCAAGAGGAAGTGATGGTTGCCCTTCCAGCGGCCCAGTAGCAAGCTATAGTCTCTTTCGTAGTTGAGTCGTACGATCCATCTCGTGAACTTTCATGCTTGACGGCCTAGAAGTCAAACCCCAGACGACTCGGACGACTCTACGAGGAATCGCTTGACTACAACTTTGAGATCAGACAACTCAGCCACTATGGTTGAATTGAATGCCATGACTAGCAAAGACTATCCCATTTGTACGGCATGTGGGCAGCAGTACGGCGGCTTGTCTACACCTGCCAACTGTTTCATTTGCCAAGACGCTCGCCAGTTTGTGCCTTCTCATGGCCAAACGTGGACCACATTGAAGAAGATGAGAGAAGACAACTACAAGAATGTCTTCACAAAGCTACCGCACAATGGCGATCTGGCTGCCTGGTCCATTCACACCGAACCAAAGTTTGCCATTGGTCAGCGCGCCATTCTCTTGTTAGATGAGCACGAATCAAATACGCTATGGGATTGTGTCGCCTACTTGGACGACAATACTGTCGGTTGGATCAAGGAACAGGGAGGCATTGGGCGTATTTGCATCTCTCATCCGCACTACTATTCCACTGCGCTGGATTGGGCTGCCGTCTTCGACTGCCCCATCTTTATCTCCAAAGCTGATGAGATGTGGATCACCAGACAGCCACAGCCAGAAGATCAGATGGACAGGAAGAGAAGCTGGTCATTGCTTTCCACGGAAGTAGAACCCGTGACTCAAGACTTGAGCTTTTGTCGCATTGGTGGTCACTTTGATGGCAGCGCTGTGCTCCACAGCAAACGCCACGAGGCCATCTTCACAGGCGATACAATCTCCCTGACTCCTGCGAATCGACGCATCACCATCATGTGGTCGTACCCAAATATGATTCCGCTCGATGGCAAGACAGTAGCGGAGGTTTGCTGGCCGAGATTGGAACGCCTGGCCTTCAGCAATATCTACAGCAAGTTTGTTGGAGAGGATCTGCTGAATGGTGGAAAGGAGATGGTCAGAAGGTCTTTCGAGGAGTATTGTTCCAAGCTCAATACGCCAACGGATGCTTTCAAAATGGGCATTGAACAACTGCTTGAGTAGAGCCTGACCAGTAAGGCGTCAGAGAGATTGCTGAAGTAGCAAAACTGATGGCGATGAATTTGGAAGGATGTCAATTAGGAAGCAAACTACGTTCTGCTATAGGATGAAGCTCTGCAATTACGCGTGTTGAACGCGTCATGATGCTGCAGTCGTTGAACTGGATTTGGCCATCAGACTGGGCTCCTTCAATCCTCATCCGCTGGGTCGCCTTGCTCAGTAGTCGAGCAGTCCAGATAATGGCATGCAACATGCCACCAGAGATCATTCTTTTTGTTGGAGCTGGTGTAAGCGCATTGGACATAAGGAGGTTCGCGGGGTCCCTTTGTGTTTTTCAATCGGTTGAGGTCCTTTTCTGAGAGTTGATGTGTCTTTGATTTTACAGACTCACCGTATGCCTTTACCCCCGCCCGCATCTCTTCGTTTTGAGGGAAATTGGCTGAGCCGGTTGGCTCCCACCCTTGGCTGCAGTAGTGCAAGACTTGGATGCTTTTGTCTTCCGCAAGCCGGTTTTTGGCCCGCGCCGGGATGAAGCCTTCAAGTTCGTGCGTGACCTGCACTATCCAGCAAAGATAAGAGTCCTTGTGAGCGATGAATGAACAGGGTTGCAACATTGGCGTCAAACCGTCGTCGTCCACGTAAAGCAGTACACGACAGCTGTCTTTCTTGGCGATAGAAAACCCATCATGGCGCATTTTGCCGTTGTAGCCGTCCGCAAAGGGATATGGTACCAAAAACCTCTGACATCCGCCCGCGTTCACATGTGGCGCGCAGTCCATGCTAAGCAACAAGACAGCTAGAGCTTCTCCTCCATGCTTGAACATTCGCATCACTGGCTGGCTGTCACTCTTGGAAGTGCTTTTGCGTGCGGGAGAATTGAATGTTTCTTTTCAAAGTGGGAGCTGAACTGGCGATGGATGCCTTTTGTAGGGTGACTTTCGTACTGCAAGTATACAGCACTATACACGTGTGCAAATATGGTGGTACCCCTGAAATCATCTCGGGCAAAGTAAAATTGGATGAAGCAAACAAAAGCTGAAAACTGAGAAACGTGATTGTGAGCAGCAATAAGCTTGAGCTGTTTGATCTGGACTATGCGTGGATATATGGATATACATACAGTGATGACGTGGATGGTGAGGTGTTAAGCAAAAGCAACCTGAGAAGTGCAATAGGATTGATACGGATGAGGAGCCGAGCAGAGGCGCATGCTCCCTACGAACTAGTACGAAGTAGGACAAGGGATGACAATCACGTGATAGCACGCGATACATGGTAGAGAGACGCGCTAGCACGTCAAGCCATGTGACTGAGTGTTTGACTTAGGAGTCCCAGTGCATCCCCTGACCACTTGCTTCCGCTGCTGTCTCTCTGCCAAGTCAGTGCTTATGGACGTGACCTTTAGTTTAGTCTTAGCTGGCAAGAGTGCTATACTCTTGTCCCCTATTCGAATCAAGTCTTATCTGCAGCTGCCCTGCGTGCCTGTGTCTATCACCTACAACTACAGCCTCGATATCCGCCAACTCCGATTATTGATTGCTCAACATTGTTAGTCGGCGCCAGCATCCAAGCATTTGTCGTTGCCACCGACTGTCAGCCGATCGAACATTTGGCAGTTTCCAACAACTCCTGTATGATACCTGCTTGCTTGCCATTTCTTTACCAGAGAGGCCATAGTGTTCGCGCAGTTTGCGTAAGGCCTGTCAGTGGCTTGACTATATAAGCTGGAGGCTGGCGCTCAAGTCGATGCCGGGGGAACGGAGATATCACACATCAGAATGCCGGGGGCTGTCAGGGGCAGTAAGTGCGAAGGGCAGCGTGTCCACTACAACACGACTCTTGTGGAGCAGCTCTCAACCACGAGCACCATCTACGCCTTGCCTCGGCATACTGAGCGTCAACAAGCAGATCCACCACGGTATCAAGGTTTGTTTGCGACAAATAACGGCGATTTGCATTCGGTTTCTGCTATTCGTTGCGATGATCTCGGTGTTATTGTTGTTTGTCGACTTGTTTCTGTCCATATCCACCAGCAATGACGATGAAGCTAGCACGACATTCCAGGAGGCGAGCCGCTCGTCTGTTAAGCAAGTTGCTTCCAAGGAGCACAAGTGGAGCATAAAGACTACAGTTTCCTGGTTATCAGGCAAGCAGAGAGCATTTCATCGACAGTCTGCGGCAAGAAGACGCATGACTTTGCGTGAGAAGCTGCGAGAAGACTTTCCTTACGACGTCAGAAGCGTCCTTCCTGCGCCGTGGCGGACTGAGTTCTGGCGGAAAGGCCACGTCCTCTTCGTCGAGCGTATCTACCGTACACGCGCGATTGCCACAAAACGCCTTCATCTGGCAGACCCGGAAAGTTGGGCCAGACCACAAGGACTGGGATGAAAACTTGAAAGATCACATGTCGACATGGACAGAGCAGCATCCGCATTATACTCATGAGATCATTACAGATGACGTGTCGCGACTGCTCATGCATCACCTGTTTGCCATGACGCCAGTGGTGGTCGAGGCGTATGATGCGATGCCCCACGCCGTATTGAAAGCAGACCTCTTTCGGTATGCCATTCTGCTCGCGCGCGGAGGCACGTATACCGACGTCGACACCAGATGCTTGAAATCGATTTGGGAATGGGTGCCGCCTCATTTTCCAAGTGATACTTTCGGACTCATGGTTGGCATGTCAGTGAGATTGAGCGACAGTCTGTGGAGACTGACACTTGGTTTCACCGGCTCATATCCCCATCGGTGCGTACAGAGATCCGCTTGTTCTTCAATTACCTAGTGCAGGTGAAAGTTCACCGGTCCACTTGGATTGATGGTCTTCGCGGCCTTGCCGCACTCGAAGTCTTCATCTACTTCCTCCATTGTCGCATGTTTGGCAAGGATGTGGATCGTACGTTTGGCTCAGAGGGCCGGACATCTCATCTTTGGCGATTACCACTCCTTCGAAACGTCTATGCATCTGGCGAAGCTATGCTCAATACATTGATGATGATATCCGGTACTGTCATCACGTATGGCTACTTGCGCAAGAACCGAGATGGTGAAACAGAACGCATCTATACAGCCATCCTTGGCAGTATGTTTCGACGAGTGATTCGACTTTACCTGCCTATCCTCATCCTCACATTCATCACCGCACTCATGGTTGCCCTGGATCTGCGTTACTATGAAGAGCACGCAAAGGACAACTTCATCATGCAACTTTGGCATTGGGCAAAAGCTAGCGTGGCGTTCTGCAACCCTTGGCGTAAGATCGTGGTCCACTCTGAAATGAGCCACGGCTACAAATATGGTACATGGGCAGTGCCACTGTCAATCTTTGCAAGCTTCGTCTGCTACTCGACCCTCTTTGTCGTGTCCTGGCTCAGTAAGGCTCGCTACCGTCTTGTCATTGAGTTGGCTGTTCTCTACTACTACTTGTCGACTGGCACTTGGTGGACCAGCAATTACCTCTTTGGCATGCTGTTTGCAGAGATTTTGCTTTGGCAGGAATCTCGCACTGCAGAGGAGGCGCCAGAGACCATCATCACTGTCGCAACGCCACGATTCTGGCTGCAAGGACTTTGGTGGATCTTATTTGTTGTGGCATGGTACCTGTGCGGCATGCCCTTCAAGGTTTCTAGAGCTGAGAAACACCTGCCTGGTTCCAACTGGTTCTTTGACCATGTCCCGAAAGAATTCAGCAAAACGGAACATCTTGGTCGTTTCTGGCTTATGCTAGGTGGTAGTCTGTTGGTGATTTGCGTCTCCCAGCTACGAGTCCTTCGACGTCTTCTCGAGGGCCGATTCCTACAGCATGTGGGTAAACACTCGTACATGCTGTTTCTCATACAAACAGATGTGATTGAGCTCTTTGGTGATCCACTCGCATCCCTCATCAAGCATGATGATATGGACAATGCACCTCACGCATGGCTTGTCTCTGGGTATATCCTCTATTGCGCCACCATGGTGCCAGTCACACTGTACGCTGCGGGTCTTGCCACCAAGTATATCTATGCGCCTTGTGGGCGATTAGGTGAGTTCTTGGAGAAGCATGGCGTGAATGAGCTGGTCAAAGCGTTCAAGGAGCTCAAACTCTTGTTCTTCAAAAGGAAGTGATGGTTGCCTTTCAAGTGGCCCAGTAGCAAGCTATAGTCTCTTTCGTGATTGAGTCATACAATCCATCTCGTGATCTTTCATGCTTGATGGCCGAGAAATCGACCTCAGGTGACTCGGACGACTTTACGAGTAATCGCTTGACTGCAACTTGGAGATCAGACGACTCAGCCACTATGGTTGAGTTGAATGCCATGAAGAGCAAAGACTATCCCATTTGTACGGCATGTGGGCAGCAGTACGGCGGCTTGTCTACACCTGCCGAATGTTTCATTTGCCAAGACGCTCGCCAGTTTGTGCCTTCTCATGGCCAAACGTGGACCACATTGAAGAAGATGAGAGAAGACAACTACAAGAATGTCTTCACAAAGCTACCGCACAATGGCGAACTGGAAGCCTGGTCCATTCACACCGAACCGAAGTTTGCCATTGGGCAGCGCGCCATCCTCTTGTTAGATGAGCACGAATCAAATACGCTATGGGATTGTATCGCTTACTTGGACGAGGAGACTGTCGATTGGATCAAAGGACAGGGAGGCATTGGGCGTATTTGCATCTCTCATCCGCACTACTATTCCACTGCGCTGGATTGGGCTGCCGTCTTCGACTGCCCCATCTTTATCTCCAAAGCTGATGAGATGTGGATCACCAGACAGCCACAGCCAGAAGATCAGATGGACAGGAAGAGAAGCTGGTCATTGCTTTCCACGGAAGTAGAACCCGTGACTCAAGACTTGAGCTTTTGTCGCATTGGTGGTCACTTTGATGGCAGCGCTGTGCTCCACAGCAAACGCCACGAGGCCATCTTCACAGGCGATACAATCTCCCTGACTCCCGCGAATCGACGCATTACCATCATGTGGTCGTACCCAAATATGATTCCGCTCGATGGCAAGACAGTAGCGGAGGTTTGCTGGCCGAGATTGGAACGCCTGGCCTTCAGCAATATCTACAGCAAGTTTGTTGGAGAGGATCTGCTGAATGGTGGAAAGGAGATGGTCAGAAGGTCTTTCGCGGAGTATTGTTCCAAGCTCGATGCGCCAACGGATGCTTTCAAAATGGGCATTGAACAACTGCTTGAGTAGAGCCTGACCAGTAAGGCGTCAGAGAGATTGCTGAAGTAGCAAAACTGATGGCGATGAATTTGGAAGGATGTCAATTAGGAAGCAAACTACGTTCTGCTATAGGATGAAGCTTTGCAAGTACGCGTGTTGAACGCGTCATGATGCTGCAGTCGTCGAATTGGGCTTGGCCATGAGACCCTGTCCGGCAGGGCTCTTGCTTTCCACTTTGGCGACTAGGGCCTGCGGCAACCCAAATATTCGCATTTGACATGCAACCAGAGATCTTCCTTTTTGGTGTTGGAGTAAGCACATTGGACTTTCGCAAGGGGTGTCCCGTTCGTTAGGTCAAATTTCTTTTGGTCTTTTGGGGTGAGTTGGTTTGTATACACAAAGTTAGCGTATGCATATACTCCCGCCTGCAAGGAATAGTCCGCTGGAATCTTGAAATCCGTGTATGGATCAGTGTGGAAGTTGGCTTTGCTGCAGAAATGGAAGATCTTTTTGTCTTTGTCAAGCGTGGTTAAGGCCGACGGTGGGACGATTTTTTCATTGCCTGCCGTCTGCACCACTATCCAGCAATCATATCCTTGGTCGATGATGGCTGAACAGGGTTTGAGTTTCAATAACTCTTTGATATTGTACTTGTGCTCGACATGGTCGTCAACCAGTACATTACAGCTGTCCTTCAGGGCGATAGAAAAGTTATCTTTGTGTAGCTTGGTGTTCCTGCTCCCTGGAAAGGGATACGGGACCAAGAACTTATGACATAAGCCCGCGTGCACGTACATTGCATAGTCCATGCTAAGCAACAAGACAGCTAGAACTTTCTCTCCGTTCCTGAACATTTGCATCATTGGCTGGCTTTCCCTCTTGGAAGTGCGTTTGCGTGCGGGAGAGTTGAAAGTTCTCTTTCGGAAGTGGGAGCTGAACTGGCGATGGACGCCTTTTGTAGGGAGACTTTCGTTCTGCAGGTACACACGTGTGCAAATAAGTTTGTACCCCTGAAATCATCTCGGACAAGGTTAAATTGGGTGAGGCAAACAAAATCTGAAAACTGAGAAACGTGATCGTGAGCAGCAATAAGCTTGAGCTGTTGATTTGGAGTGATGCGGTAGTGTATAGATACAGTGATGACATGGACGATGAGGTGTCAAGCAAAAGCGACCCGATAAGTGCAATAGGATTGATACGGGTGAGGAGCCGAGTAGAAGCGCATGCTCCCTGACAAGTAGAACAAGGGGTGATCATCACGTGATAGCACGCGATACATGGTAGAGAGACGCGCTAGCAAGTCAAGCCATGTGGTTGAGTGTTGATCTGCTTAACATTGTTAGTCTTCGCCAACTGCCAAGCATTTGTTGCTGCCACCGATTGTCAGCCGATCGAATATTTGGCAGTTTCAAACAACTGCTGCATGATAATTGCTTGCTTGCTATTCCTTTACCAGAGAGGTCATAGTGTTGCTCGGTTTGCAGTGATTTGACTACATAAGCTGAGGGCTGGCGCTCAAGTCGATGCCGGGGGAACGGAGATATCACACATCAAAATGCCGGGGGCTGTCAGGGGCAGTAAGAGCGAATGACAGCGTGTCCACTCCGACACGACTCTTGTGGAGCAGCTCTCAATCACTAACACCATCTGCGCCTTGCCTCGGCATACTGAGCGCCAGCAAGCAGATCCACCACGGTATCAAGGTTTGTCTGCGGCAAGACATGGCGATTCGTATTCGGCTTCTGCGATTTGTTGCGATGACCTCTGTGTTATTGTTGTTTATCGACTTGTTTCTGTCCATATCCACCAGCAACAAGAATGAAGCTAGCGCGACACTCCAGGAGGTGGGCCGCTCGTCTGTCAAGCAAGTCGCTTCCCAGGAACACAAGTGGAACATCAAGACTACGGCTGCGTGGTTATCAGGCAAGCAGAGAGCATTTCATCGACAGTCTGCGGCAAGAAGACGCATGACTTTGCGTGAGAAGCTGCGAGAAGACTTTCCTTACGACGTCAGAAGCGTCTTTCCTGCCTTCATCTGGCAGACCTGGAAAGTTGGACCAGACCACAAGGACTTTGATGAAAACTTGAAAGGTCACATGTCGACATGGACAGAGCAGCATCCGCATTATACTCATGAGATCATTACAGATGATGTGTCGCGACTGCTCATGCATCACCTGTTTGCCAAGACGCCGGAGGTGGTCGAGGCGTATGATGCGATGCCCCACGCCGTATTGAAAGCAGACCTCTTTCGGTACGCCATTTTGCTCGCGCGCGGAGGCACGTATACCGACGTCGACACCAGATGCTTGAAACCAATTTGGGAATGGGTGCCGCCTCATTTTCCAAATGATACTTTCGGACTCGTGGTTGGCATTGAAGCAGATACGCATGAGGACAATTGGCAGAGGCGACTAGCTCGACCACTGCAGATTACGCAGTGGACGATCAAAGCGAAATCAGGCCATGCTGCTCTCGTAGACGTCGTCGCCAGTATCACTGAAGCAATACTCGTCCTTAAGCGACAAGGTCTGGCTGCATCGATTCAATCAGCGCAAGTCGAGGACACGACTGGGCCTGGTTTGTGGACAGATGTTGTTTTTCGTCACCTCGGCTCGGATGAGTCTGAAAAGAGTCTACAAGGCATCTCGGGAGGAGCGATCAACTGGCGAGAAAAGCTGACGGGCACAAAGGAACAGCGCCAGTTCGGAGACGTCATTGTGCTGCCCATCACAAGCTTCTCGCCCGGGCTGGGGTCGATGGGGTCGAAGCCAGCCAGCGATGACATGGCGATGGTACAACACCACTTCCATGGGAGTTGGAGAAATCAGACTGGGTGGAAGAGCATCGCGTCTGATGATGCGGCGCCAAACCCCGAATGAGCTGCATTAGTTCTAAGTCCTTGACCTTTACTGTTGTTGAGAGCTTGTAGCACATTGACTTGCGCAAGCCAGCGGATCCTAGAATAGTCATTCTCAGTCATCAGCGAGCCTTTGCCTGCGCGTCGCAGTGCTAGCGCGAAATCGGTTCATTGTAGTCGTCTCGTGTCACAGTTTGTGGCCGTTGGGACTTGGCGCGTCGTCATTTTGCAACACAAAAATCATCAACAGCGACAGACCAAGTGTGCAAGCTTAGCTACGGCCTAAACAGCAGAGAGGACGAGTGGCAAATAGGAGGCAGATTGCTCGATCAAGGAGATACCTATCACGACTGTCGTCGCATTCTCGGCGCTGTCGACTATGCATTAGAAGCAGTTGACAAGACGTTGGCAGAGTGGCTGTGAGCTTCAGACACCGATAGCTGTCAGGAACCATTCAACATGGCAGTACGATTTCTACGCTTCGTCTCAATATCATCCCTCTTGCTGCTGTGCCTATGGTTGTTTCTGCCGAGGCTCGTAAGCCAGGAGGACGCTGCAGGTGATACGGTCAAGGTATTGGACCATGCGATAGTTGATGAAGCTGCTTCACAATCGCTCGACACCATCATCAACTCCGCACAATCGCGGCCGAATCGCAGGCGAAAATCACGCAGCACGCAACGATCCGTAGCGAGGACGCGCATGACCCTTGGCGAGAAGCTGCGATTTGACTTTCCATACGACGTTGAGGGCTTCTTCCCGGCCTTCATCTGGCAGACTTGGAAGACAACGCCTACCGACAAAGACTTTGGATTCCGGACACAAGAAGCCACATGGACGGAGCAGCACCCGACGTATGTGCATGAAGTCATCACAGATGAAGTGGCCCGCCTGCTCATCCATCACTTATTTGAAGCGACGCCCGAAGTAGTAGAAGCGTATGATGCCATGCCTCATGTCATTCTAAAAGCAGACTTCTTCCGATACCTGATCTTGCTTGCTCGGGGCGGCATTTACAGCGATATCGACACGGATTGCTTAAAGCCATGTTGGGACTGGGTGCCGGCACACTTTCCTTACGACACCTATGGCCTTGTCGTAGGAATTGAAGCAGATCCTGATCGCGAAGACTGGCACAAATGGTACTCTCGCCGGATACAATTGGTGCAGTGGACGCTGAGAGCGAAACCAGGCCATCCTGCGCTCGTTGAGGCGATTGTCAGTATTACAGACAAGATACTGTCTTTGAAGCAACAAGGCTTGCTTGCTTCCTATCCTCGAGACAGTGCCGTCGAACTGACTGGTCCTGCCATGTGGACAGATGCTGTGTTTCGCTACCTCAATTCAGAGGAAAGTGGAGCAAAACAGGCCAACAGTATGCAACTGGCATTGGGCCAGGCATTAGACTGGCGACAGATGACGGGCATGAAAGAGCAGCGACAGTTCGGGGATGTGATTGTGCTGCCCATCACTGGCTTCTCACCTGGGCAAGGGCATATGGGCTCTGAACCCTTTGATCATCCCATGGCGATGGTCAAGCACGACTTTGAAGGGAGTTGGAAGCCTGAGGATGAGCGCATGAAGGATAGAGATGAGAAGGGTCGGCCAATTCAATGGGATGACAAGGGCCAGATCATTCCATACCCGGAAGATGCTTGAAGGTTGTGGTCTACGTGATGTATCATTATGGCGGAGAACGTATATATAAGGGGTAAATAGTAGGATTTTCGATACCCCTGGATCTGTGTCGATGACTCGATGCTCAAGATGCACGGATGGCCTCCGGTTTCGGCCGAATCCGCTTGGCCGCGCACTTTCCCTGCTTTCCTAGCTGAGACTGCATGAGCATACGATATAGATGACCGTTGTGATAGCTTGAGTTCCGGAAAGCATAGCAATCTATTCATCAGTCAACCAAATTGCAGCTTTCGGTCGGCCATACGAAGCGCCAGACGAAGCACCAGCCTTTCGTGTTGCCCTTGCATACATTCGCATGGTTCACGATGGCTGGTGCGACGATTAAATTTATGAGCTTTCCAAGATTGATGTTGAGTGTCATGAGATCTCAGCTGTCATCTGGCTGTCAGATCTCAACCAGCTGCAGCAGATAAAGCTCCTCAACGACCGGCTCCCATCCATCGAGGCTCGCCATGTCTCTACTTCGCACCTCTCCTGCACAATGCTTACGCCATGCAACAAGGTCACAGGGCCACGCGTGGTCGTCCCTTGCATCTGCAGCTGGTTGGCGTGCGAATGCGCAGCGTGTCAGCAGCGATAAGCGTTCCCGATACCGCACCCACACATCCTCCAGCAACAAGTCTCCCTCCAACAAGGCCACGGAGAGGGCCAACAAGGAAGTACTTGAGAAACTACTACAAGCCCAACGAGACATGTCAGAGGCACAAATCGCAAAAGCCAAGCAGGCGAATGAAGAGCGGCGGGCGGCCCAGCGGGAGGCAGCCAAGACGGTCTCGTTGCAGATGCTAGGAGAAGCTGGCAAGAACCACTATTTCAGCCAGGATGCAAGTATCGAAGATCTCATGGACCGTAACAAGGCTTGGTCTGAGCGTGTTAAGAAGGAAGCTCCAGACTTCTTCCCATCATTGTCGTCCTCGCAGGCTCCCAAGATTCTGTGGATTGGATGCTCAGACTCGCGCGTACCAGAGACAACTGTGCTGGACCTTCTACCAGGCGAGGTCTTTGTTCACCGCAACATCGCCAATGTCGTTGCAAACGGCGATATGAGCATGCTGTGTGTTGTGCAGTTTGCTGTGGAGGTGCTGCAGGTCCAGCACATCATTGTCTGTGGACACTACGGCTGCGGCGGTGTCAATGCTGCACTGGGTACCAATAAGCTCGGCTTAATTGATAACTGGCTGCGCTATGTCCGCGATGTCCGTGCAGCGAATGAGAAGGACTTGCATGCAATTGAGGACAAAGAGGAACGGGCTGCACGGCTGGTGGAACTCAATGTGCTGGCTCAGGTGAGGAAGCTTGAGCGTATCAATTACGTCTATGAAGCTGAGGCAAGTCGAGGCCTGCAGGTGTATGGCATGGTATACGACGTTGCTTCTGGCTTGTTGAAGAAGTTGGACAAGCCAGAGGACGAGAAGAAGAAGTGCTACCTGCAGGGCGTCACTGACTTGAGTGCCCACTAGCTGCTAGACCTTGCAGAGATAGATGGCCAGGTAAGAGGCCCTGTGTCGTCATCCATAGACGCCATCATGATGCGACTTTGTGCGACTTTGAATTTCTTTCTCTACGCGACACTGACAAGGCGCCAAACCAACACATGAACGAAGCATCCCTGAGCGCGGCGAGTACGGCAGCAGAGCTCGATGACCTGCTACAGTCATTCAAGCAGCAGTTCTTGCCATGGATCGCTCAAGCAGACTCTCGGGACGCCAAGGTGCTGGATCACTTTGACGGCAAAGAGCTCTCCGACAGGCTACAATTGAGTCTTCCGGAAGACCCATGCGGCAAGGATACCCTCCTGGCACTTCTCGAGAAGACTTTGAAGTACAGTGCCAACACCTGGCATCCTGGATTCATGGACAAGCTCTTTGCATCGACCAATTCAATCGGCGTCATTAGCGAATTACTCCTGGCGGTCCTCAACACCAATGGACACGTCTTTCACGTCTCGCCGGTACTGAGCTTGATGGAGATTCACACAGCACAGGCCATGGCACGGCTATTTGGCTACACTACAGAAGAATGCGGTGGACTGACGCTGCCTGGTGGTTCTCAGTCCAACACGCTCTCTATGGTCACAGCACGTTCGACACTCTTCCCAGAAACCAAAGATGAAGGTTCAGGGTCTCACAAGTTTGTGCTTTTTACGAGCAGACATGGTCATTATTCGGTTGAAAAGGCAGCCATCTTGCTTGGCCTCGGACGGAAAGCAGTGATTGCGGTGGATATCGACGCACAAGGACGTATCATTCCAGAGGCGCTCGAAGCTGCGATCGTCAAGGCGAAAGAGCAAGGTCAAACTCCTTTCTATGTCAATGCGACGGCAGGCACCACCGTTCTTGGGTCATTTGACCCCTTTGAGGAGATTAGCCACATTTGCAAGCGTCACAATCTTTGGATGCACATTGATGGTTCGTGGGGCGGTGGCGTTGCTTTCAGTAACAAGTACAAGTCCTTGTTGAAAGGTTCACACCTCGCAGACAGCATGACCATCAATCCACACAAGATGTTAGGAGTTCCTCTACAGTGTTCATTCCTGTTAGCACCAGATGCGCGGATATTCCAGCGTGCAAATAGCTTGAACGCTGCGTATCTCTTTCATCCTGGCAATGAAGGCTATGACTTGGGTGACTCAACGATGGGATGTGGTCGACGGCCGGATGCAGTCAAGATGTTTCTCTCGTGGAACTGGTATGGTCGGAGTGGTTATGAGCAGCGCGTGAATCGTGCGTATGAGAATGCTGCGTTATTGGCAGGCAAGATTGCAGCGAATCCTCGCTTTACGCTTGTGTCAGAGAACCCTCCACCGTGCTTACAGGTATGTTTCTACTTCCATGCGGATGAAGAGGCAGAGAGAACAGATTCAGAGCGGAATACAGAGACCACCAGGCGAATTGCCGGGTTGTTGGATAGACAGGGCCGGTTCCTGGTGGACTTTGCGCCTGGCCCCCATGGTGAGTTCTTCAGGGCTGTGCTCAACTCACCGAATCAGAAGGAGGAGACGCTAGATGAGCTGGTGTCTAGTATAGAACAACTGGGATCGCAGTAGTGTATATACTACTACTATAGTAATACGGCTTGCATGTTCACCGTCGAAGGCTCCCGTAAGACCTTCCGTACGTCTTTCATCAGGCCCTTGGCATTGCTAGCATGTATTTGCCAATGCCGAGAGTACACTGTCGCCGGCACCGGCGCCCAGTCATTCAGCAGGACGGGTTGTGAGCGCGCAACCACACAGAGCAGTCAAGTACCCAGTCACATGGCTTGGCAGCCTTGGCTTGTCACTAGGTTGTTAGTGCATCTCTCTGCCACATGTCGCGTGCTTCCACGTGATGGTCACCCCTTGTTCTACTTTTTAGGGAGCAATTGCTCTACTCTGCTACTCACCCGTATCAGTCCTATTGCACTTCTCAGGTTGCTTTTGCTGAACACCTCACCATCCACGTCCTCACTGTACATATATTCACATATTCACGCATAGTCCAGATCAAACAGCTCAAGTTTATTGCTGCTCATGATCACATTTCTCAGTTTTCAGCTTTTGTTTGCCGCATGCAATTTTACTTTGCCTGAGAAAACTTCAGGGGTATGTGCACGCGTGGATACCTGCCAGTACGAAAGTCTCCATACAAAAGGCGTCCATCGCCAGTTCAGCTCCCACTTTTAAGGAGAACTTTCAACTCTCCCGCACGCAAACGCACTTCCGAGAGGGAAAGTCTGCCAACATGCGAATGTCCAGGAACGGAGAAAAAGCTCTAGCTGTCCTGTTGCTTAGCATGGACTATACACCATATGTCCTCGCAGACGACTGTCAGAAGTACTTAGTGGCGTATCCCTTTGCGGGCGGCGACAACGGTAAGATGCGCAAAGTTGGGTTTTCTATCGCCTTGAAGAAAAGCTGTCATGTACTGGTTGACGACGATGTCGACAAAAGCGATCTCGAGAAGGCCGTTTTAAAGTTAAAACCCTGTTCAGACATCATCAATAACGACTATGTTTGCTGGATAGTGGAGTACACGTCAGCGCTTGCAGGCATGGTCCCGGCTAGGGCCGTAAACCACCTTGCGGAAGACAAAATTACCAGAATCTTCAATTACTGCACCAGAAACCCCTGGAAAGACCCCACACTCACGGATTACAAGCTTCCTCAGATTCCTCAATTGAGGCCGCTGGCACGGGCATACGCTAATCATGTAATAAATGCACATGAACTCTCTTCAAAGGACTGGGCATCATTGCACAGTCCAGCTGCAGGTCGGCGGCACCTCTCTCCCGTCGTCCAATGCGATTTTGGGAGCAGGCCAGAAAGTGATGCCTGGTGGCATGTTGCATGCAACGTTCTGGACTGCGTGGAATAGTCGCCAAAGCGGGTAGCAGGAGCTCAGTCTAATGGCCAAATCCAGTTCAACGACTGCAACATCATGACGCGTTCAACACGAGAGCTTGCAGATCTTCATTTCATAGCAGAACGTAGTTTAATTCCATTCAAAATTGACACGTCTTTCACCTCTCTTCAGTACTGAGATTGATGGAGACTTACACAGCACAAGCCATGACACGGCTTTTTGGCTACACCACATAAGAGTGCGGTGGACTGATGCTGCCCAGTGATCCTTAGTCCAATACGCTCTCTATGGTCACTGCACGATCGACACTTTTCCTAGATACCAAAGACGAAAATTCAGGAAGCAAGCGTCACAATCTCTGGTTGCACATTGATGGTTCGTGGGGCGGCGGCGTTACTTTCGGTAACAAGTACAAGTTCTTGTTGAAAGGTTCACACCTGGCAGACAGCATCACTATCAATCCACACAAGATGTTAGGAGTACCTCTGCAGTGTTCATTCCTGTTGGCACCAGATGCGCGGAGATTCCAGCGAGCAGATAGCTTGACTGCTGCGTATCTCTTTCATCCTGGCAATGAAGGCTATGACTTGGGTGACTCAACGGTGGGATGTGGTCGACGGCCGGATGCAGTCAAGATGTTTCTCTCGTGGAACTGGTACGGTCGGAGTGGATATGAACAGCGCGTGAATCGTGCGTATGAGAATGCTGCGTTATTGGCAGGCAAGATTGCAGCGAATCCTCGCTTTACGCTTGTGTCAGAGAACCCTCCACCGTGCTTACAAGTATGTTTCTACTTCCATGCGGATGAAGAGGCAGGGAGAACAGATCCAGAGCGGAACACAGAGACAACCAGGCGAATTGCCGGGTTGTTGGATAGACAGGGCCGGTTCCTGGTGGACCTTGCGCCTGGCCCCCATGGTGAATTCTTCAGAGCTGTGCTCAACTCACCGAATCAGAAGGAGGAGACGCTAGATGAGCTGGCGTCTAGTATAGAACGACTGGGATCGCAGTAGTGTATATACTGCTACTGTAGTAATACGGCTTGTATGTTCACCGTCGAAGGCTCCCGTGAGAATTTTCGTTCGTCTTTCATCTGCAGGCCCTTGGCATTGGTAGCATGTAGCAGCCAATGCCGAGAGTACACTGTCGCGGGTACCGGTGCCCAATTAAGCAGCAGGACGGATTGTTGGCGCGCATTGCGCAACCACACAGAGCAGTCAAGTACCCATTCACATGGCTTGGCCTGTCACTCAGACTCAGTTGTCAGTGCATCTCTCTGCCACGTATCGCGTGCTTCCACGTGATAGTCACCCCTTGTTCTACTTTTTAGGAAGCAATTGCTCTACTCTGCTACTCACCCGTATCAGTCGTATTGCACTTCTCAGGTTGCTTGTGCTTGATACCTCACCATCCATGTCATCACTGTATATATTTTCTTATATCCACGCATAGTTCAGATCAAACAGCTCAAGCTTATTGCTGCTCATGATTACGTTTCTCACTTTTCAGCTTTTCTTTGCCACATCCAATTTTACTTTGCCTGAGAAAATTTCAGGGGTATATGCACGCGTGGATACCTACAGGTTCGAAAGTCTCCCTACAAAAGGCGTCCATGGCCAGTTCAGCTCCCACTTTGAAAAAGACCTTTCAGCTCACGCAAACACACTTCCAAGAGGGACAGTCTGCCAACATGCGAATGTTCAAGAACGGAGAACAAGCTCTAGCTGTCTTGTTGCTTAGTATGGACTATGCACCACATGTGCACGCAGGCAAATGTCAGAAGTTCTTGGTCAAGTATCCCTTTCCGGGCGGCGACAACGGCAAGCTGCATGACTGGGGGTTCTCTATCGCCAAGAAGGACAGCTGCTATGTACTGGTTGACGACGAGTTGAAGGACAAGGCCAGTATCACATCCCTTCTGCCGTTCAAACCCTGTTCAGCCATCCTTAGCGAAGAATACTATTGCTGGATATCGTTTTCCATGCCCAGCAATGTACAGATCGTCCCGAAGTTGGCCTTAAGCCCGCTTGAGGGAGACAACAACCTCCAAATCTTCCATTACTGCAGCACACAATTCAACAAAGAAAGCCCGGTCCTCAAGCTTCCAATGGACGACAATTTGAGGGAGGGTATATGGTCATACGCTCAATGGATCGCTGACCATCAACTCGACAAAAAGGACCATGACAAATTGTGGCACAACACGCAAGGGAACATCTGGGGTAATGTCCTATGCGCTTACCACAAAACCAAAGTGAAAGATCCCTGGTTGCATTTTGCATGCAATTTGCTGGCTTGTCCGAAAGAGTGACGGAAAGACCTCTAGTCGCCAAAGTGGAAAGCAGGGGCCCTGCTGGACAGGGTTTCATGATCAAGCCCAATTCGACGACTGCAGCATCATGACGCGTTCAACACGAGAACTTGCAGAGCTTCATCCTATAGCAGAATGTAGTTGAATTCCAAATGAACACGTCTTTCACCTCTATTTAGTACTGAGCTTGATGGAGACTGACACTGCATAGGCCATGGCACGGTCTTTTGGCTACACCACATAAAGGTGCGGTGGACCGACGCTGCCCCGTGATCCTTAGTCCAGTACGCTCTCTAAGGTCACTACTACACGCTCGACACTCTGCCCAGATACTAAAGACGAAGTTTCAGGAAGCAAGCGTCACAATCTCTGGTTGCACATTGATGGTTCGTGGGGCGGCGGCGTTACTTTCGGTAACAAGTACAAGTTCTTGTTGAAAGGTTCACACCTGGCAGACAGCATCACTATCAATCCACACAAGATGTTAGGAGTACCTCTGCAGTGTTCATTCCTGTTGGCACCAGATGCGCGGAGATTCCAGCGAGCAGATAGCTTGACTGCTGCGTATCTCTTTCATCCTGGCAATGAAGGCTATGACTTGGGTGACTCAACGGTGGGATGTGGTCGACGGCCGGATGCAGTCAAGATGTTTCTCTCGTGGAACTGGTACGGTCGGAGTGGATATGAACAGCGCGTGAATCGTGCGTATGAGAATGCTGCGTTATTGGCAGGCAAGATTGCAGCGAATCCTCGCTTTACGCTTGTGTCAGAGAACCCTCCACCGTGCTTACAAGTATGTTTCTACTTCCATGCGGATGAAGAGGCAGAGAGAACAGATAGACAGGGCCGGTTCCTGGTGGACTTTGCGCCTGGCCCCCATGGTGAGTTCTTCAGAGCTGTGCTCAACTCACCGAATCAGAAGGAGGAGACCCTAGATGAGCTGGTTCTAGCATAGAACAACTGGGATCGCAGTAGTGTATATATACTGGTCCTGTAGCAATACGGCTTGAAGTTGAGTCGCCTTCTGGATCCTGTCACTGTTTTGACGATGAAGCCACCCAAAAAGCACCAACAGCTCACAACACACCAAGACGATGACTGCTCCGGCGTAGCTATCTCCCTAAGCAACAAGAGACACATCCAGCGCCATGTCGCGCAACGTGCATAACCTCTCTACGCGCGAACGCATCATCCGCTCCTTGTTTAGCGAACGCGCCGAGGATGGCAGTCCACAGGAAAGCTACATCACACATGTGCGCATCTACGAAGACCCTCAAAACCCATCCGCGCCGCCCTCTGTGCCAACACCACTAGAAGATCGCAAGGAACGATACATACTCCTGACCGTCAAGAAGAATGGCCGTGTACGCTTGCACAAGTCGCGCCAGAATGATAATGGGACGTTCCAGATTGGGAAGACCTGGAACTTGGATGATGTCAAGCACTTTGAGAATATTGATGATCGCGGCATGGTTGTCACGTTGCTCAAGCCATACTACTGGCAGATGGACACAAAGGAGGAGAAGCTTGGATTTGTATCCGCCGTCATGCGCGTCTACAGGAAATACACAGGTGGTCGCATGTTCACCCTCGAAGGCTTCAGCGAGAACTTCCGTACGTCTTTCATCAAACCCTTTGGCATTGCTAACATGTAGTCGCCAATGCCGAGAGCACACTGTCGCCGGCACCGACATCCAGTCAACCAGCAGGACGGACCGTGAGCGCGCAACCACACAGAGCACCGCCGCAACAACAACAACCTGGACAGGCGAATGCGCCACGTCGTGTCAGCGATATGGGAGGGGTGGAATTGAGACGCCCTGCCCCAGGACAAACACAGCAACGTATCCCAGGAACACCGGAAATGCCCGGCATGCCTGCCGCGCCCCCGGCAAGGTCACCGTTCCGTCGCCCAAGTGAAAACACGCCTATGAGTGGTGTGCCTGCTACGCCAAGTAGTGCTTATGAAGTGCCTAGACGGGCTGGCTCTACGCTCATGTCGCCGCCCATCCAGCCTGATTATCCACGACAGCAACAGCAACAACGTCCCTTGAGCATCGAAACAGATTTGCGCTCGCCACCCATCATCTCCAATCAGCGACAAGTATCGAGTCCACTAGGCGGGGCACCCAGATCTGTGACTGGATTACAAAAAAGTGATATGCCACCGCCGCTACGAAAGGCATCGACTGGATCTGCACAACTTGCGTCCCCATTACCGAGTAAATCACCAGCCCGACGACCCTCAGCTGCATTACGCACTACATCCATGGAACAAGCTAGATCAGCGTATACGGGTGATCGCTATAGTCAAGGAGATGCGCATTCGCTCCTTGGACGCGAGACGCCCCCACCAGTACCGCTATTGCCGAGCAAATCTGTAGCACGTTCGGGAGCGAGCTCGCCGGCAATTTCAATGCAGACGCGAGATGAGAAACGCGAATTGCCGTGGGACGCGAGCGGTCAGAATACGCCAAGAGAGGAGAAGAATTTGGTTGGCTTGGGTCTTGAGCGACCTGGGAGTGCAGTCTCTCAGTCACCAAGTTATAGCACAACGACGAGCGCAGCGACTCTCACGGCTGGAGCAAGTCTGAACAAAGCAACAGGTCGGTTGACACCTTTCGGACTGTCGCAAGACAGGCAACATGCTGAATCTTTGGATGTGTACCCCGATGACCCAGAGACGGCGTTTATCGACGAACTCCTACGCGGATTTCAGTGGAATTCGTCCGACGGCACAGCGCCGCTTGAACGACGGTTGGAGGATGAGCTGGCTGCAATGGAAAATACCAATGTTTTGACAATGGTCCAGCAAGATGATCGCGTGACCGATCTCATGGGACGTCTCGATCAAGCTATCAGCCAGTGTGATGAGATGGCAAACATGCTGACCATTTATGAATTCGAGCTTGGTAGTGCCGCAGACCACATCCGCCATATCGAAGGGCAGAGCGCTGGTCTGCAAATTGAGACGGCAAATCAAAAGGCACTTATTGCAGAGATTGACAATGTGCTGTCTAGCATCACCATCTCCTCAGACAACCTCGACAGCTTGGGTTCTGCGAGGTTAGATGACAAGCAAGATATCACAAAGTTGGAGAAGAGTCTGGCGAATCTATTCCGTGCGCTCAAGGCCATGAACGGTGAGCAGCGCAACGGACGTGGCATGTCGGCACTGCAAAGCAAGGAAACAGAGTATGACGCCAAGAGCAAGCAATTCGTGCTGCGCCTGTGCAAGTATCTACAAATCAAATTTCCCGCAGCCATGATGGGCGACAAGCGCCGTAAGCTGGGACCCGGGGAGGCACCTCCTAGATTATTACCTGGCCACGAAGCTGGCTATGAGGCTCTATTCACGTATGCAGGCTTTATGCTGTATGCGCGTGAAATTGATGTGCCGCGGTACAGAGAAATCATCAGCAACTACAGTCGCGCTGCAAAAGATGCATGGAAAGAGACGGTGGTGGAATTCGCTCTTGGTTGGAAAGCGCTGGCGCGTCGTGCGACTGCCGAAGAGATGGATATGCTCTTTACCTCGGCTAGAGAGCAATTGTCGCAATTTGGCAGCATGAGTAGAGCTGCTACGCTAAAGAGAAGCAATACCTTGGCCAAGCAGATTCGCGGTCAATCCGGACCTAAGCAGCAACCTGCACCGCCAGCTCAAGACAGACAGGAGGGTAAGTTGCCTGCTGCTGAAGTATTCACCATTGTGCTCGACAACCTCGCACTCATTTTGTCAACGGAGCAAAACTTTTTGGTAGACTTTTTCCATCTGACATCGGTTGAGACGATTGAATTCCCCGATTATGTCGGCTTGGGTATCAAACAAGAGCTCACCGTTGCGCGTTTGGAAGATCACAAGCAGATGGAGCCAGATAGGCAGCTGGCAAAGCAGCGGTTCGACACCATGGACAATATTTTCAGCTGGCTTCAGGCCGAAGTGCTTGCTCTCGCTGAGCAGCTCACAAAGCAGGATGCCATCCAAGTGGTCGGCATGCTCAAGGCTGTTGAAGTGATTTCAATGGAATGGCGCGGCTCTGACCAAGAGTACATGCTGCGACTGCTTGAAAAAGTCTTCGATCGTTTGGCAAAGGCACTCAATGATTTTATGGAGGCACAAATCAGGGCAATCATCAGCTTCAAGCTCACCTCCAAGAAGCGTTCTGGTGTCATTCCGGTCTTTGAGATCTTTCCCGATTTCGTCGAGCGCATTGAAGAGCAGCTGTATATTGATGACAGTGTCACGCTCAAGCAGGATGACTTTGCCGTCCGTGGTCTCGTCAATCAAGCTTATGAGCGCATTTCCAAGGCCATGTTTGAATCAGTGCGCACTTTAGCCTCTTCAGTCTCGAGCACTGGAGCTTCCAACACGACGAGTGGCGGCGGCACCATCAGCGCCATGACAGGATTCGGTGACTCGAGTGAGGACAAGGAACTACTCAACTATCACATCCTCATGCTGGAAAACATGCATCTCTTCATGCAAACGCTGCGGATAGGTTCGAAGCAGGTACCCTCACTCGAACGATTCCAAGGCGAAGCGAGCCGTCATTTCAATGAACACCTCGAAGCTTACACGCGAAGTATTGTGGCGCGCCCGCTTGGACGTGTCGCTGACTTTTGCGATAATGTGGAGCGTCAAGCGGCCAAATCGGCCGATTTTAGTAAAAAGGCAAGCTTGAGTCCTGCAACCGCAAAGCGACTTGTCGTGGAGTTGGATGAGCGCGAGATGAAGCGAGCTATATCGGCCCTTGCGAAACGTGTTGAGAAGCACTTTTCTGGTGGCGAGAGCGCTGCTGATAAGGAAGAGGAGTTGTTGGCGCTTGTATGGCGGGAGTCTGGCGTCGTCTTTGTTAAGACTTGGGATCGCTTTGAGCAGGTCCTCGGGAAGTGGTACCCTCAGCTGCTGGTATCGGGTGAATGTCGACCGGTTGGCAAGTCCTACATTCAGTCGTGCTTCGCCAAGCGTGATCCAAATAGTGCATGAGCTAAAGTTGTGTAAAATAATGCACTCCACTATGTGAGATAACTGGCTTATATCGAATATTGTCATAACTAAGGACTACTGCTGGTAATCCATGTGCTTTGCTACCTCTTTGCTTGTGATGCCACTTCCTCCATAATTCGCGATACGCGTCCAGCGCGACCGCCTGTCTTGTGAGGTTGTACAGATGACACCAAAATTAAAGGCAGAAGAGGGCCAAAGCTTCGTGTGTGTAGCAATGCAAGCTCAGTCTGAGCGATGACCGCGTCTGCTGTGCCAACTTTGTGCTCGAGCACGTTGCTGGTCAGGTCTATCACTGCCTGCAGGACCAGGTCCATGCTCGCCTTGCAACTGGTGTTGGTAGCGCTGCAGTGCTTCACCCTCTGGTCCCGTCAGACTCAAGTTGTGCGCATACTTGCTACGCTGCGATGGTGGACCGATTGGAGGGACTGGTGGACCTTGCATAAGATCGAGTGGTCCGCCAAAGTCCGTGTGAGGTGAGAATCGACCATCACCAGAGTGCATGGCGGGCGAGACCTCTGATGGGTATCCACTCAAGGGCGTCGATGTGAATGTGTGCGAGGATGCTGTCATGGGACTGTACTGCTGGCCGGGCGATGACAATTGTTGCGAGCCACGACTGTGCAAGAGTCCAGGAAGTCCAGGGAAGGGCTGCCTGCTTTGCAGTGGCGGAGGCTGCAGTGGTGTCAGACCTGTTGCTTGCTGCAGCTGCTGACATGCCTCTTCCCAGTGCTGGCTGTGACGGACTTGAGGCTCATCCCAGTGTGCTGCGTACTGCCCACCATTGAAGTAAGGATCAGAGGCTGACCCTTGGCGCGACATGTCTTGAGCGTAGCCCAGATACTCGCTACCAGAATCAAGGCCTGATCTGGACTCTGATGGTGTATACAGTGCATCGTTGCCATGCATATCGAGCTCTGAGTAGCTGTTGCCAGACTTGAGAGACGAAGCATACACATCAGTGATCTTGGACATGTGGTACAGCTGACCGCTCGTTGAGGCATCATACGTGCGTGTGTGCATGTCAGCTCGGTCAGAGTACGGGTATGCGCTGCGACGTGTCGAGTCTGGAGGACTGAGAGGCAAGGTACCGCGACCAAAGTGCTGCTTTGCACGAGGCGTGGTGGGAGGGTAGTCTTCGTCTTCTTCATCAGAGTATGACTGGCCATCATCCTCTTCTTCCTCTTCATCGCCCAAGCCAAGCTCGTGCCTGAAGCTGGCAGATGGCATCAATTGATGACACTTGCGCAGATGCTTGGTCAATGTTGTCTTGCGGCAGAAGGTCTTATGGCACCCATTGGCATAGCACGCATAAGGACGCTTGCCTGTGTGAATGCGACGATGACGAGCAAGGGAGCTCGAGTCTGAGAAGGTCTTGCCGCAGTTGATCCATTCGCACCTGTTTCGAATGTGTTAGCAGCCTGTCGCATGAAGAGTCAGCGATCACTTACGCATGAGGACGCTCTCCTGTGTGTGTGCGGATGTGCACAGTCAATGCGCTGCGCTGGATGAAGGCCTTGCCGCAGTGAGAGAAGTGGCACACAAAGGGACGCTCGTTTGTGTGGATACGATGGTGACGCGCTAGATCACTGCGCCTGCCAAAGGACTAGAGGACGGGCCATGTCAGCAAGGGGGTTCTCTCTCTGTGCTTCTCAGGGGTCTGTGTGTGTGTCGTACCTTGGTACATGTTGCCCAGGGGCAGTCGAAGGGCTTTGCAGCGGACATGCTGGCGACGCGCATTCTGTTCTGCGTGAAGGGCACTGGTGATGAGAAGGAACGCAGGCGACTAGTGTCCCTTGCTTGCTGCTGTGTTGCGTTGATGTCGAGGCCTGCCTGATCACAAGGGAGTCTGGCAGCGAGGACGTTCCCTCATATAGACGCACGCACCTCCCACCCAGCAAGCCAGCTGTCCGGCCATCCAGTCTCTCTGTCGCTAGACGGATGCGAAGATACGCTTATCCTCTTCTGCCGCGCACAATTTGGGCACTCTCCATCGATGTCGAGGTGATCCGGTCCAAGCTTGGCGATCCACGCATGCACGGGCTTATGGCTTCCTTCTTGAAACAATCGCCAGTCCCGACTAGTCCGCGTCTTTCCATGGCCGTGGGTCTGTGTGGTACCACTGGTAAGCCTTAGACTTGTGCAAGGCGCGGCATCCGACATGGGACCGCCACGCGAGACCGTTTCTGGCTCGTCTACGGTCTACCAAGGACCTATCAGGGGAAGATGCAGTATGATTTGCTCGGGGACATCAGACATGTGAGTCAAGCTGCTCAAGCACTGCCATTGTCAAGCAGACTCTGACGCTCGGACATTAGAACTTACCATTTCTTACCGGCAACCTCTGGAATGCCATTGTCAGCTGTCACAGCGTCATGCCGCCCTTTAAGTGTGCACAGACTGTTTGACAGAGTCCGACCGCGAAATACAGCAAAATGCGACCTAATTCGTTTCACACAAGCTCTCAACGATCTACAGAAAGACGCAAGGACACAGACCAGAGTATTCGCTGACGCCTTGTCGTGTTTTTTGCCACGGCGGTCTCAACCAAATGACCCTCGACAGGTATGGCTAGACCTGGCGACCTGTGTCAGACGAGTCACGAGCGAGATCGGGAGACATAATCATGCGGACGCGTCGTGTAGTCGACAGATCGGGATTGTCCGTTTTTCCGCAGCGGGCTCATCAGAGACGTCTTTGACGTCTTGTCGGCTCAGATGGGAGGCTACGAGGGATCCTTCGGAGCATAAGTTTCCCCCGAGACTAAACATCTGTTTCAGGCTCCATTCGCGGCCATAATTGTCGCCTACCACCTGGTAGACGGGACTTCGCGGCTAAGTCAACTTGTTAGGAGACACTGTGAGTCCTAATCTGGCAGAGTGGCTTCGATCGCATAATGCCCGGCTCTCCTGTAACGATACAGCTTTACTACTCTAGTATTCTACTATTCTCATCACTGCGTCTTCAGAAGGTGTCATCGAGAAAAATCAATTTTGACACCTAATCACTTTTGGAGACTCCATACGGTTCAAAGTGTCTCAACATTGAAGTCGACGAGAATAGCCTGAATTTGTATTTGATATGCTGAACTAGTATGACAACGACGCACTAGTCTGAGAAGTGATGTACGCGTCGATGTCAGAATCCAAGGCCTGGCACCAATTGCGTTGATTTGACCCCTGAAGTGATCAGATGGCTACTTTTTTACTAGAAACGTTGAGAAGCAGGTCTCAGACTCACAGCTGCGCGCTTGTTGCGTGTTCGGCTATCGAACCCTCAATGTGTCCATCAATGGACCATCATTCACTGCAGGCGTTGGTTCAAATTGATTGGTGCCGCCTTATGAGAGTCACGTTGTCGTGAATGCGAAACGTGGGGCTAGTGCGATCTTGATTTATCAATGACACTTTGCGGACTCACGGTGAAGTTTTAAGGCCAGGGTGGTGTTGATAAGGCTCGCAAAGATGCTGTTGTCAAATCCTCAAGGAAGATAATGGCTGGTAGGCTGATTCCGGGGTCGCTTGTCCTGTCTGAGTAGTTTTGGGGTGACAACTTGACAACTTACAAGAGGCTAGCTTATCGGAAGTTATCGCATATTGATCTACCTGTACGCCTTTCGTACTGAAGTACTAGACACACTGGCGACTCAGTGTCGAGGCTATGCGAATGAGTCAGAGTGTGGGGTTCAAGGCAAGATAACAGAGCTTCAAGTAAATGGATCTGCCTACTTATTCCCTCGAGAAACCTTCGAAGCCCTGCATCCGTAGTTCACCTATGCGTCTAAAGATAAGATCAGGAAAGGGCCCCACTCGTTGAAGAGCTAGGGTCTAATGCGGTACAACGCTACCTTCACGGCTCCGAGGACGGCCGACATGTTCGACGGCATGCAAGCCAGAGATTCGTACAGCGTGCTCAGTTGATTGCCGAGTTGTCGTCTTTTCATTGGAATCGTGAATAGTTGTCTTTGCGAGTGGTACTTCGTCTGCGGTATCTCCGTCTTGATGTGCTTTCGCGGGCTTTGCATCTGGTAAGCCATACATGTACGTCGCCATCAGTACAATCAACGCACCAAATACGAACTAGGCGATTAGCAATGACTCAGAAATCGATTAAGCTCGTACGTTGCTCGTGATGACAAAGTCAAAGAACCAAACTGAAGCGATGCAAGAGATGAGAATGGAGACACTTGTTGCAAAGTTCTTCATAATGTTGTCTGCATACGCAACACACATGGCAACGATCAGACCCCCAGCAGCTTGAAAGATGATGGCCGTCCATACAACTGGGTTGTACCCATAAAAGAATCCGCGTTGCATGACTTCCGCACCATCCTTCCAGAGCACGCCGATGAACAGTGCGGGAAAGAGGGAGAAGAAGGAGAGCTGCAAGTTGAGACTCCAGAGCGAGTTGCGAGAACCCTTGAGGACTTTCTCAAAGTAGACGCCAGCGAGGCCAGAAAGTGTGCATGCGCAGACAACGGCAATCAAACCAACTTGACGATTCATGTCGGCTGACATGGCAAGTTTTGCTGCAGCAGCAGCCTGGGACACGCTATCTGTTGCTTTGACTGCCGCAGCCTGTTCACCAGTCGGCAGCTGTACCAGGGCGATACCGCCAGTAAGCAGAACCAAGGCAAGCCATTTACGCAAGCTGAGTTGACGTCCGAGCATGGTGACAGAGAAGATGGCGGTCGTGATAATTTTGAGCTGGTAGGTGACTTGAAATGTAGCTGCATCGAGGTTGGATACGGCCACGTATTGAAGGTTGTTTTGGAGCTGTTTCGTTAGTGCTTGCCTCATGCTTTCCTTCAAGTCGAACCGTGTAGAGTGCTGCGGGGATGGTCAGCTTCCAGGCTTCCTTGGTGATGACTGAGCGTATAGCAACATGCAAGGAGACATTGTTGCCCAAAAGCTGCTTCTGTTCGCGCCAAACCAAAAACACACATAGCACCAATTTGAGCACTTCGTTCGAGAGAACAGCTGTTGATGTAAAGTACCGTTTTGTTTGGAAGGCTGGCATGATGCGGGAGTAGTGCATGATGAGGATGAGGGCGGAATTTTGTACCGTCAAGGTGAATAGGGAGATGTACTTGAGCGGTATGCCTTTATAAGACGGGCTCTGAGCAGAGAGGGCACTCATGATGACGGCGGCGAGTATTGATGAATCTCTACTTGCACATCCAGTAGCCGCGAAAGCCTATTGAAGGGGGGAGAGCGCAGTTGTTGCTGCTGCTGTGTGTGTTTGTGTGCAGCGAGACGAGAAGCGAATTTGACGCGAGCTCACAAAATGCGGACGCGCCTGGAACTCGACCGAGAAGATGCAGACTCATTGCAGAGACGCAATGGAGCTGCTGGGCCTCATGGCCCTCTCATGCTGTGCTTTCATGTGGACAGCACGTACGAGGCCATGAGACCGTGCGCAGATGCTCAGATCGCTCGTCAGATCAATCTGCACAGCGGAACAGACCACAGATCGTTTCAGCTGAGGCGCCCATGCCTGGCACGCGATTCAAAGATGGCCTGCTTGACTTAAATATGCTAGTGATTGATATCTGCGCGGCTCGTTGGAACTTTCAGTTGCTTACATCGTAGGGCCGTGCCAAGAGACGTAGACATGTTGCCTCCTGGTCAGGGCCGCTTATTGATGAGAACAGCTAAGTAGCCCAGCCTGTCTTTCCTTGACTCTTGAGTAATGTAGATCGCTTGTTTGAAGGAGCCTGGCTCACCAGCTCTGCCCCATCTTGATCAAGAAGGCGACAGTCGCGATCTTGGCTGCCGCCCCATCTCGTTGGACTGGCGGCTTCTACACAGCATCCGGCTCATCAAGACAGCTTGGCTTCCTCGCAACGACCGGGCCCTGGCTCCCCTTGATGCTCAAGAGGTCCATCGTCCTCGGCTCATCCTTTCTGACTGTTGCGGTCTATATCAAGCACGCAGACATCATCCCTCCCATCAGCAACAAGGCAGAAAAGTACGAAAGACAACTCCTCACCATGCCAGTTGCTCCAGGACGCGTCGGAACATTGACGGATGAGCAGAGCGAGAAGCTACGAGAGATGTGGGCTGCTGCATTCAAGGTCTTTGGCCAAACAGTCTCGAATACAAACTCCGCAGCTTCCTCACCGGGATTGAAGCCGCCTAGTACTGGCGAGGCGAACGGGTCACCTGTGTCGTCCGTGAGCAAGCGTGGAAGGTTCGCGCGTATGCTTTCGCGGACAAAGTCAGAAGCGAGTCTACAAGAGACCAGCACCGCGAGTACTGATGCGGATGAGATGTCCAAAGGTGTCAGTCACATGACAATCAGCGAGGAACCACAAGATACTGACAAGTATGGTGCGTCGGCAGCGTACAAGGAAGCATTGGCTCAACAGAGTCCAGCTGAAATACGCCAGACTTTCTGGAGTATGGTCAAGGCGGACCATCCTGATGCTTTGCTTTTGCGTTTCCTGCGTGCACGCAAGTGGGATGTGCAAAAAGCACTCGAGATGATGATTGCAACGAACCATTGGCGAGGCAAAGTGATGGAAGTGGAAAAGATTGTTGAACGTGGAGAGGCAGGATTCTTGGAAGATGGAGACGAAGCATTCATGTTGCAGGTGCGAAAGGGCAAGTCCATCTTGCATGGCACAGATGTAGAAGGCAGACCCATCTGTCTTGTACGGAGTCGCCTGCATCGACCGGCTGAGCAGTCTGCAAAGACGATGGAGCAATTCACAGTACTGACTATGGAAACGGCGCGACTCATGCTACGCGGACCCATCGATACTGCTACTGTCATCTTTGACCTAAATGGCATTGAGGCCAAGTATATGGATCTCACACCTGTTCGCTTCATCATCAAATGTTTCGAAGCGCATTACCCTGAATCATTAGGAACATGCTGCATCTATGGCGCGCCATGGTTCTTCCGTCCGATCTGGTCTATTGTCAAGGGATTGCTAGATCCCGTCGTCGCTGCCAAGATCAAGTTTGCAAACTCACAACAAGAGCTGTCGGAGATCATTCCACAATCAGACATCATCAAAGAGCTTGGTGGACCGCGTGCTTGGGAGTACGAGTACATAGAGCCCGTTGAGGGCGAAAATGATCGGCAAAAGGATACAGCGACAAGGGATAGGCTCATTGCAGAGCGTGGCGAAATTGTGGACAAATTCGTTGCGCTGACACAGCAATGGGTTGCTGGTCAACAGGACGAGAAGAGTGAGGCGGACCGGCATGCAGTAGCGAAAGAGCTCGAGCAAGACTACTGGAGGTTGGACCCCTACGTTCGTGCAAGAACGCATTACGACCGTGTTGGATATATCGAATCAGATGGTGCCTATAATCCTAGAGCGACATTTCCATCATAGATGAAATAATGCTAATTACGCCACATGTCGAGCGCTTCGCGATATTGCTGGAATTTGGCGACCGCCTTGAGCTCATCCTCGGTATACACCTCCTCAGGCTGTTTCCTTGCCCGCAAGACGTTTTCTTCGTGCTTTTTGAGCTCTTCCTTTGTTACAACAACAACATTCAAATGTGTCAGAGGTTCAATCGGATCCCAGCGTGTGAGTTTCAGATTCTTTGTGTGAAAGGGTGGTAGAGCTGAGCGTCCCTTGGCAGCCTCGTCAATCATGAAACCGGCATCAGCTGGCGTGAGTGGGGACCGTGCATCTGGCTGGGTGCGCTGCAGTTGGTGTGTCACATCCAAACAAGCGCGTTCATAAACCGACTGTCGTGATTTGGCTGGAACGGGATCTGTCGGGTATTCGGCAAGTGTTGTTAGAATGTGTGTAGCAAGTGTCAGACCGAATAATGCAGGCATGGTCCCCATGACGGGTAGTATCCGTGCGCGAAAGTCTGGTAGAATGCCCAATTCCTGCGCGTGTCCTTGAGCAAATGCTTCTGGATCGAGTGGTTGAAGTGCCGCTTTGCCAAAGCCTGCTTTCTCTGTTGAGTAGACAGTGTCGATACCGCTGTAAATGCCGCGTTGCCTGAGGTGACGTCGTGTTGCTCTGGACAAGGGATCCTCATTTGTGTCTGCAATATCGGCAATCAGGATGCGTGTTGGATCTGCTTTGCAGCTAGCACCCATGCTGGCCATGACTTTGAGATCATTCTGGTGACAGTAGGCTAGCAAATCTGCTTTTGTCTCAATGTTGTCGATTGCATCAATGACATAGTCCGGTCGCTGGCCTGTGCCTTGCCATGGTTCAAGCAGACTTGCAGCATCTTCCTTACAAAAGAGATCGTTCCGCACATCAATCTCAACCCACGGTGCAACACGGGCTAGGAAACGCTGTAGCGCAATGACTTTAGGTGAGCCAACATCATCGTGCGTTGCAGCTGCATGCCGGTTGAGTGATGACAAGGTGACTTGATCAAAGTCAATGATGCGGATCTTCCCAACACCTGAACGAACGAGCATGGTGACTGCCCAAGAACCAACACCGCCTGCCCCCACAACAATGACAAAGCTGTTGCGAATCTTGGCAAGGCCTTCAGCGCCAAAGAAGAGGTTATTGCGCGAGAGCTGCTCACTGATGATTTCATCAGAGACAACAATTGGCTTTTTAGTGTTGTGCAACTCCCCGCCAAATGAGGCTAATTGTAGGGAATCATGATTTTCTGCAGCGTGATGTTTCGCTTCATCGCGAAATGAAGCCTGTGCATAGCGATGTGAGACTGCTTGGTATGAATAGATGGAGGTAGCAGTGGCTGTCGCAGCAACAGCGGCCACTAGAGTCATTTTGCCGGCATCAGAGCGGTAGAAGCTGGCTAGATTTGAGAGCAAAGCATCCATTGCAGCGATGTCTAGCTAGAGAAAAAACAATCCAGAAGCTGAGTACTGTAGCTGTAGGTTCATCATGGCCGATGCGACCAAATTTCCATCTGAAACAAAATTCGACTCGCTCGCACGCCCACAGACATCAACCAAGCAGTACTTCAGCTAGATAGAGCCTACAGAACACCCTGCGATGCGGTCGCATCCATTCTTTCAATCGTATCTATTTGATTGGTGCACAGTCATTGGTGCGATAGTATTTTTCCTGCTTCTCGAGCATGGCCTGCATCCCTACCATCGACAATTCGCGATAGACGACCGCTCGATCCAATTTCCCTATGCCAAGCACGAACGGGTCCCAGTATGGCTTCTCTTTAGCATCTCATACCTTATGCCAGCGATAATTATGACGCTATACTGCACAACAATGAAGCTATCACGCAAAACGCTGCATATGAGCGTCCTTGGGTCGAGTTGTTCAACGGCCCTTACCATTTTTGCAACGGCACTCATCAAAAATGGAGTTGGTAGACCGCGCCCTGATTTGCTAGACCGCTGCAGGCCGCAAGCTGGTGTAGGACCAGGACTCGTGACGAGTGCGGTGTGTACAGCAACGAGTGCTCATTTCTTGGATGAGGGATTTCGTTCCTTCCCAAGCGGCCATGCGTCTTATGCCTTTGCAGGCTTAGGCTTTCTGAGCTTTTGGATTGCCGGGCAGACTGGCTTGTTTCTTAGCCCGCCGCGTTCATGGAAGTCGTTTTTGGCATTGACGCCTTTGTTGGGAGCATGCTTGATTGCTATTTCACGCACGCAGGACTATCGGCATCACTGGCAGGATGTGACGGTGGGTGGTATCATGGGCCTGGTGATTGCTTTCTTTGCATACCACCAGTACTTTCCTTCACTTGGCACAAAGCACTGCAGCAAGTCGTTTTATGAGCTGGAGGAGCACGGTCAGGGGGATGTGCCGAATGGGTATAGCTATGTGGGTGATCTTGAGCGCGGATCCGCCTAGATGCCCTCTTCTAGGTGCTCTGTACACTATAGATTGAGACTATAGACTGGACACTTGGCTGTATGCTGCCACCAATTTTGTTCCTCGACGGCTCCTGAGAAATTTCAACGGACAGCAAACACACACCAGCAAGTCTTCCCCTCGACGCGTCCAGCAACCAGCAGAGCCTCTGTCAGCTTGTCCAGGCCGTCCTCGATCTCTCTATCTCTCCATCAGGCTTTCAGTACCGACGTCTTCCAGAATTTGTCAAGGGAACACATACGCCGAGCTGGCTCGGTGAGTGCGACACGTCCCCTCCACTGACCCAATGGCCTCGGCAACGGTCTCGAAACGCGTACAACCCAAGTCAAGATCAGTCCGGCAAGCAGAAATAGATGCCTACAATCGCGCAAATCTGCTTCAAATAGGTGTGTTTACAAAGTATTTTGAAACGACAGGTTGCTAATACATGGGTGCAGTTGTGCCAGGTGTCTTGCTTGCGCTTCTAGCAGGCGCACATTGCTTTGCTCCAGGAGCGACTGCATACACTGAAAAGTTCTTTGCCGTGTCTTACTGTAACGCGCGGCTACAAGGTGCTGCACATTCTCTACGGACAGCTGGACGCGAGACGCTCTGTGCAAAAGGCATTGATGATGCATACCTCGTCGCGACTGGCATCCTGGCCTTCACGATGATTCGAGCAGCCATGATGACACATGTCTTTACTCCCTTGGGTCTCTCACAAGGTATCAGGAAGCCCAAGGCCTTGATGCGGTTCTCTGAGCAGGCGTGGGGCTGTACCTATGCTGTCACGTCATGTTCTATCGGCATGGTATGCCAACTCTTTCCTTCCTGGTTATGGATGCTAATGCAACAGTACCTGTACTACAACAGCGAGTACTGGCTCGACATGGATGGTTTCTACTCACATCACCCACGCACCCTCATGTCCCGCACCCTGAAGCTCTTTTACCTCCTTGAATTTTCGTTTTGGCTACAACAAATTCTCAGTCTCAATGTCGAAGCGAGACGGAAGGACTATATGCAGATGTTTGGTCACCACATCTTGACCAGTGTCCTTATGTTTCTTTCCTACACGCACCACATGACCCGCGTGGGTCATACAATCTTGACACTCATGGACTTCGCTGATATTTTCTTGCCATTGGCCAAGATGCTCAAGTACACGGGCCACCAGACACTTTGTGATGGGACGTTTGTTATGTTCTTGCTCTCATGGGTGGTGACTCGGCATTACCTCCTCACCAAGATTATTGTCCATGCACACATGCGACAACCCGTCCTCAACAACAAGGGCGAGAATGTGACGTTTGTATTTGTTGGGTTGCTCTCGGCATTGGAAATCTTGATTTGCGTGTGGTCGTACTCCATTGCCAAGATCTTGGTGAAGGTGGTGCGTGGTGCACCGGCGGATGATACGCGTAGTGATACAGAGGATTCAGATTCAGGCGGCTCGACTCGGCCGTCGACGCCGTCTGAGAAGATGAATGGGTATGCGCATAAGAGCGAGTGACTACGCTCTAGATAGACATGTACCTTGCCCTCTTGGCTGTTGCCTGTTGGACACTTGGTAGAGCGTGAATTACAAAATGCATCTCGAGACTTCAACGCGACAAACTCACAAAAGACCACAAGAGACAGCTTCTACCCTCACCGTGTATAGCTATGGCGAGTCTCCAGATCAGACCGACCCACATCTACCGTGGTCTGTATAGAGAGGTGCGCCGTGTCAAGGCCATTGGACAAGGCGACTCGCCAGACTTTGCAGGCATGCTCAGAACTGGCTTCACAAGTGCACCTGCCACAAACCAAGCGCATGTTAAAGAATTGCATGATGCTTCTGAGATTCTACTCTTTCTACGCAGTCAACGGAAGTATACGGTATGAGCAGCGAAAGGGAGAGCACCAGCTTTAGCTACGATGTGATGGCAAAAGCTAACGCTTGCTGTGTGTAGGAACTGCTGGAACGGTATAATCCTGGCGCGACGATGACACAGGCCGAACGGAACCGACTCACTGCCCGCCGAGTCGGTCTCAATCTACGTACGTTCATTCCTTCTGCACACTCAAAACCAGAAAAAGGAGACTTGATGAGCTAACGAGCCACTGCAGCCAAGGACAATTCAGACGACTTTTTCAACAAGAAGTAGACTCTGGATACTTGCAATGAGACGGAGGGCCGTGTATGTAGCATATAGAGAGAGACGAAGACCATGACAGAGCATTGAATCAGCCTTCGATGCTTTGCGTGCAGCAGTCAACCCGCGGATGCAAAAAGCGAAGGAAAGTCGGGCGATGACGACGAGCAAGAGAACCAACCAGACAACAACTTGCACACACGATGAGCAAGGGCCTCGTGCGATCAGGGTAAGAGACACGGCGGAAGCATGTTCGTAGCATCATGCGCTAACATCTATCCTTCAGCAAGAACCTCATCAAAGGGTACTCCAATGTCCAGGTCAAAGTGCGAGCAGCCACTTCCAACGATGCATGGGGACCTGCAGGCGCAGAGATGCGTGAGCTGGCGGAAATGACACATGACCAGTATGTTCTCCTCTTTTTCATTCAACTTCTCGATAGGCCAGGCTGACAGACTAGCTCCGCATTCATGGAAATCATGGACATGCTCGACAAGCGCATGAATGATCGCGGCAAGAACTGGCGTCACGTCTATAAAGCACTCACGGTCTTTGACTATCTCCTACATATGGGCGCAGAGGACTGTGTGCTTTGGGGAAAGGATAACATCTACCTCATCAAAACGCTGCGTGAATTCATTTATATGGATGAAACGGGGAAAGATCAAGGCACCAATGTCCGACAAAAGGCAAAGGATCTAACAGCACTTTTGAATGATGACGAGAGATTGCGTTCTGAGCGGAAGCATAGGACGTACATGGTGGACCGTCTGAATGGTAATGAGTCCGGAACAGATCGTCCACTGAGACCACAAAAGACTGGTGGCAGCGCGCCCTCTCGCTCACGACGTCCCTCACAGGATGAGATGGATCCAGATATGCGGTTGGCCATCGAGGAATCGAAGCGACAGGCAGAGTTGGATGCACGTAGGCGGCGAGGTGGAGCGACGAGTGGCGAAGACGATGAGGATCTTGCAAGGGCGCTCAAGCTGTCTGAGGAGGAGGAAGAAGCTCGACGCCGTCGTCTTGCACAAAACAATGAGGCTGACTTGTTTGATGAGTCCAACGACCAGTCCTTTGATGCCTACAACAGCCAACCACAACAGCAACAGGTCGATTTCTTTGGGAACCCGATTATGGACAACAGCATGCAGATGCAGAATACGGGGTACCTGCAAAATGCGTATGCGCAATACCAGCAGCCGCAGTACACGGGTTACTACCCTCAGCAGCAACAACAGCAACCCAACGAATTCGATGATTATGGTGGTGGTGCACACGATTTCTTGACGGCTCAAAATACGGGTATGAATGCAGCCTCGCAAGCACCGCGCATGGAGCGTCAACAAACTGGACGTAACAATCCCTATGCGGCGCAACAAGCTCCTCAACAACCCGAACCAGCAGCACGACTCGAGCCCGTCAAGACGGGTACGAATAACCCATTTGCCAGTTTTGGCAACTTCAATACAGCTGCGCCTCAACGACCTTTCCAACCGGCAGCAGCACCGACCCTTGCAGAGATGAATGCGCGAAAGCAGCAACAGCAACAACCTGCGTTTGCAAATTACACGGCGACTATGAATACGGCGCGTCCTGCAAAGGACGATGGCAAGCATGCCGACTTGGCTGCCTTGATTGGTGCGGGAACGGGTACGGATACATTTGGTAATACGGGTGATATGCGTGTTGCTCGGCATCATACTGCCTCACAGGCTTTTATGAATTCAGCTGGTCAGAGTCAGTTGGGCAGTGTTGCGTCGCAGATGACGGGGAATGCAACGGCGGGTAATCCATTCTTGAACCAGCAGCGTACGGGGAATGCTATGTATGGACAGCAGCAGCAGCAGCAGCAACAGCAGCAGCAAGGTGGCATGCAGCAAGGGTATATTGGTACACAGCAGACTGGTGGGTTTGCCTATCCTGGCCAGCAGCAGCAACGTCAGCAACAAGGATACGGTTATGGTCAACAACAACCACAACAACAGCAACAAGCCAACAGCAATACGTATGGTGGTTCATTGATTGATCTATGAGGATGCACGCCAGGCCAAGCATAACCGAAATACACCGATTGCAGATTATGTAGAATAAAGACAAAGAATACCCATCAGAAAAATAGACCTGTCAAGTCATGGCATCCCAATCCAGGCTACCACTCAACTGCGTCGTTGGCAAAGCTTTTAAATCTTCCGTATCCACTTCACTCGATCCAGATAATTGGTTGATGATACTAGAACCTGCAGAGTTGAGCGGTCTGCCTGAACTACCACGTCGATGCGTATGACCACCCGTCGCTGCCAAACGTCTACTATGCGCCATCTGAAAGAGCGGTGGCGTCGGTGACCCTGCTCGAGTGTGTCCTTCGCGTTGCACAGACGCCAGGGAACTGCGACGTGGTTGTGGGGTCATTTCCCGTTCAGCGGGACCTGGATGCATGGATGGTGTTTGGGTGTGTGGGGTGGAGGAGTCTGTTGAGCTTGGACTATCCTCTGCAACAGCGCGCGACTGTCCAATCTTGACGTGTCGCACAATGGGTACGGGTTGCTGTAGTTGAGGTTGTTGCGGCTCGAAGCGCTTCAAATAGGCAAGGACTTGTGGTATCACCAATGTATCCACTTCTTGACCCCATAAAAAGTCAAGATGCTCGAAATGCGGGATGCAATAGGTGATGGTGTGTGAGGGTAGTGCAGAGAGCATGACATCAATCTCAACGAGACTATCACTCCCACCATACATGAGCACAATAGGTGCTGCGATATTGCGGGTCGGGAATCGAGCAGCTTGGTAGAAACTACCAGCCCTCACTAGTGGTCTACGCGAGGTGGAACGTGAGCGCCGTTCACTTTCTGTGCGAACGGGACGTTTTGTTTGAGCAACGGCCAAGTCATCATCGTACATCTGGAATTGCCCAGAACGAATGATTTGGAACCAGTGGACGAGTGATTTGACACTAGCAAAGGAGTAGAGGTGGTAGTAAGATGCTGCTTTTTGCTGAAACGTCATATTTCTCGAGTGCCAGCCAAACAGAAACTTCATAGAAAGATCCAGTATTCGCACAAAGAAGGGCGGGTACATGATGCTTTGCCAGAAGACGGTGGACGGCAAGATTGCCTTGCGTCCAAAGAAGAGGAAGAGTGCTGTTGGCGAGGCTTTCATGAGTGCATCCACAAAAATGTTGTGAAGGCCGCGTGGCGACATGGCTGGTGCAAGGGCAATAAAGACATTGACCATTTCATTGAGTGATGGGTGAATACTGAGTGTAGCAAACGCTTGAGCAGTACCTTGACTGAACCCAATGTAGCTCAAGTTTTGCTGCTTTGTAAAGTGTAGCACATAGGCAATGGAATCTGGGATATCGCGTAGTGCGAAATCATCCATAGAAAAGTCCCAGAAGCGCTTGTCGTTTGATTTGAGGGTGATGTGCTTCTTGCTGTATTTGTTGCCTCTATTATTGCCGAACCAGACATCGTAACCGCGCTCAACAAGGATAAAGGGTAGTTGTCGTTCTTCTTCCAAGTTACACACCCAAACCTCTGAATTCATCATGAGGCCATGGTGTAGATACACGACTGGTTTTTTGAGTGGTCTAGGACGTTCGCCCGATCCACGCTCTCGATCGCGTTCAGCGAGTTCTGCTCGGGTATGGCAGAGTCTGTGGAGGCAGAGAATATATCCGTCTTGTGTTTGAACAACATGTTCTTGTGCTTCATAACCGAATTCAGCGCACATTTCATCAAAGGTATGCGCATCTTGAATACTGTGCATGCGTGTCCGTTCCGCTGGTTTCGCCACAAGTCTGCGGTCAATGAGTGATATGCAAGGATAAGGATCATACCTGGCAGAGAGGTTGTAGAAGAGTGCAAGGAGGGGCGCTGGCAAGAAGAAGGTTGCACAACGCAGCACCATTTCGAGTATGACAAAGGCGAACCCGACAACGAGGGAGATGTGGTCGCGGCTGGATCAGATTAGCGAATGCAGGGCGACAAAGATGAGCACATACACGGTGAGCCTGCCTAGCACTGGAATCGCCATCCTGCTCGTCTACTGTACTGTATGTCGCTTTGGTCTTAAGTTTGTCCAATGTCGTCACTGGCAGGAAACATCAAAATCGCGGGTCAAATTCTACAGAGAGATAAGGTACAGAGGGCCTCAGTCCAGCAGGTCAAGAGGCAGGCTGCGCTGGCCAAGACGCGAGGATATAGGAACAGCGCCGACCAAGTTATCCGCAGGAACATTACTCAATGTTGCATCAGACGGGGTACTCGTACCTGTCCGTTGACCATTCACGTCTTGTAGATCTTCAGTCTCTATATCTGTGCTTGAGGCCGTTGAAACCTTTGATTCCGCTGCATGACTAGCCTCCGATGTCGTATTTGTTGACGCCTGACTCGCTGTCTTGTGTAGCATACTCATCTCCGGCCGCAAGATGAATAGCATCACGACTAGGACTGCCAGGAGGATGGCAATAGTCGCTCCCACGCCTATCCATAACCGTCTCCGTGATGGCTTTTGTGCTGTTGTGGTTGTTGTCGTGCCATGACCTAAATGCGCCTCTTCATCGGTTTCTATGCCAGCGTACTCTGCCTTCGTATCGTCGAATGTGTCTTCGAGGTGTTCGTCGTCTGCGACTTTGGTGTACTGCATGGCATTGACAAAGACCATCTTGTTGCCTTTTGCTAGTCAATGTTAATGATGTATTTGTCTTGCAAGGGTCGTGCAAGTCTTGGCAGGTGAATTGTGAGTGAAGTCTGAATTTGGAATATTGATCTCTGATTAAGCAAATGAATCAATCTATACAAGAGAAAAGAGAATATGGAACGGCCCGTCGTATCCAGTGTACCAGTGTCCAGTGTATCATTCAAATCATGTCTAAGCCTTGGGCACGGTAGAGAACAGAGCCTGCTCCGTTTCTGCCGAGACAACAGCTGCATCCAGCGTCTCCCTCTCCTCAGTCACTGGCTTCTGCGGTGATGTCCAACGAGAGGCAATACTCGGCACCGGCGGCACACTCGACTTTTTGCTCTGCTGCATCTGCAAAGTCATTTGCTGAACCTCCTCCAATGCATGCTGCTCATTACTCTCCGACAAGCCAGATTTAGCCCGGATGGCCAGTAATGTTGCCACGACGAGTTTCATGGCATGCAAACCACTCCCTTGCAATTTGACTTTTGCAAAAGCTTTGCCTGGGATGCGGATATGCTCGTAGTAGGCTAAAATCTCACCATCGAGTAAATCAACGAGTTTCAAGCCACCTTTACCACAAACAGAGGTATGCTTCCATGCATACTTGAGCGTCTTGATCTCACCGGGTTTCTCCTCCTGCACGCGAGGTTTCTCCGTTTTGGCTGTTGTGTCGGGATTGGGCGTTGGGCTATTGATACTGAGTGTCGACAAGGCCCGTGCGTCGGTGTTACTTGGACGAATCACCTGGCTCGTCTCGAAGCAATCCACCTTGAGGACACAGTCTGGTTTACCCTTGTAGAAACGAATGGGCGTGAGTCCCTTGATTTGACAAACAACAGCATCATTGTGCTTGTAGATGGCAACGGGTGATTTCGCCTTTGAGTCATCGTGCTCCGTTGAGCAAATCAAGAGTGTCTCTGGCATACTCTTTTTATCAAGTTTTCCGGGTGCATTGGTGGTGTAGATGGCGTGTGCTTTACTTTCATCGCGCACTTCAATGAGATCCTCGGCACTGCGCATGAGGTAGATGGTCTTGCACTCACCGGAGGTCAATGCAAAGGGAACAGGACGGTAGTAGAAGTCTTCATCAACCGGTTCTTCCTCCTTCTTGATGCGCGCCGTGTCGGGTGAGGAAAAGACGCCAGAGAGACGCTGCCTGATGCTGCCTAGATGTGGGCGTCTTCGAATGGAGCCCATGTTGCCCTTGAGGCCGCCGTTGCTGGGCGTGCCTGTAGTCGTGTCCGTGGCCGCTGCTGTGTCTTGCGCCTTTTTTGTGTTGCTCCTGTGTAGGCCTGGTGAGGTGAGTGCGCGGAAGAGAGATGGCTTGCGCTGTAGCTTGGGTCTGTCTGTGTCTGCCATGAGGCGCTGTGTGTCTGTGCTCATGCCTCTGTAGTATAGTATATATAGTAGTATAGTATAGTGCAGTGTCTGGTCTCTGTCTCCTTTTCGCGCTTCCCCTGGCTTGTAGAAGCAGTCACATATATGCTATATCTAGTGTATATGTTGCTCATGTAGACAGCAGAGATAGACAGGGAACCACAGAGATTGAGTAAAGAACATAGATATACTGCTACTGCTACTGCTACTGCTACTATCTCTACTGCGACTGCGACTATTCCACTCCACTACACTACACTACACTACATCCAACCACGACAATGCAGGTCAAGCAGCAGCCAGCCATCGCACCATCATCAGACCCAGCCAAAGACACACACAGCAAAGGCTTCCTCGACTTCCTCAACGACGCACCCACAGTCTTCCACGCAGTCGCACACTACACCACCAAACTCAACAACGCAGGCTACACACACCTCGCAGAACGCGATGACTGGCAAGCCATCATCAAACCAGGTGGTAAATACTACCTCACGCGTAACGGTTCTTCCCTCGTTGCATTTGCGGTCGGGCGCAAGTATAGCCCTGGTAAGGGTGTTGCCTTGATTGGTAGCCATATCGATGCCCTCACCATGCGCGTCAAGCCAGTCTCCAAGAAATCAAGTTTGGGATACTTGCAGCTGGGCGTCTCACCTTATGCAGGTGGTGGCAATATGACTTGGTGGGATCGTGACTTGGGACTCGCAGGCCGTGTCCTCGTCACTGATAAGGCCACCGGCGCCATCAAGCAGCACCTCGTCCGATTACCGTACCCAGTCGCAAAGATCCCAACACTCGCTCCTCATTTCGGTGCTCCCAGTCAACCTCCCTTCAACCCAGAAACCAACATGACCCCCATCATCGGCTTGGAGGAACAATCTGCCCTCCAGTCGCTTGAAGCACAATTCAATGCGCTTTCTAGCAATGCGCCCATTAACAATCCAACAAGCAATCATGCACCAAGGCTCCTTGCTGCTGTTGCAAAACAACTAAACATTCAAGTCACGCAAATCGCAGACCTCGAATTGGAACTCTTTGATTTCCAGCCAGCACAACCGTTTGGTCTCGATGCGGAACTCTTGAGTGTTCCTCGCTGTGATGATAAATTATGCTCTTACGCTGCTGCGGAAGCCTTGTTGAATGCAACGCAAGATGCACGATTCTTGGCAGAATCAGGATGTATTTCCATGGTCTACCTTGCCGACGACGAAGAAATTGGGTCTGGCCTACGACAGGGTGCAGCAGGCAATACGATCCCCATCACCGTTGAACGCATTGTGGATGTCCTCAACACAGACAAGCGACCGTTGCAGAATCTCGTTGCAATGACCTTTGCTCGCAGTTTCTTCATTTCAGCAGACGTAAAGCATGCTCTCAATCCGAATATAAGCTGACATCTCCATCCAGGACATCCACGCCGTCAATCCAAACGTGCGTTGCCTTGGATCTTGTGAATATTGGCTAATATGTAGTTTGCTGGCGCCTATGAACTCAACATGGCACCCCGTCTCAATGTTGGGCCCGTCATTAGTTGCGACCCAAATGGACACATGACAACAGATGGTATTTTTTCCGTCACCACAAAGACACTTTAGCTAATCGACAGCACCCTCCAAGGCCATTGCACAGCAAATCGCCCTCAAAACAGGCGTGCCCCTACAACTCTTCCAGATTCGAAATGATTCGCGGTCCGGTGGAACCATTGGCCCCATGCTCTCAAAGCAAACAGGAATGCGTGCAATTGATATTGGTATTCCACAGCTTGCCATGCACTCGATTCGAGCGACGACGGGTAGTAAGGATCCGGGATTGGGAGTCAAGTACTTTGAGGGATTTTTCAGGCATTTCGAGCATGTCGAGGGGACTGTCACTGTGGATTAGAGCTAGGGTATTCTTAGGGGTTTGAGTTCTAGCCCTTGACTAGAAGTATTTGCTTGGCATGTCTCCCGCTGACTGACTTTAAAATGAGCGGATAGATTGGATTCCGAACGCTAACGTGCAGCACGACTGGCGCATGAGACATGTTCCAAAAACACATCACGTGTATTTGAACCTCTTGACATCCTTGAATCACGACAAGGCTTGACTATTCCCCTTCCCCTGTACGCAAAAGCATGTGTTTGCCCATCTGAAATGCTCACCCATTACAAATCCACCCTCCTGGGCATTCTACAAACTTCCGCCTGACAAATACAAGCTTCGAGAGATGTCTATAAAGAGATGCAGTTCAGACCCTCCGTGAACTCATCAATTGCAGCTCTTCTTTACATTGACAAGATAAACCAATGCCTGCATTCACAAAGTTCGTCGTCGCTGGTGGTACCGGCAAGATTGGCCGTCAAATCTCCCTCGCCCTCCTCGAACGGGGCTTTCAGGTGACAGTCTTGAGTCGGAAGGAGACGGATGCCGAACTCACACAGAAGGGAGCCAAGCTGGCAATTGCTGATTACAGCTCAGACAGTCAATTGACCGATCTGTTGCGAGGTTCTCAAGTCGTCATCAATACACTCGGTATGGAGAGTTTCGCGGCAGACCTCCAAACAACCCTTGCAAAAGCCGCAAAAGCTGCTGGCGTGCAGCTCTTCGTGTCGAATGACTTTGGCGTCGACTACGACATCATCCAAGCACACGACCAGCTCGATCTCCATGCATTCGTGCAGGGGAAAGCTGATTTTGCTCAAACCCTCAAGGAAATTGGTCTTGACTCGCTGCAATTCTACACGGGCTTTTTCGATTCTGCACTTGCATGGCTCTTCCAAGCCGACACGGAAAAGAGGACGGCTCGCATTCCTGGCACAGGTGATCGACCTTTTGCCATCACGACTGAGCATGAAGTCGGCCAATTCGTTGCAACCGCCTTCCAAAACCTCAAGGAAGAAGAATTACGCAACACAACGCTACGTTTCGCATCCACCGTCCTCTCCCCGAATGAGCTGTTCAAACAGGTTGGCGACTACAAGATTGAATACGCCCCCGTCGAGGACAGTGAACGGGCAGCAAAGGACCTTTCCCTGGGTCTTGAAAGCTTTGCGGGTTGGCTTCGTCTTGTCATTATGCATGGTGCCATGTCGTGGGAGGGCACCAATGATTCCGAAAGGATCGGCTACAAGCCCACAGACGACGTCTTTGCAAACCTCAGATAGGTCCACACAGCTGCATAACGACTATTCAATGATTCATTCCATGCTCCTGCCTATACACAATGTTATATAGTTCAACGCTTCGCATCCAGCATTGACCGGTTTCCGATTGAAAGCCTCGCACCGGGTCCACCCGTCGCAAGTGTACTCTGCCTCGTCAAGTTCTTCGCTGCTTCTGCCCGTGAACGAAGCCTCTCGAGCTCCTTCTCTGCCCGTAATGCACGTTCACGTTGATCCGTTGCCTCGCGCTCTGCTCGTTTTGCTCGCAATTGGTGCGCGGCATCTGAATCCCTTGAGCTTTCGAGATCTTGCTGTAAGGCTTGCATCTTGGCTTCTGCTTTAGCAGCTTGCTGTGATAAAAGCTGCTCAGTAGACGCTTTTCGTTGCAACATTGCTTCGAGTTCCTTAATGTTGCGATCCGTACTGCGCAGGGAACGCGATTCCTCAGATTTTGCCATTGCCTGGCGCGACAATTCTTCCTCCAACTCTTGGATGCGTTTTGTTAGAAATGCACGATCGCTCGGAGCACTGGTGAACGACCTCGTCTCCAAATCAACCAGCTTGAGCTGCAATTCCTTCTTTTCATTCTCAAGCGCGGCTTTTTGGCGGTGCAACTTGACATTCGCATCCCGTGCTTGTCCGACTTCCCGTTGAGCTTCCAGAGCCGCTGTATCTGCACGCTGTACGCGTTCCGTCAGCCTACTCAGCAAATCCTCTTTTTGCGCTAGCTCGGCAGCTTGGTCACGCAAGGCTGGACGTGTGTCTGACTTGGCGTTTTGCAATTCCTGCTGCAAGTCGTTCAGACGACGCTCGAGCAGTTTTTTGTCATTAGAGAGCTGCTTTGCTTCCGATTCAGCATCATCCTTTGCAGCTCGTAAGGACCGTAGCTCAGAGAGCATATTGACCAATCGGTTCTGAGCATCACGTTGCGCAGCGCTGCTCTCGTCATAGGCTTTGGTCAAATCACCAAGCTTATTCTCCATACGCTGCTTTTCCTTTGCGAGACTGGCCGCATCCAGAGCATCCTCAGAAGCTTTTGCTTGCAACTCTTCAAGCTGACTCCGAATGGCCTTATTGTCTTCAATCAAACGAAGGCCACTCATACGCTCTGTTTCGAGTTCAGCAGATAATGCAGAGAGCTCTCTTCCATACGCTTTGCGGGTCTGCTCAGCTGATACATCTCGCTCCTCAAGCTCAGCAGAGCGTGCTGTTCGATGCTGCGTCACCTCTTGTTGCAGACGTGACCGGTGAGCCGATGCTTCAGCCAGCTCAAGTTGATGATCCTCCAGCTTCTCATCCAGCTCAGCGACCTGCTTCTGCAGATTGGCAATAAAGGCATCTTGAGAAGTCCTGTCGTGCAAGGCAGCCTTGAGCGCTTCTTCCGTCTCTTGCCACTGCTTTCTTGCAAATTGCTCGGCGCGAGAAGCCTTCATGACAGTCACTTCGGCTTGCTCAAGTCGGCTGTAGTACTCTTCGGCGCGCTGTCGAAACACACGGACAGAATCTTCGAGCTCCTTGCTGCGACTCGCCTCAGTCTCGTGCTTTAGAGCCAGATCGTTCAGTTCATTCTCAAGCTGAGTGGCGACTGAGGCTTCCTGCTCTCGCAACGCAATCTGCTGCTCCAGATCCAGCTTAAGTGCTTCTACCGTTCGGCTCAACTGTTTCTTACTCGTGGTCAGCGCTTCCATACTCTGCTTTGCTGTCTGAAGCTCAGACATGGTTTTCTTTTGTGCTTGTGTCATGGTCACACGTTCATCAGCCAATGTGGCAAAGGTTGACTCAATTTCTTGCATAGACTTGGTCTGGAGATCCTTCAGGAATGCTCGATCATTTCGTTGTGAATCTGCCATGGCATCAAGCTGATCTGCATTGTCGTCCAACAGCTCATGCAGGCGTTTGTTTTCGCGCTGAAGCTTTGCGAAAGCAATAGGGTCTAGCGGCTCGCCTTGAGGAGTCTTCCTCAATAATTGCCTCTTCTCTGCTTCAAGGGCCGCCAATTGACGGCGCAGTGCTTCAAGCTCGCTTTGCAGCTTGCGAGTCCCCTCAGATGGATAGGTTCCTCCCATGCGCGGTGGCTCAACATTTTCAAAGTTGCGTGCAAGCGTATTTGTGCGACTTCGGCTTGGACTCAGCGTGCCCTGACTAGGAGGCGTCCAGGGAGCAGAGGAGGGTCTGTTGGGTAATGCCTGGACATCGAGAGACGCCACATTTGCCTGCAATCGAGTAAGGCTGCGCTTCTTGTCGAATTCCTCAATGTCAGAATGCGATTTCTTGACATTTGCCAGTTGCTGCTCAAGAGCTTGTCGACTTGCTTCAGAGCGTTTATGTGCTTGCACAGCTTCATGCAACTGTTTGGCGAGGTCAACAGACGTGGCAATCTTGGCCTTATATCCTGCCCAATCTGTCGGAACTTCGTCAGTCTTGCTAACAGCACGATAGAGTGACATGACTTGATCGGTCCGCTCCTTCAAGTCGCCATTTGCGGTCTCCAAAGCCGAATTGAGCTGTCGGACTTGCAACTGCGCGGCTGCTTTCGCTTGACGTTCACCTTCCAATTGGGTCCGCGAATCTGTCAATTGGCTTTGTAGCTTGGCGTTCATACGTTCAGCACTTTTGGCCAACTGATGCTCCCGTTCAAGCTCTAGCGTGAGATCAGCCAGCTCCTTGTCAAAGCGTGTCTTCCTCCCATTGAGAGCGACAAGCTCATTTTCAACGGCGTCGAGCTGCGTCTTGACCTTGGCGAGCGCAGTCTCAGCCACTTCCTTTTCGCGCAACGCGTCGCGAACCTGCGTTGCAACAAGCGTTTCGTCCATGCGATCAAGTCGATCGAGCTTGGCCTGCTTTTGCGTGAGGTTCGACTTGACTGCATCGCGCTCACGTTCTGCCTCTTGCAGTCGAGCTGCAAGAGATGCATGCTGTGTAGTGTGCTTCTGAAGCTGCACTTCCCTTGATTTGCGTTCCAGCACAAGCTGCTCGAGCTTTGCTTTCACATCAAGCACTTCACGCCGGTAACGTTCCTTCTCCACATCAACCTGAGCTGCTTTAGCCTGTGAGGTTCGAGCAAGCTGCTGAGCTTCATGAAGCTCACGCTGCAACGCTACCTTGACTTGATCCACGGCAGTTGAGGCGACATCTATACCCTGCAGTCGGGCTTGCAATTGATCGCGCTGTAGACCTAGGGCATCCTTGGAATCTTGGAGCGTTCCCAGCGCCTTTTCCTTCTCTAGAAGTTCTTGTCGACTCTTGGCCATCTGCTTGACAAGGTTGGCATTAATGACTTCCAGGCGCTGCACAGCCAAGCGATGGGTCTCGCTCTCGCGAGCCTTACTCTCGAGCGTACGTCGATGTTCCAGCCCTTGTTTCTTTTCTGAAGCTTTGAATGATTCAAGTTCGGAATGCGCCGAGGCAAGTTTAGTCTCCAGTGCTTTGACTTCTTCCGTCTTGCTACTGTTGCGCTTCAGGACTGCCAGCTCTTCCTCGATGGCATTCTTGGCATTGCCAAGACTTGCTAGTTCGGACTGCAAGTTGGCAACAGTATCGCTTAGGGAAGTCCGCTGAATGCGTTCGGTACTCAGCTCTGCGAGCGCCTTGTCGTGCTCTGTCGATTTCTCGCGTGCCATCCTTGCCAGCTCTGTCAACTCCTTGTCTTTCTTGCCAAGCAGCACCTCATTGGCAGCCACAGATTGCACCAGCTCATCAAGTTGTTGCTGGGCAGCTTTCTTACTCAATTGAGCTGCCTCCAAATCACGCTTGAGTTGTGCTTGAACAGACGTACTCTTCTTGAGTTTGCCCTCAAGATCTTGAAGGGTCATCTGATGATCATGGCCGAGCTTTTCGATGACCAAGTCGTTGGACGCAATCTTGCTTTGCAAGTCTTTAACGGCAAGCTCTTTCGAAAGACGGGCTTCCTCGAGCTCATCCTTCATACTTGCAGACACTTGGAGCGAAGCTTCGAGCTCCTCAAAGCGTTTCTGAAGAGCAAGTTTCTCGTTCAACAAACGTTCAGTCATGACTGCCCCTTGGTCGAAATCACCACGAAGTCCCTCCATCTGCGCTTCAAGCTCCGCTTTGACTTGCATGAGTTGATCACAGCGCGCCTCGAGCGCATCAACATCTTCCATAGCGATGTCTAATTCTTCTTGCAAAGCTGTCTCGCGCGCCCTGCTGCGCTCGTAAAGAGCATCCTTATCAACTGCTGTCAGGCGTTCGGCTGCAAGCGCTTCTTCGAGCTCTCTACGAGCAGCTTCTGCCTGACGCATGCTCTCCATCGCTTTCTGCGAAGCGATTTCCTTCTCCTTGGCAAGCGCTTCAAGCTTGACAATCTCTTGACTGCGCATACGCATTTCCCTGTCTGAGCGTGTCGCCGTCAAGACTGGCTTCATCTTGATGAACAACTGCCACCAGGGCGATTCAGCCATCTTGAGGTATGTGCGAAAGTCCTTCTTGAGCAGCTCACTAGCGCCTTTTCGTTGCAAGCGCTTGTTGGTCAATCGTCGTACAGCATAACCTCGTGCTCGGCACTGGATTTGGGCAACAAGTGCCTTCATTGCTGCTTCCCGAGATTCCTCAAGATCTGCCAAAACGCCAGCCCGGAAAAACACTTTGCTAAGCCCAATTTTGTAGTAAGAGGTATCCAGGGCTAGTGCTTCTAGGATCTTCTGACTCGCTTTGGCGCCTTCAATGAACCCCTCTGGCATAACAGGACCGAGGATCCCATAGCGCTGTCTAAACTCGGAAAAGGGCAACCGATTGGGAAATCCTGTGCGAGCAATTCGTATACCTTCCAAGACACCATTGCAGCGCAGTTGATCCAGCACAAGACCAAAGTCAAACAACCGCGGGCTCTTTTCGTGGTTGGGAATGATGCAACGGATGAAGTGCGGCTGTGTCGCATTCAGCTGCGTCATGAGCGCAGCGAGCTGTTCCTTGTGGCGCTGAGCGACGGTTCTGAAGAGACCCTTCTTGACGCGCCCCTTGGATTCGCCACTATCCTCGAAAAGTGCCGCGAGAAAGGTATCTGAAGACGCTGCGAGCAAGACGCTGACATTCTCGTTGAGAGGGTCCTTGTTCTTTTCTAGCCAGCCAGTCGTGTTGTACTCGACATCAGCAGCATAGTGCGTCAAAACAAAGCCGTCGCCAGCAAACTTGGAAGGTCGGTACTTATTGGACTCTTTCGACCACAATTGATGGAGCTTCTCTGTGAATGTCTTGTTGCTTGCCTTGGGCATGACACACTCTTCATCGAGACAGCTCAAGATACCAATAGGCTAATGTTAGTGGGAAAACAGAGTTGAGACACTTACATTTGACTTTTCAATGAGCTCAATAGTCGGCTGCAGGTCGAGACCAAAATCAACGAACTTCCATGCAATTTGCTCCCTGGCATACTCTTCCTGCTCGAGCACAAACATGTGGTGATTGAAAAACTGCTGAAGCTTCTCATTGGTGAAGTTGATGCAGAGCTGTTCAAAACTATTGTGCTTAAAGATTTCGAATCCTGCCATGTCAAGGACTCCAATGAACTGGTCATGCGCGAGCAGCCCATCGCTGCTGCACAAAGCTTGATTCAAGCGGTCCACGAGGGCACCAAATGTACGCTCATACAACGCGCGTGCTAGAGCAGCAAGACTGGCTTCCACCTGTGCAGCAGTCCTGGCCTGTGTCACAATTTCGCGGCCTGCCTTGACGCGTGGAGTCAGCAAAGCCTTTGTAAACTCCTTAACGGGAATGCCAAGCAAGTGAGAGAGCTTCTCAGCTTGGGTCATGTCTACCAATCGCGCTTGATCAGCCCTGTCTGCAGCGACAGTCAAGTTACCGATATGCAAGATGGCAGCAATTGTCTTGAAGTATTGCTTCTGCTCGTGCTCTGTGATTCCCATAACTTTGAAACTACCAAGCAGCTCCTCAAACATGTACTTGTCCGAGACGCCTGGTATGGCAGCCCGACCATGCTTGAGGTACGCGTAGTCTTGCACGGATCCAGTAAGGAGCAGTTCATCCTTGAGGGATTGCGATGCACCTGCGAGAAGCTGGTAGAAAATGTGGTAGTTACGTTCACCCGACGCTTGCTGTGTCACACGCGACTTTTCGAGCAGGAACCAATTGATGTTGGCGCCGGAGATGTAGCCGTGCTCATTGAAGTGGATGCGGATGAATTTACCGAAACGGGAAGAGTTATCGTTGCGCACAGTTTGAGCATTACCAAAGGCCTCGAGGATGGGATTGGCACGCAAGATTTGTTCTTCAAGATTACCATCGTGCCTGCGTTGATCTGCTGGCGATTGGGCGATGGCAGCAAGGAATTGAATGACTTTTTTGGTTGTTTCTGTCTTTCCAGCACCCGATTCGCCCGTGACGAGGATCGCTTGATTTTCATGCATTTCCGCCATGTTGCGATATGCCGTATGAGATGTTGCAAAGACATGCGGCTTCGAGTCGTCTCGCGTCTGGTTCTTGTACAGGTCGATGCTGTCCTGATTGTAGATGGACAGGCGCTTATAGGGATTGACGGCAACAAGAAAGAGGCCAGAGTAAGTGTAGATGGCATCTGCCTGGAAGCGCGCCTGTAGATTGAAAGCGACTGAGGGCTCATTGAGATAGGTGAGAGAGGCCATATCACTGACTCGGTCAAATTTGGGCGGGTTAACCTTGTCGGTTTCCGTCGCCTTGACTGTCTTGTCCTTTGTATTAGCCTTATTCTCCGGGACATCTTCATACCGTGTCATCCGTACAGCGCACATGAAGGAGGTCACCCTCATCTCGTACGACCCATGCCTTCAGATAGCCATTTTTCTCATCCTTCACCCAAACCCATCGCTTCTCGCCAAATTCAGCCTCGAGTGCGAGCTCTGCGGGTGTCTGCTCAGCTGCGACTTTGATGAACGAGGGTGAGAAGGAGCCGACTGATTTGTTTAGCTTATGCGCCTTCCCTGGTGCGTACTGCCCGGCTCCTCTCATTGCCATGACTCTAGATTGCAGACAGTATGATTAATCAGTAGCCATTCTATGAAGTAGCGAGCGTATCCAGCAGGCCAGGAGGAGCTTGGCCACGTCTCTTTGCGAGTCAGTCGCGTGTGTGTGTGTGTTTTGTTTACTTGGCTTCTTCTCTTCTTTGCCTTTTTGGTTGCGCGCGAGAGAGAAATTCATGAAGGAGCCACGACCACACAAAAGAGAGAGAGTGTGCCCCGTTTGTGGAAGTGAGGCAGCAGCTCATCATGGAGGTGGCTGCAATGCTCCGTCAAAAGCTAATGGACTCCCTTAAGCGGAAGCGGGAGAGGGAAGAAGACGCAGAAGATGGCGAGATACTCGAGAGCAGCGGGACGCAGGAAGCCGCCCATCGTCAAGGACAACGGGCTCAGACAGCGTCTGCTCCTGTTGCATTAGCAGCGCAGCCATCTGCGTTTCCTCCCCAGCCATGGCTACCGCCTGTCCCTGTCGCAGGGTGGGCTCAGTCAATGGATTTTGTGATCCCACCTGGACTGCGTACGCAGACTAAAACACCGCCCATACATCCACAACTACAGTCGCTTCCTGGTAGTGCTATTCCTACACCTCGCACAGGGTCGCCAAAGTCAACAATTGCATCGGAGAATGGTAAAGGCCGCAAGCTGGGCTCTATGAAACATTCTACGCTTGTAATTGAACTCGATAGTGACGCATCTGACGATGAATCTGCTCAAGCGCAAGCCGCGGCTGATCGTCATGCCTCAATTGCTTCTACAGCACTTCGGATTGAACAAGAACAAAAATTGAAGGCGATGGAAGCGAAGATTGCTGCAGCGATGGCTGCCATCAAGCAAAAAGAAGAGCAAGCGCTGGAGATGGCTGGACCCCACTCAGCACCAAGTTCGCCCGAACAAGCTATGCCCCGGTATGAGCCATTGAGGGAGCCTCGATTTACGCTTGTGCCGGACATTGCCAAAGCCATGTTGACTATCGGTGAAGCTTCCGAGGGACAAAGGCGGAAACGACGTGCTCCAGACATGCAAAATGGCCACTACTCAGCGCCCCATACAACTCAAAACACAAACATTGAGGAGCACGCTGAAGAAACAGCAAGGGAGCCTTCTCCACGACCCGACTTCTCGGCGCTTCTCCAGGCTAATGAACAGGCCTTGCAAGCCATCAAGCAGCAACAAGATGAGAATGATCGGGGAATCTACATGCAACAGCGGACGCTCACTATTCTTCAGAGCAAAGATAACGAGCTGCAAAACCGACGCGCAGAACTCGCAACGGAAGAGATCCACGCGACCACACAATTAGCCGCCTTCAAACTACAGGTTGAGCAGCTCATGCTCGAGATGAACGCGTTCGAGGCCAAAGCATTGGATATCTCAAGGCAGCGTGTCGAGATTGATCACATCATCGAGTCTTCACAGCAAGTTCAGGAAGACTTGAAGGAGAAGATCAACAGTTTGATAAACAAGCGTGGCGGCTTCCGCGAGCAAGTGGAAGCTGCTCAAAAAGCTCTCAAGTCTGCGCAGGCGCTTCAAGGACAAAGCTTTGCCAATGTCAGGCCAGGTCGCGTTGCTCAGATCCCTCAAAACCACGCTTCGTCGTCAATGAATGGCACTGGATCGCCGCCTCGGCCAAGCAAGCGGCGAACAAAGTACCTTCGTGAGCCAGAAAGGGTAGAGCCAGGGTTGAGCCTTGCAGAAATCTACTCCAACTCCCCGACACTTACGCCTGAACAAGCTGCAGAAGAGCTGCAAAAGCGACAGCTGGCTCAGCAAGCATCGCAGCAGGCTGATCCCGTGCAGCTGTGTCTTATGCGTCGCTTGTGGTGAATTCTCCGCCGAACAAGCTCCGAAAGCTTGGTAAGTCGACGCTCGATAAGTCGACGCTCGATTCAATACCGGCGTCTGTAGTCACGACAAATGTGGTTCAGCCTGTCGAAAACACGAAGCAGAGCACCAGACCAGCAGCGCAGCCTGCACCTTTGACTAAGGACACTGCCATTAATGAACCACCCACTCAGACCACGTTGCCCGGTCGCTCAACAGAGCAGGCGAATGATGCCATTGACTCACTAAAGCAGGTACCTCAGCAGTCGAATGGATACCCATCGCGCTACATCTCGCCGCTTCACCAATTCAAATCGTATAAGTTTCACCAAGAATTTCCTCGCACAGTGTCATCTGGCTTTCGTTCCAAATCTTACTTCCACAAGATCAACCACGAAAAGATGTTTTGCGAGGCCGAGTGTCTTGGCGGAACCTGTTCGGTAGCGACTTGCTCGGCGCAGCATTTTCAAAAGATTGTCATGACAGGTTGAGCCCAAGATTCCCTCTTTTTTGCTTCTCCTTGTCGTATTCTTGACAACCCCTGTTTTCCTGCAAGTTCACAATGACCAAAGCGATTGAGGTGCACAGCAAAGAACGATGGAGGAGGAATAAGGAGCTTCTTCATGAAGGAGTACGCTGACCACTTTCCTTTTAGATGATGAAATTCTCGTGGAACTGACCTCTGCGACACCCGCAGTTTTCACCACGGTTCCCGAGAAACAGGCCTACCGCGAATCATTGCGCAACTTGCTAAAAAAGCTACGCGACCAACATGTGGACGACTTTCATCGTGTTTCGCAGGCCATTGTTCAGCACCGGCGGTCAACGCTTCCGGATGCAACCTCCAGTGTGACCTCGGTGTTGCCTGCTTGAGCTTGAACACAAACCCTGGTCCCCTCGATTGTCCCATTTCCCGTGTGTTTTGTGCACTTTCAGCATTTACTGACGTCTCTCAAGGTGTTCTGTCCTCTCTCCAGCCTGCTTGTCCAGGCTGTCCTCGACAAAGCAGCCTTCCAAGGTTGTTATCTTCCCATGAGCACGATTTTTGTTTTAGCCGGCGTGCATTTGAAGCATTTTACAGAAGAAGAGCAAGCGCCTTGTACAAGAAGAGGAGCTTGGCCTGAGCCCGCTGAGCTGCAGGAAGACACACGTAGACATACATGAAAGCATCTGCATCTCCCAAGCCAGTGAATGCACTCTCCTGTCTGCATCTGTAGATTTTTGTTTGTCGGCACAGGGAGCAGCAGCCCATTCACCATTCACCAGCCCAAGTACAACACACAAACACACCACTTCTAGTCAGACCCCCGGCCACTCGCTTCTCTTCTACCCCAGCATCTCACATCATCATGAAGGCCCTTATTCTCGTGTAAGTAGTCTTTTCACCGAAACAGACGCGCATGTCCTCCCGAGGACGCGTCTCTCTTTCCTTCTAATGACCTGCTTCTAACGCAATTTATGCAGCGGCGGTTTCGGAACACGTCTGCGGCCCTTGACATTGACCCTGCCAAAGCCTCTTGTCGAGTTTGGCAACAAGCCCATGATCTTGCATCAGGTAGAGGCGCTCGCTGAAGCCGGTGTCACAGATATCGTGCTCGCTGTCAATTACCGCCCAGAGATCATGGTCGCTGCCCTTAAGCAGTACGAAGAGCTCTACAACATCAAAATCACATTCAGCGTCGAGACAGAGCCCCTCGGCACAGCGGGTCCGTTGAAGTTGGCTGGCGAGATCTTGGGCAAGGATGACTCGCCTTTCTTTGTCCTCAACTCGGATGTTATTTGCGACTATCCCTTCAAACAGCTGGTGGACTTCCACAAGTCTCACGGCGCAGAGGGTACGATCATCGTGACCAAGGTGGATGAGCCGAGCAAGTACGGTGTTGTTGTGCACAAGGCCAACTCAACAGTCATTGACCGCTTCGTTGAGAAGCCAGTCGAGTTTGTGGGCAACCGCATCAATGCCGGCATCTACATCTTCAATCCGACCATCCTCAACCGCATCGAACTCAAGCCTACCTCGATCGAGAAGGAGACGTTCCCCGCCATGGTTGCTGATGGGCAACTCCACACATTTGATCTTGAAGGCTTCTGGATGGATGTTGGTCAACCCAAGGACTTCTTGTCTGGTACATGTCTTTACCTCACCTCGCTAGCTCGTCGGTCAGCAGACAAGTTGTCCAAGGAATCCTTCGTCTATGGCGGCAACGTCCTGGTTGATCCTTCCGCCAAGATTGGCAAGAACTGCAGAATTGGACCCAACGTCGTGATTGGACCCAATGTTCGCATTGGCGATGGCGTTCGGTTGCAGCGATGTGTCTTGCTCGATGGCTCAACTGTCAAGGATCACGCTTGGGTCAAATCTTCTATTATTGGATGGCACTCTGTCTTGGGTCGTTGGAGCCGGCTAGAGAATATCTGTGTGCTCGGTGACGATGTCACAGTCAAAGACGAGGTCTACATGAACGGCTCGAGCGTGCTGCCTCACAAGACCATCGGCGCTAACGTCGAGACCCCTCAAATCATCATGTGAGCCACAAGCTTGCTTGTCACCCCGAAAAGAACAAAACATAAACCCTCATTCAACGTACATAGCTCTATAAGAAAAGGCATGCCATGCGCAATCTCTTCCTAGCACTCGGTTGTTGTCTTTGTATTGAGAATCAAGCCCACAATGAGGCCATACAAGCCGAGCACCTCGGCGAAAATGAGCACAAGCACCATTGACACAAAGATACGCGGTTGCTCGAGGAAGCTGCGGACACCGGCGTCGCCAATGATGCCAATGGTGTAGCCTGCCGCGAGACCTGTCATGCCTACGCAGGTACCTGCTGCGAGATGTACGAATCCACTGTTGCATGTTAGATACGATCATGTTGCGTGAAACTTCAACGTACTTATAGAGTGAGTAGTTGTCTGTTGGTGACAAGTCTCCAGAGATGAGGACAGCCATGACGAGACCATAGACGGCAATGATACCAGACATGACCACGGGGATCAGTGACTTCATGATGAGGGAAGGGTTGAATTGGCCAATACCCGCAATACCAATTCCCGCTTTCGCTGTACCATATGCTGCACCTAGGGCTAAAAGTATGTCAGTTTTTGGTTGATGTATGCATGCGGCACTTGATGCGCGCAAGAGATGCACATACACGAGAATATCATCTGTGAATTAGCAGTGTTTGATGGTTGATGGATCGACATACGGCGGACGCGACGCCTGCAAATCCAAAGAAGGACGCATAGGGCGTGCAGTACTCTGTGAGGGACATGGCGAGTTGTGCGACGACTCTGCCTGGTTTTGTCTTGGTGTCTTCTAGCCGTCGACGTCAATGCGTAGGGTTAGTTTTAGTTCTGGTGTAGAGTCTGTAGACTGTAGACAGCAACTGTAGAACTACACAGACTGGCTCAAGGCTCAAACTAAACTACTAGAGCTGCACACTCGCCCAATCGCACAGATCCTTGTACCTGCTGTGTGCATCTGGGGACAGCTTGCTACTGAGCCGTATAGCTACAGCTGCCCTTACTCTATGGACCTTGACTTTGGCAGCGACGAGGAAGCTGATGTCTCAAAGCAAGAGGATGCCAGAATAGAGGATGCTGCCAATGGCTCAGACAACGACTCTGATGATGCTATGGACGAAGAGTCCGTTGCTCCCTCTCGCTCAATGCGCTCGTCACGGTCTCCTGTTGCAGAAGAAGATCAGGAGGACGAGGAGGAAGCAGATGAACCGCAAGCTCAAAATCGAGCAGCCATAGAACGTCCTGCTGTTCCCGTCCAAGCCGGAGCCGAGAGCTGCTCGTGGTACGACTTTGTTCCAACTATTGCAGCTCCTCAAGCAACTCAGGTCAATTGCGTCGTCACGTCGCGCGGCCTACGCTGGTTCTTCACAGGGGGTCAAGATGGCTATATTCGAAAGTACGACTTTCATCAAACCCTCACAGGCAAGTTGCCATTGACGGTGGCTCAACGGCATCCGTTTGTGGACAGTGTCCAAAAGGCTGGCGTCCTTTTGTCGTACTGGAAGAACGAAGAGCTTCCTGAATCAGCCGATGCCTTATTGCTCAGCAAGCCATCTTCACAGCTCACAAATAAGCAAATTTCTCCAATTCATTGCCTGGCTGTGCACAGCGAAGCTCTCTGGATTTTATCTGGACTCCAATCTGGTGCGATCAATCTACAGGCAGTACGAGTTGAAGAAGGGCGCGTCTTGCATGTCATGCGTGGCCACACTGGACCAGTCTCAGTGCTCCAGCTCTCAGGAGATGATCGCAGCTTGTTGAGTGGTTCTTGGGATAAGAGAGTGCATGACTGGGACATGGAGACCGGTCAGATTCGACGCACTTTTGCAGCAGGAAATGATGTGACTGGCCAAGTCTCGGCCATTGCTGTGCGCAATCCGGATGCAGCTGCTCTCGATGAGTCAGTGTTTGTGGACGAAGCTGATAGAGCTCCACTGGTGGCGGATCAAGGGCAGGAGGAGGAGATGGAGGACGTCGAAAAGGATCTGCCAAGCAGACAAGCGCGGCACAGCCCTGCCTCTACCAATTCGTTTGATCCGTTGTTTGATGAAGATGACGACGCGGAGCCTGTGCTACCGACAACAGAGCCGCCCAAGATAGTGGATGGTACAGTGGAGCCTGCATCGACTATCAAAGTCGAGGGCGATGAGTTCACAAGCACAGCGAGCAACGTGGTTGTTGACAACGGACTAGATCAGATCTTCTTGACGGCGTGCGTCGACGGCACCCTTTCATTATGGGACAGAAGGCGGCAAGATCCAATTGTGCGGATACCAGTCCCTCGCGGCACACCACCGTGGTGTCTCAGTGCGTGCTTCTCTCATGATGGCGAATTTTTCTACTGCGGTCGTCGAAATGGTACAGTGGAGGAGTTCAGCATGCGAAAGGGCAACTTTGGTGCAGAACTGGGTAGTGCACGATGTGGTAGACGAGTCATCAAAATGCCGAATAACAGTGGTCCAGTCTCGAGTGTCAGATCGATGCCGAACGGGCGATCTCTGCTATGGTAACTCCTCGACCGACTCTGAGTTTTGCTAACATACAGCGCTTCCTATGACAATGTCAGGTTGTATGATCTCCAGTCGTCACCCACGACCAAGGGAATGCCATTCTTGATCGTCCCAGGCCACCATGGAGGCATTATTTCACAACTTTACGTGGATGACAGCTGTCGTTATGCGTTTTCGACAAGCGGCAATAGAGGCTGGGATGGTTCATCAACAGAAGTCATCTTAGGTTATGAAATTGGCATACCACAAAGCTAGAAAGGTAGGCTCAAAAGTTTTCCTTGCAGAAGATGAAGCGAGTCCCGTCGGGTCCAGTCGTGCTGTACTCGTTGCATTTCAGGTGCAGGGTATGCCCAAGTGGCTTTGGTCCACAGAAGAAGACGCCGACATCCGTTGCAGGATGAATCTTGGCCAACGACTTGTAAATGTCATCCCACGGCGGACGTCCATAGTTGACCATGGAGCGCAAACCAGTGATGGCATCCACTTCCGAGCCGTTAGTTGATTGCAAATACAAGTTCTCGGCATCGTCAGGTCGAATCGTGGCTGTCAGGTACGCGTGAATCTCAATCAGATGCCCAATGTCCTGCTCTTCAATCGCCAGCAACAGCGACTGGAACCACTCGAAGCTCTCAAAGTCTCGACATACCCAGTAGAAGTAGACTTTTGACAGTCTAGTCTTCTCCTTGGGATAGTTGACGCGATACCAGATGGACTTCAAGATGGAAGCAAATGGAGTCACGCCAATGCCTGCACCAACAAGCATGACTGTCTCAAACTTGAAGACATCTTCACTTGCACTGCCGAATGGTCCGTCGATGACCACTTTGGGCAAGATTCGTCGTCTGGCATCCTCATTACTTGCCACGATTCTAGTCTGTCTTGCTTTGCTCTTGTCATTTGGCCCTTCCGATTCGCCAAAGTCACAACCAAGCGTGCGAGCCAAAGCAGAAGTAAAGTCGCCGACACAACGGATGTGGACTGACAAGTAGTCCTCTTCAGGGCTTGACGTCAATGTGAAGGGATGATACTGATGAATCGATACTTCGGGACAGCAAAGAAAGATGTATTGCCCAGCCTTTGCATTGCACCCAGCATTCTTGACTTGGATCTCGCAAACGCGCGACGGATGAGCAATCACCTTTGAGATGAATGTGCCTCGTGTCGCTCGATACTCACGCAAGATCCTCTCTGCAAGGTAGACTGTACCGCCAGCAAGGAAAAACTTCCAAAAAGAGCTGCTTTGCTTGCAGAATGGTGCTCGATCAGGGGTGATCATGCAGTACGAACCGTGAAAAGACCACAGCAGGAAGAAGACTGTAAAAAGGTGATGGCTTCATTGTCAGCAAGGTAACAATGAGTGGAATCACTTACGTATACCAGAACCTCTCAAAATTTGCACGTCGATGCTTTTCGAGCGCAGTGTAGGCCATGGCCATCAGCACAATGAGCATCAAATTTCCCAATACACCTGGACCTGTGGTAAAATTGAGTAGGGCCCAGCCCTTGACACCCAGACCTTGAGCATTTGAAAGTCTCGCAAAGTTGACCCAGCTAAAGTCAGCATATTCAGAAAATCGGAGACATACTGAGCAATTGTGTGTATCCAAGAGAATAGGACGATGGACCAGCCTACAATCTTGTGGAACGTGACGTTCTTGTCCAGCGGCAGGATAGACCCGACCGGTGTGTTGCGCAACAATGAAACCAGGTTGCGACACATGGGCAACAGGATGCACGCCACATCGAAGAGAAGCACGTTCGCCGAGGCCCTGGCAATTGGATATGTCAACCCCATGGAAGTACGCGCTGCTTTTTGGTCATCCTTCAACAAGAACTTGGCGGTACTGAATCCAAAGACGAGGATGTGTACGAGGATGAAGAAGGCCACGAAGAAGCGGTTCGCCCCCTCATTGATCATCCAACGGTCAATCCGTTGGCTGATGGACATGACACCTACGTTGAGCCTCGACATAGATGTGTAGTGTCTGATGGAGACAGTGCAGATTCATGCGAAATCTAGGACAGTCGCGACAGTTGGGGTCCTCCGACGCATCGTACGTTTCAGGTGCATGGCTTTGACCCATCTTTTCAATATGATGGCCAAGCAAAGGAGAAGCCTATATAAAGGTCTCCAGCAGAGATATGGTCCAAGAGATGAAGTTGTAAGTAGCGAGCCTTTGCTGACTCTGTATGTACATGTAGACTCTAATGTTCGATGCCAGGTGTTGGCTGTAGACAATTCCCAGCCGAATTTATAGAACTAGAACTAGAACTAGAATTAGAACTAGACGCGATCCTCCATGTGGAGGAAACGACACTTCATATTGGACAGTCTGATCTGAGTGGGTCGCTGCTGATGGCAGATACAAATATGCTATTGCGGTCTCACATTGGAAAGCTAGAAGGTCGTATTGCAGAACTAGAGGCACAGGCACTCTCAGAAGAAGATGAAGCACTTCTTACGCACTCTATAAGCACTGCGCAGGCTTCCGTCGCCCAGTTATGCCAGCAGGATGACAGCATCAATGCTCTACTTACTGCTTCGCTCCTAAAATATCCGGAGCTGTTGGAGGTCGCATCGAAGCAACAGGCGGGTCTTGATACCGAGGAAACGGCGGAAACCAAGCTCAACGTTGTGACTGCCCAGCGCCCAGCAATCTACTCACTGCAAGACAACTTATCGCAAGTCATCAAGCTCACCTCCTTGATGCCGACTTTACAGCAATCGCAAGCGCTAGTAAGCCAAGGCCCAAAATTGGAAGCTTTACAGAAACAAGCCGCAGCGCAACAGGCGCAAGTCGAAGAGCTGGCTGCACAGACAGAGGAACTGCTCATGTCTTGGTATGCAGAAGACTTGCGAGCCGCAAATCAAATGCTCAGCCATCTTGGTCTCGAGAGACTCGCTGCTGAGATTGCTGGTCTGCGTGAAAGGCCAAAGCTCAGCTACTGATGATCACAACGTCTACCGCACAAAGGAATTCCTACAAAAAGGGGCACAAACCCCCTACATACGCGATCGTCGCTATTCGCTCGCTACAAGATCCACTTTTCATTTTTTTTTCATTGACTTTGAGGAGCTCAGGTGCTTAGATGGCCGATGCTGTGTCTTGTCGGTCCACGAACAATTGCACTTCAGATGAGACGACTAACAAACTTGAGTCTGGACGCAAGTCACAGAGAACGCTTGCCTCGTTATCAGAGCTCTAGGATTCGAAAGCAGAGGGAAGGAACAAAACGCAGAACAAGACGAGAAGGAACTTTGTGCAATGCTTGTGTCATATTTTCGCATTTGTCGTACATTCATTTTTTTTTTGTCGTTTTATGATTGAAATCATGGTGTTGTGTGTGCCATGATCTTCAAGTGCCGTTAGAATACAACCAGCGTCGGTGCATTATAGACTTTTGCCAAGGAGCCGCGGACACGATAGACGGAATGCCATCTGAATGCAGCTCACTGCACTGTGGCTCGAACCGAGTTGACGAGCGGTGTGGTGCGTTCTTGTGCGTCAGGTGACGATGGCTTAGACGCGACGCGCGCATAACTAGGCTTGCTCGAGAACGAGTGGAACGACGCAGGGGTGAGCGCGGCAATTTGTGGATGACTGCTTCGACGTTTCGGAGGGGTTGTTGTATTCTTGTGCTGCACGGCAGACGCATAATCGAAGCTCGAACTTGTTGCGAGGGATGCCGATCGCAGGCCTTGCACGTCATGTAAGCTGACAGGCATCTCGAAACTTGACATGTGCAGTCGCTCGCCGGATTGCGCTGTGTCCATGTACGGCATTGACGCCGAGATGGTCGGGGAGTGCTGCCCTGAACTGGACGGCGAGCTTCGAGACGAGGTCGCACGAGTCATACTCGCTGTGGTCGTATCGGAGCATTCCGACCCATGCCTTGCAGAGACATGCCCAGCTGCCTGATGAGGCGCCAGCGCCGGCTCAAGATTTTGGACGAGTGCATCGCAGTAGGCAAGACTCACTGTTCGCTGGAACTGTGTGACATGGTCAAGGTACCCATTAAGTGACTGTGCGGGGTTCGGCGTGCGTTGACTATTGCCACTGTCGAGCGAGTAGAGCAAAGGTTGCGGCGGATGAGGGAGGGCGCCCGACTTGATGGCTCAAAGTCCCTGGTGGGTGGTGCGCACTGCACATGATTTTGGAGTCCCTGGGCAGACAAGTCTTGCCGTTGATATGCTGACTGGTGGAAGGATTGCCTTTGCTGATTCGATTGGCGCTGATGCTGTCGCTCGCTGAGGTTTTGTAGAGGCTGCCGACGTCTCCATACTTCTTGACTTCTCCTTCTCTCAGAGTACGAGCGATGCTCCTCTTGAGGCATGCTGTTGAGTAAGTGAGCGAATTGCTGGTAGTACTGTACACTCAGTGGGAAGGCAGACTGCAAGAACTGCAAGTGCTCGATGGGCACACCGTTTCCCGCGTGGTACTCGGGGTTGTGATGTCTGAAGGAGCCAAAGTCTGTCATTGGATCGGCTGTTTGGTAGTTGACTTGACCGGCGCCAGGCTGGTAGAAGCCAGACCTACCAATGTGACCATGTGATCGGGGTTGCTGTAGCATGTGCGCCTGTCTGCGGTTTCCTGACTTTGCTTGAGGATGAATTTGATAGCGCTTTGACTTGGGACCTCTAAAGACGTACGGCTCGCAAGCGTCTTCAAAGGTGCGACCATTGGCGAGGAACTCATGTATTCGAGCAAGCTCAAGATGTATGCCACGATGCGAATCCATGTCTGCCGTATTACCCAGGTTTCTTGATGTTGTGAAAGGCTCTTCGATGCCGAACAGCTGGTCCGGTGCAAACCCCTTTGAAGCCCGCTCAACGACGCCTCCACTTCGCACAGACGCCACTGCGACGGGGTAGTTGAATAAATATGTGTAGTAGTGAAAGAAGCCGAAGACAAGAGCGCCTATTGATTCATGATTGTGGCGACCAAAGCCGCTGAGCCCGAACTTTTGGACATCATCAGCAAAGGACACATCGATGCCTTGCAATGGTGGTATCGTATCATGCGGCCAGCTGTGTAGGCATGGAAGTACGGGAGGCTGACGCACCTGTAGAAAATTGATTACAAGTAGCGCCCAGGAGTAAGAAGTGAGGGTATTGCAGACTGCGTCGTTGAGAGCACGGCACTTGGCCCAGTGTTTGACAAAGTAAGCAAGTTGACGAGCACGAACATCAATCTCCATGTAGGTCCGCACGAGCTTTGAGTTGCGCAGTGCCAACTTGTTGTTGATGTTCATATCACATGCCACTTTTCTGTGCTATTAGCAGAGGAAACCCTTGTAAGCGACATACAGTTCAGGGTCATAGATTGCCACGACAGGCACTTTTGCGCCAGCTCGACAGACAACGCTCTGCATGCCAGCTACAGTCAGAATCGAAACTCGTAAATGAAGGACTTACAGCGGTGCATGAAGCTTGACAGATGGCATGTCTGGGTAGCGAAGCCCTTCCAGGATGTGACGATGCATACATCCAAGTCAGACGTATCAGTGCCAAGCAGATTTTCAGTTGATCCAAAAGCGTGAACGGTGAAATCCTTGCCTGGCCATTCGCTCTTCAGGAGGCGCTCCAATTTGTGGATGAAGGCCTGCTTGCTTCTGATGCCCTCGTCAGATGGAAGCAAAGTCTAGAGGTCAGCAAACGCATTCTCAAAGGAGGCCTCACCTCATATAGGGCAATCAATTCTTGACTCAATCGAGCATCTTCGTCCGCAGTGAGCGTGTACGACATGGCCAGCTTGTCTGAAAGTATCAGAGGCTTGTCAGCCATGCCATAGGGTATCCGACGTGTTGCTTGTGCCAGTGTAGTCTCAAAGGGACAGGCACCGAGCCTTACGCCCTTTGATCGTCTCAGATCAATGTTGCTGCGTTCATGACTGACAGGCTTCGAGACTACCGGCACCGCTGCTTCTTGCGGAGGTGAGTGGTGAGCTGGCTGGGTTGAAAATGATGTAGCGAGGAGATCCTGAAAGGAAGCACGATGCGGCACACGGCTTTCTGAGCTGGAACGTACGTGCCCGTGACCTTTGCGTGAGGTGGATGAGCGCAAAGGCGACACGCCCGCAGTGATCTTTGACTGTGACCCAACTGGCATAGATGATTCCTCGTGCGACTGGCCCTCTAGAGATGAAACGCCGTGAAGTTCCTGGAGTTGCCTGGCACTGTGATTGCCGTTGACGTTGGCGTAGAAGTCGTTGCTCGGGGGAGTGGCGCTCGTAGTGGATGTATGCGCCTGAGTTTTGGTTGAAGTGCCGTGGATCTGTGGTATACGTACGACGATGTGTTGAGCAGCAGACGGAGAGACACGTCCAGCCTCTGGAGAGGTCGTGTATTCGCCGCGCCCGTCGAGTCTGTCCACTGCTGACTTGGCTGAGAGTGTTTGTGTGTAAATGGCCTCACTGCTTCGCAATTGCGCTGGATGCGGGTCAAGATGCTGAATATCTGATCGCTTCTGCTCACTTGAAGATATGGCAAGCCGGGAGGATGTCTGCTTGTCTCTTTGTGAAGTCGTCGCTTCAGGGGTCGGTGTATGCGTGTGGGCGGGCGAAGTGTTTGGGAGAGCAGCTCGTGTAGATAGTGATCGCTTGTCGGTACCTAATGCGCTCTGCTTGTGCCTCTCTGCGTCTGTCTTGTCCAGAAACAGACGCTGTGTCTTCTCCTGCGCTCTCCTGGCCATGCGCCTGCTGCTCTTTCGTTGTTGGTACCGATGTGCAAGTCCACAAAGCTGCGTGCTCTCAGGCGCCTCTCACACAGTTGTCAATGCCACAAGACTGAAGGAGGCTCTACCTCTGGCCACGGATGAGAAGGGCTCACTGCTCGTCACGCAGCCAGTATTGTCCAGGGAGCAACGAATGGGTGTATTGATGGTCTCCCTGTCGCTTGTGGTGTCCCTTCCCGCGCGCCCGTGTTCAGGCGAAATCCACAGCGAGGGAATGCCTTGTGAGGGCGTTTGCGCTGGAATCAAGGTGCAGGCTGGTGGAGGGAGAGCGTGGTACTGTGCTTGAGCAGATGAAGATGACAAGCCTGGTGGTCTTGATGGCCTGATGCTGACGGGTGCAAATGGAAGGCCCTGGAAGTGCATTTGGCCCTGAAGCTTCACAGTCCATGAAATGTTCAAAAAGATAGAAACGGACACAAGGGCACCAGGATCAATGATGCAGCAAAGGCAGAGAAGGGGGAGATGCGGGGATGCCTACAAGGCTACAGGAGCGCAATCGCAAAGGCGCCACGACGAAAGAGACTGTCGCAGGCAAACAGATGAGCCATCTCAGATCATTTACAAAGCTTTCATCATTGCTAAAGAGCTGATGAAGTCCGTCGTGAGGTTGTTAAGATCATCATTGTGAGCAGCAGTGACTGAGCACAGCCTACAACGTTTCTTTCGTCGCAGCCTTTCTTCAAGACGATGAACGAAGCACAATAGACCTGATTGTCAGCTTCCATTCCCATAGTAGTTTGGCATGCACAAGAGCCGACAAGGCACCGCATCAGATAGAGCTAATTTGAGTCCTCATGAAGTCAGACATATGCTTGTTATTTTTGGTCATCGTGTGCGTGCTTCCCGGTCCTGTGCACCTCTCAGGTGCTTACGTTGTTTGGGCAACATTGCTCGACATGAATGGACGTGGTCAAAGGCTGAAGCCTAAAAGTCAGCGCTGCTTCGGTGAATGTCAGTCTCTCCATGCAGGACTCCAAAGTCGGACTTGGTATCAGAAAAGGCATGAATGGTATAAATAGGTTGTGTCGTCAAGAAGAAACTTACTCAGACTCGTCATCTAAAGACTTCATCATTCGAAGCCCGAATTTGAATTGCATGGAGAGAAGGACTGTTTGGAGGACTTACCAGAGTGGCTCATGAATGACACGGGCGCCCTTTCAGATAGTCATGAGAGCTCTGGGAATTAGCAAGCTGAACCGTACTGCAAAGAGGTAGCTGATAGATCAGAAAGCAGTTTCTAATTGCGCACTTGTCATCACAAGCAGCCTTTTGGCCACTTTAGTGCCCAGTGCAGCATTCATCAGATCAATAGCGTCTCGCCCTCTCATTGCAAATTGTACTTACCACTGTTGTTTTGTGAAGAGGCCGACGCATCAGAGCCACAGCAAGACAAGGAAGCATCGGGACAGAGAAGCTCAGCAAAAAAATACAGCCAAGTATTATAAGCAGTCGCACTGCAGAAGCACGATGTACTTCTACAGGCATCAGTCGGTAATTTTCTTCATCCTTGCAACAGTCCAGATAGCCTTCTGGTCTTGCCGCAGCACTTGCGAAGCACGCGTCAGATCTCCTTGACATTGACTGTAGGGCTATACTTGTTAGTCTTTTGAGATTTGCAGGACGCTAGACAAGAACAAGACAACCAAAGCTTGCTGGAGGAACGTCAGTTCTAGAGCTAAATGTTGCATCGCCATGTAGCCCCTACTAAAAGGCCTGTCTGAGACTCTAGTATTGTTTGTCATCAATCGATTCCAGCTTGCTTTGGGTCTTGCTTGCGGTCACGCGTCATATAATGGGCCTTACCATGGTCAATATGCTGATTGCGCGTCTTAGCTAGGAACTCATGAGGAATTCTGTCACGGGAGCAGCTCTTCAATAAGCATGCTCATCGCGAGACTCAGATCCCAAACAAGGCCAGCTTTCAAACAAGGAGTATTGAAGCTCAGTCGAGAGAATCAAAATTTGTCTGCTGCCCAAGTTGAGAGCAAAATTCGCACGGCCAAAAGGCTTCGACCATGAAACAATTAGAAGTGCACTGAGGTATGTGCTCGCTGTATGCTATGTGAATGCCGAGAACCCAGTTTTACAATGTCAGGGCCATCTCAGGTCTGCGGTGATGCAGCAGCCAGCTTCTCCTGAGCTCGTGTGGCTTCTTCATTGTCCATTGCCGTCTGCGTGCTTTCCGACAAGAGCGTCACGCTCAGCTGCGTATCCCGGCGAGCGAGTTCCTCGAGCACCGCAGGATTCCAGGGATATAGAAGACCATCGCCGGGACTTTGTTGGATTGGCAAAATCCAATTGAGAACACGCAAGACGACCCATCTGTCCGCCTTGAACTCACCCATAACTTGCTGCCAATTTCGCCATAGCCCCAAGTCAAATGGATTGACGCCACTTGAAAGCGTGACGCGCTCCTTGATGGGTACTTTTTCGCCAGAGGGAGTTGTTCGCTCTGTTTGGTGGATGACGGTAATGTCATGTGCAGCAATGCTCTCCAGAGTCGTGAGGTTGAGGAGAATCTGCCGGCCGTGGAAGAACGAGAATGGAATCATCATCAATGCAAAGAGTCCGCCAAGTGCTATGCAGGAGTACCACAGACCAACATTATGCGGTATAGACGTGCCATCATTCCGCCGTATCGCTGCTTTGCGTTGACCAACAGCCACAGCAAACGTGACCACCAAGAGAACGCTGTAGATGGCCACATACGTGACGAATTGAAAGAAGAACTTGTATCGGGTGTGGCCCAATGCGCCACCGACCCAGGGACAAAAATGATCAAACTTCTTGACGCACCGATTGACCTCTGAGCAGTGGTGGACGCGGTCATATTTGGTGACCTCGCAAATCCCACAGTATCGGGTACCGTCCGTCGCGTCATTTCGTGCGATCCACGTCGGTTGACTTGCAAGTGGTTGTGTTTGCAAGAAAGCTCTCACCTCCTTGGCTGTCGGTCTTTTGCCGTACACCTTGTCATCTTCGTTGGGTGCGCTACCTTGTTCGCCGTGACGCTCGGGGTCCACACCAGCGGCACGCGCTCGATCTGAGGCGTTGGGAAGGTAGCCGGCAGGTGTGAGTAGTACCCTGAAAAATGACCACGCCATAAGAACCAGAATGAACGCTTGAAATACAATGAGACAGACTGGCTGTTAGAATAGGAGCATTTATAGATGCATGTCATACTGCCTGTGGTCCGCCGACCATTCTTGAGAAACCAATCTTTGCAAAGAAAGTACCAACAGTAGCCTAGAAGTCAATATTGAACCAAAGAGGCTTGTCATCCTTACAAGAGTAAGTGGCTGCAGCAACCAAAAATGGGGGAATGAGGTATGACAAGATTCTGTTCGACTTGCGGCTATCATTCGCAATCAAAGTCGTCCCTTGCTTCGGCAATGGGCACAGCGGTTCTCTTTTGGGTTTGCCATTCGCTCTCAATGGATGATTGCCATCCAGGTGATTGTTGTGATGGGTCGAGGTCGTTGAGTGTTGTGATCTATTGGAGAAGGACGACGAGTGCGGCCTGATCATTGAGAAGCACGCGCCTCAATGTGATGATGTGTGCGACAGCTGCCAAGTTATTTGCAAAGAAGAGAAGCGCAAGGGCGCACTAGGAAGCGACTATGAGTAGGACGCCGTTGGATGTTTGCGAGTCCCTGCACCAGAAACGATGAAACGGGGAACTGCGAGATGGCACACAGGGTCGGACGTTACTTCTACTATTCTAGGCTACGCTGCTGCCCTCCATGATAGACTCTATCTCTTCTTCAGCAACGCTCCAACCTCCTCAAGTCCAACGGGTACTGTCTGATCGCTTTTGACGAGCATGAGTAAATCCCCTTGAAAGTATACAGTCACGCCACCTTGTCCCTTAGGACTGGCTGAGAGCTTGAATAGGCTCTTGCCAGATTCTTCATGCGCACGCCGCAGAGGAATAAGGAAGAACCCTTGCTCTTCGCACCAGAATTCCACGGCATCCTTGAATGTTATATCTTGCGCTTCATCCGCATAAGTCTTGATAGCCTCGGTGGCTATTTTCTTTTGCCTTTGCGTCGATTGACGCTTGACTTCTGCTGCGTGGCCCAAAGGCTTTTGTGGACCGACCTTCAACGCTGGTAGCTTATCTGCGCCGTGATCAAGTGCGTGCGACATGAGTTGCAAACCCCGATTGAAGCAAGCTTTGACCTCTGGCTGGGCAAGAACGGCAGGAGGTATGACCGATTGCCACCATTCGTACCACTGACTGATTTCTTCAAAATTCCCATCGCTGCTGAGCCAAAGATGCAGCACTTCATACCACTTTGGGAATAATTCCGCTTCAAGCAGCTTGGACATGATGGATGCATCAAAGACGGTTGCCCATGAAAGGACATTCTCAAGCAGGCTCATCTCTTGGTCGCCTGGATCCACTTCAAAGTCATGCCGCAAGGACGACGCGAGTTTTGGCAAGACGGTCGTGACGAGCATCGCTTGTACTGTAGCCCCACCAAGAAGCATTTGCCAATCCTTGAGATCGGCTAGCTTTCCTTCCTTGCTTTGCCAGCTGCGTAGAATGGAGCCAAACTTTTGCTTGAGCGGATCCATGAGCTCCACTGCTTGGGGCCCATAATAAGGGAGCCATTCGAAAACCCATGACAGAGGTCCTGGACTGGTCTTGCGCGGATTCCAGTCCTTGATGGTAGCGACAAGCTTGTTGCTGATCAGCTGTGAGAGTATCTGTGCCTTGAGGAAAGGAGGAGTCAAGTCCTGCCAGTGTTCAAGCAAAGTCACTGCTCGAGGAGAGTCTTCAATCTGCCACGCCGTCACATTCAGAACTGATCGTATCTTCGGAAACCAGACTGTGTACATGAATGTCTCCCAAGACGTACTGTTTCTCCCAGGAAGCGACGTGATGGACTCATCAAACATGTCGGCCACTCTCAGGTTGTGCCGTAGCTTGTATATGGCATCAAACTTGCCAGGTTCCTTGAGAGGATCCCAGGCAGGGAGCATGCGCCGAATCATAGGAACCAAAATTGACAGACAAAGTTGATCGAGCTTGAAACGCTCACTGTCGGCTGTTGAAAATCGAAGAGAGGCAAGCTGATTGCAAGCTCCAGCAAAGGCCTTCTCCTCCTCGTCATCCTCTGTAGCTAGGTCAAGAGCTGTGCATTGCGAGACCAGCTGTTCAAGCTTCTCTACATCTGCCTTGAGCGATTCCATCTCTAGACGACATCGTCGAATCTCAAGCTCAGTGTGCTGCTTCCGGTCTTGCAGGGTCTTCCAATTGACTGCTTGCATCTCGACTTCGCGTCTCGCAACCTGCGACAGTTGAAAAGACCGATCTGCTTCCTCATTTGCTTGATTGGCACTACCGGTTGTGAATCTTTGAGCGCCATCCACAATCAACTTGGGCTGCTCGCCCGTCATATCCAGCAAGTTGCTAAGAGCCGGTGGCAGTGGCAAATTGCCGCCGGCCTCTTTGATCACTTCTTGGGCAGTCTTGTACTTGAGCTTCGGCTGGTCGCTCCTTCTGTCATATCCGTCCTCCAACGTACCACTCAGCGGTGTTGTCCGGGCTTTGCCATGCTTTCTACTTTTCTCTCGCTTTGGCTCATCCTCAGCGCCGGCGCCAAGACCAGCTTTAGCCTCTGTGCGCTGTTGCGCTTCAATGGGATTCACAATACCCGACTCGCCGACACCAAGGCCTGTTCCTTCCTTATAGCCCATCATGGCCATCATGCGCGCGCCTTTGCTTGACTTGAGTTTTGATGCTGCTTGCTTGTCGCTTTTGTGCATGGGTGCATTGGTCTGCGCGAAGGAATGACGCTGCTGCGTCTTTGCAGAGGGCTCATCTTCGAATTGGCCGAATGCTGATGGTCGTACAGCAGGCCGACTGGCAGGTATGGTCGCACTTGCGCTAACAGGAGTCGCTCGTGCAAAAGATGCGGGCGGCGGCGAGTGTCTCTCTAATACCTCTTCACTGCCCAATGTGCTAGATTGTTGAAACGTAGGCGCCTTATTGCGCATCGTCTTGTCCATCAGTCGCGTATCCTCGTCTTCCGAATCACTGCCAAAGACACCCAACATGGTTGATTCCTTTGTTCTCCGCCGTTTTGCGGCTGGATAGCCAAAGCCAGCAGTACGCTGTCCATCACTGTCCTCGCTATTGTTGTCGCTGTCGCTGGAATCAGTGTAGGCCATGCACCTATGGTTGTGCGACACGCTATTCTTTCTTGTCTGTGGTGTAGAATCAACTTTTCTGGACGTCATTTTCCCAGACTCAGACCAGAGTGTCCATCTTCATGGCAACCCATGCTATCATCGTCGGGGCAGGTGTCACAGGACTCTCAGCTGCACATACACTCTGTGCGCTTGGCCTAAATGTAGTGCTGCTCGACAAGGGCCCCTCTGTGGGCGGTCGGATAGCAACACGCTACTTTGACAAAACTGATGGCCAACGACGGTATGTTGACACTGCCAGCAAGGAGATCATGCTCACTGATGGCTCGACGGATGCATTCAAGGCTTTACTCGTAAAACAGCAGCTGTGTCAAGCAAAAGAAACGCGAGTGACAGGCCAACCTGGTCTGAATGCATTCGCCAAGGCATTCGCAAAGCGTCTGCCGGCCGGGAAACATGAGATTCTGACACGATGCACCGTATCAGACATCACCTATGATCAAAAGTCTTCCTTGTTTACAGTGTCTGCCGAGCTCAAGACCCCGGGTAAGGATGGCGCTGAGCAACGAACATTCTCAAGCAAAGGGGTCATCTTGACGGCTCCGGTACCACAAACCATCAATCTAATCAAAGGCTTCAAACGAATGATCCAGGAGCTTGACGGAGCAGCAGAGTATAGCAAGTCCATCATCCTGTTGCTGTGGCCAAAGAAGGCGATGCAAGTGGACGAGCTCAAGGACAATGCCAACATCCACAAGGTCAGGATACACTTACACATCCAGGCGAATGTAGAGCAAGGCGCCGTCCCACTCTCTGTCCATGCGACCCCTGCTTGGTCAGAAGCTCAGTATGAAGAGACCGACATTGAAACGGTTGAAAACCGCATTCTTGACTTCATTGGACAGTCGCGCGATGCATTCGACAAGGTGCAACTCAAAAAGTGGCGATACTCACAACCACTTGTAGATGCAGAAGCCGTACGACAAAGTCAGTCCCCGTCTTGGCGAGCAGATCCAAATGGAAGTCCCTTATTCGTTGCATCGGACGCGCTTGGGCCTGGCCTGATTGGCGAGGCAGGGACTGCAGGCATTCAAGCGGCCGAAGCCCTCCATCAGCGTCTTGGTGGCAGTAAATCAGTCATATAGTAATATAGAAGGCATTAGGGAACTTAGTCTGCTACTCACGTAAAATCATGTTTAGTACTACTATTTGGCAGAATAATCAAGATGGCCAGGGCGTGCCATCCGATAGCTTTTCATCGAGCCAATAACAAAGCTTCTCCAGCCACAGTGGACCACCTTCCCACCAGCGATAGTACTTGCTGCCACCGAGCACGCCTCTGTACTCGAGCAAGTAATCAAGAGCATTTGCGTTGTGCCAGGCACGCATCTCTGCATAAGTCATACCTGACGCAGGTGATGGAACCAGCATGCCTGAGAGGTAGCCAGCGAAGAACAAGGCCAAAGCAGCAGTGACGAGGATCCATGCACGCAGCCAGGTGAATGTAAACGGCGACTTTTGCTTTTGACGTGCCGTCTCACGCTGCTGCTCCTGAAGGGATTTGAGTTTTTGTAGAAGGGACTCTTGTAAGGCCATTTGTTTTGTCATTTCAGCCATGTCGCGTTGACGTTTGATGGCTTCGTCTGCTGCATACTCTGGCGGTGCACCAGCTGGCTCAAAGACTGAATCGGTCTGCGTCAAGCGTGATACACATCGCAAGCGTTCCTTTGTTGTTTGTGCTCCCCACGATCGCGTTTCGCGAGTCGCTTGTACAGCCTTGTCCATCAATACGGGCCTTTCAGCAGCAGTCTCACTGGGACGTCGCAGGTCTTGTTTCAATGATTGAGAGACGCTCCTAGCGGAGAGGACAACCTTGTTGGCCAGCTCCTGCTTGACCTCGTCTCGTTCAGCACGAAGGGTCTCGACTTGCTCTTCGTATCGGCGACACGCTTCTTGAGCATTCTCGAAGCGTTCCTCCACCGAGGAGAGCTGATCGACCTGAGTCTGCAGACCATTGATTGTGCCTTTCAAGACTTTTGTTTCTTCTTGTGCCTGCAAATTAGCCATTGTTCACACACAAAACAAGCTCGTACCTTTTCCTTGTCTGCAAGAGCCATACTGTACTGCTCCTGTAATGCATGCAGCTCTGCCAGACACTTTGTATGAGCGCTGCGTAAGGAGTCGAGCGCTGTCCTCTGTTCAGCCAAATCAGTTTGCACGAGGGTCCATCGTTGCTGAAGCGCATCCTTGTCTGCATGCACGCTTCCTAGATCCTGCTCGAGCTGTTGCACCTGCGCTTTGGCTGTGTCTCTTGCCGATTTGCTGTCATTCGCCTCTCTTGATCGTAGTTGCAAGGCACGCGCTTGCTCTTCAACCTGACGCTCAAGTTCTTGAATGCGGTGCTCGCTCAAGTCAATCGTCTGTGCCTGCTGCTTGACTTTTGATTGCATCTCGCGAATGTGATCTTGCAGAAGGAGCATGTTTGGTATCTCTCGCGTTGTTTCCGAGCGCACAGAGGGTGAGCTGGGAGATCCATGGCTGCTGTAGCGATCGCCAAGCGACTGTCTGCCTTGCGATACGGGTCTTGTAAAACCACCATGGCCATTGCGATCACTGCCATTGGGACTTGAGCTGGAGGATGAGGGTCGTGTGTTTTCCTTTTCCGACATGGTCAATTGCTCGATCCGTGCAGCGCTCTGTGCGGGATCGCGTCTCGGTGTTGACTGCGCCAAGGGTACAGAGGCACCCGTCCTGTTGTTCTTGATGGTACTGCGGAAGGAGGGCTGTCTGAGGAGGGAAGGTGTCTGCGACTGTGGAATAAGGGAAATCTCACTGAGTTCTGTGAAGCTGCGTTCCGGCTGCGCTGGTCTGCGCGCGAGTCGACTCGGTGTCTCCACGTCACTGTAGGAGAGGCTTGACTTTGGCTTGATGCGCGATACGGGTGAGTCGAGGGAAGGTGTGGTGGAGTGTGTGCGAGGAAGAGGGAGTCGCGACCGTGCTGCTCCTGATGCTGCTGTTGCTCGATCGGATGCATGTTGCGCTGTGACATCTACACCGAGGTCTGCTAGATGCATATCAAGCTCTTCGCGCGTCATGGGCAAGTCTGCCTCCACGAGTGCCTCTGCCTGTGCCCTCTGGTGCTCTGCCATGACTGGCTCTGCGTCTTCCGGTAGCGCATCATCCAGATTGTCGACCATGTCTAGCAGATGTTTGGAGCTGACTGTGCCAGAGTTGCCGGGATCATATCGATCGAACAGACGATCTAGTATGCTGTGGACTGACATCGCCTGCGTACGCGCGCGTGTCGTCGCGTCAGGAGTCGAAGAGAGATGTGACGAGGCGGTGCTGTGCTATGAATGCGGGAGATATACTGCTGCTGGGGGTTATAACATATGATCTGATCCTGTGCGATGCTCCCAGAGGACAAATAGAAGCTACAGATGCCTGCCTTTGTCCGTTGTTGCCTTGTCTCTTGGTCGCTGTTGTGTTGTTGCAGACAAAGAAAACAAGAAGCGACAGAGAGACTACTACTGTACTACATGTACAATTACTAGTACAGTACTGAGTACTACTGTGAGATTGCTAGAGTAGTAGAGACTACGTACCACCGGCTACTGCTTCCTCCTCCGCTTCGGCGTCCGCGTCTCCTCCTGCTCAGGCTCAAACTCAGCAGACCGAAACATGGCAATCACGCTCTCACAGTGCTCACACAGCTCCTTCGCCATCTTGCTCACCTCACTGCCCTCCTGGTTGTACATCACTGCATTGCTCAGCATCCGCAGCACAGCAATGTGAAAGCCGTTCGTGTTTGTGATCTGCCCAGCCTTGATCTGAGCTTTGAGCATCTTCAAATCAGTCGGCTGGTGCACAACCTTGGAGTAATTCGGCGCATCCTTGTCGGAGACAGCCTGCGCAAACAAGCTGGCGTACTTGTGGCTCGAAAGATTGGTCAGGACAGGTAGAATGATACTCTGGAACTTTTTAAAGGCCAACAGCTCGGCCTCTGTCATGTTAAGTGTTGCATCAAGCACAGGCACCGCAGGCAGCGTTGTCCTGCGTCGACCTCGCTTTGACGCTGCTGCACTGTCAACACTCACAGACGTGTTCATTGTATCGGACCGTTTCCGCCTGCCTCGGCCAGTTGTCTCTGTTGGTTTCATCTCTTCCGGCTCTGCTGTTGAGTCGTCTCCAGCCTTGGACACAGCCTTGGATGCTGGCTGCGATGTCTCCTTGTCTTCTGACCGCAGAGGACGAGTCTCTTCCTTGACTTGTTCGATATCGACCTCCGACAGCTCATCTGTGCTTTCCTCAGCAGATGACATGACAGTGACAGGCTCCTTTGCTTGTTCTTCCACACTTTCCGCTGTTTTTGTTGCAGCAGGCTCTTCCTTGACTTCCTCTGCTTCCTTGGATACAGATACAGACACGGACACGGACGCAGGGTCCTTCTTTGCAGATTCCTCGGTAGGAGCAGCAGTGGGCTCCCTGGACGTATGCGCATCCGTCTCTGTCTCACCATCTGAGACGTCCTTCATGATCTCATCTACCAAGCCAACCTCTTCCTCTGTGGGTGTTGGCTTTGCCTGCACCTCTTTCACTACAGGCGCCGTGATTTCCTTCTGAGTGCCTGTAGACCGTGGCCTCTGTGCTTGTGTCTCTGCACACGTTGACCTAGGCAAAGCAGCAGGCTGAATCTCTGCTGGCTTTGCAGCCTGCTGCCTCATCTTATCCGCCATGACTTCTTGTTCGCGAATCGCTTTAATCAACTCATCCATCTTGCGCTTCCGTAACTTGCCAAACAATACATCCATATCTGCATGCAGCGCAAGTTGTTCTCGTCCACCAATCCGTTTCAGCTGCGCTTGCATCGCCTCGGGTGTCTTGTGTTTTGCATCGTCTGGCAGGAGAGGACTTTTTGCGAGTTTCTGTGCGGCGGTCGTCAGGTCTGTTGTGCCATAGCGGCGGGCAAACTGTACGACGAGGAGATCCTCCAGCAGAGGATCCGCTGAGCTCATTTCTGCCTTGTAGCAGACAGTGGTCAGTGTTGGTGTGAAGAGAGTCTGCCTCTGTGTTGCTCAAAGTTGCGAGCGGAGACAGACACCAGCATCAAGCCCAAGAGACCAACACACGCGTCCCTTCCATGCGCTGTTGGAGCTGACACGGCCATGTCACTCTCCTCATCTCCCAGGATACCCAACTCTGTCACTGACATACCAAGAAGGCGGCCGAAAGAGCGTAAACGTCAGGATCTACGCTCCTACTACGGCATTGAAAGCAGTGTCGCAGGCAATAGTGCGCTACATAACCAAGGACCCGTCGGCCATAATCCAGATCTCGACAGGGATGACTTTCAGCTGGACGAGTATGTTGCGAAAGTGAACCAAACGCCCGGTGCAAAAGAATTGCTCAAGATTGAGAATGAGCTCGTCAAGGAGATCCGTGTGCTGAATGGTGAACGCAAAGCACTCATCTATGACAATTATGGCAGGATCCTCACCATCTCTGAGACTATCAAGCAGCTGCGACTGCGGCTTGATGCTATGTCTGTGAGTTGGGGCGATTTTGAGTCAATCTTGCACAGTGTCCGGAAGCTATCTACTGTGTCTGGTGCCACTGAGCCAGCAGTCGAACAAGACGAGCTCATCACTGCTCAGAGTGCAGAAGACTTGACGAGGCAATGGCTGCAGGAGGCAACAATACGCATCTCGAGCTTGACTGCGTTTGAGCAGTATGCAGCTGCGCTTGACGAGGTTGCTGACGTCGAGGCTGTCTTGGAGCAGTCTGGCGATGCTCTGCTCGATCCAGACACTGCACAGCAACTGAAACACTCGCTGCGTAGTGAACGTGAGCAGATTCAGGAGAGACTTGAGGAGGGAAAGCAGGAGAAGCAGGAGCAAGCGCCGTCCGTGCCCGCCAAGGACTGAATCATCCGAGCACCTATCTGGACACGTACACCTATTGCCATCTTATTCACGACTGTTGTGCGCTTGCGTCATGCCTCATGAGGAGCGAGCTGGGCATAGTCAGCAGTCGCTGAAAGTACAAGACGACGAGATTTCACCCAGAACTCCTTGCTTTCCAGCTCGAGATGCTTCAGTCATCAGTCCTGCCCGCACACCAGCCAGCGGTCTCTCTTACAGTGTCAGTGCGCCCACTGTTATGCTGCTAATTTGACTAACCAGCAGGCACTGCTCTCTGGTATCTGTGACACACCAGACTATAGTCAGTTGAATGCGCTAGAGCGCGAGCTCGCAGTCGACAGAGTCATGGCTCTGCATTCTCTAGAGACGCAGCTGATGAAGAGGAGATGAATTTTGATGCAGTAATGCAGTCATGCATGCTGCTTATAACCGGATGCCTATACTCTACACTTATGAATTGATCATTCACAGTCTCTCTGCCCACTGTGCTGCCCTTGAGTGAGACACTGAGAGTGTACTGAGTACGCTGTGTACCCCTTGAAAGTTGAAGTTGATTCTGCCCCCAAAATGACGGGAGCACATGTGAACATTTAATTATTTGCTTTGGCCTCGGAAACCCAGACAACACCGCTCCTTTTCGCTGTCTCACTTGTACGTATACTCGCTCTCATACCCTGATTCTGCATTGCTCCTATAAAGCTATTGGATATTGAAGCTTCATGAAAAATTCCTGGGAGGTCATCCCGGCACGCCAAGCTCAGCGATGTGTTCAGCTCAAGGGCTCTGTTGCGTAATATGCTCTTATGTGCTATGATCAGATGGCTAATGGCTTCAAAGATGGAAAGCTGCGAGTGTTGTAACGCTTGGTACGGTTGGGATGCTCTCGAAAGCTTTTCTCTACGGCACACAATCGGTCACGACACATGGCCGAGAGGCATTTGTCAAGATGCTTCAGACTCGTAAACGGCCAGTCATCTCTGTCTGTAATCACATCAGCGTGTATGCTTCTCTGACACTGCATGAAAAGTACTGACAGGTTAGAATGGATGAGCCGCTCCTGTGGGGCGTGATGCCCGCCAAAACGCTCTTCAATCCGACGCATGTGCGCTGGTCGATGGGCAGTGCTGACATTTGTTTCACCAACAAGTCAGTTCCTTCTTCCATAAGGCAAAATACTAATGCTAGGGTCCTATCTACCTTCTTCTCCTCTGGGCAGACATTGGCCACATACAGGCACGGCGCAGGCATGTTCCAGCCAGCTCTCGATGATGCCATCACCCTTTTGAGCCAATCGAATGCGTGGCTGCATGTCTTCCCAGAAGGACGCATACGACAGTCCAAAGACTACTCAAGTATCCATCTACCCTTGATGATCTACGCTAATGCCAGTGCGATACTTCAAGTGGGGCATTTCTCGAATTGTCCTTGAGACGGCCATGCTCGGCGAGCTACCCATCATTGTCCCCTTCTTCATTGAAGGCTTCGATCAAGTCATGCACGAGAGTAGAGAATGGCCACGGTTCTTGCCTCGTGTCGGTAAGAAGATTACAGTCACCTTTGGCGAACCCATCGACGATGCCATCATCCAGCCATATGTCGACAAGTGGCAACAGATGGTGGCAGAAGCGCGGCAAATATTTCCGGACAATGAGGATGACCCTCGATTGGTGCCTTTTGCGCTGAATCACTCACAAGCAGCGAAAGACATCCGGCGTGAGTTGGCAAAGGAGCTACGTGATGCTGTCTCCAAGCTGCGACTCCAAGCAGGGTATCCGGCAGAGAATCCACATGCACACGATGCACGGTATTATTTGTCGGATGAAGGCTACGAGTATGATGTTGTGCAAGGTGGTGTCCCGCGTCCGGCCATCTTCAAGAAGAAGGATGCTGGCGGCGAGGATGTCATTGAGAAGGACACATTCACGTAGATGCTCTTGTGTGCAAAGTAAAAATGCCATACATATACAGGACTTTGGGAGAGGTCGTGCGTGAGCTCGTGATCAAGCATTTCGCAAGACGAGGATGACCGAGTCGCCACGCAAAAACATCTTGCTGATGAATCTATCCTTGTTGACGGGTTTGCCTCTCTTACCGTCCTTCCCTCTCGGTGTCTCTGTCCACATTTCCTTGACATTTTCGAGCACCATGTTGCTATGCCTATCGAAGGCCTTGACTCGCGCAAGTAGTTTGCGGTTATTGCGACAGTTGATAAGCACCTGGTTGCGGTTCTTGACGGCATTCAAGAGAACACTGAGCGGACCTGTCTGGAATTCAAATTCTTCAAGCTTGGCGAGCTCTGCATCTGTGAGCTCGCTCTTGGGCTTGCCTGCAAGATCGCTGTTGGTTAGTCTTTGTTGCCATTGACGAGACACACTCACGCCATATTTTTCTTTTATAGAAGTGCGAGAGATGCAACGACTGCCTTTATCTCTGAGGCTGCAGAGGACTGAAGATGGAAGGCGCTGTGCTGAGCTGGTTTTGTGGTCTTTTGGCGCGTAGTTGATTTTTTTTTTGTTTTTTTGTTCCGTTGTCTTACATACCTACTCCTCTCAGGACTCTATGGCCTATATAGGAACTCAGCGGCACCGCCGCTTGTTCTGTCTTTGAAAGATACACGCCTCACGTGTATGGTTCTTCCAATACTTGTCCTCGCGCGCAATGGGTTGCGGCACTTCCTGCTCCGTCATTGTTGGCGATCTGGCCTAAGCCAATATTTGTTTATATAGCGGGCAACACCGCTGTCTCGCTGTCCTACTTCGGGGCAGTTCGACGTGGTCACCTCGTCTAGCGTGGTGAGGGGTTAAGGGTGATGGCTGGTGCGTCCGGAGGGCCCATGGGCGTGCTTGGGACGTGTACGCTTGCCATGTCGCTGTATTGGTGGGCTGCGTCTGAGCTGATCTGGTTCCACCTCGCTTGTTCGCCTGTGCCACTTGGAGTGGCGTCTCGTCTGAAAAGCTCCTTGCGAGTTGCTGCTTTACAGTCTTGTAGGAAGTCCGCCAAGGATTCCATGTGTGTTGGGTCGTTTAGGAGTCTTTTGATCGATCTGTTTGCTCGGTCGGAGTCAATGTGATGCGTAGTTGATTGTCGCAACTTTTACACGCAGCGAGATGCGACGACTGCTTCACTGCACCAAGTACTCCTGCTCTTGACACTTCTGCTAGCTCAAGGCTGTTCCCGTCGGCAACTTGGCTCCTCAAGCTGATGCTAGTCCGTCTACTGGACTCTCTCACCTAATCTGCTCGCTTGATGCCTCTTCACTTTATTCTGGTGCAGAACCGACAGGGCAAGACGCGCTTGTCCAAGTACTACGATCCATACTCTGTATGTGTGATGCTATGAGACTCAAGGCTGACAAGAAGGATGCAGAGAAGAATAAGCTGAAAGGCGAGGTGCATCGTCTCATTGCACCACGCGATCAAAAGAGTCAATCCAACTTTGTCGAGTACCTCTCACACCGCATCATCTATCGGCGGTATGCAGGTCTCTTCTTTTGCGCGTGTGTTGATGTCACGGATAATGAACTTTTCACACTCGAGGCCATCCATCTCTTTGTCGAAGTGCTGGACGCCTTTTTTGGCAACGTCTGCGAGCTGGACCTCGTCTTCAACTTTTACAAGGTCTATGCCATTCTCGATGAAATCTTCCTGGCAGGCGAGGTCGAAGAGGTGAGCAAGCCCAAGATATTGGAACGCCTGCAGATGCTGGAAAAGCTAGAATAAGGCTATGCTAAGAATGTATTGATGAATCTACATGGAGATCTCGCGGGTGACGCTCTGATCCTCAAGACCCAGCTTCTCGAGACAGGCAAAGTACCGCTCGACACTTTCGCGACGCAAATAAGCAAGCACGTTCTGTCGCTTGTGGACAAGTCCTCGGAAGCCACGGTAAGAGTGTTTGTCCTTTTTGTTGCCTTGCATGTGAGACTGCAGTGCTAGAATGCGAACCGTCAACACGGCAGCTTGTACCTCGGGAGTTCCTGTGTCGCCTTCACTTCTCGCAAACTCCTTGACCGCGACGGCTGTATTATATGCCCGCAGCGTCCGTGCATTGGCATTCTGCAGGGACACAATACGCGAGGACGCCTGTGTCTTTTGTGCATTGCGCTGTTGCAGGTCTGCTGCACGACCTTGATTCCATAGACTGCCTGGCTTGCTTGTACTGGTGTCTTCCTTGGCTGGAGGAAGGAGAGATGTCGCCACGGGAGCAGGATTCGCTTGTTCTCTATTGAGACTCGCTTGTAGCACTGCCTGCTGGACCTTGCTGAGCTGCTGCTTGCTGAAATACAAGGCATCACTCGGTTTCGCCTGCACTTGACTCGTATCCGCTTCTTCCTCAACAACCTCACTTGACCCAGTCATTTCGGGGTTGATGCTGGCATTCGTCCATATCTTGTCCGGTGTCAACAGGCCGGATGTGAATGCAGTCGGCTTGCCCACGATGGGGTTGAAGTCGGCCGGCAGACGCTGTTCGCGCAAATCCTTTTGCCGTTGGATATTGGCCTTACGCCGGCGGATAGCTGTGACGGAGACTTTTGTGCGGAGTTGGCAGCGTGCAGATGAGGCGATGCACGCCGTGACGGGCCTGAGCGACATGAGCAGTATCAGGAGAGATACAAGCTGATGAAGGTCATTTCAGTTGCTTGACCTGGTGAGTGTCCATCGTCAAATTTGAAGAGCAAGTCACAAATATTCAGTAAAGATACTAAAGTCGCTGCCATGCTCATGCTCACTATGCTCATGCTACTTGGACAGGGCAACAACGTTCTTGCTACGCTCGTCCTTCCGCTTGCCCACCGTCTTTGCCTCATGCCGTCTCTTGTTCTCCTCGCGACGCTTGAGACTACCCTCCTCAACACGCTTAATCTCAGACGCCTTCTTGACGGCCTTGGGAATATGCCTCTGCTTTTGTATACGTCTGATCTCCGGTAGATGCTGGTATCGTTCCACAAGTGTCTTTTCATACTCCCTGTGTGAGCGTTCACGCTGATTCATGACACCGGATCGCGACGAGGCTTCAGCGCGCCATAGCCGGATACCGCCATCATCACTGCCACTAAACACATACCGAGCATCTGCACTGAATGTTGTGGAAAATACACGCTGCATGCGGTTCGTGTGGTAGATATCTCTTGACCGACCTTGCCTCGCATTCCATAGTCGTACAGTTCGATCATACGAGCCAGACACGACTTCTTGGCCTGTGGGTGAAAAGTCAACAGACATGACGGCAGAGACATGGTCCTTGAGCACATTGAGGGCTCTGTCCAATCTCCGCATATCATAAATGTAAATATTATGGTCTTCATTCGCCACTGCAAAGTTGAAGGCTTCCATGGGATTCCAAGCAAGTGCATTGCCACGTTGTGCCATGGTCAGTCTAGATAGTGCTGAAGCAGTGCGAATATCATAGAGTGTGACACTGCGATCAGAGCCCAAGGACCCCAGCACAGAAGCCTCGGTTTGGTTGAAGGCGACGGTTTGATGCGAGTCACTACCAAATGTCAGTGCCGTGACCGGTGCATCTCTGTCTGTATCCCAAATCTCTACTGCCGTGGAGGATGTAGCGAATGTCGATTCCGAGACATGCGTTGAAATGCCGGTGAAGCCGTACTGTCCCTGGAATCGCCGCTTTTCTTCGCCGTCCGGTGTCATGAGGACGATTGACTTGTCCTGCGAGCAAGAGAGGAGGTGACCGGCCGCATTGAAGGCGACTCCCGTTACCATGCCATCGTGCCGCTTACCATGGTTGGTGGAGGACTTTGACAGCTCCTTACGAGCAACGAGGTCCCAGACTTTGACCACGCCATCGCCTGAGCTGGACGCCAGCACGCCGGCGCGCTTTGGATCCTTGCAGAGGGCATACACACCATCGACATGGCCATCACCCAAACTACCGAGCAGAGGCGCGGCAAACATGCGATCGAGCTTGACGGCATTGAGGGCGCGGGTGTATTCTCGTGCGCGTTCCTGCGGGTGGAGTGCTGGATTGAGGGATCTGGGCATGGGTGTCTGGGATGACTTTGTGGAGGGCGCGAAGTTGTCCTGGGACCTGGACAGGGCCTTGACCTTCATGCTGCGAGATAGCAAGAGAAGTGGTAGTGGGTGGTGCTGGTCGCTGCTCGATAAATTTATTTTTCACGCGATCAAGGCGAAGACGGGGAATAGATGGAATAGATGCAGTAGATGGGCTACGGAGGATGATGAGAGAAGAGCAGCTACGTGGCAGGCTTGTTGAGACGTCTCTTTCCAATCTGTGCACTGAAACCAGCCTTGATGCCCGCAACTGACCGCCTTGAATTGCACTGCTCGCAGTCCAGGAAGAAGAGTCGGTTCTCCTTTGTAAGAAGCGTGTCGGGCGACCTGCATGTCTTGCATGTCACATACTCGCTGATGTACCGACGCAGCACCGTCTCAATCTGCTTCTGCTGGAAACGGCCCTTCAAGATCAACCGACCTGCACCGTCAATCGAGCCATTGGTACCCAGCTCAGCATAGATGAACTGGATAACATGATCCGGCGACCTGTGCATACGCTTGGAGATGTCGGCGACATTGGCAAAGCACGTCTTCTTGGATCCCTCACGCTGCACGTTCGGCGGCACAATCGTATATTTGCGCTTCTCACCTGAATCAGCATCGGGGTTGTTGACGCGGTGCTGGTCAAAGAGACGCTGAAGCAGCTCCTTGAATGTATAGTCACGGTCCGAACCCACCCAGGGCTCACCTTCTGCCTTGTTCTGGCGCGCAGCAGGCGCCTTGTCTGTGGCGTCTCCGTCGTCTTCATCTGCCGCGTCACCGGCGGTCGTGCCTGCCTCTTGCTCCAAGGCATCCAGCGCTGCTGTATCAATCACCTTCTTCTTCTTCCTGAATTCTGTTAGCCTCTGACACTTCTGATGGAAGCTGGACATACTTCTTCTTTGTGGTGCTAAAGTCAAACTCGCCCACCTCTTCCGCCTGTTCGGCCGCTGGCTCGTCTGCCGTATCCTGAACGTTGCCCTCTTCAATATCATTGCCTAGACTTGTTTGCTTGACCTGCGTGCCCAGCTCGAGCACATCGTCTGCGTCGCCTGCCTCTTCGAGATTTGCGGCATCCTGGTCAAACTTGACTGCCTTTGGCTTTGTGGATTTCTTCTTCTTCTTGACACTTGGGTCGAAGGCGAGGTCCTCTGCTGCGAGCTGCTGCTGCTCTGCGTCACTCATGGCTGTCTCGACTGAGTAGCTGTCTGGTGGTGCTGAGTGGTCTCTTGCTCTGATTTCGATTTTCTCCTTCCAGCAAACAACCAGGACTACCAGGGACTACTGCCAGGGACTACTACTGCAAGGGACTACCAGGGATACAGGCTACAGGCTACAGGCTACAGGCTACAGGCTACAGGCTACAAAATGTCAGCAGGCGCAGTCCAGTACGGAGGAGACGAAATCTCAGCACTCGTCCTCGACCCAGGCTCCCATGCAACACGCGCAGGCTATGCAGGCGAAGATGCGCCCAAGTCCTACATCCCCACCAGCTATGGCCTCCGTGCAGCGTCTGCAACTACTCCAAAGCAGTCCTTCTACAGTGATAGCAGTATTCATGCCCCGAGACCCGACTATGAAATCAAGAATCCCATGCATGAAGGCACCGTCGCGGACTTTGATGCCGCGTCTGACTTGTGGCAGTACATCTTCAACACGGGTCTACGCGCCGACCCGCATGAACATCCGCTCATGATGACCGAAACGAGCTGGGTGAAGCCGCAGCAACGGCAAAAGACCATGGAGATTGCCTTTGAAACGCTCGGCTCACCGGCAGCGTATCTCCTCAAGGGCGGTGTTGCTGCTGCCTTTGCGAGTGGCAAGTCAACGGCGCTCGTGGTGGATATTGGACACAGTGTCACCAGTGTCACGCCCGTGTATGATGGCATCATCCTCAAGCGTGGTCTACAGAAACAGGCATTTGCAGGCGCTGCCCTGAGCGAGCAAGTGAATGCACTCTTGAAGCAACGCGGCGTCGATGTCACACCACACTTCTTGGTACAGCGAAAAGGTGCACCGGAGACAGGATCCGGTGCGGTGCTCAAGGAAGTGCCAGGTCTGTCTGACAGTTTCATGCAGTATGAGCGTGGGCGTATCGTTGAAGCCTTCAAAGAACATGTCTTGCAAGTCTTTGAGGGACCGCTCAATGAACAAGCAGCTGCATCGCGACCTGCCAGGATGTTTGAGTTCCCAACAGGCCGCCAGGAGCTCTTTAAGCAAGAACGCTTTGCTATTGCAGAAAGCCTCTTCACAACAGACGAGTCCCACCAATCTCTGCAAGCGATGATGCAAGCTTCCTTGTCTGTGGCAGAAGTCGACATTCGGCCTGCTCTGCTCAGCAATATCATTGTCACGGGCGCATCGAGTCTCATTCCAGGCCTCGAACAGCGATTGCAGTTGGAGATGGCCAAATTGTTCCCGGGCGCTCGGCTGCGTATCTCAGCGGCAGGCAATACAGTTGAGCGGAAGTGTGCAGGTTGGCTCGGTGGCAGTATTCTGGCGTCGTTGGGCACCTTCCACCAGCTGTGGTTGAGTAAAGAGGAGTACAGCGAGCAGGGAGCAGACCGGCTTGCACTGATTGAGCGCCGCTGTAAGTGATGAATGCTTGTATGCTATGTGGAGATGAGTATGCAGAGCAGGTAGCTGTCTATGAGTCTAGGTGTATAAGTACTACAACAATCCAGTAGTACCAGTAGTACAAATAGTACAAATAGTACCAGTAGGCCAGTAGTAGTGACTTGGTGTAGCAGCGTGAGACTCAACGTCAATACTCAACTCCTGATCTACTTTGCAGTGTCTACACTTGATCCTACTGCTGTTCTCCTGCTCTACCAAGACACGCTACCGCTAGCATGCCGCCCAAGCCCAAGGCAGAGGCACCCACAGAATGGAAGTCTCGCTTCCCTGTTGCCCGCATCAAGAAAATCATGCAGGCCGACGACGACGTGGGCAAAGTCGCACAAGTCGTGCCTGTCGTCATCTCCAAGGCGCTCGAGCTCTTCATGCAGTCACTCGTGACAGCAGCAGCCCAGCAGGCGATGGCAACGGGGCATAAGCGCGTGCTGCCGGGCCACCTCAAGATGGCCGTCAAGCAAGATACGACCTTTGATTTTTTGGAGGAACACGTCGCTGCATTGCCAGAGATTGCAGCAGTCGTACCACCGGCGAATGCAGCAGCACAGGCAGCTACAGCGGGTGGCAGTGCGTCTGGTCCGCAAGATGGACGGCGCTCAAGGCAGCGTAGCACGAATGCGACGAGGGGGAGACCGCCAGCGCATCAAACATTTGCGGCAAGCCAGCAAGAAGCAGCAGCGGCAGCAACAGCAGCGTCGCCTCCACACTCAGCGGCACAAGCGGATGTCTCTGTCACGGGACCGACACAAGCTACGGGCTCTCAATCAGAGGCGGCTTTGTCTTCCCATGAGCCGGAATCTGAGCCGCCGATGAAACGCAGCCGGGTCAGCGATCTACTGTCGCCGGACGAGTGAGTCTTTGCGTAATCTATGTGCTTTTACCTTACTATGATGCCCATAGACTGTATAATTAATGTTGATGAGTGACACGGCCTGGATCTGAAATGTCGGAAGTGCCGCGGTCGCATTCATCGATGGAGTATAAGTAGAAGTAGAAGTAGAAGTAGAAGTACAAGTAGATAGACTTACTCCAGTGCAATACAAGTGGACATCCACCATGTCAACCACCACAGACCAAAGCACACCGGCCGTCCTCAAAGGCGCCAACACAAGCGCATACCTTCCGCCTACTTTCGATGACCCGCACAAGCACCGACAATGGATCAAGGAACACATGGCCGCAGGTTTCCGCTACCTGGGCGCAGAATCCTACGGCAAGGAAGGCGTCGCAGGTCATGTGTCTGTGGAAGACCCCGTCATGCCCGATTGCTACTGGATCAATCCACTCATGAAGCACTTCACTCTCATGAAGGCTTCCGACCTCGTCCTTATTGATAGTGCCGGTCAGATTGTGCGTGGTCAAGGCGGCAACGAGAATGCACCCATCAACACCGCTGCATGGTCTATTCATGGCGCCATCCACAGACTGCGACCCGATGTGAAGGCAGCCGTGCATTGCCACTCCATTGCCGGCAAAGCGTGGAGTACACTGTGCAGACCCCTCGACATCACCACACAAGACTCGACCGTCTTCTACAATGACCATGCCGTATACAAGGACTTTGGCGGTGTTGCCTTTGGACAGGAAGAAGGCGTGCGTATTGCAGAAGCATTGGGAGACAAGCGTGCCTTGATCTTGCAGAACCACGGCCTATTGACGTGTGGCCAGACGGTAGACGAAGCAGTGTACTTGTTTGGCGTCATGGATCGTTGCTGCCAGGTACAAATCATGGCAGACCAGGCAGCCGCTAGCCTCGGAGTTGTGACGGAGAAGATCAGAGACGAGGAGGCCTTTGAGACGTGGAAGAGCATTGGCACTGCGAATGCCAACTACCTGAGCTTCCAGCCAGAGTTTGAGGTCATTGATGTACGTTCACAGGGAGACTTTCGTCTTTAGCAGTGGTGAGATCTCATAGCAGTCAATAGTCAGTCAAATAGCAGCAGAACAATACTGGTAGTCCTGGTAGTCCTGGTAGTCCTGGTAGTCTGATACTCGACGTCACTGCGCGCACAAAACTCATCAACCAGCTGCAGAGCTCCACCACACACAAAAGCATCTGACCATGTCAAATCAACAGCCGGCGCCGGCCAAGAAGCTGGGTCCTCAGCGGTCGACCAAGACTGCATCAAAACTCAAACTCTTGCCAGCAGACAATCTCGACGACGTGCGAGAGACAGAGTCCGGCAGAGAAGTTTATTCCCAGCTTGATCAAATCAAGGGAACGACCGCCAGGAGAGATGCAGAGCGTCTTGGCAAGGCGCATCGGACGCGGTTACCGCGTGTGACGGCATTCTGTACAGCAGGCTCCTACAAGATGGATGCGCTCTTCAAGTTCTTGCAAGCTCGGAAATTGTCGCATTATACAATGCCGAAACGTTTGGATGAATGCATCTACTCGCCATACGTCTACAAGGATGCGGATCCCTCACCGCCAGCAACGGCAGATTTGCTGGGCCTGGGACAGGATGACGAACTCGATGCAACGGCCATCTCAAATTCAGAGCGTGTCATCAGCGAAGTTTTCCTCTTCGACTATGGCTGTGTCGTCCTCTGGGGCTTCTCTGAGGGCAATGAAAAGCGCTTCCTCAAGGAGATTGCCAAGTTTGAAGTCGAAAAGCTGCTTGAAGACGACGTCGAGATTGAAGAGTTCAACTACTATACCACAACGCAGTACACGTCTCGCATCTACAATGACTTTATCACCTTGCGAGATGGCAAAAACTACATGATCAAGCTCGCCATCAGTCATGCTATTGCACAGTCTGTCAAAATCTCTCTCTTCGAAGAACTTGTTGATTCAACCATCGAAGACACAAAGGACATCCCACAATCTATTGCCGAGTCGGGCAAGGTCCACATGTCGCGGAAAAAGATTATGATGTCTGTGGGCGAGCTCTTCATTCTACGCATCAATATCAATTTGTCTGGGTCGGTGCTTGATTCGCCGGAGCTCTGCTGGTCAGAGCCCAATCTGGAGCCAGTCTACAAAGCGGCGCGGTCGTACCTGGAGATCAATCAGCGTGTTACGCTCCTGAATCAGCGTGTGCAAGTCATCTCTGATCTGCTGTCGATGCTCAAGGAACAGATGACACACTCACAGGGCGAGTACCTCGAGTACATTGTCATCATCCTGATTGCAGCAGAGATTCTGATTGCCATCGTCAATGTCATTGTTGATGTCATGGCAGACTAGCACATGTCTCCCCCTTCTTCTAGCGCCATGCCTTGTTTGTAGCGACGGGCCTTTTCTGGTACATTCTGTGCATTCTTCAGCTATGCGTCCTTTGCAAGGATGTCTTCTACTGCCTTGACCTTGTGCTCCATTGTCCCGTGCTTGTCAGTCCTCGTTCCAATCCTGATGTCTGTTGCACACCGAGGCACACCCAATTCATGCAACCGCTCGTGGACCTTGCCAATGGCCTCCATGACCTCTGACCACTCGCCTTCAAGCCCGGTGCCATATGAATGCATTTGGAACTACATTCATGTTAGTCAATGACCGAGAGTGCTAGCAGGCCATTTATAGCGCACCTTCAATCCAGTCTTCTGCAGCACGCGCTGGGCTTCTGCTATGTACTCGGAAACGGAGGCAGATGGAGTCGACATGGGGATCACGCAGAAGTCAGCTACGCAGTGCATCGTGCCTGTCTCGTCCTTCTTGTCGTCTTACTTGTCGTCTTGTCTTCTTTGTGCCAATCTTATTCCAGCCGCTAGCTATTCAAGGCGCAAATGAGTAGAGATGAGCTGTTGACACAGATGAGATGTTGACTCAATTGAGGTGTTGAGCGTACTTCTCCTGCTGGTCCGGGGCAACCGAAATGCGCAACAAGACAAAAGACACACACTCAAGAGTCGCATGCTACCAGCTCATCTGTACAGCTAGCATCACGCGTAGGAGACTCTCAAAGGCTAGTAGTATCTACGTCAGACCTAATCCCTTCCAAAACTTAGTGCCAGATGAGCGCGATATGGAATCAGATCAAAGTTGCGGCGCAGCGTATCAACGTCAATCTCGAGACCATCCCTCATGACCGGCAAGTCATCAGCGCATTCAGGTTGCCAGACGGGCAGGACCTCTGCTGTGAGTCGCTTGTGGAGTTTGCTCTGAACGAATCGTCCGCCATGAATGGCTCGGTGCCCGGCACATTATACCTCACAACCTCCTACCTCTGCTTCAAATCGGCGGATCGGCACACGGCACTCTTTATCTTGCCACTCTATGCCGTCAGCCGGGTCGAGCGTGTTTCTTCGCGTACATTCCAGTTTTGCTTGTCAATAAAGACATGGCACAAGATGACCATGACCATACAATTTATTGGCTTGCGCCATGCCAACGAGCATTTCTGCGACCTGCTCAAGAAAGGCCTGCAAGACAACTTGTCAAATATGAAGATCCTAAAGCCCTTTCTTTCTGGTTGCTGGTCAGAACACTTGCTTGCACCAAAAATTGATGAGCCACCGGGAGGCATGGGCGACAAGTTTGGCTATCCGGGCGATGTGAAGAAGCTGAAGGACCGCTCAAAAATGCGATTGTGGAAGGAGTATCTCACAGAGAATGGCCGCAACCTAACGCTTGTCCGCTTCCCGACATTTTCAAAGCTTGTTCGGGTTGGACTGCCCAACAAGCTACGAGGCGAGATCTGGGAGCTCACAAGTGGAGCGATGCTTTCTCGGTGGGCGCATCCAAATGAGTACAGAGACTTGCAGGAAAATAATGCTGGCAAGAGCACGCTCAGTATGGAGGAAATTGAGAAAGACCTCAATCGCAGCTTGCCCGAGTATCCGGGTTACCAAGAAGACCACGGTATTGGCGCACTCCGTCGTGTGCTCACAGCCTATTCTTGGAAAGATCCTGAGCTGGGCTATTGCCAAGCAATGAACATCGTCGTCGCTGCTCTCCTCATCTACACTTCTGAAGAGCAATCCTTCTGGCTCCTGCATACACTCTGCTCAGAGATGCTACCTGGGTATTATTCTACAACCATGTATGGCACGCTTCTAGATCAGAGCGTCTTTGAATCGCTGTGCGAAAGGACAATGCCAGTCCTGTGGTCGCATTTCCAAAAGTCTGATTTGCAGCTTTCTCTTGTTTCTCTGCCCTGGTTCCTTTCTCTCTACATCAACTCGATGCCCCTTGTTCTAGCTTTTCGAGTGCTGGATTGCTTTTTCCTAGAAGGGCCGCGTGTCCTCTTCCAGGTCGGCTTGGCAATCCTGCGCATTAATGGTGAAGAGTTGCTCGATGTCACAGATGATGGCTCGTTTATCGAGTGCCTGAAGCGCTACTTTCTCACCTTGGACGACTCGGCGCATCCAAATTCTGAAAATCCCAAAGCGAGAGCAGTGACAAAGTTTCAGGAGCTCATGGTTGTGGCATTTAAGGAATTTGCACAAGTCACACACGAAACCGTGATCACTGAGCGGCGCAAGCACAAGGAGAAGACGCTCAACTCGATCGAGTCATTTGCCAAACGCACACAGATCCGCAGCCTGAGTCATACTGGCAAGCTTTCTTCAGACGACATTTCCATCCTCTACGACCGCTTCCACGATGCGATCTACAAACAGCGCGTTGGCTTCGGTGGTCTGTCCGATACCCGCATGGATCAGCAGGCATTCAAGTCGTTCATGGCTGGCATCGCTGACTGGGCGAAGGAGCCCGATGCTCAATCTGAATTCATGGACCGCCTCTTGCGTCGATGGGATGCAGACTTCCGCGGCTCACTCAGCCTACAAAACGTTGTGCGTGGTGTGGCGGAGCTCAAGACGGATGAGTCGGCATTACTTGAGCATATCGCCTACTTTTTCGAGCTCTTTGACGATGATGCTGATGGAAAGCTGCACAGGGATGATGTGCTCAAGCTGACAGAGGCCTTACTTTGGATCGCGCGGCGAGAGACAGATGACCTGTACTTGTCCAGCATCTCATCCTTCATCAAGACTTGTTTCACATTTGCAGAGGATGATGCTGCTTCTACTGAAGATGTGCCACTGGTAGATCTGCCGACAGAAAAGCCTGTTGCCGCGATACAGGACCATGCCAGTATGTTTGTCACGCTACCAACTTTCCGCATGGTGGTACTGGCTGATCCGCTGCTCGAGGCATTCTTCACACATCGCTTTGTGCGCAGCATTCAGATCACACCTGCAGCAAGTACGAATCATGTGCCAAAGGGCATCAGAGGCATGCTGGATGCCGTTGTCTCTGATGGAACCAAGCTAGCCAGCGAAATTCGTAAACGGATGGAAGACTATGAAGACCAACATACAAGCCAAGGAGCCAAAGTCGAGAAGGAGGATGAAGGACCTGATGCACACGACAGAGAGCTCTTGCAGAACGATCTACTTTAAATGTGACGATATAACGAATACTTTGGATGATCTTGCAATCAAAGTCGACGCGTGTGGTGTGCGTAGCTATAGTATCGCATGCAGGCGCGTATCTGTGACCTTTCAACATGGGATGCGCGTGAACACGCTAGGTCCCGAGCCGGAACGCTCAAGATATCTACAGGATATTTCAGCACACTGAACATCCTTTCTTGCCCTCTGCATCCCTTGAGATTTCCAACTTGCTTACCTTGTCCCTCATGTGCCAAGCAGTTTTGCCATCTTGGCCGTACGTTGCGTAGGATGGCGGAATATGCAGCGCTGGATTCTTGCTGAAGAAGTTGTTTGCCCTCAAGAGAAAGGAAACAGGCTCAGTGGGCATGATGGGACCGTCCTCGACGCGTGGAATATGACTCAGACCAAAAGTCAACCAAATGACAATGTCCTGCTGTTCGAGAGATAGATCTGCTTGAGTCTCGCACCAGTCTTCCAGGCTGTCATTGCCTGCAACGCCTCGTAGTCCACTTGTCTGCGGCACATAGTTGCCAGCTGGGTATAATTGATTGTCTTCATAACGTGTAACATAAAGCGTCTTTCGAGCAAAAAAGGCACGCTTCCAGACTAGACTGCCTTCCTTGGCCAGGAGGCGTGGTGATTCTCGAGAGACAATCTTGTATGCAACCGGCTTCTTGCAAATTGCATTAACCTTGTCGAGGTTGCAGATATCCCAGGTTCGACTTGTTTCGTGGCAATAGTCTACTGCAGCTTCCTTGACAGTCGCGTACTTGGTCTTTTTGGCATAGAAAGCGTTGCCATAAAAGTTGCCAGGTGAGCCAACTTCGTCCTCGCCAGGTACAATATCACTCTGTACGACTGTGTTGTGCTGTCCATCAATGGCAGGATCTATACGAACATTGAACAGGTGCTGATGATTGTGTGCCGTCACACGAGACGAGATTTCAGTTCCGTATCTGCCGGCCTCTTCGTCGGGCGACAGGACGTAGGTGTTGAGTTGCCCAGTGAGCTGCATCTCAAGTTGAATGGTGCCGTCAAGCTTGAAGCTCCAGTAGATGCAGTATTCATAGTTGGCAGCCGTGAAAATTTGTGAAATGACTAGCTTGCGATCCCTCGTCGCAATGACCGTGCCGTCTCTAAAGTCTGTGTGCTTGAATAGTATACCATCATCTTGCTCGTGGATGCACACTGCATTCTTGATGACAAAGGCCTCTCCCGCTCTGTTGCTGCAATACCCGTCGAGGTAGCTAATGCTTCCCTATTGTTAGCACAAAGCTCGATTGCCGACCATTCTTGCCTTGCAGTCGCAGCCAAGAGAAAGGGAATTAGTCATGGCACCACAGCCATATTCGCCAACGTCCAAGGCATGTTTTCTGTGATGCGGTTTTGTTGGACAGCCATAAGGCACGACCATCTCAGCAATGGAGAGGCGATGGAACAGCGATCGCTCCTCCTTGGTCTCTGGATCCTCAATGCGTATATTGTTGAGGACAATGCCTTCTCGTGCATTGAAGCCAATGTGCATTTTCCAGCCGAGCCAACTGATCTCTTGTCCTTGCAGGTCGAAGCTCACGCCTTCAGGCTGTGTTATGTTGATAGGTTTGACATCTGTGCGATAGTCCTTGATGAATTGCGGCATATAGTTCTGCTCTTCGAGTGGCACCGGAGCACGTTCAAACTTTGAGCCTTCCTTTGCTTTGACATCAATCTCGATGACTTTGCCAGCTTGCATGTCCACAATGGGGCAAAAGTCTAGTGGATGGGCATAGGCATTGTCATTCTTTGAAGCCCTGTAGTACATGAGAGCTTGCTGCAAACGATGTGTGGTTCCCCACCGTTCGTCAAAGCCAATTGTCCAAGCATCGCAGTAGACCTTGCTCATGTCTGTGATGCCAATTTCCTCGCAAAGCTGAATTACATGTGGGTCCTGGCGCACAATGTCCTCTGTTCCCTGCAGGTCCTCCAGCGTGATGATGGGGCAAGCACCAACTCGTTCAGTGCTGTTCAAGACCTTGCCTGCGGTCAAGTCAACAAAGAATTCGAGCAATATGGTCGTTCCGCTCTCATAGGCGATGACGAAGGCCTGTCGAGGGACGTGGGACGTGTCATCCTTGTAGTACTGCAGCAGGAGTGCTTTCGGCGGTTCATGCAAAGTGATGGTATTGAATGCGAGCTTTGATGGCCTTGATGCCTGACAGAGACTACTGGCTGCTTTGAGCTCTCCCGGAGATAGCTGATCGAGTGGATGGCCCATGGCTAGCTTCGTTCCTTTTCCTAGCAGATGAGAAGGAAGTGCTTAAGTGTCGGCGATGGAGAGCAGCCGCTGCGTCCATTTTGTGGGGCCGCTTATCTACTCTTATCACGCCGTCACAAATACCGACTCCATAAATCATCGGAAACCAACTGCAGGCTGTGGTAAGAGCTAACTGAGATTATCACTACTTCTGAGCTAAGTCTAGCAGCTTACGGTCATTCGTAGGCAAAAGGCGAGTGTAGTTCAGGCGCCAGACTATTCGCTGCTCCATTTTGACTCCGTGCGACTTTCGACACAGGCTCAAGCAGCCAGACATTGTCAAGTGTCAGCTCATAGCTTGCGTGGCCGTCAATTCGGATAGAGCCTCATGTCAGACCAGCCTCCACAGAAGAAGGGCCCTCTGGAGAAAGTCAAAGACAAGCTGTCCAAGGGCAAATCCAACGGCGACGACAATGGCGACTCTTCAGCTGCACCGCTTGTGCAAAACAACCTCTCTTTGGACCAGTCGCTTGGTCAAAAGTCACTGGAACAATTGATGAAGCAGCTGACAACTGGAGATTTGCTGACGGGTATGGCCCCGGGTGGAAAGAACAAGAAAGATATGGCTTCCTACAAATTTTGGTCCACTCAACCAGTCGCCAAGTTTGAGGAAGTCATCGATGAAGAAGGAGCCATTGAGGCGCCCTCGGATGTGCCGGACGAGCCCACGCCTTTGTTGAAAGACTTTGAGTGGGTGACAATGGACTTGGACGATCCTGCCGAGCTGAAGGAAGTCTACGAGTTGCTCACGCAGAACTATGTCGAAGATGACGATGCGTCCTTCAGGTTTGACTACTCGGCATCTTTTCTACAATGGGCACTACAAGCGCCTGGATTCCACAAATCATTGCATGTTGGTGTCCGTGTGCGTGCATCGAAGCGCCTCGTTGGCTTCATCTCTGGCATACCCATCACGCTGCGTGCACGCAACCACGACCTCAAGTCATCTGAGATAAACTTCCTCTGTGTGCACAAGAAGCTCCGCTCAAAGCGACTGGCACCTACGCTCATCAAAGAAGTAACACGCCGTTGTCACCAGCTTGGAATATGGCAAGCAGTCTACACAGCCGGAGTTGTGCTTCCCAAACCATTCTCTTCGTGCCGCTACTACCATCGCTCGCTCGATTGGGTCAAGCTGCATGATATCGGTTTCTCTCATCTGCCAGCGAGAAGTACCAAGGCGCGACAAATCACAAAATACAAGCTGCCAATCAATACATCCATCGCAGGACTGAGGCTCGTGACAAAGGCTGATGTTCCCGCTGTCGGCAACCTTTTGCGTCAAACTCTGGCGCGATACGATGTGTCCCAGGTGTTTTCTGATGAGGAGGTAGAACATTGGTTCGTTGGGGACCCTAACTTGGGTCAGCAAGATAAGGTTGTCTGGACCTATGTCGTCGAGCAAGGTGGCAAGATCACTGAATTTGTTTCGTTCTACAGTCTGCCATCTAGCGTAATTGGTAATGCGAAGCACAAGAAGGTGAACGCGGCTTACCTGTTCTACTACGGTTCCGAATCTTACTACAGCGATCGTTCAAACTACGAAACGCGGCTCAAGAAGCTCATCAACGATGCACTCATTCTTGCCAACAATATTGGATTTGATGTCTTCAATGCTCTGACGCTACTGGACAATCCCATGTTTCTTGATGAGCTGAAGTTTGGCCCTGGTGACGGGTTCCTGAATTACTACTTGTATAATTGGCGAATGAAGCCTGTGGAAGGAGGTCTCAAGACTGATGGGCGGTTAGAGGTTGGCGGAAGTCAGGTTGGCCTAGTCATGCTTTAGCAACCTTCATATTGTCTTGTTATGATGTTGCTTGTTATGATGTTGCTCAGAAGGCTATTTGATTATGGTTTTGTAGAACTACTTCCCAAATCTGCATGCGCATTCCTACAACACAGCTATACCTCGGAGCTTTGAAAACTTCTTGAGCTCGCGTGCGCATGATAGCTACTGTCCCTACTGCAGAAGAGGATCTGCAAGGATTTCAATATGCTCAGCGCAAGAGAAAGCCTTCTCGCAAAACCAAACAAGCTGCCAAACTAGAGAACACGCGATCGAGAGACGCAAGTGCACCATCATTGGAGTTACTGGAATCAAAATTCCACGAAAGACGGGCAATGCTGCTCAAGTCTGACTTTTACAAAGCATTTCGAGGTACAGTCGTGTCTAGGAAAGGTCTCTGCTGACGAAAGAGCTTGTCATTGATCTAGTCCACTCTGGACCAATGGCAAATGTACAAGCCATCAAGATGCTTGGCATCGGTACCTTGACACACAATCCGAGCCTTACGCAGCTTGCACTTGGTATGCAATTGGCCGAGCTGTTGAGTATGCATAGTATACGCGTATGGCGCAGAGAACTAACACCTAGATGTTCAGCCAGAGACAATCGAGACATCAGATCCAATGTATACTGAAGTCGACAAAGAACTGCTTGGGAAATTAGCCTTGAAGCCTGTGTCGGTCGCACAAGGCCTTTGCTACAGCAAGGCTATCGACGCTATTGAAGAAAACACGACCATGCTTATATTTGCACCGCATGTACCCAAATCTGTGTATGAGACGATTCTTCGCAATTTCTGGACGGCGTCAAACATCAGCAGGATCGTCCTCCTGGGGAACGATCTGACTCATTATCCAGACATCTACTCGACAAAGAAGCTTAACGATGAGTCACCTTGCATCCTGGCTGCTGGTCCGCTGCTCTCTCAGGCTCAGCTGCCGACCAACTTTGAGCACAACAATGTCTTTAACGATCTCTCGTTTCAGTGGTTCAAGAAAGGCACAGTTGTCAATGACATTGCTTTCGAAGATCACGCTATTGAAAAGGAACACTTTGAAACCAATCGGGATTTGGTAGCAAAGTCCTCGCCTTAGTCGCTGTCCAGTTCACTTAGCGCAGCCGTCTTGCCCTTTTTCTTCTTCGGTGTCGATGCCTTGGCGGCCTTCTTCTGTGCTGCAATCACAGCCTTTTCTCGATCTGCAGCTCCCAGAGCTTGCAGCTCTTTTGCCTTGGCTACAACTTCTTTGTCGTCAGCTGGCTTCCCGACAAGCCATTCCAGGAGCTTGATTTCTGTCGCCCAGATAGCTTGATCAACCTTGTTGTTCAAGTCTTCGCAAGGCGTCTCGAGAACAAGCGGGATGCCTTCAAGCCTCTTGTCGTTCATCAGACATCTGAAAGCCTCGAGACCGAGATAACCCTGGCCAATATTTTGGTGCAAGTCCTTGTTTGCGCCTAGATCTGCCTTTGAGTCATTCAGATGCATTCCGCGCAAGTACTTGAAGCCAACGAGCCTATCAAACTTGCCCATGAGCGTGTCGTATGCCTCCTGCGTACGCAAGTCGTGGCCAGCAGCAAACAGATGGCATGTATCCAAGCACACGCCAATGCGAGATTTGTCTTCGATCTGGGATATGATGTCTGCCAGCTCTTCAAGCGGCCCCCCGATGATATTTCCGTGGCCGGCCATATTCTCAACAACGATTGTAACGAATTGAGTCTCCTTGATGGCTTGGTTCAGGCGCCCGGTCAAATTGGCTATGCCCTTCTCCCGCGAACTCGATGCCGTACTTCCAGGATGAAAATTGTATCTATTGATGCCAAGCTCTTCGCAGCGATGCAGGTCATCGAGGAAGCACGAGTATGCCTGTTGCTGTTTGTCTTTGTCATCATTGGCAAGATTGATCAAATAGCTTCCATGAGGCAACACATCACGCTTGGGATCATAGCCAAATTTGACCATTCGATCTCTGAAATCTGCTGCATCCTCTGGCTTCATAGCAGGAGATTCCCACTTGCGTTGATTTTTGAGGAAGAGGGCAAATGAACTTGCTCCAATGTGATTAGCATTGGTGACAGCGTTGCCAATGGCCTTCGCCATGCTAACATGTGCTCCGACAAGCATCTTTGCTGTCGTTGTACGCATCTTGAGAGGTTCTTCTGGTTCAGCAACTTTGGGCTGGCGCTTGGCCTTCTTTTTGACAGGCGTTGCAGTTGTGTCAGCATCTCCCTCGCGGGTAACTGGTTGCAAGTCTTCCGCCTTTTCAGTTTTGGCCTTCCGCTTCGACTGACTAGTAGATGCTGCCTTTGGCTCAGCTTGCTCTTCTTCACCAGACTCTTCTTCGGCAGCGGCAGACAGAGATTGTGTAGCTTTGCTCTTTGCTGCTCGTGCTTTCCGTGTTGGAGCAGGACTAGCTACGGCGTCTCCTTCCTCCGTTTTAAGATCTTCAGCTTCTGTAGCTTGCACCTTCTTCTTCTTCGGAGGCATACACGCTGTGCAGTACTTTTGAGCAGATGGGTCTGAGTAGATGGAGGTTGCTGGTGGTCTTGGAACATTTCATGCGATGCTGCTTCATGTCGTCATAGCTGGTTTCGAAAGCATAGAATACATATTGGTGGAATGAAGCATTGATCCTATTCTGAGTGATTCATGTACTTTCAGAATGTAACTTCGAGCCTGCTTGTGCGTACAGATTGTAGTTGTGACTGTTGTTCCATCCCGCGACATTTTTGACAGGTTGCGCCATTCAAATGTCCAAACACCCAGGATACTCGACATCTTGACCTTGACCACAGCTAGCAGGCCCGATGTTTGCCAAGAGCCCTCCTTGCGCGAGGCTTGTGCGAAGATATGCTTCCGTGTCGACAGCTACTGCACATGACCTGCTCATTGTGGGTGGCGGCACCGCAGGCATCAATGTAGCGAACCAGATCAAAGCTACGTTCGAAGCGCAGGACCAAGAAGCGCCCAAGATGAGCATCATCGACAAGGCTGAGCTACATCACTATCAACCAGGCTGGACGCTGGTAGGCGCAGGACTCAAGGATCTCAGCGAAGTCAACAGGCCGATGCGAGACATGGTTCCTAAACACGTCTCTCTTGTGCAGCAATTTGTTGAGAAGCTTAACCCGGGCGAGAACTCTTTGACAACGACAGATGGACAGACACACACTTACAAATCTCTTGTCCTTTGTCCGGGCATCAAGCTCGATTATGACGCGGTTGAAGGACTACGCGGCGCGATGGGTCAGAACGGAGTGTCGTCAATTTACGACTACACTCAGGTACAAAAAGTCTGGTCCAACATTCAGGATTTTGAAAAAGGCCGTGCAGTTTTCAGCTTCCCAGGCAGTGCGCCGTTCATCAAATGTGCCGGTGCGCCCATCAAGATTATGCTCGCTGCAGAAGACTATTGGCGCCGTGAGGGTCGTCGTGCAAATATCTCGGTGGACTACATGACGGCGTTGCCCCGAATGTTTGGCGTGGTCAAGTACTCAGACGTTTTGAAGCGATTGACCGAGGAGCGAGATGTTTCTCCTCACTTCGAGACTGTCTTGACCAAGGTGGATGGCGTGAACAAGGTGGCGACGTTCAAGACAAAAGAGGGCGAAGTCAAGAAGGAGTATGACTTTCTGCACGCGACGGTACCAATGGCTGCACACGATTTCATCAAGTCATCAGCAGTGGCGAACGCAAAGGGTGAAGTGGCGGTGGATGAAAAGACTTTGCGTTCGACAAAATATGACAATGTTTGGGCTTTGGGAGATGCCAGCTCTCTGCCTACTTCCAAGACGGCCGCTGGTATCATGTCTCAGACACCGGTTCTGGCTCACAACTTTTTCAAGGCCAGACAGGGTCACCAACTTGATGCGGCCTACGATGGCTACACGAGCTGCCCGCTATTAACGGGCAGAGGCGAACTCCTGCTTGCCGAATTCAAATACGGTGGCGAACTTGCCGAGACATTCTCGCCTTATGGCCTCTCACAGGACGCTCCGACGCGATGGGCTTATCATTTGAAGAAGGATGTCCTTCCAGCCATCTACTTTGGGCCGTTTGCGCGCGGACAGTGGTATGGACGCAATGCATTTTCGAAGCCTCGATTCTGATCAGTGCTGCTTCGTAGACATGATTCCTTGCAGCATTTTGGCATGCACAACTCATATAAAAACGAGGAGATTGGATAAAGAACAAGGCTGTATGGGTTGAGATCGACTATTCAATGTGCCAATCGATTGACAGCTCATATCATGCAAGGAGACCAAAATAGGCCCTGCTGCGAGACATGGCAGTCGCACAGTATCCATGATCATCCAGGTAATCACAGGTCGTAGAATAGGCTGATTAGTACAAGTGTATTAATGGCTTCTGAGTTGCAGGTGCGTGCGCGACGGTCGCCATGCCGCTGGTGGTCCACCTGATGCCCTACAACTTCATGCGAATGAGGCCTTCCTGAACACACTCTGCTATGAGGTCCCCATCCTTTGTAAAGATCCGACCGTGTGCCAGACCACGACCACGTCCACTCCATGTAGAATTCATATCATAGAGCAACCATTCGTCGGCGCGTGCCTGTTTGTGGAAATAAATAGAGTGATCCAGACTGGCCATCATACTTGCATGTTGCGGAGTCTAGAGAACGGTGTTAGCCTGCGTCTTGTTCAAATGTAGCAGGATGTAGCAAATACCTTGTTGTTCACACGGAGTGCCGTAGACAAGAACCAGGAGTCTGAAAAATAGGCAATTGCCGCAGCATGAGCATGGAAGTCGCCAGAAATTTGACCTTTCGCCTTGACCCACAAAGCGACGTGCCTCTCGTCTGGTTTCTTGTCCTTTTGCTGGAAGAGGACCATGCGCGATTCGATTGGACTGACGGCTGCTTCTGCTTCAATCTTTGCGCGCAAGACAGGGTCGACAATCATGCGCTTTGAGCGAGCCAGCATGTCCTTGGGTGCAAGCAGCGCATCGGGTTCTGGCACTTGTGGCATGGTGACTTGATGCGTTAGGCTTGACTCTTCATGACGCTGGAAGGAGCAAGTCATCGTCAAGATGCACTTATTTCGCTGCCGTGCCTGCACTGTGCGTGTACAGTACGACTTGCCGTCCCGCACACGCTCGACATGGTAGACAATGGGTCGTGTCTCATCTCCAGGCAACACAAAGTAGGAGTGGAGGGAGTGGATGATGTATCCCTCGGGCACTGTCCGTGCACAAGATGCCAAGCACTGGCTCAGAATGCTACCACCAAAGATTGCGCGCGCTGCAGCGGGTCGCCAGAGAGGCCGTTTAGACCTGAAGATGTCGGAGTCGAGTTCTTCTAATTCGAGATCATGCTCAATGGGGGAGAGCGGCCCGGGGGTCGTTTCGTTGTCTGCGTCTGGGTCTTCGTTGAGGTCGACTACGACGCGCTTGAACTCCTTTGGCGCTGGCATGGATGAGTAGCTCTGTCTAATGGTCTGGTGCTGGTCGTGGTTGTTGTCGCTGTGGCCCCGCAATGTTTCCGAGGTCGGCGCTCCAGCTCGGTGTCAAGCAGCTCAACTCGAGATTCAGACTGGGCCCATGATCAGGCTCAGGCTCAGACTCAGACTCAAGCTTGTCAGGCTTGATCATGAAAGGCTCCAGGGACTACGTATGTTCAAAAAGGATAGGCCACCTCACTGTGGTATGATTGCAGGCCAGATAGTCAATAAGGCGGCCCGAGAGACTCGGTCCCAGCCCATAGAGCACCTCTCAGAGCACAATACGTAGCCCATCACTATAGCACTAGAGCACTAGAGCCGCCTTGCTAGCTGTGCTTGGCCTCCTGGCTGTGTAACAGGCAAAAAGGGGGAAAAGTCTAAATCTGGCGCAGGAATACAAAACTGCGACGCGACCAGCAGCAACGAGACACACACCACAGATGCCTGCTCTGTACACGCGCGATGTCGTGGCCACCGCCCTCGACGCAGCGGCGGACGCAAAGACCGCATTCTCCTCTCCCTCGCAGTGCCTCAAGTACAACATTTGCAAAATTCCCCTCATCATTGGCTGCGTCGTCGCAGGTCTCATTCTCCGTTCGTACTCCTCACTCCCAACGCATTGCTAACTCCGTGCAGTGAGTTGCATATGTTACTGGGCCGCGTGTCTTAGATGTATGTCTTGCCTTTGCTGTGGATGCTGCGACTCGTGTGCAAATGGCTCCAGAAGTCGTCGAGGGGCTCGTTCAAGAGACTATCAGCCGCCCATGGAGATGGACTACAAGCCGCAGCCGCCGCCTTCCTACTTCTCCTATGCGCCTAATCAGCAAGTCGGCACAACGCCGCTGCCTGTTGCAAAAGATCGTACAAGCACGAGCTACCATCCGATCACACAACCACCACCACCACCACCACAGCAGCAGCAGAGTAGTGCATATCGTACCAGCTACCATCCAGCAAATCAGAGCTACTATGGCGACGCGCCAGAGTATGCAAGCTACTCTGGTGGACAAGCGCAATCCTATTATACCAGACAGTAGCTGCTGGCAGCCGAATGAACAAGTCGATGAAGTAGGTAGATTTTTCTATAAAGCGAGTTATAGAGCGAGATCAAGCCCATTAACCGATCCACCGTCGCTTGAGTTGCTGTGATTGTGCCATGGGTCGTGTAACAACAATGGCAACAAAGAGAAGCACAACAGACAAGATGATTTGCGCCTTTGAAAACGACGGGCTCAGCGTATCGAACGCCATACTGGGAGAAACTCGCGTCAAGAAGATATCGAGACCATAGACACAAATGAGTGCCGTCGACTCAAGCAAGGTTGACGCAACTGTAGCGCCACGCATGCCGTAGACCGGGTACGTGTGACTGAGGACTTGCTTCGGGTCAACCACAAGCACTGGGTCATAAGGAACAAGCATTTCCTCCTTGTCAGCGGTCGTCACTTTTCCTGAAAGAGGTCGCCGAGGGTCAAGCAGCTTACGCGAGATGGTCGTCACATGGCCATCAGCAAGCCCGACGATCAGATCACGAGAGGTGATGCCCTGACCTGAATCAGTTACGGACAGGAAACTGATGGGGTAGTTATAAGCAAAGCTCTTGGATAGAGCTAGCGGAAGTCCATCAGCACTTTCGAGCCGACTGTTCCTTGAGCCCTCGTATAGTTCAGTGATGGTGATTTGATAGCCCTTTGTAGGGCGGTCGGTCCAGTAATGGTAAGCAACCCAATTCTCCGAGATCACAACGTGGAAAGGATGCGATCGCGGACTGCCCACATTTGCATGGGTCAACTGGTGAAGAACTGAGCCAGTGAAGGCATCTAGTACAGTTGCCGTCAATTCTTGTGTCTCTTCGTTGAACGTCAAAACTGCATTCATAGCGCGTCTCACGAACTTGTAGAGCACTCCGCGGTCGCCGAGCACCCTACCGACTGAAGCAATAGGTTGATATTGATTCTGTAGAGCGTGGCCGACCAGGACCTCGGCCTCGGGCAGCTCGAACCGCCACGTTTCAAACTTGTTGAGGCCAGAAGCCGAAAAGCCATAGCCAACCACAGCCTTTGATTCCAAGGTGACAAGTGCAAGAGCTTTGATGGAATTCGTGATGTCGGTCAAGTTTGTTGCAGCCGTGGCGAGCACAGTCATAGAATCGTTTGCAGCCAGAACACCAAGTGTCCTAGGGCCCTTGCTCGCAATTTGAACTCCTCCTTTGCCGCCCGCATAGGTCTTTTCGAACAGTCGCTGTCCAGTGAGAGCATTGACCTTCCAGACAACAACACCATCTTTTCTGGGAAGATCATACATGACTCCAATCACAGGAACATTTTGGTCATTTTCTGCACTCGTCTCCAATAGCCAGGCTGACCTGAATGCACCCACTTGAGTCGACATCGAGGTGGTCCATGCTACCATCCCACCCTTAGCAGAGTCAAGAGCCCAGAGGCGCCCACGGTCTGCGACTGCAATTGCAAATTGGCGAAACCCGAAATGGTCACGGTACGGTACATCAGAGCCCGCCTCAGACTTGGCGCCCTTCGCCTGTATTTTAGAGAAAAATGTAGCGGTATGCCGACCGAGCCGCGAAATGAAGTTGCTCAGTACATCCTTGGAAGACTCAAAGAAGACAGACTTGGCAAAGACGGGCTCTGGCAGTTGCACAATAACGACATCCTTGGTGTAAGCCAGTCCTTCGTCTCTCTGCCATTCCAAAATATCATCGCGGAGCATTGAGAAGAAGCCATCAGTTGTGGAAAGCATGACCCGCACAGCCAGCTCACCGTTGCTCTCTGAAGAGACTTCGGCAACTGCCCAGTCGAGCAGGAACGATGTGTAATTCAGAGTGATACGTTTGTGGGCAAGCTCTTTGCTGTCATGTGCGCTCCAAATTTTGATTGAAGCCGAGTCGTCTTTGGTAGTGACGCGGACCACGAAAGCGCTCTGCTTATCGTCCAAAGCCAACGTTGTGATGGAAGGACCACTTGACTCGACCGGCAGACTGTACAAATTCGTTGCACTAGTGTCGAGACGATAAATTTCTGCCCACGAGCCTATATCGTCCGATAACTGCAAGACCATGGTCGAGCGCTCGAGACTATTATGCAAATGAGCGGAAGCCTGCTTGAAGGCTTTACCAGGCTTCAGCTTGACAGCAGCACGGGTTCCGAGCATGTTGATCTTGATGCTTTTGTCAACATCTTGCCACACGAGCGCCTGATTCGGACCTGTCGGGCTGAGAGCTAATATTTGATGCGCATCTTGCAAGCCAGAGTCTGAAATGCCATATGCATCCAAGATCTCACCTGTGTCAGCCGAAAACTTTTTTATGTATAGCTCCAATTCTCCTGCAGGCGCCTTCTTGGGTGTTGTCGTAACAATGTGCACGGAGTTTGCTTCAAATGTGATTCCGCAATAAGATGTGCTTGTCCTGCGAATTAGGTTGCGATCGGGCAGAGTGATAGCTCACGTGTCCAAGGGCTGCTGCCATATAATCTTGCCAGTGTCGGGTGCTATCCGGTAGGCAGACCGACCGAGCACTGTATATATTCTGGGTGAGCCATTGCTGCTGACTTGAATCGCGTAGGCCCCTTCACCAGGATTGACATCACTAGTCCAGAGGAGATGACCTGTGAATGCTGACCATGCTTGCACTTTGCCGAACAATGACAAGGAGATGATTTTGTCGTCGAGCGGCTCTACCGCAATCATCGAGTCATCCGCAAGACTTTGCCGCCATACGATATCACCAGTTCGGCAACTCAAGGCAGCGAGATAGTGCCGATCCGTTAGAGAGTAGCACAAGGAGCCTTCGTCCTTCACAGGCGTGTGAAAGAATAAGTCGTCGGGCCGGCCAATTAATGGTAGGTGGAAATCAACTATGCCTTGATGCATTAGTAGTCGCCAAGCAACATGGATCACTGACCTGCTTCATCTTCATAGATGGCAGCGACGAGACGTGCCACCACGGAGACAAAGAGGATACGCATCACACCTGTTGCCGTGTATCCTCCAACTTGCCGGCTGACGGCGCGCACTGCAAGACAGACCGACGTTGAAGAGCAGACGAGCTTCAGATGGGCCACAACCTCAAATTTGACTAGATACGGAACTACCATGACAGTGTTGAAGCCGTCCAGTCTTCGAACCTAAGTCTCTTGCTCCCCTTGAGCTCAATAGAACCATCCTGACATTCCTTTGTTTTGTATTCTCCGAAATTGACGTCTGTGATTGCGCCTGTACTGTAATCTGGGGTCTCGTCGTTGGCAGAAACAAGGAACCCGTCTCCCAGCCAAGACACCTCTCCGTCTGTATGTTCTCCAGTAGGGCTAAATGTAGTAATTGCAAGAGACGGCGCCTCTGGTCCCTTTTCTTTGAAAGCAGGAAGTGCCGCAACAGATACTTTGCTACGCTTTGGTCGAGCGCGCTTTGCTTGGTGCAGAGTTTGACTGGATGGAGAAAGAGCCTCGGATGCAGCAGAGAAGACAGGTGCTGGTGAGGTTGGTTGAGCCTCGAGCACAGGACTTCTTGACACAGAAAGCTTGCTATTTGTAGCGTTTGGGCTAATTGCGTGGCCCGGGATTTTGTCGACTGCCAATCCAGATTGCTGGTTGGTTGAATGATTAGCCATTGCAGACTGAGCGCTCCCACTATTCTCAATAGCAACCGCCGTGTCTCCCATTCCTGCTTGCTTAGCACTTAAGGCAGTTTGCGAAGTGTCAAAATCCGTCATGTCCGTCAGGTCCACAATTTCTGGAGTGTCATCTAAAGTCAGCAAAGGCCCACATCGCGCTCAACATACCAATAACCTCAAGCCACCCGTCGCTACTGCTGTCACGAGCTGGTTCGTTCTGCTCGGGATAATCTGCTGCAGAGATTTCGAGAACAAATGAAGAACGAGCCTCGCAGCTGACGAGATCTTCACATATGACAAGGAAGCCAAGGTTTGAGCAGTGCTTCATGAGATGAACATCAAGCAGGATCTGCTTGCCACCCAACAATTTGTCCATCTTTTGCCTTCGAAAGTCCAGAAGCAGCCCATTTGCTGTGTATGCTGTAAAATTCACCAAATGCTGATCAGCACGCCATTCCGTCGGACACAATGCTGAAAGCCGGACATCAAATTGTAGATGCACGCCATCAGGCTTGACTGCTTGACCAGACAATCGAATAGACAAGCTTAGACTCGGCAATGATTCGGCATCCTTGATGAGCTTATTTCCGAATGGCGGATGTCGCTTGAAAAGCCTCTCGAGCTCACGTGCATCCGATTGAATGAGCTTTGGAAGCGTCGTGATGCCAGCATTGACCAGAGTCTTGAGACTGCCATCACCAATTCCTCTAATCTGCTTCAGAACTCCTGCAGAAGTCTTCCAGCACTTTCCTGCAATAGCCTGTCGCAACTCCAACGCACGATTGATGATTGTTGCGTCCTTGTCAAGGAGTTTGCAGTCAATCAAGCACGACAAGAGGCGAAGCATGTGTTGACGTATGAAAGACTCGTGAACGAAGAGCTCCGTCATGTTCCTGGGATGAGATGCCTTGAGCACAGACACGTCGACAGAACCAGGCGTGATCTGTACAGCCAAGAACACTTTTTGCCACAAGTGTTCAATTTTGCCAACAATTGGGAAGCGCAGACCAGGAAGGGTTTTCATGATGTTGAGCATACCCTTGTCACCCGGTCTGAGGGACATCTTGGAGAATTCATCAGCCTTGCACAAAGCCGTGAGGATATCACTTTCAGATGCCCCGGTAGGAAGGCTGTCTAGGTTCTCGAAACTGGAGAAGCAAAGATAGTAATTGGCCATGATTTTCCCTTTTGGAGTTGAAATGAGCTTTCCATCAATATTGTCAACCAACTTCTTTTGCTCCAGGAGTGCAACATTCATCTCAGACATTTGTTTGAGCGTCTCCTCGACACCGTGACCCTCCTGGAGACGATAGTGGGCAGGATTTTGCTGCATCCTCACATAGAGGAATGTCTCTTTGAGCCACTCGATAGACTGCTGCACTGTACTGATTGTGCCTGAGCAGATTTCCGCGTTGAAATGCTCGAGAAGAGCAAGATGCAGGTGTGACTCGAGTACTTCTGTTCCAGAAATCATCAGCTCGTATGTTCGCTTCTTTTCATTCCCTGTCATGATCACTGCACATCCAGTGGTATCAAATTGAGGTCGACCTGCACGACCAATCATTTGCAGAACGTCGAGGTCAGAGTATTCTTCGAAGGCTCCATGGCTATAGACCAGAGTGTTCTTGAGCACAACAAGGTGTGCAGGCAGATTGACGCCAACAGCCAGAGTACTTGTCGACACCAGGACATTCAGCACATTTTGCCGAAAGAGCTTCTCAACCATGTTCCGATCGGCCAGGGAAAGCCCAGCGTGATGAAACGCGACACCGGCAGGGACCATTTGCATGAGCGCCTTGTCTGCAAAGACTGCGTCAATGCTGGGTCGACTCCACATAGGTTGTGTCTCGTATGCCTGTAGAACTGCTTTGGCTGTGTTTTGACAATCTTGTCGAGTCGAACAAAAGATAATTGACGGCTTTCCTTTGCCATGCTTTGCAACAACACCATACACCTGCTTTGCGAGAAAGCTATCAAATGCAAATTTGTTCATTCGTCCCATTTCAAACCCATAGACCACTCTCTCGAGCGCCACTGGACGGTAATTCTCGCCAAATTTGAGCTGCAGCGCCAGACCACCGTCATGCCCTTTGCCTAACCACCTGACTGGTCAGTGGACGCTGTGGGAAAACCCACTTACCTTGCGAGGTCTTCAAGATTGGGAACGGTCGCCGATAAAGCAATCATCCTGACGCCCACACGCGCCATCTGCTTCATGCGCGTCATGACGACTTCCAAGGTGGCTCCACGCGAGCTGTTGAGAGAGTGTACCTCGTCCACCATGAAGAGCTTCACCATCTGAACCAGTCGTTGTGAGTCGTTCCAGCGCCTTGTTACGCTGTCCCATTTCTCCGGTGTCGTGATGATGATGTCCGCCGTCTTGACTTGGTGCATGTTCCGCGCATCGGTGTCCCCAGTCACTTCGGCACAGGTAAGACCAAAGGCTGAGAACTTTGATGACCAGTCCTTGGCGCGCTCTCGGCAGAGAGACTTTGTAGGAGCGACGTAGACGAGCTTGAAACTCTTGGAGAGATTCTGATGCAGGAGACGACAGATGGCTAGCTCGAGCACAGCCGTCTTGCCGCTGCCGGTGGGAGCGCTCAGTACAAGGTTCGAGTCCTGCAGAGGTGAGCTGACTGCGTGTGCTGCGATTGGGGACTCACTGTCGCGAATGCCGCCTGGAAGCTGGCGGACTGCACAGCATTGAAGCAGCGGTAGCCAGCGAAGACAGACTGAAGCTCGCGCGTTGGCAGTGTTGCTACGCTCACTGCGCCGGCAGCTGAGTCTGGAAGATTTGGGCCAGGAAGAGTCATGCCTATCTTGGAGTGTAGTGCCAGCAGATGGACAGTAGCGTTGGAGTGTGCCAGCGATCGAGGGGCGAGATCAGGATTATAGCGTGTGCATGTCAACGGGCGCTACAAGCTCAAGGGTACAGGCATAAGGCAGGTAGAGGAGATGTAATGTGAGCACGAGTAGCGAGTGAAGTGTATATCGCTGCTAATAAGGGCATCACAGACACTCGAGCAAGTCGCTAAGCGGTGACAGTGGCGTGTTTACCACTCGAGTTGCCCAGGCGTACATAGGAGGAGGATCTCTTTGAGCGTTGCTTCGTAGGCAGTGTATGCATGTCTACGAGGGCATGAGCACGAGTACTGTAGCTGTGTGTGGTGGTTGCCTCTGTCCAGTCATCTCGCTGCTGCAATTGTCTGCCGTGCTCAGTCACTCCAGACTCCAGTTTGCCAGTTTGCTGAGTTTGCCGGTGCCCTCCATCTGCGCAGCTGTGACGTGAGACAGCACACTCAGAGCAGACATTTCATCCAGCCAGCCAGCCAACCCTCCAACACCAACAAACACAGCGCTGCAGCCAGTCCAGCGCACCAGCAGCAGCAGCAAATATGCTCTCCCTCAAGACATCCAAGAGCCGCACAGCATCCAGCGGCATGCACAGGCGCACCAGCGATGCAGTCGCCGGAGACGAGCGATCTCATCTGCTCAGCGGGCATCACCGTGATGACGGTGCCTCAAGCTCTTTCATGGGCAAGCTCAAGCAGGCTACTAAGGCCATTCTTTTCCAAAACTACGTCAACGTGCTGCTCGTCTTTGTCCCTCTCGGGATCTTGTCTGAGGTTCTCCACTGGGGCCCGGTTGCGCGCTTCACCCTCAATTTCCTCGCCATCGTGCCACTTGCATCGCTCCTCTCTTTCGCTACCGAAGAGTTGGCACTCAAAGTGGGTCAGACACTTGGCGGACTGCTCAATGCAAGTTTCGGTAATGCAGTTGAGCTGATTGTCTCGGTTATCGCTTTGACCAAAGGCCAGCTGCGTATCGTGCAGGCTTCCATGCTCGGTTCCATCCTTTCCAATATCCTGCTTGTTCTTGGCATGTGCTTTGTCGGCGGAGGTATCTATTACAAGGAACAAGAGTTCAACATGACCGTGGCGCAGACCATGTCCTCCCTTATGGCGCTAGGCACTTCTTCACTGTTGCTGCCAGCTGCATTCAACCTAGCTCTTCCAGCATCCAAGCACCTCGATGCCGAGACTTTGGCACTCTCCCGTGGTACATCCATCATCCTCCTTGTCATCTATGCGCTGTACCTCGTGTTTCAGCTCAAGACGCATGCCGAGCTGTTTGAGGCAGAAAATGACGACGAAGCTGACGCGCAAATTTCTCCTTGGACTGCAGCTGGTTTGCTGCTTGTTGTCACTGTCATTGTGTCTTTCTGCGCCGATATTCTCGTTGGCAGCATCGACGAACTCGTCGAGAGCACTGGAATCAGCAAAACCTTTGTTGGATTGATCCTTATTCCGATCGTTGGCAATGCTGCAGAGCATGTGACTGCAGTGGTAGTGACAATGAAGAACAAGGTTGACTTGGCCATCGGCGTGTCACTCGGCAGTGCAATCCAAATCTCCATCTTCATGACTCCCATGCTTGTCCTGATCGGTAATTTCTTTGGCAGCAAACGATTTCACACAGCTAACACGAACCAGGATGGGCTATGGGTCAGCCTCTATCTCTCTACTTCTTGCCCTTCGAGACCATCTGCTTGTTTGTCAGCGTCATCGTGGTCAATTCGACGATCCAAGACGGCAAATCAAATTGGATGGAGGGAGCTCAGCTGTTGGCCATCTACGCTATCATTGCCATTGGTTTCTACGTCTACCCATCATAAGCGCTTCGTGCTCCGGCAGCAAACGCTCTTTGGTCGAACAACGATCTCTTCGACTTCCCCTGACCACGACATGGAGCAGTCTCCCGTGTACAATTGTCATACAATACCTTGAAGACTTTTTAGTAGTAATGGATTATCAAGCAATTCGATCTTTAGTAGTAATAGATCATCAAGCAATTCGTTCTTCACCAAGCTGTCTGTGTAATCTCAGCCCACCCATGCTGGAGTGCTGCCCTTACAAAGATCTCTTGCTCCCTCGGAACAATTCGCATGAGCTCCGTCCTGTTCCGAAAATACTACTTGCACTGGCTACCTTCGACATGAGCTGTGCTCATGTTGCACTTATGGATTTTATGGAAGAGAGTGATTGCTTGCCTTCCTCACTGACACCGAGGCTGCTGAGCTAGTGGATCTCTGGGCCCCTCAGAAGCCTCTGTAGACTGTATCTGGTGCTCCATCTCATCGCTGTGTCGGCCCAGGCTCCACCCAACCCAACCTTGCTCCTCCGCATCGACACTCACCACCACCGGCCTCCTTTCTCGAAAGCAGACCAGGACCAACTTCGCATCATGGCTGCCGAACAACACAACCAGTCCGCCGCATATGGTATCGTCACAGACTACCAGACGCTCACCAAGCATTTCCTCCAAGAACAACAACAGGCAGGATCAAAGGCCACAGGCGATTTCACGATCCTTCTCAATGCCATTCAGTTCACCTGCAAAGTCATTGCTCACAACATTCGACGTGCAAACCTTCTCAGTCTCGGCGGACTCGCCGGTGCGACCAATTCTACAGGCGATGACCAAAAGAAGCTTGACATTATCTCGAACGACATCTTCCTCGATGCTATGAAGGCCTGCGGGCGTGTCAGCGTCATCATTTCCGAGGAAGAGGAGGAGGCCATCATCGTCGAGGGTGTCGGGGGTAACAACGGCCGTTACTGCGTCGCTTGTGATCCAATCGACGGCTCAAGTAACTTGGATGCCGGTGTGTCGGTAGGCACCATTTTCGGTATCTACAAGTGCCAGGAGGGATCCAGCGGCAGCCTGAGTGATGTCCTGCGTTCTGGTACAGAGATGATTGTGGCTGGTTATTGTATGTATGCTGCCTCCGCCAACCTTATCATCACCACAGGCAACGGATTGAACGGCTTCACGCTCGACAATGCGCTCGGCGAGTTCATCTTGACACACCCTCAGATGAAAATTCCAAAGTCACGCAGCATCTACTCTGTTAACGAGGGAAACAGTATGTACTGGGATGAGCCTTGCAAGAAGTACTTTGAAGCGCTCAAGTATCCCGAGTCAGGAAAGCCGTACTCCGCACGATACATCGGATCCATGGTTGCGGATGTGCACCGAACACTGCTTTATGGAGGTATCTTTGCGTACCCAGCAGACTCCAAATCAAAGAATGGCAAACTTCGAGTGCTGTACGAATGCTTCCCCATGGCTATGATTGTCGAGCAAGCCGGCGGTCTGGCTACAGACGGCCGTCGTAGAATCTTGGACATCGTGCCCAAGGACATTCACGAGCGCTCTGGCATTTTCCTGGGCTCAGAAGACGAGGTCAACAAGCTTCTGGCCGCTTACAAACAGTATGGCAATTAGGTGGCAAACCCTTTTCCGTAGCATTCATATACGCTCAATCCTTCTCATCTACAAGTGATCGCTAGTCATATATTGGTCCAATCAGCATCCGAAGTCGAGCACTTCAATGAAGGTCATATTATTTCGCTGCACTGCTGCAACACAACGCCGCTCGTCAAATTTGACCTGCCACACATAGGATAAGTTGCTGAGAAGATCACGCTTGAATTTGCCCGTTTTGCCGTCCCAGAGCTTGAGGGTCCCATCTGAGCCAGAAATAATCTTGTCTCCATCGTGCTGAAAGCAGGTGATGGCTCCCGTGTGGGCTGTGAGAGACTGCATGCATTTCCCGGTATTTGGATCCCAGACTCGCAGGGTAGAATCTGCAGCAGCAGAGACAAGTCTTTCATTCGACAAGCTGAGCAGACCGACGAGAGATGTGTGGCCCTCAAGCGTCCACAAACAAGCACCGACGTCGAGGTCCCATACCTTAACTTTCCAATCCATACTTCCGCTGATGCATCTTCCCCGCTTGGCGTCCAGTACAACAGAGTAAACTTTCTGAGTGTGACCCGTCAACCGGTGCAAACACACCCCTGTCGATACTTTCCAGACGCGCACACTGCAATCATAGCTTCCGCTGACAAGTACATCGTCCTCAGCCGCGATGGCTCGGACTGCTTGGCTATGTCCTTCAAGGGTGCGCATCCAGTACGGATTGCTTGTGGGCGAGGCATCTTGCCATGGGGGATCTTCAGCTTTGGGCAGCTTCCACATCTTCAGAGATGAGTCCCGGGAACCGGTGATGATCATTTGCTCGCCATGTTTCGACTCAGGCATCGCAGTGAGAAGGAGGCATCGCACGGTAGAGGTATGTCCATCGTATGTTTGAAGGCACCGGCCCGTCGGAATGTCCCAAACTCTGACAGTGCGGTCGGTCGAGCCTGAAACAAGGATGTCACCCATGTATTGCAGGGCCCACACGCCGCCTTCATGCCCCTGAAGTGATACGCGCAGCGCTCCAGTCCGTGCATCGAAGATGTTGATGTTGGAATCCTCAGACCCGGTGATGATTTTGTCATCATCCAATTGAAGACATGTGACCACATGCCGACCATGACTTTCAAAAGATATGTGCTGCGGCTCCTTCCGAGGGTTCATCCATCGCTGATATCTTGTGTGGTGCTTTCTGTATATTGTCTTGTAAATTTGCTGTCCAACCAAAGGCTGCTTCAGGCCACCATTGACCATGTCTTGAAAGTGGTTTCGCACAAAGACGGCCTCGTCCGATTGAAGTTCTTTGTACGGCGACATGTCTGGCCTTCCGGGCCCTGCGGTGCTGATGGCTCTCGGCCGACGAAGGAGAGCTGAACTTGAGTCTCTCACCCAGCCCAGCTGTAGTGCTTCTTCAAATTCGGCATCCTCGATGTCGTACTGGTCAATGTCGAGTCGCCGCTTCCAAGTGTATTCATCTTCATCTATCAATTGCCGCCAGCGTTTCGATACCTGCAAAGCACGGCACAAACTTTGTACATCAAGATACGACAAGACGTGCAGTGAGAGCTCATATGGCAACAAATCCAGAAAGTCTCGCTTGAGAGCTGGATTGACGACAGATGCAACCATTTGCAACGTTCTTTTGTTGCACCGTTTAAGAATTTGGTAGAGAGCGTAACTCTGAACATTCGGCGGGAGGTGCTCAAAAGAATCAAGCATGACAGGCAGCTGCATCATGTTCACAGCCTGTTGCGATCCGTTGGGGCCAGCGTCTGAGTGAGAGTACGATTTTTGAGGGCATTCGGAAACAATTACTGCTTTGGGTGAAGCTGATGGGGAAGGCAGAGACAATGACTCTGGACTGGCGACTCCAGCAGAAATGTTTCCTTCAAATCGATCGACATGGCTTGTTGCTGCAGGAGGCATGTCAGGCTCATCCGAGTTCCTGACAGGATGTTGGGGGTGTAACGTCCGCACATCGCGTTCGGCAACATCGACTGCAAGCCGATCGCGCACTCGTCGCTGATGAGCATTGCCTTGAAGATCCTCTGCTGGATTCGATCGCTTGCGCGAGTCCCTATGCCGTGCACCTTGAGTGGGCTGTGCCGCAACCGTGGATTTCGCCTTATTTCTTCCACAATCCAGGACAGCTTGGAGCTAATTGAGTTAGACAAAGAGAGCATAAAGATTCTTGTAAAAGCATACCTCTACTAGCGCGTGTTGTGCATCTGACCGCTCTGAAAATGCTGCGGGCACACCATCCAGCTCGAAGCCGAAGGACTTTAGCTCAAGGGGGGTGGAAGAGCGCATCAACGGGTAAGCAGATCCATCATAGTCTGAGAGAGGGCGGCGAGGAAGCTTGAAGACCAAAGGTGGGTAATCAGTTCGAACAGTCGTTGTAGTGGTCACGGTCGTTGTATGAGTCGTAGGCAGCAGTGAGAACTGAGAGATTTGGAGGGCCTGGTCGGTATCGCTCCTCAAGGGAGACGTCTCCCTGGGAGGAGTCGGTGCCATGCTTTCGGTTGTGTGGGCTACGGCGCCTCAGAAGCTGATCTCCTGCGTGAAGGACGCGATGCAGAGCGCGAAGACTTCCCTTTCTACCTGTTGCGAGGTTCCTGCGTCTCAACAGGATGGTATAGTCTGCAGCGAGACAAGCAGAGGATAGCTCGAACAGAGCCTTGGCCGATCGCAGGCTCGAAAAGAGATGGTGGTTGTTGATGACCCTGCGGAGAGGGAATGCAATTTCGCGCGCACCAAACCACCAGCTGAACTTCAAACACAGCACGGGCCAAGGACTCGCTCGACACGAGCGAGATACAACTGCCCAAAGCTCTGCTATTGTGGGTATTGCTTCCAGAAGACTGGTACTTGGGACCCTCTGCTTGAGCTTTATACCTCATCTGAGCTTTGCTGTGCTCTCGCAAAGTGCTTTCTGCATTGTGCCAAGAGCTGTTCCCATGTCCCTCGGGTGAAGATAGCTGCATCCTTGATAAATTCTATGGATGAATCTGAGTCTGACCATACAGTCGGCAAGTTAAGTGGCAGCTCAGAAGATCGCGTGCAGATGGCGCCACTCAAACCGCTTGAGCTTGCGCATGAAATCATGAGCAGCGCCGATGATTTCGCCAAAAGAGTCGCTGCATATCGCAAACTTCAGGATCTGCACATCACTGAACTGGACTTGTACGACTTGGCTGGATCTGGGTTACAGGAGTGGCTGGTGGAAGATGTCCTGAGACCAGATGCTCCAGAATTGATTTCCATTCTTGCGCAGAAAGTGCTCAAGCCAAGTTGCACGTTGAAAACGAGTAGACTGCTTCTACGACACATCCAATGTGCGCCGACACAAATACTGCCATTAGTGGAAGTCGCTATGCAAGAGACTTTGCCCTCCTTTTTCCTCTTTGACTCATGGACGCACGATCTCTCCCAGGCAGCATTCCCGATCGCGAAGTTCCCTCCACCGACAGCAAGCTATTCACTATTTTTTTGGATCCGCCTGCACAAACTTGGCTCGGAAGCTCCAATAACCATTTTGAGTATTCAGACTGCACAAGAGCCTTGTTTTGAAGTCGCTCTCACGTCTACAAGATGTCTTGTTCAGATAGGCAGCCAAACGGCCACATTTTCTCACAACTTTGCTCATGATATCTGGTACAGTTTTGCCTTTGTACATGGACCTAGGCGTACAGAGAATATGGACCCTTTGCTAGTTATGTACGTGGATGCTCATCGCCTGGAGAGTCACTCTGTCCCTTGGCCATCTCGAGCCATCCGCGGGCAGGCAGCCAGCGTCATTCTGGGTAGCCCATGTCCATGTTCTAGTCAATTTGCGTTGGGCAAAGTCCTGCTTGCCAGTCAAGCTTTCAACAGCGCTCTGATTGACTTGTACCACAAGTTAGGCGCTCAATACGACGGGCACATGCAAGATATTCTCAGCACATTTGTGACTTATGAGGCATCGACAGAAGTCAGTGTCCAAATGGAACGCGATGGTCCGACTCATACGTTGAAGTCACGCAACAGCGAAAATATGCCGGCTGCCTCTATCATATTGAGTGTGTCACCAAAGAGTGATCTTGCATGGACCGCAGCTCGTGATTTGTCTGCGTCAAATCGTTCTAAGAACAGCGCTTCAGGAGCATCATCTGACACGAGAGCTACGTTCACGAATGTGCGTGTCCTCAGACCGCGCTCCTTATGTGATGACCTTTATCAAACGGGTGGCGTGAGCACTCTATTGTTTTTAGTCGGCAGATCGACAACCCCGGACGAGACTTTAATTGCGACCAGGTTGCTCCTTCGTTGCATCACCCGGTCTTGGCGCAATTCAGAGGCTGTCGAACGGATGCATGGCTATGAACTCCTCGCCCATATTCTGAAGACCAAACCTGCCAGCCATCTCACATTAGACCTTCTCGCCGCGGTGCTTCAATTCGTCGGAATGGATAAAGAGATTATCATCAACCCGCTGGCTTACCGATATTTGGTCCTAGACATGAGCATCTGGTCTCAAGCAAATGAGCATGTTCAAATTAGCCTCTTGAACCAATTTCGCATATTCGTATCTGCCAAAAGCCTTGGCTCCTTCAATTGTCGCCGGTTGAACAGGATGCAAGCGACAAAGAAATTCTTGGTCTCATTTCGACATAATCGGGCACCATCAAATGACCTCTTACCCTATTACGCAGATGCACTGAAAGTGCTCGCCGGCGCTACATTTTCGACTGAGACTGTCCGGCACCTTGCGACTTTCATCGTCCATGCGTTTGATGTGCCCAAGGCAGCTTCAAAGAAGCCTGTACCTGAAATCGAACATTCGACCCTCGGCTGCCTGCTTTTGACCATGTTCAAGGAGCTTCTGTGCGATCCTCTTCGCACGGAAAGACTGGAGAAATTCGCATCGACCGTCACCATTCGATGGGTTTTCCTGTTGATGAACAAGGATGCGACACACCGCGAAGCCTTTGACATTCTGACATTTTTGCTTGTCAACCAAGGAACGCAATACGTCGCTCGTTTCTCACAAAAGAATAATGGCTTCGCCTTCTGCCGCGCTCTGCTCGGTCCACGTTACTCTCGTGTCAAATGGACTAATATGCTGGCCATTGCGTACGGCTCACTTGATCCTCTTAAGCACTCATATCAGGATGAAATACGGACAGCGAAGACCTCTCCGCCTTTGCGCAGCCCGCAAGGTCTGTCTCTATACGTGTCTCTCTTAAGAAGGGTGCTGATGGCAAACGAGAAGCACCTTCAGTCGCACGAGTCTGACGAGCGGGCTCTAATTGTTGGAACAGTCATGGGATCAGCGGGTCATGCACACGCTAGTCCGACTGCTGAGCACGAAACTTTTGACCCAACAGAATTGAACCAAACTCTGCGTACACTGATACTCATACATGCATCTATGGAAGGAGCCTCCAAAGTGCTCCAGGACGCGAAGTATCCTTATGGTATGAACAATACCAAAAGTATATACCACTGACAAGCTAGAATTGTATTGCTCCTTATTCGAGGCGCTTTGCGTGCATGAAACTGCGCAGCGCGGCCCACCATCAGCACGCTCATCTGGATCTCTCGAACCGGAAATACCGTCAAGAGCAACAAACACTGTCCCTGGGCCAATCGTCTCAGCAGACCCAGATTTAACAGCCCAACAGCCGACATCTCGCCCACGCGGATTATCACTTCGCCGTGCTAGTTCATATGTGCTGCTACGTCGCTCCTGGTCTTCAGGCAGCGTAGATCAGGCGACCAGGCGCATCAAATATGGCATCAAGCTCACTGTTATGCCTATCTCTGTCACCATCCCAACCACACTCAGTCTCACGTTGGACTGGTTGGTAACAATGATAGTACAATTCGTCTTCGACGGAGGCTCACTGCGCAGCCTCTTACCTTGCCTCCCTTCAAGTACGTTCAAATGATCGAGGCCTGTTCTGACTTTAGAATCAAATGACGCAGTCGCCCAGGTAGACTCTCTAGTACATTCGCAGGTTCTCAAAGAGATTAAAAGAAGCATCAAACATAGTCCTGCGGAGCTGATTTTGACTCGCCTGGGACATGGAATCATTTATTTCGAGAGCCTGTATCGCCTCACTCTCCAAGGTTACTTTTCCGGGGGCTCTCATCATCTGCTCGCTGCAACAGCCGAGCTCCTCGAGCACATCAGCCACACTGAAGATCGATCGGTCCTCGCTACTTGCACAGAACGGGAAGGTTTGTCAGCGCTCATGCGTAAATGCTTTATGCTACAGTTGGACGAATTGCAGGACATGGACACATCGGCAATATCTACTTCATTGACAACCATGCTATTCTGGCAACAGCAACTTTTTGCAGCACCCATGGACCCCGAGTTGATTACAAGTGCGCTCTTTCTGTTATATACTGCCCTCAAGTCTGGAAAGATCAATCCGGTGGCTCTTTGCGATGTTTGGCGATCTTTCATTCTAATGCAAGATTCGGCACTTGACGAGGCTTTCAGCAGTTCTGGATCCGAAGGCCTTGTCGCCAAAGAGGATGTTAGGTTTCTCCTGCAGACTGATGCTGAAAGTTTCGTTGCTCATATCCGAGCTCAATCGGTCCGACTCGACTCGGTTTTCTATGGCTCTCTCGCCAAAAGCTGGGAACGCTTTGTTGCCAAGGAGAACAAAGCTACTGCAGATAGTATGCTCGTGAGAGAGACTTCTCGTCAAGCGTCTGCTAGATCACTTGCCTTGGCAAGTGAACGTAGAAGTGAAGCGGTCATTGATCACCAAGAGAAGCTTCGAGACTGGTACCGCAATCTTGTTGCCAGCGAAGGTAAGATTTTCTCATCATGAGACGTGCTGACCGGTAGTGGAGAAAGACAAACATGCATGGCAGGACAACGAAGATCAACTTGCATTGACGTCCAAATTATGGCGAAACCTCCAGATGGATCAAACACGAATCGGGGGTCTCTTCGACGACGCTGACGGCAATCTCATATGGAAGCTTGACCTCACCGAGAACGCTCTTCGCATGAGGAAGAAGCTTCGACAGACGGCATGCGAGGACACCTCAATTAAAGCTCATCAAGCACTCAACAAGGTCGAACACGCGCCTTCAGGTGAAATCAAGCCAAATCCGATGTCCGATGCTGAAAATCAGACGATTGACACCGAGGATCGCAATCGGCGACTGAGCCGGAGTCTGCAACATGAAGACGTCATTTCAGACCTCATGAACATCACTGTAAAATTACCTCACATTGAAGTGTGCTGACATGTAGCGTGTAACTGGTCTTCAAGCCACCGATGGGCTTCTAGTTCTGGGCAAGGCCAACTTGTACTTTGTCGATAATTACTTCATTGGTAAGGCTGGGAAAATACTCACCACGCAAGAGCGCGGAGCCAATTCTTCCAATGACATGATCTCTCAAATGCTCTCAGACGAAGGTGAAACCGCTAGAGCCAAGCAACAGCTACACACGACTCGAGCATGGCCCTACAAGAGCGTTGAATCTATTTCAAAACGGCAATTTCTTTTGCGGGACGTTGCTTTGGAATTCTTTTTCTCCGATGGACAGAGTGTGCTCATCATGACGCGAACAACTCTAGAACGGGACTTGATTAGGAGCAAGTTGTTTGCCAGGACCGTTCATCTCAAAGAGGCGGATGCGCTAGAGAGCTCTTTGAAAGGAAATGCTGGTCTCAGTGGCAAGTTTATGCAGCTGTTTACGGATGTCACGCCCTGGGATCGGGCTGCAGCCAAATGGTCTCGCCACGAGATGACAAACTTCGAATACTTGATGACGATCAACACCCTTGCGGGACGATCTTACAACGATTTGACGCAGTATCCGGTCTTTCCTTGGATCATTGCAGACTATCACTCGACCGAGCTTGACTTAAAAGCTGCGAGTACATTCCGAGATTTGACCAAAAATATGGGATCACAAAACTCAAAGCGTCGCAGGGCATTCGAAGAACGCTACAATGCGTTCGCAGAGCTTGACCCTAAGCCTTTTCATTTTGGCACTCACTATTCTTCAGCGATGATTGTTGCTTCTTACATGATTCGATTGCCACCCTTCATCGACTCTTACTTGTTATTGCAAGGGGGGCGATTCGATCATGCGGATCGTCTGTTCTATTCTGTCGAAAAAGCTTGGAAGTCCGCATCAGAGCAATCCTCCACAGATGTTCGGGAGCTCATTCCCGAGTTCTTCTATCTGCCCGAGATGCTGACCAATCTCAATAAATATGCCTTCGGGAAGAAGCAAACGTCAGACGATCATATCGATGCAGTGGAACTTCCTCCTTGGGCCAAGGGCTCGCCAGAGTTATTCATTGAAAAGCATAGGCAAGCTCTCGAGAGCGATTTTGTTTCGAAGCACTTGCATCACTGGATTGACCTGGTCTTTGGCTACAAACAAAGAGGCGCAGAAGCACTTGAGAATACCAACGTATTTCACAACTTGTCGTACAAAGGATCCGTCGATGTCGACAAAATCGATGACCCTCTACAACGCCGAGCGGCCATTGGAATCATACACAACTTTGGTCAAACACCGAATCAACTATTCCGGATGCCCCATATTGCTCGACAGAGGGACTTCTCGCATGGTCTCGTCTCTCAGCTTACGTCTCTTGGCCAGATGTCGGTTGCGGCTCTCCAAATCCAAGGACCTGTGGGCAGTTTCATGTTCGATGATGGATTGATGGCGTTTGAAACTCATGTCGCCGTACATAAGCTTCACCGAACGATCCTATCGAAGTGGTCGGCTGGAGGTACCGCTATCAGTGTAGTGTCACCAAACGGATCGCTCCTTGGGGTTTTTGAGCAGTTACACGCACAAGAAATTATCGCGAGTGCAGCACTTGCTGACACACTCATCTTGGCTTCTGCTGATGCGACAATGTCTGCCTGGACGCTCAAATTGAACGACGACCTGTCAGTGTCACTGGCGTGTCAGGCGTACCTTGTTGGTCATCAAGCGCCTCTTTCGGCATTGGCCGTGTCTCTGCCGATGCGCGTAATTGCCAGTGGCTCAGTAGATGGGACGGTGTTTATATGGGATCTCAACCGCTACGAGCCAGTTCGCAAGTTCCATTGCAAATCAGCAGTTGTGGCTATCGCCATCAATCACTCCACCGGCGATGTTGCTGTGGCCTCAGACGGATCTGTCAAGCTATTTACAATCAATGGAGCAGAACTTGCCTCTTTTACGGTTACTGAGAGGGATGTCCACTTTGTCTATTTCCAGCCCGGTGATGTCGTGGCTGGCGCTGTACGTTTTCTGTGGGTCGGTCGGTCACAAGGTTTGATGGACTTGCTAAGAGTGTCTGTGACAAGTGCGGAATGGGAGATTGAGCTCCTCAAACACTACAAGCACGAGCACCGTGATCGCAGTGTTGCTGACATCAAAGCTGTCGTCTATCATGATCATCAGCTCATCACAGGTGATGCTCTTGGGCGGGTTACTCGCTGGGTAGACCGCAGCACTTTGTAGCACTTTGCACTGGCCATACCAGATAAACCTCCATCTGAAGACGTTCATCCATGACGCCCACTCGCGGTCTTCCCTTTCGTGACGTATTTGTACATCATCTGTACAGATCCGTGTGACCTCACGACTACCGGCAGCATCTTATTACCTGAGCTATAGAGGAGCGCGCAACAAACAACATATATCAAGCAGCAGATACAAGCAACAATTTCGCATCTTGTTTCTATGGCGCGGACGCTCCTATACCTGCATCGTCATGACTTACGCCTTCATGATAATCCCATTCTGGAGCAAATCAGGAAGGGGCAATACGACAGCTTCCTGCCTGTATACATCTTCCCTGCTCACCAAATCGAAGTGAACCCGCTACTTCGTGCTGAGCACCAAGGCAAAGCTCATAAAGAGTTGCGTGCATCATTTGGTACGCGAAGGACTGGAAATGTGAGGGTCAGCTATTTGTGCGAGTCGCTGTGGGACCTTAAGCGATCTTATGCCAAATTGGACGTCAACATGCTCATAACAGCTGGCAAGACTGATGACGTGTTGAAGAGTATCCTGGATAAGCTGCAGGCGCATAGCGCAGGGCAAATTGAAGTATGGTTGCAAAAGGAATACACAACGGAAGAAAGAGAAGAGGAGGCTGCCATAATGGCTGTCTGCAAAAGCAACAAAACGGTCGCATACAAGACGGTCGAAGAATCCACATTGGTTGACATCTCCGATCTTGGTTACCCTATTGACAAGCTACCCAACTACTATACAGAGTTTCGCAAAGGAGTGGAGCCGCTAGACAGCGTCAGATTACCCTTCGAAGCTCCGAAGCATCTGCCACCTTCGCCAAAAATCACTTTCGAGAACGAGTACGAAATTTCAGATGATATGGACAAGGTCATTGAGCAGCTTTGCGCACCTCTCGGTGGTCGTTGTGACATACCACAAAATACTGCTCATCCTATGAAAGGCGGTGAAACAGCGGCTATCAAGCGATTAGAGTATTATGTCACTGGCGGCAAGTCGGCTCCCGCCGCATCTTATAAAACTACTCGAAATGGACTCCTTGGCTCAGACTACTCTACAAAGTTCTCCTCATTTCTCTCTGTCGGGTCTTTATCTCCAAAGCTTATTCATCATCGCCTCCTTCAGTTTGAGAAGGAACATAACCTAGAAGGAGATGTCAACACATATTGGATTCGATTTGAACTGCTCTGGAGGGATTACTTCAAGTTTGTGGCACTCAAGTTTGGCAAGCGCATGTTCCTGAAGTATGGTCTTAAGCAAGCAAAGCTCAATGATCAGTGGCTTGGTGCAGACTCACGCGAGGCTATGCGATGGAAAGAGGGTACAACGGGAGTAGGTATTGTCGATGCTGCTATGCGCGAGCTTAAAGCGACTGGTTATCTGTCCAACAGAGCCCGACAGATCGTTGCCAGCTTCCTGACAAAAGATCTCAACGTTGACTGGCGAATTGGTGCCGAGTATTTTGAAGAGAAGCTTATCGACCACGACCCTTCGGCCAATTACGGCAACTGGCAATATCGTACGCCTCTCACTTGTCAGGTCTACTGCTAACTTACCATAGAAGCCGGCGTCGGAAACGATCCACGCACGAGTCGGAGATTCAACCCAGCGAAACAGGCCCACGACTACGATCCTGATGGTGCTTACATCAAAACATGGTGCCCGGAGGTTGCCAAAGCCACCGTGAGCATGAATTGGGTCTACTTCTGGACAACTCCTCCCAAACTACAGCAGACTTTGGGCATCGCAGGGCTTGAAGGAGTACGCGATCCAGTGAAAGGGCTCTGTGGCGACGAGCGGGAACGCAACAGTGGCAGAGGCGTGCCGGGCTATCGGAAGAAGGCAAGGAGACACGAGGGAAGACCGCGCCGCGGTGAACGTACTGCTTCATATGACTCGTAGATAAGAGTTGTTGGTATTTGCCGGCACGTTATATATGCAGAAAGACAAGAAAGTGTACATTGGTGCAATTTGGTGAAGGGTGTGATGCCATCTCGTCAAGTGCTTCAACTCAACAAAATTTTCCCGTGGCCTCCAACCGCCCGCTTTGTGTGTGTGTACTTGGACATCGCTGTAGAACATGGCTGCAGTGACGAAGAAGCTCGACTGGAGCGAAGAGACAGATGCCTTTGATCTTCCTCAATTGACCCGCACAACGGATGCTGATGGGACTATCACAGAGGTCTCTTACCGGGTAGAGGATGGCAAGAAGTTGCGCACCACGCGAAAGATCCGAATCGTCCGTGCTCTTGAAAGAGTCAGTCATGCTGAGGCGCAAAGGAAGCAGTGGAAGAAGTTTGGCGCAGAGAAGGGCAAGTCCGCTGGTCCACAGAGCGATACGACGTCAGTCGGAGAAAACATCAAGGTGAAGCTCACACAAGGCTATTCGACCTACGCCGCGAAGCAAGCCGAGATCGCTGCTGAATCGGAAGAAAAGGCGCTCAAAAGCTCGCTCTCGTCTGCCTCAGTCAAGTGTCGAATTTGCACGGGCGATCACTACACAGCAAGATGTCCGTACAAGGAGACTCTCAAACCGCTTGACGGCGGTGATGTCGATCCAGCGGCCAAGGTCATGGAGGAGGTAGACAACGGTACCGGCGCCGGCTCTTCAAATGGCAAATATGTTCCTGTCTTTATGCGCGCTGGTAACAAGGGCACCGGTGAGACTATGAATGGTGTACGTGGACCAGGCGGACGTGATGAACTACCGACCCTGCGCATCACGAACTTGTCGGAAGACGCAGAAGAGGAGGATCTCAAGGCACTCTTTGGTCGCCACGGAGCTGTTGCGCGTGTCTTCCTTGCACGCGATAAAGACACACGACGCGTTAAAGGTTTTGCCTTTATCTCATTCTACGATCGTGCAGACGCAGAAAAGGCACAGCAGAGGATGGACGGCTTCGGATACGACAATCTGATTCTCCACGTCGAGTTCACCAAGCCGCGTGACGAATAGCCATAGTACAGCCTATCGCACACGATGCATATTGCAGGTACCTTCGTCATTGTTATCTACTGAGCTTTTCGCCTTTCATGACCATCTCCATCTCCTGCTTGTTGAGAATCTCATACTCAACAAGTGCTTTGGCGAGGCGCTCCAATTCAACGGAATACGTTGTCAAAATCTTGTGAGCGCGCTCCTCCGCACTTGTAATCATACTCTTGATCTCGGATTCCACCAAGGCTTTTGTCGAGGGCGAAAGTGTTTCGAGATTGTCACTCAAAGCAATCGAGCCAACGGCTGATGAAAAGCCATGGGCCGTGACCATTTCCTTGGCGATATTGGTTGCGTTTGTGATGTCAGAGTGCGCACCGCTAGTGACATTCTCCGGACCATAGATGAGCAACTCAGCAACGCGCCCTCCCATGGACACATCGATCATAGCTTGATACTCCTTCTTTGAGCGAGAGTCTTTGTCCATCTCCGGCAACATCATCGTCATACCCAGACTGAAACCACGGGGCATGATGGTAGCTTTGTAGGGTTCCATTGCGCCCGGGGTCTTGAATGCCACAAGAGCATGACCAGCCTCGTGCCACGCTGTCATGAGCTTAGACTCTTCGGTGGTATATTTGCTTTTGCGTTCTGCACCCATCATGATGCGGTCTTTCGCCCACTCGAGTGACTTCATGTTGATGAGCTTTGCCATGTCCTTGGAAGCCTTGATTGCCGCTTGATTAACCAAGTTTGCCAAGTCAGCGCCAGAGAACCCAGAGGTACCTCGAGCTATGAGGCTAAAGTCAACCTCAGGTGCCATGCGCATCTTGCGTGCATGGTGTTGCAAAATCTGCATCCGACCACGGACATCCGGCAAGGGCACATTGATTTGCACGTCGAAACGACCAGGGCGGATGAGCGCCTTGTCGAGCGACTGCGGAAAGTTCGTAGCACCGATGAAGACGACGCCCGAGTTTTCCTGAAACCCGTCTAGTTCGACGAGCAGCTGATTGAGAGTCTGACGAAGATATGCAGAATCTTTTGGGTTTCTCTTGGATCCAACAGCATCGAGCTCGTCGATGAAGACAATTGAAGGGGCCTTCTCCTTCGCCTGCGCGAAGAGTTCTCGAATACGCTTCGCACCAACACCAACAAACATTTCGTCAAAGTCAGAGCCTGACATGAAGAAGAAGGGCACGTTGGCCTCCCCAGCAATGGCTCGAGCAAGGAGAGTTTTGCCGGTACCTGGAGGGCCGGTCAACAGCACGCCCTTGGGCAACTTGCCACCCAGTGTAGTGAATTTGGATGGATTTTTCAGGAAGTTGACGACGTCCTGTAGCTCTTCCTTGGCTTCGTCCACGCCGTGCACATCGCTGAATCTAACATCGGGCAATTCCTTGACTGCAGCCTGGCGTTTGCCGCTTCCATCCAGACCGCCAATTGCATTGCCTGCCATGCCTGCGGCACTCGCAACGGTGCCAATCACTAGTAACACGATGTATACTGTAAGACCAAATGACAAAAGAAATCTCACCCATTCGAGGATGATCGTCGCGCGAGACTGTTGCATGACAACATGTAAAGGATTTTGGCGTGTCGCGCCAAGAGCATCAGAGGCGGTGGTAATTGCGGAGCTTACTTGTGCATCATGTCGCGACCGCGGCTGAGACGGTTCGAGAAGCTGATCGCGTACCTGCTCTGCCTCGCGAACACGGCCTGTATGCTCGAGCGCATCTGCATAATACTCCTCACAAGTCGAGTTTTTGGAATAGCGACCTGATGTAAAGCGTCGTATCGCCAACTCGGGATCTTCACGCCGGAGGACTTTGTAAAGCGAGGCTTGAGCAGCACTATTGTCGGGCTCCAGATTCGCGCGCCTTTCAAGCTGCTTGATATCGTAATCTCTGCTAGTTGAGAAGGACGCCGCCCGCAATAGCCTCGATGCAAGTCCCTGCTGTTCACATATTGAGCGCGATTGAAAGGGCCATAAGCCACACCGTATCTGAGCAGACCCGGTCATCTTATGCGGACCGGAAGTTGAGGACAAGGATCGAGTGTGCGACCACTGCAAGAATATTGTTGACCGTGGCACAGGCAAGCCGCCGAGTCGCTTTGTCGCTCTTGCGTAAAGCGGCAGAAGGCTGGGATGGAGTGCGCAGGGCAGCTGACGCAAGACCATGGGACCCGACCAGGCTAAGCTTCTATGGTGCGGTGTATGCAAAGTGGAGACCATAGAAGCAGCTGAAGAATGAGAAATGAAAGCTGGCGCTGTTTGCTACGTAATTTTATAAGATGCTACATCACGGCGACCACGCAAAGTCCACAGAGGGGGGCCGAGATACAGGCAGCTAGCCGGCAGCGTCCGCATTCAGAAGAAGGTGTCGTCCACGCCATTGCTAAAGTCCCAGACAAAGATGCAAGAATCTTGACTGCAGGAGATGATGCGCTTTTCATCAAATTGAAGCTTGAAGATGCGGCTACTGTGGCGACCAAGGTCTATCACCTTTTCGTCGTCCAATCGCCCACCTCGGTTCCAGATCTTGATTGTTTGGTCGTAGCTTCCAGAGACAATCTTGCGTGAGTCTGTCTGGACCGTTCGCACCAGATCTGTGTGGCCCGTGAGCGTCTCGAGCAAAGCACCCGTAAATGAGTCGAATACTCTGATGCTGAGATCAGACGAACCACTCGTGATGAAGCGACCATCGAAGACGATGCATGCTATACCGCGCTCATGCCCATTGATGGACCGAACGCAATCTCCAGTGTCAAGATCCCAAATATTGATTGACCGGTCACCACTCGCGCTGACGATGCGGTTGCCAACAAATTGTACAGCGTTGACTGCTGCACGGTGTCCAACGAGCGTGCGAAGACAGGCTTGCGAGTCTGGTTTGCTGGCGTCGCGTGACCAAACCTTGATCGTCTTGTCCTTTGAACATGACACAACGTGATGTGCGTCGAAGCGGACATTGAGCACAGGTTCCGTGTGACCAACAAAGCAGTGCGTTGCAGTGCCACTCGCCATGTCCCAAGTGATGATGTTGGTGTCGCTGGATCCACTGATAACAGTGCTCGTCGCACCGTCATACTGCAAACACAAGACAGACCCCGTGTGGCCAATCAACTGTCCAACACACCTGCGATTCTCCAAGTCCCAGATTCGAATGCTCTTGTCTCTTGACCCAGACACAACATACTGGTGATCAAATTGCAGGCAATAGATTCCCTGCGCCCTAGAGCCGTTTGAATCTTGTTCTGTTGGTAGATCATACAAGTCATGCAGACCAGTGCGCCAATTTTTGTCGAGAAGCAAGTGTTGCTTGAAGAGGTATTGCCAATGCAGCTTGATGCAGAACGAGTCTGAGGAGGGCGCGATATGTGCCACTGTGAATGGTGCGGGTACAGCGGTGACTGCTATATTTGAATGAACGCCAGCTTGGGAAGCGCCTTCAGCCCATCGTTCGAAAGCTTTGACCCGACTGTCGTTGACTTTCCAATCTTGCTTGAAGTAAAGCGCCTTCCACAAAATAGGCGTGCTCGCCATTTCGTACCATTGCCTGCTGACTCGCATGGAACGGAGGACATCTTTGAAGTCGAGGAAGCTGAAGACATGGACGATAATTTCCTGCGGTAGAATAGGCATGAAGTCGAAGTGCAGTATCTTTGTAATCTTGTGACTTATGTCATAGATGTAGCGTGTCGGCAGACTCGACTGGCTGTCAGCAAGCTTCATGTGGAAAAGGAGTCACGGACCAGTAGGGCAAAGGCCAGATCGGCGCGCTCTTCATGCGACAGGCCGCCAAGTCTATTAATCTGAGCAAGATTGTCGCCAGGCAGCGCATCGGACGTCAGATCTATTGCCTCGTCGTTCATGAGAACTGGCGATACAATCCACGCAGCGATCCTCCTTTACGTAGCGTGTAATCGAGCGCAGGTCACCGGCGACCAGGAAAAGCGGTGAGGAAGACGTGAATGTCCTTCTTCCTGCCTACCGAAGCTGTCGAGCTGAGGAGTGTGTTCGAGGTTACAGTTTTAAAGTGTGCGTGTTGGATTTCTTGCGGGAAACCCCCACGCTGCCGCAACCATACGATTAACTAAGTAGCTTCACAAGGACTTTAGTCGGTCTGCGAGAAGCCAGTGCTGAGCAGCAGCAAGCGTCAGAGCAAGCTTCAGCAAGCATCTTTCCTCCAAAGACACATTCAGTGATACAAACAGCAGCAGCAAGGGTCAAAATCGTCAGGTGACATCGAGGCATTGCACAGAGTGCTCTCCGCCGTGCCCTACCCTTGTGAGAAGAGGCTCTTACAAACATGGCTCGCAAATTCATTCCTTGGGTCTATGACCTGGTACTATGGACGTTGTCCCGTACGCTTCTTCTAGTCCTCTTGCTCCACGCTCATCTTCAGTCCTTATCGACTTCTTCTTTCGCGAAGTCAAGACACGAGGATCCTACAAAGTGCCACGTCGAGATCCAATCATCTTTGTTGCGGCACCACACGCTAACCAGGTATGTAATATTTCATGACCAGGGACGTCTGCTGATGTCTAGTTTGTGGACCCACTGCTGTTGATGCGTCAAGTCAGGCTTGAAGCTGGTCGCCGTATCTCGTTCTTGATTGCGGAAAAATCAATGCGTCGGAAATTTATCGGCTCTGTAGCATCTGCCGTCGGTGGTATATCAGTCAGCCGTGCACAAGATTTGCAGGTGAAGGGAGACGGCGTTGTGCTGCTCGAGGATCGCCGCGAACCTTTGCGTTTAACGGGTATTGGGACCAAGTTCCTGAGCGCTGCGAAGCCGGGAAGCCTCATTGTGCTACCCGGGGAAACGACTGGCTCGGCCGAAGTCGCTTCTGTAGAGAGCGATACGAGCTTGACATTGAAAAGAGAGTTCAAGGGTCTCAAGGCACTCGAATTACTCTCTGCCGAACGAGGTACAGCATACAAGCTCGCGCCGAAGGTAGACCAGAGCGAAGTCTACACGCAAGTCTTCAACCGGCTGGATCAAGGCGGGTGTGTCGGTATTTTTCCTGAAGGCGGATCGCATGATCGCACAGAACTTCTGCCCCTGAAGGCTGGTGTGGCTATCATGGCACTTGGAGCACTGATCAAGAATCCAGACTGCAATCTCAAGATTGTTCCTTGTGGCATGAACTACTTTCATGCACATCGCTTCCGCTCTCGAGCTGTCATTGAGTTCGGTACTCCGCTTGAGGTTCCGAAAGAATTAGTCGAAATGTACAAGAAGAGCGACACCAAACGTGAGGCCACAAAGCTTTTGCTCGACATGATTTACGATGCACTAGCTAGTGTCACGGTGCAGACGGCCGATTACGAAACTCTCATGGTTATTCAAGCGGCAAGACGACTCTACAAGCCTGCCCACAAAAAGCTACCGCTGCAGAGCATCGTCGAGCTCAACAGACGTTTCATCACTGCTTACAACCACTTTCGCGATGACCCGCGTATTGTGAAGCTGAGGCAAGACGTGATGCAGTACAACAGGGATCTTTACTCGATGGGCATTCGAGATCATCAATTGACCAACCTCAAATTGAATCGATTCACTGTGCTGGCAAAGCTTATTTACCGCTCACTCAAGCTTCTTGTCCTGGCTCTTGGTAGTCTACCAGGCGTACTGCTCTTTGGTCCAGTCTTTGTCGCTACCAAGCTGGTCGCACTCAAAAAGGCTAGGGAGGCGCTTGCAGGAAGTAGTGTCAAGATTCAAGCACGAGATGTGCTGGCAACATGGAAGCTTCTCGTTGCCATGGTCTTTACTCCGCTTCTCTACACGTTCTACGCTGTTCTTGGTACATGGATCGTTTTTCGCTATCAGCTCGGTCCTGATTACGTTCGCCAGACTTGGGCACTTTGGACTATCCCGGCCATGACACTTGTCTTGTTGCCGATGGTTACTTATTCTGCGCTTCGATTCGGCGAAATTGGTATGGATATATACAAGTCGCTAACGCCACTTCTTCTTGCCGTGACCAACGTCGACATTCTGGATGAGCTACAGGACAGGCGCGAGGCGCTCTCTGAGGAACTTGTCTACTTGATCAACACCCTAGGACCAGAGATCTTTCCCGACTTCGACTCCACACGCATTGTTGCTCTGCCTGATCATATGATTGAGCCGCCATCGCCCACGTACCGGCGCCGACCGTCGAGTGCTCATGGAGGATTGGAGTTCCCGACACTGAACACGGGTGGGACCCCCTCGTCTGGGACCAATACACCAGGCATTGACAAATCTCTGTCATCGCCTGATGGACACTACTCCCATCTGCTCTCGAACCCATTCTTTTCTACTGCACCACCATCTCGCAGGTCTCACTCACGGCGACAGTCCGTCAATGGCGGCCTCTCGTCAGTACAGATGTCAAGCCTAGCAAATGATGAGGGAAGTCCAGACTTCAATGCTGTCTCAGCCAAAATTCGCGAGACCATGACAGAGCGATCTCAACGTCGAAGGAGCGATCGATCAACGACGCGCTCATCCAGTCTTTATGCACAAGAAAATGCCAGTGAAGATCAAAAGCTGACAGCTGCAGGGGATGGCTCGTCAGATGTGAAGAAAGATGCATAAAAGTTGAATTCGTATGATAAGCTTCGTGACTGCTTGATTCCATCTACAATCAGGGGTCTGTTACTGGACGACGCCTGCAAGTGCGCTCAGCCTTCGACGAGCCAAGTACTTCTGGCTCTTGATGATGGCGCAGCAGGTAAGGTATTAGCACGCCGACGTCTCGCTAACAGGTAGCTCATTCGACCTGCGCAGTCCGCACTCATTTCCTTAGACACCTCGCAAGAGCTGCTCGTCAAGACGGTTGACTTGTCCATCCAGTGCATCTCATACCTCCGTGGCATCTTCGATGAAGACATGTTTTTCGACGATCACCTCAATCTTGCATCCGGACATGCCAGCAAATCTGCAGCAGCCGGTCCACGAAACGGAGAGGCGAATCAGCAGCGCATCATGAGACTGAAACGCCAGCGATCGCGCGCAGCAGACGATTTGCTTGATTGTGTGGTAGGACTTCGAGAGTCTCGTACTAGCTAATGACAGGAGTATGGCGTTAAAGATGCTCTGCAGAAAGGTCATCTTGCTGCTCTGATGTTCAACATCTCTCTTAAGACATCGGATCACACCCAGCTCTACGAAAGTTATACTTTTCGATTCTGGTACAAAAAAGAGAAGCAGGTTGTAGGCATGTCGCTACACTCGTCCTCGACAGGGAGCATCTCTGGGAGTACCGTTCAGGGAAGTGCTGCAGTGCTACAACAGCTATGTCGTCAACTGATCCTGACAACGCAGTCTCTTGAGCCAATGCCAGATGATCTTGAGCGCACATTGTCATTCAAGCTCTTCTTCAACGAGAGTACGCCAAGAAGCTACCAACCGCCCGGATTTCGTACTGCGAGTTCTAGCGAACACGCACGCATGGTCACAGCGTCGAGAGATCACGCGCCGCTTGATCAGCTCGTTGGATTAGCTGATCTTCGTCATCATCGGTGCTGCATTCACTTAACGACCTTATCCGATCTTCCGAATTCCAGTAAACCGGTTTCGCCGAGCATTGGCCAAGTTTGGGATGCAGAGATTCACGCACAAGCCCCCAGTGTTATGGGAAACTCTCACTCCGACAATGACATAAACCTGCCTCAATTCGGAGATCTCTCGGTCCAAGACCAAGATGTCAATCCGAAGCGTGTGGCAACATCCGATGATGAGCAATTGAGATTCGAGAATCTCTTACGAGCATCGCCAGATGACATCGTCGAACCAACACAACCAGTGGAATCGGTCTTGCCCCAGTATAATCGAATTTCTCGCAATACCCAAGTCGGAAAGTTACGAGCACAAGGCAGCTCAGCACGACGGTCAAGACACACAAAGTCAGAGATTGATTGTGCTTGTGGTGACAATCAAGAAGATGGAGCTATGGTGCAATGCTACGAATGCAAATCCTGGGCGCATCTCCCATGCTACGGATATCTACGAGATCCGCCCGAGGAGTATCAACACATCTGCTACGAGTGCGCATTTGATGACAAACCAGTGGTTTTGCTGCGCATGCAAGACTTGGCCCTCTACCGCCATGTTCTTTGGAATTTATGGGACGGTTGTGCGACATTTCCCAGCACAAGAGCTTTCGCTGCTTTCTTCCAATGTGACCTGCAAACCGCACACAGTCTGGTTAGGAAGTTGCATACGGACAATTGGCTTGAGCCAGGTAATGGTCCTGCTCAAGCGAAGAACTTCAAGCGACGCACCTCAAAGGAAAAGCAGATGCAACCCAAGTTTACTGTCGTCAAAACAATCAGCAATGAACGGAGGCTTGGAAAACTGTTCGATCCGCAATTCGGCATTGAAGACAACTCGCCTGCCCGCCTGAGCGAAATAAGAGTCAGAGACAAAAGTGCATCATGTTCATCAGCAGTAAGTGAGCCCGAACAATCCAAATCGACGGTCAAGCGACAACCGGCCGGCACAGATGGGCGAGTTGGAGGCTCCAAACGACGATGTATCGGCGATCAGATGGTTTGATTTCAGTTCTTCGCGAGACCAAAATACCGCATAGTTTGCAATGTCAAAGATCAGTGCAATTATTCGAAGCTAGAAGGTATTATCCTCAGCTCATTCAAGAGCCTCGTTTTGCGAAGCTTTCCACCACAAATATTTTGTGCTTCGCCTGCATATCTCTGGTAGAAGTTTTCCACGTGATGCAAACTCCCAGGTGAAGCGCACGCTCTCACAACGGAAACACCACAGGTACAAAGGGTAGTAGCTCAGCCGGTAGTCGATCAAAATGATTCTGGATTTGCTGTCTGACCTGTCTAAAAATAGCTGTTTGGAGTGTTGTGCACAGGCAATTCTTGAGCGTGAGGGTCCGCCTATCGTCCAACACGAAGGCGCTTATGCATTGGTCTCGAATTGAGGTGCTCGACTCGTGCGAAGGTGACGTTTCCAGGCTCTGCACCTTAACGGCATCCCCTCTAATATAACACCCGCGGACCCAGTCAAAGCTGACCTTAAGGTCTCCTTTTGGCCTACCATAGCTAACTTGTAAGCCTGACTGCTTCTTTTGAGCTTGCTTTACAGCATGGCTGGTAAGAGAAATGGCCTTCTTTTCTGCTGCCGCGGCCTCTTCAGCTAATTCGGCTGTAACGCGAGCCTTCCGGTTTTGTTGAGCATCAGCTTCCTTGTCTGCCTTTTTGATAGCCCTAGCTGTGTTTCCTGTCAGACCTATTCGGAATTCACATCGCATTGCGGTGGGCCGAAAATTGACTAGTCCCTGGAGGACACCGCTGCAGCTCTGGGAATTTCGAATCCAAGGCCGCTTACAGGAGTCTATGCTCATCAGGAGACACTGCCTGTGCCCAACTCCGCGACCCGCAGAATTTCGAAACTCATTTACATTTAACACTTTACCCAGCTACGAATTCCTGGAACAGCTATCCTGCGACATCCACTGTGCTTCGAAAGCTTTTCCGCAAGTTCGCGTTTTGCCATCATTGCGTAACGCCAGTGGGAGGCTCATAACCTGTCAGGCCCATCGGAGTCAACATTGTGTCGAGCGATGGCGGGGCCTAGTAGCGGCAACACGATACTATGTCAACGATGTGATGTGCTGGCCTTTTAAGGCCGGCGTTGTCAACTCATCAGCGCAACTCTCACGCTCAAGAGTTGCCTGAGCACAACACTTCCCCTGTTTCTGTATCCCCTCCTCCCTGTTGTGTTGAGACGTTGATTGTTTCAGGAGCTCATTGATGATGCGACGATCAGGGGCCCAAGCTGACACGCTGGCAGGTTGAGGACATAAGTAGAGCGGCTGCGCTGCCTTTAGTCTAGCAGAGGACTAGTAAACTCAAGAGGTAGTATGAGCCTTGCACTACCGCGCGCAATCGAGCCAACAGAACGGGTCAAGGAGCACCGCGTTGAGGCATTCAGTGTTGTGCGCAGGTGCAATGGTATATGGAGCACTGACCCTGTATCCGAATGCTTGAGAGCTTTTGTGGTGCAGCGGGAAAGTCGTCCCCAGCCCAACAGGGTCAGTGCTCCATATACCATTGCACCTGCGCACAACACTTCACCTGATTCTATATCCCCTCTCGGATCATAGCTTTTGCGTCTATCAACACTGCGCCTAGCTTCCTGAGGTCTACATGGAGATCTATCGTCGACCCATGCCTGTGACCCCGAGCCTTCGCGACAGCAGCATTCGATATTTCACTGTCCCCATCGAGACTCGAACTTCGGATTGACTCATACACCTGTTGGGCTGGGGACGACTTTCCCGCTGCACCACAAAAGCTCTCAAGCATTCGGATACAGGGTCAGTGCTCCATATACCATTGCACCTGCGCACAACACTTCACCTGATTCTATATCCCCTCTCGGATCATAGCTTTTGCGTCTATCAACACTGCGCCTAGCTTCCTGAGGTCTACATGGAGATCTATCGTCGACCCATGCCTGTGACCCCGAGCCTTCGCGACAGCAGCATTCGATATTTCACTGTCCCCATCGAGACTCGAACTTCGGATTGACTCATACACCTGTTGGGCTGGGGACGACTTTCCCGCTGCACCACAAAAGCTCTCAAGCATTCGGATACAGGGTCAGTGCTCCATATACCATTGCACCTGCGCACAACATTCAGCGGCATTCAGCTGATCCAGTACAACGGAGACTTTGCAAAATGGCGAGTCTTCAAAGACAAGTTTGAGGCTGGTGCACAATTGACTGGAGTGTTGGACTACTTGAAGAAGCCGAAGAAGGAGATCTCAGACTGGTCTGAGGAGAAGGAGATGGTGGCGCGAAGGGCCATCATCACGTCGTTCGCTGACAAGGTATTTGAGACGATCAGCGAGTCAATGGTCACCACCCCAGTCGATGAACTGTACGCAGCCTTGTGCGTGAGCTGCGTCATCAATACCTCGCAGCGCATCAAGGAATTGAAGAGGGACCTCTGGGCTCATGTTGCAAACGAGGGCGACGACATCAAGGTGCACTTTGCCTTTGTGGATGGGCGAGTTGCTGAGCTGCGAAGTGCCGAGCATCATGTAACCAATGCTGAGCACATTGACTTTTTGTTGGATGGGCTTCCAGCCGTCACCGCCTGGAGCGCCTTCCAGAACGCATACCGAGCCCGCGTCACTGAGACCACGAGGGTGGACCAGGTCCGCCAAGACATTCGTCAACAAGCGGCAGTGCTCGCGAATGATGCACAGAAGCAAGCCAGCGCCCAGGCACTCTTGTCGCAATCGTCTGGTGGCAGGGGAGGTTGGAAGCGCAACGCTGGTGGCCAAGCAAACAAGAGCACTGGTCGAGGCAGTGGACCCAGGTGCTACCGATGCGAAGAGTTCGGCCACATCCGAGCAGATTGCCCCAAGATGCTTGTCGACAAGCCCGTAGAGGGAGGTAGTGAAAAGAAGTTTGTCGCTTGCATCGCTCCAGAGACACGAGTGAACGAGACCGCCACTGCGCTGCATGCCTATGGCTCGACGAGCGCTGAACAGCAAATCTCATGGGCTGTCGACAGCGGCGCTTCTCACCATGTGGTCAGCTCGATAGATCTCGTCCAGCCAGGCTCTTTGCGATCCGGCCGTGGACCTCGAAATGTCAGCTTTGGCAACGACACGTCGGAGGTATCGGAAGGGTTATGCACAGCAATCATTCCGACTATTGACGGCCCTTTGGAAATGCCTGATTGCATGTTCGTGCCAGGCCTCAGCTTTAACTTGCTGTCTGTCGGGGTGCTTGCTGGTATGGGCTATCAACTATTGTTTGATGAGAACAAGTGGCGCTTGATGTCAAAGCATGACGGCCGAACAGTGGCGGAAAGGCCGAAGCGCGAGGGTCTTTTTTGGCTTGATACACCTGATTCGTCGCGTTTACTGCACGCCAAAGCAACAGATGTGGAGCTTTGGCATAGGCGACTTGGTCATCCGGGCATTGTTTCAATGTTGCGCCTCGAGGATATGGTCACTGGCCCAGATATTGGAAAGCTTACGCCAAATACTGCGGATTGTACGGGTTGTCAAAAAGGGAAACAGCCAAGATTGGCGTTCCCGAAAAAGTCAGAGTCTCGTGAAACAAAGCTCTTGGGTCTCGTGCACAGCGACCTTGCTGGCCCATTCGTGCCATCTTGGTCGGGCAAGCGCTACTATGTGACCTTTGTCGACGATGCGAGCCGGTACACACATGTCTACTTTATCAAGCAGAAGTCCGAAGCATTCGAGAAATTCAAAGACTTTCAGCATGAGGTCGAACGACAAACTGGACAGAAGCTGAAGATCCTGCGCAGTGACAATGGCGGCGAATATGTCAGCAATGAGAATGACAGATACCTGCGAGAGATGGGTATTGTGCATCAACGCACTGTGGCCGAGACACCTCAGCAGAATGGCGTTGCAGAACGAATGAACCGCACGATCAAGGACCATGCAAGTGCAATGCTTCATGAGGCTGGCTTGAAGGACAAATTCTGGTCCTACGCAGTGCACACTGCTGTTCATTTGTGTAATCGCTTACCCACTCGAGCTCACGAGAGCATGACGCCATACGAAGCCTGGAAAGGTATCAAACCCGACGTCTCCTACTTGCGTGTATTCGGCTGCCGCGCTCGGGTGCACACACAGCAGTCAAAGTTGAAAACGTTTGTGTCCAAGGCAAGTGAAATGATTTTTGTTGGCTATCCGGACCAGGTCAAGGGATACCGCTTCTGGGACCCAGAATCCAAGAAGGAGCGTGTATCGAGGGATGCCACGTTTGTTGAGGACCAATTTGGTCGCAAGGGGATACAAGAGCAGGTGGAGCAAATGGAGACAGACGACGATGAAGTGCGTGTCGCTCCGTTCCTTGGCTCTGTGACTCATGAAAGCGAGGTGGAGGCAGAGATTGACGGCAACGCAGAAGGCGGTGAAGATGGCGACGGACGTGGTGATGACCAGAACGAGGATGCCAGCAACACAGGAGACGGTGAAGACGGCGACGGACGTGGTGATCACCAGAGCGACGGCAGTTTTGGCATCTCGACAAATTTGGACGACAATCTCTCTGGCCTCAGTTTGGCAGAAGGGGATCTCAGACTTAGTGACGGCGAGGAGGTGGAAGACTTGCAGCAGCTTCAGTTTGGCGGAGACGCAAATGGCAGTTCAGTCGACGACGTAAATTTATTGGAATCGCTTGACATCGACGACGACAATTTGGCACTCTCTCCAGTGCTCGGTGCAGTGGAGGACGGCCCACATGATCATTTCTCGGATGACGATATCAACTTGCTTTTGGCCAGGGCTCGTGACCTGGCTCAAGATGATGCACAAACTGATGTCAGTGCCTCTGCTTTGATGATTGCGGCATTGACTGACGCACACCCTCATCCAGTCGGCAAGGATCCAAAGGACATTGTGACGCCAAAGAATAGACGCCAAATGCTCAAAAGTGACGAGCGTGACCTCTGGATCGAGGCAGAGCAGCGAGAGATTGCAAACTTGCTGGAACGCGGCACTTGGGAACTCGTCGATACCGAGCCAGGCCAACCAGTAATCGGAAACATGTGGCGATACAAGCTCAAATTGAACCCAGATGGCTCGATCGACAAATTCAAGGCGCGCCTTGTCGCGCACGGGGACCAGCAAGAGGAGCATGTTGACTTCTCGGAGACCTTTGCTCCCGTTGCAAAGTTCACCACGATTCGCACCCTGCTAGTCATTGCTGTCAACAAGGGTTTGAAGGTCTGGCACATGGACGTTGTTGGCGCTTACTTAAATGGATACTTGTCAGAGAAGGTCTTCATGCACGAGCCAATTGGCTATGAGAGTGGAAATGGCGCTGTTTGCCGTCTCAAGCGCACGCTATATGGTCTCCGACAGTCTGGTCGCGAGTGGTATATTGTCATGTCGGAGTTCCTGTTGTCCTATGGATTCCTGCGATGCGAGCATGAGCAAGGCTTGTTTGTTCTCAGAGGTGGAGATATTCGGCTTGTCCTCTATGTCGACGATCTATTGATGATTGCTGAGAACGACAGCGCCCTGGCTGATTTCAAACAGGCATTGTCAACAAAGTGGGACATGACAGACCTTGGTATTGCCACACAATTTTGTGGCATGGAGCTATCCTACGCTTCTGATGGCAGTATCACCCTGAGTCAAGCACGTTACTGTCGGGAGATTTTGAAGCGCTTTGGACTCGAGTCTTGCAATGGTACACACACACCAATGATGAGCGGCCTATCGCTCTCTCAAGCAACATGTGATCCCACACCAGCCGAACGAGAAGAGATGGCAACCATGCCGTACATGGCCGTCATCGGGAGCTTGATGTACCTTATGACCGCAACACGACCAGACTTGGCACACTCCATGGGCGTCCTAAGTCGTTTCATGGCAAAGCCGAGTTATGAACATTGGCGGGCAGCGAAGCAACTCCTACGCTATGTGCAGCACACGAAGGATGTAGGTCTTGTCTTCAAGAAGGGCGACTTGGATGTGCACGTGTACTCAGACTCCGACTATGCCGGCGACCTTGACAACAGCAAGTCAACCAGTGGGTACATTGTCATGCTCGGCCCAAACTGCGTTTCTTGGAGCAGTCGGAAGCAGGAAGTCATTGCGCAGTCTACAACGGAGGCAGAGTACATTGGGCTGGCCAACGCGACAAAGGAGCTCGAATGGGTCAAGATCATCGTGCAACACCTACTGCACGACTTCAAAGCCACCGATGCGCGCTTGACATTTCACATCCATGGCGACAATCAGGGTGCTATCGCCTTGGCAAATGATGCTCGCTTCCACACCCGCACCAAGCACATACGGACGAAATATCACTTTGTGCGAGACTGTGTACGGCGTGCTCGCATGTCACTCGGATACGTTGCTACTGGAGACATGATTGCAGATCTGACAACCAAAGCACTAGGTCGGCAGAAATTGCAAAAGTTCATGGCAATGCTCGGCCTTCGTCGCAAGACTAGCTAGCCTCATGGACGACAATGAGCTAGGTGGAGTGTTGTGTTGAGACGTTGATTGTTTCAGGAGCTCATTGATGATGCGACGATCAGGGGCCCAAGCTGACACGCTGGCAGGTTGAGGACATAAGTAGAGCGGCTGCGCTGCCTTTAGTCTAGGAGAGGACTAGTAAACTCAAGACAAAAGGGTTTAGGGTTAGGGTTAGGGTTAGGGTTAGGGTTAGGGTTAGGGTTAGGGTTAGGGTTAG